GTTGATACTTGATTGAATTTTGAAACGTAATATCTGGTTATATTTAGTGTGACTATCCAAAAACAAATCCTGGAAAATTTTAGCTCTTCGGTGTTGGAGTTGAGACTTTAAATCAATCATTGAGAAACCGCCTTTGTTGTTGTGTGTCTTGAGTGTGTCCAAAGAAATAGGTGTATCTTGCTTGACCAATAATTTAATCGATGTGTCAATTTGATTCAACTGATTGGGTAACAAAGGTTGGTGTAGTTCTTTGTAATAGAACTTGGATGCAATATATGTGTTGAATGCTTCTATTTTTGATTGAATCAGCAAGCTGGTCATGTTTGATAACTTGTACTTGATATAGAGGTCACGCTGCAATGTTTCCGGCCAAAATGTCACTGATGGCCCAATAGTTATCCCCAAATATGTCAATTGAAAGTTTTCATCAGCAATCTCAAATGGGAATGGTGTCAAAAATGGATAAGTATCAGTTGGTATGATTAGTTGGGATTTCTTTTCATTGAGTTTGCTGCCACTGAATTTTTCAAATAGTCTAATACATTTCATTGTTTTGGAATAATCTCTTTTATCTTTGAGGAAAACTGTGATATCATCAGCAAAAGCAAGATAATGTTGACTGCTATATGCTTCAGGTATCAAATCTCCTTGGTAACTATGGCCTCTGGTATTCTGTTTGATAGATCGTAGTAAAGGTTCTACTGCTAATGCAAATAATGAAGGGGAAAACGGATTACCTTGGAGGGTACCATTTTTTAAATTGAATAATGGGCCGGTCATGTTGTTGATGTATAAGGATCCCGTTGTCTGCTTGAGGATGTTGATGATTAACTTGGCTAATTTTTTTCCAAAATTTAAATGGGACAATAGTTGTTCCATATATTCGTGAGATATCCTATCGAACGCTTTCTCCAAATCCACAATTAGTATCAGCTTTTGTGGATTTGGTATTATATGCGTTTTATCTTTTGGATGAATTAGACTATCTAACATTTCTCTGAAAATGGTGATGTTGGAGAACGATGACCGGCCTGGAATAAAACCAGCTTGATCTTCCCCTATGATATCAGGCAAGTGCTTCAACAACCTATTATTAATTATTGTGGATAATAATCGAAGATTAGTGTTGATAAGGGCTATCGGCCTATAGTTTCCAATGTTTTCTTTTGACTTTCCAGGCTTTGGTATGATGTTAAAGAGTATAGTTCGGTAGTGGAATGGTAAATTTCCTTCAGTTAGAATGTGGTTAAATTCTTGAAGAAGGATGTGTTTGATTTGGGGAAATAATTCCTTATAAAATTTGTATGGGATTCCATCTATGCCCGGTGTGGACTTCAAATTTGCCGAATCAATTGCCAGTTTGAGTTCTTCCATTGTTATGGAGGAATCCATTTTTCTCTTCTCTTCAGGAGATATTCCTTGGGTTGGAATCACGTCCTGAAGATATTTATGTATTTTTTTTGTGTCCTTTGTTCCTCTGGTTCCATCAAACAAGTCCATATAATATTCAGTTGCTATTTTCATTATCTCTTCATGAGATTGAACTAGTGTCCCTTCTACATCTTTTAGCTGTTTTATTGGGCGTTGTTCTTGATATTGGTGGAAAACTTGGTTAATATGTTGATAATATTCCGTCACTTTATCAAGTTCAGGCACTTTCACTTTTTTCAACATGTGTTTGAGTTTTTCTGCTTTGCATTTAATATCAATTATTAATTCATCGGTTCCTTGGATATCTTCATTTATAGATTGGTGCCTGAGAACATTAATGATTCTATCGGTTAATCTATATCTCTTCATATTATAGTAAGCCTTGGATGAAGTTAAAGTCAACTCCACTGTAACTGAATCATGTGTGGATCTTTTCCCAAAATGATTTGTTTGTGTCATATTCCATTTGTTTTCTTTGTTTTTTAAGAAGCTCCCAGTGATATAGAACCTATCCAATCTCCGGCTTTTCCCTAATTCTGATGCTTTATTAGTGAATGTTTTCTTGATGTTATGTTTGATTGAATTGAATGAGTCCTTCAAGTTCAACAAAGTAATGAGATTAGTTAAGGATTCAGCAACTGAGTCTTCACGGCTTCTATAATTTAGGGAGTCCGAACGATCAATAAAATTATTAAAATCACCAGCTAACATGATGTTGATTGTCTTTCCTGGGAATCTAGTTTGAAGATTCTGATGTTGGGCAAGTAAACTGAGTTTGAGCTGATCATGGATCTGATTTTGCTTTTGGTATTGATTTGGATTATACAAGTTTATAATCCAGAGTGCTTGGTTATTTTCTAATTCAATTAAGACATCCGTGATGTGTTTTTGGAGTTCATGTTGGACAGTAATACCTGCTAATTTGGATCCTAACACTGGAATAGAATCATCAACAATTATTGCTGTTCTGGAACAGGTTGAATTATAGTATATGACTTTGTTATCGAACTGAAACGAAAAGTCTTCTGATAGATTTAGTTCTTGGAGCAAAGACACATTGGATTTTTGGGTGAAACTTATTACCAACTGGTCGCTGATACGACTCCGTTGTATATTTTGAGTATTGATTTTAATAATCATTATGTTTATTCATTGGAATTTTGATTTGTCTGTTTGTTTCTGGTTGCATCAGCTTCCAGAGTTGACAAATCATCATTGGTTGGTGTTAATTCTGTTTTCTCATGTACTGGAATTTCATCACCCAGTAGCATTTCATCCTGCTCATATTCTTCTGAATCCTCATATTCGTCTTTTGCATCATAGATGTATTCTCCATCATTTTCATACTCCTCATCATATTCTTCGTCATTATCATTATCAGGTTCTGCACTTGATTCAGACAGGGTTGGCTCTTTAGAGCCAGTTTGTGCCAGTTTTGATGTCACTGATGGGTGTGGGTCTTTAATGACTAACTTAATAGATTTTGGTACAAATGGTTTTGGTGCTGAAGGCTTGGTGGTGTTAATTTTGGTCAAAATTGGGGTAGAGATTGGGGTAGATTTTGGGGTAGATTTTGGGGTAGATTTTGGAGTAGAAGCTGGGGTAGAAGTTGGGTTGGACAAGGTTTGATTAGATTTTGGGGTAATTGGATGGGATCTAAACACATTCAACTTAATTCCTGGTTTTGCTGACTCTTGCTTGGTTTCAGCTGGTTTCTCCCTTTGAAGGATTTTCTTTGGTTTGACGGATGCCTTCTTTTTGGAGGCCTTTCTAACTTGATTAACCGGAGGAGGGGTGATTTGATGCTTTCTGTTGATAGCTGGTGTGGTAGTTTGAATATTTTCATAATCATCATCTCTTTCTTTGGATATTAATCCCAATTGGTGGAATGGATTCTTCCATAAATTTTCAAGTAACCAGGACTCAACCTTACCATGATCCCATAATATAACAAAACATCAATTGGATGGTTGGCCGAGCGGTCTAAGGCGACAGACTTAAGATCTGTTGGGTTTTCACCCGCGCGAGTTCGAATCTCGCATCATTCATTATTTTTATTTTTTCCGTCTACAAAGTAGCTTTTTATATTCTATTGTGGTAGACATACTGATCTTTTTGCTCGTATGTTATTGTTCTTTTTTTTTTATTTATGAATAATAATATAATTAACAATTTTTCTCTTCATAAAAATGTGGTTTTGCTTTTTTTTTAAAGTTATAGATACCTTTTTACAAGATATTATTTCTAATTATTTCTCAGCCTTTATTACTTCTATTACTTATAAGTGATGAGTCTGGACTGTTGTCGCCTCCTCCTATTAATATAAATGGTTTAAAGGCTCTAGTTATTTATTTTCGTATATATATTATTCACGAATCTCCAATTTTTTTTAATAGTGCAAAAAACGCTATGAGATCCTTTTCGATCAGTTTGACTTTCCAGCATACCAAAGTCAATAGTTATAAAAGATAGAAAATCATAAATAGAGCAACGTGGGGTGGAAACAAAAGTAACATGCACTTTACCAAACCCATATATATTCTTCGAAAAGTTGACGTACTTAGTGTAGAGGATTGATACACTCCCCTCAAAACTCTACTTATTTGTTATCTTTTGATTGTATAACCCAACAATACGGTCTCGGCAATGTTGTATCCTACGAATAGGAAATATTTACTTGAACATAATCATGGTAACAACGGTGCTTTGTCAAGCTAAAAACTGTCTGCTATTTTGCGATTTAGATCGATTGAAAAATTAGGGAATAATCAGGAAATATTATATAAACTTATCTGTCTCTGTTACTTAGAACTGTCATTTTAATTTACAACCCAGGAAACCATTAAAAGGAACCAACAATAATTCAAATTTGGGGGCGATCATAGATCAAAACTATCATAATTTTCCAATAATAAATATACTTTCAATCACAGCTCCATTATATGATTGAGTAAAGTAGTAATAAAAATTTTGGGCGTTTTGTACTATTCCAAAAAAAAAAAGTTCAATAAAAAAATCTCTAAACGATCTGTGTAATGTATAATATATAGATAGTTTCAGTAATTTTCTTGTAACATTCTTCTTATTTTACCTTAGTTAGCCTCATTCAAAGTTGTCCTCTGATTCTCGGATTCACTTTCCTATTTTTTATCTTAATGTACCCTTATTATCTTAAGAACCACACTCCCATTCATCATCTCCAATTTTATTTTGTATTCTATTGAATTTCATTCAACAAGAGTCCAATTCCCTTTTTTACCGAGAATACTATGTTAATAAATTATTCCAAATTTGAATATTAAATGTTTGGCAATTTGTCTTTTTTTTTTTTTTTTTTTTTTGAAATTCCTACAAGTTTTCATTTTATTTTCTTGCAACGATGGAATATCGATGCAAAAATGGGGTTGTATTTATTTCAAATACAATATTATTAAATAATATATAAGGCGACTATCGCAGCCTTCTTTTATAATACAAGCAATATAGTATAAACATGTAAAACATGCAGATTGAGCAATAGATTTTTGCCATAGGTCATCAATCATATATATTCCCTTTCCGTTTTCCCATCATTCCTCGCCTCCTTCAAAAACAGACTCCACATTATTTTGATTATTCTTAGACAAGCTGTTTTGTAGCTCGCTCAAAAAGCTTCTACGGTCCATAAAGCCATTGATTTTAGAATTATCATTGGTTTGCAAATCCACTTTCTTTACTTCATCATCTTTTTGACTGAGCAGGTGCTCCTCATTGTTGTTATTTGCTTTGTGACTCTTAATCATAACTTCAAATCTTCTAGTTAGTTCATCTTCCAAATCCTTTTTCGTGAACTTCTTTTCTTCATCACTTTCATCTCCTGTTTTTTCTCCATTCAAGTCACCAAATTCGTGCTTCCCATTAGCATCATCGGAGCCATTGAGATGTCCTAAAACATCATTATAGCTAATATCATCATTAGCAACACCTAAATTGCTATTTTTATAAATGTTGAGATAATTATCATCATAGCTAACAACTTTTGAATTGTTATTATCACCATCAAACGCTTCGCCATACTCTGATATTTTCAACAATGAAAATTGTAAGCCAGTGCTTAATCTTTTGTAATTGGACATCGAAGGAGGCTGTATTACCGAAGGGGATACGATAATGTGCTCTTCATTTATCAGGGGACTCACTATCGAACTAAGTGATGATTGGCGCAGTTGGTGATTTTTGCTAATATGTTGCGATCTTCCAATAATGTTGCTAGAACCAACTCTTGGTGATTGGATTGCCGCTAATGATTTCAACCGATTTTCTGGCAAAGACATTCGCTTCCTAGAAATGTTGGTCTTGGTTCTTGAACAAGACTGCAGAGTAACAACAGAAGCTTTGAAATCACGGAGCGAGGCTTGATAAGATGACAAAACATTGGATAAGTCTCGTTCAATGGCACCAAAAGTTTTCAACATATCTTGATCAATCGAAGCCTTAGGTTCTGATGAAGCATTTCTGTTTTCAAATCGAGACAACTTAAAACTTACTTTATTTAAATTATGGCTCAATTTTTTAAACACTGTGTTGCCTTGAAATGATAAAGTACTACCAGTTGGATCTTGCTGTTTGCTTCCAAAAAGGCTACCGGAATATTTCTGATGATTGCTATTTGAATTCATTTCACGTAACTGCTCATTTTTTATAAACCCTCCCAAACCATTATACTGTAGATAATCTTCGGTGACACCATATAATCGACTAAAGAATTCTCCGTGATAATCAAATTCATCATATAAATCCAAAATAAGGTCATCATTGCGGCTCTCACATTTACCTATTCGCCTCAAAATGTTCAATATATTGGCCAGAGCCATGTAATCAGCTCCTTCATCTTCACAATTAAATACATCTCCATCATTCTCAAAACCTGCTTCATTAACAATCACCAAAATAATAATTAAGTAAAATTTTCTAATCAAATGAAAGTTATCAATACTGACCTCGAACTGTTTAAGATCATTCAGAAAACTCTGGTTTGAATTGGAGGCTTCGATATTTTTCGATTGAGATTTTTCACTGTCTTGATAGTTTGGGTGATGATCGGACAAAGATGAGATGAACGGTGCTTCACATAAATCAACAACAGTACCATCGGTACCAATAGTAGATGATTTCATTGTCAATTGTAAAGGTTTCAAGCCTGAGCTTATACCAATGTCACAATTATCATGGTCAGCATGAGCATATATGTGATGAGCCAATATGATCTTATATAATTTTTCAATACTCAAGTTATGAATTTTCAAGTAATTGAAAAGAATTCTCTCCAACGTAGAAATCATTTGCATATTTTTGCTCTTAATCCACTTGACAATAAAATTAGCTGATTTAAGAATTAAGTAACCTCCAACAAAGTTTAGATTTTCTATTATATGGTTTATTGTTTTAGTGCCGATACTTGGATTATTCATGATTCGCAAAACTTTAGATTTGGAAAAATCTGGGATAGCATCACTATGGGGAATTTGATGATATATGTCAAATTCTTTGAAATTAAATAATAATTTCTTCAACAAAACATCAAATTTTTTGTTGGTTTCAATGAATTTAGATCTCAAGAATTTCATAGCTTTGGACTGAACATTGAAAAAATAAATAAGCCTGTTGATCATGAGTTTTCTTAAGTTGACCAATTCACAAAGTACTAAAGATATCAAGAGGTTTTTGTCAGAAATAACGGAGGTGGGATTACCACTGTGGCCCTTCTTATTCAACGCTAGCAACTTGTTTTTAAATTTCAATAATTGGATGACGCACACATATACTTTCAATGAACTATTATTGAATAGTTTGATTTCACATTGAGTAGCGCCCTGGACTATGAGGATTTTTTCCCAAGATTTGATTGGCAATTTCTGCTTTGAAAATTTACCCAGACTGTGCCTCATTTTGCCATCCATAAGGTTGGGTCCCAGTTCTTGCACCACTGAATCATAATAGTTTGACACTAGTATCTTATCATTTAATAGATGGGACACAACAATATTGTAAGAGAACTCATCACAAAATTCGGTTCTCAATTCATTAGATTTTTGAATGTAGCCCAATAGAGAATTCAATAAACTGGAAAACACCTTGAATACTTGGTTGTCGTTGTTGGAGGAGTAATTTTGTGCCAAAGGCATTTGAAATATGTTGTTATTTAGCGAATCTGAATACTGTTCAATCCAATTAGGTGAGTCGGGCATCATTGGGTAATTCAAAATTGACGAGGAATGAATTGAAAATGATTCAATTGAAAAATTTCGGGCATGGTCAGGATTCATGTTAGAACCGAAAAATTCAATATTTTTAGGGTAAGAGTAGTTTTGATGAAGATCGCTTTTTTCAAATAGTGATGATTGCATTGTGAACCGATCATCATTATTATTGTTCTTATTATTAGTTGTTGTGTTTTGACCGAGTTGCAAACCTAATCCCACAGGACTCTCATATCCTTTCTGACTTCTACTCAAACTGATACTGCTCTTCCTACTGCCATGGCTACTTCCATCACCTGAATGTACCATGATTGACCTGGCTGGTGGTCTCGGAAACATAAAGGTGGAAGACATGTTGTAATTTGAGGTATCTGTAGATACGGCATCATCGATACCGTAGTAATCCGATAAGAAATCATTTGCTTTCTGATTATCTAGATTGATGGAAAGTTTCTGGTGCATTGGATTCATATTGACATTGCCATTGAGAAAGATATCCTCATTGTAGCAATGATTCACCACCGTAGCGCTGGTGTTAGTTGAGGATGTGATATTTGATTCATCTGATTTTCTTTTTGTTGAATATGGATTTGATTTTGCTTTATGTGATTTGCGAGTCACTGAAGTTTGGATAGGACTAGTGACTTGCAGTAGATTACTTCGCTGTTGTGGTTGATATTGGGGAAGATGAGGTTGTTGTTGTGCTCTTTGAGGATTGAGATATTGATGTCTTTGAGAAGTCAGTAACGATAGACTTTTGGATTTGAGATAATAATGGTGAGAAGAAGGGAGATCAGGAACCGACCCCATTTCTTGAATAGCTAATATTTGATAGTATTGTATAATACTCCAAGGCTATAAAAGAGCCTTTCATATATTTCGCCTCTCTCTCGTTTGTCAGATCAAGCTTGAAAAATAACGGCTTGGGGTAAAATTGTAGGAACAAACAAATATTAAATGTCTCATCCGTATGCAAAATGGGCGACAACACAGAAATACCCAAGTTTTTTTTTTCTTTATTTATTTCCACTGCGTTACTTGTTATTTGTTTGAACAATTGTGATTGTAAACAACAATAGCCTTATGCGATCTGTGGCTGTCTATTTGTGGATTTTCGCGATACTGGAGAGACCTCAACAAAAATACCTCCAATACACAAGAAAAATAAAGATGATTCTTTTAGAATTAGATAGCTGACCAGACTCTTTTTTCAGATGATGCGTCGCTGACCCTTTATTATTATTATTATCGTCGTTGTCATCACTCGGTTTTCCTGGTTTTTTTTTGTTTTTTTTTTCTTCTTTGTATATCTAACACGAAAAAATCAGTAAGTCTCGTCAGCTGAAATTTCTCAAATCTCTAAAAGTTTACGGAGGGACACTACTTGGTATGCCCCACAAGACAATAAGTTCTTCTCAATTACTTAGTATTTATTAAATACTACTTAATTTTGACATACAAAACCCATCAAGAGGGGAAGAAAAAATACAGCAATGCCACAACTTACTCACAAAATAAGCTAGAAAAAAAAATACGACAAATAAATAGAAAAATCACCAAGCAATTAATAAGAAATAGCACTTCCAATCACATGCGATGAGATCTTTGGATGAATGCTACACAATTAGTCGGAAAGACCAATGACACCACAAGCTGGTCTGCCACCAGCGTTACCAGTCTTCAAAGAGTCTGGGTTACCACCCTTACCCAAATCGTCTTGACCGGCGTGAATAACAACGGTTCTACCCAAGATAGAGTTTGGACCAATCAACTTGACCAAGGAGTCAGAGATGGAACCTTCGGCAACACCAGAGGCATCAGTGCTGACGTTACCCAAGTCACCAACGTGTCTGGTTTCGTCGGTTGGGGCACCATGGGTCTTGCCAAATGGATTGAAGTGGGGACCAGCAGAGGTACAACCGTTGGTGTTGTCACCAAATTGATGGATGTGGAAACCACGCTTAGCGTTTGGAGAGTTACCGGTAATCTTGTAAGAAATTGTGGTTGGGGAAGATTCAGATTCTTGGGTGAAGTGAACGACACCAGAAATACCGGCATCACCTCTGAGAACAGCAACTGTACCAATTTGTTAGAAATCATTGCCATTATCATTGGATATATACATCTTTCGGGGTGTATAAAATAAACCTCCCAAGCAATGTTCGAAATTTTACTACTGGGCAACATGAAAAAAAAGAAGGATCTTCTTGCGGTTAGAGTGAATTACTTACCAGCATTAACCATTTTGATAGTGTGGTTTAATTGAGTGGAACTATAATAACAATATGACAATAATCAAGGACCAAAGAACAAGAGGGGATGCCGGGAAATAGCAAACGGTCGCCGCCAAAATCCTCTGGATGAGTCTGTGTGTGTTGGGCTGGTTACCCTAACCATTACTAATGATTGTCAACACCGGCCCTTCTGGGCGTGTGGTTGTTAGAACCCCATGTTTTGCAAAGGTAGTCGAACAAGAGGAGCTATGCTATGTAAAATAGTACAAATTCTTTTTCGAGTGATCTTAAGATTTTAGAACCTGCTCACACACCCATATATATATATATATATATATATCACACCAGTATTGTCACCACCACGGTGCAAAATGTCTGCTTAGGGCATTAAGTGCTCACACCCCGGGGTAGCCTGTCCGTTTTCGGTAATATGTGGCAGGGTAATACACCAGATCCACGACGTGAATAACATTATGTCATATTGAATTTCATGTAGCAGTATTTAGTAAATACTATTTACCTCTTATTTACAAGTAGTTCCCTCTATTTGGCTAATGCAGCGAGTAATTATTGTCATAGTTACACCATATTACCAAAAGATTTACAATTATGAAAAAAAGAAAACAAATAGCAGTTTATTGTTGCAAAACAATTGAATTCTCAAACATTTAATGCATAGTACTTATAAATCCCTCTTTCACTGAATTTCACAGGCCAAATCTTGTAAAAATCACTATCACCCTCGTAAAATGGCCCATTTGACATATCAATTTTTTTACTGGCGTACTTCAAGAATGGATAGAAAATGACTTTTGGCTGGATTTTTTTACCAGTTTTAATATCGTATTGCGTGATGTTGGGAATATAATTTGGGTCATGGGTAAGGATTTCATAATCTAAATCCAAATCATCAGAGTTGATCTCATCAGCGTTATTCGTACTTTGAGCATTCCCATTATTTTTGGAGAAACAGGACGGTTCATCATCAAAATCCACCGAAAAAGTGTCGGAAGCAACGCTAGTAATCAGCTTATATGATGAAACAGAAATTAAGGATTGGGTGATTGGCCTGTTGACTGCTGACGATGCAGAAAGAGATTGACGATGAGGGTGGTAGTCTCTGTCAAAATTGAAATGATAGTTCAAATATTTTGAGTTCTTGGAGTTATAAGATCTTAGCTTATAAAGCCATGATCGACGACCAGTGGTTGGAAAAAGTTTCCAAAAAAATTCTTCTTCTGGGCCATTTAAAGAATTAAGGTAAGAACCATAGCTATGGTGGCGCAATTGTTGCCGTTGTTTTTGATAGTGATATGAGTCATTAGGAGCGTTTTCAAGCAACTTGGAGTCGAATTCCCAAGCTAGTAAAGACGGGCAGCACTCGATTAAATTGGCATTTTCAAGCGACCCTAAGCGGTTTAATTCCTGATTGGCTTTCACATTGATGAACCGCAATTGTTGATACACTTGGGTATCTTGCAATAAATCATGGTACTGTGACGGGTTCAATTGAGGATACTGTGACAGGTTACCGCTACTGGATGGGTTGGCGAACGACTGAGAGTTAAAGTAATCAGAAAGATGCAGCATTGTGGAAACACGCGAATTTATAGTATCTTGAGGATCTATTGCAGGTTCTGATGGTGGCGATAAAAACTGAACCAATTCATCCTTGGTAACTTTTGAATTTTGGATGTGTAAAGATTTTAAGATAATAAAATTACTTTTAATAAATTGTAAGGTTGGACAATAGCTGACTTGTCTTCCGCTAAGATTTAAATACTGAAGGGTGAAGTTCCCGGTATTTGAAGATAGGGGATCGGCAGTGGCGAGGAATTTGAGGATCAATAGCATTTCACGTTCATTCATGTCGTTAACGTTGTCAGTTTCCAAACTAAGCCATTTCAAATTGGTTAGTTCATGGTGGTTGCTGCGAAAAAACTCCATAATGTAACGCTTATCAAGTTTATAGCAACAGCCGAGGGAAATATGGGTCAAATTAGAGACATCGAGGTCAAGTAAGGCATCTCCTGTAATTTGAGTATGAAATAGATCGAGTTTTTCGAGAGATGTCAAAAGCGGGAAAAGTTTTGCAAAAAATTCTGATGGGACATCGACACAATCATGGAATGACAAGTTTTTAAGATTGACAATCGGCATGAAAAATAATGAAGGTTGGTCCAAAAGCTTAGAAAATGATAAGGAGAAAATTGTCCCGGTAGATCCACAAAAATCAATTGATTCAAGACTAGGCATGTTGAAAAAAACTTGGATCAAAATTTCGGGGGAGATGTCATTTTGAATATTCTCACTACTCAAGAATTCTCTAAGGTTAGTTGCTTTTTCAAGAAAGCCCAAAATAGTCTTGTGGGTGACAAAATCGATTTCATTATTCATTCGATTGGTTCTACCCAAACCAACGCTAGTGAATTCCTGGAGATCAAGGACTTTCACGTAGCTATATACTGATTGGTCCTCAGGTTGTTTGAATTCATCTTGGATTTTGACCAAATTGGCACACGAGTCACTTAGAGGAATGCCAATGGCGTCCAACGAATGGGGGATTGATTTGTGATGTCCGAAACGGGAGTTGAATAGATGAAATGTTTGAGGGCAACTAAAACGACAATAATTGCAAAGGTATTTCAAGGCTAAAAAGTAGAAGGTCTTGTTCACGAGCATGAATTCTTTGGCGAACCATTCCAAGTGCTGAGAAAATGAAATAGAGATGTCATTTGAGTAGGTGAATGCTACTATCAAGTTGAGGACTTCAATGGGCAAGTCATTTAATGATGATATTGGCCGTGGATGGTCGATTTGATTATTATAGCTGATTGTCCAACCCAACGACACTCTTGTTGGTGCCGCCGCCGCATCGCATGGGGTGGAAGATGATTGACGAGAAGTGTTTTTATGGTCTAAAGAGTCGGCCATATATATGAATAATAGAAGAGTGTAAGGATGAGTATATTATATATATCGATATATATGGAACTATTATTATTGCAGTGACAAGCCAGAAAGGAGAGATCTGGTGGTCACCTATATTTTTTATGCTTATAGTTGTTTGTAATCGCTTAAGCGAGAAAAAAAATGAAAAAAAAAAAAAAGGATTTCTGCGAGTGCTTTCCAGTTTCTTGCCGCACCGATCCACGGGGGTGGTACATATCCCCCGGTCCCCTCATCACCAGGGTGCGGTACCCTGTGCTACAGAAAGAAGTTGCTCGAACACCTTTATTTCGGGCAAACAGCAAAAAAAAACAACCTCAAAGTTTAGCAACTTATTATATAGTGACATGTCCCATAAATAGATAGCTGGTTTATAATTTTCCTTTGCCTTATCTTATATATTGTGTGCGGGAAAAGAAATTGACGTCTGCTTTGGTTTTCTTGATTTTTTTTTTTTTTTTTTTCATTAGCCTCATCTCATCTCATCTTATCTCATCTCATAGCTTTGTGGGCAAAAGCAAAATTCAAAAAAAAGAAAATCATAGATATACCATCTTTAAAACATCCCTTTCCTTAATACTAATAAGATTACATATATATCATATATAATCCCTCAAGTACACAATAGTGGAAACGTGAAAATTATATTAGAATCATCACCTCATCAAACTACAAAAAACAACATAAAATAAAAGAGCAGTGAGAAATCATAAAGGGGAGAATTTATTATCTTTGAAGAGTAAAATTGACTGACTAGAAGAAGTGCCAAAAATAGAAGAGTTATTTATCTCCAGAACTTTCGTGGAACTTTCACAAAGGATTCAGAGTACCGTCAAGAAAGATTTCATTTGATTTTTGCAATACATACGAGGAATAAAATAAAATAAAGCAAATTAGAGGCAGCTGCTATCATCCTGAGATATTATTTTGTGTGTGTGCCTTAACTCATTCTACAATTGTTTTTTTGTGGCTGCTTATAAAATGTCAATTCAGGACTCGGCTACTCAGCAAGAGCCATTTAAAAGCAAACCCGAAGCCAATCCAGCAAAATATGAACTCAGCTCTAGCGATTTATCATTAGTTTCCAAAAAAAATCAAAGACAAGAGGAAGAAAGTGACAGCGAAATTGAAATTGAAACTCAAGAAGAAAGCAATGGTGCAAAAACTGAGGCTGATCAGTACACACAGGGTGGTACGACAAGCATAGAAACTGGCCGACAATTACAGGAGAAGTCAGAATATTTCAGTAGAGATCAAGGAAAAATGTTCATTGGTGGATTAAACTGGGATACCAGTGAGCAAAGACTTAGGGAATATTTCAGCCAATATGGCGAGATCATTGATCTCACAATAATGAGAGATGGTAATACTGGTCGATCTAGAGGATTTGGATTTTTAACATTTCTTGATCCGCGTTCAGTTGATGATGCGCTACAGAGCCAACACGTACTAGATGGTAAAGTAATTGACCCAAAACGTGCAATCCCCAAAGAAGAGCAAGATAAGACTGGCAAAATTTTTGTGGGAGGAATCGCCCCAGAAGTTACAGAAAAGGACTTTGATGAATTTTTTTCACAGTTTGGTAATGTTATTGATGCTCAATTGATGATTGATAAGGATACAAGAAGGTCAAGGGGATTTGGGTTCGTTACCTACGATTCACCACAAGCAGTCAATAATGTCACTCAAAGTCATTACTTGGAATTAAAGGGTAAGAGAATGGAAATCAAAAAGGCTGAGCCAAGAGGCCAGCAGCAACAAATGACAGGAGGGATGAGAGGATATAACTCTAATACTGCCTTGCAATTGCACAAGTCAAGACATCATCAACAGCAACAGCAACAATTTATTCCACGCAATTTAAACTTAACTTCCCCACATACCGCTCCTCCAGCTGCCATGAGTCTTGGTCATCGCCCCCGCCAGTTACAGCCACCAATGGGTTACAACCAATATACCCCTTATCAGCCGATCCCACAAGCCCCAATGGGGGGCTTCTCCCCACAAATGTTGCAGCAGCAATATTGGCAACAATATTGGTTACAAATGAATTCAAACCTTCAACAATACCCACAAACACAGGGACCTCCACCACCAAATCAAGCTCAAGCACAAATGATGGGCTTTATGCCTCAGATGCCCCATCATGCCATGCCACGGAACCCCTTCAGCTTCACTCCCGGTGATCTGCAAGTGGAACCTGATGACGAATCAAATGCTCTATTTGATAATTCTGATTATTATAAACATGGTGATTTAGGAATGTATAATGGTTCTGTTAATAATGTGAGCAGGGGTGGTAGAAAGAATGGAGCTTTCCAGTCTTTTACTCGCTAGTTGAATAAAGAGTTTTGCTAGAAAAAATACAAGCTAGTGGGGGTCATAAAAAGTAGGGATTTAATTTGAGCTCGAGTGTATTATTATTATAATTATTTTATTTCTATTTTCAATTTGTTCCTTTGAACTTTTTCTTCTGACTTCGTTTTGTTTTGTTTAATCCTTTTTTTCTGACTTGTGTCATGGTGTGGTAAATGGTTTTTAGTTTCTGTTCAATAAGCGACGATAACTTACGTTGATCATTGAGATCTGTGTAAAACGGTTTCTTTAATGTAAAGTTAATCCGCAATGAAAGAAGATTATATATATTATAAGTAATAACAAGAAGGTGAGAATGCCATAGTAATGCCAAAGAAGAAAAAAAAGACAAGAAAAACAAATACAGTTAAATCAAACACTTTCCCCCAGTAACTCTTGATGATCTAGAGGGAAATAGAATTGGGTGAAAAAAAAAAGAAACCGGAATAGAGCCAAAGGTATGGTTGGCATTCTATAGCCAATCAATCATCGTCTCCATTACCACCACCCTCATAGTCCTCTACAACATGAGTACCACCATTGACCAACTCATCGTCGCGATCCATATCTCCTTCTTCTTCCTCTTCTTCCTCTTCTTCTTCCTCTTGCTCCTGTTCCTCTTGTTGTTTCTCTTGCACTTGTTCCTTTTGTTCTTTTTCAATCTGCACTTCTTCAGGATCTTGCTCAACATCAGCCATATGCTCATCTCCATCTGCATCCACATTATTTCCTGCTTCTTCATCAGCTTCACCACCTTCCTCAACATCTTTGAATTCGTCTGGGAAATATTCTCTCAAACTACTGATGATGTTCTCACATTGTTCCTCAGAAAATCTCGCATCACATTCTTCCACAATACTGTAAAGATTGACAGTACTTTTAGGCACAAGGTTGACGATCTGGAATTTTTCAATCACTTCTAATTCATATTTCGATAACTCTTTAGTGACATACTTCTTCACGGTTTCAAGATTCTGATGGTTACAAGGGGTTTTCTTGAAATAAGCCATGAGTTTCTTGGTAAGGATTTCATATTCAAACATCGTGTTATTCATTTTGTGGTAGTTTTTCTTTGGAGGTTTAAGAAACTCATATCTGGTAGATTTGATATGCTTGAAAACCTCTTCATTCGTAATGAATTTATTTCTTGTTTCGAGGATCTAAATGGCTGTTAGTAAAGAATAAACACCAAAACCTCCAAGATACTAATATATCTATATATGGATAAGACCGGTAAGAAAATTCAAGCGTACCTCCATATTTATTGGAAAATTAGTCTTATTTGGGTTTCGTGTAAGGGTGCAATACAAGATCGACCTTCTTCTAGAGGGTTTGCTCCTCACTGAAAAGTTGAAGAAAAATTTCCCCAAACCCATCGCTTATTACGTAACATGCACGATATATTACATAATCACAGATGCAAAAAATATCTGAGAATTACAACACCAAAAATGGCATCCACTTAGAACAACACAATACCAAAACAACAATAATAACAATTAAGATGACCACAGAACCCAAAACTGCGGCAGAGGCAACGGATCTTTCGAAGGAGGTAATAGCCGCATTGGACCAAACTGGACAGCAGATATCCCAGATCGTTGAATCATTTATCGAATTGGGGGTCCTTGTCCATGATTTCCAAGCAGCAGAAACCTCAACCGAATCTCTAGCCTACAGACTAAACCAGACCGTCGAACAACTACAGTCGCTCACAAATTCACACAAAGCAGAACTATCTCAAATACCTATCCCCATGGATGTGTTGCATTACATCGAGGATGGGCGGAACCCTAACGTCTATACGAGGGAGTTTGTCGAAAGCACCAAAAAATCAAACCAACACTTGAGAGGAAAGAGTATTGCGTTCAAGCAGCTAAGAGATATATTGGGGAATAAGATTGCTGTGGAATTTCCTGAGTTGACAGACACTATTGAACATGTGTACAAGAGAACTGATTGATCCCTATGGCAATGCGAGCGTTTTGATTCGAGAACATGGACTCATAATTTTCATTATCTACAGACGGAATAGGAGCTACAGATCATTGGTTGTATGCTGATGTGTGTTCTGCCTTTACTGTGATTCTATTGCTCGAGTTTCTACTGCAGCCAGACGGACCACCACGGAGATAGGAATCTATTGAGTTCTGAGTCCTTGTTTGCCATGACCCTTTTAGCCCCATCGACCCTGATATTCTATAAATATTCCCTCATGCATTATGTGGGGCTAATATCTGAAAAGCTCTCTAAAGTTATTAATTAATGCTGGAGAAATGAATGTTTCCAAAGATTTGGCCTATGTTGTTACGAACCCTGGCACGAAAAATTTTAGTCTCTATTTTTTTTTAAAACCTTCTTCTGGAAATAATATCCCTATATGCCCGTCCGTCTCTATCATTTCCTGAAGTCTTATCCTTTTTTGCATTTTTGTTTTTGCCTATATTATTAGTAGGAATACTATAGAATTATTTCAACATATAATTTTTATACAGTAGTCCTTGAAAAGGTGAAAATCTCCTAAATTTTTTCAACAAAAACTTCTTTGGTGTGCGAGTGAGGATATAAATGGCCGACGATACTTATTACTTGACTCCTCATGAGAGTGCTTTGGCAGTGGTTGCCACCAGTATGAAGAAATCTAGACTACGGCTTGATACCCTTATTATCAACTCGATTATCGGAGGTATGCTTTTTTCTTCTGGAGGAATGTTGCATGTTGTCGCGCAGACAAATCCGGAACTTTTGGAGAGTAACCCAGGATTGGTGCATCTATTGCAAGGGCTAGTATATCCTATTGGCTTGTTTTATGTGGTCATTATGGGCGCTGAACTTTTCAATTCAAATGTTTTGTTCTTCACCGTGGGCCTTCTAAGAGGCGCTGTAGGGATTTTAGATCTACTCATAAATTGGTTTTTATCATGGCTTTTTAATTTGGGTGCCAACTTGTTTGTTTGTTATGTCATTTGCTACTTAAGTGGAAGTTTCAGTATTGGGCCGATGAAAACTGCAAGTATAGAAATTGTGGTTGAAAAAGCAGAAAGGAGTTTTGCGGAAACGTTCATTAAAGGCATTGCTTGTAATTTCTATGTTTCTCTTGCAATTTATTTACAAATCATGTGCAAACCTTTACATATTAAGTTTTTAATGATGCTTCTACCAGTGGTCACCTTCGTGAGTATAGGTTATTCCCACACAGTGGCTGATATGTTTTTGTGTCCAATGGGTCTCATGAATGGTGCTCCAGTCAAAGTTGGAGTCTACGTTTGGAAGATTTTGATTCCTGAAAGTTTGGGTAATATTGTCGGAGGCTCATTTTTCGGCCTTGCTATTCCATTTTATCAACATTTGGTTGTGGTTGAAAGAGATATTGCAGATGTTGGTTTGCCAAAATATGATGCAAGAGATGAGCAACCAGAATTAATGATGGATAGTAGAGTGACCAGAACACAGAAACCTGATGATGACAATCATGCTAACGATGACGGAAAAATCAATGACGAAATGGTGGAAAAATTGATTTCTAGAATTGCCACGAGGATTAGTGAAGAAAACAAACTTAGCAGCAGGTTAGACCGCACGAAATCTGGCTCTTCATCATCAATATCTCTGGAACAAAGCTCTGGAGGGGATAATGTGGTTCAAAGTTATAATGCTGATTATCCGAAAAAATTGTCTAGTAGGAAACTTAGGTCACCACCAGGAGTTTTTCCGGTGAAAGGAATGGGAGAACCTCTTCAACGAGAAAAAACTATTGCTACCGGTGTATCTTTCAGATCTCACAACTTTAATAACAGCGTTAATGATGCTGCGAATTTTAGCGATGCAAGATCAATGATATCAAGATTGACCAGTAGAAGAATAATGTCTAACGAACCTATGGATATCGAGGAAGAACTCTATGAAGATGAAGGAGGAATTAACGCTAGAGAAGAATATCTTGGAAACAAATTGATCAAAACTTTGACTTCGAAAACAAAGACCAGGAAATCTGGCGATGAAGAAGATCAGATTGATAATCGATCCACCAGATCAGCACGGTTTCCAGCCACTTTCAGTGAATCAGAAAGTCCACCAACAAAGATGAAATCCAAGCTATCTCATCTCAGGGGCCATAATCACATCACCTCTCTGGTTAAAGGAGCTCCGCGAAGAAAATCAGAGGATAAATTTGTTGAGGATTTGGTGAAACAAAATATTTCGAATAAGGTTCTTGGAGCGGCAAATGACGTTGTTGGTGACGATGTGGAAATGAATGATCTTATTAAATGGTCAAATGAAACTAAACGAAAAAATGCCGAAAATGCTGAAGATGCTGAAGATGCTGAACAAATACCTGAACCACTGGTGGCTCATCATAGAAGTAGGTGATTGATTTATATGCCGAAGCCTCTCTCTCTCTCTCTCTCTCTCTCCCCTTCTTTCTTTCTTTCTTAATCTCTTTAGGTACCCTTTCTTAATATTTAAAATTATACCCCGTTTTCGTTTAGGATACGTACTTGAATAGAAATCATTAATATTAGACAATGAAGCCTCCAAGGCCTACAAGATCTAGCCGAATTCAACAAAGCAATTAAATAAATTGAATAAAATTGGTAAAGCCAAGGAATAAACGTGAAAGTGGATCAATACAGCACAAATTTATACATAAAGAAAAAAAAAGTTGAACTAAAGAATAAAGTAAGATATTTTTGAGGCAGGGCCTTGTTGGAATTTGTAATTCGCAAATGTGGTTGTGAATGCGTTCTAAATACAATTTCGTGGCTTGAGAAACAAGGACAAGGTAATTATATGAACATAGATATCAAGGATTTGTATGGTTATTTAAATTTGTGATTATATTTTGAGAAACTGTCAGCAGTTATAGTTATTGTTGTGATTATCGTCATATCAATCCTAAAGATTTCAAGCGGTCACAAGAAGGCATTGGGTAATTGTTTCCCTTCATGATAAGCTCTTCATCATTATAAAAGAACCCTTGAGCATCAGCTAAGATCTGCTGTTTTTCATTCCGTTCCAAAGTACATTTGAAATTCAAGTTTTGAATATATTGACCCTCCACACTCTTATCCAACTTATTCAAGTCTTTGATCTTGGAGTCTTCGAACTTCTCTCTGGTAATGTAATATTTAACGCCAAAATTAGGGGTGTTTCTTTCATGCTCATATGGTTTCTGCTGAGTAAAACTGTATTGGGGTACATTGGCTTCGCTACCATTAAAATACGATGTAATCAATGAAAATAACAAGAGTATAATAATCGGCAAAAGTTGAGTGAGATTTGAAACAAGAGACTCTCTTCCATTGGTTTGCTGATTTCCACTTCCAGCGGTAGCACCGGTTCTTGTTCTTCTGGTTTGAAATGTTGGCCCTCCGAAAGTTTGAAATCCACCCGGTCCGAATGTAAACGAGTGCATTCCTGGTGTTCCTCCTCCTCCAAAGAAAATATTGAATATGTCTTCATCAAAACCATTGCCAGTAAAATGGAATTCTTGTGCTCTACCCCCAGATGCTCTTGATCTAGTTGCTCCATCAAACCCACTGAATCCACTAAACCCACTGGCTGCGGCTTGCGCCCCTCTCAGACTAGGATCCTGTCCTGTTTGATCGTATATTCTCTTTTGATCCTCATTAGACAATATTTCAAAGGCCTTTGAGACTGCCTTGAATGCCTCGGGAGCATTGGGGTGGTTATTTTTATCAGGGTGGATCTTGAGTGCCAACTTTCTGTAGGCCTTCTTTATCTCTCCATCCGTCGAGGTTTTTTCAACAGATAACACTTTGTAAAAATTCCCCTTATTACTAAGAATCCTTTTGACAATTACCTCTTGTTCCTTTGTATATCCGGACATTGTGTGACAAATCCTATTACTCCATCCAGTGACCCAGCTAAATAATATATATTGAAGAGTGCACAACGACCAACTTTTTTATTTTTTTATTATTTTTTTTTCCTTTACCCCTCCACCCTTCCTCTCTTTGATTATAAAATTTATGTCCATACCATGAAAATTGAAAAAATCCCCATTACGACATCAATTATGTAATATTGCATGTGATAATTACATAATCACAGCTGTGCATATATATGCAATAATCTGTCAGTATCATTGAATATTGTTAGAATGCACTCGGATTCCCTTTCTATTATTCTTGTTATTATAACAAGCTCTTGCAAAATGAACATGTATCTAGCAGGAATAGCATTTAACCGATTTTAATCTTCTCTTTGAATGATTTTTGATTCATAACAAGTTTCTTTTTTAAATTTTTAACTTGCCGAATTAATTCTTTAATACTTTTGATATTTAATTTCTTCAAATGAAATTTATAACCTCCATTTTCTTTAATATTATAAATTTGTTTGAGTAATTTTTCAAATGGAATCTCCCGATCAAATTCTTTAAGATAAGTAACATAATTAAGAACAGATGTTGAACAATGTGGTTTTGAAATTAGCATTTTCAATCTCAATTCATTTTGAGTATTCTCATCATAGTTTTTTCTATGCTCTTCTTTTTGAATGGTAATGTATCTATCAATTATTTTTGATAAACTTGAACTAGGAGCACTGTCCAAAATATTGTAATATGCCTTCAAAAATCCATCTTTTTCAACATTTCCACATTTTTTGACATAATTTCTACTTGACACATATGCTAACCATTTCCAGTATTCACCTTCTATTTTCATAATTCCATTATATTTATTGTATTCTTAATGAATTATTCCATTTTCATCAATGAACCTTCTCAATTGATTTGAATAACAAATTGATTGACCAGTAGTCCCAGGTTCGGTGCCATGTTGGTGGTATAACATTCCGATATAACATTTCGAGTCAGTAACGTGATTTTCCGGCTAGGAACGTACTGGCTATAATATTACCATGTTGATTATTGTAATTTGATCGTATTGCGTAACTGTTATTAATCGAAGACATATTAGAAACCAATTCTTATTTTAGCTACACTTTCAGAATGGGGGGCATGATGGTTTTAGTCCAATATATTCCAAGATGAGCTTCAGTGATCTTAGAATAATCTCGTTGGTCTTATTCTTCTTGATCCTTTCTCTCTAGGCTCACCTTCCTACCAATATGTAGAATATTATATGTCTATATACTCATTCTAGCTATAGTAACAGCTATACGTACTTAGGAAATAAGTTTCCCTCCTTTCACTTACTTAGCAAGTACCAGGGGAAATCCGCACCACTATCAGAGTGCTCTTATCAATCCGTAGACCGGATTCTAACAAGTATACGCGTCACGTCTTTTTTTTTTTTTTTTTCTACTTCGATGGAAGAAATATTTTTTTGGGCAGTTTCGCGTCTCAATTCTTTCTCATACTGGATGCTACTAACCAATTAATAGGAACGATTTATTGAACAATGACATCTGTTTCTGCTGGTCAAAAACATAGCATTGCTTCCAGTAATGGGGATTCTTCTTCGAAAAGGGTGAAATTGGAGAAGAAGAACCCAGTTTCTGGTGCCCATTCAATGCCTATTGCCTCTTTGCAATCAGATGATTTGCAAGTACACACAAAAAAAGAACCGATAAACCATACCATTCTTGCAAAGCGCGAAACCTCAACGTTTGAACAGGAATTGCTCTCTATGACTGAGGATGTGGAATTGGATTCTGGTAACGACAATCCCGAAAAATCGTGGGAAAGACCTCTAGTGGATATCAATCCCCAAAAAAACGATATTTCATTCCAGCAATTGGATGGTGATGAAACTACTATTGGCCCAAGCTCAGCAATCAGATTTTATGGGGTCACTGCCGAAGGTCACTCTGTTCTTTGTAACATCATTGGGTTCATGCATTACTTTTATGTTCCTGCCCCATCAGGTTTCAGACAAGAACATATTGAAGGTTTTAAGAGATACTTGGGAGAAAATTACAAGTCAATTTATGATGTTCAAATAACCGACAAAGAGTCGATTTGGGGGTATAATGATAATCAAAAGTTGCCATTTTTAAAAATTATTGTTTCAAATGCTGGAGACATATCCAAAGTGAGAACAGGATTTGAGAAAGGATACATTCGTTTTGGAGAGTTTTTCCGCGGAGGTGGAGATAGTTTAATGACTTATGACAATATCAACTACTTGCTTAGAATGATGATTGATTGCAAAATTACTGGTATGAGTTGGTTGACCATCCCAAAGAAGTGCTACTCCATGGTTCGCGATAAAGTTTCTACTTGTCAAATCGAAATCACCGTTCACTACACAAAAATTATTTCTCATCCTTCGGAAGGCGAATGGCTTAAAACCGCTCCGTTACGTATTTTAAGCTTTGATATTGAATGTGCCGGAAGACCTGGTGTCTTCCCTGAAGCCGAAAAAGATCCAGTTATTCAGATTGCCAATGTTGTTCAAGCAAATGGTGATGCCAAACCGTTTATCAGAAATGTATTTACCGTTAATACATGTGCTTCAATTGTTGGATCACACGTGTTGGAACATAAAACTGAACAGCAAATGTTACAAAAATGGAGGGAATTCGTGGTGAAATGTGATCCCGATGTGATCATTGGATACAACACCTGTAACTTTGATTTGCCATATTTGATTGATAGAGCAAAGGCTCTAAAATTAGACCACTTCCCATATTTTGGGAGATTGAAGCTCAGCAAGCAAAAAGTCAAAGATGCGATGTTCAATTCTAAAGCTTTTGGTAGTAGAGAATCTAAGGAAATTAATATCGAGGGGAGAATTCAAATTGATTTGTTTCAGTTTATTCAAAGAGAATTCAAGTTAAGATCTTACTCTCTTAATTCGGTGTCGGCCCATTTCTTGAACGAACAAAAAGAAGATGTGCACCACTCGATCATCACTGATTTGCAAAATGGTGATAGCGAAACCAGAAGAAGACTCGCAGTCTATTGTTTGAAAGATGCGTACTTGCCACTACGATTATTAGAAAAGTTAATGTGTTTAATTAACTATACCGAAATGGCGAGAGTCACTGGTGTTCCATTTGGTTATTTGTTGACCAGAGGTCAACAAATCAAGGTTATCTCTCAATTATTTAGAAAATGTCTTGAACATGATTTGGTGATTCCGAATCTTCCAAGACAAGGCGGAAGTGATGAGCAGTATGAAGGTGCCACCGTCATTGAGCCAATCAGAGGGTATTACAGTGTTCCTATCGCCACTTTAGATTTCGCTTCTTTGTATCCATCTATCATGATGGCTCATAATCTCTGCTACAGTACTTTGTTGACTAAAAAGGCGGTGGAAGACTTCAAGTTGGTAAAAGATGTCGATTATGAAGAGTCTCCTACTGGTGATTTATTTGTTAAGTCGAACAAGAGAAAGGGGATATTGCCAACTATTTTGCAGGAATTGTTAGGAGCAAGAAAACAAGCGAAAAAAGATATGAAGAATGAACCTGATCCATTTAAGAAAAGTGTTCTTAATGGTAGACAATTAGCATTAAAAATTTCCGCCAACTCGGTCTACGGTTTTACTGGGGCAACTATTGGTAAATTACCATGTTTACAAGTTTCATCGTCGGTCACTGCATACGGTAGAGAAATGATTCAGAAGACCAAAGAAAAGGTTATGGAAACATATAATATCAAGAATGGATTCAAGTATGACTCGGTGGTTGTGTATGGTGATACCGATTCTGTTATGGTCAAGTTTGGATATGAGGATTTGGAGACTTGTATGAAGATGGGAGAGGAGGCCGCGGATTTAGTTTCTGAGATTTTTCCTAACCCTGTGAAATTGGAATTCGAAAAAGTTTATTACCCATACTTATTGATTAACAAGAAGAGATACGCAGGTTTGTATTGGACTAATACCAAAAAGTTTGATAAGATGGATACTAAGGGTTTGGAGACGGTGAGAAGAGACAATTGTAAATTCGCATCGAATGTCATTGCCAAAGTGTTGGATTTGGCTTTGATTGATCGTGATGTTGAAGCTGCTGAAAATTTTGTTAAGAAGATGATTAGTGATTTATTAAATAATAAGGTCGACATTAGCGAGTTGATTATCACTAAACAATTAGCAGCAGAATACAGTGCAAAACAAGCCCATGCAGAATTGGCTAAGAGAATGTATGAAAGAGATGCTGGATCTGCTCCAAATATCGGGGATAGAGTCCCATTTGTTATTGTCAAGAAAGGTGATAAGGTTCCTGCTTATATGAAGGCTGAGGATCCATTGTACGTGGTCAGAAATGGTCTTTCAATCGATTCAAACTATTACTTGACCAATCAGCTTTCCAAGCCATTGATCAGAATCTTTGAACCGATGATTGGTGAAGCCAAGGCTAATAGTTTGCTTACTGGGGCCCATACCAGAAAAGTCACGGTTGCCAGGAGCACTGCCAACAAAGGTGGTTTAATGAGGTTTGCTAAAGCAGTGAACACTTGCAAAGTTTGCAAGTCTCCAATTAAGGGAGAAGGGGTGTTGTGTAACAATTGTATAGATAAGGCAGATGAAATATATGCCGAACAGTTGGCAGAACAAGATGCGCTACAACAGAAATTTGCTAGACTATGGACTCAATGTCAAAGATGTCAAGGTTCCTTGACCCAAGAAGTTATATGTTCCAATAAGGATTGTTCGATCTTTTATATGCGAGAAAAGTGTGCTATGGATGCTGAAAATCTTGCAAACGAATTGGCAAAATGGTGAAAAAAAGATGATGGCACTATGTTTTTCCATTGTGTAATTAATCCATTCATTCCTTTTCCCTTTTCCTTTTGTTTTTGTACTATATCAAAGAACTTTTTTTATTTTTCTTCTAGCTTTCTTTCATTTCTCATACTATGGTATATTGATTGGTTGTTTTTTCTTGTTTCTGTTTCTAATGAAATTTTTCAAATGATATGTTTTTTGAAGCCAAAAGCACTTAGCTCATGTAAAATGAAGTCAAAACTTAATTTATTTTCCTCATGGAAGTCTTGTAACTTCTCAAGTTTTTTCTCTTCCGATGAAAATTTATTCAATATCCTCTATTTGCTTGTCGATCTACACCCAATAGTAGATTGAATACATGCTATACAGTGTTACATTGTCATCAGTGCTACATTGTTAGCACTGTTATGTGCGAATCATGATTTGAATTTGCCGCTTCCTGTTTTCATATATTTTTGGCAGTCTTTATATTGCCGTTTATATTACCACAAATCGCAGTCCCATTATTATGGATAGATCCTTATCGTTCCATCCACATGTGGAAAGGGGTTTCTTTTTCAGGTCACTTGTTAACCCACGTGCCAATTTGAAGAGAATTCTTCAACTGGATGGTGATATATAATAGAAAGATAATAAACAATATGCATCTTTAGAGCTGTCTCCCTACAATAACTTATATTAGCAAGAAAATATAGCACCATGAAGTTTGGGAAATACTTCGAGAAAGAGTTGGCGTCGCTGGACGTCCCCAAAGAATGGGCCGAAAATGCTATTCAGTACAAGGCATTGAAAAAACGAATCAAGCGGTTTGCTGAAGAGCTAATGGTGCTTGGGCTTTCCAAGGAGACCATGGGGATATTACTCAGTGCCTCAGAGGTAACCAATGCGACTATAAATACCTCAGATACTAAAGTAATAGATATTTCCATGGAAAATGATAATAATAATGGGGATAAGGGTGATAATGAAAAAGAAGATGAGGAGGAGGAGGACGGACCAGTATCATTACAATCATTAGAGGAGAAAATACAAGATATAAGTCTCGAAGGGACTGACCTTGAGGATAAAGAGCCGATACTCTATAATCTTAAATTTCAAATCCAGGTATTAGAAGACGATGCGGTCCAAGAACAAGAAAACCATCCAATAGCGAATTATTTATTGGTAGAAGATCAACAGTATGTCAAGCCAAAATTGATTGTGGTCTTAAACAATGACAATGATGAATATTCTAAAGAAATTAGGCAAAAAATCATTAAATATATTGAGCATACCAGGAAGACTGACAAAATTGTGGAAGTTAAGGAGGATCAAATCAAGTTACAAAATATTGAGAAATTGAAAAATTTACAACGAGTAAGAATCACGATTGATCTACACGAAGATGACGAATTTTTTCAAACAATATTCACTGAATTAACAAATCTCCAACAATTGAAAATAGAACATGAACAAAAGATGACAAAAGAAATTGAAACCATAAGTGATACTATTGGGTCATTATCATCGCCCAGCAAGTGGAGGACCGACCTTGATAGCTGGAGAGAAATTTTCGAAATATACTTGGAAAATAGGATATTCTATGTGACTGATGACATTCACGGAGAAAGAAAGTTTGAAGATTCTAGCAAAAGATTGCAGCAATTTGAGAAAGAAATCAATTCCACAGATTTGGTCCAAGGTTTCAAACATAAAAAATCAAAGGTGGCGTACGAAGCATTCTACCAACTTAATGTTGATTTACTTCAAGCGATGAAATTCCATCATCTCAATAAGTTGGCGGTAACCAAGATCCTCAAGAAATTCGATAAACAAACGGCGTTGGCTGTCAGAACTCAAATTCCCGATATCATGTCGCAAAAGCCCTTCATTAACGAGTCATTCATCAACACTCTTTATGGGGCAATTTCTGAAAAACTTGTGTCGGTAATACCGCAAATTGAAGACTATGATTGTCCCATATGTTTCACTATTGCCTATAGACCTATCAGACTCAAATGTAGCCATGTGTTTTGTGTGCAATGTTTGGTTAATCTACAACGCCAAAAGAAAGATGAATGTCCAGTATGTCGTAGTCCGGCAGTCATGGAGGCAACATCAGATAATTTGGATATCGAATTGCAGGACTATATGAAGACTTATTTCCCAAAGCAGGTAAAGGAAAAACAGAAGGAAAGAATGAAAACCATTGAAGCTGAGACATATTATCTTGCGTATAGAAAAGCCAAGTATAGTGGCGAAGGATGTTGCATCCAGTGAGAATATGTTCATATATTTCCTTATTTTTGGTAGTTTACATTTTTTTTTTTTCAATAGAGTTAGTTCTCAAGAACGTTGAAACACAACAGGATTTCTGGAATATGAAATGTAAATATAATATATTAATAATAAAGGTCATTAGATAGAATTAGGGTTAATTTTCTATTGATGTAACAAATCACATTTAATTCATTTCTTTTTTGATTTTTTTATAAGCTTATTTTTGACACTTTTTTTCATTTTTGTCTTTCTCTTTTCTTGTTTTTGCTCCTTAACCAATTTCTTGCGCAACTTTTTCTCATCTTTATCTTCATGCTTCTTTCCTTTCAAGGTCTTCTCGGTTTCTTCGAATTCGTCTTCCTCGTCATCTTCTTCATCTTCATCATCTTCATCATTATCTTCTTCATCTTCTTCCTCCTCATCTTCAACTTCCTCCTCATCGGCCTCTTTAGATTCAGCAATTTTTTGTTTATTGGCGCGATGATCAACAACCATAGTTTTGAAAACATCAATTTTACCTTCTCTAAATCTTTTAAAATCTTGTTCTTCTAAAGAATTCAAGTCCCTCATTAAATGCAAATTTCTAAAAATCTCATCTTGCTTTTCATCCTCTTCATCAAGCTTCAACTTCAAGTTTCCCACGAGTTTCATTAAACCTTCTGCATTGTATTGATTCTCTTTTTTGTAATCGCTGGAATTGTCTTTTTCAACTTCTTTTGGTCCTTCTGAGTCCCCGAAATCTTTCACAAGAACATCGAAATCTTCAATGACAAACTTAAAGATTTCTTTCTCTAGAAACACATCAATTTTCTTCTTCTTTTGGAAATAATCATTAATATTTTTGATATCCATTCTTAAGAAATCTAACGCCATTGGATGGTTTGGCTCGACAGATTGCGAAACGTCAATGATATAAATCTCTCCATCTTTGTACATGATCAAATTATATTCTGATAAGTCCGCATGAACCAATCGGCACTTCTGATACATCAATCGCATATTAACCAATATCTGTTGATAAATATCAAAAATTTGTTGATCAGACTTGAACTCATAATCTTTTAATCTTGGAGCTGGCCAACCTCGTTCATTTTCCGATGATTTGATGGTCAATGGAGCAATTGCATCTTCGACGCTCTCCGCAGCGGCCGCCTCGTCATTAACAGCCAGACTAGCTTTTTCAGCATCAGCAGCAGCAGCCAGAGATTCTTCTTCATCAACTGGATTTCTTGACAAGAATTCCATCATTAAAATATTTGACTTTAATTCATATGGCTCGGGGACATTAAACCCGTTAAGTTTCAATCTTTTTAGATTTCTAAATTCTTTTTCAGACCATACCTTGATCAACTTCCGAGCATTAATTTTGTTGTTGTTTTTGAAACCTTTGAATCTGAACTCTCCGCTGATATATCTTTCTCTATCCTTGAAGACCAAAACCGAGGTTTTATAAACCTTGATAGCAAATTCTTTACCAGTGAGTTCATTGATCCCGTAATAAATGTTAGCTTCTTTCCCGGTACTCAAACACCCATCAATTTTGGTTAAGGTCCCATTCCTAATAAATTTTTGCAATTGGTTGAAAGTTTTTGGGTCAATGGCGTTTTCTACTGTGGCACGATCACTTTTATCTTTTTCAATTCTTGCTGATTTGACTTGTGAATCAATCTTGATTTTATCTTGATATTTCGCAAGAATTTGACCATTTTCAGACTCAGTTATATTTTTATGTTCATGATTTGATGATGGCACTTGCGGTTGATTTTTCTTGGAGAAATTGATCTTTTCTCGATATGTTTGTTTCACCTCTTCTTCTTCCTCTTCTTCTTCCTCCTCTTCAGACTCAGAGTCGGAGTCTTCGCTAAGGTGTTGAATATCAACGTCCAGTGCTTCCCAACCGATCTTTGAGCTCTCTTGTAAGGTCAAATCACCGAGCTTCTTCTCCATGATTAAATAGATCACTGCTTTCTATTGGTATCCAATACTTTTGAGATCCTAGTCACTTAGATGAGCCTTCTGAAATTTTTTTTTTTTTCTATTGATGGGCGCTTACCCTGCTGGTTGTCTTATTTTCTCTTTTTTCTTCTTCTTTTTTTCTTTTCTGGAAGGCCCCCGACCCATGGGGCTGGTTTGTTGTTGCACCACAGATCCCTGCTAATTTGAGGAAGATAACCAATTTGAAACAAGCAGCGCTCACCAGCAACCAATATATTGATAAGCGATAATGTACCATAATTGAACAGAATACTTCCAGCCGGAGGAGAAAAAAAAAACAAAAAAATACCGCTTTTGGGTGTTCCGCTGGCAGGAAACTGGGCGTTGTGAGGCAACGAACCCTTGTCACGTGTGCACAGATTTTTGTTGTTTTTTTTTTCTCTTTCGGCTGACACATTTTTTAGTCTCCTTATCAACCTTTTTCTCTTTAGTCTTTACATCGTTCTTCTGTATTTTGGCCCATTAATTGTGTTCAAAATTGTCTCATAATATCCTACGTATTATAGTCACTGGTAAGTACTATTGTCTTCCGGCCTTTAATTACCATTTTACTTCAAACTCTTTGAATCCCTGGGCAGTCACGTACCCCATCGACATTTTGTACAGTCAATCATCCCAATTAACCCAGAACTTGTCTAATTAAGGAATGGAAAAAAAAAAAAAAAAAAAAAAAAAAAGAAAAGAAAACAAACGGTTGGAAAAAACAAGAAGCTGAAAAATCTGTCAACGTGTATATATAAACATTTATTGTATTGCCCAAAAGTTCTTCGTCCACTAACAAACTCGTCAATAGTTGCAAACAGACATCCCTAAATCACCATGTCATATGGCACTACTTCAACCCAAAGCCCTCCCCTGGCAATTCCAATTGGTGCCCCTATTCGTTCTCGTCGGGCCTCAATATTCGATGCTGGTGGTCCAAACTCCATTAGTGAGTTTGTTGGTTCCTATTCCAGAATGCAAAGTCATATGCAAAACTTGATTGTTCCTCAAGATGAAGCAGCAAGTCATAGCCCAAGATTGAGCTTTGATGATAACGCGCCTAGTATCTTCCCTAGTTATGGTGCAATTCTGGATGAAAATAGTATTTTCAACGATGCCAATAGCGTGTTTAATGATGCCAGCATTATGTCTGGGTCTTTGGTTCCTGGCGACTTGGAAGACCAATTGTTATCACGCAATCGGTTATACTCTCTGAATTCTAGAATCACCGGTAAAGGGGATGACGGAACTTTGATCATTGGAAGAAGTACCGCTCCTCAAACAATTTTCAATTCGATCAATATCTTGATTGGTGTTGGTCTCTATTCCTTATCTTATGGGTTCAAATATTCAGGATTGGTTTATGGGGTATTGCTTTTAGCGCTCTGTGGGGTCGTTACCAATTATTCGGCTTTGTTGATTGGTAGATGCTTGAAAAGCAATTCCAATTTGTTTTCTTATGGGGATATTGCCAGACACTGTTATGGTGACCTTGCATTTATTGGTTGTGTCATTTCCTTCTCGTTGGATTTGATTGGAGCAGCAGTGGCACTTATCATTTTATTTTCGGACTCGTTCCATACATTCTATCCAAATATCTCCAGTTTCACCTTCAGCATCATTTATTGCTTCATTATTTTGGGTCTCTCATTGTTGCCGCTAAACATTTTGTCTAACTTGAGTTTTGTTGGAATTGTTTGCACTAGTGGTACTGTGCTTGTATGTATCATTGCTGGGTTTTCCAAACCTTCAGGTCAAGGTTCCTTATTGTCCCCATCAGAAATGTTTTTGTGGCCAGAAGAATATAAATACTTGTTGGTGTCATTGGGGATCTTTTTGGCGTTGTTTGGTGGCCATGCTGTTTTCCCTGAGTTGTATCGTGATATGAGACATCCCCAAAAATTTGGCAAGTCAATTACCATTGCCTTTAGTTTCACTATCACTCTTGACATGACCGCCGCTTTAATTGGTTACATCATGTTTGGTAACGATGTTGCTGAAATCTTGACAAATTCTATCATGAAAGCCGAAGGTTATGCCAGTTGGATTCCAACCACATTATGCTTATTCTTAGGGTTGGTGCCATTGACCAAAGGCCCTTTGGTTATTCGCCCAGTTTCCACAGTTCTTGACCAATATTTCAATGTTCACACAGACCCAAGACCCCATAATCCAATCAAAATCATGGACAAGGCGATTATTATTTTTATTGCCTTCCTTATTGCCAACTTGTGTACTAGTTTTGCTCAAGTTATGGCGGTTATGGGAAGTTTGATTTGCTTCACCATTTGCATCACATTGCCATTCTTGTTTTATTATAAGATGTTTTACGATGAATTGAGCCATTTCAAAAGACTCTTCTTTGAAATTAGTATTGGTATCAGCTTGGTCTTGACCGTTGCCGGTACTTATTGTGCTCTCGTATATTGATTTGCGGCTATTCGCCATGCAGCTTTTACCATACCTCTGTTTTTTTTTCTCTCTCTGTCCCTCTTCAGCTTAGATTTTACCTTCTTCTTCTTTGATAATTATTTAATTATTTTCATTTGTTAGAAATTCTTCATGTTATACGTTTGATTTTGGTTTTGTTCCCTTTTAGAATTCTTTATTATTCTTATACCACACAGCATAAAAAATCCTCAGCATCTTACACATAGACATATATATTCATACTCACCATCTCTGACGTCATTATTTCTTATGACATTGTATTCTTTTCTCTTTCTAGTGGCAATAGACGTGATACCATGTTTGGATTTGTTGGATCGTATATATATGTATACACTTTAACAGCGATCCGCATCCAGAGTCGTTTGCGAGAAAAATAACACCCGGGCTTGAAATTTGAACCTTTGAATTTTCTCTCTCACTCTACAGGGAGAAACGAGCGGATTGTGCGTATTTCCTTTAAAAATATGTAGGTTATACATTTGTTTTTTTCGGTTTGGTTCCTTACTTTAGACTGCAGGAACTGCAAAATACTCGAACACATGTAAGAGAAACAACAGGAAATGGAGACCCTTAATGAGACATAATATAGAGATTAATCGAGAATAGTTACCTGTTTGAACACTTTTGTTTTGAGGGTGAAATAGGGCCGAAAGAAAATTGTAAAACCATGCACATGGAACCATGCCCGTGGGTCCATGTGGATTTTCTGGTTACGAGGCGCGCGCACAGATCGGCAGTAATTTTTTTTTTTTTTTCTCCTCCCCCTTCTCTCCCCCATCTCGACGACGACTACTCACTAAGTGGCTAGTAACAGCATTCATTTAAAGGAAAGCAAGACGCTGAGATCTAGAATTCCAGGGGAGTCTGTTCAACTGGCTTGTGATATTATCGCTATTTTTTCTTATTGTTGTTGTTGTTTTTTTTGCACAGCTTATTGAAGTGGTTTGGGGTGTGTATATACATCATTGACTCGTACAACATTTTTTTAAAGAAAAAACGTTGCTGTTATAAAGAAAAATCATTGGTACCCTAGGATAATTGAATATATCGACAAATAATTGCCGCGTGTTGATTTTTATTTGAATTTTTTATTTATTATTGATTATCTTTATTCATAAACCCTAATGAATTTCTTACCAATCTTACAAGATCCTCAGAAGTTCACGCTGTTCAAAGACAGTGGCAGTAGCGACTTCTTCAGAATAGATCTCTTGAACTATGTGAACGATCTAACTAGAGATATCGAACAGTTGCGATCTGATAACCGAACTTTAAAGAGAGATATCTCCGAATTAAAAGAAGAATTGGTTATTGTCAATAATGATTCGGTTATCAAGCAAAAGGAAATCTCTCGTTTGGAAAAGAAAAACATATCGATGAAAAAACAGATTGATTTGAATACTTATAAAGGATATCATTATCGATATAATTCAAGAAGCCAGAGTGAAACACCTTTCTCTCCTTCTTCGACCTCTTCCTCATCGTCTCCGCCTCCTCTTATTAAACATGATGTCTCGCTCGATCAAAATGAAGCATCATTACCACAGCATATTCTCGATAATATCACTGATGAAATAGTCAGTAAAAGCGTCGATTCAATTATTGAAAAGGACCCAGTCGAAGACTTAGATTCCGTGAACGATACAAACTTGTTGAAAATCAAGGTGATCCAACTCAATGATGAGTTGAATCGTTCTAGAGATGCCAACAAGGCATTTAGGAAAGCATTATCGGAAATTGGTTCTGTGGTGATTTCTGTCGCCAAGGGTGACTTATCCAAAAAAGTTCAAATCCATGATGTTGAATCAGATCTCGAGATTTTGAATGTGAAAACCACAATCAATACAATGATGAAGCAATTGAATACGTTTGCTGTGGAAGTTACTAAAGTCGCTAATGAAGTCGCCAGCGGGGTTTTGGGTGGGCAAGCAAAGAACGACGGGACAGTGGGTATTTGGAGATCGCTTACCGACAATGTGAACATCATGGCCTTGAATTTGACAAACCAAGTTAGAGAAATTGCCGACGTTACCAGTGCAGTTGCAAAAGGTGATTTATCAAGAAAGATTAATGTACATGCTCAAGGAGAAATCTTGCAGTTCCAGAATACCATTAATACCATGGTGGATCAGTTGAGAACGTTTGCTATTGAAGTCACCAAAGTTGCTAGAGATACCGGGGTTGAAGGTAAGTTGGGAGGTCAAGCGCGAATCAAAGGAGTTGAAGGGATTTGGAAAGAGTTAACTGATAATGTGAATGCTATGGCTACCAATTTGACCGATCAAGTCCGAAATATTGCCAATGTTACTACCGCGGTCGCTAATGGGGATTTGTCAAAAAAAGTCACTGCCAGTTGTAAAGGGGAAATTTTAGAATTGAAGATCACCATCAATCAAATGGTGGACAGATTGCAGAACTTTGCTCTTGAAGTCACGACTTTAGCAACAGAGGTAGGCACAAAAGGTATTCTTGGAGGTCAGGCCAATGTTAAAGATGTCGAAGGTGCTTGGAAAGCAGTTACTACTAATGTGAATATTATGGCGGCTAATTTAACTAACCAGGTGAGATCTATTGCTGCAGTGACCACTGCTGTCGCTCATGGTGATTTGTCTCAAAAGATTGCTGTTCAGGCTGAAGGGGAAATTTTGGAATTGAAGAATACTATCAATAAGATGGTGGACTCTTTGCAAGTCTTTGCCCTGGAAGTCACCAGAGTGGCAAAGGATGTGGGTATTGATGGTAAATTGGGGGTTCAGGCTCAGGTTAGTGACGTTGATGGATTATGGAAAGAAATCACCACAAATGTCAATACAATGGCTGCAAACTTGACCACTCAGGTGAGAGCGTTTGCCCAAATTACCGCTGCGGCAACTGATGGAGACTTCACAAGATTCATTACTGTTGAGGCCTCTGGGGAAATGGATGCTTTGAAAACCAAAATCAATCAGATGGTTTTGAATTTAAGAGAATCGATTCAAAGAAATACCGCTGCCAGAGAAGCTGCTGAGTTGGCCAACAGATCGAAATCCGAATTTTTGGCCAATATGTCCCACGAAATTAGAACTCCAATGAATGGTATTATTGGGATGACTCAATTGACTTTGGACACCCAATTGACTCAATATCAACGAGAAATGTTATCCATTGTCCACAACTTGGCAAATTCTCTATTGACTATCATTGATGATATTCTTGATATTTCCAAAATTGAAGCCAATAGAATGACGGTTGAACAAATTGATTTCAGTTTACGAGGCACGGTATTTGGGGCATTGAAAACCATGGCGGTTAAGGCCATCGAGCGTCAATTAGATTTAGTGTATCATTGCGATAACACCTTTGCCGATAATTTGATTGGTGATTCCTTTAGATTGAGACAAGTCATTTTGAATTTGGTCGGGAATGCTATTAAATTCACAACTGCTGGTAGAGTTTCGTTATCAGTTCGTAAGCAAGACTGGGTCAGCGACGATGGAAGATTTTTCCTCGAATTCTGTGTGGCCGATACTGGTATTGGTATTGAAGAAGACAAATTAGGAGTGATTTTTGATACCTTCTGTCAAGCTGATGGGTCCACCACCAGAAAGTTTGGTGGTACAGGTTTAGGTTTATCGATCTCCAAGCAGTTGATTGATTTGATGGGAGGAAGTATTTGGGTCACTTCAACATATAGTCACGGTTCACAATTTTATTTCACAATTGCCGTTAAGCCTGCCACGGTGAAACTTGAACGCCAAATAGAAAGTTTGCTCCCATTCAATGCTCCAAACGTTTTATTGATTTGTTTTGATCATGATGAAGATGGAATTGGTAATATCAAGGAAGCAGTGGAGAAATTGACTTTTAAGACCACTTTAACTAAAAGTATCGAAGAAGTAAAGAAATCCAATCCATTTAGACATGATATTATTTTAATTGATTCGATCGAGGCTGCGGAGCAATTGAGACTATTGTCCGATGTCAAGTACATTCCAATTGTATTGTTACATCCTTCCCTTTCTGTTAATATGAGGGTTTGTTTGGATTTGGGTATTAGTGCTTATGGTAGCACTCCATGCTCTCCTAGTGATTTGGCAAGTATTTTGAAACCTGCCTTGGAATCACGTAGTAACCCACCAAATTCTGACGGCACTTTATCTTACAATGTCTTGCTTGCCGAAGATAATATTGTCAACCAAAAGCTTGCAGTCAGAATTTTGAAGAAAAACGGACATAATGTTACGGTGGTCGAGAATGGGTTGGAAGCTTATGAGGCAGTTACCACCAATGATTATGATGTTATTTTGATGGATGTTCAAATGCCGGTAGCTTCAGGGTTTGAGGCCACAGCCAAGATTAGAGAATGGGAAAAGAAAACGTTCAGACAAAGATTGCCAATCATTGCCTTGACGGCCCACGCAATGTTGGGAGATAGAGAAAAATGTCTTCAAGCTCAGATGGATGAATATTTGTCCAAGCCATTGAATGCCAACTTATTGATCCAAACTATCAATAGATGTGTTCATAATATGCAACAGTTGAGAAAACTCGCAAAAACAGGCGGCAATTCCAAATTCGCTAGGAATCTCAGAAATCATATCTTGAATCAAAGAATGGATGCTTCCAACCCTGAGTTGAAAAAATCTGTGATGTCAGAAGCTGATGATGATCGTGGCGAAATCCCAAAAGTCTCTGAATTAGTGACTGCCAGGAAGTTGGGGAAAACGGTATTTGAACAGAGTTTGGCCCAAAGGCCTTCGGCTTTGCCATTACCTGATAACACCACTTCTTTAAATGAAAGTTATATCGAATCATTTAATCGTGCCAAGGAAAAATTGGATAAAGAAAAGCAAAGGAGATTGGAGTTGAAGAAAAGTAACGAGCAAGCACGGATAATGGAGCTTAAAAAATGATCGTTGAAACAAAAAAAGAAATTGTCACTATTACTATTCCTTGTTGGTTTTTTGTAAAACTTCTATTCTTTTAAAAAGAAAAAATTATTTTGAAATCTGCTCTTCTTTTTCTCAGTTTACTTATTTTTTCTTTTTTTATATTGTTGTTTGTTTATACGGTTTCTACTTTGTAATTGTTATTTTCTCTTATTTTTGTTGTTTAAGTGTATATTTTTTATGACTTCTTCTTTTCACTTTACCTTTGGTGTTAGTTTATTGTTCTTATTACTATGCTACTTTGTTGTATTAACTCGAATAGAGAGGCTGTCGATTGAAGATGTAAAGAACGATCATTAACATTGATTTTATTAACTGGCTCAAAAAAAGTGAACCAAATAATAAAAACATAATGATACAAACATCATGATGGGAGTCGCTAGCTGAGCTAGGGTCACCCGCTTGTTGAATAGCAGTAGAAGCCATATCAGACTAAGTAGTTGAAGTGTTCAGTGCATTAGCAATGACAGGATCATTGGAATCATTAGCTGAGCTCATTACAATAATAATATTCTTTCGGGACTTTCAAGTCAATGTTAATTATGTATAAATAATATTTGGTGGTATGGATGCACAGTTTAACCATCATTTTGTAATAAAGTCTACTATCGCTCAACATCCTACTCCGGTTCCAGCAAGTCCCAATGAATAAAAATTAGAAATAGAAAGCGCTATGCAATTATTTAATTAGATAGTATTAATTCAAAAAATAAAAATAAAAAAAAAGCATTTCATCATCACTTCACCTTGTTAGCTGCTGCTGGCTCTTCTTCTTCGACAGTTCCAAGCAGCTCTGCCTCTTCGTAGACATCGGCGGCATTTTTGTGCTGCAGTAATGAAGGTTTAACGACACCAGTGTCAAGGGTCCAGTTACGCAAAGCACTCTCAGCATCAATAAGGATTTGTTTGGAAGTCCCGTACCCATCATATGATGGTCTCACTTCACCTGGAGTGACTGCACTGTCATCCAACAATTCCAATAAGGCTTTGCCATAAGTTGCAATCAACGCCAACTTTTCGGAAAATTCAATCATGGCATCAAATTGGTAGTGAAAGGCAACCTTCAATTTCTCCCTGGTGATATTGGACAACTGAGCCTCAGCAACCAAGGACTCTGCTTCCGCACGAACCAACTCTTGCTCCAATACTTCTAGTTTTGGAGATGCTGGATCTTTGTACTTCAAATGGGCAATCTCATCGGTGATCTTCTGCTTACGGTCTCTTGTCGGTTGGGCTGAGGCTTCAATATTTCTGATTTGCTTCAAGGTAAGTCTGTACTGGTCATACTTGTCAATAAATTGGTCTTCCAATTCTGCAATCTCATAAGTCAAAACCCCCAACTTGTCAGTAATATCAGAGATGTCATCATCATTGTCGGCACCCCACACTGACAATTGCTTTGCAACTTCCCTCCGCTCTCTAGCAGCCATCTCTAAAGCTCTCATAACATTCTTTTCAATTTTGATAAACTGACCCAACTTCCTAGCCAATTGCGGACCAAAATTACCAGCAGCGGTTTTTCTGATGGAACCAGAAAGGGAGCCTTTACCAAAAAACTTGTTCCCAGTTTTTGTGGAAGACGGTCCTGGGGCTGGGGTTTGAAGCTGCGATTGAGTTGGAGCTCTTGTTTCTCTCAAAGAATAAGTCTGGTTCATGGCTGTACTATTTTAAATACATGTACTATTTTTCATAAAAATAATTGGATGTAAAAAGAGTAAAAACTATTAAACACCCGTTGTGGCGGGAGTTGCGGTTTTGTTGATATTTATATCTTTATGATTTGCTCTCCTAAAAACAGCAACCATAGCAAGCTTTTTTGACAGGAGCCCAAGACGCACGCACAATAAAAAGTACACACAAAACCGTACAATGCCCACATTATATCCATCAGTCAACTCTCAACTTGTATAGAGTTACATTCTTATCACATTTATTGTACAATAAATGATATTCAAGCACAATAAAACTGTTTTTTGAATACATGGATTAATAACAAATCTTACAGATTTAAACGTAATATAGAACATCAATAGACCTTTCTTCTTATATATTTAAATTAATAAACAATATGAAATTAAATCTAAAAGCCATTAAGAGTCCATCAGATTTAGCTAATTTATTTCTTAGCAACAACCTTGGCGTATGGGTTCAATCTTAACATAACTTGCTTGTTCTTCAATGGGTTCTTCTTTTGAACGTGAGTTCTCTTTTGGGTTGGTTGACCAGCAGCTCTGACAACGGATTGGATTTCAGTAGAGTTGATCAATCTGGTGACATCAGAGTTAGAGATGATGTTAGCTGGCAATTCGAAACCGGACTTGGATTCGTAAACCTTGTCCAATTGAGCAAAAGCAGATTCAGTCCAGATGACGAATCTACCCAAGTGAGCACCTGGAGCCAATTGCAACAAACCCAAAGAGGAAACGGAAGCGGTTTCAACACCTGGAATGTTTCTGAAGGCCTTGACCAAACCGTTGTCTTGACCGTAGACAACCAATGGACCTCTTCTTTGGGTGAATCTTCTACCTCTCAATTTACCCTTACCGGCTCTCAACTTCTTGGACTTGATGACCTTGACAACATCTCTGTGGGCACCAATAGCCTTCAAGACAGCGACAGCTTCCTTGGTCTTGGTGATAGATTCAACTTCGTTAGAAACAACCAATGGGACTTCTGGAACAGTTTCGATCTTGTGACCTCTGGCCAAAACCAAAGATGGGACAGCAGAAGCGGCAATAGCAGAAGCAGTAGCGTATCTCTTTTCACCATGGTTAACCTTGACGTTCCATCTTCTCCAGGTCTTGGTTGGGGCGAACATTCTACCACCTCTACACATGTTACCGAAGGCACCCTGACCGGCTCTATGGGTACCAGAACCACCAACTCTTGGAATTCTGGCAACAGCTCTACCGGTACCCCAGGATTCAGCGGAGGTTTGGTGACCAGCGTTTTCAGCGACGGCGTAAGCTTGTCTCTTGTTCTTGTTGATTCTGGTAAAAACAGAGTGAACAATATCTGGTCTGATTGGAGCCTTGAAGACGGCTGGCAATGGGACAGAAGCAGAGGTAGCTTTACCTTCAGTGGAGAGAACAGTAACTTGTGGTCTGGCAGACATTTTTAATATATTTCTTAGTTGAATACTATAATGATTTCAGTAACAAGGAGAAATAAAGAAAAAAAAAAATTTTCAACTAAATCTTCCACGGATGAGAAAAAAATTTTGAAGAGCTCATTACCCGGCTCTTTCAAAAAGTGAAATTGGTTGCAAGAAAAAAAAATCATGTGCACATGATGGTCAGATATTGGCGGGTAATGTATCACTGGGAAAGTGCATAAACTCATCTCAACATGACATCAACTTCCAAATATCCTAATGTATTGGAAGATCCAATGAGGCGCTTGTGTCAAAAACGTCACTAATGATAACTTTTCATGCATGGTTCATGGAATTTGGTATTTTTTTTGTTTTACTTTAGTAACTTTAAATTTCTCTTTCTGTATCAAGCATATAGGGAAGGGGATGACGGTTGCCATGAGGGACTATAAAAGGTGCGCCACTTTTAATTTTTCATTTACATTATATATTAGAAAACAGCCATTAGGAAAAAAAAAATTCATTAAAAGACATTATGCCTCCAAAAAAGAAAGTCAAAAAAGACGATCAGATAAAAGATCTTGAGACCGCCAGCGGCATTCTCCTTGGATACCTTAAAGAGCAGTTCCGGCCATACTCTATCAATGATATCATTTTGAATTTACACAACAAAATTTCCAAATCGGTGGCACTTAAAGCCCTAGCATTATTAGCTACAAATAACAAGTTATTGATGAAGACATACGGGAAAATGAATTTCTACGTTTATCGATATGGGAAGGATGATCAACAACAGGCAATAGATGAGTCTGGGAAAGAGATCACCATTCAGGTAGTAACTGATCTTGAAAACAGTTTTGAAGAGGTAAAAAATAGATTGAAGGAGTTAAATAGTGGTATGTTAATTACCCTTTATTTCTAAATACTGTACTATCCTAACATTGACAGCTCTTAAACAAGCCACCATTGAGCCGAATAACGAAAACTTACTTGTCGAAAGGCGAAGCCTAGTAAAAGATATCACAACAGATAGAGAGTTATGTAAATCATTAGAGGAATCGATCAAAGGGAAAATCATTAATAATGAAGAAATCATTAAGCTCACTGATGATATAAACAACCTTGAGAGAATATGCAAGTCCAGAAAGAAAGATTATCTGAATATTTTGGGATTACTCAAAGAGAATTTTCCAGAGTACAAATCCATCTTGGAAAAAGCTGGGGTTGAAGAGTAGACCTCCTCTCATATATACATAGTTATATGAATAATGAGATATTATTTCCATTAATTTCATATTATGACGAAGGAGCGTGTGTTTGTAGCCCTAATAATTATAGTAACTAGCCCTGTATATATACACGTGTTTAAAACTGTCACGCTTACTCAGCGCTTATCCTGTCCCGCTCACTGAAAAATTTCTTCGACATCTGTGAGATACCTTGCAGAGCACGTAACCATCGCTAAAATTATGATGTGTGAAAATTATCAAAAATTTTTTACCTTATTGCTCTGAAGACTTAATAATAATAACCATCAATAGTAATCATCAAAAATGGTATGTCTAGAGAGGAATAGTTAATGAATGAGAGAGAAGAATCCAAGGGGAATCATCTGAAGTTATTATATTGGAAATAGTTGTGGCACTTTATTGAAAAAAATTGTTTTGATTGTGTGATAAATACTTTATGATCTGTGAAATGTAATAGTTAAGTATTAAATGCGTCTTAGATTCTGTGTCTATTTAAAAAGATCATCATCATAATATTTTGACAATGGATAATGTCTCCATAATTGGTATTCATTAATCTTGAAGATATGATTTTGATAGTTAAGAAATGGAATGGAAGAAATTTTTTCTTGATAGGACACATTCATAAATTACTTTCATCCTGCAACACATTCATCAGAGAATCCAAATGAGAGCAAACAAAAACATTTGGCCATAAAATATTGAATCCACTGCAAAATACCACTGTGACCAACGAGACTTTATGATGACATTAATTATGAAAATTATTATTAAATAAGAACAGTTAGATCCTAGATTCATATGAGAGACCTAAGAACCCTCTGGAACTCCTCTTTTCGTGCATATATGACTACGTGAGAAAATGTTAAATTATTATACTAACCAAACATCAGGCTCCAAAAGGTAAGAAGGTTGCTCCAGCTCCATTTGCTTCCAAGGCTGCTAAAGGTAAAGCTGCCAAGAACCCATTGACTGCTTCTACCCCAAGAAACTTTGGTATTGGTCAAGATGTCCAACCAAAGCGTAACTTGTCTCGTTTTGTCAAGTGGCCTGAATACATCAGATTGCAAAGACAAAAGAAGATCTTGTCCATCAGATTGAAGGTTCCACCAGCTATTGCTCAATTTCAACAAACTTTGGACAGAAACACTGCTGCTCAATCTTTCAAATTGTTGAACAAATACAGACCAGAAACTAAGGCCGAAAAGAAGGAAAGATTGACTAAGGAAGCCGCTGCCATCGCTGAAGGTAAGACCAAGCAAGAAGCTTCTCCAAAGCCATACACTGTCAAATACGGTTTGAACCATGTTGTCGGTTTGATTGAAAACAAGAAAGCCTCTTTGGTTTTGATTGCCAACGATGTTGACCCAATTGAATTGGTTGTTTTCTTGCCAGCTTTGTGTAGAAAGATGGGTGTTCCATACGCCATTGTGAAGGGTAAGGCTAGATTGGGTGCTTTGGTTCACCAAAAGACCGCTGCTGTCGCTGCCTTGACCGAAGTCAGAGATGAAGACAAGGCTACTTTGGCTACTTTGATTGACTCTGTCAACGCTAACTACATTGACAAATACGAAGACCACAGAAGACACTGGGGTGGTGGTGTCATGGGTGCTAAGACCGTCGCTAAATTGGCCAAGAGAGCTGCTAGAGCTGCTGCTGAAATCAAGGTCTAAATTTGATTTGTACTCTTTTTCTTTAGTTAATGCCTCTTCTCAACCAAACCAATATAAAAATTTTTTATATAAATTAAAATAATTGCGTTGTTGTATCGCAACTTTTGTATTTTCAATGTTTCCATAGTCTCATCTTTTTTAATTAACAAGTGTATTTCTTATTAGTTATAAAATTTTGATTAATGTAGGAGAAGCAAGCGGCGGAAAAAATTTAGAGGAAAAAAAAAGCCGTGATGTTGCATTTATGCCCTACCTTCCATCACAGTTTGAATATTTTAGTTCCACCCACTTTTGACAATTTAATAACCACTAAATGACTGGTTTATCTTCTGTTATGCTTATTTCAGGCTTGAAGAGATATTCCCTTGAAAAATCCGATGGCTCTTGGACTCATATTGATAACAAGGATGGCCTCAATATAACCGCTGACACATTGGACTTGATAATCCAGATCAACGTGAAGTCTACCCTGTTGGTTTGTTAAAGCGACTTTCTTATTACTTTTTGTTAATTATCTTGCTAAATGATCAATGTCTTGAAACTAGTTATATGACATCCACTAACCCTCAAGATAGAGAAAAATTGATGTCAAGCGTTCCATTATTGAGGCGCTTTGTCATAAAGTATCAAAGCAAGTGAAAATCTATACAAAAGGATCCATTATCGGATTTCAATTTTATGATTTTGGATTTAAAGTGAGTTTCCTTATAGCTTTTTGTTATTCATTTTATTGCCCCTTATTTGCTTTTGGTTTCTGGTGCTTTTGGAATTGCTGACTAACCATTATCTTCATCTAAGGAGTCAAAATTGCAAGTTAATTTTTCCATTCATGAAGATGCTGTGAGATTTAAAAATTTTTTTGAACTTTATCCACAACAATTTGATATTATTGATTACAATGATAACACCAGAATTTCTGCTTCTGTTCCCCATTTTGCGCCCAAAATGGGAAGCCAGGCTATAGTGAAAGATGTGAGAGACGTAGAGCGGCAAATCAATTTGACTGATCATTTTTCTCGGGTAGATAGTTCAACTAAGAATCTTTCAAATAACATGGTAATTACTGATGATGGTTGGAAAGGCTCTGCTACCAGTAATAGATTATCTGGCAAAACTTTCCATGGTGGTGACATTTCTGGTAGAATTAAAAACTATTCAAAAATCAAAACCGGCACCATCCAGAATTTTGCTGTATGTGCAGTTGCTCAATATCCTACAGTTACAGTAGACAATGACAATCTTTCTGGAAAATCTTCTATGGAAAATGCACCGTCGTCTTGGGACAATATATCGTATGGCTCAATTAATACAAGTCAATCAACCATCATGAAAAATTTTTCTCTGGATAGATCAGGAGAAATTGCTCACGACAACAGTTTCCCATCACAGAATCTTCTTCAAGAACTTGCTGAACAAAAAGCAGAGATTGAAAAATTGAAAATCGGTTTACAGAGTCAAGCTTCACAAATTCAAAGTCAACCATCCATTGCAAACGAAGAGTCATCAGTAAATTATGTACAGCATCAAGTTTCTCAGTCTTCAAATTTTCTAAATGATATAACCAATTTCCTTAATCCCAATGACTCAAGCACCAAGAAAAGTAATGATCCGAAGAAACTTGACTGTACACAGTTTTTATCGCTTGATGATGAAACAATCAAAAAAATTGTACTAGAATGCATTAGCAATCCAGCATTCAAAATTTTTGTGAGTATTATTTAAATTTTGAATCAAATAGGCTTACGTGTATTTGATTATTAACATCACAGTATGAGAAAATGAGAAATCTAATATCAGAAGAAGCAAACTGAAGAGCACAAGATCTTACATATGCTAGACAAATTCATAAACCCCACTAACAAAGATAATTTTCCGCACTCTGGTATTTACAGTGCTTCTTTTTTCTTGTTCTTTATTGTGCTCATTCTACTTTCATGCATGCTGGGGGATTTCATAGGGTTGTGGAAAGAGCACCTAGTATATTTGAGGTTTTCTTACTCTTTATGGGTGAGGCGAATATATGATAATTATCATGCTACTTGATATTAGTAGTAGTGTTTAGGTTAAGATTAAACTTTAAACACAAAAAAGGGAGAGGTCTGCAATACTTTCTGGGGCTCGCACATGTAATAAAATATTACAGCCCAGAAAACCTGGATTTGCAACTCAAGTTTTAGCTTTCGCTTTTCTTAAAAACACATGTTATTGTTGTTCATGATTTTATTTTCACTAGATATACATATATTCTTATTTCACATTTTAATAAGTGATCAATTCAGCACTATCATTTTTTATCTTTATCTATTTCACACAGGAATTTGTAACAGTATGACATAGAAAACTTCAAGCACCTGGTGAAGTTGCCCAGCACGAGTTACTATGCAATTACTGTTGATGACTTACTCTCATCCGAAACATATTAGGGGATTTATTCCTACGCCGGCTAATGCAGTATATGAGGAGAGTTACCCAGCTTGAGCTTGGCTATTGTATTTGGATCAGATAATCATGTTGTTTTTGTTCATATGTGAGATTTTTATTAAATCACTTGAGTTAATGCTTGGCGTATGATTAAAAAATCTTCGGCCCGGCTAATATGGGCTCTCACCTATATGGCCGCATTTATTATCACTACATTATTACCAAGTTATCGTTGACATTAAGACGGGATTTTGTCAAAGAAGCCAGTAAATTATCTTTCTCTTGAATATTTTTGCCGAAAATATGAACAAAAACAAGAACTTTTTGGTTACAGTACAGTACGGCATCTACTTTAACGCATTACTTAAAAAAAAACTGGGAGCCTAAAAGCGACAAAACAATAGGAAAAAAAAATTTGATACACTATTGAAATCCCTTTTTCATCAACTGGTAGCTTATTGTCATGAACCTCCATAGGCGAAGCATGTGTCCGTGACCCAACACGGAGGGAATATCACAATATGACATGATAATCAGATATCAAAATAGATGCTGGTCTTAAGATTTATCTTATAGCCCCGTTGTGAAAGAGTGCATTGTGAATCACAGCAATTTTTTTTTGTTCCTGCAGATTATGAGATCACAGCTGCATGAACAATTTCAGACTAAAAACAAACTCGGTACCTGCTTCTTCACGTATACTAATCCTTGCCAACCCTGAAATAGAGGTGGGAAAAAAAAGGGTCAAGAGCTTTCTTTTTTTCTCCCCTTACTTCTTCTTTTCCTCATTTAAATTTTAAAGTGTCAAATAACTTGAAGTTTCAAGCATTCTCTTCTGTGGATTAGAAACCTTAAGTTATAAGATGATCACGTTCTCCAAAGATTTCAGAAGACTATTCTATGTGTCCTCTTGTATTCTTCTTCTTGTTCAATTTACTCTTTATTGTGTTTCTATAAACTTATCTGTTGATTCAGAAGCATTTAAGGATGATAATATTAAGTCATCACTGAAACTATCATTCTCAGAGGATATTATAGAGCTTCTTATAGATAAGCAAAGCCACAAAAATGAAATATCAACTACATATAGAAATCTACTACAGAAATATTCTCTACACTTAAATGAACTTGGTATTAAAGAAAAGTGTCAGCTCTATTTCAGTGAGCTCTATCAAAACGATCCAAATTGGAGTAATGGTGCTTACAAAGACTCTTTTTACGACTCTGATGTATTTAACAAAAATTATTACTTCCTTAAACATAAAGAAGAGCTTATCCAGGGAAAGATATCACAAAATCCGTCAGACGTCAGAGAAAGTTATGACGGTTATCTTGTTGAGGATGACTACCTTATGTTGGAGAATAATTATAGAGAAGATCTTAGAAAGACATTAGAAACAGAGCAAAAGTATGTTGATGCAATAACTAATAGCAGAGTCTTTAGTAGATGTTACTTACTGGAAAGGGATTCTAACGACGGGCCGGTCAATTTCAATGACTTGAGGGTTATTGAATCCCTTAACGGAAAACTTGCAAGGAAAAATCTCCCTCTCATTGAGGTAGACAAAGATATTCTTGAACATAGTGTTATTGGTGAAAGTAAATTCCAAGATATTGAATCAAGGGTTTTTCCTTTCATCAGCGGTCATTTGCCCATTTATCTTAGATGGAATGGTGATACTCATTGGGGAATCCCGAATATTAATTCTCGCCAATCAAAATCTTCTCACAATAATAACAAGGCTTTTCTGAAATCTAAATGCTTCCTACAGAATTTCAAAGATTCGATATCAGATAAAGGTATTGTCATTACTGGGTCTGATAGAGAAGTTGAAGACATTATTAATCTCATTAGACTTCTTAGAGGACTTGATAATGAACTACCAATACAAATTATTCATAGAGGTGATATATCAAGGGAAAATCAGCACAGAATCATTAGAGTCTCCCGGAAAAAACTCAAACTTGATAAATCCATATTTGCTAAAATTCCACTAGCGAGTTTACGAACAAGCTTTAGAAAACAAGAAATTTGGTTTGTCAACGTTTCTGCATCAATAAAACCTGAATATCTAGAATTCTTTGGTGGGTTTTATATGAAATTTCTTGCATATTTTTTTAGCTCTTTTGAAGAAATCATTCTTTTAGATTCTGATGCTGTTCCACTAATCAAACCTTCCGACTTTTTCAATTCGTCGCCCTACAAAAAATCAAATACGATTTTCTTCAAAGACAGGAGCTCGGTGGAGCTTTTGATGGAACATGATGTGGTTTTCTTTAAAAAATTGTTGCCAACTATCGTGGATGAAACCATATTTGGTATTCCAAAATCAACTTCCAAGACTCTTCTGAATAATTTTTTCGCTAAAAAATATAAACATTCAATGGAAGCTGGACTCATTGGAATTAATAAAAAGAAGAAATTTAATAGCATTTTGTCATTATTACAATTACAAGTTTGGACTCCTGCTAACAGGAGAGTTTGGGGTGATAAGGAATTATTTTGGCTAAGTTTGTCGATTGTTGGTGATGAAAATTACGAATTCAACAAGCATGATGCGGTTAGTGTTGGCAGTGCTACAATAGAGGATTTGGCTGAGGAGCATTCTGAAACTGATCACAGTAACCAGTCTGAATACACAAAAAAAGTGAAGGTTTGCTCAAGTCACCCTGGGCACATTTCTGGTGATGATGATTTTACTCTTTTGTGGTTCAACTCTGGATTCAAAGTTTGTAAGAAACAAACCTGGCAAAATGATATTGAGAATGTTCCAAGACTCAAAGAGGAATTTTCTGGTAATGTCACTCTTTTGAAAGAGTACTATAAATCAAATATGAAAATTAATAATGTGTTACTACCAAGTGATAATATGTATAAGAAACTAGAGAAACACTCTTCTGAGCCATCCCAAGAAAAGTACAAAGAAGAATCTGGTTGGAAGTTATCCTATGAATGTGGTGCTTATAATTGGTGTGCAAGTGAGTTTATTAATGAAAAAGGAGAATTGAAGAACTCTGAAGCATTACTTATTGAATATGATAGCAGTTTGACCGACCTATATGACTATTATGGAAAATTGTGGGTTTCGAATAATGATCTTGATGGAAACTCAGATAGACTTATTGAAGTTGGTTGAATATCAAGATCATTTTTCAAATCTTTGTAATAGGGATTTGGAGTTTGTTTTTTCTAATAAATGAATATTAGTTAATATTGTTAAGGCTTTTCACGAAATAAATCAATATTATTAGTATTTCATTCTCGACTTAGATATTTTCTTGTTTTTTTTGTTTTTTTTGTTTCTTTTTTTTTTTCTTTTTTGTTCTTGTTTTTATGTATTTTAATGGATTTAAGTTGTTGTTTTTTTGAAATATCATCTGTAATGAGCTTCTCAAATTATTTATGAAATATAGTAAGTTACGAGCTAGGAATTATATAGTAATATAATTTTCCAATGGCTTGACTTGCTAGAATAATTTTCAAGTTTTAGATAAGATTGGAATTAGAAGATTACAAGCAATATATGTTACAGTTGAACACTTTATATCGCAAAAATAGCAGCATACTGTGTAAGATATTACATAATCTCTAGTTCATATTCAGTACACATATATATAAATAAGTTAATAGGAACGTTGTGATATATGTCATGCTCAAGGTATCATTATACTATTGTTAATACACTTCTAGGATGCATTAGTTCACTAATAATCCTTCGTAGAATATCCTAGTATTTTGAAGAATTCCCTTTTAGGTTCTTGAACATGCCAGGATATTCTATTACTTTCTATTATCTTCTATTATCTTCTATTATCATTTAGAACTATCTAATAGTTCTAAAAGAAAATTGAACTACTTAAATAGAGGGATCTTTCTCGTTCCTCCATCTTATTATTCTTATTTTATAAGACACGCTTAAACCTTTATACAGTATTTATACTTACTTTAACAATGTATTTTATTTCATTCGATACAACCATTACTAGATCGAATTATGATATAAGACTCTCAATCCGTCGACTAACATAAGACCAAACTTATATTACAAACGTCGAATTCTTCAATAAGTAAGATACAAATACTTGTCACATTAGGACGATCTAGCAATTGCTATGTACTCCTGGACAACAGACAAGAGCCCCTCATGCAATAGCTCCCCATATTCATATATTAGAGGATTATAGTCTAACATTACATAATACAATACAGGAAACAGAAAGATACTATTCTAAATCATCAGAAAACCTGTCAGCCATTGCAATATTAAGTTTGAGCCCAAAAAAAAAGGATGAAAATTCCAAACCAGGTACTCCAATAGAAATCTAGGAGAACCTGATAATATAAAAAAGAGTTTCTCTTCAGCAATTTGCTAATATTATACAGAAAAAAACTTGCTAATAACTGAATATAGTGAAGAGTATAAATATAATATACCAACCGAATGGTACCACAATATAAACAACCTCAGATCAAATAAATATTAACAATTTTAAATGTCAGCGGATTTAGCTCAGTTGGGAGAGCGTTAGACTGAAGCATCTTCTTCTTCAAGTCTTGAAATCTAAAGGTCCTGTGTTCGATCCACAGAATTCGCATTTTTTTGGAGTAAGTATTTTCATGATTTTTTTCAGCTCCTTCTATAATCCTCATCTGAAGGGAAATACCAACAATAATGATAATAATAATAAAAGTGGAACGAATAATTAAGTTAACATTGGGATGAATTACTTTATTTCTTTTTAAGGTATATGGTGCCACTGAAAAGGGATGATAAGTATTATTTATAAATTGAATAGTGTGATTTTCTACAGGATATCCAAATCAGGTTGTGCTTTCGTGATTTCTCGTGGCTGAGCTCCTTCTGAGGAAATTTTGATAATATTGTATGTATATCTAACTAGGTTGATGCCGAGAATATAAATCTACACAGCATTGAAAACTCATGATAATAATGTAATTGTATTGAAAAGTTTATTGTGATTTTTGTGACACACAATTGTCATTAGAAAATTTATAGTTTATTCATAAATTTTAATTGACCTGATATCATTTAACACATAGTTCTTGAAATGTTGGATATTCTTATCTTCATCTAACCCATCACCAAACTTTTTAAAATTTTTCTTCAACTCCATTTTTTCACTCTCACTCTCTTCAAGTATGAGTTTATTTTCCATGGATTTCTCGTAGATTACATAAGCCAATTCACGCTCATTTCGTAGGAGGGCACTTTTGATCAATGAATCAATCATGTAGAAACATGTTGAGAAATAGAGAGTATTTGGGACTGTGCCCTTTTGTGTTAATTGATCATATCTTTTGAATGCCTCTATGTTATTATTAAAAAAATCAACGCTATTACTGAAGTTAATCTCAGAGTTCAAGATAATTAAAAGCCTCAAACATGTCAACAGGCTATGTATCTCTTCAATTGCCAATTTCAGTTGAGTCTTTTCAAGATCTGCAATATTACTGTGTAGGTAGTTAACTGCTTGGGGAACAAAAATTGATGCTAACTGGTTCCACTTTTTATTAGCAGCAGAATCCAGGTCATGTTTGAGAGCATGATATACGGAAATTAACAAACCTGTTAAATTCAATTTATCAGCATGATCTGGATAAGAAATAATAGACGAATTCAATTCCACTAGTGAATCGTCAGGTTTAAAGAGTTCAACCGCTTCTAGCAACAAAATATTTGATTTGAGCTGAGCTAATTCTTTTCCAATATTCTTTTTATCCTTATGATTTTGAATATTTGAGTTCAAGATTTCAATTAGAGGATTCAAAAAGCCCAAAAGAAATTCACTTTTGGAGTATTGTGCCTTGTTAAATAGCTCAAGTTTCTTGGAATGACTATTACTAGATAGAGTATCAAATTTCTTATTTATTTCATCAATTTTCTTATCTAATTCACTAACTTTTGCAGAAGTGCCGATAGTATTAATGGTTCCATCTTCACTGTTGTCTTTTATGAATCTCTTGAACAAGGCTAAGGAATTATTTGAGAAGCTCACATCAGATTTGAGGTCCAACCCAATAGCTTGGCCCATATAGGCCAAAGAAAAAACCAAGTCCTCAATCTTATCCTCAGTCGTGCCTCTCGTCTTGACTTCTTTGCGTAAATATTCAAAAATCTCGTCCTTAGAGATTTGTAACTTAGCTAACTTCTTTTGATCTGTGATTGAAACCAATAATAACGATAGCATATGAGATTCACTGAACATAGAGATCACTTTGTCCACTTTGACTTTTTCAGTGATCTGAAATCTGAAATTTCGGAATAAATAAAGTATCTTTGAAGCAATTGGAATACTAAGAGCTTCTTCAACCTTAGAGCTCTCATCGCTATTTATCAAGTTTTCAATGATGGCATTAAATACAGGATTTGCAACCATTTGAGCATCGATCAGTTCATTATCAATCAGTGTCATTTTTAATTTGTCATTATGTTCGATAAATTCGAGGAAAAACTCCCATGATGGCTTGGCTCTTCCTGGGTTTGATTTCAAAATTTCTGACATAGAATGTACAGATAGATCATTTATGGAAACATGGTTTAATACCTTGTTAACAATAGAAAAATTAAACTTCGTCAAATTTTCAAGTAACAAATTCGACAAAGTAACTGCGTCTATTTGTGGATTTTTGAAGCATTCAATAACAAAATCCGAAATTTTGGACGAATTTTGGAAAAACTCATAGATATCCACTGTCTGATCTTCTTTTTGTGTTCTTGACATGCTACTTGCCCACGAAATAATAAGATCGTGAAGCTTCTTATTATTAATGGCCGAGTCTTCAAGCTCTTTTATGAGAATATCAACATCCTTCTGTGTAGTCCCAATACTTGAAGAAAATGGTCTAGTTGTTAATACTGAATAATTACTTCCGAGTCTTGAATAATCAGGGTATGCGTATTTGACTAGCTGTTGGGTAAAGTGACGTGAAAAATTATCCGTATGTATATTTCTGGTAGGCGACATGTTGTGGTTGATTATTGAAAGTACTCTACCATTGTGATCTCCATACTCATTTCTGGCGAGCTTTAGGTTACAAAGCCTAATATTCAACAGTTTCAAACGATTCATATCCTCTTTAATATGGTTATTATTGTAAATGGAGTAAAGAAGGTGTGGATGAGCGTTACTCATCTATCTAAAAAATTATTGCAGTCATTTCAAGATGCCTGTTGTGGAAACGTGATTTGGAGTTTAATTATTAGTCATATATTACATAATAACTTACAAAGTGCTTGCTTATGTTTATACCATAATACACTTCTTGAAGTGCGTAAAATGTCTAAGGATCCCCACATTACAGAATTGAATTTCATGAAGAATTTCATCGAGGAAGACACGCAGAAGTATGGAGGAAATTCCATGTTAAGTAAAGAAAATTGTAAGTAAATCGAAACTACTGCTAGTTAAGATTGTAAATAGATGTGTTAAATTGTCACAACTAATAAATAAATTTACCCAGGTTGATATATATATTCAGTAAGTTTCCTATAATTTTAACTCCATCTTTTTTTCCGTTAATTTCAATTATTGCTTATCTATTTTAGTCTTGCATATGTAAAGATATGCCCAAATCCAATCTTTTTTTTTTTTTTTATAGAGTCTGAAGCTGTCTTGAAAAAACATAGCAGTGGATATTACATACGTCTTCATAATAACAACTTATATTACCGAAATAATGAAAAGACGAACTGAAATAAACAAGTAAATATTTAATAATCAGCCCAAGCTCTTCTAGTAGGGTTTCAGCACTTTTGTTGTATTTCAGACAATAATTACTTTTAGATCTAACAGGTTTAAAGTTGTATTGATTTTACACTAAAGCCTCAATCTCAAAATGAAGCACGAAAACATCATTCTCTTTTACTTCAGATATCTAACTGGGGGTATTTTTGAACATTATCTTTTTCATTCAAAAGATTTCCTTCTGCACCACATTATCATGTCATGTTAGGCCATTTAACCTGTATAAGATGTCAAAAACCCATATAAGGCTCAAAAATACTACAAAAGGCTATTCAAATTTTGACATGGAAAAAGCTTTCAGCCCAGAAAAAAAATGCAATTTGCTTAAGAATCATTCTAATTTCATGGTGGTGCCGTAATTATGGTATACGTGCTGCATTTGTATTAGCTGTGCACTGTGATAATTGTAATGCGTACAGCAGGGTAAGCAGTTAGTTCCATTCTATTTGGAGCTCTGATGAATCCCAACATTCTCACCAAAACTTTGCCAAAACCCTCATGCCAATTATTATACAGACTCAAACATACCTAAAAAAGGGCATGTCAATAATTGAACAAAAATATATACCATGCATTGAAGTGGTCATTGCTTTTAAGACCACTAAGTTAAAATTGAATGAAACACCCAGAAGGTTAATTTGCACGTGACATTATAGGTGTGAATTTTTTATATTTTTTCCTATTTTTTTTTTCATCGTGAGAGAGTGGTTAAAGTCTGTTGGAAGAGGTTATCCAACGGAACATAGATTAGGATAAATAATGTCTTTATCAATAGAGCTTTCTCACTTGGCCGGATTGAGATCTAGCGCTGCTACTAACCTTCTCCCTCGCATATCTTCTCTTCTCCCTCGTTTACCTGAAATATCCATAACTTTGCAAGGATCTCCAGCGTCATCAAATGCCCAAGAAAATGAAATATCAAGTCAAATTGATGAGTTGAAGCAACGGATCCAGAACTCCATCGAAATAGGAACTCAATCCGCCCTCTCTCTATGGGATGGTATTCTCAGAGCTGCCCCAAAAAAGAAGGTGTCTCATCAGAAAAAGAGACAAAGACAATTGGCCCCAGGAAAAAAGCAATTACAACACTTGAATAATTTGAATAGATGTCCTTCATGTGGTCACTATAAAAGAGCCCATACCTTGTGCATGAATTGTGTTGGTGAAATCAGAAAATACTGGAAACAGTTAGATGCTGCTAAGAATGAACAAGAAGTTTCAAAACCTGACCAAGAAAAGGAAGTTATGAAGGTTGGTGACTCTGAAGAATCAGTGGATTCAGTGGATCAAAGAATACTTTATCCAGGTAAAAGAAAATTCCTCAACGAATTAAAGCACGTTGAAAAGGAAGAATATTTGGAACGTCGTCCTAAGACTTTGCCTGTTGAAAAATAGTTTTGATCTATTTATGTGATTTGTTAGCCTAGATGAAGGGAAACGGTTTTTCAATACATTTTCTTGTATATATTAAATGGTTAGTATAATATTTTATAATGACTTGGACTGATGTACTTTATGTAATTTGATTATTGTAACGAAATAAGTAAGATCTAGCTTATATATCTCTGCTAATAATTGAGCATGTCAGAGAACCTAAATGACTATTACTCACGAAGTCAAGAAACATATTCCTGAAAGGTTTTTCTTCAGTATATTATTGAACGACATCTGTTGAAGGCGGAATTATTATATTGATGCTGTTAACGTATCTAACATGAGCAAAAAAATAAAAAGAGGAGCAAAAAAAAAAACACCATAGAATAATTTGAAGCTTGATTTTAAAAAACGAGGAACTTAATTGAAGAAAATGGAATAAACAAAACGGAGAGGAAAAAAACTATATAAAGAAAAAAAAAAGACTTTCTGACTATTATTTTTCATCTGCCTTGGATTTACTAGTAGTTCTAGTACCTTCTTTCAAAGCGATCAATTGTTTGGATCTGAAAGCTTCGTAGTGAACGACAGCGGTGGTTTCGATTAAATCTTGCAAATGAGTTCTGGTCAAGAAGTCTCTCAAGTAGACAAACTCACACTGCGACACATCTTCAACGTTGATAGCACCCCATCTAGTTCTTCTTCCTCTGACAACTTTACCATCGATTGTGATTTCCTTTTCTGAGCCAACAACAGCAAATGGGATCAAAGATCTGATTTCGCTATTTAAGTTCTTTTCTTCCTCTAATAAATCTTCCGAGTCATATGGGTAAATATTGAAGTTATGGTAAGCAAATTCATCTTGTAAAATCTTTTTGAACTTTGCCTTTTCTTCCATAGTCAAAGAATCTGCCTTTGCAATGATTGGAATAACATTAGCGTTTTCACATAATCTTCTCAACACCGCAATGTCTAAAGGTCTCAAGCCATGGCCATTTGGTTGAATAAAGTACAAAACAGCATGGACTCTAGTATCTTTGATGTATCTTTCTCTTTGCGCAGTTAATTCTTTTCTTAAGTATTGGGAATGTTGCTTTTTGATATACTCAATAATTGGTTCCCAACATCTGTCATTATTAACTTGATCACCAAAACCTGGAGTGTCAATGCAGTTTATGTTCAATTTCACGTTATCTTCATACAAAGTGTGGGAGGTCACCTTAATCTCAGAAGTCTTTTCAATAGGGACATCGGCAGATTTTCTTCCAGAAGATTCAGTTAAGTGAGAGGCAAACAAAGTATTAACCAAAGTGGTTTTCCCAAGACCTGAATGACCAACAACCATGATATTAAATTGGAAACCTCTCTTTAATAAACGATGTTCAATTTGGTTTGTGATGGTACTGAAACCAACATAACTCTTTGGTTGAAATGGTTCAGGAACGTCTGAAGTAACTGGAGCAGTAGTAGTGGCCATCTTGTTGATATGCTTATATTATATATTACGTGGTAACCTAGCAAAAACTGAATATATGTGATCAATAAAATTAATGAACGTTCAGGTGTTACCTAGAATCAATAAATGGGATCCAACAAATATAAGACGCTCAAAAGGTGTAATAAACCTGCTAGAATTGGCTGGTACAATCTTCTCTCAACCTTCTGTGTTCTATGTCTGTAGTTTTTTTTTTCTGTTTTATTTTCACTAACGTGTCTGAAATTTCCTGGCACAAAAACGGCAGACACCTCACAACATACATACATAGCACAACATACACATACGGTAACATGCATGTGATAATTGCAATTATCATGAAGAACATGAGAAACAATCATTGGTTTTCAACGAAATATATGATATATCAGACAAAATTTCAGTCCCAAAAAATAAAAAACTCAAAAATCCAATTGTTACTTGAAGCAAAAGATGATTTGTCAGTATATCAAGCGTGCAGTATACCACAACATATTAATCTTATGATTTGAGGACGACGTAGTTCAACCATATCGTGATAGCTTTGGGGAGATTGTGACAAATTCCAATGTTATAAATAAGCACCATAATAGCAGTGAATGAAAAAATTATTAAATATTTTCGACCGATATTGATTCAAGATAGCTTTTATCTAGGTAATTCATCCTGGAGTACACTGTAAGTTACTTCAATAAAAATTGAGGTGATACTAATCTACAGAGGGTTTCAAAATACACACCTCTAGGACTGAACAACCAGCCTCTTGCAAACTTCACACATTTAGGACCATGAAAAATAGTTTGATGTTATATGTGGGCGAGAATGTGACTTACATGTACAAAAAGGGAATTATTCAAAAGAAATAAGGTTCCAATAGAATCATGGCAGTCGAGGCTCAGGCTAGGGAATTTTCACAGAAAATACCCACCCACAATACTAGGTAACAAGGGGAGTTGATGATATATGATATTGCTTTCTGCTGGGTGCAAAACTAAAAAATATTTACATTTCCTTCAAGAAAAAGACAAAATTAACCAAAATTCGTATTCTACCTACTGTAATATACAACAACACTATTTTTTCTTGAATAAAGCTTCATTAGACAATGGATCAACCTTCAAAACATTTTCTCTCTTTTTGATCTTGTTTTGGAGGGCTGAATCTTGTCTGGACTTGGCTTGTTCAGCTTGTTGATTCTTAAGTTGAGCTCTAACAACATTAGGGCTAACAAACTGCTTGTTTTCAAATATCTTTGGACCACAAAAGGCACCTTCTAGTATAACGATTGGGGTTAAAACAGCTCTTGGACCAATTTCCACCAACTGGATTTCATCATTACTTAATTTTTCATCCAAATCATCGTTCTTTAAATCGCTACCAACAACTTGCTCATTGATTTGATAATTTCTAATCCAAATCTTTCCATCAACAATACTGAAGGTCATGACATGATCTATAAATGGTTTAATCTTTCTGGAAGTTGGTGGTACTCCAAAAGTATGAATCAATATTTCCTTGGTTAACTGCATAGCAATGTTTTCGTCAAATGATTTGTCAAATGATAAAACTGGTCTTGAACCCTTCAAACAGTTACCAGTGAAATTTAATTCATCAAGGGTGCTCATATTTTGAACAAAAAACTTCAAACTTGGACCATTTGGGGATTTGGTCAACCAGAGATACAAATCTTGATGTTTCTTGGTTTCAAAGTAGGCAATATTGTTACAGTTATACAATTCAGCAACTTCATTAAGTTCAAATAAATTCTTTTTGGAACCAATTTTGGCTTGCTTCTTCGAATGTGGCATCAAAGCGTGCAAGTCATTGATCAAATGTCTGTGTCTGTAAGTGACCCCTCTAGAGGAGATGATCAAGACTTTCTGCCTGTTTATGTGTTTCTTTCTATCATCTTTGTTTGAGTTAGCGCCGGAGCTTTTTGATAGAGCTTTGTAAATTGAGGACATGGTTAATTATTTAAATAATTAAAATATCATCTATAGAACCACTAGATAATAACAAGAAAAAAAAAATTTCAAAAATTTTCTATATTCTAAGATGCCATAACCCGGCGAACAGTCTACAAAATTATTTTACATTCACCTTAAATAGGTTATTATGCCAAAAATAACAAGCAAATTCGCAAAATTAATAAGATTTTTGACTATATTTATATATCGATATTTATAATTGAGATATGTTAATTAACTAGAATATATACAAGCCCTTGTAGCCCCAACTACTTGATATGAGATGATAGTTGCTAGCAAATGTGCGGGCTCGTAACATTTTTTTAATTACCATGCTTACTTTCTAATATAATTTCTGCGACAAATATCTTGTACCATCATTACTACAAGACAATTTGCCACACTGGTAAACATGGCGCGGATTTCTTACAAAAAGTTTTTTCTTTTCCTACTATTAGGGAACTTGTTTCTATTCTCATTTCATGATGCTAAACTGAATTTTAACAAAAACTCCTTAGTACTTGAATTTCAGGAATGTATAAGTTCTAATCCTACATTCATAGACTTGAGAGATAAATATGAAGGATATGTGCAAATCATAGAAGATAGTACATGTTATTCATACATTTATACCGGCTATTCTATGATCTACGAAAAAGCTCATTACCAGAATGAATTATTTAATGAGAAAGTCCTTGCCCCAGTGAACCAACATTTGGTTGATCCGATCAAAACTAGTGTCTATGAAGCTTGGAAATCAAATTATCAAAAGTTCATCAAACCAGTCTTGATATGGGTTGTGAACCATTACGAAAAGTATCTTTCACGCCATGTTGACATTGCAAAATCTTACCTTGATGATCTCTATCTCATATTATCGCCTCACGTCAGAAAGTACAGTAAAATTGCTGCTGCTCAGAGCAAATCATCTTTGACAAAAATTTATGAAAAGGTCTCATACAATTGGAATTTATATGTTGCTCCATACTTAAGGTTTGTCAAATATTATGTTCTTGAGAAATTCTGGAGGGCATTTATTAATTTGAGGATATCTTATTACGTGTCTCTATTACCTACTTTCAAGAGATCAATCTACCACTTTAATCATGTGTTAATTCCTTCATATTATAATAAGATGAGGACCCAAGTCACACATAATTTGATTCCAAGTATTCAAGGCAAGTTTTATGAGCTCGTGGAATCTTTCCAAACCTATTTTAAGAATTTATTTACAGTTTACATTTATCCAAGGGTTTTGTATTATGCTAGATTAATTGAAACTCCGGTTAACTATTATGCTGGACTTGCTGTTCAGAAGGTTCTCTTATTTTTCCAAAAAATTGTCATCCCATTAGGTGTTAAATCTTTGTTCGCTCTTAAGTCTCTTGTTTCGAAAATTATTTTCGGTTATTTGAAACCAGCTTTGCAGTGTATCTGTGAAAATGTTCAACTGTTATTTGGACCTTATTACTTGAATGATAGAGGTGAAAATTTAATTGTGGAATTTTTTCTTCAAATTTACTACGGCTTCATTAATGCGTATAATGGCGTTGTCGGAAAGTACTATGAGTTCTTGACTTCTGACCCCTTGGATGAAGAGATTGATAGATTGTCTGCTTTATTGACTAAATATGCTATGTCAACATATGCTGCGGGTCTCGGAACTGCCACGGCGTTTTCTTTCGCGACCTCCGAACCTTATACAACTTCCTCAAGTCTTGATAGTCTAGAAACCGCTAAATTCCTTAAGAGTGACTTAGATTCAAGTTTAACCCCTGTTGAAAAACAAATTCAAACTTGGCAAGAAGTGGTTTCTAGTACTTTTGATAGTGTTATCGAAGATTTTCAGGGTGAATTTTTGAAATTTGAGGAGAACTATGTTCAAGAAAATTTCAAACCGTTGTTGGAATCTAATCTCAGAAATCTTAATGATTATATCAATAAAGGCTACATGAAAATACAAAAATCCATTCGCGAAATTGACTCAGCAGATATCTTTTTGAATAAAGAAAACTTCATAATTAACGCCGATTCTTTAAAGGAACCAAAATCTAAATCCCAAAATGAAGATTTGAAGTACTTTAAGACAGAGTATCCTGATGATGCCATTGATTCATATGGATTGAATTATGATAATTATTTGGAACTTATTGATGAGATCTCTTATATGAATGACTTAGGTTACAACAACTCTTTGCTCTATAAAGCCAAAAATGACCCTGATTTTGAAGACAGGGAATTCTTTTTAGAATATGTTATCGCTGGTGTTGACATAGAGGCATCATTTGGTGAAGTCTACGGTTTAGAGGATGAACATAATGTTAATAAATTTACATTACTCTCGCCTGGTGAATATATTATTACCTCAAGTTTATTAAAAAGAATTACTTTAAGCAATAATAATAGAAATGTTATCAAAAAAGTGGATAGAAAGACCGTTAGAGAGCAGTTCTCAGAGGCTAGAGGTGGTATTGAGCAAAAAGGAGAAATTATGAAGAGTGTTATTGAAAACGGATTCTATGAAATTTTAGAAGAATTCAATAATTTGAAATTCAGAAATTTGGAAATTTTTGAAGAATTTAGTGATATACTCTTGGATGAATGGGATAAAAAGTTTGTGGAATATCTTGAAAGAGATTCTACCGCATCTAGTGACGATGATGGAAGTTTCTTATTTGATATTGACTCGATTATCGAGCCTGCGGCTGAAGGAACCCAGGATTCTCAAGAAATTGTTAATTTCTATGAGTCAAAAAAGGATTTGTACGAATCGGAGCTTGAGAAAAAGAAACAGAAGAAGATCAAAATTCACCATGCTAAGAATTGGAAGAATTTCAAAGAGTTCTACAAAATTAAGGAAACTTTATCGGAAACCCGTAACAAGCTTAATGAATATCAACCTAATTTACAACCTGCGCATGATATTGCTAGCCAGATAGATAAAGTTGTCGGGATTCTTATGTCTGAGTCTAATCAATATTTGGATATTCTAAGAGCACAAGCCAATTTGGCTTTTCAATTCCGTGAAGAATTTGAAAAGAATGAAAGAATTAGAAGATATTATAAATTCAATGGTTATCCGACCTTGAGTGAAGAAGAAATTAGACAAGAAAAGGAGAGACAAAAAAAATTAATTGAGGATAAAGAAAGCATCAATGAATCTGTTAAAAAGCTGGAAGAGGAAAGAAGAAGAATGCTCACAGTGCTACTTGATGGTAAACCTGATGACGAGGAGTACATTCAAGCAAAGCTCTCCAGGCCAAAAGACCCCGAGGAAATAATTTCCGAATTGGAGTCTGACAATATTGAATATTATTATGATGATGACGGCTATTATTACGATGGATTTGAGATCTATGATGCGCCTGAACAAATTGTCACCAAGTTTATCGTTGTCAACGACGAAGATGGTAGTGAACATACATCAACAGAAAGTGTAACTTTTGCTACTACGGAAACTCCGGAAGCAGAAGCACAAGCCGAAACGAATTTTGAGTCAGAGGTTTCTATTTCAAATATTGAAGATTTGAGCCAAACTATAGAACCGGAGAAAGAACAGGAAGACTCGGAAGCTATTGGTGATTTATTGAAGGAAGAAGAACCAAGTCAGGCAGTTTCAGAATTTGACGAAACAGTCTCTGAAACTGTGGATGGCACTCATGAACTGGAAGAATCTCAAAAGACTGTAACCAGCCCTCTTGAAAACAGTAGTGAAGCTGTCACTATTGGTGGTTATCAAGCTTCTGCTGCTGTGGAAAGGATAGAAAACAATGCTGATGAAAATACAGAACTTGGAACTGATACTACTTCTTTCGAATCAGAAAGTGCTGGTAACCATACTCATAGTAAGTTAGGGATTGCTAGCGAGGATTTAGATTTGGATATTTCAATTGAGTCTACAGAAGTTCCAGCCGTATCAACAGAAGTTCCAACTGAGTCAATGAAAGTTCCAATTGAGTCAACAGAAATTCCAAACGAGTCTACTGAAGCTCCAACCGAGGCAGTTCAAATTGCAGCCAAGTCAACCAAAATTTCAACCAAGTCTTTCGACACAAATGAAGAAAACTCCAAGTCTTTAGATTGAGTTTGCCAAAAAGAGAGAAAAAAAAATCTTAGATAAGAGGAAACTGTCAGCGCCTTTAAAGAGAATTCTGTTGAAGGAACATCCTACGGCGGTGCCAACTTCCCAATACCACAATCTGTTTGATTTTTATTTTTTGTTTTTTTATTTACCGCTGTCACTGTTATTATTGTATCATTACCTTTATTTCTAACTATTCTGCTTGTTAATTGATGCTTGTAATTATATAGTCAACCCACTGTAAATGTCAATCAATATATATAATAAACTGGAAAAAATCAGAAATCGCACCACTCAATTGTTGAAATAGCAAGCTTGTTCCTAATAGTTGTCACACTTGGATAGTGGTTCAACTAACAGCCTTTAAATTGTGATATTGCCTGTACACTTGTATTAAAAACTTTTTGAGCGTGGCTCATGATATATCATGACTATAGTCATTCCATGTTCACTCAAGTGTTCGCGCAGGGTAAATCTTTAGTACGCGCGCGTTCTTTATATTTTCTTTATTTTTTTTTTCTAGTGATATCGAATGCCATTTGACCCAAGAATTCAAGGCCAGAGGCAATCAAAACATTCACCTATAATGCCTTTAGAGGAGTCCGAAAGTTTGATTGCAACTCGAAGCAGAAGATCTAATGCTGGATCAAGATTGAAGTCTCTTCTTCAGGCTGAGGAAATCTTGAACTATGATGAAGATGATGAAAACGTTGACTTATTGTTCCAAGAGAATGAAAGTGATGATGAATTTAGCTTAAACGATGAATCCAATGATGAAGAAGACGGGGAAGTGGAAGAAGTGGAAGGTGATGATAACGAAGAAATGGAAGAAAATGAAAATAGAGATGACAAGGAAAAAGAAGGGCGAATTGGTACTGGAAATAATCAACAGCCGAGAGGTACTAAGAGACAGTTAGAACATGAAAATGATGGGGAGTATGATTCAGATCAAGTATTTAGTGATTCAGATGAGAGCTCAAGTGAAGAAGAACAGGATACAGGTGAAAAAGAATTACAGAAGCAAGAACGTCTAAAGAAACGGAAAGATGCAAAAAAGAAGCACGCATCCTTTAAAATCAATGGCCCTAAAAAAGAAAGCTTAACAAATAAGAAACAGAAAAAGAGTCTAGATGATAGAGTCTCAGCTGATTCTTTAATGTCAGAGACTCGTCGCTCATCCACAAGAAGATCAGCAGTCCAGAATAAAATTGAATTGGTGAACAAATTGAAAGAATCTGAAAAACGAAAAGCATCAATGAAACCAAGGCTACAAAAGGAAGTCCATATTATGACTCAAGAAGAAAGATTATTGGAAGCGGTTGAAACTGAAAGGCAGAACGTGTTATCATTGACCCAATTTCGAGAACAAGAGATCATCAAGAAACAAAAAAGATCTCAAATGATGTCAGCCAAAAAGGAGTTAGTAAACGTGGTACGATTTTTTAGTAACATACATTATGTTACTGCGGAAGAAGAGGCAGAAGAATTGAGAATCTTGAAAATACAAAACAAGAAAAAGGATAAAAGAGGAAGAAAATCAGAGAAGCAGAAGCAAATAGAACTAGATGAGTTGAAAGCGGAAGAAGAATTTAGAAAGCTACAAGAAAGAGGAAGATTGATTGAACTAGGTAAAACTCTAACAGAAATTGAGGAAATTGAAAGAAATAGAGAAGCTGAAATGTTAAGAAGACGAGAGGAAGAGGAAGCTGCGAAATTAAAGAAAGAACAAGAAGAGGAAGCCGCGAAATTAAAGAAAGAACAAGAAGAGGAGGCGACGAAATTGAATAAAGAACAGGAACAGGTCGAAGGAAAAGGAAAGGATAACACAGTAAAAACTGAGGACATTGCCGAAGAGAACGATGCCAAAGACGAGGGAAATGGAAATCAAGTGGATTTCAAAGATCAGAAAAACATTCCTATTCATCCAGAGGCTGAGAACTTCATGGGAGATAAGGATCATTCCATGATGGTTGATACTGAAAGCAGAGAAAACAAGAACAAAGAGGACGCTGGTTTAGATAAAGAGAATGATGAAGCGATGTTGGATGAAAAGGAAAAAGATGTGAATATGGCAGCTGAAGATCTCAAAGATGGAACTTCAAAAATGCTCGACGAGAAAATAAAAAGTGAAGAACATGATGAGAAACTGGACGCCTGCTTAGAAGAGGAGAAACTACTTGAAGCTAATACGAGTACTGAAGTGAAGGCGAGTGATACAAAACATGAACCAATTGAAATTTCCAAAGAAACGGAAACGGAGAAAGGAGCTGTAGATGATCGAGGAGAACTAGATAATGAGAAAAAAGTATCGTTTGCTGACAATATTCTTACGAATTTGCCAGAACTAGAGCCTCGCAAGCATGAAGGTCCAGCTCTCAAGGTGTTCAGAGATTATTTGATTTTAGAGAATTTTGAGGATCCTAAAGAGCTTTCAAACCCGAAAGAAGTTAAGTTAATGATACTTGGGCCACAATCTCTTTGGCCTGCACAGCGTCGCTCCAATAAAGTTGAACGTATTATACACATCAAGTCTTCCTCCGCTACTGATTCTCAGCTTGTAACAACCAGTAAGAGCGATCTTTTTATACCTTATGCTGAGCTTAAACATAGCGAATTTGAAGAGCTAGCAAAGTTTCCCAGACTTGGTGTCACCGAAGATATTGGCAAATTGGATAATGAAAATGATACCAAGGAAGAGGCAGTGAAGGAGATCAATATCAACACTCCTGCCCCATCATCTATTTATCTACCAAGTGGCCAGCGGAAGACCTGTTTCATTACAGGCAAACCTGCATTGTATTTTGAGCCTCGAACTGGTATTCCTTACAATAGTGTTGAGGCGTATAAGGTTATTGACAGGATCAAACAGGGTGAATTTTCTTGGTGCACATTCGAAGATGGCAAAGGTGCTTACGTATTTGCAAGACACGGTGAACCAAGAGCAGCTAAGGGTGTGCCTCCTGGTTTTTTGGATTAGCGAGTTATATTTTGTATTTATTTACTTTTGTATTATATGATTGTTTTTTTCTTTATATATATGGTTTTAATGGTTATACATAGGATTCGATTATTTGGTGCTATTTTCACGCATGTGTATTTAAGAGCATGATTTTACCCAAAAGGACAACTACAATTGGCCTATGCTGTCATTAGTAAAAGCGAATGCATTATAATGGACCTATTTCTAAAAAGATTGTAATACGTTTATTTGTATAAATTGAGGTATATTTTATAAACAAATATAATTCCCTCCTCACTCCCCTTTCAATGCATTCCCCAATTTGACTTCTTCTCTAGAAGTCATTTCCTTCTCCTTTAACTCCAATTCTTTTCTATCTCTTGCTAATCTCCCTAATTCTCGAAGTTCCCATTGTCGCTTTTCAAGCTCTGGATCTAAATCATCAGTATCATCTATTCCTCCAGTATCCTCACTGTATGATTCTCTAATAAGTTTTCGACTCTCAGCTTCCGTGCGCTGTTGATGCTCGATATAATTCAATGCTCTGTCTTTGATTCCATCAGAATCTTTTGCGTTTTGAGGTACAAGATTCTTGCGCGCTCTTTTAGATTTAGATACAAAGATTAGCTGCGATATTTTGTCATTATTGTCACTGTCACTGTCACTATTGCTATCATCACTCACTTCTTGAGAATCATTACTATCATCAGGATCCTCACTATCACTTCCCAGTTCACTTTCATCTAGCTGTTTATTTTCTCTCTTATCGCTATCAGAATCAGCTAACACTTTGGTCTTTTCACTTTTCGAACTGTCAATATTTATAATTTTGAACGCGGTATTATTTGCTAGCAGTGGTTTCTGATTTATCTTTTTAGAACTCCCTTCATCCGATGATTCTGAATCACTTCCTTCATCCGATGATCCAGATTCATGGAGCGCTTTCCCTGGAAAATATCTCTGTAATTTTTTTGGTGCCATTGAGTAATTGTTTTATGATAATATATAAGTAAACATATGATTCAAAAATTGTTAATTCCATTGATTTGGTACTTACTTATTTCTTCTTGTCAGATATTTTTTAGCAGGGTAAGAGCTACCGGCATTTTAAAGCCTTACGAGGAATCTTTCAGAGACACACAAACTAGGCAATCACACATCAGTATAGTGGGTTAAGTGGTAAATATCTTATTAAGAAAACAATCAAGGCAAAACCAGAGGACAATAAGAGTATTGAAGCTTCAAAAGCGTTGCAAAATAGTACGCAAGCTTAGCGAGATTATCACGTGCGTATAATAATGCAATAGTTTTTTTTTCTTTACAGGGTGTGTTTGGCAAAGCAGACTCGATTGAATCAAGCGTAATGACCTTGATCATTACGTCGAAACAAACTGACACACAGTATTTCGAATGAAATAGGATCAAAGAAACAGAAAATGCTAAAATTATCAAAAAGCTTAGTTTCCCAAATACCTAAGGTCCAGGGAACTTTAGGGAAAGTTACATTCTCATCCTCATACACGAGACAATATAGTGTTAGCGCTGATGAGGAAACGAAACACTTTAATCATCTTGCTGCAAGTTGGTGGGATATAAACGGTCCCCAGCGTATTCTTCACAAAATGAATCTTGTGCGAATGGATTTTATTCAGCAAAATATCACCAATTCGATATCACTTAATGATAAATCGACACCCCAAGGAGAAGAAGTATATGTCCCGGGCTATAATTTGAACTTGCTTCCAAAAGAAATTAGTGAGCAAATCCTATCAGACCAAAAAGAAAAACGTACTAAAGAATATGAGAAGTTACAGTTACGGTGTCTTGATATTGGATGTGGAGGGGGGATCCTTAGCGAATCATTGGCGAGATTACCAATTGTGAAATCAGTTAATGGGTTAGATTTAGCAAGCGAGGTTGTTGAAATAGCCAGAAAGCATAAGGATCTTGACCCGATAATCAAGAACAAAATCACTTACGAGTTAAAAGCTTTGGAAAGTGTGAATAAGGATGAGATGTATGATGTAGTGACAATGTTTGAAATTTTGGAGCATGTTGACCAACCGGGTGAATTTTTGAAGGAAGGGTTATCACATTTGAAAAAAGATGGGTTGCTATTCTTATCTACTATTAACAAGGATTTTGTTAGCTGGTTCACAACAATATTCATGGGGGAATACATGTTAGGAATTGTACCAGTAGGAACCCATCATTTAGAAAAGTACATCGACTATAAAACTTTGGATAATTTAATGGGACAACAAAAAAGATTTGAGGTTCTTAGTGCCAAAGGTGGATCATATTTCCCATGCTATGGCTGGTATTTACACAGTCATCCAGAGTTTGGAAATTATTTTATGGCAATCAAGAGAATTGAATAGATAAATAAATACTGTAAATATATAGGAAAAGAAACTTGTTAAATTACTATGATCTTTGCTTGAATTTGTTTTTTGTAATTTAAATGCATTGGATTACCTGTAATTCTTCCACTACCATGGTGTATTGGCGAGATGTGTCAAATATAGGGCGCATATATATCACGCTCTAGCCATATGATACAGTATAGGGCTATAATACTTCAAATATGTGACTTATGCAATATCACGTGATAATCATCAAATGAATGTGACTACCCACCCCCTCTACCCACCCCGAGTTTCCCTCTCACTACGCTGCGACATCCCGTCGCTAGCTTTGCTCACTGAGACGCCTGACTTTGACTTTTGCTGGGAAAAAAAAAAGTGAAAAATTTGTTTCCAGTGATTTCATATTACGAAGAGCTAAAGGATAATAATAATATAGATCAAAAATGGCCAAGTTCATCAAGTCTGGTAAAGTTGGTATGTATCATATTACACTGAATTATTAATTATTGATGGTGGTTTTGATAATGAATCGTTTGGAAGGAAGTGGGATGATCGTGAATTAAAATGCAATGTTGTAACAAAGTCATGAAAAAGATTATAATATGAAGCCATATAACTAGGAAAGTGAACGGATTTAATATACTATCATATTATTCCTGTATCTTTGACTCAAGGGGTTTGGAATTTGAAGCGTTTTGACAAATGGTGAATTCAATTTTCATGATCCTAACGAGGATTATTATTATGAAAAATCTTTTAGAGTAAGTATCCATCAGGGGATTAGTGTATAATGTACTACTGTTTCAGAGGGAGTTGCTCATTGAATGATGGGAAAATTTTCAAAATTCACGGATATTAGCACGGCTTAAAAGGATTGGGAAATAATGCAATTCAATATTATAATTTGTTTGTCAGAATGTTTTATCATCCATGTGGCTAACTTGGTTGATTATTTCATAGTACAAGTTCTGCGTTTTTTGTTCAAAATCTGCCGAGCTCATGGAATTTGCTTGTTTGCCAATCAATCTTGATAAAAGTTCTAAAGATCCAGTTGTGATTGCTATGTTTTTTCAAATCAATCTTCAAGTTCACAATCCCAAACCCATAAATAGGAATGATCCAATTTTTTTCGATCTTCCATCACAAGTTCACTGCAAAGTACCACCATAAATATTTATCTTATCAGAGTATTGAACCCTAAGTTACTAACGTTATTAGCTATTGTCGTCCGCGGTCGTTTCGCTGGTAGAAAAGTCGTCATCGTGAAGCCACACGATGAAGGTACCAAATCTCACCCATTCCCACACGCCGTCGTTGCCGGTATTGACAGATACCCATTGAAGGTTCACAAGGCTCACGGTTCCAAGAAGGTTGCCAAGAGAACTAAGATCAAGCCTTTCGTCAAGGTCGTTAACTACAACCACTTGTTCCCAACTCGTTACACCCTCGACGTCGAAAACATCAAGAGCATTGTTACTTTGGATGCTTTGAACGAACCAACCCAAAAGAAGGAAGCTAAGAAGGTTGTCAAGAAGGCTTTTGAAGAAAAGCACCAAGCTGGTAAGAACAAGTGGTTCTTCAGTAAATTGAACTTCTAAGCGTTTTTATCGTTTTGACTAACAATAAACTCGTTTGTATTTTTGCTGACTACTTAATGAAAATTCTCTCATAATAATTTTTCCTATGTAAGACTGCCTATTTTTTATTCTTTGTTGATCGTTTGGTTTTCTATATCATAAGACTTGGTTTTACATTTACCGTATGAACCTAATACAGGTTTACCAACAAAAAAACATCAGTAACGATGTGTCTTCCTTTTACATACACCGAATTTCCTTCAAGAGAGTGTATCACTTCAAGGAAAGAAATAAGAAGCAAATAACAACATATGAAGGTTATTTCTTGGAACACTCTGAATACGATAATTGCTGTGAGAGCACGCGACCTTCTCGCTTGATGGGTTATTCGTAAGTTCAATCATGTATTCACTCATTTACTGAAGTAGTCACTACTAACCTTGTTTTTATTTTTTAATTTCAAACATATATCTGTTAATTGGATAATGAACTTTTGTAGAAAGAATAAAAAAAAAAGGAAAGAACAAAACAATAAGCCTCCTAGTGAGTCGGCGAATTGTGGAGTAATACAAACATTAATCTTTAGATGTTGCGCGGATTCATATCCAGTTTATCTTATATCAACCACCCAAAAGGCGGCTTACTTATCGTTTGGGTTTCCAGTATTTGGTTAATTTATAGTTTGTTTTTCGAGGATTTCAATGTACGCTTGGTAATATTAGACTGAGTATCGAAGCATCATCGATGACCAACGGGAAAAGCGTTCACGATGACATATACATGAAGTTGCTGAGAGTTATGCACATCGCACATGAGGGTCCCAACGGTTGTGCTTCTCTGGTTGGGCCCAAAAGCAAGTCTTTGAGGTTTTTGGCATGAAGTGGGTGAGTTCACTTCAGTAAATGGCAACGTTTGTATTTCTTTCCCCAACCGTTGCCTTTTGCCACGTTCGATAAACGTATATGTTTCGCCGTCCTTTTCTTTTTATCGCCCGATTGTTTGCTTGTTGTTTTTCTACCCCCGTTGAGTTCTCTTTTCTTTTATCTGCGCGCCACTCCAAAGATTGCTCTCCTCAAGCCATGCAAAACGCGTCATAGAGCGATGTTGACACCTTTTTTCATGTTGAGGTGGTGTGGGAGAGTGAAATATAGGTATCATGTATTTATAATATTTTCAAATATTACCTTACTTGTGTGTGGATAAGTAAAGAGCTCAGACAATAGAAAGTACCATATCTACAAAGATGACAGTTGCTGTCTCGACGATAGATTTTTTTATCGATAACTTGGCTGACCACTTGTCAACCAAGAACTCATTTGTATTGATGAAAGAATTGGATTCTGATCCTTATATCAATTATATGAGACAAGGGATCTTGGATATTTCAAAGTCAAATAGTGATTATGCAATTAGGAAGCTTTTCACAGCACTAAATGCCATATCAACATCCATATCGAAGTCTTCTTCAACATCAACATCATCAGAATCATTCTCCACATCGTCTTCATCACCATCAATAAACTTGAATGCAACGAAGGATAAAATAGTTTTGTTTATCCAAAAGTTAATGATCAGCTTGGTTACACAAAACTATGATTCAGCTAAAAATGAGGCTTTCAACCCTATTCTTGCGAGTTTTGGAACACATAAACTCAGATCTTCTATTCAATCTTTTTCTCACTCAGACGCCGTTGCCAACTCCAAATTTTTATATCTAAGCAGAAGATTTCCTGAAGGGTTGTCTTTCCAAGAATTGACGAGTTTTATGGATATAATTTCTTCCATAATCTCTGATAGATTCCCGAAATTTGAGTATCGAAATTTAAGTATGAATCATGGAACAAATTCGTCACAAAGAGCACCATTGCTTATGTATGAGCCATCAGCAACAAGAGAATCTATTGATAGTTTTTGCGGCAACTTGTCGACATTCGTCTCCCATTCAAATTCTCGCTATTATCTCAACTACTTACGTTCAAAACTATTAGGCCAATCATATAGCACCCTTTCCTCACTGTCAGTAGCATCGTCATCTTCCGCTACTTTATCGTTATTGTCATCATCCTCTGTCACAAATGTGGATGATATTCAGAAATTCATTCAGCTTATAGAATATTCTTCTTTTGATCATGACGTGCATCTTTTAGCCGATTATTTTGAGTTTATTTGGGATTTTATTAAATTGTATCAGGATGATTCCGCGTTACAGAAATTATTTATGGTAAATTTTGGTAGGGCAATCAAACATTGGATATCGAGATTCCCAAATGAGTATGTTGAAATGACCGCATCTGCGTCAAACAAAAATACCAACATTTCAGAAAAAGCTAGGAAATTATTCCACTATATGTGCCAATTCCTTCCTAAACCATCAGACCCAAACAATTATTTTGACCTAACCAATCAAAGGAACTTCATCAGGCCATTAATAATCTTGTTATGTCTAGTTATTCTGCCATTTGAAAAAATTAATCTGCTAGGAGCATGGAGTTTGTTGAACGTAAAATCACCGACAGATGATGATTCCAAGTTGGCTATGATTACTAGGAACCAGGAATTGAAATTTTTATCCACTATATTGAAACATACATTGTTAGGAATGAAGGATAATAACGAAAGCTATTTTGATGCTTGTGATGGATATGTTTTGATGGTCGGGATAGCCTCAGTGATTATTAAAGAAGAGAAAGCGGTTTTATCAAGTTTGACACCAGCGGTTTCAAAATCAGATAACGGCTTTGCAAGAGCGGCGACTTCCATTGACAGCATACATACGAAGCCTGTTCAAATAGAATCTGCTAATCTGATTGTGAAATTTATTGCCTCGACGTACGATTCGGTATACTATACATTGCACATTCCACAAGTCGATAACAAATCTTCTGAAATATTGAATTCGGCGGTCTTTAGTGTTGGCAAACAAATGGAAGTGGTAGATGAAATCCGGATTTGTTTCTTCAGTTTTGTTTCGTTATTTGACCCCTCAAGATTCTTCAGTTTGGTTTATAGAGGCCTTGAATTGCAAAGCAAAATAGATTGCGATGATAGTATTTCAAATGAATCAGAATCAGCGTCCATCGAGAGCTCATTACATTCTATTTTCACTCTCTTTTGTGGCCTACGATTATTTTATGAAGCAACAAATGGGAAAAATAAAACATTTTTGCAAGCGGTGAAGCCTTTCATAGAGGTATTTCTTGCCAGGTATGTTCTGATAATCAAGAAGGGCAAAGTGGTTAAAAAAGTGTCTTCTTTGCAGACAAGAGCCGTTGATAAGGACATTACAGCACAAACCGCAAAAGCGTTGGTATCCAGTGGCATTGAAACTTCGATCGGTAGTAAAGATAGTCAGTCTGACACTAAGGTTATCAATCAAGTGCAGCGTTCAATACCTTCAAATATTTCTTCGGGATCAAGCTTTAGAAGGTCTTTACACTTACGATCTCTATCTCATGGTAAAGCAAATACTATTTACACAACAAGGCAATCACAAGATCCTTTGTCTAAGGCGCAGACACACTTATCTATTCAACAAAGCGCGGGAATTGATCCACATCAACAACCTTCAATGATCTCTAGTGGCAGTACAAATGACTTCCGTAATAGTTCAACTATGGTCTCGGATAAGCTGGGTGGCCTGCCATCAAATACTGCCTCCAAGTCTAAAATATTGTATGGCGAGACCAAGAGTTTTGCAAAACTGTTATTCAAGTATCCATCTGGATTTGATAATAAAGAGAAAGGTGAGAAGCACCATAAACGATCTGTTTCCGATGATACACATACAATTTATTCTGTTCTGACCGCCAGTACTGGAATTATACATGAAAGTGATACTAGTTTCAACGACCATACTAATCTTGGGAGTGCTGCTCCTTCCGTTGGAGGTCTCCAACAAAGCCATTATAATTTGAAAAAAAATTTGCCAGACTCAAGCGCTGATAATGATATTAAGGCATACGATAATTCCCAATATCAGAGAATTATGGCCGACCCAGTATATGTTGCGAAGCGAACCCTAGCTAATTTTTTTGAGATTGTGAAACTTTCTCCTTTTTCGTTTTTTGATTTGGAAAGTGTGGTGAGCAAAAGTGGGTTAAAGTGTGACATGAAGATTGCAGAGCATCAAGATTTCAAAAGCTTGTTGATGGCTATTCTTTGCGGTTTGAATGATGAAGATATCGGACTAAGCAATGCAAGCCAGGAGTTGCTTTATGTACTATTGGACCACGAATTGTATTATAAGAATCATGACACTGGAATTGAAGTATTGTCCGATGAATATTTCAGAATATTGTCATGTACAATTGAATTTTCTCATGAAGTCATCTTGCAATTGGCCAATATGGTGGACTTAACTAGTCCGAGACTTCCTGTTTTGTTAAGTATTATAGCAGAAATTTTTGCGATGGAAGTATCAATCACTAAGAAAAATAGTGATAGGCTCTTATCTGGACAGGCGCCTTTTGGATTTGGTGATCCGGAGTATTTTGCTAGGGGATTAATGAGATTGGACGTGGTTATTTTTACATTTTGCGCTGCTCCAAACATCGAAGTTGCCCAGATAGTGGATAAGATCATGAGAATTGTTGATCAACATTTAGATTTGCTTGGAATGAGTCCATTGCCTGGCCAAGAAGAGGCTATTTATAAAAGATGGCCACTTAGGAACTTTTTCTCTGCTTTCTCAAGAGAGTGCCGAATTAGCGGATTTGTTGGGCTTGTTGGCTTCCGAAAAAAGATAAAGAATTGCTTAATAACTTATGCCACTATTCCATCTGATTCACTCTTGATTGTATGGGACCGGCTTTATACTGTTTGGGAGAGCACATTGGAAGAAGTTTCAATTGAGAATCATGATAGATTGAAATTATTTGAGTCAGTAGGCAGAATGCTATCAATGATTTGCGGCGTGCTACTATATGATAAGAATTTGTCACAACTATATATTAATCAGATTAGTAATTTCATCAAACAGAATTTGAAATTCATCCAATCAGGCGGCTTGAAAATACAAGCTTTAGCCAAAAGTATAATAATTGAAGATATACATGAAAACGCCTTCATGGCTTTGGCATTGGAACTCTTAGAGTTCATTGGTGATTTTATGGCTACAGAATATGAAAATTCCAGCGAATCCAGTAAGATTAGTGTTGCAGATTCAGTTATTACATTCATGAAAGTTTTATATCAAGCAGGGAATGAGTTGAAGATATTTGAAATCACTACTGTTTTTATTGATATATTTAAATCGCAGTTGATAATACTTGAAAACTCTAAGAATCCTACAGGGTATCAGTTAAAGATTAAAGCGATGGTAATTGCTAGAGAAAATGATGGGCTCAGAAAGTTGCATATAGATGGATCCTTGAAACTTAGAAACACATACGTCAAGTTGCTCATGCGTTGGATGGAAGATTGTATTCGTGCTCCTGAAGATTTGGTACTATCTGGTAGTGATAATGTAATTACCTCACAATCCGGCGCTGTCACTAAGAGTACAGATGAAGATTTACAAAATCCACAAAACCCTCATCTTAAGAACAAAAACCTGGGGTTGGTGTGGTATCTCAAGTTACGAACATGTATGGAGTGCGCCAAATTTTTGAGAATGTTGACCTTAGACTTGAGATTAGCTCCTGAAACTGCAGTTAACCGGAATCAATTAAGAGAGGAAAATGAAGCTCTAATCGAACATTTTTTTAATATAATTTTTTCTGCGATTGATAAGTTTTCTAATTCTGGTAATGGTGGATCAGATCCGCGTACTGTGGAAATTTTAGATAATTTGGTGGTGGGATTGGGAAATCTATTTGTAGCAAATATTGATATTGCATTGGGTAGATCGGTATCATTAGGTTTTCACAAGGACGATCGATTTCGAAAGATATTTTTGAAGATTTTCACCACTATTTTTGGTAACAGCTGGAAAAATTTTTATAAAGGAAATTTAGAAGAAGATAAAAGCTTTTGGCAAGATCAGCTATTAGATGCCCTTGCGAATCATGTTGATTTAGCGATAGCATTTGCGGATAATTGTCCATCCAAGGATGTTGATCTTATGGCTTACTCATTGCTAATGGCCTACGAATCTCGTGGCAAGCCATTAGAGGTGATTTCCAAATTGGTCCAGTATGAAATGCTTACCACAGTGCAAGCTTCCACTATTTTGCGTCAAAATACGGTGGCTGCCAGAATGTTGTATCTTTATGCTAAAACTGGTGAAGGTAGTATTTATTTGCAAGAGGTTATTGAACCAATTTTAAACGAAATAATAAATTCTAAGGAACCTTTTGAGTTTGATTCTGCACAAATAGCAAATGAAGATTCAAAAGATTTGGCGTTTTTTAAGAAGTGCTTGCATCGGTTGGTTGACACCATTAGCGAATCTGCTCCTGTTTTCCCTGCCTGCCTCAAGTACGTATGTTACATGATTCGAAAGTATTATATTGAGGCTTTTGGACTTAAGAAGGATTATATGAATGCCATTGCTTCATTCGTATTCTTGAGGTTTATTGTTCCTGCAATAGTTAATAACGATTCGTTTATGAGCTCTGGTAGATACTTGAATAGCAAAATGAGTAATTACTTCACATTGTTAGCAAAATTTATTCAAGGCCTAGCCAGCAATTCAGTAAATAACGATCGCTGGCCATTCCTTCAGAACAATCAGAGTATTGTTGAAGAACTCAGTGGAAAAGTGTGCAGGTTTTTGGATGATATTTCTCAGGCTATTGAAATGCCAAAATGCGCTCTAATTCAATATGATTTGGATAGATATTCATATTTGAATGAGTTTGTGTTTGATAATATTATAGAAGTTAGGGCATCATTATTATCGCCAAAGATTTCCCCAGTTGAGGCCACATTAGAAGAAAAATTTAATACGTATCTACAGTTGGATAGGGCTGCTAACAAATTGGGTGCTCCAGTATTAGTCAGAAAATTCAAGATACCAGAGGTTATTAAAAATGATTATCCCAAAATTTATGATTTCATGAGTAGATATCTGATGGTTGACATCTCCACTATTCTCTCAATTCCATTTTTCCACCAGGTGGAATTCAACGATGCAATGGCGATTGTTTTATCATATTATTACTTCCAAAAATACAAAATTGATCAATTTTTGGCTTGCTATGTGTTCATGCTGTGTATTTTGGATAACTTTGGCAAGCCAGTAAATGTTGTTATTGACTGTACTGAATTTTCTAAAGTTTTGAGAATTTTCCCGGAAGATTTTTTTGTGTCGCTCCTATCTGAGGATATATTCGCGACTTTTACAGATACTTACATTATTAATGTGAACAGTGAGTATTTGAAACTAATGGAGAGCTCAATGATTAGGAATAGTTTATTGTATATCGAAAAATTTGGTCGTCAATTTGAAAGACTTCATTTCATTTCCACCCTTGATAATCCAGAGTACCTTGATTTTTTTGGATTGAGCGATCACACTAGAGAAGTTTCAAATGAGAAAGTATTATTGTCTGAGGATGTTAGACTAAGGGTTGATGGAGATGAAGAGAAGTTTGTGTGTGCAAAATTTATGATAGGTCCCAGAACTATCAAGTTGCAGTGCGTGGATGACTTAAGCTCTCAGGCATCTGTACCGATATTAGAAATTCTCATCATAAAGGAACATCAAATTGAAATTTCTAATACTGCTGATGAATTGGCTTTTTTGAACATGAATACGGAAAAGCGTACGAGAATCGTGTCACAGAGAAGATTAGAAATCATGGAATTGTTCCATGTTAATAAAAACAAAACTCTGCAAAGGAAATGGGAATATGAAGAAATGCCATATCTGGTCCATGAGAAGTCTGAATCAGATGTGGTAGACAATATTGACAAATATTTAGGTGACATTTTAAATTTGGTATTTAGTGGGGTTTTATCTGACAATGATCAGCTTCGGACTCAAAGTAATCATTTATTGTTTTTGTTGCTTACTAAATATAATAAATTTAAGATTGGAGCTATCGAGTTTCTTTATGACCCTGAAAGGCTGATTCCCGAAGATAATACCTGGAGAATTGTTTTAATTTCAAAAAAGTTGGCAAAAAGTAATCCAGAATTAACGTTAAAAGTAATAAATGGATTCTTCCATGTGTATAATTCAACAGTGGGCAAGAAAAAAGATTTTGTGATGTACATTTCACCATGGATGGAAAACATTCATGAGCACATATATTGCTCCGACTCGCCAAATGGCATTGATGAAACCAGAACTATTATCAAAGAGTTCATCAGATTGACTAATAATGAGCAGAATTTTTATATTTTCAAGACAATGATATGGAACGTTTTGACCTTGAAGGATGAATTGAGTGGTTTGATCCTTAAAAACATGGTTGATTATGTCATTGAAACTTATTTTATCAGTAGTGATCCTGTTCTTACTGGTAATGTTAAATCTTGGGCGAAATTTGTGACGATTATTACGGAATCATCAACGTTAATATTGTGTTCTAATTTAACTCGTCGTTTAATCACCATTTCGACTCATTTGGAGAGTGCAAATAATGAAAAATTGATGACTGAAGTGATGATTTTGATAAAAATGTGTCGTTACTCCTTTTTTAATTCGAAGCACCAATACACTGTTTTCTTTCCGGAATTGTTGTACATTGTGATGATTTATAGCAACATTGGCTCCAAAACACTCAAAAATGATGTCTATCAATTGGCCTATTCGCTTTTCTATATTTTCAAATTTGATGGTGAACACAATTTGATAGAAAACTATTTGGATATTGGTGAGCTTTTGGATTTCCTTAAACGTGATACAGCAAGATTTATGTATGGGTTGTATGATGATGGCAATCATGGACCTTCCAAAAAGCATGATGATAACAGTGATAAGAATGAATCGACCAGACGAGCAATTGTGATACAAGATCGCAACAGAATATTCGGTAATATTGGCCGTTTTGTGTCACTTTTCAAAAAATGTTTGAAGTTTCTTTCGAGTTATGAAGATACAAATCTTCTGAGATTGTGGCGCCTGAAACTAAGTCGCTATGTGACTGAGCTCGTCTTCCATGGATCGGGAATACTATATTCGAAGGCAGTTTTATTATTCGGTGTTTTGGCATCGGAAGGCATAACTGAAAGTCTAATGTTCCATTTGATTCGCCGTGCACAATCTTATGGTCACCGTCAACATCTGGGTCTTTTTACTTATGCTGAAAGCACAATCCATACTATATATTCTCTCGGGTTGTGTATGCACGGGATCCCATTCAAGCCACTTCTAATATATTATAGTTTATGGGTCGCTGGCTCAAGGTGTTTGACCAATGATATCCTTATTTACGAAGCGGCATTGATGTTCTTTGATATGTCGGTTCATAACTTGAATTCAAAATTGCACTTGTTACCTAAAACCTCAGATGAGAATATTTGTGTGTTGTTTGAAGGACGTAATCCTGCCGGCAGTAGCTTATTGGAATACGAAAAGTTCTGTGGGTTTGAAGTCACATTTGAAAATCATGACTTGTACTTTTGTTATATTCTTTTACGTGGAGTTCGAATTCCATACCTAAAGACTGAGATTGTGAAAATTTTGAAAACTTGCATTAAGGTCAAGAGAGGCCTCCTAAATAACAATAATACCATGCATCTCTATGCACCATATTTTACTTTCTTATTTGTTGTTGATGATCTAGATGATTTCTGGAAGTTTTTTAAGGAAGTGGGTCTCAAAGATGAGGGAGTTATTAGGTTAGATAATGATATCCAGATTCCTCAATGTATTTCAGAATATGTGACCAGTGATTCTGAATATGGTTTGGCATTTTTGATAATGTTGTCAATTTATTTCAAATCAACTACAATAGATTATGTGGAATGGTCTAGATTTTTAATTTTATTGAAACATGTTGCCAGAGAAAATATTGTGATGATGAAAAAGTTTTACCATGCCTTCTCTGATATGATTGCCACTACGAGAGCCCAGGTCCATAAATCATTAACAGCGTTGTCAATTATCGTAGACATTTTCAAAATTCTTTCGGACTGTGAAGATCAGACTGCATATCCTGAAGATTATCTGGATAAAATGTTAGATGAAATGAAGATATCGGGAGTCAAGAGATTTGAGTTTCTTAGATATGACGAGTCAGAAAGGAATGAAATATTAAATGAACGGTTTTTACAACAACAAAAAATGATGAATAGTATTTTGCTGAATGGCTGGAAGTATTTCTGTGGGAGCTAATTTTTTATTGTTTTTTTGCTCTTTTTTTGCTCTTTTTTTTTGTTGTGAAGTGCTATATTTTTTAATTGTCATTATTGTTATTATTGTTACTGTTGTTATTTAGCTTTGCTTTGTTTTTCTATAAACTGAAGTTTTTATGTCTTTTATTTATTTATTTAGCGCATTGACGTTATTATTTATAAATTTTTGAACCGTAGATGATAATACTTGCCCAAAGGTTATCTTTCCAGCGATACACCCAAATCGATGATTTTACCACCACCGGTATCGTATCTCCTAAAATATCTGGTTCCGTAGCAATACATAACAGCTCAACTTTCATTATATTCTATACTTTGTTTTAACATAGAGGTCATAAAAGAAGAACATAAGCCAGCCTGTCTGTTGCGCTCAAAGAAAAATATTGGACAATAATAATATTATCTTTTACCATTTTCAAAATCCTTCTTCCTAAGCCTGTACAACAACATTGTAGTCCTGCTATCTTCCACTGAGGAATGATCACCCGCTTGAATACAAAAATCAAGAATTTCCAAAGCCAATTTCTTCAAAGCAGGAGTCTTTCCCCCAGCATATTTTCTATAGGCAGATAATAATGAAGTATCTCTGATGTCTTCTCTAGGATGTTTGAGCTTCAAAGCCTCCAAGTCATTTTGAATAGCATGGCCCACCAAAATCCTTCCTTCCAACAAAACCTTCACCTTCTCTTGTGCTTCTTTGAAAGTGATAGCTTTACGCATATGATAAGGAGTGACACCACTCACCCAAGTTCTCCAATCAGTGACCCTTTCTTCAGGACGAACATACTCATCAAGCACCACATGACCATGATAGTTAACAAGGGAAACTCTTGCGAGAGCAGATTCACGGAGTTTGCCAACACCAACAAACTCACAGTCCATTGCCAAGAATTTACCAATATCTGCTTGATTTTTACCATCCAGTGGAGCAGAGGTTTTCTTTGGAACATTCATTGTGGTGAGCTTGCCGATACCCTTCATTTTTTTCGAAAAGTCTTCAAGACTAACATTTTCATTCTGCGCCCATTGCACCATATCCCACAAAGAAACTGGCTTTGGTTTCTTTGGAGGCTCTGGTACCCCTAGAAGAACTGATCCTAAGAAACGATTGACTTCTTTCTGTCGGGCTCTGATTGCCGCTGGATGTACTTTACGAGGCTTTTTAACCTTGTCTTTTGACTTAGATTTTCCATTCTTCGACTTTTCGTTGTTATTTGGTTTGTAATTATTACTCTTGTCGCCGTTTTTATTGCTATTGAGAGTCTTTTCTTTATTTATTGCCATATCTATGTTCATATATTGTTATACGTTCCTGTTGTTTGATGTCCTTCCCAAGATGACAAAAATTTTTGAAGTTTTGTGGAAAATGCATAAGTCACCCGCTTGATGCGATGAGATATAAGTTTATTTATTTATTTTTTTTTCATTGCATAAACAAACACCAGTTTAAGGATCGCCACTTATTAAGGCTATTAGCATTATCATTATTGTCATCATTATTATTATTACTATTATTGTATAATCATTGTATAATGAGCATGGAAGAGGATGATGTCCAAGCAGTGAGTAGCTACTATTAACAAACGCTCGTTTGGAAATTTACTAACATGATCAGCATCTCAAAGCTTCAATATGGGATACGGTTTCAGAATTGGTAGATCAGGAAACAAAGGGTTTGGGGATATCCGCCACCCCCACTTTCATAGCAGCACTTGTGCAACTTGTTTTTGATCAATTGCTTTCTGTGGGAGAGGATTTAAAAGCTTTTGCAGACCATGCTGGAAGGAGAACCATAGTGCCTGATGATATGTTTATGGTTACAAGAAAAAATGGTCAGTTGACTGAGTTGTTAAAGAATCACTACCTGTTATTGTTATCAGAAAAGAAAGGACGCCAAGAGGAAGAATACCACGAAGCACATGGTCATTCCTCTTACAAGGATAATCAAGATCGTAAATTGGAAGATAGTACAGTGGTGGATTCCAGGAAAAAGTCAACAGAGAACAATAGAGGTGACTTTGATGACGATAGTGATGAATTCGATGATGATTTGGATTTGGAGCCAATTCAGCGACCATCCAAGCGATAAATTGAGGAGTATCAAGATATCTGCATTCTTGATTTTACGGATTATATTGAAGATCTATTGACGTCCTTGAATATCTTCTCTTGTGTATGGATTGTTGAAATTCGAGAATTTATAATCCTCTAGCACTTCATTTGATTGAGTCAGAGAGTATCAGCCTGTATTTTACTACTAGGAGTTTTAAGTGTGCGTTAAATTTGGATGTACATGGCCAAATTATGTGACAACATATACCGCCTGACTATTAGGTTTAGGTAGTTAACATCAAGAGGCACGACTATGAAAGTGCTTTCCTGCCCAAATTCTTCCCGGTGATTTTCTTGTATTGCACATTAAATGAAAAGAAAATATAAATAGCTTCGAGAGTCTCGGGCTATTTATTGAATACACAATAGATCCTGATATCAGTTAATGGTATTTCCTGGAAAAAGAGAACTATTATTATATATGAATACTATTTACAAACGTGCAATGTGTAAAGATATATTTTCCCATAAATATTTGACTACTCCTGCTATTATAATAATAATGGCACAGACCCATTCATCTAATTGGTCATTTTGGTATTTCTATGTATGAATAATACGTATAAATGGTTTTTGTCAATTTGGAGTGACAGTATTATTATAGTGTTCCCAAATTCCCTAACATACTGAATCTAATCATATGATACTCCCTGTATGAAATATAACTCTTACAATATTATCGAAGTCGACAATGTCTGTCTATTTACAAAAACACAACATAAGAATATACATACATAGCAAATCAACGCTTGACCCAGGTAGGAGACTTTCTAGACTTAACCTTACCAGGCTTCTTTCTTTCGACTCTTCTTGCATCTCTGGTGGTAGCACCGGCTCTCTTCAATCTTGGTTTCAATAATGGGTTGAAGATAAGCAAAGCTCTGGCAATACCGTGAGCGATAGCACCAACCTTACCAGAAACCCCACCACCGGAACATTTGACAAAGACATTATAGCTACCTTCACCATCAACAACCTTCAAAGGATAAAGAATCTTATTTCTGTCAGTCAATCTAGGGAACATTTTTGATAATGATTCACCGTTAACAATGATTTTACCATCACCTCTTACAAGATAAACTTTAGCTCTACTGGACTTTCTGCCACCAACAGCAATGGCTCTGCCAAATTCGTCCAATTGCTTTACTGATGCGCCAGCAGAAGAATCTGAAACAGATTTCTTGAAACGGTCCAAAGTAGCCATGAACTGCTTGTCCACAAGCTGCTTATCAATGGCATCCAATCTTTGTAAGAGTTCAACAAGCTTGGAATATTGAATGGTCTTCAAACGAGTCCCTGCAGCAATAAGACGATATTCATTGATATTTAGCCAACGGTAGGTTTTATTATGTTTTGCTGATTCTTCGGAATTTATAGTATAAGGTGTTGAAGCGTAACGGTTGAGCAAGTCATTTAAATCACGCATGTTCTTCTCGTGGATTGGATTAGAAGAATAGAAAGTTTCTAAAGTTGGGACCACTCTAGTGCGTTCAAGTTCTGGAATTGATGGGGCAATAGAGTTTGGATGGTCAATAACTGACGAGGTTTTGATGTTTGGAATTGCAGGAACAGAGATGGCAGGTTTGGCGGTACCAGGGTAGATGAATCTTGGGGCCCTGTTTGCCACAGGTCTGCTCGTGTGTAATAGACGGGCAAATAACCGAAGAGACATTTTGACTATGTGTATATCCTCTCTTTACTGGCAACCGTTGTCCTATTATCCACTATATAAATTCTATGATTGGAAAATTTTTAGCCGGCGGCCAAAAAATTGGAGAGAAATGTTAATTTGTATCACGTGCTTTTACACGTGTTGGTAGTGACAAAAAAGCGATGATTTGGCACCAATTTTCAACGGTGTTATTGTTGTTTTGATCTCATCTTGTATAGATATAACTATATATCACTATGAGATTCGCAGGTGCTTTTTTCTTATTTTCTATTTTGGCAACTGTATTTGCCTCCAATGTTATCGAAGCCACTGACAAGGACTTTATTGATATCGTCCAAACTCCTGGCACATACTCTTTTGTGAAGTTCTACGCCACATGGTGTGGACATTGCAAGACCTTGGCTCCAATCTGGGAAGAATTGGCTGATGTTTATGCTCCTTCGAAAAATATCCAAATTGTGAGCATTGACGCTGACAAGTACTCTAGAATAGGGAACAGATTTGGCATCAAGGGCTTCCCAACTCTAAAGATGTTTGTTGCCGGTGAGGCTCCAAAAGATTATCAAGGCAAGCGTGAACTTGACAGCTTTATCAAGTTCATTGAATACGCCACTGGTACCAAAACTCCTACTATTGCCGCAGCCAAGGATCATATTGATTACTTTGATGATGACACTTACAAGCAAAAAATTGAAGGCAAGCACGGGTTTTTCGCAATTACCGCTTCGTGGTGCGGATACTGTAAGCAATTGAAGCCTAACTGGAAACAGTTAGCTAGTGCTTTCAAAAATGATGACTCTGTCGTTATTGGTGATGTTATTGCGAGTGATGTTGCTGCCGAAGAAATCAAGGATAAATTTGATGTCAAAAGTTTCCCAACCATCGTCTATGTTGCCCCTGGGGATGTCAACATCGAAAATGCTGAATACTATCAAGGTGGCAGAAGTGCCGATGAGCTTGTTGCTTGGGTTAATTCGAAGACCCATATCGGTAGAAAATCAGATGGTAAGCTTGATGAGTCCGCCGGTAAATTAGAAATCTTCAATGACAAGATCCAGGATCTTTTGGCTAGTAAGGGCTTGGATGAAGCCAAGGATCAACTTTCTGAGCTTAAAGATACCAGTATTGCTTACTCAGCAAAGTATTACGGTAAATTACTCGATAAGATTTCTTCTGGGGAATCCGGGTATTTTGCCAAAGAATACGCCAGATTACAAGGCATTTTGAAGAAAGGAAACTCACTCAATGACAAGGTTCATGATAATTTAATCAAAAGAATCAATATTTTGAGTCAATTCTTGGGTGCAGATGACAAGGTTTCAAGAGATGAATTGTGATCTTGAAATAGTTTTTCTAGCACTTTGAATAAAGAAAAGAAAAAAGTGTCGTGTAATATATGAACTTTTCAAATATTTAACAACGTAGCTTCATAACTATATGACCCCTAAACTCTATTTGAGCCACGTCCCATCACATTGCGAGGGAAGTATTAAGAATGTGTTAACTCCGATTATTCAATTATGCGGAGTTTACTACTAAGAAAAGGCAAGGCGATTTCTGTAGTCTCCACAAATATGTGACTTCAAACTACAGTGAGCTAGAGAATATTTCGGATAAGCAGCACTAGTATATTAGAATTAAGAATATATAATAATAAAAAAAAAAAAACAAAGAACAAAAGAAATAGCCATTATTGTTGGTTTGGCAAATGTCACTGGTCTGCTTCAACCTTTTTCTTGATAGCATCATTGAATAACCCGAATGCATTTGACAATTCAGCACCTTTAAGTTTATTGTACAATGGAAACAAAACACCTTTAAAGGATTCACCGTGGGTAAGTTTACATTTACCTTCTGGCAATTCTTCAAACTTAAAGAAATGAGTACCGCCAAAGAACCAATCACCTAAGAGCTTCCCATGCCATGAGAATTTTTCGGGAGTGTTGCTCACCACAACAGGATAGAAAGTCATCCCAGTGATCTCTACTTTTAATCCACTCCCCACCAATGGACCTTTATCTGGCTTGGCGTCGGTATTTGATTCAGGGGCATTTGTGACCTCGATTGACTTGATAAACTGACTCCAATTTGGCAAGTCTGAGAAGTTTAAAAGGGCATCACGAACAACAGACGGAGAGGCATTGATCTCAGTAGCTTTGCTAAGTTCGAATTCGCACACCATGGTAATTTATTATTAGTTGAATAATATATTAAATAGAGTGATCGAGGGATATGAAAGCAGGGATCTTCGCCACTTTTTAAATCCCATATTTTTGTAGTGCATTTTGCCTCCGCTGGCGGGAATTTGTCGGAGATTACTACAATATATGTCGGTTATAAGAAGGATTTAAGGTGCAGCATGCGGCGTGTAGAGCGTAAAATAATTCAAATGGAAATCAGTATACGGAAGCAAAGTTCTGTCGGACAAAGCTACATCTTAATTCCGAAACCTTTAATATAGTACCGAAATCTGCGCTTTACCTTATTGTATAATTACATTACTCATCTTAGTATCCTCATTTCATGGAGGTGTTGGGTGCTCGGTATTGGTGCTCAGCAATATAATAAGCTTTTCCAGAAAAAAGAAGAAAAGATATACAAGCTTCCATAATAGGACCCCTATATAATAAAATAAAACAATCATTTCATCAACATTAAACTAAGACATCATATATTGTATATTACATTTGCCAAAAAATTGAACAATAAAATTCGATATAACGATAATACTAAATAGGTTGTTGTTCCAACTGTTACTTTCTTTTCTTCCATTTTTGGGCATTTTGCAAAAACTTTAACATTGCATTATCCTTCTCGATATCATCAGGGAACTTGTATTCTATGATTTCTTCTTCCGAGTCTTCCTTGGTCTTCTTTACTAGCGTAGGTAACCTCCTGGAAACATTTTCAATGCTTGCCTCATCCCCATAGACATCTTCAAACTGCTTGTAAGCTTCTATTAATAGGACTCTCTTGTCCACCAGTTCTTGGCTCTTAAAATATTTAAGTCCGTCTTCAAACACACGTCTAGCATTTTCAACAGATTCAGGAGTAGCAGAAATTTCAATTTCTTCATCTTCCTCGTTCTCAAGAATTTGACGTAGTTGAGCCTCATTTGGAGCCGTGGCTTCAAACAATGCTATTTTAATCCAGACTTTCACATTTTGCTTATTCATTTCCAAAACTCTTTCCAAAACCCCTCTCGCTTTGTCATAATCGTATACCTCTTCCGATAAGAAATTAACATATTTGTACCATACAATCAAGCTATTGTTAATCGCTGGTTCAGCAGTGGCAATTTCATAAATTCCTGTGGCTCTGTCATGATCGCCTAAATTCGTTTCAAGAGTGGCATATTCTAGCCAGACGTTTATCAAATGAGGGAACTTGATGAGATAATTTTCATATAGCTTCCTCACTCTATCCATTTCTTTCAAAGACTTTTCAAGACTGATATAATATTTGAAAGTTTTTGGCTTACCATGGATACCAAGTGATCGTCCAAGTATTCTTCTTGCGTCAGTTAACTTGTGTTGGCGAATTTCAAATTCAGCATAGTTTATCCATACTTTGCTGAATGTAAATGATTCATGAGGTATGATCTCAAGAAGTCTTTTGTATAATTCTCTGGTTTTTTCAATATCTTTCATATCTAACTCGACAAAATATAAATACCTAATCCATAAATAGATATACTTCTTCCATTCCACAGTTTTTTTGGTATTAATTAAAGGTTTATTATTAACCGCCATTTCATAAACTTCTATCAAACCATTTTTATCAGCAGACAATTCCTGCATCAAAGTTATGTAAACCCACCACAAATCATAATCTGTAGGATTCTTTTCTAAATCTTCATCATACACAGCTTTTCTTTTGTTCAACAACAATAAGTTGGTTCCATCATTATCATAGTCGCCATATTTCTTCTCAAATATCAAATATTTATCAAATAATTTCTTAGAAAACTCTTTTGGTAGTTTATTTAGTCCAAACTTAAACAACAATCGACTTCTTTCAAATTCACTTCGTGACGCTTCAAATTCGATCCATCGTATCAAAACATCCTCCACTTGATCTTCTTTATCAATCTGAAACAAAGTATCTACTGCAGTTGTAAACACCTCTCTGGTAATATCAGAAGAGCCATTTTTATCCTCGCAGTTTCCCCATTTAATCCATGTCACACTATTTGGATACACAATGACATATTTTTCAAATATCTTTCTCAAATTTTCCATATTGTTACCGTTTCTTCTTTCCATATTGATATAAGTATCATAGACATTTGATCTAGGTTCGTACAATAGCCATCTTTCAAAGATATTTCTCGCACCTTGAATATTTCCCAACGATTCTTCAAGTTGGGCGTAGTAAAACCACACTTTATCGACAAAAGGTAGGATACGAATAGCTCTCTCTAGCAAGTTTCTGGCATGATTAATACTTTTATTCTTCAATTCTAAATCGGCGTATCGAATCCATAGTTGGACATTATCCTTATTGTAACCTAAAGCCCTTTCAAAAATCGATCGTACTCTCGCCATCTCATGTTGCGAAAATTCAAAATTCGCATAATTGAGCCATGATTTGACATTATGGTAGTCTTTTCGAAGATGTTTCTCAAACTCCGATCTTTTTCTTCCTTGGAATTCCTTTGATTCCTCGAGGTCGGCTATTTTATGGGCAAGGTCATCTTCATTCAACGGCATCACCGCTTGACTTTCGTAAGCCTCTTGTAGAAGAGATTCCGCCGTCAACTGTAGTGACGCGGGGTTTTTATTTTTTTGTGATCCTTCTGACATTATGGTTCATTCGTTAGATCCTTGAACTTTTCAGATATCTGGTCTTTATGCTGTTGGATATTTCTTCTCTCTGAAGGTTGTTCACCTTTGTTTACCAGAAATTTTTCTCGCATTTGACCTCCTCGCGGGCACTTAACCCCGTATTAGCAGTACCCACCATGATTAATTATTATGAGGCTAATTGGTTTTCCACAATTACAAAACTAGCCACTAAGATAAATATACATATATATATGTGCACGCGTTTCTTATAAGAGAATATAATTTATGATACTAACAACAAAAGCGAGAGAAATAAATATCAAGAGAAAAGACGAAAAGAAAAAAAAAAAAAGTAAAAATAGCCACCCAAAAATAACACTAGAAAAATGACACTAAAATAGAAGCCATTTCTCATAAAAACTAAGTAGCAAGTCTTTAAATTCAAATAAACCATATCCCAGATTAAAAGAAAACAAATAAAAAAAATATAAGAAGGTTTCAAAAGTGAAAAGAATAAAAAGAGAACAAAAATAAACAAACACAAGAAATATCAAATGTGTGGAAATGTTCGATCAATAAACAAAAAATAAATTTAAATAAAAAAAATAAAAAAATGCAGTTCTGTAACTACAGTTCAGTTCACATATTCCATCTCTACCTGTAGTTCATATTTCTATGAGGAAACTCTTCTTCTCCGGTTCCCTCCTTATCTTGGACATTAAATTTGCCCATAGAATACCGATCTAGCACATGAGGGAAGCCGTCGAGATATTCCCTCATGGTGCAGCCACCATTACTAGCTCCAGCAGTGGAATCTTTCTTCACTAAAGTAAGATTACTCAAATTATCAACATATTCATAAGAGTCTGAGCGGTTGAAAGCATAATCATCTTCTTCATCGGTACCCATAACATCATCCAAATTCAACTGTGGACCGTATTCTCCTTCATAGATAATCGCCCCTGCCTTGCGCTTCAATTCGATATATTGAAGCTCATATAAATTAATAAGTTCTGTTGCAGATGGCCTATTCTTTGGATTCGGTTCAATCATCCAATGGACCATCAAATCAAGAGTGTTTCCATCACGTAAAAACGTTGTTCTTGAGGCATTGCTCACATTGCTATGATTTGACAAAAGACTATTAACCGTTGGCATATTCGGTTGGCTAGCAGCAACGGCATGTGAGATCGTGTTAATCATAGAGTTTTCGTAATTAAACAAGTTGCTGCCTGAATCACTCGTCAAACTGGAGTAATTCTTGCTAAGAGAGGAGTTTATATTCGTACGTGACGTGGTGGCAGTCGAGGCAGTACTTGTATAGTTTGAATTTACTGATGTAGAAGCAGTATGTTGATGTGATGGTTTCGTATCATGAATGGCCAAGTCACGGAAAGACAATCTTCCGGCATCACTAAGATCACCAGATCTCAATTTTTGCCAACTAACACCGTTATCTGGCAAATAAATGTTGGCAGCAATTTCAACAATTATTAATCCAAGTGAAAAGATATCAGCGGCAGAACTGTATTCAGATTTCAATAAGATTTCAGGCGCAATATATTCTCTATCACCTTCCTTTTCCATACTGACGCCACTATCTTTCTCTCTTTTCTTTCCTTGTTGATCTTCATTAGAATTGATTTCACCATCACTGGAGAAAATTTTGGAATCCCTCTTCTTTTCAACATACTGTTTGTTTGTAATGTCTTCCATCTTGGTTGACAACCCAAAATCACCAATCTTGAGTGAACCTTCAAAGTTAATGAAAATGTTGGCAGGTTTCAAGTCCAAATGCAAAATTCCGTTTTCATGCAAGAAATTTAATCCAAATAAAACTTCAGTTACGATTTTCCAGACACGGAACTCATCCAATTTTTGATCAGAATTCTTCAATAGAAATTTATCCAATGAACCTTCTTCGCAGAATTCAGTCACGATATAGTTGTAACTATTTATCGAAAAGTTGGAAACGTAGTTGATGAGATATTCCGAACCAGTAAATTTCCGAGCGTTCTTCTTGAGATTATTCAAAATTGAAATTTCTTCATCAGGATTACAATTGACCAAACTCACATCATATCCAACTAATCCTAGGATGAACTCCTTGTCAGCAGTATTTTCAAATCTCAAAGCATACTCGCCATCACTTTGATATCTAGCAGCACGCTTGCTAAGCTTCACTGGACGTTTGCTTCTCTTAATGGCGTACTTGTAATTTTTGTAATCACACTCGAAAACTAGAGAAAACTCACCCTCTCCAGAAAGCCTAATGTTACTGCCAAGTTTCGAAACCAAGAAATCATCAGTAGCTCCCAAACGAGTTTGATTTGGTGCTTGAGCATCAGCGATGAGGATATCTGGAGATGGCTTCAGTTGAGTTTCATTTGAAGCGATGATATCTTCATAAAACCGACCAGTTGGAGTAACGGTGTTGATATCCTCGTTTAAATTAATGGATGAGCTGTTTGGCGTCTTGAGAACACTAGTATTAGCTCTAGCTTCAGTAAATGGGAAGGACCTCTGAACCGTGTCTACCGGTGTAACTATGTCATCGGTTGAACATATCCCCCTGAACGAGTTTGCTTTATTTTCATACAGTGGAAAACGTGAAGGATTAATATTCTCCTTATTGGAAGGCACTTTTCTCAGTCTGTTGAAAAATGAAATATTGTTAGATGCTGCCTGGTGCTTGAGGGTACTATCGTTTTCGGATTCATCAGTATTATGCAATGATAAATTATGGTATTTAGAAAAAGATGCTTTGGTTGGGGTTTCAGTATAATAATTATCAGTTTCTGAATTGATCATTTCGTCTTCATAATCCAAATCCTCATTCAATTTCACATCTTTATTTTTCCCGTAAAAATTCTGACTCGTCTTCATATTTACCTTTGGAGAAATTGAATCTGCCAAAGTATTAATTGATTTGAAGTTCGGGGATCTAACAAGTGAAGATGTGCTCCCATTTTGATTAGTTAAATAAGTATTGTTCTTGATGGAAGGAGAATTGGACAACCAATTAGTAGTTGGGCTCAGATTCATCATGTTGACACTGTGGTCGGCAGTTAAATTGCAAAGCATATTATTGGGACTGTTAAAGTTACTGCGGTCATCATTAATTTTTTCATTACCCCCTTGATCTCGCTTCTTGCCATTAAAGTATCCATTTCTTGAATTGTTGATTGAATCATCACTGGCATTAACCTTCAGATTGAACAAATTATCATCTCCTAATTTGTTGAGATTGAGTGGAATGTCACTTAATGGGGCCAACGATGGTCTGGATGACACAGACTTGAGTTTATCCTTTATTTTTTTGCTTGATGGTGTATTTGAAGGTGATAAAATTTTTTCAACAGATGACGGTGAATTTGATGTGGCACTTGAATATTTACCATTGCCCAAGTTTCTGGAATCGGGCGAAAAGGATGAATTGGAGGAAAATTTTAAAAATCTTGATGATTTTTTCAAATTGAAATTCGGGGAGGGGATTTTCAGAGATGCGGGAGAAAAATTTAATTCTAGCGATTTTTTGTCAAAGTTTGGTGAGTCTAACATCATCATGTCCGAATCATTGTGATCACCAGCTTCACTTTTCTTTACACTATTCAACACGTTTCTATTGTTGAATATATCGTTCACATTTTCATCAGAGTATGAAACGTATGTGCTCAATCTTGATCTTGGTTTCTCCACAGTCATCATTAGTTTTGAGGAGCTGAAAGAATTGTTAACAGCATTCTTGCACGGAGTGTCAGGAACAGGCTTAGAGAATGTAAGTCCTCCCTGATTGTTAAGAATATTTCTGCTGTCAAGAGCATTTGCGCCATGCTCATTATTTGCAAAAAATAGTTGGCTATTTTTATTTTGAATGAATGGAGAATCTGGCATTTTAAGAGGAGTTGAACTGGTAAAATTATTCTTTTTTGACATGAGGCCAGAAGACAGGAATGCGGCTTGGAAAGGCTTAACAAGCCTGTAAGAATGTGATAAATGTTTGTTTTTGTTTGATCTATTGTTGAGTCTCTGTATCAGAGAATTGTTTTTATTGTTTCCGCTAAGATTTCCTGTTTCCATATTTCTTAAGCTAAATATCTGTGGCGCATCCTTAGCATTTTGTCCCTTTGAGGAACCCTTAATTCCTCTTGTTTTTATGTCTGACGTTGACTGGGAGTTTTTAAATGTGAATTTAAACTCTGACTCCTTAGGTAGCTCATTATTCACACCTCCGACAAGTTTCATAGTTGACTTTGATGGTTCTTTCAAATTGCTGAATATGCTTGCGGTGGATTTAATGGTATTGTTGCTCTGTAATGACGAGCTCGGTACTTTGCGCATAGTTGAGAAAAGCGAGTTAGTTGTTGATCGCGAAGGGGTGGAGTCACTGACATTAGTTTCGTCATCATTATCATCTTTGAAAGGAGACCAATTCTCAACATCAATCTCAATATTATTATTATCATTGTAAGCATTGTTTCGTACTCTTCTAAATTGTGAATGAGAGAATTTGAATAGTTTATTGCAGTTGGCTATGTTCGGCGAAATAGAGTATGTTCTCTTTCCATTAATTTTTCTTTGCGGTAATGTCTGTGTGTCAGTTTTCGTTTTGATGTCAAAACTTCCAGGATTATTTTCATTCTTGGAATCATTGCGCACACCACTATGAGATTTGGTGCTGGATAGTAGTGCATCGTTATTTATAGATAGGTTGAATAGCGCGGTGGAACGCTTGAGACCCAGACGACCTAGTCCGTTCTCAGAAAAGCTCATTTGTATCTCTTTGATTTTCTCGTTGAATATATATATATATATATATATTGGTTATTGTCCTGGGAATACCCTTTTGATAATACTAATGAAGAAGTGGGAACACCAATTGTTGAGTGATAAGAATAACGCGCTTTTTCTGGATTGAAGTAGCAAATTAAATTTCACTGGACCTTTTTAGTTGTCTAGTTGTATATGTATATATGCATATACATATATATCTATTCCGTTCCACGATATGGTAGCTATTTGATTCTTATGGTGATTCACTCCTTCTTCACTAACAGTTCGCGGTTGTTTTCATTCCCAACATAAGTCGAGTTTTTTTTTTTTATTATTATTTTTCCCTGGCAGAAAAAAAAAATACCCGGTGCACGTAACCACAAATTATTTTGTACACTGTCAACCACCTTTTTGTTTACCAGCCTTCGCTGAAAATTATACCTGGTGTGTATATTGTATACACAATACCCATTTGCATTAACTGGTAATACCGCAATATTAGAGCTGGTAATTTTTTAAAAGTCACTCAAGCACTCAGTTTACAGAAATTCAAGCGAGATAAATTATATATGTTTATTATACGTCTAAGTCATGGTATGCATCATCTACTCCTTCGTGGAAGAAAGGCAACCTCTTGTTCATGGAATATGTCTTTTTAACTCAAGTGCAATTCTATTTAATTTTTTGGTCGATCCCATTTACGAATATCTCCTCCAGCTGCAATAACCCATATACCATCATCAGTGAATTGTAGTGAAGAGAGCCTGCCAATCCCACAATCAACAACTACTACCGGTTGAACGAAAGGAACTGCGTTCTTGGGAACACTATCATGAATAATCGTCTGCACTGACGGGCTTGCCGATGGAGACCCCGGTGATTTGGTGTTAGCATTACTACTTGTGGCTTTCGCATAGGTTGATAATGCTTGAGCCAATGAACGTGGCTGATCAGCATTATTAAGCGGCAAAATGATACCTCCACCATCGCGTTTTCTACTGCCAGCAGTATTACTTCTCTTTCTATTTCCTGGTCTTGCGTTACTTCCATTATGGGCGTGGTTATGATGATGATGATGATGATGATACTTTTGTTTGTTGACTAATTTGGCACTTTGAGGCTTGGGTAAAAGTCTTGGAGAGAAATCCCAAAGCAAGAATTTTCCATCATCCCCTACAGATCCAAGACGATAATTCACTGGCGTGGCAATTAAACTTGGAGGAGATTTGAGAGCATCAAATTTGATACTTCTAATCCAGGAACAGTGGCCCTCTAGGCGTGCGACCAACTTAAATTGGGGAGACAAATGTGTGGCAGTAGCAGAACGAGAGTTAGTGTTATTATTTGCACCAGTCCAGTGACTTCTAACTGGCAGATTAGCATTAGAGGTATTACTTGTGTACGAAGCTTGGTGAATGTTTGACACCTCAAAGATACTAATTAGATCATCTTGTCCCCCGGTGGCTAGATATTTTCCATCAAAAGACCACGCAGAGCATGTGAGACTGCTGAAATAACTAGGTATCACCTCTGTTAAATTTTCATTAACAATATCGAAAATTCGAAGGAATCCATCATCACAAGTAATGCTAACAAGATTCTTGATATTCAAATTTGAAATTTTTTGATGTGAGATTGTGACCAAAGAGTTGGAAGATGCATTTGGAGGCAAGTTATTGGCACCTTGTTTCTGAAAATAACTAATTGGCGCAGCCGCATTATTGAAGACACTAATTGAGGTGATTGGTAATGATGATAATTTATAATGAGTCACTGGATTCAAACTTGTAGAATTATTTTGTGAAAATGGTTTTAGTATTCTGATAAACTTGTTACTATTCTTGTTTATTTGCTTTCTATTTTGGATCATGTGCAAATAATGGTCGTCATCATCATCTTTACTCCTTGCAAACCTCAAAACTGATCCATCACCAAATCCTGCAATGAAATATTCGCCACCGCTGCACCATTCTAAGCACATCACTGGCGCATTTCTTAACAATTTTCCTTGTTTGTTAAATCTGCAATACCTATTGCAGAATGGATCATACCAAAAGATGTCTCCACTAATAAACCCAATCAAAATGTCAAGTTTAAGGTTATTGCCTGCACCGGTCAACATCCAAGTGACGCACGATATTGTAGATGTGAAGGTCATTCTCATTAAAGGATTATCATCAACAATTTCTCTAACGTGTGTTATCTTTGGTGATGTATTTGGCCTAATGCTGTATAAATTGAATACTTTTCCGTGGTAATTGCATGCCGCTGCTTCAGTAGAATTCAATTTTTTACTAAAATTCTCCACTGGTAAAGCTCTTGCTAAAAACGTTGAAGAGTTCCGAACAATCGATGTTTTCGGGGCTTTGAGATATTCATTGTGAATAATACTATTTGTACTTCCCCCAGCTTCTTGTAAACTTCTAGACATTCCTAGTTTTAACCCCCACTTGCTTTTATTAGCACTTTCGAGTGAAGTATCCACATTAATCTGCTCATATTTTAAATCTGACAGTTTGATTTTTAAATAAAGTCCATTGCATCCAGGAGTAAGGTGAACAAATTTGAAAGGATCGGGTAATAAAGGGTTGAGATTTGAGCCAAAGGGTAATTTTTCATCGACTTCGGATTTCAGCTGCAGGGATCCAGAGTTTGATCCAGTATCTGTCGCTGGAGTACTTTGCTTTTCACCGTTAGTATTATCATCCCCCGGAGTACCACTATTACTGGTCAAAGCAAAATTGTAATTGGCAAAAACCTTGGACTTGTTTGGTTGATAGTCTGGGGGTAAAGCAATATAAGTATTTGGATCATCATTGGATAATGGAGTTCTTGATATTATCATAAACACAGTCTGCTTGTATGTTCCATCAGTATTGGTGAAATCCAATGAGCTTTCACTGTTGATTATTCCGACACTATTTATGTCCAAATGACTAACTGGACAGGTTGTTGATGCTGGGTTTAGGTAGGAAGGGGTCGGGAGGTACTTTGGAGGAACAAACATTCTGGAATCACGAGTCCTATATTTGTAATGATGCTCGATGGATTCTACTTTCGGAAGAGGAGCAGTAGATGATTCTTTAGAAAAGAAATGACTAGAGCCCGATGAGTTAGAGGCGACTGATAAATTATGATCTAATTGAGGGTGTGGCAGGGATTTTTTCGTTTGTGAAGCGACGATATCTTCCTTGTAATAGCCTGAGTAAGGAAAAAGCCCTGTACCTGGATTCAACATTTTCCAAAGGCTGTTAAAGTACCTCACAATTTGTGAATTATTAACACAACAGTGAAATAGGCGCCTTTCTCTGTTTGCGGAGAGTATGCATGGAGGCCGGGTTACGCATGTACCGGAGGGGGGAAGGAAGTATAAGCAACTGAATATTAATGCGATTCATCACCTAAAGTCTTTATAATATATAAATATTGGTCTATTTAAGAATAGCATACTTAAAAATAACCACATCTGGAAAGAATCACCAGGGCTTGTTGTTATTTCTGAATAATAATTAACAATGTTTCTAATTCAGTGAACCTTATTCTTCTCATTATTTTTATCAGTGACCTTCCTTGAATTATATCATTTCTTGTTTTGTTTCTCCCTTTTATTATTTACTAGCTTTTGTAAATACATTGTTATTAATTCTTTATGCTTTACTGAGGGTTCAAAAGTCTCTATTTATTTATCTTTATTAATTTTCTAAAATATAGATTATGGGTTCTTTATATCCCAAACAATACAAGAAAAACATTTGGAGTTCGATGTCAGTTAAGAGTAGAGTTTTAATTGATCCGGTAAACAGTTGAATAAAACATTTTGGCCCAAAATATCTTCTATATTTTCATATTGTTGTTAAATGTGTAAAACTATCGACAAATACTTGACTACTTTATGGACTGCTATGTTTTTAACAACATATTCATACAGAAAGTCAAATAATGGGAAAGCAACAAAAAAAATATAATATATGCCAATTAAAACAGATAGAAATTGGAAACCATGAAAATAATAAAAGAACAATAGATAAATTACTCAAATCAGTTGATCTAGACCAAACTATATAATATTTTATTTGGGTGAATGAATGAATTGTATATTAACGAGTCACAGAGGTTCTAAATAACATGCAAGCCGGGCATTTCATGCCGGTCTTTCTAATAGGTAAGTAAAATACTATAACTTTCTCACAACCTCACACTCCTTGCTTTAAGAATTAATCACATCACCGGTAAAAAACTCAACAATCAAGATTATTAAGGAAAAAAGGTGCAATGTGAAAATATGAGATGAAGTCACTAGTGAATCACCCATCACTAGGAGCTTCATGAACTGAGATGGAGGTCTTTGTTGAGGGGTTTTGGCACTATATTTCAAATACTAAGTATTTTCAATGTAGTGACCATCAGAATTCTGGGGGGATAATAAAAATAAAAATAATAAAAATCAATAAAATAATAAAATCCAAGTAAAAAATAATTCAAATAATCAAATAGACCAAATAATTTAAATAAGTCAAAATAAGGCTTTTAAATTTGGGTTATGAGCCCCGATCTTGTCATTTATTGAAAACAAAATTTGGAAGTCTGTTAAACCTCTCCATCATCAGAGTCCGTGATAGTTTAGTGGCTAGAATCCCCGCTTGTCGCGCGGGGGACCGGGGTTCAATTCCCCGTCGCGGAGTTTTATTTTTTTGTTGTAAAGAATCTGACTTTGTTTGAATTTTTTTTTTTTTTTTTTTTCAATTTATCTACATAGATGATATTTGAATTACTATTTGGAGTTGAAGAAATGCGTAGTTTGAGTGAGTTAAATAGATCTGTTTAGAGTTTCGAGGAGCGATATGATTACTAATTGGTGAGAAATAGTAGGAGTATGTAACGTAGTACCGCTCACACAATAATAATCTACGTAACTCTGGAGCTAAGATGAAGTTTATTAGTCCTTTCCCCGTTGAGGTTTTAGAACAGACACAAATGGTTGCTGGGTAAAATACCAATTGGTATATTCATTAATGATTTTGAAAAAAAAAACATGCCAAAATCGCAGCTGTGGGGGAAAACAAGGGTGTGTAAGCATAATAATGGGGGTGTCGTTATACACAAGCAGTTTTCAAAAAACAAACTAAAAAGATTCAATCTCCCAGTGAAGCAAGCCTTCATCCTGCCACGCCCCACATCGGCAACACTGATGATATAATATCAAAGAAATGTCTTTTCTTTTTTTAATATATGCCTATATAGTAGGGGGATTGACATTCTTGCCATTGTGCTTGGTGTTAGGGTTTTACTTCCTTCGATGGTACTTGCCCAAGATTCCGGAAATTATGGATGATGAGGACAAAGTTGTCAGCTCGAATAATGACTCGTTGGCGGCGTTTTCGGACGAGAAGGCAAAGGAAGAATATGAGAATATCAAAGTCACAAAAATTGAAGAGAAATTGACTCGAGGGGTGAACGTTTATCGAAGTGGCTGGTTAACTGTCACTACTGAGTACTATGAGTTTCCTCAAAACTCATCCAACGAAAAGAATAATGAACCAGAAAACAATAAATCAGCTTACACAACATTATATAAGTTGGTTAAAAGGAAAACTATAAAAGGTGGAAATGGAAATAATGAAAAAGATGAAGAAGAGGTTAATGATGAAAATCCAGAAAAAGGCTCAACTTCGTCATCCACAAATCAAAAACGTCGGAAGAACAAGTATTTTGCGGTCCTCAGACACGGAAATCTATTCTTGTATAAAGATGAAGAGCAAACTGATGTTTTGCATGTTATTGTCTTGTCAAACCACGTTATATCACTTTGGCCTAGAGATTTACCGGACGGTCAGCTTTTTAGCAAAATGAGTGCAATTTGTGTCTTGAAGAAACATATTTCTGCATTCAGAAGTAACAGTATTAATAGTTTACTGAATACTGAATCAAATTTACCTCCTGCTCCTCCTCCAAGAGACAGCGCTGCGTCAATTGATTACGAATTACAAAATAAAAATGTTACAACCTTGGATATTCTTGAGAATGGCGAAATTCCTCCAAAGCAATCGATTTTTTACATCTATAGTGATAATAACTGTGAAAAGGAGGATTGGTATTTTGATTTGCTTAAATCCACAAAGAGATCTGAGCCTATTAGAACTGGGTCTGAGAAGGATTTACTTGAATCATCTATTTTCGCAGAAACATTTCATCCAAAGACCGCTGATGTTATTAGCTTAATACAAAACTTACACTCGTCTGAAGGCCAATTGAATACCAGATGGTTTAATGCTATTCTTGGAAGAATTTTTTTAGCATTGTACGGAACTGAGGAATTTGAAAACTATATTAAAAATAAGCTTTTACTGAAATTACAAAAGATCAATAAACCAGGATTTTTAGAAGAGTTCAAAATTGAAAAAGTCAACATGGGTAAAAGCGCTCCCTTGCTTTCTTCGCCAAAGCTAACTAAATTGACTCCCGAAGGAGATTTGGATGTAGAGGCATCAATTTCTTACAATGGCGGTATATCTTTCGAAGTCTCAACTAAAGTTAACATCAACTTGGGAACAAGATTCAAACCTAGAGATATTAGCATCCTCTTGGCGGTCACTTTGAAGCTGTTGCATGGTGATATTTTGCTTAAAATTAAAAGACCCCCAACAGAAAGGATATGGTGGGGATTTAAAACCATGCCATTTATTGATATTGAAGTTGAACCAGTGGTTAGTGCAAGACAAATCACTACGGGAATGATTACAAGAACGATTGAAAATAAATTGAAAGAATCTATTGGGGAATCGTTAGTTTTACCCTCAATGGATGATATTACCTTCTTCTCAACAAAAGGTGAAATATTTAGAGGTGGTATTTGGGATAAGTCTGGTAGACCTGATATTGACCGGGAATCTTCAATGGGACCGAGCCGAACTGAAGAAACTGTTGATTTGGTGGAGAATGAGAAAAGCACCACTTCAAAAAAACAAGGGGATAACGCTAGTAGGAAACGTTCTCAATCAATACCCAGCTCAATCACGTCAAACGTGTTGACTGATGAAGAAAATTATCCTGATGACGAGGCAGGATCTATGAAATCCGTTAATGACATAAAGCCATCAAGCACTTCTGCGTCTCTTTTCAGTTTTAAGAGGGATATAAAAGAAAAGGTTTCATCTTCATTTAAAAAAGAACCTTCTTCAGTGGTGCTTACTCCGAAATTAAATAAATCAAATTCTACAGTCAAGATCTCTAATGATCAATTTTTATCCAATGGTTCCTTTATTGCTAAAGAAGATGAAGAAGACAAGGAATTGGGAATTAAGGGCAATGAAAAGGTTCTGGATGATTTTGCGAGGGAAAGCAGCAGCCCAAACTCCAATCTTATCGATTTATCTGATGGGGATTCTAAATTTGTATCAAACTCTTTCAAAAAGATTGGGAAATGGTATTTCAAAGAAGGAGAAGATTACAGTGAGAACAATGAAAAATTGAACAATGAGGAGAGCTCAATAAAACTTTCCCAATATAGGCCACCAGAAATGATCTCATCAAGAAGGCAACCTAAAAATAGTACTGGTAGTGGAGAAAGAGGAGATTTAATGCTGGAATCCAAAGATTTACCACCGGTGAATTTTGAACAGGGAAAACGGATTGGCTCTATAGGTTCCATCACTACCATACCAGGATCATCACCAGGTAATGGAAATGATACAGCGCCAATTAGAATTACACAACCGTATGGAAAGATCCCGGAAATGACAATACCTATCACACACTCGCCTTCACAATTTATGGGTAAAACTAGTCCAGTTTTGAATGAACACGCTCCCGCTCTTCCACCAAGAAAAAATTCCAAACAGTCACAACCATCTCGAAGACCACCACCATCGCTAATGGAAGATGATGAGGCAAATAAATAGTATAGCACGAATTTAATGCTCTGATTTGATGATAAAGTGGTAAAGGAAATCCTAATCTAAATTTGCACGTGATGTTTTTTTTTTTTTTTTCTCTTTTTATTTTTTTTTCTGCCACGAATTCGAAAAATTGAATTTGGGATCAGATCAACAACGTAAAAGGTTTCACACAATATACATAAACTACAGAAGGAGCAACCTGCCATAAAATGAGGGTATCTAGTTTTTTATCAACATTCCTAGTGTTCGTATATACAACGTCCGCATTCTATTTTTATGTCAATGGTGCTGACAGAAAATGCTTCTACAAAGAATTGTCCCAGGGTACTTTGTTGATCGGTAAATATAGTGTCGAGTCCTATGATGGCAGAATAAATGATTACAAAAAAACAAATGATTTGGGGATCATCATTGATGTTGAAGAAACCTTTGATGATGATCACAGAGTTGTCCATCAAAAGGGTACTGGTGGCGGTGAATTCACCTTTACTGCCATTGATTCTGGGGATCACAGAATTTGTTTCCAACCACAATCTGGAGGCTGGTTGGCCAAAATGAAGGTCAAAATCAACGTCGAATTCACTGTGGGTGAAGCCTCAAGTCTAGATTCTAAAAATGAGGAAGTTGTTAACTCGTTGATCACCAAAGTCCATTCTTTAGTCTCCAAGGTCAATGAAATCAAGAGAGAACAAAACTTGCACAGAGAAAGAGAAGCCCAGTTTAGAGACTTGTCGGAAACTGTCAACTCTCGTGTTGTTAGATGGTCCGTTATTCAATTATTGATTTTGAGTGGTACTTGTGTTTGGCAATTACACCACTTGAGAACTTTCTTTGTCAAGCAAAAATTGGTCTGAAGTAATCTATCTGTAATCTCATATTAGATACACTTATGGTATATTGTATCTACCAGCAATCCCCTCCACGAACTTAATGCTGCTATTTATTCCATTGCAGTCTGATATTCTATGATTTTATCGTCCTTGGTTTAATGAAGAACCGTTTCATTTGTTATATGTATCACAAAGTACAATAACCTTCCATTATATATAATATTATATACTTGCTTACTATTGTCACTATAATGTAATTTCATGAATATTTATTTAGGGTCTTTTTCATGAACTTGTAGAAGGTCAAATAGTTCGTTGATGAGAAGCTTGATCCAATAGCGCGGGTAATGTATAATCGTCATTGTTACGTCTCAGAAAAAATAAAAATAAAAATATAGGATGCTACTTGAAAGCCAGTACATGGAAAACTTGCACCAACAACTACCGTCACCATGTTTAATAGTGTATTTAAGACAGGTATATATGCGCACTATACCGTCAGCTCAACTCCAAGTTTCACCAACACTCCTTGGACAATCTACAATGCAAAAAGTACCAAGACAAAGCAGCCATGTTCATTGTTCAAATTTGATAAAAAGCTCTTTGAACAATACGTTTATAGCAGCTCCAATAATTCATTCAATAATCTCAGCAGATCAACATACAAGATGATTTTGGCGGAAGCCACCAACTATATTAGAGCTTATGTCAACAACATGATCAAGTTCAAGCATCCAAATATCTTATCGGTTATTGAACCTTTGGAAGAACGTCAGAATAGCATGATCTTTGTCACTGAGTTGGTCAGTACTGATTTACAGAATTTTGTGAGGGACCAAATTAGTAAAGGGGATTACAGCGAAAACCATTTGATTTTGATTAATGGGTTGTCGCAAGTCTGTGGGGCTATGGAATTCTTACACAACAATGCCAACGTCATCCATTTAAACTTAATTCCTTCCAGTATATTTATAACTGAGAAACTTGATTTCAAACTTTCTGGTTTCAATTTCATTGAGAAATACGATCCAAACAATAGTAGTTATAACTTTATCATGTCTGATGAAAGGTTTCCAAAGTTCTTGTCAATAAATTACGACTATAGTGACCCTTCGTTAGTAATTGATCATGAATTGTCATATGCCAACGATATGTTTTCGTTGGGGTGTCTTATCTATCATTTGTTGAATGACAAACCTGGAAGAAAGATTATGAACTCAAATAATGATATGTATGACTATAAAGCGGCCGCTAATAAAGTTAGAACAGGAAATATAAAGTACCATTTCAGTGAAGATTTCTTGAACGCCAGCTTTAAAAAATTGATTGATAATAATTCCAACATGAGATTCAGCATAGAAGAATTTAAAAGTTCTAGTTTCTTCAATAATGAGCTATTGAACTCCTTGGATTTCATTAATAATTTCAATTCAAAGACTTTACTCGAGAAAAATGTCTTCCTAAAAGGCTTCAATGCCAGAAATTATTTTGCGAAATTCCCAAAATTTATTCTTATTGATAAATTCCTACCAATTTTGAAAGAGACTATTGCTAGTATCTCTAATCTTGTGATTTTCCCAATAACCTTGACCTGTATTTTGCGAATCGGGAAGAATTTATCCAATCTTTCCTACATCAATTTATTATTGGAAGTCTTCAAACCAATCATGATTAAAACCAACAGCAAAAAGGTGGAATTAAACATTATATGTTTCACAGAAATTGAAATCATTATCCTTGACCACCTAAAGACTATCTTGAGTAAAATTAATACCTCCACTCCCGCGAGTTTTAAGAAGGTGGAAAAATCGTTTTTGGTACCATTAATCAACCACATATTGGCTGACGGAGCCATGTCTATTGAGCAGATACAGAATGAGGCTAATAGTAACGCTATTCAGAATGCTTTTAATACAGTCAAGACTCTTGGCCAAGTATCACCCGAAAAATTGAAGATTCAAGAAAAGTTTCTATCAAACTTATCACTTATCATTTCGACTTTGAGTAAACAAAATGAAGCTAACGCTTCAAGTGGCACTGATAATGGAGTGGTTGGGAGCGTCACTAATAGTGTCGCTGGTGTTGCAAATGCTCTTTCTGGAAATATTTCAACCATCAAATTTATTGAAAATGAGATTTTTCCAAAAGTGTCGCAACTTTTTAAAACAACTGCATCTTTGACCATTAGAGTGGAGGTGATAAATAATTTTATTATTTTGGTTAGAGACAGATCACTTTCTTCAACATTTGCGGCGAAGAATATTATCCCAATGTTAATTGGTATTAAGCAGAAAAATAATCAATTAGTTTTGAAAGGATTATTTGATTTTTACAGCCTTTATTACAATATCGATGATTTATTTGATAAAGAACTATTAGTGGGAACAATATTACCAGAATTGTTGAAATTGGCATTTAATAGCAACGAGTTGACAATTGAGAAATTCAACGAGTTCTTCACGTTAATTTTACAATTCGAGAAAAAACTCAAGGAAAAACAAGTACTCTACTTACAAAAATTCGATGAGAAAAATACAATCAAGAATCAGAGTATGAGATATTCTAATAATGATAATGATTTGAACAGTCCACTTGGTTCGCCGATTAATGATGAGCAAGCTGCGACTTTTGAATCCATTCTCGGTGGTAATAATAACGGCTCCCAAAACTTTGCCACCAGCAACTCTTCAAATGATGTAGCTAATATGAATTCGATGTTTGCAAGCTCTATTAACCTTGATTCTCAACAGGAACCTAAAAAGATTCCCAAAAGCACCCCTGGGGCTTCTACTGCCAACGTGCTAACACCATCAAGAAAACCATCATCAAATACAATTCGTCATCAGCCTCTGTTTGGGGCCATGACCCCAACTAACCAGATGGGCTCTCCAAGCTCTGTGGATGCGCCATCGTTTGGAATGACGAGTCCAACAAGCACTTTCGGAGTCATGCAGCCGACATTATCTACAATAGAACCGACAAAAAGCACAACGACGACAATTCCAGGAAATTCTTCCAGCTCCAATATTGATTGGTCTCTGGAATCCACAAAGATCAACTCTGGGAGACTTACTATGGCGTCCAATAACGTATTGAAACCAAAAACTAAATCTGTAACAAGTGGGACTGCAACATCAACTAAGAATTTTCCGCCGGGGTTCTCCTCTGGGTTGATCCAACCTACCAAACCAAACAATAATAATAATAATAATAATAATAATAATAATAATAATAGTGATAATAACAGTGATATTTTCAAGAAGGCTTCAGACGATTTCTTCGATAGTTTTATATAGATATCACAAAGGGATTTCAATTATTGGTATTTTTTTTTTTTTTTTTTTTTTGCATGTAAGTGAAATCTTGCTTTAAATAATATACTGGTGAGAGATTAGGCAGATTTGACACATCAGGTATTTGACACACCGAAAATTTAAAGACCATAGTGAGTATATTAACCTCATACTCTCCTAATATTGGTGGTGAACTTCGCAATTCATGGTGCAAAGTGTCAATCAAATTGCATCAGCGGATCTCTGCGGGTCGCTAACCGGGGCCCGATAGTGACCCACCCCCAAAACTCCCCCAGAAAATTTTCGTGATTTTTAAAGGACGCACAGTCATTTATCTTTCCTTGATCTTTAGGAAACTTTTGTCGGTTTACAACACCTACAGAAAACAGGCCAAACAAAGTAGAATATTTCCGAGATGTCTGATACTAGGCGTATGTATACTGAATCATCTGTTATATTTTCAATATAGGGCTCTAAAATCCCCCAAAAATTTACAAAACCCTCCCGAAGCTTGATACTAACTTGAAAATAGCACTTCCATTTACCTACCAATTTATTGCCGGGGCAGTTGCCGGGATCTCTGAAATCTTGATGATGTATCCCCTTGATGTTGTCAAGACACGGATGCAATTGCAAGTCAATAAGCCTACCGGGGCTATTGGTGAACAATACAGCGGGGTCTTTGATTGCATCAAGAAGATTGTTAAGACTGAAGGTCCAACTAGATTATACCGTGGTATCAGTGCCCCAATCATGATGGAAGCCCCAAAGCGTGCCACCAAGTTTGCGACTAATGATGAATTTGGGAAATTCTACAAAAAATTGTTTGGAATGAACGAAATCAACCAGCCGTTGGCTATCTTGAATGGTGCTTCTGCTGGGGCTTGTGAATCGTTTGTGGTGGTTCCATTCGAATTGGTGAAGATCAGATTACAAGACAAGACCTCTAAGTACACTGGGGCTATTGATGTCGTCCGTAAAGTTATCCAACAAGAAGGGATCTTGAGAATGTATAATGGTTTGGAAGCAACTCTTTGGAGACATGTCACTTGGAACGCTGCCTATTTTGGTTCGATTTTCCAAATTCGTCAACTCATGCCTAAATACGAAGATAAGACCAAGAGAATGTTGGTTGATTTGGTTAGTGGGTGTATCGGTGGTATTACTGGTACCGTGCTTAATATTCCATTCGATGTGGTTAAGACTAGAGTTCAGAACCAGGTTCAAGTTCCAGGAGCTAAATTGAAGTACAACTGGGCTTGGCCAGCTTTAGCTACCATTTATAAAGAAGAGGGTGCTGGGGCTTTAACCAAGGGTTTGTTGCCAAAGGTTATGAGATTGGGTCCAGGTGGTGGTGTCTTGTTGGTGGTGTTCACCAAGACTATGGACTTCTTCAGAGGTCACTATTACCAAGATGGTAAGAAACCTGAAACTCCAAAGAGATTGGATTAAATGGATACAGAATATTTATAGTTTGTTTTTATCTTTGTTTAGTTTGCCAATTCCTAGATCTGACTTCATATTCCCTAATGTAAAAACCAGTCGAATGATGAGCGAATCATTTATAAGACCGATAATGTTGAATACATGAAAGACAGCCAACAAGTTAATGATGGTTGAACATGACTGAGTATCTTTTGCGACATCATGGGTATTCAGGTTTTTGTTAGTTAGTAGATATATCTCTCATGTATGGGTGTTACAATTATTCGATGTGGAGTTGTTACAATTAATATTTTCAAAAACATCAACAATAGCAGATACTTCTCTTTTTTCAATTCGTGAATGTAAAGATTATACTTGAAGAGCTGTAGTCTCTTTCCTACACAGATAAGATCGTCGTATAGAATCTACAAGCATTCTCAAGCTAAAATATTAAAGCACACAAAACAGAAATAAAGAATCACATATTTGACTAATTATATATCTTCCTCTTTTTCAATAACTATTCCCCAAAAAGTAATGATTGAAGTTTGACGCGGACTTCTTGTACAACTTGGTAGCAAAATTATCTTCCGGCTTTATAAGATAAGGATTCTCATCAAAAAAGTAGCTCTTTACTTTTCCATACCATGAGGTAGTCCCGCCAAACTTTGGTAAACTTTGTGAATTGATTTTTGCCAATTGAGTGTTGAAATTGTCGGCAAGCCCAGTGTACACCGAGTCAAACGACTTGATAGCCCTTTCATACAATTCTTCAAAAGTTCCCTCGGTGTTCTCCTTATGCACTTGTAACCAACCTTGCAAATCTGGCAAACTCCAATCTTGGAAATACTCTCTTGCTGCGGTATCAACTTTTCTCAAATTTTCTTGCTTCAACTGATCCACTAGCTCCTCATAAGTATCCATTGCACGATTGTACAACTCATCGGCGGTTCCTTCGGTGGATTTTTGGTGTTGCTGCAACCAAAGCTTCAAGTCATCAAGAGAAAGCGTATCAAACAACAACAGTGGAACTTGCGACTTCATCGACTCTTTAACCCTCAATAACGCATCAGCAGAATCATCTCGGAATTTAGCGACATTGTTTTTTTCCTTGTCAATTCTTTGATTAACTTTCAAACTTATCTCAAAGTACTTCTTAAGCGACTCATGTTTGCCCTCATTGAACAAAGTTATCGCATTTTCATGGGCATTATTAAGGGATCCTTTAACATCTTGTTTGCATGAAGTCAAATATTCCTTGATGTCATCCTCGTTCCAGCCCTCAAATGGCTCGCCATGAGTCAAACAATACTTGGTGTAGTCAGCAGCAAAGGACACTCTCTCCCCAACAGTATCATATATATCATGAGCTGATTTCTTCATCCAGTCACCAAAATGCTTGGTGCCATCAATGAATTCCCCAGCTTCTTGGCTAACAGCATAAATGTGGGATCTCACCAAATTGATCAACTCAGAACGACTATCTTTTTTACTATAGACGATTCCATGACGATCCAACCATTTTTTCAAAGCTTTATCATTCCAGGATTCGTAAATCCAGTACCCAGGATAGCGTCCAGAAACCGAGCTTCCTGGCTTGTGGGTTTTTGATTTAACATCATTAACAATGTCAGACCAGTGGTTCTTGATAACCTCAATCAATTCAGAATTAGACAAGACGTGTGAAGTCTGGGTATTGGAGAGCTTCACACCATGTGCATGAATAAACTTGTACAAGTCCTGTTTTGACCAGGAGTTGAAGATCCAATCTTGAAAGTTTTCCATATCTTGGTAAGATGGAAGGCTGCTGCCGGTCCAAGAATTGACACTAGGCACCTTCTCTTTTACCGAGCTCCACCATCCCAGAGCACTGGAAGTTGCAATGGGGCTACCAAGATAAGCAACCTTAGACCATTGCTTACTCGCAAGGTCTTGTAAGTGCTCATATCCGGAATCAAAATCAAAGGAGACCCCAGAGTCAGATAAGTAGTCTTGTAAGTCTTTGCTGGTCCACGACTTAATAATAGAAGGCGATAACCGAGCATTATCATGCTTATGGAATAACCCTTCTGTGGCCCCAATTATGACGATCAAGTTGAAGATCACTGAGAACTTCATGATAAAATATTCTTTGGTTTGTATTTATTAGATGGCTTGTTTTTACTTTGCTTATTTATTTGTATGGGGTGCGATAGCTCAGGCAATCAGAAGTTGGATTTGTGTCTTTGCCCATAGCTATATATCTCATGGAAAAAGAAAAGAAAAAAAGCAAAATCTCATTTTTAATTATAATATAAACAAGCAACCAAACTTTTAGCAATAAAATCGTCATGGGGCATATATGCCGTTGGACCTAGCAATGTATTGAGAGCATCTGTACATAACTGACGCAGCTCGAAAACCTAGACATTGTGACTGTAAAATAACAACAATAACATGTTACTTACTTTTTTGTCATTTATTTTTATTTTCAGAATAATATCAATTAATAGCATAATAATTCTTTACAGATAATTGAATAGCAGTGCGTGGAACCTCTGAGTGCCATAACTACATAGCTGGTAGCAATGTATTCAAATCTTGGGTTAAGGATTTATCCAGGGGATACCATGTGCGGCAGGTATTATGATACTTTGGGTAAACCGTGCTATATACCATTGCAAATTTTTTAACTGGTGCTTCTAGTTATATATTGGTAGTAGTGCTTATGCCAAACGTGTCTATTGGTCGTAGCATACAATTATATTGTTACAAAAACTGCCCAGCGTGAAATGATAATACAGCAGAACAACAAAACAAATTTGGGTATTATCAAGAAAGATATGCGGATAGATAGCACTTCGGTTGTTACAAGGGAGTTTGCACCAGCTACCAAAGACACCTATCCTGTCATCAAGGGAAAATCTAGACCACCACGCAAACTTCTAGCAATACCTACAGGGTGAAAACAACCAGAAGTGATGTAACGGTTCTGTCACCGGCAGACAGCCCCGACATATCACGTGGCGAGACATCACTTCTGGTTATCTTTTTGCGGGGTAATCTAATCCATTCTTGAAATTGTTAGCGTTATTAATAATCATTGGCGGGATCATTGGCCTCTTTGGTTTATTTTATTACTAGGCTTTTTTTTCAAGTTCTCGTTGTAAAATGACAAGAAGGTGCTGGGGAATCTCACAAGAGCTCATGGAATATCATTGTAGAATACCTAAGGATTGAATGCTTATTGTCATATAATCAATCGTCATATATTCAAAGAGAATAATAAAAGAACAATCACTCAAGGATGCAGTTGCCATCATTACCGTCCAGTCTTGTTCCAATAACTTCAACTAAACATATACACCAAACTTGGGCGAAAACCTTCACAACTAAACCCGATTATTATTTTCAACCACGGAATGTGGCAGAGGTAAGGCAAGTGGTGAATTTTGCCAGAGAAAATGGTGCGAGAATTGTATGTGTTGGATCTGTTCATTCCCCACTGGACTTGGCAGTTGAAGATTCTAAACTGAGAGATAACAAACTCAGACCAGGGAGAAAAACTGATGGCGATGGGGAAACATATTCTATCAAAGAGGATGAACGAACTGATGACAAGTTAGTTGGTCTTGATGAGCGCTTGAAGCGTACAGCATGGGTGATGAATTTGGACTTCATGGATAAAATTGTTGATATAAGTTGGTGTGAATCTGGGAAAGGCAGAAAATCGAAAAATATTGGTAGCGTAGATAATAATGAACCCAACATCAACGAGAAAATTGACGTTGATTCTTCTATTGAGAATATTAAATACTGCAATGATTTTGATTACGCTGATATTACTGTTCAAGCCGGGATAAGGATTTATCAACTTAATAACAGTTTAGCGTCCTTGGGGCTTGCTTTTCAGAATTTGGGAAATATTACTGATCAATCCATTGCAGGATTGATTGGTACAGGGTCTCACGGATCAACAGCCTACCAAGGCCCGCTTGATCGCCAAGTGCTTGAGCTTTGGATTATGGATTCCCAAGGAGAAGTGTGGCACTGTAGCGAGTTGAAGAATGTAGAATTGTTCAGGGCAGGATTAGTTTCCTTGGGAAAGATTGGTATTATTGTGGCGGTTAAGTTAAGATTTGTCAAGAAGTTCAAGATTGGCTATAGAATTGATGTAGTTGGATTCGGAGAGTTGTCACGTTTATGGCCAAATTTGTGGACTGCCAGTGAGTTCGTCAGAGTGTGGTGGTATCCTTATACTGAGAAATGCGTTATTTGGAGAGGATGGAAAATGGATAACAATAATAATAATGGTTCTGGAAAAAATAAATTGATTCCTGCTATTCTGTCACTAGTTAAAAAATTGATCAAGGTTTCAGCTACTGCTATCTGGAAAGTAATTCATGAAGTGTTATTGTATATTTGTATCCGTTACTATCCATCGCTGTTACCTATACTTTCACGGTATGTATTTTGGAAGGAGTATGGAAAAGCTCCAGCTTTGGTTCTGTTATATGGCATTGACACTGATGAATTAACTGTGAAAGATAGCACAGATGCTTTTGCAGTTGACTGTCTCTATTCACAGTATGTAAATGAATGGGCCATACCTATAGATGACGGAGTGAATTTCTTGGAGACCTTCAATAATGTTATTGATGAAGCCAAGAATAATAATCAGTGGTACATCCATGATCCCGTTGAACTAAGGTGCTCTAACCATAGCATTAATGAGCAAGTTTCTGTTCCATCCTCTGAAGGAATTACTCTGCAATGGGGAGCGACTGCTGGGAACAGTGTTGGAGGGTATCTTGATGCCACTCAAAAGGGTAAAGAAGTAACATTATACGTTAACCTTGTGACATATAGACCGCTTGGATACCCTACAAAGCATGGGAGGGCCTCCAGAGCATTTGAAAGCTTATGTGTTGAGCATGGCGGACTACCGCACTGGGCCAAGAACTTTATTGGTAGTAAAGAGTACTATGATGATGATAATGATGATGATAATGATGATGATGATGATAATCGATTGATTGGTTACAGACTGCTTATCATTGAGCGCTACGGTGATGATTTGAAGCAATGGCAAAAGGTCAGGCTTGAAATGGATCGCCAGGGGGTATTTATCAGCAGCTATGGGTGGTGCCTAAGAAACGGGCTATTGTGAATTGCAGCCGGAGTTTTGTGTGGTGACGGAGTTCAGCCCTTGGGGGTGTGCGGCCGCCTGGGGTTTTTGTTTCTGTTTTTTTTTTGTGGAGAAGCGGAGAAGAATTTGTGTGGGGTGCATCATGCGTCGTCGATCATCGCGGGACGTGGGGTGAGAGAGATTTTGTTTCTTGTTTTCCGATTTTCTCTTTTTCTTTTCCTTTCTTGTTCCAGAGTTGGAGACTCAAGAGATTTGGGATGACACATGTATACATACTACATACATAGGATAGTTGACATATCTTGTATTAACAAACACTCCGCTTTCATATCGACACCAGTTAAACCAAACAGTATTAATGAATACATAGTATGGTCTTCCTACTATAAAAAAAAGCTATGCGGTTACATCACCGTCACCACAACAATACCACTGGCCCCCCTTCAGTGTTTAGGGTAACTAAGTCTCCGCACATGCGTCAAATTAAGCGTCGTCCTCCGCTATAAATTTGGCGGGGCACCCCCAAAATCTGCAGTCGGCGCTCGCCGCCGGTGCAGCGACCCACAGTGCGAAGCATGAAACATATTTATATATGGCCCAATTCCTCGAGCCCTCAGAGTTTTCTTTTACAAGAAAAAAAAACACTCCCCGTTTACAAGAATAAATGGAATCATCATTTTAAGAAAACAAAAAATAGGAAGCTATGTCTGATTGCAAATCAAAGGCTAAAAGATCAAGAAGCGGCTGTTTAAGCTGTCGCCGTCGTCACAAGAAATGTGATGAAACCAAACCAATTTGCAAGAGTTGTGCGTCACGGAATGCTTATTGTGAATGGCCAATCAAAGGGATTTTCAAGCAAAAAAACTTGAGCAACAAGAAGAAAAGCTCGTCATTCAGCACTTCCAAGACTCCAACTACAAATTATCACCAAATTTTAAATAGCGAGTTGAATAATTTGTTGCATACTGCTAGTGATGCTAGCACTACCAACACCAACACCGCACCATCTGATCCAAATAATCCAAACACCGGAGATACAAACTATCTCCCAGAAAACTCAAGCTCGAACATTTTCGATTCATTGCGTAAAACTCCATCATCTAGTACTTTGGCTTTGATGGATCTATTGAACAATAATCCGCTAGAGAATCAAAACCCAAGATCTCATTCAATATCAAGCACAAGCCCTTCCCTTTTCTCAAATATTCATCCGTCATTCTTGTCAGATTCAAACTCAAATTCAAGCTCTTCTTCCCCAACAGCAACTTCTGATTTTGAAGAACAAAGTACAAAGCAAACCCCTTCCAGAGTTCAAATTAGTGAAGATATCATCCTCACGAACCTACAATACTCTTCAACTTCTCTCTATTTCCAACCTTCTCCTGATCATTCATACTATGCTACATCGCATGATATACTAAAAGATTATTTGCTAGCTAATACAGTCCTCAATAATAGAAGATTGGAGATCACGAATGAGGAGTTATTAATTTCAAAGCCAAAATCTGAAGTTTCTACCAGTGACTTCTCGTCTTGTACAAATATAATGCTCAATGAGTTCAATCTTCACGTTAAAAAAGATTCTTGGGATATCAAATGTCAGAAATCAAAATTATTAGATTTGCAAAAAGATTATTACAAAGTCTTGTCTAACAAAACTTCCAAATTGTTTGATTTTTCCCCCCAACCTTCCTATTCTAATACTGATCCTGAGAACCTTGATTTCTCTTCCCTTTATTCAGTGCTTTTGTCCCCTCAAGAAAATAATAGCTCACGGCCAATTATCCCAATTTCAATGAAGAAAAAATTGGTACAAACTTTCAATTCGTCGATTTTACCAATTCTTGAAATTCCATCTGATCTGAAAAAAATGGTATCGAAAATTATTTGGAATGCATTGGCTGAGTCAATAGACGGTAACTCTAATTTAAATCCCTCCCCTTCAACGTCTTCTACTTCTTCGGCACCTTCCAATGCTCTTCCTGATGGAAGTATGATCATCTGTGCCGTGCTCGCAATTGCCAGCAGAGTTGAAGATCTACACCAGATCTCTCATTTCCAAACCTCTCAGTTCCAAAAAGGTTTGAATAATGAAGAACATAATCCACAAATACAGCTAAATAAAATCACATTGGCCTTGTACAACAAAGCAATCAAATTATTAATTGAATCGATGACCATCCCTCAGAACACAACTTCTAAAGAAGCCTCGGTATCGCCATCAATTACCGTTACTCCCTCTGAAAAAGTACAGCTCTTGACTACTCTGTTATTATTATTCATATTCCAATTATTAAGCTGTCCTTCTCACGAGTATCCAAGTCGTTTGAACCATGTAATTCAATATATGAAGCTGTTTGGTTTACACGGCTTCAACAATATTGATGATTCATCAATAGATAAGAATTCCAGTTCTGTCACTACACAGCCAATCGGATCTAATATTTTTAATCCAAAGATGAGCACCAGAAAACTCAATGCTACATTATCTCAATTATTTTGGACTTTTGTACATATGGATCTTCATTTTGCAATGTGTTGGCAAAGAAAACCATACATTACAAGTATGGAATATTTACCAAAGAGTTTCTATGATACATTGAATGAAAACTTGAAGAATTCTTCTTCTCCGTTAACTTCCAATGACAATTTGACTAAATCTGTGATCAATTCCAGAAACTCCAACACAATGACCATTATCAAGCATTTCTTCCTCTCTTACTCTACCGGTTCTCCTTCCCACTGTGTGAATTCTACAAGAGTTCATTCCGGATTAATTGATGATGATGAAACATATGTTAGTAATTATTGTGGGTACTTGGTGTATCTTGCGGCAAGAGTCTTCGAACTTGTTTATGGAAGTGGTCTTGATAAGAATAAGAATAAGAATCGGAAGAAATTCAAAGATGATAATTCCAGCAATAACTTTGAAGCTAATGATATCAGTGATGATGTCCAAGTGGAAAATAATAGCATTATGGATGATGTTTCTTGCTTCCTTCACAAAGGCACTGATAAAACACATCAAGACATGAAAATTGCAAATTATGGCTGCAATTCCAACTCATATATCCAGGAATGGCAAATGTTGCAATATGAGCTTGATCAATGGCATCAATCCCGTCCTGAAGAACTACAGAGTGTGATAAATGATAATGGAATATGTCATGGGGATGCTCTTATAGATGTACAGGATGGTGGGAATGGAAGTTACGGAGTTTATAATGTTAACAATGGTTCCACTGAAGGAAGTGCTGCTAGCAGAAACCCAGTCATTGGAGGCCGTTCGTCGTCCTTTTCTGGCACAGGTAAAATGAATCATTCAAGAATTGAAGTTGATGTGGGCACCACCTGGGGTTTGAAGTTTCCAATGATTGTGTACCAATCTTTTCAATCAACCGTGGTGAATTCAATTTGGCATGCTTCACAATGTGTGCTTTGGGAAGGCGCTCCTTTACCAGAAAAACAATCTGACAATGGTGATACCAATGATTCAAAACAAGATGAAGATCCTGAGAATTCTAGGATAGGGGACTCTTTCAAAATCCCACCAACTAACCATCATTCTGTGTTATCCTATTCATTGCCATCACAACAGCATGCCTCTCTTGCCATCCTAAATGCCACCAAAGTAGTGGGTATATCTCTTAATGATCCAAATGCCACTAGTGTCTCATGGAATCTTGGGGCTATTAGTATTGCAAGCAATGTTCTTAAAAAATACAGTGGCAAAAGAGTTCTGGGTATAATTTGGTATTATGATCTGAAGGAAGTTGTGAGAAAGTTATGGAGAGGGGAGGTAGGACACGCTACCAATGAGTCCAATCTCGACAGTAATATGAATAGTGAATGTACTGGACATTGTCAATTGAGAGGAACAGGTAATGCGTGGCCTGTTAGATGGAAGTTTGGAGACTTATGATTTTTATCGAAAACAGTTGATATGCTTCAATGATTTTTTTTTTTTATCTTATTAGAATATCATAAATTTTTCTTGCTATTCTAGATATGCTATTTTTTTAATTTTTTTTTTGTCTTTTTTTTTTTTTTCTTTTGAGGTTTTATCATTTGATTATCTACAAATAATACTTGATTTCAGAATTTTTTTGTGATGTTACTACCAGCTCGATTGTAGTAAATTTATGAGCAGTTTTGACTGAATTCATATGCGTTAGTGAAAAGAATTTCTTTATTTTTTTTAAATCAATATTGATTTGATATCAAAGATTAAAGAAAAGGCTCACCTACCAAGGAGGGCATGTACCAGTGAATCTACATTAATATTATTTCATATATGTATTGCGATAAGATTAATTAACAAAATCTATTTGATTTAATAAACATTGACTAAAAGAAGAGAAAATCAACACAAATAGATAAACAAAACTGGATCATAGGTAAAATACAAAACAAGAATGCAAGATAAACAAAGTAAAATAAGAAAAACGGCTTTCGATTATTATTTTTTCCATCATTTGAAATCCTTATAAGACCATTTCTCAGTAACCTTTGGAGTGTATCTTCTCTTCTTATTAACCCGCAATCTAGTTTCAATTTTACCCTTACTTTGCAAGCTTCTCATTTGATCATATAATAAATTGCCTTCGGGTTTCAATTTTCTCAAAGAGTCATTCAATTCATCACTCAATTTCACTTCTAATGTATCATCAATAACATGGTATTTTGTACCCAATTTATGACTCTTACGCTTTTTGGTTTGGTTTGCTTCCTTGGTTTGCAATATACGTTCTTGTTTGGAATCAACTTGTTCGGAAATATCCTTCACCTTTTGCAAAGAAGTTATTTGTTGTTTAAGTTCCTTGAGTTCTTTTTCAAGTTTCAATTTCTCCTGGTGACGCTTTTGCTTGTTTCTTTGGGCACGGGTCTTTTTGTTGTTTACAACCGGCTTGTTAACAGAAACACGATGCTTGTCATCACCTTCTTCTTCATCTTTTTCTTCTTCGGATTCGTTTTCGTCATCATCTGACTTTTCTTCATCATCATCCAAAGTCTCAATTAATTCCCTGATTCTTTCTTGATATTCTTCCAATGCTAATCTCTGATCTTCCTTGGTCTTTTCTTGGAAATATTCTTCATTGATCAAGTCTTTCCAAGATACCAATGATGGATTGTAAGATTTACCAGAATGTGGAATCGTAGCAAGTTCCTTGACAGTAATTGGAGCTTCTTTAAGAGTTTTTGGAACAACGGTCGCTGAAGTGTAACTTTTGATACTTTTTTCCTTGAGAATATTTGGCATTTCAACCTGGTTTTTCTTCTTTGGTTTGGTTTTCTCATCTTCCTCTTCCTCTCCCCAAACGTCATAAGCTTTCTTTTTTCCAGACAAACCATGCTTAGAAGCATTAGCTTGAGAAGTAGTGACTCCCTGAACTCTACCGGCCACCTTCATCAATCTATTCACCTCTTTCCCACTCACTCCTTCAAACTTCTTCTTACCATGCTTTGGAGTAACCAATGCTGGAACTTTAGATCTTTTTGCTAAGATTTCATCCGCCTTTAATGGCTTCACCGTGACGTTCTTCTTTTTCAAAATCGTGGCATCACCAGCAACATCTATCTGGAACAAAGAGTCTGATTTGATATCTTCAACTTCCGCCCCAAGGATCCGAAGTTCTTCACGACGTGACTCAATCGATTCTTCAACTTCCGAGATGTCGATATTTTTACGCCAGGCCTTCTTGCCCTTTCGTGATGACTGGCTAGTCTGTGATGGTCTTCCAACTTCTGGCATTTTTCTTTCTTTCCAAGTAATGATTTGAGTAGTTCTAATAATGTTGATATTATCCTAAGAGAATGAGACCAGGATCACTTAATAATCTTTAATATGGAATAATTGTTTTCCTTTGAAATAAAAAAAAAAGAATCACTAATATTATCTAGATAATGGTGTGTGTTAGGTAATTTATCACGATATTAATCGCCTAAATGATGTGAAATATTTTTTTTTTCCTATGCGATGCCCTCAGTGAAAAAAAAAAAAAAAAAAGGAAAAAATTTCACTTTTAGTCATGAGATATATGCATATTGTGACATTAATGTGCATGCATCGATTGGATATCTGATGAAAGTTCATTATTATTTTTTTTATGTTTTACCCTTCAAAAGATTCACTGATAAGCGATATTCGATAGCTACCGTATATATTTTTTTTCTGTTTCACATCATCGTGTTTATTGCGTTCAGGCTGCCTGAGGTTCTCATTTATAACGCATTTACGGTAATGGGGTTTGACATAAAAGATTGGAGAATGTGTGTCAAAAAACACTGTTGTTGACCCAGAGCTGGTCACTGAGTGGACGCCACGACGTCTCACCCCACAGCCCTATTTTTCGGTGGAGGGGGAAGATGGAAAGAAAAATTGATCGTGGGTCTCTTACATAGTCCCAAATTTTCGCTAAAAATTGATGTGGATGGTGACATTACCAAAACGCAGTACTAAAGCTATAAATACCTTAAAGTGATACAGGACCCCAATATTACCAAAATAAGTAAATCCTGTTATACAAAAGTACTAAAAAGGCAATTCTGGAGCATATTAGCACTAATGCAGCTACAAAAAGGTTGTTCTTGCATTTGCCAAAGGCTATGAATGTACCCTATATGCCTTTCGATAAGAATGTTGATTTCAAAAAAAAAAAAATAACTGGCTGATGCTAATTTTGATATAAAAACAATAGCTATAGCTCATTTCTTAATTCTCAATTCTGTTATTTATTATTATTGTCACTATCATCACAAATATAATCATACAGCTGGTTATCACATCCATACAATCTTATCATCATATTGTTCAATCACCATGAAATTCTCATCTTTATTAAATTTCGCAGCTACTGCTCTCACAGTATTCAAAACTTCTGAAGCCGCCTACAGTGCCACCGGTAAGAACAATGCGGTTTATTGGGGTCAAGGTTCTGGTCAAGAATCTTTGGCTACTTACTGTAAAGCTGGAAATATCGATATTGTCATGCTTAGTTTCTTGAGAGACTGGGATGCCTCCAGTGCTTCTTTCAACTTCGGTAACGCCTGTGGTACCGATGGTACTTGTCCTCAAATTGCAGAAGATATTGTAACTTGTCAAAATTTGGGTATCAAAGTTTTGCTTTCTCTTGGTGGTGATAAAACCCTTGGTACTTACGGTGTTCTGTCTGATGCTGAAGGTGCCAACGCTGCTAAAGTTATTTACAACATGTTCCATCCTAAAGGTTCCGCCTCTGTCAAGCCATTTGGCACTGCAGAAATCGATGGTCTTGACTTTGATATTGAAAACGATAACCAGAATGGTCTCGCTAGTTTGGTAGTCGAGATCAGAAAATTATGGACCACAAAGACGTTGCTTATTAGTGCCGCTCCACAGTGTCCATACCCAGATAAGAATGTTTACAAGATGTTGGAAGATAAAAACGCTAAGGTTGATATTGCCTGGGTCCAATTCTACAATAACCCAGCTTGTTCTTTCAACAACGATGCCGGTTTCAAGAGTTCTTGGGCAACTTGGTACGATTTCGTCACTACTAAATCTGGTAACTCCAACATGAAAATTTATATTGGCGTTGCTTCTTCTACTTCTGATTCTGATTATTTTGTTGACGCCTCCACTACTGCCACTAGATCTGCTTCCATGTTAACCCAAAAATCCTTTGGTGGCTTCTGTTTGTGGGATGCCAGCTCCGGTACTGCCAAGGTCACTAATGGTGTCACATATATTCAAAGCTTGAAAAATATTTTGGAAAGCAAATCTGTCACCAAGAGATTTTTGAATGGTATTAACAGAGCTTTCACTGTCATTTCCCCATAATTAGTTCTTGAGAAGCCACCATTTTTTGTTATATTTTTTTTTTAAAAAAAAAACATACTTATTTTCTTTAGTTCTTTGTTGGGAGTGGAAATTTGAAGATATATATTGTTCTAGCAGGACTGGAACTTTTCCATTTTCGTTTTTTCATTGTTTGGATTTGTGATATTTTTTTTTTATACTTTTATATTTGTTTTTCTAGATTTACCTTTCTTTATTGTAGAACATGGTTGATATATTAGATCTGATGATTAGCATCGAAGACCAACTAACAAAGCGTTTGAAATCAAACAGCTAGAAAGTCAAATATTAAATATTTCGCTTTCAGTAGAAATAGCTTCAACAAGGACGGCTAATGTCGTGTGAAATATTAATTGTACATAGTTGATTTAACGAGATGTTAATAATCCATAGCAGAAAACACTTAATATATAAAAAACATAACAGCACCAATAAACTAAAAAATGAATAGAAATATGGAAGATGATTAATATGAGCCTCTTATAAATGGCCAAAACGGCATAAGCGATGTTTAGAAATGTCATTTTGATACCTAAATTTCACATCAATTCAAGGCGAGAATTCACACTAATATAATATCAGCATAAAACGATGTTTAGTGTCTAATATCAACAATATCTTTTAAATATACCTACTATCAGTATAAAAGAGTCAAATTTATCTCTGGAAAAGTAGTTTTTCATAAATTCATTGATCATCTGAACCTAAGCTAATAATCCGTTACAGCAGATTTTTGTGCATTATAAAGCAGTAGTGAAAATTAATAAAAGAAATAAACTAAAGTATACAAAAATAAAGTCATAAAGAAAAATATTAGGTGATTAAAAAGAGATTTTATGAAGGATGGTTACGAGCCCCGTTTTTCAAAAGTTTCAACACAGCTTTAGACTTTGAGAAAATAAAAGCTAACATCAAATTCCGTGATAGTTTAGTGGCTAGAATCCCCGCTTGTCGCGCGGGGGACCGGGGTTCAATTCCCCGTCGCGGAGATTTGTTTTTTTGCGATTTTGGGCGATGAGGTTTTAGCCATCCTTACAGCAGAACTGACAGGAGTGACTCACTTACAGGATCAGCACCAGATTGTTTTCAGGCGAAGTACCACACTAGGAATTAGATTGAATATCCATTACAATTTTATATAGTTTCGGGTTGATGAAGTTCTCGTACAGAAAGCTGTAAACTTAGATTTACTGTGTCTGTATATATTAGGTTAGTCCTAAGGTCTGTAAATAATAAAGTTCCTTCTGTGATAAGTGGAATTCCTTTGATATCCGGAGTCAAGAGCATTACTGATGCAACATATAATTATTGACTCAGACAATAGCGATTCCATGATCGGTTTTCCAGTGTTACAATCGCGCCATTCGCCAATAGGATCTGTAACATCAGCCTATTTATTTGTCAGTGATTAGGTAACCCAAATACCACATTGGAAATATCCTCTATACTAACATTACTTATTAACGCTGCCGTTACTTTGCCCTATTATAGTTGCAACACATGTAATTCCAAAATAAATAAATAAATAATTTCTGGGTAGTAGAGGATTGCCACCATTATTTGGAAATAGCAAAAAAAAAATTGTTCCAAAATGGACCAAGATCGGGAATTGAAGGTTTCTCTAGTGGTGCATCAATTTCATGACTTTATTCTCAAATTGATACAACTCTACAAACTGTACAAGTAAGTGTCAGGAATATTCATATCAAGACTATAAATCTATGTAGATGAGTAATAGTGATGGGGATTTCAAACTATGTTTGAAGCACTTTCATAAACTAGTATGATCAATCCCTTATTTCAAGTTTAAAAAAATATATATAACAACAACGTGAACAAGCAAAGCGGTGAATTTTGAAGTTTGGGGAATGGGAATCAAATAAGTAGTAAATAATTGAATAAGAATTAAACAATATTCAACCAAATCTATTTAGATGGAGACAAGTATTGGGAGTTAGTGGCACCAATGATTTGTTCAACACAAGCTGGGTTAACCAAAGTGGTGATATCTCCGATTTGGTCGGCTTCTTTACTGACAATCTTTCTCAAGATTCTTCTAACGATCTTACCAGATCTAGTCTTTGGTAAGTCTTGGACAACAATAACGGTCTTTGGGGCGGCAAATGGACCAATTTCGGTTCTAACCTTCATTCTCAAGTCGGTTCTCAAGGCCAATTCTTTTTCGTTGAAGTCAGCATCGGATGGGCTCAAAAGACCTTCCTTCATGGCAACGAAGGCCACAATGGCTTGACCAGTCAAATCATCGTGGATACCAACGACGGCACCTTCAGTAACACCAGTATGATCAATTAATGAGGCTTCGATTTCAGCAGTAGACAATCTGTGACCACTGACGTTGACAACATCGTCAACTCTACCTCTGATCCAGTAGTAGCCGTCGTGATCTCTTCCGGCACCATCACCAGTGAAATAATAACCTGGGTATGGCTTCAAGTAGGTGTCAATATATCTGTCGTGGTTTCTGTAAACAGATCTAGCCATTGATGGCCAAGATTTCTTGATAGCTAAGACACCAGCAACATCGTTACCTTCCAATTCCTTACCGGAAACTGGATCAATGATGGCAACGTCAATACCAAAGAATGGAACGGTAGCTGAACCTGGCTTAGTTGGAATGACACCTGCCAATGGAGCGATCAAATGAGAACCGGATTCAGTTTGCCAGTAAGTATCACTAATGTGACATTTACCGTGGCCGATCTTTTCATCGTACCAGTGCCACAATTCTGGAGCAATTGGTTCACCAACAGAACCAAGAGTTCTAAGAGAGGAGATGTCATATTTATCAATTTCAGCTTCACCCTTTTGCTTGATCAATCTCAAAGCGGTTGGGGCAACGTAGAAATGGGTGGCCTTGTGTCTTTGGACAATTCTCCAATATCTGCCAATATCTGGGTAAACTGGTGTACTTTCAAAAATAATGGAAGTGGTACCCAAACACAATGGACCGTACAAGGCATAAGTGTGACCGGTAATCCAACCAACATCCCCAGCAGTGAACAAGACATCTTCTGGATGAATGTCAAAGATATATTTAGTGGTCAAAGCAGCACCTAACAAATAACCAGCAGTAGAGTGAACCACACCTTTTGGAGCACCAGTAGAACCAGAAGTGTATAATAAAAACAATGGGTCTTCCGAATTGACAGGAGTTGGTGGCAAGTACCCTGGGAATTTCTTTGTTTCTTCGTGCCACCAGAAGTCTCTACCTTCAGTGAATGGAACATCGTTAGCGGTTCTTTGGAAAACAAGGACCTTTTTAACCAAATCTCCACATTCGGCCAACCCTTCATCGACGATCTTCTTAGTGTGCACCAATTTACCCCCTCTTTTACCCTGGTTACAAGTGATGATAACCTTGGATTCAGCGTCAGTCACACGATCTTTTACGGAACCCGCACTGAAACCAGCAAAGATCACAGAGTGGACAGCACCCAATCTAGCAACAGCCAACATGGCAATGACGGCGGCTGGGATCATTGGCAAGTACACAGCGACGGTGTCACCTTTTTTAACCCCCCAGGATTTCAACACAGCGGAAACTTTAGAAACTTCAGACAACAATTGGCCATAAGTGATGATTTCATTATCGGCTTCATCATCGGCTTCGTAGATCAAGGCAGGCTTATCTGGGTTAGCAATTGCGTGTCTGTCAATACAATTGTAAGAGGCATTTAATTCACCATTGAGGAACCAAGCGTTGTCAGCGGTCTTCAAAGAACCATAGTGAACAGTACTGAATGGCTTATCCCATGAGAGCATTTCATTGGCGTACTTTCCAAAGAATTCATCAGTATTTTCAATCGATTGTTTGTATAATCTTTGGTATTCCTGGACAGAATCAATGTAAGGTCTGTTCTTTGGTCTGTTTTCGTAGAATTGTTGTGGTGTTGACCGAGGGACCACATTGTTGGCCTCGTGGACGGTTTCGTGGACGACAGTCATTGCAGAAGTAGTTGATGCCTGGACTTACTGGCTGTTGGTTGATCTCTCTGTATCTCTCTATCTATCGTACCAACTAAACGAGATTTTTCACCCAAAATAAAAATCGGTCACCACCCCAACATAAACATTTGTTGGGAGCCGGGCCTGTTTCCCCTCTGGGCCGCATAACCTGACACTGACTAAGCAAATGGGTCACCGATGGCACATAACCACGAAAAATTAAATCACGTGGATGATCACACCTACAGACAAGGGCTTCTACCCAAAACGCTTTCCCAGATTTTTTTTCCTCTTTCCTCTGCTAAATAACGATGACAGTGATGATGATGAGGCTCTTGTTGTCATAGTAACAGAATGTTGCGGAGTTGCTATTCAGTGCGAACACGCTCTCTGGCTCTTGCAAAGTCATTATACCAGAAACAAGCCAGTGGATGGTGGTCAACAAGGTCCTATGCATCATTGAAAAAGGATGACGAAGACATCAACCACAGGTATTCCAAGACTTTATCATTACCGGAAACCACATTCCCAAGCCGTTCGTCTCCTGAATTGAATAGTGAATATCTACATACATCAACTGAGGAATTGTACCAATACCAGTCACTGAAATCACCAAAAGCGTTCAAGAATGAAGAGCTATTCGTTTTGCATGATGGTCCACCGTATGCTAACGGCGATTTGCATTTGGGACATTCTATCAATAAAGTGTTGAAAGACATCGTCAATAGATCAAGGCTTCTTAACAATAAACAACAAGTCATGTATATTCCAGGTTTTGATTGCCATGGTCTACCAATCGAGCTTAAGGCCCTCAATTCGTTGAAAGAACAAGATCCAACCAAAAAGTCCAAAAAAAAGTCCAAGAAAAACAAGAATGTTGATGAAGATTTGACTACTCAATTATCAGCAGTTGAAGTCAGAAAAATGGCGAAAAGTCATGCGTTGAAAACTATTGTCAAACAAACTGAAGCTTTCAAGAAATTCGGAGTTATGGGAGAATGGGAAAAACCTTATAGAACTTTAGATAAGCATTTTGAATTAAATCAATTGAAAATCTTCAAAAAAATGATTGCACAAAATATGATCAAGAGGCAAAAGAAACCAGTGTATTGGGGTTGTGAAACCGGTACTGCTTTGGCCGAAGGGGAATTGGAATATAACGATAAACATAGATCTACCACAGCGTATTTGAAATTCCCGATCATCGAAGTCAATACAGAATTAAGTCAATTGTTGAAGGAACACAATATTAATCCAAGTAACATCTCTGCGTTGATTTGGACTTCTACTCCTTGGACCATTGCGGCAAATAAGGCCATTTGCGTCAATGAGAAGTTCGACTATACTCTCCTTTATTCAAAAGAAAGCGGCGAATATCTTTTGGTATTACAAGATCTACAGGAGCTGATTTTACTGTTGAAACCTGAAATTGCGCAAGAGTTCCAAAAAACCGATATAATTATCCCAGGAAGCCTGTTGTCGAAAACTTTTTATGAAAACCCTGCAATTAAAAACAAGGAAATCAACAGGTTCCCAATTATACATGGCACTCACGTTACCAACACTGCAGGTACTGGATTGGTACACACAGCTCCTGGGCATGGTCAGGATGATTATTTGGTGGGTTTGAACCATAATATTGAAATATATTCCCCAGTTGATGATAAGGGAAGGTACACATCGGAGCTTCTACCAGGCTTCGAGGAGTTGGCAGGATTGAAAGTTCTTAAGGATGGTACCTCAAAAATGTTGGAATTGTTGAAAAATAGTGGCATGGTGTTGGATATTAATTATAATTATATTCATTCTTACCCATATGACTGGAGATCTAAGAAGCCTATTGTTATTAGAGCCACGCCTCAGTGGTTCACCGACTTATCTTCCATTAAAAATGATGCGATGAAAGCAATTGATAAAGTGAAGTTCCATCCCGAAAGAGGATATAACAGATTATCTAGTTTCATCAATACCAGAAATGAATGGTGTATTTCAAGACAAAGATTTTGGGGGGTACCAATTCCAGTGTTTTATCACAAGGAAACCAATGCGCCTTTGATTACCGAAGAGTCCATTGATTATGCAATTCAGAAAATCGGAGAGTTTGGCACTGATGCTTGGTTTGAAGAGGAAGAATCTGTTGAAAGATGGTTACCAGAGTCTTACAAATCACAAGGAGCTCAATATCAAAAGGGCACTGATACCATTGATGTTTGGTTTGACAGTGGCTCAAGTTGGACCATTATTGAGGAAATATTACAAGAAAAAAATATCCTTGCTAATCGTAAATTTGTTGCTGACATTTATTTGGAAGGCTCAGATCAACATCGTGGCTGGTTCCAATCTTCATTATTGACCAAAATGGCCGCCAAAACTATTATCAGCTCTAATGAGAATAAAGAGATTGCTTCTAATGCGCCATATTCTACAATCATTACCCATGGTTTCACTCTTGATGCCAAGGGCCAAAAGATGTCGAAATCTATCGGTAACACCATTGATCCAATTGCTGTTATTAACGGAGACAATAAGCAACAAATCCCGAAAATTGGGGTTGATGGATTAAGATTATGGATAGCCTCAAGTGATTATACTAGTGACTTGTCTTTGAGTCCAGTAATCTTAAAACATGTTGCTGATAATTTGAAAAAAATCAGAATCACTTTCCGGTACTTGCTTGGGAACTTGGAAACCAAAAATGATAGTGTATTGACAATGTTTAGTAATCCTCAAGACTTTGAGTGTGATTTGCAAAAATTATCCAACATTGATAAATATATTTTGGGGAAATTGCACAGCTTGATAAAGAATGTTGATTCTTACAACTCGACATTCCAATATAACAGAATTATTCAGGAGTTGAATTATTTTATGAACATTGAGCTATCAGCGACTTATTTCAACATTATCAAGGACAAATTATACGCAGATGACCATTCCAGATCACAATCTGTCAAATCAATCAAGTTTGTACTTTATGAAGTTTTGAAAGGATATTTGTATATTTTGTCCCCAATTTTGCCAGTTATTACCCAAGAAGTATGGTCGCATGTTCCTAAAGTTCTTTTTTCTGATGTGATGTCGCCATTAGTTCATAATTATGACTTCAGCAATTTGGAAAAGTTGGCTGCTAGCAAAGAAGGACAATCTGTTGAAAAACTTTTTGAGAAAGTTTGGCAGCTTAGAGACGGAGTTCAAAAAGTCATCGAGGTAGGCAGAAAACAAGATAAGTTAATCAAGAATTCCCTTGAGACTAACTTGATCATTGACTCAAAATATATTAAAGATTTGATAGCTGAAGCTTCATGCTCTGAGGAGGAGCTTGCGGATATTTTGCTTGTTTCTGAGGTGAGGTTTGAACAATTCTCTAAAGATCAAAATGAGGCGAAAAAGGAAGGTAATTATGCCTACTTTCAGAACATTCCAGTGGGTCAGACTAGTGTTGATGTTAAAATAGTCAATGCTTCAAAATTCAAGTGTCCGAGATGTTGGAAGTTTACTAGCAAGGTCAAGGAAGAACTTTGTGGCCGTTGTGATGATGCTGTTCATCAACACTAGTTGATGAGAAAATGAATTATGAATCTATGTGTAAATAGAATAGAAGACTATTATCGTGTAATATTGAATTAATTTTAGAATCGACAGCATTAATTCTAAAATTCCCGTAAAATGTGCTATGGTTGTATCTTTGATAAGTCACTTTCAGGGCCGATCAGGGTAAGAAATCGCAGCGTTCTTTTTTTTTGACCCTTCAGAAAAAAAACATACAAAAAAAAAACAACACGAAATTTTCGTGTAGACTTGTATTAATTAAATCGTTTTATATTGCTCGTCCAGGTATTTATAGAGAAAATATTAATAATCATCATTTGAAGAAGAGGACCAAATATATATATATATATATATACAAATATAAAAGCCCCCAAAGTAATAGCTGGAAAAAGTAAACAAGAGGACAACTATTGATATCATTTATTTTTATTTTTGAAGAAATGTCAGGAAGACTCTTAAGAGACAGGTCTGCGGCCAAACCACAAGTTAATACCGATGTGATGAATCGAGCACTCATCGATGATTACATGAACAGTAACAACTCGAATTTCCAACAGCAGCAGCAGCAACAGCAACAACCCAAACTCTCCAACAACTTTCACAATGGCTCCTCGATGGCAATGATGAATGACCAGGTAGTGATAGCTCGGCCAATCAATGAAAATAACCAGTTTGAAGCATTTCAACAGGACCAGCAAAAACTCGCGTACCAAAGACAGAAAGGGACCCTTGTGCCTTTCAATTATAACGGTGTTCCGGGAGTCGGGGTCAACTCCATCGATATCATTCCCCGGATTCATATGGCTTTAGAATGTGAAATTCTTCAAGAAGTCAGATGGGCGCTCACTGAGTTGGCGATTATTTCCAGCCACGAGCCGCTGTTAATCAATTTGAAGAATGATCCTCAGTTATTGGAAAAATTGGTCGGTTATTACTGCGGATGTCCTTTCATTAATGAGAAACTAGATGGTAAAACGGGGTACCCATATTTGTTGCAGAATGTTGATAAGAAAATTGGACTTGAGATGATCGAGAACTCTGTGGATGCTGCCTTGGTTCTTCGAAACTTGAGTCAGGATGGATACAACGCGTATATTATTTCGTTAAACCCAATATTAAAACAGGCAGCCGTTAAGTTATTGAACTGCGAGATCGTGAAGAATGCCTTACCAATTGGTGACAGTTATAATTCTGCAATAAAGATTCTTCAGTATACAATAGATTTGATGGAATCAATTTCGTCTTATATTTCGCCAGCAAAGAAAAATGATGAATTATTTTTGTCGTTGATGAACTTGATTTCCCAAACTATTGACAGAAGCTTCAAGATCTCGATTTTGAGATCCTTATCGAGATTAATGGTGCGTTCTAAGCTATCGACAAAAGATGAACAATTTGCTGCAGATAACGTGGACTCAGGGTTGTTAGATTTTGTATGTTCGTGTTTAATCATGGACACTGACCCAGAAATTATTGTGACAGGGCTTGATTTCCTCTATCAGTATATTTTACCTGGAGGTGTTAGAATCACCAACTTGTTGAAAACCTTATCAAGAACTAATTTATTGATTACTGTTTTGCCAAGATTATTGACACACGGAATGCTGTTAGAAAATGTTTCGGTGAACCCAACGGCCACCGCCGAGCCTTTGAGATTAATCAGAAGGGTTAAAGTTCCACCACCAGAAGTTGCTAAGCTGTTACCTACAGATTTATTCCAAGAAATTAATAAATTGGATGAGCCACAAAGGGCCACTATATGGATGAGATGTTGTTTCAAACCAAGTGAGACCAGTGATGTCACCCAAATTTCTCTTTGGAAATCCTATGAGGGCCAATTCCAAAAGGAAAATAAAAAATTATTACCTGCCGTTGACTTTATCAAGAATGTGACTAATGCGTTTGCTAATTCTGCGGCAATGGTAATCACGAACTCAGAAACTGGACAGCGGAAGTTCATCATCAAGGGTATTGAACCAAGAGAAGAACCTGTTTCTCCGTATATTGGTAATGTGGAGGCCGCTAACCCAAAGAATAAAAAACCATCGGACAATTTGACCGAGGGTCAGTCTGTTGCCCAGCAGAAACCGGTGAAGTTTTGGAATAGCTCTGGCAATGATGCCAAGAGCTTAGTTCCTTCTGAAATCAGTATTAATGCCGCCACTCTAATTAACGGACTTGTAGTCCATGAAAAGGGGAAAAGTTTGGTGAAGTCTATGGAAAGCGATTTACTTGACATTGTCCTCAGAGTTCCTAAATTGTATGATCAATTGGGTGACACTCTTTGCAGTATTCAACAGTAAATGGTATATATATTAATTGATTATGTTTTTGGTGGTTATATGTATTCCATGTAAAATGAGATATGTCATGTTGGGTCGGTATTACCTCGGCACCGTCGACCAGGTTTTTTCGAGGGATCTGAGCCGGAATGTCGGGCCGTTTTTTTTTGAGCGACTCCTTGTGTCTGAGGGGTTGCCCTGCCCTATTCCCCGGATAGACTCTCCGGTGGCGACCCGGCCATCGGCCCAAACCGACTAAACTGTGCAGAATTTTGCCAGTTGTTGCAATTATTATTATTATCATCTTTACAAGAAGTTTTTAATTGAGAAAAGAAGTAAGGAGCTTGTTGTGCTGATAATTCGTGAAGCTGTAATAGGAATTCACATTGCCTTTTCATTATTTTCCTCCTCGTCGTTTTTTGTTGGCCGAAGATCTATTGAAGGATATCATAGTAGGATCACACCATTTGGTATTATTATTATTGTTATTATCATACCATTGCCTTAGTCATAAAACAATTGCAAGAAAATGTCTTCTCAATCACTACTCAATCCGAACTATGACCGAAGCCTTGAAACAACATTAGATCAGGCCCTTCGTGGTTACAATGATAGAACAACTCCGAATGCATTGCGCCAACCCACACCTAGCCTGAACCAGGTCAATCTGGTGATAAGTTCACTGCTTAACGATAACAGCCAGGCTGCACATCACCACCATCACGTAGTTCAACACCAGGCTCCGCAACAACAACAACAACAACAACAACAACAACAACAACAACAACAACAACAACAACAACAACAACAACAACAACAGCAGCAGCAGCAGCAACAACAACAACAACAACAACAACAACAGCAGCAGCAGCAGCAACAACAACAACAACAAAAGCAAGCCCAACAGACTATAAAACAGCAAGTGCAACAGCTGGTGCATCAACAGGCTCAACAACAGCAACAACCGTCTCAGAATGACAACCAAAGTGCTGCCACTGCTGCTGCCATCGCTAATGCGACCATGAATTCCGGTTTAAGTTCCAGCTTGAACCCTGGTACCCTGTTGAATCGTCACCATCACGGTGTATCGCTGAATCCGACTGTTTCTTCCACCAGACACAGGGTCAACAAGCCAGGTCAAAGATTTGGGGCCAAAAAGAAATCATGGGTATGGAATTGGTTTATTCAGGATCAAGAAGATATCAATATTGCCACCTGTGAACACTGCAACAAGATCATCAAGCGTTTACCATCGGACAAAGGGTCACCAAAAAAGTTGAGTGAGCATTTAAAAACTCACAAGATTAGCAAGGAAATTTCCAATCCAAGAAGAGGCCATTTCTTACCACAAATGACCTCTTCCCCATTGGGGAGCACCACACATTCTCCATTGACTTCCAGCCGGCTTAGTCTTGTGTCAACCGGAGATTCCAATTACATTGATAGAGAATTCGATGATTCCCCATACTCACAAATGAAGTTCCATAAGGATATTATGAAGTTCTTGACAGAAAACAAGCTCCCTATTAATATTGTCAAGACCCAAGGTTTCCGACAATTGATTTTCACATTACGTCCGGAATCCATCTACGATTTGAATGAGTTGAATAATTTGTATTCTTCTTTGATCCAAGTGATCAAGAATGAAAATCCCGTGGGACCTTCAATGAACCAACCACCAAGTCAAGTACAACCACAAGATCCACATCAACAAAACTCCACTGATCTGTCAGATGGTACCAATATAAATGCCGGATGGATTTGATGAATTTCATTATTCCTAATATGCTAAAATTTTTGTGAAGGGTTGCGCATTTTTGTGCATTTGTCACAGATTTGTATTGACACATTCCGTTCTTCTATATTATATCTTTGTTACCGTTTTTTTTTCTTTCTTTTTTTCTTTTTGTTGCTTGGAATGGGGACCTATCTTATATTTATTCTTTGCCTTGCTGTTTCTCTCTTTAATTAATCTGGGTACTTTTTTCTCTCTTTATTGTATTTGTTGTGTGCTTTTTTCTATCTTATGGATCCATTTTAAGGTGATTTTGATTTGTATGAATGAGAAATAATAAAGTAGATCATTTTTATTTATTGTACAAAATCACCAGTAAAAAAGAATGCGCATCAAAGCGGGGAGATACTAAAGATACATGGTGAAGAAAATTATCTATATTGAATGAATACTATAGGTCATTATAATTGAAGACATATCTCAAACCACTTGGTTGGAAAATATTTCAATTTACTTACAATTCCAGGAATGAAATTTCAAAATAGAGTACAACACAAAAGAATTTTTCGAATTTGCTTTGCAATGATAAGAAGATAACAAACTGAAGAGTAATCACAAAATAGAACAAAATAAAACAACAACTTAAAACCATCCAAAACTAACAAAAAAAAAAAAAATAAAATAAGCCTATAAAAAAAGAATGATCATTAATTGATTTAATGATAATGAAACCATCATAAAATCACCAATAGGACTGCTGATTACTTTCTTTCCGGCATGCTGCGATCAATATTCCTTCGTTGTTCCTAATTATCTTGCTCAATTTATCGAAACTAATTTTTGAACCGGTCTTATGATCAACTCTGAATTTCTCAATCTTATCTATCAATTTTTCCACTACTTTGCTCTTATCAGAAGACCCCGGACTTCTTCTGAGTTCCCTTAGAATGAAGTTGATGATGGCCTTGCGAAACAAATAGTACTTCTTATCACCAGCCTTCAGGCGCCATTTTGTTCTGTACTGGCACTCCATGCTACTCACACAGTGACCGAACTTATCCAAATTGGGTTGGAACCATTCTTTGAGCAACTCAGATAGAATTGTAATACTTCTATCCATGTGGAACTCAGGCATCTTTGTAGCTGATTTGCTCTTTGGCTCTCTAGGGGTGGTGGTGATGTATAGTTGCTGTTCGGCAGCATATTTGTACCCAGAGATGACAGCACCAGACTCCAAGGCATAGGGCCCCATTTCTTTAACAGTTAAGTATTGTATAATCATACCGATGGGACTATTGATTCCGATAAAAGCTGTTCTATGATTTAAACGAGCAGAAGTAGAGGGAGAAGGAGAAGGAGAAGGAGAAGGAGAAGAAATACCAGAAGTGGTAATAATACTATCGCGACTGGTGTTAGGTGTCTCTAATGTCTTGACATCGGAAAGAGAATTGACAAGAGGAATGGATTCAGTGGCATCATTCAAGGTCATTGGTTTGGTAGCGTTGTTGTCAACCAGGAAAGATATACTGCCTAGGCTATTGGTATGGCTATGATGGTATTCATTATGATTGAGCGGGAGTGTATTCTTCTGGTCAAGTTTGATCGAAAAATCGTGGCAATACTCTTCTTTATTGTCATTGGTATTCATCGATTTGTCAAACCCAACGGTGTTGGAAGATGTATCGAAGGATAATTGCCGAGGTTGGTAGGGGTTTTTGGCACCTTGGGTTAACGCGAGCTGTTCTTTCAAGTTACTGATCTGTGACTCAAAGTCCTGTTTCAGCTTTATGAATTCATTCAGCAAATTTCTGTAAGACCCTTTCCATTGCTTGACTTCTTCTGTGAGATTGTCGATTCTTTCCAAATGGACCTGGTTGAAAGCAGGAGGGTTTTGAAGCTGATTGTTTGGGAATACCCCTAAACCAGCCGGAGGCCAGTTCCTGAGCCTATGGGATACCATTGGTTGAGGCAGGTAATTGGCAATATTCAAAGTAGCAAGATCAGGAAGGACGAATGACTGAGGATCGTAGTTGAATGAATTGAGGAGCATGGTATCTGGATGGTTGTTGTGATCATTATTGGTGAGCGGCGAGTTCATGATGGTGACGTTTGAGTTGCTGAGAAAAGTTAAATGGGGATTATTGTAGCAGTTTTTGATATTATGAAGAGGGATCCCAGGGCTGTTATAGGACATTCTGGCGTCCCACCGAGGATACGAAAATATTCCTTCTGAATGTAGGTCAATGTCGCTATAGATTTGATGTTGCATATCTACAGTCGTGCATGTACTGGCGATCGTGGTGCGCTTTGTTGATTGATCGGTGAAGTATGATGTTATGTTAGTATTAGTTTTCTTATTAATATTACCAGTAGTATATTCTGTTGAATTAAATTATAATCTCTCTTATATATTTTATATTATATTACACGTACGGTAGTTATGGAAGTGTACAACGCCTTGTGTTAGAATGTTGTGAGGCATTGAGGCCTAAGCAGGGAGTTTCAAAATTGATTGACACATACATGAAGTACACACCAAGTAGTGCAGGGCCACCCACCCCTGGATCAATATTTCGTAAAACAGGCCGTATTTTTATTTTCATTTTTTACCTCTCTAGTTTCAACTGAAACATTCGGCAGAGTATTTTTGCTGTAATAATATTCCGGAATAAAACTCTCCAATGCAAAATAAACTCCGACAAGGATATTGACCTTGATTTTCTTTCTTTTTCCATTTTTACCTATCTATCTAGCTTGTAAATAATAATAATGATAAGAATAAGAATCGTGATGCTGAATAATAAACCAAAATGGATACAGTTATACTCTTTTACGGGTCGGGCAATTTGGCGCAGATTATCGTTCGAGACGAGCTGAATTTACGAAGTACAGAGATGCAAAATTGGCCGTATAAGTGAGCGAAGATCATCGATAATAATTATGATTCAAGAGCAAATAAATGGCCAAGCAGTCATAAGACGGACCAAGTCTGGTGTACACTGCGGGAATTCCGACCACTTGATACACGACATTTTCTCGTAAATTTCAAATCACAGTATACGAAACCATAAGTTTAAGATAAAATTAGCGGCTCGGGGTTTACTCAGTTTCCACCCAATCCGTCGCTAAGGTCGGGCAGTAGCATTATTTTGCTCATTGAAATCGGGAAAACGTAGTGAAGGGGGGATTCTTTATTCATAGTTATAATTATTTTTAATTTTGCTCCTTATTATTATTATTGTTAATTTTATTATTTGGTTATTTTCTCAACTTCTTCAATGACTATTGACTATTCGTAAAAAACTGCATAGTGGTGATCAATGTATTTAGTATTAACCCCGTGCAAATATGTCGCGCAAGTCATTTTGTGTATCAAGACAATTCTTCTCGTGCTTCATCCAGTGTGTCCAGTGCCGCTCATTAACATTAAAGGAAAATCGCTATATATTGATGCAGACGATCACCTTTAGGATAATTAACAGCGGGTTTTCAATTCCTTCGTAGAGCCATAACACCAAATAGGACTCACTACCGAATGCCGAGCCAGCGTTTCATTTTTGATACGAGCGACCCTTGCTATTTTACGAATATCGATAAATCCAACCATTGTAGATCCACTGAAAGACTCTATATATTAAAAAATGGATAGAGCTGTACCTATAAACGTGTGCCGACTCTTGCTTGTGCTCTGTCCTGTGCTTCAATAGATTTTTCAGGAAGTCCCACCCAATCAATATGTCTTTGCACCATTCTAGGCACACAAGCATTGTTGTTTGTCCCTTGATGGATTTGATAAGTTCTAAACCGCACTTCTACTGCGTGAGTCAATATAGTACACACACCACTCTATATTACTAGATTATAATATACTGTTAGATGATACTATACTGTAAGTTGATACTAGGCTGTTAGTCAATATTCTATTAACAGATGATATTTTATCACTATTTGAAACCCGAACTTACTGTACTCCCGCCATGCAAGTTTGTGGGTCAGGCATAGACACACATACATCTGCATACGTCGACGTGTTTCAGGTTTTTACGAGGAGATTTTTGTTTGGAACCATAAAGGTAATTCGGCATCATTGGTGTAGCCTGTTTGACCGGGAGGGTGTTATCAACCGTGGATGGTGCACAAAAATTGAGGTTCAATTAGCCGGAATCCAAGGGTAGAGGCAAGCCCGGCTTTTTTTTTTTATAATGCCAATACTTTCAAAGAGTTGATGGTACTTGAAGTATGGACTCCTCGTGCCAACATTGATAGATTTAAGTACAGTCATTCGAAGTATACAGTGTAAATTTCATACATTATTGTTTGAACTTGCTGAAGAAATTCTTATTAAAAAAGTGTACAGGGTATCACTGACGTAAAAGCTAAGTCCTTGCTCTGTATTGGCGACTCACTCGGGGAAATAGAATACAAGGGAAAAAAAAGGATATCATTTTCTAATAATTAAGGAGTGTATCAAATGTGATATAAAATTAATGACTAGTCCTCACTTCTATTGAGCTAAAGAGATCCTTTGTTGTCTATTGGGAAGCTCTGAAATGAGAAATTCAGTGATCTGAACTTCATCTTCTTGTAATGGATGAACACATATATATACCCCACCACAATAAGTAAAATATTACTCTACTGTACTCACGAAAGAAATGTTTTTTGAAATCCAAAAAAAAATAAAGAGTATCTTAGATAGAGATTCGTGAATTGTCTTACTTAATCACTTATCCGATGATGTCGATCATTCACAATGATTGGGATTCGGACAGCAGTTCTGTTATCTCCGCTAATTTTTTTTTCCAAGACCTTCCTGATGAGTCGGCCAAGGCGACAAAAGACACTACAGTCTCCATATCATACAACACACCAATTATAATTCACAATCGTGATAATTTTGCTTTTGGAATTAAACTGGACTCCAATTTCCCTAGCCATGCATCTAAGTTATCAATTGTTTTGCCAATTCTTGACATTATGATCCCGAGACGTTGGAGAAACTACTCTTCTTCCCTTACATCGAGCGACATCATCAATCAAGCTTTCTTGCTAGAAGATCTTGAAGTTGAGAATAAAGTTGAACAAGCTGGAGAGGATGCTGATGATGAAGGAGAAGAGGGACAAGAACAAAATGATGATAATCGCATTTTTTCACAGATCAATAGTCACGATTATTTTGATGAAGAAAAGACTCCTGAAGTATCAATAATATTCAACGACTATTCATACATCAATAATACTAATGACAAGCTGAATAATGAAGAGCCAGAAAAGTCACATATCATATTGACAATGATCGATTTTGATGCTTCGAAAGATTACAGTGCCAATGTGGAAAATTCTGGATCCACAATTATTGCCGATGATCTCAATATTAATGACACTACTACTGATGAAGCAAACAATGATGATTCCTTGGACCTGAGCCACACACTAAGCAGAATTGTGGAAAGAATCGATAGTTTGGAATTTCGCTATCGTGATAATATTGAATATTCTCAAATTGATACAATTGATGATTCAAATGAGCAAGTCTCTAAAGATGAACCCACATTCAACAATGAAAACGAGGATATTGATAAGCAACACACTACACATTCTTTATTTCTTGAAAGTTTCCTCAATGATTTTACTAGTGAATTGCTGCACATTACTACCAGAGAATCCATCGACTGCTGCAAGGAAAAGAAAACACTAAAAGTTATTTCCCCATACCCTTCGCCACCGTCTTCTCCACCACCACCTAGATCTCCTTCTAGAGATCTTTTTTCAAATTCAGTATTGGATACACATAACGAATCTCCTGCTCCCCTTCAATCGTCTATCATCTCCGATGTTCAATCCACATCTTCCTCAGCTCAATCAAACATCATTACAACAAATATCTCAACTCCTCCCTCAACTTCTACTGCAGCTCCCGTTTCAGCTCTTACTTCAGCTCCAATCGAAAAATCTCAAGAGCTTTCGAAACTAATGAAACATGTGCCTTTTATTAAATCCAATAAGAAGAAGGCAAAAACGAATAATATTGAAGGTTGGACGGAACGCTACGGAGATCTAATCTCTTTAAATCCATTAATGTCCCCAGAAGCACCTGAAACCAATGAAATTGCCAATAATCCTGCTAGTAATGGAGCGAAGGTTTCTATTTCTAATATATCCCCGCATGTCATAATCAATCTACAAGAATATCAATTTAGGAAGATCCGCAAAGTATTGAATGATGTGTTGAGTCATTGGTGGAGCAAAGAAGTTACAAACCGAAAAAAGTTTGGCCATGATCCTTTAAAGTTCACAAAGGGGGAAAATATTTTCGCCAGGTATGTTCGTACTTTGAAAATTATTCTTTTTGATCAACCAGTCGATGATACTGGTGAAAACGACCCTGTTGAGAAACCCCAGAAATTCAGTAAGCCTATCAAAGCCATAAGATCCCGTCGTTCAAAATTGATGAGCTGGATGGTCAGAAATCATTTGCAGCGGAAAAATTTCGTCTTGAGATTAGAAGAAACCGGTTGTATTATTGTTGAAGGGAAATATGGTGATCCATGAGAAAAGCGTTCTACTTATATTCCTCAATTTTCTTTTTATTTTTTTTCTGTGTATAAAACTAAAAAAATATCCTATGCTTTGAATTTAATGAATAACTCGTTGAGCTTAACAATAATAAGCTAACAAAGCTTCAATGATAGTATACATTTAACTAGCCATTCATCAATGATGTTGGGAATTGCATGCATGCCACCATGAATGCTAGTTTTATGACGTATTTCCAGCAACCATAGGTATCTCCTTTTAGTCCCACCACACTAACAGAATAAATAATAAAGATAAAATAATCGTTCGTTACAAATAATTATCGATTATTTTCCATTTTTATAAAAGCAACCAATTCAGGGTGCAAAAACCCCTCCAACAAAGCTTATTACACGTGACCAAAGATTCCAGCGATTTTCTCCTGTTTTCAATTCGTTGTTAATTATAACCCCATTATTGGGTTTGACAGTGTTTGGTAATCAAGATAACGAGATGTTTCAGAAATTCTCGCAGTTCGGGAAGAACTTGCAAGATGAAATCACCCGCCTCAGCGAGCAAACTCATGATGGAGTCCAGGAAGTAGATGGAGCAAAGAAGCCTGCCAATAGCGGCGCTGGGAGTCTATTTTCCAGATCTTTAACACCTGCCGATGGCGGCAATAATAATAGCATTAATAATAAGAATAGCAAAGATGATGATGAAAGAATACTAAATAAGAATACCCCGAACGCTGAGGATATTGATGGCTTCATGAAGGATGATGAAAATGATGATGATTGTTTCAAAGATCAGGATACCGCAGATAAGAAGCTAGAAAACAAAGATGATGATACAACAATTGAGAAGCAAAAAGAAGACGGATCAAATGCTGACACTACAGAAAAACCTTCTGATGAGCAAACCAAATCTGTCGCAGTTGCACCTGCACAAACATCCTCTCCCAAGATGGGATTGAAAGATGACGATTATTCTCCGGAATTGAAAGCAAAATTGAGAAAATTCGAGAAATACGAAAAGAAATACCCCGTATTACTCGACGCTTACAAAACTGAGAAGAAAAAAACCGATTTTATCAAAAGTTTTGAAAGTGCATTGAAGGAAATCACCCCGATTTCCACGATCTTAGATATTGAAGGGTTCAAGAACTTTATCAGCTCCACCAATATGAAGAACAAATTGCTTAATGAAGAACTCAGGAAGTTCAACACCAAAGTGAATAACGCCGAAAGTGCAATTTTGGAAAAGGATATCAAGATTGAAACTTTAGAAAGACGGGCCCAAGATTTGGAAAAACAAGTCGAAAAAGCTAATGATGCAAAAGACAGGAAATTGGACGACAGCAATAAAAAATTGGATGATCTAAGAACGAAAATACGGGAAATTGAGCGAGAAAATAAGAAATTGAAAGCAGGAATGGAAAAATTACAAAGTGAAAATGAAGAGAAGCAAGAAAATCAACAACTCGAAGCCAATAAAAGCCAAGCGACATCAGTCAAAGTTGATGATGACGATGATGATGATGAAACAATTTCTAAGCTCACCAAAGAAATTGAATCAAAAAGTTTAGAAGTTGAAAGTTTGACCAAAGAGGCAGTTGACTTAAACAAAATGATTGACGATGGAAAGGCTGAACTCAAGAAAATTACCGCATCCAACACCGAATTGACTAATGTTGTTGAAGAATTAAAATCTGAAAAGTCTAAATTCTTGGAAACCAATGAAGTAGAAATTAAGGAGCTAAAAGTAAAGATCAATGACCTAGAGTCATGCAATAAAAAGCTTGACGAATCTAACAGCAGGAAAATTAAGTCCCTAACTGAAAACTTGCAATCCACTGAACAGGAATTGAAGCAAGTCAAGGATAGTTTGGGTGATTATGTTAAAAAATTGTCAGATTCAGATGATCTTTTTAAGACCAAAGAAACTGAGTTAGTTGAAGTGAAGAAGTCCCTTCAGTCCACCGAAAAGCTTGTGGAATTATTTAAATCAAAGCTTAAAAATGCGAGCCAGTCGACAAATGATGATTCTTCAAAGGAAGAAAAACCTAGTAAGGAATCCGACGGTGTTGAATATATGGAATTATCGATAAAGCACGAAGAATTAAACAAGGAATTGGCCAGCAAATGTGATGAATTGACGAAAATTAAAGATCAATACTCTGGTTTACAAACCAAATATGGTGCGATTAAGGGGAAAGAAGAAGAGGTTGAGAATCTTCGAGACATGTTGCGTGATGTTGGTAATGATTTAGTCAGTGCTAAGGATGAATTGAAAGAGTTGAAGCAGAAAGAGGGTGATGGAAATAAGGAGGTTGCTGACCTAAAGAAGCAATTAGCAGATAATGATAAATTATTGAAGAATTACGCGGAGATAAAACTTAGCTTGGCCAACATTACCCAAGATTTTAATGATAAGGAACAAAATTATAAAAACAGCCTACATGAGTTAACGGAAGCCAACAATGTGAAATTGAAACAGATCAAAGAATTAGAGAACAACAATAAAAAACTCAAAAAAGAAATTGAGGAAACCTCAAATGAACTAAAGAATGGAGAAACCGAATTGGCTAAATTAAGAAAGGAAGTGAAAGAAATTCCTTCGTTGAATAAACAAATCAAGACACATACCAAGTCAATCGATATTAAAACTAAACAAATCACTAAACTCGAAAAAGAGATTATTACTTTGAAAGAGGCCGTCAAAAATAATAATGAAACATTGAAAGAAGTTAAATCACTAAAGGAAACTGAGAAGAAATTGACCAAGGAAAATGAAGAATTGAATTCTGAATTGAAGGAATTGCAGGCTAAAGTCACTGCCGCAGAAAAAATGAAAAATAATGAAACTTCATTAAAATTGGAAGTTGTAACCTTGAAAACCACTCTTGAACATAAAAACAAACAACTCGAGACTAACAATTGCACTACATTGGAATTGAATAAAAATATCAAAGAATTGAATGATAGTATAATGAAGTTGAAGCTCGAAAATAATAACTTGAAGAATTCAGAAAAATATTTACAGGATAAATATTCTAGCTTGCAAGCACAAGCAGATATTTTAGAAAAATCTAGGGCGGAATTGACACTGAAACTTGAATCCTTGAAGACTGAGAAGCGCAAATTGACGGAAGACTTTACTAAGGTTAGTAAAGAAGTGGAATCGTATCAAAAAACTAAAGCAACATCTTCAGATCAAATCGAGTCCGCCCAGAAACAATATGATGAATTGTTGATGCGTTACAAAGAATTAGAGGTCAAGTTGGAAACCACTGAAGAAGAATTGAATGATTCCAGAAAAGCATCACAAGAAAAGTCTAGAGAAGTTAGCAATATCAGAAAATTAGTTACCAATTTTGAAACTAATAAATCGGTGGAAATGGGTGAATTAATGGAAAAATTCAAGAATCTTAAAGAAGACAATGAAAGTATGAGAAATCAATTGTCAATGACCGTGAAAAAGAAAAATCGTTCCATCGATGAATTGAAGCAACAAATTTCCGAATTGAAAGATTCACTCAAGGATGAAGAATCAACTAAGAAAGAATATTATGATAAGTTGAACAAATTGGTTGAGGAAAAATATAGTTTTGAAAAGAAAGCCATTGATAGGTTGGACGATAAGTACAAGCGTGATGACTTCGGAATGATTTCCAAATTAAAAGAATCTCTCAAGAATTCAGAATCAAGATTGAGAGAATATGAACAATCAGTCACGAAATATCAACTTCTTAATGATGAGTTATCCATGAAGGTGGATAGATTGACCAAGAATTACAAATTGCTTTTGAACCAAAATAAGTCTCTTAAAGAAAGCGTGGCCAATTCCAATTCTTCCACACCAGCAAAGAGTCCTCTTGGAACCCCCGTATCTTCAAGGTCTAACTCTGTTGTATTAAGTAGTAATCATTTAGTTTTACCTGCCCAGGCAACAGTTGATGCTGCTAATGGGAACTTGAAGGAGGAAAATATTGCCTACATTAGAAATGTTCTTTTAGGGTTCTTGGAAAGAAAGGACCAGAGAAAACAATTGCTACCAGTGGTTAGTTCGTTATTAATGTTAGACAAGGGCGATGAAAGTAGATTTTTGCTCGCCTTGAAGCAGTGAGCGTGTGGTAACTTTTTTTTTTTTTATTATTTTTTACAAGAAATCAAACGATTAAGTCAGAACTAATGAGAAAACATGAAAATTAAGTTATCTTGTATATATTATTTAAAGATTTATCTTTTGTAGTTTACGAATAATTCTTTCTTTTGTACCTTGTGATGTATGCAAGGCTTAATGTGTCGCTTTTTGTGCCAATATTTTCAAGGAAAAAAAAAAAAAAAAAGGGAAAATAAACACTACAGTATTATTAGGATGAATAGAAAGATTCTTAAAAGTAAAAAGACTCTTGTCAAATACAGCGCTATGAAAATAACACAACTCAAAACTGGTTTTTCAGATGGAAAGTCCTTAGCGCTATCGTCGTCATTGCCAAAGTATAGATCCACTGGATCCAGCAAGCAAAAGAAAAAGACAAGCAGACAAACGAGTAATCAAGATCCTGGAAGAGTTACGCAATCAAATCAAGGCACCGCCCGCTTTCTCGCTGAGGAAACCAGCAAGACACGTAGTAGATTGTCGAGATTGATGGCGGCGCTAACGAAAATTGTTGGAGATTTTATCATATCCATTATCATCGGAGGGATTTTCATTGTTCTTCAAACCAGGGCGGTGGTGGTAACGTTTTGGAAAATCATTGCTATTACTTCGTTATATATGCTTGAAGCAATGGTGTTTCTGATGGTTGGCCAGATCAAATTGATCCAGGTTTCCGTCCAGGCGCTTGGTTATTGGTGTGGCATTGAATCCTCTAGTAGTGAAGCGAATGCAAAGTCTGATAGAACGCAAAATGACCCTGGGGATTTGTTGACTTTTGGGGCTTTAAATGGATTGTTTTGGAGCAATTGCGGAGTGTCAATTACTAAAGAATTGGGACGTTTGGTGGTGGGGGATAGTAAATTGTTTGATGTTGGGAGCTTGAAAGATTGGATTTTGAAGGAATTCGAAATCTTAAGACCACCAAAGTTTGAATACAAAGTGGCAGTTGGACAAGTTGAGAGGATCAATATTATGCTGGCCATTGATAAACCATTTCAGCCACCGCCCCCACCACCAATGACAACGAGTAATAATAAAAGGCCTTCATCATTAATTTCGGAGGAAAGACATCCAGATTTACCCTTAGAGGATTCGAATAAACAATCAAAAGTTGGTAGATTGATTCATAGGAGACCGAGGAAACCTTATTTTTCAAGGGTTACATCAAATCCGCTAGGAGAGTCTGATAGATATAATATGTGGTATTCTTCCAAAAATATCAATGGCGGAACTATGAAAACTGATGCAGTCGGAGAATTTTTCAATCCTGTTTCAAGATCCAAGGTTACCAATACTTTAAACTTGATTGAAAGTTGTGGTGATGATTATAAAGGGCCATCATCGGCATTTTCGCCAATTACATTTGGCTGGGGTAAATACAATAACTCAGCTATTGAGGAGCAGAATCGGAATCATTTTTGAATGAATTGTGAAATAAGTGGATAGAATAGAAGAGATACTGTCAACGATATAAAACCGTAGATTACCAATTTGTCTCGAGAACTCTCTCTTTTGAAGCAATTCACATTTAGTTCGTGTAGGGAGACTTGTTTATTATCATTATTCTTTTCAAAGTTATATTGACAGTGTAACTTCGAGCAATAAGAGCAATCTGAGTGGTAATTAATATCAGGGAACTTTGACTGGAATTCCTGTTTGATTTCATCATCGATCACCAATAATAGGTACGATAAATCTTGTTCGTTTTCACAACGACAGAAGGTTTGGGCATAAATGCCGACGATGAGCAAGAAAATTGAAAAAACGAATGAAAACTGCATCGCTATTATTTGTAGGCCAAAAGAGACTGGCAAAGTAAAGTAGGATCAGCCAATAATAAGTATCTCAACACAATTGGAAAAGGACAAAAATTCATTTCTTCCTTTTCCTAACCATATGATCAGTGCATGGTGATACTTCCTCCGGCTCTCAGTACATCTCGTGCCATCACCCTCGGAATGAAAATATGTCAAAAAAAACTTTTTAGGTGTTTGTATGTCCCTGTCATATTATTCATTGCTTGATGAGGCCATGAACCCTGCCAATATTACCGATAATGTATATGTGTGTGATATTTGAATGAAATTTCAATAGATAAGGAATTGCTCGATAGCCCGTTGCAAAGGATAAAGATTTTGAGGAAGAGAATGAGAAATGTATTCTGATGATGATGGTTGGGAAGATATATCCAAGAATTAATCATCTTCAATTTAGATGAATAAGCTGTTCACTTCTTGCAATAAATGCTTTGTGACAAAGATATTGTTTTTATTTTAATGAAGTGTTGACACTTGGTGCCACATTTTGTTGAGAAATATGACGTTTCAATTGTAAGGGGGTGTTTCCTGATCGCTTTCTGCGGGACATTATAATTGGATTCCACCAGAATTCTTTAAACTATTTGACAGAGGTTGTGCAAAATTTCTCCAAATTTGTCAAAGCACATTTATAGAAGTTGGAATCGCTAGCATGCTAATTCGTTATAGCATAGATGATGCTCCTGATGGTTGAAAATTGTGCTACTGTTTCACACAAGATGGTGCGATAAATCGGTATTCTGAAACAATAGTAGCCAAGAAGAAGTATTTAGGAGCTTAGCTGAATACTGATTTTCTGAATTACTTAAGAGTTGTCCCATTGTTCTTCTTTTTTCAAAGTGATAACCAAGAACCCTGCCAATTCTCCTTATCAAGCCGCATTGAAGTCTCTGACTCCCACACCATATCTTGTTTTGATGTAGGAATTTGATGTCGGATGAAATTTGGTTGAACATACAAGCCTCATTCTTATTATTACTTGTCACAGGTTGAAGTTTAAGTTACTTCGAATTGCTAATGTTCTTTCTCTATCACTTTTGTGCTTTCTGAAAAGAGAACAGAATACTCTCAAACCCTTACGGAGGTCCCAGAGTTGGTATTGCGGGCACAAATGTTACCGAAACATCCACCACTCTTACATGCTGGTTTGGTGATTTGCTGCTTCTTTACACGGAAGCCAGCAACAGTTATATCAAATATCTGGAATGATAATACAGTCATGCAGTGACTGTTGGCAGAGTCTAATGGAAGGACATTCGGGTATGTATTTACTCAAAGAAAATTTCATTAGTGTGTGTGAGCAGGTAATAATAATTACAGATCAGTTATAAGATCACAATAATCGTAAAGCCAGAATTCAAAAAACAAGAACATTTTATTGGGGTTCCTAAAGTAAGTACACTAATCATATAGCCCTCTAATCGAGTATCAATAGTTGAAAGCCAGGTGGTTTTGGGGTATAACAACCGACGCACCGGTACAAGTGTTACCACAGTAGAATGCACATAATTTATTGGAGAACAGACCGAGAAATGAAGCAACAAATAGTATAAATATTTAAGGTAAACAAAGTAATACTGTCAAGAGAATATATGTAAAACACACACAAAAAAAGACAAAACGTTATAAAAAAAAGGCCATCATTGAAGAAAATCTGTCCTACCGTCTCTGTCTAATTTTGAATTTTGGATAACATTTATTTGCCCGATAATCTATTCGTCTTGTTCCAAAGCTTTGCTCAAGTGGGATTGGTCAGGGTTCTTCTTACCAACACGCAAGGAGTCATCATATAAGAACTTCTTACCAGAGAAGAAGATGGCAGAGCAGACAGCAACACCCATTGCCAAAAACAATGGGGTCATTTCCACTGGGTAACGGACGCCAGACTTCTTAGCGGCGTTCATGGCGCGTTGAGTTGGTCTCATGGAAGCAACACGGGCAGAGGTGAATTGACGGAAGGCAGTTGGAATCATTGTTTATGTGATGGTTTGATGTTGTTGTAGAAGTGTATTGTAAATGATATAACAGTGAAATTATACACAAAAATTAGGCAATTGGTGATTGGGGAAAAAGCGAAACAAAAAAAAAAAAAATCATGTGACCGGTGAACCCATTTTCTCTGCCACGCTGTGATTGGCTAGACTACAAAGTTTCTCGAAATTGACATAAGAATTAGACACTGGCAACTGATATCGCAATTGGAATTGGAGGAATTCTGCATCTATGAGAATTGTCATTATTTTATGGGCAGAACAAAATCCTATAATATATACATTATATACACGTAAAAAGAGCAAAGAAAAAAAAAAGACCTTCCAACTTTATAAGGCACCAGTCTCTCCTATTTTATTAGTTCTCCTCGGTGTTAGAATAAACATCTGTCACATCATCGAGATCTTCCAAAGATTGTAGCAATTTATCCAATTTCTCTCTGACTTCGACCTCTTCGACCTTCATGACCAAATCAGGCTTTGGAATGTAAGCAATACCAACTTGTTTGATTTTGAAATCCTTCTTCAATTCTACCGTGGCATTACCAGTATCTGAAGGATCGGTAGTGACCTCTAATAGTTTTGGCAAAGGAATCAAGTTCCCGTCTTTATCCTTAGTTGGCTCTTCATCATTTTCATAAACCTCGTAGTCTTCACCCCCACACTCAATGACCTTGTCAAATACCTGGTCCTCAGTCAAGGCATTCTGTAGTGGTAATTCACAAACAACGTAACCTTTTCTATCGAAATTAAACAATGAAGGCGATAACGACCCCCCGAACTTTGTGAAGCATGCTCTAACTTCCCCAATGGTTCTATTCTTGTTGTCGGTCAACGCTTCCACGACGAATGCCACACCAGCAGGTCCCACCCCTTCGTAGACCATCTGATCTAACTGTTTCTTGTTATCGCCAGTACCTGACCCTCTCTTGATCGCGTTTTCAATCACCCGTTTCATCACGTTGGCCTTTTGTGCTGCTTCAATCACCGTCGCCAATCGAATGTTCTTTGTAGGATCAGGTCCGCCTTCACGCGCTGCTACGGCAATGGCCCCTGAGAATTTATTGGAGATCTTGTTCTTTTCTGCGTCATTTTTGGCTTTATCATGCTTAATGGTCGACCATTTGTTGTGCCCTGAAAGTTGAGCCGGCGTTCTTGACAACAATCTCTTGGCTATTATCTGTCTGGCGGCACCAGAAGAGCATCTGATATTGAGAAATGGTAACATTGCTCCGCTATAATTATTAATATTGTAATTCTCGGGGATAAGATTCTTTAGTATCAATCTATACAACAAAATTTTCCCTGGAGTTTAGGTGAAAAACATCAAAAAAAAAAAAAAAAAAAAGAGATAGAAGAGCGCTGCTAACCTTCATCACGTGCAAGGTTATTCAACATGCAGAAGCAGAATATGATACTCAAAACTTCAATTGTCAAGAAGATTTTATGGCCAAATGATCCAGAGAGACTAAGGGCTTGTGGTTTAAATTGTGCCTCGAACCTAGAGTAGAATGTGATTGGCTTCTCATATGGATAATATTCTATAAACCATGTGTGGCTGCTGTAGCACTACATAATTGTTGTAATGAAAGAAGAAATCAACTATTATCTCATTCACTTCTGCTACAGAAAATGAGAAAAAAAAAAAGGAAATGAATTGTTGAAAACCTTGCTGGAAGAAAGAGGCCCATGAAATCATACAGTGCTCTGTATTTTCAGTGTAATTAACCTTTTGTGGCTCCAATTCTGTCTCTAGTATTCTTTCTGCTGCACCGTTGTCAAATGTTAGATTATCATTTTTGAAGGATACTTCTATATTATTAGCAGGATCATTATAATTTAAAGCACAGAAAGCTAAGTAGGATAAATAAATGCGTATATGGATAGTCTATAGATAAAGTCATTTGTAATGAAAGAGAAAGAAAAAATCACAAGCACAGCAGACCCAAAGACTTTTCACTGTTACCTGTATATTCTTCTTATATATATGTTAGATCAATATTTAATATATATTTCATTGATTCATAATTTTTAGATAAGAGGTCAAGATGAGATCATTTCTTCAAGGGCAGAAGGGGGTTATTGTAAATTGCGCTTATCAAACATAGCCATAAACTAATAAAAGATTTGAGAATCCAGTTAGAGAATAGTCAAATAGTAGCGGAATAGAGCTGATGTCTGCAAAAATTTAAATCTCCTAGCATATTTGAAAAATTGAAAATTGAGCATAGCTCACTCAGCCTGAGCTTGAACTTGATAAATTTAAGAAAAAGAGATTCCCGAAGATCACCAATGTACAACCAAAAGATATTTAATAGCAAAAAGAAAAACAAAAAAACAAAAAAATAGAGCCCATCTAAAATAAAAAATCGCACTGCACCAAATATACTACTAGCAGATCGCATATGTTTTTCCCCTTTTCGTACACGAGAATGCTGGCTGCTCTCCCCCGGAGGGGTTCATCTCCCTTTTCTTTTCTTTTGACATTTTTGTATACTAAATATGTCAAGATATTTGACACCGAGCCTTAATTCGTGTAATATGAAGCACAAACTGTATATATACAAAGACACATAAATATAATGTATATGAAGCCCCTCGCTTCCCCTCAAGGACTCAGATTCCTTTTATTTAAAGAAATGTTGCTTCTACTTAGACCTTGGCACAGAATAACCAGCGCTACTTGATGATGTTCTGTAGTAAAAAAACTCCATGGAAAAAAAAAAGCTTTGCCTGGTGAATGATGACGTGGGAAAGGATATATATGTATATGAGTACAGCAATATTATGTGAGGTTATTCTTACTATCGTTAAATTTTCTCGCGGTTCGAAAGGTACATAATTCAACTCCTTTACAGTTATCCTCAACCACGAGCCTGCTGATAGACAAATGTACATGCTTTTGAACATTCTAGAAACAAATGCATGTATTTCCCTCGCTAATGGCCTATTCCAATGTGCTCGATGGTAATTTTACTACGATACATTTTGTAGGGCAATGACACAAGAAACCCTTTCCAATTACATCAATAAATATGAATAATCATAATTGCTGCTCAATCTTGGATATGACTATACTGCGATATATAGTGATGGACATTAGAATGAGTGGAAAAAAAATGTACATTATTAACGAATATAATAATTACCAGATTAGATGCGATTAAATTAAGAGTGACATGCAAAATTGACAAGATGCAGAAGAATTTTCAATAGCATGGGAATTAATAACGGCATACAATTGTTTAATGTAGCTAAGAGGAGAATCAATAGTCTTAATTAATTTCATTATAAACAAAAAGCAAGAAAAATCGTGTCATACCAAATCAGCAAAATAATTAGGCACTATAAAAAAAAAGCAAAAAAATCAGGAAAACAAAACAAATAAAGAGATAATTTGAATAAATAATTAGCATGATGGTAAGGTATAGTACAAATTATTAACAAAGGGAACGAAAAAAAAAAATAGCAATAGACAAACCATGTCAGCAAATGTAGAATATAAAAAAACAATTAACCCTAGAAAAAAAAGTAGCAGGAAACAGAATCAACAAAAGAAAGCTTCAATAAGCAAAAACAAACGTAAATGAATAGATATCAAACAAACAAATCAAGAGCTTAATAAATCGTTAGTTTGAGCATCATCAATAGTTTTCTTGAGGGTATTAGTGTTGTTGTTATTATTGAGGTTATCGGCAGGTTTGAAATTACCATTTCCTTGGGTTGACTTTCTTTTGACATCCATGCTATTATTAATCAAGTTTTGAAAGTTTCCACCAGCCAAACTACCATTAACGATCATTGAGGAATGCTGGCTGATACTGCTAGTAGTGCTACTGGCACCAATCATGGATAACGAGCTGTTGGAGTTGCTTGAGTAAACCAGATTTCTGGAAGAGTTTGAGGCAGAGGTTGAGTTACCAAATTCGCTAGGTCTTCTGGCAAAACTTGGAATGACGCTGGAAGCTGAGGTACTGGAAACATTTGATGACGATACTGTGTTCAAATTGTTGGATGACTCCTGGGTGTTGTATAATGGACTAAATCTGCAGACAGGGTTAGGATTGGTGTATGTTGTTGTCACGACTTCTTCGAGAGAATATGGACTGTTTATTGTTGACGACTCTTCAGAGTTTTCTTGGTAGCTGACGGAGGAATAATTGACACAACTATCGCTGTTTCTGTTGGCAATTGCGTCTGCAGCCTTCTGAGCTTTCTGCTGTTGTAATCGTTCTTGACGTTCTTTAAGCTTTTGTAATCTCCATGACAAATCTTGAGACATTTTTGAACTGGGAATCTGGTAATAGAAATTGAATGTAAAAAGAACAGTTGGAAAGAGATACTGGAAGGAGAATATTTGAGAAAGCAGACAGAAAAAGAGTTGTCGTTTTTTTTTTTTTAATTTTCTTTTCTAATTATTGAAGTTTATGTTGATCAAGGTTATATATAATATCGGTTGATCTTATTCAAAAAAAAAGTGTGTAGTAATGGTGAAGAGAAATGAATGGCATTAAGTATAAAAGAAAAGAAGAAAAAAATTTCCTGGGACTCCTCGAAGGAGATACCCGCACCCCACTTCCTCCAACAGGAAGAAAAACATGCAGGAAACCACCCCCGCTCCTCTAAAACTTTGTTTTCTGAACAATACGTCAACGTGCATAGAGACGCGTGGTGAAGAAAAAGCTACTTTTCCGAGTGCCATCCCGTAGTGTTTTGTGCTCTACGCATTGTGATATTCTTCATCTTATTATTCAACAGCAGGCCTCTAATTGTGTCTATTGTACTATACACCTATCCGACATCCTACTGATCCTACACAGTGTATTGTGTGAATCTGTTTCATCCTCTCCCGTTCAATAGCAGGTATGTACAACAGAAATCATGCAGTGCAAGTGTAGGGATCTTATATGAATCGAATGGTTGTCACTTAAGTAGGGTTTATGGCATTTTTGGCGTACGGGCAATGAATAACTAATGGCAGGGGTTAGGTTTACATCGTCTACGCCATGCTTAGGAATATCAGATGATCAGGAGTTGTGTCTTCCACTGAGTTGGCCTGGAGGGTAACGTCAACTTAACAAACAATACGTGATCTTCGGCTATCTCTGCCCAGTTGTTAAATATTAATATATATATATATATATATATCTGACCACTTTCTTCGAGCCCTTTTGTTAATTTTTTCAATAAAGTTTAATTACAAGCTGTTGTCAAATTCCAACTTGAATTTTTCTTCCGTTTTTCTTTTTTTTCTTTTTTCAGTCTCTTTCTGACTTCCACTCAAGAGAATAATAGAAAAAGTTGAAAAAAAAAAAAAGACTCACGAAAAAAAACAACAGGGAAATGAACACCCCAAAACTGCTGTTCGTATAGTTGGCACTAAAATTATATGTCACTTAAGATAGCATTAGCGTTAGGTTCACAATTGACACTTGAAATTCCCCCAGCCTACGTTGTAGCATGTGTATACTCCGATTGTAATAGCTCCATGGATATCAGTTTCTCGCGCTAATAACAACAAATTTCTCAATTTATGTAACAATAAGAACGATCTGTCAGCATTTCCAAGGAATATTAAAATATTCCCGAGGCCTGGCCACCTCATGCAGTGGAAGCCTTTTCCATTAATTGGGGGCAAATGGGCCAATCTGGCCCATCCCAAATTTCAACCATCCAATTAACCCCAAGTGAAGCTCGTGATTTTCCTTTTTTTTTTTTTTTTTTTATTCACATTCTTTACTTTATTGTTTGGTGGTCTCTCAAAATCTACTTTCCCGCTTGCGAAAGCCAACCAATGTTTCATCGCGATGTATTCGTGGCTGTCACGTTTGGCACAAGCGATTTTGTAAGATAAATCCATCGTGCGCCTTTGTTACGGTGCATTATTCCAAACCGCACCATTCACACTAACCCGAACTTCGAAATGTTAGTGGCAAAATACTAATGTCTTTGGGCTGATTTTTGCAAATTTGCGTCAATGACCGCAACACTGGATGACGATAAAACGGCTACAATGTTTATAATACTCGCCAGTTCTTCTCCCCTAGTATAGTCATGGTTGTTACTATTCAAATCCTGAGCTTTCTAAACCTCTTGATGTAACTTGAGTTGTTCATTCATATATATATATATATATATGCCAATTCCATATTTTTTTGATCGGTAGAAACTTGTTTATATACAACAAAGTTTTAGGCTGACGCTAAACCCCATTCTTATTTAACCACCTATTCTTTTCTTTTTTGCAAATAACCACGTTAGTATCTACCGACGCAGCAAAATTATTACATAGGTCTTCAGTATGATATACGTGTTACTACACGAGAAAGAAAATTGTACCTCAATAGTCACATAGTAGCTAAAGAAGTCATCTAGAACATGTATTATTATTATACGCGATTCCCCACGTTATCACCGTTAATAACTATGTATTTTGTGATCAATTTTGCCCACTGAAATCGGAATTTATCTATAGATAGAGGTTTAAGGTGATAAATGAGGAAAAAACTTATGTGAACTACTAAACACTGGAACGAAGGATTTTGTTCGGCGCATGTGTCAATGGTGTGGCTCATTGGAAGTATATGCTTGAAAAAGCGATGATAAATAGTTATACAATGCATTAGAGAATCAACTAAAAAAAAAAAAAAGAAAAAGGGATAAAGAAAAAAAAAAAAAAAGAATTGAATTTCCAATTCAAAAAACCAAAAGGAATCGATCGTGTTTTCATCTAAATGGCTAGTATGAAATCTTCAAGAAATGTAACCCACCAAAAGATTATAGTCCTCATACAACTGCTTCAACTCCTTCATCGTCATTTCATCGAATGGCTTGTCCATCTTTTTGAAGCTTTCTGCATTCTTTTCTATCTGATTAGTGTTTGTTATTGTAAGATCGTTACCATCGTCACCACCTTGTTTCGGCGCGACAGTGGTGCCTGAAAAAAGCTTTGGCGATACCTTCTTGCTCGATGGCGACGATATAAACAAGCCAGTTCCAGAAGTTCCTGCCCCCGAATTACTATCTGCTGATCCAATAGAATTGACATCATTACCGGCCAGGATTGGGAACGTGGTGGAACTTGATGGTGATATTGGTAAGTTTGAACTAGAAAAGCTTCTCCAACGAATAAATTTATTCAATGGATGAGAATGCAGCAGCGGTGGCGGCTGTCCATTGTGGTCCGGGGTACTCGAAGAATCAACTTTTGAAGAAATAACTCCTTCGGTTATTTCAGCTTCAGCAATCGTTTGAATGCTATTGGTTGCCGAAAAAACATTGTTGAGGGTCGAATTAGATCTATTTCTTGAGTTGGACATAAAACTATTACCAGAATTCGATCTGCTTCTTCCCCCACTCAACATGCTGCTCAATGAAACCCCACTACCCGCTACATTGCTGGGATTTAAATCGGGACCGCCATTATCATTGTTAGTGTTTTGTGAAGCTATTTTATTACCAAGGAATTTTAATGAGTTGTCAAATGCTGAACTTAAGTTTTTCAATCCTTGGTCCGCCACATTCATCACAAGCCCACTAGAAACTTCAGATAATGTCAATGGTTTAGAATTACCTCCGGAATTTTCGACATTATTGAAAAACGATAGACTTCCCTGTCTCATAATTGGCGCTGGACGCGCGCTATTGGAAGAGTTTGTAGAAGATGGGCTGATGCTATTGTGATAATATGATAATGATTCTTGTACCGTATTTTTGATAAAGGTCATGGAATTTGATTTTGGGCGATTAGGTCTGTTGGTGGATGAAGTAGTTGGATCTTGAGTTTGAGGAATCGAAACATCTTGAAATAATGGTAGATCAAGTGGTGATAAAAGCTTCTGTAAATCAGAGAATGTTAAATTATCGAAAAATGTGATATTGGCATCCTCATCATTGAACTGCTCGAGCTCTTCAACTACCTTCTTCTTTTCGTTATAGTTTTTATTATTGAGCTTCGAGCGTTTTGGCGGGTCTAGTTGCTTTGATTCTTTCAATTCATTAAAAGTGTGATCTTTATCATCGTGCTTATCACCCAGTTTAAATTTGTTGAACATCCGTTTCAATTCGTCATCATCGAGATTCAAGTCTCTTTGATAGTCCAAGTTAATGATAAACGTCAATAACGCCTCGACGTTGGTAATATCATACGAATAACCCCCTCCAAGATCCTTCATCCAGAAATTGCTGTTTCTAAATCTTTTGATATATTTGAAATTAAGAAACAAGTTCTCCACATGCTTATGGACGATAAAATAAATAAATATCGGCAAAGCAATGTCGGCATTGATGTAGCCAGATGACGTATTTGGACAAGATTCACCACCATTTTGATATTTATATATCAATTTGATCAATTTATCAAAGGAGTTGGAGATAATCAACAATTTTTCCAACGGGCTTTTCAAATAATTAGACATATTAAATGATTTTTCAATTTGGGCTAAATCATTTTGGAAGGTTGCCTCACTAAATCCGTTTCCAAACTTCTCCATATCAAAATCTAATTGTTCGAGTTTCAAATGGATAATGTTTCGTAATACAAACGACTTTTCATAGATTTTCAATTGGATCTTCAAATCATCCAAATTGTTCTGGTATATTTTGTGAAAGATAAGCTGGTTACCACAGAGTGTAGCTTCCATATGTTCGATATAATCATTGTGGATTTTCCCAATCACTGCCTCATCGGTCTCTTTTGCGGTAAGGTACGTCAACGCTCGAGCCTCAAATTTATGATAAAACTGTTGGAATAGCCCTGCCACTTGATCCGTCGACAATGGCTTTGAATATTTTGGGGCTTGTAAATCTCGTAAAAAGATATCGATCGATTCCAGTAATTTCGATGGTAGGTTCACCGTTTTAAGGTCTCTCGTATACTCAAGCGTAATTTGATGGGCGTGTTTCTCTTCCTTGGTATCTGTAAGCGATACAGGAGTGGTAGCAGCAGTGACAGCTTCATTAGTGGCACTACTCGGTGGCTGAATCTTGTTGTCATTTGATGAGTTGATGCCAGAAGAGTCTTCAACTGAGATAGGGTCCTCGATTGTTTGTGTCACTGGTGAGGCAGTGCTAACGGTGGGAGACGTCGCTATTACACCATTTTCTTTTCCCATTTTTACTATTTCTTCCTCCTGATAGTCTTGTTTAGTATACGACTCAAGGGTCGCTGTGGTTGATAATTGAGATCGCTCAGGGTTGATTGGAGGTGTATGGAACATGATGTTTCCTTGATCTAGTTCATTCTACTGTGTGCAGCGTACGTGGCCAGAGGAAGGGCAGTGAGATATTTTTTTTTTTTAAAAAAGGGGAAAGTAAAGAAACAGAGAAAACTTTGTCAGCAGAAAACAATTCAGAACAAAAATGAAATAAGAGCGTTATAAAGCCTCCTTCTCGTTTGGTTGTCAGTACTCTCTGTATAAGCCCAAGGAAAACAAAGGAAGAAAAAAAAAAAAGAGAGCGACAGGGGAACATAACTTTTAATGAGGGTGTAGGGCCCCTGGTATTTAACGACACTACACAATACAACATGATAATTGCTTATTATTATCTGAGAACAACAAGGTATATTAGGGAAGATATAGTTGATAATAGGATTAATAATTATAATGATGTATTTTTGATATTATCAGAAATTGCTAAAGTTCCATTCCAGTGTGCGCAATTTCAAAAGAAATTGCCATCACAACTTTACCAGCTCCTTCACTGCCAGAATAAACTGTCCATGGAATTGTTTGCTTCCAGCAATAATTCCCTTTGATTCCAAGTATCGCCCACGAGTGAAGTCCAAGTCAACCCCGTTCATATCTGTAGCCACCCCACCACTCTCTTTAACCAACAAATACCCTGATGAGTGATCCCAGATTTTCTCACGATAACCCATACTGAATGGCAATCTCAAGTACATATTGGCAACCCCGTACGCCAACAAGCTATATTTACACTGTGAGTCCAAGTTCACAGTTCTGTTAGGAGAGATCCCCAAAAGTTTCTTAATTTGTGACTGCAGCTCATGATCCGAATGCTTGGTCTCTACCCCTTCTACAATAACGTTTTCCTTGATCGATGGCAAATTGTTATTCATGAAAATTCTTTCAGTTTGCAGATCAAATGGCGCCTTGATATCTTCAAACAACTCTTGGACGTATGATCCCTTGTTTTCCATCGCGGTGAACAACAACCCTTTGGCAGTACTTGGGTTTTGTTTCAAGTAATCATTCAAATTGAAGTTGGATTTACCAAAATCGTGGGTCTCGATGATCTTCTTAATATTCACCGGCAAGTTAGGACATCCATTGATCCCCACCCTGATCTTATTGCTAACCATCAACGATAAACATAATGCAAACTGGTCGTTTCTTAAAAACCCTTTTGTCCCATCGATGGGATCCAACACCCAAAACCGGGCATCTTTGCCCCCTTCGTACCCACCTTTATTCAAACTTTCAATGATTTGCGATCCTTCGACAATCGGCTCGAATTGAAACTGGTGCAAATTCCGTTGTCTGAACTCGATATCGGTCTGTTTGCAATACTTCAAAATTAGCGAGACCAAGTCTTTTCTGGTTTCCAAATCATCCGAAGACTCCTCGGCCATAAACTTGTCATTAGGGAAAAACTGGGTGATCGACGATATTATGATTGATTGTACTGCAAAATCAGCAATGGTCACTGGCGAATGATCTTCTTTGGTGATGGTTTTCGAGGCATAAAGTTTACTGTAATCTTTAAGGATCAATTTAGAAGCAATTGCTGCTCTTTGTACTGCCAATTGGGCAATCAAAAGTTCTTTCTCATAAACCATTTTCCTTTTTTTCTTTTTCTGCTAGTTATAAAATATATATGTGGCTGTATAACTTTCCTAATTATGGTGTTATTGACAGGACGGTGATGAGATGTCACCTTTTATGCTACAAGCAAGAAAAAAAAAAACACCCAACATCGGTGCGTGCGAATAGAGAAACCAGGAATAATGTTCTGATAACAATATAACCTTCGTAGATGTATAGGGAGTGCAAATTGTGAGAATATAGATATAAATTAATTCAAGAAATTTTGAAGAAGAGTCACAAGTTCAGAGAAAATAAAAAGATTTGATTCTTCCGATCTTACATTATCTATTACTCAAAAGAAATTTCCTAGTCGAAGTCCCTTGAATATCCTTTGATGAAACACAATAGAATCAACAAGAAAGAAAGAAAAAAAAAAAGGTATGTTGAATATCATGCAAAAGTAAGCCAGTGATCTTGGGTATGGGAGATCAAAAGTGCAAAAATAAAAAAATCGATAACCAAGCCACATATAAAACAGATAAAGAATCTTTCATCAACCAATATAGAAAGAATCAACAGAAAAAAAAAAAGAAAATAAAAGTAAAAAACAAAAAAGGGGGAGTAAATCGCATCATCGTCTGAGAGGTTGCTTTTCTTTCAGTTACCGTGGCTACTACCTGTCTGCAACTGTACTATTATGTTTACCAGTTTCATCGTTGGTGATTGTCACTTGAGACCCTGTGTGGGCTGAAACTGCATCGCCATTCGCCATGGTCGATGTTACCGATGATATTGACGTATTAGTTGATGTCATTGCCGGTTCATACTGAGGAACAAAGTCAATGACCTCTTTTCTCAAGACATTTGTAACTGAATACCCATCATCTTCTGAGTCATCACGTTGGATATCTCCATTGGCCGCATTATTTCTGACACTATCATCATTGATAGATAATGAATTTATTATATTGTTTTCAAACCCTGGGTTTGAACGTACGCCGTTGCAATAATCGGATTTATAAGGACGATCAGTGGAAGGACCCATAATGGTATAAGGCACATTCGTGTCAGATCCATTGAGATACCCTTCTTCATTTCCAGACTCTTCAAGCACCGGAACAAGGGGAACACTAGAAGCTGAATCAATCAATCTGTCACCATCTGATAAGACATTTGGCGGCTCATCAGTAAACATCAGCGGAGGTTCAGACGGAAGTAGAGATTCCTCATGAAGTCTCACCCGTTCCTTTTCAGATAGTGGCGAGTCTGCCTGTAAATTCTCGTATGCTATTGGAGGTAGCAATGGCGGAGGTGGTGGGAGGTCAACGTCAAAGTTACTTGGGCTATGTATAGCGTCATTTGAAGATCCAATATTATGAATTTCTCCTGCAGTATTGTAATCTGGAGATTCTCTCATTCGGTTATCCGGAGAGTTTCTGTCCAAGTTAGATGAGGTGAGAGAATCAACTCTAAGAATCTCATCACCATCTTCACGGGTTCCTAGAATTGGCACAGGACCGTCATTTCCTTCTACCTCGGCAACGCTAGACGCGTCATTATTATTAGGAACTTCTGATCTTTCAGTACCAATAATTATCCTTCTATTAAGAGATATCACATTCTTTAGTCTCTTTAATTTATCAACATTGATAATTTCTTGATCGTAATCCCTTCTCTCAAATTTCTTGTCATCATCATTATCAATTACTTTGCCATTTTGGTGACTTTTCGACGATTTGCTTGAGTACTTAGATGACGCCTCCTTAGATTTCAAATCTGGAGAGTATTCATTGGTTCCATCAAAGGTCAGGGAATGATTTTTACTGCTGAGATTCGCCACTACCTCGATGTAATATTCAAAACTAATCAATGGAGCTCCACGAATTGTTGGAAACGAGTCAAAGGGGATCTTTATATTAGTATTCACTTCAAATTCCAAAGATGAAGGATCAATGTATAATGGTTTGACCACCTGTGCCAAATCTTTTCGGAAAGATAAAATCCCCCCTTCTGGGCTATTGTCGATTTTGCATATTCTGATCAAAGTAATAATGATCCCATTTAGTGACTTCACGTTTTTGATATGCTGCAAACGGATTTGGATAGGGACCAAATCATTGGCCAAGTACGCGATAGATTGCGTTTTTATCACCATTTTGATGGTGGCATGGTTCAAGGTCGAGGATGAGCTATTAAACGCTTTGGAGGTGAATAAAGTACCGGAAATATTATTGAGGATCGAGGAATTAGAATCATTTTCGCCATTTGCATTGGTATTGTTGTCACTGCTTCCATTACTGTTGGAACTTCTAACCGAGTTCAGAGAATTCACCGTCGATGACAGGGATAAGTTCTTAAGGAATTTTTTTTGAGGGCTCTTCACTATCAACACACTAGGTTTGGGCTGTGGGAATTTATTCACATTTATAGGACATTTAATAGTGATGTTTTTTTCGCATTTGGCAATGGTGTCAAGGTCTTTTGTTGTCAGTGATTTTTTAGAATCAGGAGTATTAATATGGGTATTTCGCGAGGTATTAAAACCTTCAACCTTCTTGCTAATAGAGAACTTGAATCGACCATTATGATTATGATTATGATTATTATTATTATTATTATTATTGTTATTGTTATTGTTATTACTTCCCAGTTTTCGAGATTTTTGTTGATCATCAACCGATGATTTGGAAGGTCGCTGTGAATCGCGTAATGGTGAAGAATATGTTAAAGATGCCGGCGATGATGATAATGATGACGATGATGAAGGTGATGGTGATGACGAAGAAGCTTGAGTGGATTTTAAATGGAGATGAGCTTTGAGGGAATATGAAATGGAACCTTTTTCAAATGTTATACTGGAAAAGATATTTTTTCTTGGTAGTTTTATGGAAAAAGGAAAGCGATGTTCGCCTTTGGAAAGACCCGTCACTTTGTCGGCATGGTTGTCCCCGTACAAGTATATCGATACAGAGAACAATTTGGCCTTTTTATTTGTGATACCTTTGCTTCCCCCATTGGTCTTGATAATTCCGTTGATGGATAATGATAGAAGGATGTTCACTAATGGTTTCTTTACCACGAGACTCACCGACCCTGTGATGTAGTCGCCTGGATGGTAAACCTTATGGGGGTTGTCGAGGACAATGTAGAACTCATCGATGGCATTAAGGTTCTGGAAAAACAAGTTCTTGGAAAAATTCGATAGGACGCTGTTGGTCTTTGATGGAAGAAGACTGGACATCGACTTCTTCATTATTGATGGGCGCAGTGTGTTGCGCATATATATAGAACTATATATATATATATTTAAAAGATAAATATATATATATATGTATGTGTATATACATGTACGTGAGTGTGTGCCAGCAGTTACTGATTAGTTCCCCTTCTGTGGTGATAATGGTCTATGGTCCAAGAGTCAACCACCTTCTTATGTGTGTGTGTGGAGCTGTTTTGGGGTATATGTGTCCGTCAATCAAGAAAGTATTCTTGGCTAACCGTTCCCACACAATAAAAAAAAAAAATCGTCACAAAAAAAAATGCCACCCCCGGGGGGTGTCGCTTGGGTGGGGGGCTCATATTATATTTACCACACTGGTGGTATATATCTCACATCTACACCATATTGCCATGGATATATTACAACAGATATGTTATACACAACTTAGCAGATTAATAGATAAATAAATACAAATAAAACACACTCTATAGTCCAGCCCAGTGCTGCACCACCCTTGCCAACGGGGTGATTGCCGCCATGATCACCATGATCGTCCCAAAGATCGAGAACGAAAGCGAACTAATGGCAGCAGCCCTGGGGTTGTTGATCAATAAATGTGCCGTAGATATCGCACCACAGTTCAACCCCAAGGTCACCCCGATGGTGATGTAATCATCATCTTTAATCCCTAAAAACTTGAGCATCGAATCTCCGCACAACACCCCCAAAATCCCCGATAAGATAGTACTCACCGACATCAACGGGATACTCCCTCCAAGAGACTTGATAAGCGGGGTTCCTAGAGCAAGAGTCACCGATCTCCCTACAAAACCAAGCGATCTGGAAGGAGCAATGGAAATCGCGTGGCAAAGTGGAGGATAAATGAAAAACGACGCAGCAGAACAGATGACGATCGGGGGGATAAACACAATGTAGTGTTTCTTTAAATCTTGTCGATAGTGGAACATCGGCAATGACAAAGAAACAATACTGATATCCATCATCGCCGATAAAACATCCCCGGCTCCCGGCCAATTTGTGGTGACTGAGGTGGTGAACAAATATAAATAGGTTCTCCCAGTCTTATATGCCCTGATACTATCAATAAAGCTTTGCTTCTTGATTAATGAAAAGATATAAATTAGCAATAACATAAATGGGAACGAAACAAGAATAGGGTGAAGGATTTTCTTCCATTTTGCAGGACTCAACAATGCAATTTTGAATAATATGATCGAAATTCCAAGATGTAGTGGCAATGCATAATCACAGGCAAAATAAATCGGGATCCCCGTAATGAAAAGCGTGGTATACACTCCCCAATCAAAATATTTCATAATTCTTTGAGAAATGGCTCTCGAGCGTTTTGGTAACTTGGCAATATATTGGTTGATTTTTTCTCGCTGTAATTCTTCCTGTTTAGCTTCTTGCTCGATGGCTTCCATTCTATCAGTCACTTCAAGGTTCAAAGCTGATTCAGGAAGCTCAATCGATGACGACCTTCGGCGATTGTCGGTGGCATTTGAGTCACTGAAAATATTCTTCTTTGCATGCCTGAGATCTTTACCTTCTTCTATATTACTGTTTATATCATTATCAACCGACTGATTCACGATTTCTAAACTTGAGCCTCGTAATCTGTCAGTTAATTCAATATCTTCATTGGTAAATCCATCAGATACCTCGTCATTAATACTTTCTGCATCTTCTATTGAAGATCTTCTGGTTTGATTCAATAAAAACTGTAATGATTTCACAAGATATGCCATCGAGACAAACATTGCGAGATACCCGATCACGAACACCGCAGCAATGATGAACGCTTCCGTGACCGTGATCTTATCGGCTAATGGCAACGTCACAAATGCGGGAATGAAAAACAAATTGATCCATTTGAGAGCAAAGTTTGCTGGAACCTCGATCACTTTGATGATGTGTGAAGTGATAAATTTGCCAAAAATCTTTTGCGATAATAATAATAAAACGTACAAGATCAACATCAAGGCGACGGACGCCGGGAACTCGATCTTTATCTTCTCGATCACTATATTGACCCCATACAAAATGCAGAGCACAAGAACACAGCCAATGGGCACAAGTATGTAATTATGTAAAAGGATTCTATTATTGATCCGGAAACTCTAGTGATTGGAACAAATTGTCAGTGATTTCATTTCTTTCGATGCATAAAATGCAATAACGCTATTATTTACTTACCAACACTACCCCATCCCTCAAATCTTTTAATATATTTTGTTTATCATCGCTCGAACTGAGAGAACCAGATGATCCTCTGATTATCAGGGGAGCCGAAGTTTCTTCCATGATGTTTGAATAGTATTCTAACCTTCCCAAATGCTCAAAAAAAAAAAAAAAAAATAAAAAACAAACTGTATGGTGATGATGTCCCCCCACATTGTTATATATGAAGATAAAAAAAAAAAAAAAAAAAAAGTTTCCCCATCACGCATGGAACTGCTGATGAGTCGGAAGATTACGATCGTTAATATATTACATTTTATATTAAATTTTATATTACATTCCACTATAAACTAGGTCAAATCTATGATCTCAACAGAGTCTAGAGGGTCCACTTTCTTCTTCTTCAACTTCTTTCTGACAGGTGTCTCCGTGTCCGACTCATAATCAAGGTCGATGATCTGTTTCCGGTCTTCCTTCACCGACATGGCCTGTGTCATTCCTTCCTCCTTCTTAATCACGTATCCGCGATTTTCTTCTGTGGAAATGATGATCTCCTTCACCACTTCGATTTCCAATTCACTATCTTCAGGCTCATATTCTTCTTTATGGGCTGCCTCTTCCGCGCACCACATATTATCCTGTAACCTTCTCTGCGCTGCCTCCGCCACAAGTTCTCTTAGCGACTTCTTAGGACCGGCAGCACTACGCTTATCTTTATCATTATTATTGTCATTAGTCCCAAGCTTTCTTACTTCCGACTTATAGCTCTTCGTGGGCTTCAATCTATTTATTCGTGACTGGTTCTCATTACGAGTTGCTCGGCCTCCCAACTTTTCCGCCTCGGCGAAGTACCCCGTGGTTTCATACGCTGATTTCATGCTTATCTGATGGTATCGCTGCTTGAATTGCTCGAGTTTATCATAAAACGCCTTATTATGTGGACCATGAGTGTTATGGACTAGTTCATGCAATGCGGTTCCTAGGATATCCCCAAACAGTAAGAACTTGCGGTCGTTCCAATGATCTCGAAGACGGATCAACACTTTTTGGCCTCGGTTGACATTAAGTCCCAATAGCTCTTGTTTCTTGGGGAACATCTCGCATAGTAGACCGACTTTCAAGTTGTTTTCCCTCATAATCGGGGCGATCGACACCGCAACACGATGAAGCATTTCTAGCGCCTTATCCTTATCCGGTTTCCGCTGCAACGAGGCAATCTTCTTTATTAGCGGTGTGGGCGATGGGAGGTTCGGCTGGCTCTCTTTTGTTTTTCTTGTTGTTCTTGATCTTTCTTCAACCACCATCCTGGACGATATCTATAATAGTAACACTCATTAGAATAAAGGTACCTCATCGCTATACAAAGAAGAAGAAGCAGAAACAAGAAAAGAAAAAAAAAAACGTCACGAGATAATTCACGTGTTTCAGCCAACATTTTTCTCCCCATTTCACAGGTCAATTGTCAACTTGGGTGTTAGAAATATGTAGAAAGTGGCGAAACATGGGGCTGGCTCATTTTGAATAATAATAAATTAGTAGAATACATTTAGTTGTTAGAATACAGCCAATCACAACCCATTTGGTTGAAAAAAAAAATCAGCATTCATCCCATTCAATTCCAGTAACCACGACAGGGGCATCCTCATCATCTTCATCAATGTAATATTGCAAGCTACCATCGAGGTTTTTCAAGTAATTTTCATTATCTTCAAAATCTTGGGGAACCTCAAACGAATCCTCATTGATATCTTCAAACCTGTCTATCAAAACATTTTTTACTTTCATCAAATCTTCATTAAGGCTTCGTTTCATATAGGTCTTTTTATCACCTAGCTCCAGAATAATCGACTGAAAAGACTTTATGGCCCCAATAACATTTCTCACGTCGATCATATCTGTATCAAAATTGAAATACTCCTCAGATATCAAGGTGAACTGTTGCTCTAGTAGCATTAGAAATTTGCGTAGATCAGTAGGTTTGTCGGAAATAAACTGCTTAGAGTCTGAATATACTTTCAACATGTTGTTGTATTGTCTCGCGGCGGCGTAATTTCCGAATAGCCACACCATTAAATAGCAAAATTGGAACTGACCAAAGAACTCTTGCAAATGTTTGAATCCCAGCGTAGACAACACGATATTTTCGAAATACCATGACTTATCAAGACAATCGGTGGTTTTTTCTGAATCGGTGGCATTCGGGCGATAGGTGATTTTTGTTTCTATAGCGGGGAAATTGAACAAACTTTCCGAATCATCAATGAGGGTGGAATAGTCGGTGTCAGGGGTAGTTCGTTTCAATTCTGAAAGCAAAATTTTATTTTCTTCCGTGGAACTGGTGACCGTGCAAACTTTCCAGCCAAGTCTCTTGGTTGCACCTCTGGGAAGTACAATCACCTTATCCAATATTGACGCGGTTATATGGTCAGTTAAAACCAGCCACGAGACACAACGATCATCTGTCATGATTGAGTTGTAACCAACCATGAAATTATAATCATGCCCCAAACTCTCTGTCATCATTTCAAATTGTTGTTGGTCATCTACAGACCTTAGTTCAAAATCCTCGATCTGGGAATTATATCTCGACAATAAAAGCTGTCGACTAGTAAAGAGACAAATACCATACTTTACACTGGAAGATGTTTGAGCAAAATGAATAATGTGTAATCCTGGGGGTATCAACTTCATTCCTCTAAATGTTTGGTTGACATTGAATGTTTGGGAGTCAATCCCAATCAAGGGCACAGAAGAAGGGTCATCTCCACCAGAAGAAGAAAATGACAAGTCTGTAAAATAGATTGTTGTCAACGGGGGGATTGAGGAACTCATTATTGTTTCGTATGGTACACTTTTGCCCTAAATCATCATCCATCAGTGGGAATTTTTTGTTCCAACAATCTGGAGCGGTTACGTGCACTACGGCAGCATTATTTTGATGGGAAGATTCTTTTCAGCGTAGACCTTCTTTACAACATGTGTGTTTCTTCTATATTGATATCTTTACACTAAAACTGAAAATTAGTCATGGCTAACTTCTATCACTTTTAATTGTTTGGACTTTTGCTACGCAACCTTTTTTTTTTTTCCCGAGGGACTTCTAAGTTTTGCTACCATGAACAAGTACTAGAATGATTGTCCCAAAAATACCGAATGGGAAATGTATCACAACAGGTAGATTGTTAAATGAGATCCTTATTTACTTTATCCTTCTATCCTATTTCTGCTTTACTACTTTTTTTTATTGAAGTTCTCACCCCCAAAGACAAGAGGAAAACAATAAGTAGGAGAAATATCTCTCCATCTACAACCTGCCATACTGTTCTTCCTAATCCAGGAAGAGAGAAAAAAGGCATATTCAACCAAAATAATATCAAGAGTGACATATAGGTATCTGTTACGATAGATTTTATGCCCATACTTCAGTATCGGGTGCCATTACTCAAGGAGAATTCCGTGGACACGCGCATATCAAGGAAAATGCCATAGATTTCTCAAAGGGCAATTATGGTGAGAGTGCATAACACTAGTGCACGAGGCCAACTTGAAAGCACAAAAAATAAAAATAAGAATGAAGAAATCAAGGCTCTGTTGAAAAGAATGCTGCCATATGGCCATCATTGTCATATAAATGGGAGGATTTCCTTCAAGCTTTATTGTCAGGACCGTTGATGAAATGTTAATTATTTAACATTCTACATCATACATAATCATATAAACATCATGATCGCCTGGTTCAGTTTCTTTTTGCTATCCCTTCTCTTCAATAATAATGTACACGCAGCATACCAACCCGATGGCCATAATATTGCGTTATATTGGGGTGCTGGTGGTGGCCAGAAAAGTCTTGGATATTACTGCAAGTCTGGAGCTGCCGATATCATGATGATCTCGTTCTTGAATAACTGGAACGCTGACTCTTGTTCTTTCAACTTCGGCAACGCGTGTGGTGCTTCTCCTGGTCCATGCACCCAGATTGAAGAGGATATAAAGACATGTCAAAGTTTAGGGATCAAAGTTCTCCTCAGTTTTGGTGGTGATGACCGTCGTGGAAAGTATGGGTTGAAAAACGATCTCCAAGGGGAAAGTTTGGCCGAAGTGTTCTACAACATGTTCCATCCTAACGGTAATGCCACTGTCAAGCCATTTGGTACTGCAGAAATTGATGGTATTGATTTTGACATTGAAAACGGTAATGACAATGGATTGGCGGCGTTGGTCACCAAGCTCAGAAGCCTTTGGACTACAAAGACGTTACTTGTTTCTGCTTGTCCCCAATGCCCATATCCTGATGGGAACGTTTTGAATTTGTTGAAAGATAAAAACGCTAAAGTTGACCTTGCATTTATTCAATATTACAACAACGCTTGTGGTATTAACCATGCTCTGAAGTTCAAGAAAAACTGGAAAGTTTGGGAGAATTTCCAACAAACTTTGGCAGGGAATTCTAACTTAAAGTTGTATATTGGTATGTCTGCTTCATCGGGATCTGGATACACAAAACCTGCCGCATACGTTAACGAGACTTCAGCAGATGCCAGAACTTTTGGTAACTTTGGTGGATTTTTCTTATGGGATGCCGCCAGTGGGTTCACCAATGTCGATAAAACCACGGGTCTTAACCAAATTTACGGGATCAGAAACATTATAAGAGACGAAGTTGTCACCTCTTCCGTCATTACCAGCTCAGCCACTTCTACCAGTCTTAGTACATTTGTCTCCCTGGCCACCGAAACCCTTGTTAGCACCTCCACTTCCATTTTAACCGTTTCTACAACCGAATACACTCGTGTCACCGAAACTTCTACCGTTACTTCTACTTCTGGCCAATCTACTGAAAAATTTACTGTTTTGCTTGCTCATGGTACTAATGTTCCTACAGTATTTGTGTCTACGGATCTTGCGGAAAGTACTGAAGTCACCGTTGTTCAATCTACTTCGATTTCCACCTCGTTATCTGCTTCGGCTACTACCACTACCACCACTTACTTGTCAGAAATTTCCACTTCCACTGCGTCTTCTTCCTCTTCATCTTTAATTGCTAATGCCAAAAGAATGGCACCAACAACTTCAGAGTCTTCCCTGGTCATGGCTACAAAAACCTCGCTTTCCACCGTATTGACGACAAATGCTGCTGGAGCTCAGGCAAAACGTGTAATCACAATTGTTTCCACCATAGCCATACCACAGTCTCTTCATTAACTGGCTTAAATAATTCCTTTATATAAAAGCTGGACTTTTATATTCAATTTTTGCTCATTATTTTCTCTCTTTTAATTTGTTTCGCTTATCTTTTAGTTTTTGTCTTTTCTTTCTCCTTTATTTCGCTTCTTTTTTAATTATTCTCAAAAGTTAGGATATTTTTTTTTTACTCAATAGACTTTTCTCTTTTCTGGAATTTATTTTTGGATACTCAATTCGTAATAGCTATGTCTATTCATGTGTAATAATAATAATAATAATAATAATAATAATAGCTGACGGTCAGGAATGATACGACTAGGAGATTTCATTTTTCTTTATATTTTTGAATTCCTATAAGGCATTTAATTTTGGATATGATGGTTGCCTAGTTTTGAAATTTCAATCTTACGTAACTTCAAATGAATATGAATAATACAACGTCCCGTCAAATTTTAAACTAAGAGAATTCAAGAGGCACAAAATAAATGGTGAAGAAAAAAAAAATCTAACCCCACTGTCATTCAAGAACAGCAAAAAAAAAAAAAAAAAATAATAATATGGCCAACCAAAGTAGAATCAAAAGGTGAAAAAGAAAACAAACAAAAAAGTAAAAAAGTAAAAAATATAATTTTTTTCAAAAAAAATCACAATTCCGGATCCAAAATAAAATCAAAGAAATATTTGACTGCTTCATAAACTTCCTCCCCAACAGGTTTGATGAACTTGGAAGGTAATAAGAACCCATGAGATCCCGAGTCTCTCAATTTAATTTGAAATGCCCAATGTGCCATGGCGGTACTGTATAAATAATCCAAAGACGATCCGCTACCCATACCCGGTGTCAAATCGACATTTTTGTCCTTGCAAGCAGGGGTCACCAAGTAATTCTTACCAGAGTTAAGTCTAATGGCCTTGGACAACCCATAGGCCAATTCAAGCAAATTCTCTTCGTCTCTTGGACGGTGTTCACAACTGTAGGCGTACGGATACAAGATTTCTTGTGCATAAGAATGAAGATCAATGTATCCATAGAGTTGTAAATGTTGATGATTTGCCTTAGAGGAGTTCAAAAATTCCTCGAATTGTGCCACCTCAAGGGCTTCCTTTGGAACTTCTCCACTGTAATCTTCATCACATGGCCAAGAGGTTTCTTCAGTTTTCTCCCATCGATAATCAAAGGAGTGATCAATGTCGATCCCAAAACATCTTGGTAAGTAGGTCTCTTGACGGTTTTTACGCCAAAGTCTGTCATTAGTCCAACTGTAAGTGTAACCATCAGGGTTGAATACCGGTACCACTAGAATATTCAATTGATTGAGATAATCGGTCTCTGGTTTGGATATCCCATACTTTGTTAATAGCTGAAAAATGATATAGTTGGCGGAAGTCACAGAAATCCATTCTCTAGCATGGATTCCCGCAGCAATAATGATGGTCTTGTTGTTAGGATTGTTGCCTTCAGAGAATCTGGAAGTATCAATGTACAACGCCTTCAATTTCTGACCTTCAAAGGTGGTTCCAAAATTCTCGACAGAAACAAACCCAGAATATGTTTCTGCAAGCAAGTCAAACCACGAATAAATTGTTTTCAAAGGTCTATATTCTTTGAAAAATAGCTCGTCATCCAATGCTACAATCTCATCATCATCTTGGGCATTAAAAAAGTTTTTTGGGTAACTCTCAAAAATTTTTTGAGCAAGGTCATCAATGATTATAGAATATTCATCTACCTTAATTTCTGAAGATTCGAGTAATGGTTGGAGCTCATCTCTTGGAAGTTTTATGTCCATAAAAGTTTGACTTCTAGACCATACATCGCAATTATTGCAGTTTTTCATAATTTCACGCTCCATAACAGTTTTAGGATCCATAGCGAGACGAATCACAATATCATTTTCGTAACCAGAAAGATCGATTGGCCATTCAGATTGGTTTACTGTGGAATAATGGATATCATCTTCTTCAGCGGTTACTTGAGATTGTTGGAAAGGATTGTATTTAGAAAGGTCAAATTGCTGAACATCCTGGATAGCGTCAAAGACCCCGGCCTTGATGGTTTCTTTTGAGATGGAGAAGGCATCAACAGAGCTGATGAGAGCCAATGGCAAGAGCGCCCCTTGGAATTTCATGATATTTGGCGCTTGGTCCTTTCTTTCTGGGGGAATGGGAAATTCACAATACTGCTTCTTTCACATAAGCGGCAGTTTTGTTGTTGCCCACGATCTGCGATGGTTACCCGGTGTGTTTGTGTCACTACAATAATTGACTAAGAAGAAAGTATCAAGAGAATCATAATGATGAAGATAATATACATATATGAGAAAGCATATGAGGGGAGTGAAAATGTGATTTTATAAATAACACTTACCCCTAATTATATAGATATAGAAAAGCACTGTAACCGAATTATAAATGGACACTCAAGAGACCAGCTCTGGAAGAAGAGAAGCTATAATACAACAAAAAATAACCAAAATGGAAAGCAACCTAGTCAAAGGCATATATGGTCTTTGACTTCCTCAATAACGAGCCATCAATGACACTGGGCAACAAGAACACTTCGTGGGGATTCTGCAGGCAGTGGCCGTCACACACTTCCGAACCGCCTTGCGTAGTGCTATTGTAGTAGCTATACAAGTAACTGCTGTCAGCACCAGAAGCACAATTCCCAGTATTGCTATTTACTGATAAATTAGAGTTAGAATTGCGAGGCATTCCATAGAAGCTTGTACTGTTTTCAGAAGAGGACATTGTTTGGATGTGTCAGCAAAAGTGAAAAACAAACAGTAGCAGTGAAGAAGACCCCCGAGTATATGCGTACTATCAAAAACCAGCAGCAAAAAAACATAACTTGCTAGCAAGAAGGGAAAGGGAAAGCCCTTGGTATTTATACCTCGGAGTGTGCCCCTGTTTGGTGTCATTTTTGTGAAACTGCGGTGCCTAAAGCTCCATGCATTAGTTCGGCACCAATGATACAGCCTGGAAACTGGTAAATGAAAAAACAATCCCATCCACCTTATCATTGGGATACCTACCTCCCATCTTGTGTTTATGGTTTTGGGGAATCCTCGTTTTATCATTATGTTTTTCCAGGCTTGTAGCAGTTGCAAACTCTTCAAGTGTAATGGTTTTCCTCAATGATTACTCGCAAATTCCGCTCGTGAATGTTTGAGTTTAGGGACGGAATTACGGATACTGAGCACCACCATTTTATGATTGCACGGTGTCTTTCATACCAGATCCATCATTTCTAGAACTTCAGCTGTTTCATTCCCTGTGGACGCATTAATTATCCTTCGAAATAAAATTTCTAAAAAGGGGAGTCAGTAGCCATCTAGCAAGTTGCTGGTGGTTTTCCGGAGATCTCGTAAACTTGTTACAATAATTGAGATTATTAAATTAGAGATCTTTTTCTTATAAGCCAGTGCTATTCTGTTAATCTTTGGCCTACTCTTTTAAATTTTGCCTACAATGTGGTCAGAAGTGTCGACTAAAAGTTACCTTACCCCCTTCGTATATTATTGGATGCACTGTTTTCCGCAATGAGCAGGAGTATAATGTCAAATATTTAGTTCAATACCGCCTCTTGTGTCATATCATGCAGTACTTATGAATGTTTCAAGAAACCAAAATTACATCGTCAATTATTGGTGTATTAAAATCAAAGTATTTACAAATCTGCTTTCCGGCAAACAATCTGACCATGACTGAAATTTAGCCATCCATCAGGATCTTTAATCCATTCTTCCCATCCTCTAATGATCTCTGCCTTTTTTTTGTCATTTAATACATCGCTGTCATATATAAACTTCTCTTTTGATCCCCCTATGCGGCCCAAGAACATTTCACCAAACCATTTTCTCTCATCATCTCTATAATACGTCCAGTTTCCTACTGATCCATTAACATTGGGCCCATCAAACCCTGCCATCATCGCCAATGATCGAAGTTTTCTCCCCATTCGACCATCGGTAGAAGTCTGGTCAGTAGACTTTCTTCGGAAGTAATACTCCACTGTATCAATGTACGCCAATGGATATACCGCCGTCATCTCCAAATCGGCCTCCCTGCAGCATACCACTCCTCCTTTCTTGCAAACCCGTTTCATTTCTTTCAAAGCCGCCAATGGATCTTCCAAATGCACCAACACTTGGTGACAATGGACAATATCAAAGGTATTATCATCGAAAGGAATTTTGTAAGCTGACGCAACCGAGAATTTTACATTCTTATCCAATTCCAGCGGCTTTCGAAGATTAGCTTCATCAATGAGCTCTTTTGTTGGTTCGATACCAATAACTTCACCATCTTTACCAACGTATCTCGCAAAATCACAAGTGATGGTTCCCGGACCGCAGCCAACATCAAGGATCGTATCTCCCAATTTGATCGATTTCTCAAAGTACTCACAACATGTGGCAACGGTTCGCCACAGATGAGTCTTTGACACCGTGGGGTCATAACCCGAGGCATAGTAACTTTGGTCGTTTAGCCCCATTTTATTAAAATTTTGATTCTTAAAATATGTATGATATTTTTAAAATATCTAATTGACATTGGATAACTGATTTGGAATTGCCAATGTACTAGTCGTACTTTTACACTGTTTGCTAACAACACCCTAGAGTGTTAATAGCCATAACACCATTACTTCTAACCCATATTTTCTTACTTTCTATTTATTTTACTTATTCTACTTTTATAATCTCTCTACTATTTTTAGGGAGACATCTCATTATTCAATTATTATATTTTACTACGTTGTTAACTTTATTAAGTTCTTGTTTGTATTAATGCAGAATCATCTTAAATCCGATATTCTTAGACTTACCCTACTACAAGCTACCGTAGATGCTTTAGCTATTCTCCACCACATGAAGGAATATGTGAGATCACTTATGGATGAAATGCATGATAAAATGACTTACCTGACATTGGAGGCTATGAAGACTCTGATTCTTTTTGAACGTACAATTCGTGAAATGCAACGTCAAAATCTTAAGCTTGATTCGCTTCACAAGACTATTTCTAGTCTTTTTCGCCACACGGCAAAGACATCAACCGAATTTGCTAACATGATAGAACTTCAAAATACAGCGTCTACCGCTATTACCTCTTTGTCAGACAGTTTCTGTGCTTTCTGCGACGAAATACAGGGTGAATTAACAGTAACCCATCTGACGCTTGTTGAGGGCAATAAAGCTATTACCAGTCAGCTCTCCGTCCAGAATGATTAGTTAAAGAATTTACACGCTCATGTAACTTCCAATGCCGACAAGCTTCAAACAACCTTGAACAACCATGACGAGGAACAGGATGCTTGGTTTGCATTGTTACAAAAGTTGTTTGACGAGTTAAGTGGCGTTTCAAATACCAACCGTGACACTCTTGTGAAAACCTTGATGAAGGAATTTAAGAGTCACAGAAATGTCATGTTAAACCGTACTCTTGATCTCAGTGGCCAGATGAAGTTGAAACTTACCGATATGATGAAAGGCAAAGAAGTTGATCAGCAATCATTATTGTCTATCAAAGATGCTGTTCAGCATGCCCAAGCGTCTCTGAAAACTAAGCTTGACAAACTTGTTGCAATCTCTCCCAAAGCTCCAAGCCGACGTTCTTACCGATGTGAAAACCAGCGTTCAAGTGATTTTTTCTCGTTATGTCAAAACCGATATCACATCTGGATTAGACGACATCACTAAGTTACTTGAAGAGAATCGAAAGAAACTTGAACTGTTTAACATTGAAAATATTCAATCTATGATGGACGAGATGCAAGCAAAGTTCAGCAAAGTTGCTGTAAACGTAACAGCTTCTGATCCACCTCAACCTCAGATTCCAGTTGATGTGTCTAAAACCAATGCTTCTGGTAAGGATCTTCCTCCTTCCCCTGTCTCGCTTGCATCCGAAGCCACTAAGAATGGTTCAGTTCACACTGGTTCTACTTCTTCTGTAGAGAATTTTCGTTCAGGATCTACTAGCTCTAGAGGACGTACGCCAACCAATCCTCAATTACCCCAAGGTCCATTGCCGTTGCCGCAACCGCCACAACCAATGAATCAGACTTTACTCGATCCCAAAATCGCTGTCATCAACGGAAGCCAATTACGACAGTTAAGACTGATATTACCAAGAACTTACCTCGATGTTCTTCAAAGATTAACTCCTCATGTATCGAGTTTTATAATCACTTCATTACGTTCGATTACGGAATACGATACAATGATTAATTTGAGACAGATTATCAATTCTTTTGGTCATCGTCAATTTTCCTCCTACGACAATCCTTATCGAGTTAATGGTCTCAAGTTTGATACCGTGGAAAACGGTCGTTTGTTTCTTATTGAGTTTATTAGGATAATGATAGCCAAAAATGTTAAACTTGGCGACTGGTGCTCTGCCTTACTTGAGCAGATTCCAGTTGAAATTCGTTATAGATGTTGCCAGATTAGTCAACAATGCTCATCTCTCTTCGTTTTGGTAGTCGGGTACCTACTCTCCCGGCACCCATATGCCAATTTGGCGTTGAAAGACACACAAGACTTCTATAAATTAAACGAACAAGTTAATGAAGATGTCCATACCTTTTTGACTTGGATTCTCAATTGTCTTCAACAGTCAATGTATTTGAAAGACACAATCAAGCTTTTCAAGCAAGTCGTATACAGACTTATTCAGAGCTACAGCCTCCGTCATCTTGAGCCTTTCCTCAAGATGAATACTCTTGTTGATGTGGAATTGCACTTATAGTGCGAATCGCGTTTGGGAAAGATTATGCCAATAATCGATAGTTTGAAATTGAGAAATCCTTCAGTTTCTAATATTACTAATAGCAATACGACTACTAGCATGTTGCTTGGTCAAAGAAATGTTATTGCTGACGGAAATGAAAATGGTAATGCTGGTGTTAACTCCTTAAATACATTCTTCAACAATAAGATGAGGACCAATCAGAATCATACCTACAACAACAACAACAACAACAACAACAACAACAACAACAACAACAACAACAACAACAACAACAACAACAACAACAACAACAATCACAAGAATAATGGCAATCGGAATTATAAGGTCAAGCTTTTACACAATACCAAAAGGTATAAACACCATTTGAATTTGAAAAATGCTTCCTATTATTATTGTATGAATTGTTCTTGCTTTAAATGTTGCAAAGCTAAAATTTCGAAGGATTACTGTCCTGGTGATGTTTTACCTCCAGAAAATGCGAATTCCAATGATGATTTGATACAAGAATTTGCTAATGATGGAAATGGCACAACGAACGACGATGACATCGTTAGTTTTGCTCCTAATGCAATTGGAATATCGGAAAATTCATACATTATTGATGAAATTGGTGAAATTGGTGAAATTGGTGAAATTGATGAAATTGATGAAATTGGTGAAATTGGTGAAATTGATGAAATTGGTGAAATTGATGAAATTGATGCTTTTGGATATAAATTAAAGCTGAATGAAAATCTCCCAACCTATAGGGATGCTGTGCTGCCCAAGAAACATATAGCTAGAAATATGTTGCAATTGTTGCGCGATCCTAAATCTAACTTCTACAGTTTTTTTGTTGGAGAACATGTTCTTTTGAAGAATTTTGCTGCTAAAACAGGACAACCTGGTTATACTGGTCCTTTTGTCGTTCATGAAGTCCATGGTAATTCTTATGTTCTTCGTACCAATGCTGGTAAAGTCCCTCCTTTCACTTTTTCAGTTGAACATCTTCGTCCAAAATTTGCCTACTATGGAAATTCCTCTTCGAACTGTTTCTGATTACCAAACTGCTAATGGTATTGCCGACCATGCTTATTTCAAAAGGTTTTGGAATTCCGTTCGCAAGAATTCTGATCCTCTTGACGCTTAAGTCGTTTCTTTTTCTTTTTCTACTGACTTTGTTTCAGAATTTCTTTATTCTTCTTCTTTTTTTGACTACAATCTTTCTATTTTTGAACCTTTATCTTATTCTTCTGAAGGTTCAATTTCTCAAAGGGAGCTAGTACAGACATATCATCTAGTTAGGGTTAGAAATTAGATGTTAAAGAGTAACGTCATTACAGAATTGAAAAAGCAGATTTGAATTATGTTGATTTGACCCATGCGTAGATTATCGTGCTTTTTTAACACCTATGGAATTACTGGCAATTCCTGCAACTGTTGCTCCAAAAACAATGTATGTCAATTGCCATCAACAATATTCAAAGGTTATGCGTTAAAACTACAAACATCATTGCAGTTAATATCTATAAACACCCTAAATATAACTTTCTATTTAATTTAAATTAAAGTTATTGTAATTAAAGGAGAAGAGTGCAAGAAAAATCAGAGGTATCACATAAAAGATATTTAAAATGAAAAACAGTAAAATATCGCAGATTCATATAAAATGAACTCTAAACACATATAATATAACCGGTAAATATACCTTTTCCCTATGAATGCAGATGAAACATAATAAAAACAAAATTAAAGAAAAAATCAATAGAACAAAATTGATATCAGAGACTAAGAATGATCTCTAGTACTCATTTGAATCCAGATTCGATAATGAAATGAAGAATATTATCCTAATATGATATCAATTGTTCAAAATGCCAAGCCAAAAGAAAAAAAAAAGTGTTCTAGGCAATTAAAGCCTGATTAGGGAAAAAAAAAATAAAAGCCAAAATCAAAAGTTCCTAAAACAACGCAACCGTAGATCAGTCTTCAAGACTGGTTGCTTGAATCATTTCTTTGTCGAGTATTAGCATTGATAATAAAAGTTCTGAAATAAGGATGGGTTCGTTGGCCATTATTGGAGTTTTGTCTGGATGACCTCACAGGTCCACCACCAGTTCCATTAGTGCCTGACCTTAAAGTTGAACTATCTGGTCCTAATAAAGCACTTGAAAATCTACCCAACGGTCCTCCTTGAAAGAAAAGTCTCGGGAACGAAAATGTTGATCCAGATCTTCCATTTCCGTTTTGTGGTTCTGAACTTAGATTATCATTGCTTGGATCACCAGGGTTTGATTGGCTATTGTTTAAGTTCACGCTACCATCCAGGCCACTAACATTATTATTTTGTGTTTGTTGGTATGAATTTCGCACCTCTCGCGAACCATTATTGTTATTATCATTAGCATTGTTATCATTATCATTATTATTGTTACTACTGTTGTTGTTGTTGTTGTTGTCGTCGTCGTTGTTGTTGTTGTCGTTGTTGTTGTCGTTATTGTTGTTATTATTAGATTGATTGTTTCTGTCAATGCCAACATCTCGTGGAACAATTGATGCACCCAAAATAGGTCCAGAACCTTGAGCTTCCTCAGGAAGCGCCAACTCAGGGTCATTCCATGCATGGCCCTCGCCAGCTCTGGAATAATCACCATTGATATAACCTCTTGATAACTGAAAAGAATATAACGTCATGGATCTTCTTCCTCCACTGGAGTCGGCGTTCTCGTCTCCAGCCTCATCACTTTCCACTTCTTTACGACACAATGGACAGGTCACTTCCTTCTTAAGCCATTCTCGAATACAGGATTCCCCAAAGACGTGATTGCAAGGCATTCTCACTGCCACATGATTCTCTGGAACCTCATCTTTCTTTTCTTTCTCTTTTTTAGACTGCACGGATCGATATACTGGATCATCCTCAATTCTGTAAGTACTATGTTGTTGGCCGGTAATAGAGGCTGGTAGCATCACCCCAGGGTCTTCGGCATCCATGAACATCGCCTCATCGTCACTATCTTCATTTTCCTCATCACTATCAATAATCATGAAATGATCATCAATATTTTCCTTTGATCCATCATTATCATTACGCTTCCCATGTTTTAATCCTTCGAAATGATCAAAACAGATTGGGCAAAGTCTATCGGCCTCCAGCAATTCGCTTAAATCAACTGCTTTTAAGGAGTCCAAAGCTCTTTGGGATGCATGCTTCTTTTTTTTAGGTTCATTGACCATAAACATCAATGATGCCAAGAGCCTTCCAAGGTTAGAGATACCACCCCAGGTGTCATCATTCATCATATCTTGAGAGTTCCAAAGGAAGTTGAATCCTTGTTGTGGTGGTTGTTGTTGTTGGCCATCAGGAATCCCTTCAAAGATTATAAACTGCTGTGATTGTGGTTGAGATTCTCCATTATCGGCATTCATCGCATTATCACTATTTCTATTATTTTGTCCGTTGTCAGGTACAGACATCTTGTTAATATTTTTAATTGTCTTTTCAATATGAAATATCTCAAAAACGATTGCACAAGATCATCACCATTCACCACATCTCAATTTCTTAGTAATATAAGTGGAGTACATTTGTAAGTGCTCAAAACTTGTATATGTGGTTACCCGGATGAGGTAGCACATCTGAAGGATGTGGCCATTGCAGCTGTAGATCTGTTATGGAAGTAATGAGAGCAAGTGGAAACTAGACACCTGATAATAATATATATATAGAAGAAACATAAACGTAATAACGATAAAGAATTAATTCTAAATCCATCTCAGAAGCAGGGCTCGGACACTTTGTATCACGTGATATAGGGTTTAGTCTTGCAGCACTTTCTTGAAGAGTCTTCTTCTAATTGATATAACTTTTTATCTTTTATATATATATATAGTATTGAAACTGAGTATGAATCACATTATTCATTAAATAGCTACTCTCAATTAGTGCATCCATTTACGCTAGATATTTCAAGTTTAGGTTTTAGAACGTTGTTATTGATCAACATGTTACAATCATGTATTAGATTGATTTTAATGATCTTGATGGATTGGTTAGTGATTCTGTCTTTACAAGAAATGAAACATCAGTCTAATAATAGATAGTACATAGTATTAAAAAAAATGAACTGAAGTGAAAAAAATAATTCTTGGTGGAACTCAAATTAGAAAAGAAATAACAATAGTAGACAGTCAAAACATCAAATAATACAGCAAAGTGAAGGCAAGAATAAAATGAGCAAAAAAAAAAAAAAAATAAGAAAACAAAATTCTATTGTGAATAAAGCAAAGCAAGAAATAAATAATAGTATAAGAAAGCAAAGGTTCCACGAGGCTCACAATAAGGCAAGGGCAAATAAGGCGGCAACTGCCATAATGCCACCTTTATCCGCTGCCAAGTTACTACCATCCCCTTTAGATTTGGAATTTTTGGCAGTGCTGGTTTGCACTCCTCCATTATTAGCAGTTTTGGCGTCGATTTTTGTAAGAGTTTCCTCGCTATCATCACTCGCAGTGTACAATGCAGCCTTAGAAGAAGACTTCGAGGTAACCGAAGTGCCAAGAGTGTTGGTTTCCTTAGAAGATTTCTTGGAAGTAGTGTTTTCCTTGGAAGATTTCTTGGAAGTACTAGTCGCCGAGTCTGTCTTAGAATTCTTGGAGGCATCGGATGTGTGAGACGAAGAACCTTTGGTTTTTGTGGCGTGATCCTTAGACTCAGAAGTTGAGGAGGCAGATGACTTATCTTTAGACGAATCTTTTGAGGAAGAGCTGGTGGATGCAGGGCCGCTAGGGGAAGACGAATTATTAGCAACATCATCTTCAGCTGTGGCAGAGTATAGGGAACCTGATTGTGATTCAGCGGCAGCAGTGGTTGGTGAGGATGTGGTCAGAGCTTTTTGGTTGGAGGACTGGCTAGTAGCTGCAGACTCTGTTTGTTTTTGGGCAGCAGCATTGGTTGTACCTGCTGATTCGCTGGTATCGGTTGGGGAAGAGGAAGAGATTATAACATTCTTGTTAGCAACTGATGTTACGATACCCACAGCATTGGTAGCAGTTGTTGTAGTAGCATCATTGTTGTTAACTGGTTGAGAAAAAGTAGTTGAGGCATCTTGGGGAGAAGTCGATATCATAACATTCTTGTTATTTTGGAAGGTGGCAATTTCCACGGCTTGGGAAATAGAGGAAGAAGTTTTTTCTGAAGTGGAGACGACATTATTATTGGCTTGTGAGGTGGTTACTTTTTCAGCGTTCGTAGTGTAGGTGGTGGTTGTGGCTTTATCCCCATTAGAACTACGTGTGGATGTGGTTAACACTAGCACTGCTTTGTTCTCCTTGTTAGTCTCAATACCAACAGTTGAGGATGAGGTGGATGAGGTGGATTTTAATGTGCTCAAAGAAGTAGTTTTGGCTGTTTCGGAAGAAGTAGAGGTGGGTGAAACTAACACCGCTTTGTTCTGCTTGCTGGTTTCAATACCAACAGTTGAGGATGAGGTGGATGAGGTGGATTTTGATGTGCTCGAAGAAGTAGTTTTGGCTGTTTCGGAAGAAGTAGAGGTGGGTGAAACTAACACCGCTTTGTTCTGCTTGCTGGTTTCAATACCAACAGTTGAGGATGAGGTGGATGAGGTGGGTTTTGATGTGCTCGAAGAAGTAGTTTTGGCTGTTTCGGACGAGGTACTGGTGGATGAAACTAACACCACTTTATTTTCGTTAGTGGTTGCGAAACCAACAGTTGAAGATGAAGAAGATAAGGTGGTTTTGACATTTTCGGAAGAAGTATTTGAGTCACTATTCTGTGTGGCTGTAGTAGTTGAGCTTTTTGATGAGCTAGTTGTGGTTGGCGATTGAACTGCTTTATTTTGAAGATTGACTTCCACTGCCGGAGACAGGGTGGTGGTAGACGTCACAGTATTTAATTTTGCTGATGAAGATAGAGAAGTGTAAGTAGAAGAAACAGAGGTTTTAGAGGTTGTTGGGGAAGTAGAAGTGGTCGGTAATATAGAAGAGGTCAGAGTTGTAGCAGAGGTCAGAGTTGTCGAAGAGACCAGGGTTTCCGAAGAGGTCGAAGATCTAGAAGTTGCAGTAGAAGTTGAAGATGTGTTTATAGGAGCCCCACTGGCCATGCTTATGAAGCATATCACTCCCAAATTTAAAATAGTTTGTCTGAACTTCATTTCTGAATAGGTAGTTTCCCTGTTACTTCGTTGTTATTTTTTTTTTTTCTCATCGGTTGGTGGTTTTTTTTAAAAAAGAAAAGTAATTCCTGGGAAAAAGAAAGAGAAACTGATGGTTATTTATTATCCAAAGTTTTGTACTTGTGGGCAAAAAAACAATGCGTGCCATTTGTATGTATTGAGAGAAACCCATGTTGACGATTTGTGGATCCTGCAAGTTGTGCAGACACTGGATCGTGGATCTGTATTAGTGCAAGCACAAAATTATATTGACTATTTTAATTTCGCAACCAAACCTCCTTGTACTTACTTATCATTTTTCTTATTTATTTATTTATCATTTCCAATAATATTTTAAAAATATTCTTATACTTTGATTATTGTCTTTCTTCGTTTACTTCAATCAACTTTTTTTTTTTTCGTCCATATCTATCCGGAATAAACTGGTGGAACATACATATCTGTTAATTATGTTTCAACCCTTCTTTGGTATGGTTATTACCTCTGAGAAACAACTTCCCCAAGGATTCTACTCTCATGCAAAACCTACCATGTATATGTACGATTAAATCATCATCATAATTGTTACTATTAATGTCAAAAACTCACTTGTACATATAGCTACCAAAAAAACGAACCATGAATAAATATTAAAAAAAAAAAAAAAAAAATAGAACTAATGTACATACTTAACATGTGTTTGATTCAATGGTTCGGCTTTACTGAAAACATTCAACAGAGGAATTATCACTTCATAGTCAAAGGTACTTGCCTCTGGATCCTTGATATTTTTTTCAACATGAATCGTAGCTGCCAACCCATCAACATCAACTGGATATCCTATATCGTGATGTACTTTTTCATCAGAATCCTCCCTAGTATGAGACTTTTCTTTAATGATCGACTCTCTAGATTCTTTGTGTACTGGCCCGGGATATTTCAAACCCCCAATTTGGTACTTGTGACTATTTTCCACGGGTATCAAGTCTGAGTAATTTCTTTTGTTCATAAACTCCACATTATGATGTTTTATATGCCGAACACTTGATCTTAAAGTCACCTCATCCGGCTCAGTCTTGAAAATTGGAACCATGTCTTCTAGAGCCTCGTCTCCAAAATGATGCTTCTTTTGAACATTGAACATCATTTGGGCCACTTTATCGGGGGGTGGATGGTTAGTTATGGCTGAAGAAATAACATTGAACATCAATCTAGGATCACCAAGTGGCTCAACATCAACGAAGTGTTTTCTGTGGTGCTCATGGATATGTAAAAATTTCTGTTTGTGATGCGGTTCCTCATCAACAATCTCTAACCCTCTCATTCTCCCGACAGCCGCTAAATGAACATCTCCCCCCAAGAAAGTAATGCGAACACTTTCCTCGTTCAGAAATTGCTGTAACCTAGCCACAAGTTTGTTTCGCTCATTCTTATGGTTATCAGAACACCAGTGATCATTCATATCATCCACAATGTCTATTCCACCATCAATTTCTTGAATGGCTCCAGAACCAATATGCAATTTCCTCAACAGACCTGCCAATACCTTTGTCGTTGGGCTGTTCAAGATTTTTTCCAACAAAACCAATCTTGGATACAAAATTGGAACACCCAATAAAATATATAAATGCTTAATTTCATAATTGGAGTCCTTCAACTCTTTTTTTATTCTGTTGAACACGATTTCATAAGTTTCTGGGACAACAACTTCATCAAGACTTCTTTCAGTACGGCAATCAAGGCCAATAAATCCAATTTTTTTACCTAATCTCAGATACACCGACATTGATCTTTGTTTAATGTATCTGCCAATTTTGGAGCCTATCACCCAACTAGGCTCCTTTTCAATTGCCCCGCTATGGACTTCTTCCATGGATGTATGGTGTTGGAATAGCAAATAATGCTTCATCGCCATCTTTCCTATCCCCAAAAACATGTCCGAACCATTTATATTATCTTCATAAGATCCAAACCCGTCGATAATATCATGATCATCAAAAATGTTAATGGATGGAATGGTGGCAAGCACTCTAGGAAACATCCTAATAAAACATTCGTTCTTAGTGCCATTCAAGTACCCTCTTCCATACCAGTTCAAATAATGGTTTAAGTAAAAATTATTGAGCTGCCCGAGATATTCAGCTGATTTCTCAATGTTTTTTCTAGATTCTGCCTTGGTGGTTGATAACCACTCTTTCAAATCCCGGGTATCTCTCTTGACAACATCAGAATAGATTTGATCTCCTCCGCCAATCATCACATGGTATCTCAATCCACTGGACATATGATTCCTGAGAACATCATACCATAGTGTTCCTTTGTATTTTGATCCGTCGGTGTTGTAGGAAAACCCATTACACGAGTAAAACATCACATTCATGGACTGAAACGTAGCCGGTATATAAAACTGGTACTCAGGTTCATGCACACATTCGATATCATACTTGCATTTCTGCTCCCATTTAGCTAATGGAAAATTGATATCAAATCTAAAGAATGATAATGCTCCTTCAGTGTGTATCAAATGGCCTTCAAATGTTCCTTCTTTGACATCTACCGGCTCTTCCAGATTTTCCTTCACATTATCACTGGGACCTAGCTTATACGATATGTGGGGGATATATTCTGAGTCACCATTGATGACTAGTAACAATGACCCGCGATATTTCAGCTGATTATTGTATGTTCCTAATAATCTTAGAATGGGTCCACATCTCAAATCAACCTTTTTTTCACCAATGAGCTGAGGTTTGGCCTCCGGATCAATTGAGATATCAGATTCCTCCGAGACTATTTTAAAATAATTGAGAACTTCCTCAGAATTGAACCATTCGCTGGCTGCCACTTCAACAGTCATGATTCTTTTCTCCTTTTAATTAATTTTCTTTCATTTTTAATAAAAAAAATAGGAGTACTCTTGTGAGATGAATGTGAGAGCAACATCAACAACTTTATTCAAGGTGGAAAATAAAAAAAAAAGAAAAGAGAAATTTCATTGATTGCTACCACAATCCAATCACAGTAGAAATAAAAAGGTATTGTATATTTTTATATAAACTTTAAAAATAAAAAAAAAGGTCACATCTCCTGTTAAAACCCTTCTCAGAATATCATTCCATGATCCTTCTCTACATTGGGCTCTATAATAATGTGTGCGTCCGCATAGAGTGCTCACATTTATTGACTATAGTGGCCGAGTAAACCGTAATCCAAACGACTTTACTTGGCTTGATAATATGAGAGCTGGATTGATCAATCGACAGTGAAAATTTTGCAGTAATTTAAAGAAAGAAAAATTGCAAAGTAAGAAATTATGCGGTTTGATTCTCCAGTTGTTGTTTTGGTTTTGGTTTAGTTTTGCACAACTCAAGTCTTGCATGTTGTCCACAAATCATGGTTACCAAAGCACGCCATTATCATTACAAATAACCTCCAACAAAATAAATGAAAAAAAATAAAGAAATTACACATGGGAAACAAAATCAATATATTGAAAATATCTAAATCCTGTAAGGTTACTTGGTGTCCAACCATGAGGGCTGGATCTTTTCACACACCTCCATGTACCCCTTTATGTTTTCTGGATCTTGTTTCGTACTATTTCCAACCCAAAAACATCTCCATTGAGTTTCAGGAACACAGAGACTGCCGTTTGATCTTTCATGGTACCATTTGTTTACCGGATTGTTTTGTCTGGATCTCCAAATCAACTCTTTCGGGAATAATGTGTTTACCATAACTTTGAAAACAATATCAGCAGCGCTGAAAGTGCCTTGAAGGGATCTTTTTACTGCAAACTTGTCCAAATAAGGAATATTTTTAGTCGATCCGTGCTTCATCTCCTCCCAAGTTACGATTGCCCCTGCCTCATAGTCGCCAGCTATGATCAATCCGGCAACTTTCCCATTGATTCTTTTCAAATAATCTTCTAAGTCTAAAGGTCTTCTAAAAGAATCGTCAATCAATTCTTTGATTTTTTTTAGATTAATCTTTCCTTCTTGGTCCATCTTGATCAAATCAAAACCGTTGGAGGGCGATTCAGATTTCAAGTACTTCACATCAATCCCTTTTCTAGTAATGGTGGTGGATAACAATGGAGTATTCTTTAAATAAACGGGCAATGAAGGGGATATTAGCGGACGATCGGTCAAGATATTATAGATTATAGGATTTTTGATTCTGAAACTATTCACAAATTCCCCACTTTGATTGATCAAGCTGTTATCCACCATCGTATCATCGGAGTTATTTTTGTTCAATAGCTTAGAGTAACTATAGCTATCCTTATATGTGTCAGATATTCTAACATCGGCATCAATTGGCATTTCACTGTTCATTTCCCTGTTCTCTTCTAAATTCTCTCCTTCAATGCCAAATAACGGCAAATCATCAATTGCTGCCATAGATGGGGTTGTGATAATGGCGGCAGCAGCATCGGGCAATCTCATCAATATACTATTGATACTGTTTAAGTTTTTCAAGTGTGATTGCTTTTCAAATGGCTTGAGAAACCCTTTTTGTAATTCCATTGTAATGTCCCCAAATTCTTGTTTTAAATTGATCAAAACATGGGATGACGACATTCTTTCCAATGATGGAATGCCCCCAATTTGATCTATATAGATGATTTTTTCAATTGAGAGGGCAGCTTTATGACTTTTGTATTCGTTGTCGCTGTAGATTCCCTCCTTGATGGCGTTCTTCGAGTAATTATACAAATTAAGTGCGAGGTTTTCGACCACCAAATTTGAAGGCAACAACAATTGTTCCGAAGTTCTCAGCAGGTACCCTATAGGATACACGATTGGAATATTCCCTTGGTGCAAATAATCCAATATTGACTGGTGGAATGTTAGATGAATACCCTGATCCTCATCAACTTCGAACATTGCCTTCATAGGGATGGTGCTTAAACGGTCCAGATTCTTTTGCAAAGTCCGTTTCAAGAATTGGTAGGAATCATTCATTTTATAGTTGTGTTGTTCATTTTTCTTTATCGATACCTCATTCGTAGTATCAAAATCGTTGGAAATATTGATCTTATCATTAAGTCTATCTTTTTGTACAAATGATCCATGGGAATTAGACATGGAATTCTCAATCACGTCCAGTAATATCTTATATTGTTCGTCCAAATTCTTCTCGTAATCTTCGAACCTTAGGCTCTTCTTTTGCTTGTACTTTCTGAAATGGTCGACATTGTCATCGATGACAATTATTGGACTAACCCCAAGTCTTGTCAATTTGAAGATTGTCACACCAATGCCTTCGAGGGTGTCAATTGGGATATTTTCTAGACTTTTAATCTTTATGATCGATATTCTGAGAGGATCACATAATCTTTTGGATTGACCAAACTCATTTCTGGGACCAATTAACAGATTTCTTGCTCGATATTTCAAAAAATAGTTTTTAGTTTCTCTTTTGGTGGCGGTGGAGTTCAAAATCGTCAAAATCAATTGCTTTCTTTGAACATGATGAAGTTTGCTCAAAGGATTCAACATTTATGGTTTAGGCTACCAGCGCAGTGTACAATATTGATTATCTTCTGGTTGATCAACTAATAATTTCAGATCTTTTATCTAGAGAAGAATAGGGAGAGGAGAAAAAAAAAAATGCGTGCGCGTTTCCCTATCTTTCACCATCAGTCACCGACTTTTTGACCATAATCATAATCTACAATAGTATGCTTCAACAAAAGTTGAGAAAATTTCTCATTAATGGAATATAGGAATTAAAATTATTAGGAAATGAGCAATGCAAAGTTAATTGTGTACAAAATCAAAAGAATAAATTTGTAAAAGTTTATCAACACAGTGGTAGAAAGAAACAATGGTCTTAGAAGAATTGAAAAGTAAAGGAAATGAACTGAGAAAAAAGAAAAAAGAAAAGATAAATCAAAAATGAAAAGCTGCTAAGAGAGCAATAGAGGAAATAAAAGATATTATAGGTAGGCATGCTTTAAAACGAATCTTTCAAGATGAACACTAAACCATGTTTGTATATGGATTCACAAAACCACTAGACCTTCTAGATTGATTTTTTGAGTATTTGTTCTGATGATTCTCGTCATCATCAAAGGTATGGCTGTAACTTTCTTCTGAATCATAAAACTTATCCCTTATAATTTGTTCTGGGGTCCTGGTTTCATCAATGTGATTGATTCCAATGGATGGTGAGGACAATTTTTGTCTTAGCTTGAGATTGATACCAAGTGCTTTAGATGACCTAGCCTGACTTTTGGAACTGTTAGAAGATGACAGATTGAATTCAGGATCAGGTGAGTGGTTAGGGGACAATGGTGCAATGTAATTGTTGTCGCCCATAGTAAGAACTGGGGCATTAATGCCAGCAATGCCAGGTTGTTCTTCATTTTGAAATTGAAGGGTGTATATGGTGGTGGCAGAGCGTTTCGAGCTTCTCTTTGGAATGTTTGGCGAGTTTATGATTTCAAACTGGGTTGGAGTTCTTGTCAGTTGAGAATTCTTCATGAACTGTGGAGAATGAGTAGTTTTGGCCAACACATCAGTGATATTGGCACTAGTTTTATTGCTCATTGCGGTACCAATCATGGTTGGACTGTGTAATCTTGGATGATTCAATGAAGGAGAGTTCAAAATGCTCCCTGCAATTGGAGATAATTGCTTATTAGATTGAAGAGACCTTCTGGCTAAATCGTAGTTCGATGAGCTCGCAGAATTATTGATACCAAAGGCAGGACTATTCAATTTAGAATCAATCTGTGGTGAAATAATACTACTATTGCATATTGCTGGAGAACAGTTATTACTGACAGCATTTCTCAATAAGATGTTGACAGAGGAATCGTTGGACAAATGCTTGTTCAAATCCTCGGTGGAGAAATTCTTCCCATTGATATTGGTGATCCCGGTAGTAGCATCACTTGAAATAACAAGACCTCCGAGCACAACATTACCTGTGTCAATAATTACCGGGCTAGTGTAAACACCATTTTCTTTCAAGAAACTGTTTATATCTTTGATTGTATCAGTTAGTTGATCATCAATTACCTTGTTAGTTTCATCAGCATCAGTAACGGTAGAGTCTCGTTTGCCCTCTTCCAAAAACTTGCGAGCTGGTTTTTTCTCACTTCCAATAGAATCATCAAGATCCTCCGAGCTCTTGTTAAGAACAGAACTGATAGAATTCAACTGATAATTTGGCTTTGGGGAACCAATTGGCTCTTCTAACTCTTTCAAGTCTTCCAAACCTGGACTTCTAGCATATCTGCTTCTACTAGATCCAAATCCAGCAAAACTAGAATCAGAGCCCGATCCAGTATCAAGATTAACACTTAATCTAACCAAGTCATTTCTATCAACCTCATAATCTGAATCATCAGAGTCTGATTCCTCAAGGTATTTGTCATAGTAGATGGCGCCAGCGCCATTTTCACCTTTTGAGTTTGGAGACCCAAAATTGCTGCGACTGAGTCTTACCAAATAAGAGTCTCTCTTTTCTTCTTCGGCTTGTAAAGCTGCAGCATTTGGTTGTGGAAAATCGACTCCATTTGCTTCTTCAGAATCAATCAAATCTGAGGATCTCTTCTTCTGCAACAACTCTTCATCAACAGAAGTCTGCTCTGGTCTGGAGAGATCTTCGGTAACATTCTCTTTGATAAGGACAGGTTTGGATGGCGGTGAAATGTATTTGAAGTTTTTCTGAGGGTTATTGTTGTCATGGGAAGATTTATCAGTGTCATCGTCATCTTCTTCTAAGATGATGTGTGCTTGAGAGTCCTTATTCTTCAATGAGTCGCTTTCGATAATTCTTTGGAGATAATTCCCAGTTGAGCCAGAACGCATAACAGGCAGGGATACCATCGTGGTAGCCAAAGTACTCTTGGTGACGTTTGTAATCACTGAATTTTGGTTGGTATCATTGGAAGTCATAGTGTCATTGGAGTATATAGAAGCAGTAATTGGTCTCTTGTAAAGTTTCGGAATTGACGGAATTTCATTGGTGACAATATCCTGTTCTTCATTGCCGTTAATACCTTCATCCTCTTCTTCATCAAATTCATAAATGCATTCCTTTTGTGCATCAATCAATTTCCGGTGTAGTAGGGTGTTCTTGGTATTTATTTGAGTGACATTTTGAGAAGGAAGGTTAGCTTCTGTAGCCTTCCCCATTTTACCAGCGTCATCAACCTTAGCTTCTTTAACTTGGATTTTTGAGACTGTATCATTATTAGAATTTGGAGAACCTTCATTGGGAGTATAAAATTCATCATTGCTGGAAGAGAGAATCGAGCTGGACCTACCACTTTTGAGATCTTCAGATTTCATGATGACGGAATATTGGGGGGCCCGTTTCTTCAAATTTTTTGATGCGGGCCCATATAATTCTCTTGAGCCATTTAAATTTGAATCAGAAAGGTCAATTTCCTCCATCTCATTAACAATAATCATTTCTTCGCTCATTCTTTTCTTCATACTACTACCTGGCTGTATTATTTGACTATTAGTAATTTCATTACTTAGCACAGACACTCTGGTACTTTTTCTTTGTGTGATATCAAGATAATTATTGAAGTAGTTATTATTTCTCAATTCCTCAAATAGGTTGGCAGAGTCGCTTTTGGCAATATCATCCAAAATCTTATTCTTTTTACTCAGGAAGTACCCATTGGCCTCGTCATTTTTAGGAACCAATTTAATTTCAATATTGGTACCAATACCACCATTTTCCCCATCGCCACTTCTTTTCAAAGTATGACTAATTTTCAAATTCGAAGCAAAATCATCTCTAATAATACCAAATATATTGTTTTCATTGTTCTTTTCTTTCTCGGCTGCTTCGATTGCCATTCTTGCTTTCTTTCCTTGTGACCGACATCTCATCACGCATATGAAAATGGCTAAAAAGATCAACCCAAATGGGACAACCACTGCTGCAATGACATATTTGACATTCTTTGTGTCTGGGCCTCCTTCCTCCACTGTGAGCTCTCTTTTCTGTGTCGATAACACATATTGAGATTTTTCGAGCAATGATGTTTGGGAAAGTTGTGAGAGTATATTGTTGATAAATTCGCCATTGGGCGATTCCAATTTTATGCCGATGTTTGTATGAGCATTGTTTATGAAGTGACAGATTGCTTGGGCTATTGAACTGCTATTTGATGGAGCTTGAGGTCTGGATATCACTGGCATGTTTTGTTTATGCTCACGGCAGCAATTGAAATTTGATGAATCCTATTATATAATGTTTTCAGTGACGGGAATCTTATCAAAAATACATTTAAAGTATGAATTAACTGTTTTGCTATTGTGATTATTTTCTCTTAGTATCTTCTTATCTTCTTTTCTATGGCTATCTGTTGACTAAGAATAAGTTGTCTAAAGTGAAAATCCAGGGATTCGAGATCCCCAAGAGATAGTGGGAATCGCGAGGATTATATTTGAAGGTCCTCATAATTCAGTACCGAAAATGACAGACTAATTTCCTTGATTCTACATTCGTGGCAAAAAGAAAAACAAATGGAACGGCAATGCCTTTCATTATGGTGAAAACAAGGAAATTAGCATGGATATTCACTAGTAAAAGGAATTTTCTCGCAAGGCACAGGTGGATATTTTTTTTTGTCGCCATGCATGCTAGCAAAGGAATGCTGAAACGTGAGGCACCGCACCCAAGCATTCATCAATAACGATGGCATTTTACAAAATTTCAGAGATCATCAAGTAAGTGTTCGCAGTAGATTTTTATAACCGTAATGAATAAAGTTTATTCCATTAAATTATATTCCAGCAGCTAGCATAGTACATGATGAGCATAAAGTATCATCACTGTCGAAATTCATTGAATGCTTCTGAACTCGTAGTTTCAAATCAAAAAAAAAAAAAGAAAAATACCAGTGAGAATAAAATAACCCACTTTAATAGATCTTAACATTCCCATCTTTTAAAAATATCTATATGACGTATTTATCTTGTGCCCTGCTGTTGCTTAGTGCATCAGCCGTGCCATGTTCCATTACCAGCATCAACGGGAAAGTAAGTCAGATTTCATAACAAGAGCTAGTTGGAAATAGTTTCTTCCAATAGTTACGTTATATCATTTTTGAAGTAATTACTGACTCTCCAGTAATCAGCAAAACGTACCATAGTGATGTGCTCCCATGTCTTCTGTCTCCTACCTTTCATGGCTTAATGATACTTTTCGGTTCAGAAGCAAGTAGGCACTAATAACTTATCATAGCCATGTGCTCTCAAATCATTTGGATTTTCCATATATATTGCTGTTTCGTAGAATATAGATTTCAATAAAGCATGAGGCTTGAAGCTTAAGTAGCTGGTCCAGATATACTGAGGGAAAAATAGTGTTTATTGGTGTTTCGAGGAATCAGTGAAAACAATAAACAATCATATAGGTGTGTCACCCCCCGAAACTCGATTATTTTTTATTTTTTTTCTTTAAATTTTGTTTATGTTTAATACTTGCAACCATATGTAGTCCTGTTCACATCATTATTACCAATAGCACAATAATAGATATGCCTGAAGTTGGAGAAGTAGCTCATGCCGTTGCAAATTTACGGAGAAATATTCTTGGCTATACCATCAAAAGTGCATCCTTCTTACTTGATGACAAAATCTTCCCGAGTCTAAAAGAAGATGATCCTAAAAAGAAGTCAACATCAACCAAATCCCCATATTTTTACCAACCTGAATTGAAATTCAAAAGCCCGCTGGATATTGAAAATAGCTTGAAGAATAAGAAAATTGTGGGAATAGGTAGACATGGGAAATATTTCTGGATAAGAACTAAGCATGAGCTAAATGAAGAAGGTCAGAATTTGTACCCTAATGGATTATTAATATTATTGCATTTTGGTATGACAGGGTGGATTAAATTCAAAGACATATATTCACATTTTATTCAAATGGAGAGTGGGGGTTACAAGAAAGTGTTCAAAATATTGGGAACCGACGAAAATGGAGACCCATTACCAAAGCAAGAAGATGAAAATGATGGAGAAACAAGGACAAGTATTGATAAAGATGTGATACAGGCAGAAGATTGGCCCCCACGGTTTCATAAATTCTTGTTGAATCTTTCTGAAGGGGCAGAGAATAATATTGATTTAGGATTTGTCGACCCTAGAAGATTAGCGAAAGTGCGTTTTTATGAAATTAATTCAAAGTTAAACACTGATGAGTTAGTGCTTCAAAACATTGAGCAGCTCTCTAAATTAGGCCCTGATTATTCTAAAACCAATTCTAAAAATACTTCTATAATTGAAGATATTGAGTTTGTTCTGGGTGATCCCGATCCTCATGACCACGCCAAAAGCATTTTATCCCAGGGGGAATTCAAAGATCTTGTGCTTTCAAAACCAAAATTAACAATAAAGCCATTTTTATTAAAACAGGAATATTTTTCAGGAGTCGGAAATTGGATGGCCGATGAAATTTTGTTCCATAGTAAAATATATCCTGAAGAGGTACTTGGATCCTTGGATGAAGAAGACATTGAACTATTGTATGAAAAGTTGATTGAAATTTCAAAAATATCAGTAGATCTTGAGGCAGAGGTTGCGAAATTTCCAAGGAGCTGGTTGATGTTGTATAGATGGGGAAAGAAACTGAAAAAGACTTATCATGGGCATGATGTCAAGTTCGTGACTGTTGGTGGTCGAACCAGTTGCTATGTTGCCGAAATCCAAAAGAAGAAGTCAAAGAAGAGGAAGAAGGAAGTGATAGAAGAGGAGGAGGAAGTCAAATCAGAAAGCAATGACGACCATGTGACGGTTAAAAAAACCACTACTAGAGCTAAAAGAAAGAAGAGCGTTTGAATATCCTTTAATAATGGATATGCCTTTTATATTTTGCTATTTTATTGTGTGTAAAGAAGAGTCATATGGATTTATAAGCTGTCAAAAGCATGTACCATATTAATGGGCCCAATAAATCACTATAAAAAGAAGCTTCGCTTTCCCAATTTTTTCTAGTCTTGCTAAAGCAATATTTGAGAGGTAAAAGTAAGAAGAAGAGAAGATTGAAATAAAAGAAACCACCATTTCAAAATACAGGATCTCGTTTTGGAAATATATCAACTTCAGCTGATTTGGTAAACTTTATTGAGCTTATCGAACAAAATAAAGAAGATGATTCCCAATTCAAAAACATAACGGAGTGTTTGCTTTCAATTCAATCAGAAGAACAGAAGTTCATGTTAGAATTAAGTTTCAACAAGGTCATTGACCAAATTGTATCTTCTGGGAAAGTTGAATCCGTGAAAATCCTGGATCTTTCAAAATTGTTGGAGCTTGCCGCTCTGATAACAAGCCATAATGAATCTTACCTGGTAATAATTTATGGATCATATTACCGGATTTGCATCCAATCAACTTTGGATTTTTGTATGGAACTATGGCCAGTTATAGAAAACCAGAATCCTAACAATAGATTCTTTGTCAAACTGCTTCCAGGGTTGATAATTCGAAAGTTCTCTAATATTTTACTTGAAAAAATTGGAACACAAAAGAGGTACCGAGCATTTGCTGGGAGAATAAAAATATTTATTTCAAAATGTTACCAAATTAATGATCATTTTGTGGTAAACCCTAGTGGTGAAATAAACGCCGATTTTGAGGAAAAATATGATATTAATTATTATAATAGGTTTTCTGATAAATATTATAGACAAATTTATAATAATTTTAAAAGATTACAACGTATTGTGTCAAATCCATTCAAGTATGCCGATCATGATGATGTGACATTAGTATTTGAGTATTGGATTGAATATTTGGTGAAGATGTTGTGCAAAAGTACAAGCACCCAAATCATGAGCGGTGAGTTATTGATAAAAGAGAAAATGAATTGGTACAACAAAATAAGCGAAAGATATGATGGAATGTATTTTCTCAATGATTTTAATCCCAAGTTCATTGAATTAATATTGAGTGATCCCAAATCGGCCAAAGCCTTGCTTTTTGAAATATTTCTTGTATGCCATTTATACAATATTACTCACATGCAAATCAAAGGACATCTTAATGATTTTCTCCTAGAGAATGATAGATCCAAATTTGATAGCAATGTGGCAAAGGATATTTTTCAGGGATTCAAATTCTCAAATGGTAGCAGAAATGAAGAAATATGTAATTTAATGGGATTGATAGATCACAAATTTTATGAATCAGAATAATTTTACCCCTCATCTTTAATTCAGATTTTCTGTCATTCTGATTTATATTGGCACGACTTCAAAATGAATTTTGACAAAACAATCCAAAAGCCAGGTGTTACCCAGGAAGAAGTTAATCAAGTGAAGATCAAGGTATCAGAAATAGGATTCTCGCCAGCATTTAAATGGAAAATGGGTAACATGAATATTACCGCACTATTTGCAAACCAAAGAAGCTCAAAAGGGGCTTTCACTTTCATGAAGACAGTTGGAGAAAAGCCAGATATTGTAAAAGAAAAATCAGACGGATTTCTCATGATACTTAAATTTCTTTAATCCATTTATATCGCCAAGTAAAGATTCCTGCCAATAATTGACAACAATTGATGTGATGGATGTTATTAATGGAACCGTAAGAAGCATTATGTTCGTATCGAACTCTTTAGTGTCAAACTTATAAGAATAAATGATCAAAATTGAGGATGCCAAATGAACAAAGTTAAAAATAATCAAATGTCTTGATATTATCTTTTTCAAACCCTGAATGGTAGTCAAAGTCTTGGCAATTAATGAATCACTTGGTCTCATGGCTTTGGTTTTTGTGGTGTCCCTCAAATCAATAAATGCATCGCCTTCTTCCTTAAGCACAAGATCATCAAGCTTTAAACGGTAAGCGTTAAACCAATATAAATTGATACAGTTCAAACCAATAGTAAGGATACAGCAAAGACTTAATATTGGGTGGCGTTTTTTGAAGAACGGTAAAACAACATATATTGGGGTTATTGACAAGAAAGTGATTAAGAACCACTTCACCAATTGCCTATTTTCTGAATAAGATACATTGTTCAAGAGTTCAATCAAATCATCTTGTTCATTCGGTTCAAGGTATTCGTTTTCAGAAAGAGAATTAAGTTTTTGTACTGATCTTCTGAGTCTGGACATGATGGTATCGCTTATGATACTTTTTTTTATCTTACCGTAGGTGATATTGTGTTTTTTTTTTGTTTTTCTTCTGGCAATTTTGAGTTTTTCTTACGCGCTGTACTAGGAGGAAGGCTGATACTTAAAGCATTTGAGGGCTTCAATCATGGGCAAATAAATTACTCATCATATTTTAAATAATAATATTTTCTTCAAAGCCAGATTTCATGATTTTCTTAGTTTGCGCTTTTTTTACATATCTTTTTTTTGGTCTATCAAAAGGATGTGATGTTTTCTTAGTATCGAATTTTTGCCATAGTAAAGCATATAATCTTTCATATATTTACTTCTATATTGCTAGATATTCGTTTTACTTTTCTTAATCTGCTCAAATAATAAAACTTTATATTCTAAGTATAGGAATTTCTTTCTTTTCTTTTTAAACTTTTCTTATTTGTAGATAAATAATAAAATGAAGTGCTATTCTCTTGGTGAATTTTGTATTAGTTTATCAGAAAAAGAAAAGGTCCACATCGCCGGAAATGAATCCAATGATCAAAATTATTGAGGTAAGAAAATATCCTACTTCTTTGATTGAAACTTGCAGGAGTTGAATATTATTTATTAAAGAATATTCTGAGCTAGCCGTTCTGTCTTTCGTGGAAATCTTTGGCACAAGGTTCCAAATAATGAAAATAGCGAACAAATTAATTTCCTATTGTTCAAAAATAGGAAAAATTAAGCAAAATTTAATAAAATCCAAATAAGATATCTTCTATAATTCCTTGTAAATGTCGGATAAAACACAACAGAAATCATGAAAGTTTCCCCCGTTCATGTACATCTATGAAGTTTGCATAGAAAGACAGAAAAAAGAATAATGCAGTCACATTAATCCTAAAAACTGAGTTGGAAGGAAATAATAGCTCATTAAGGAGTGTATAAATATTTCCTTAAGTGCTATTAGTGGTGATAAACAGCATAAACAGTGATTATAGTAAAATTATATACCAATGCGACGGTAACATGATAATTATAGTTATATAATTTGTAGAAACAGCGAAACAAACATCAGAGTCCGTGATAGTTTAGTGGCTAGAATCCCCGCTTGTCGCGCGGGGGACCGGGGTTCAATTCCCCGTCGCGGAGATTTTTAATTTTTTGCACCCTTCCTAGTGTTGCTGATTTGAAAATACCTCTGAACTGCTTTTTTTTTTTTTTTTTTGGGGGGATTATTACTATAGTTTATTTCACATATTAACCTTATCCTTATGCAGTATAAATTTCATCAAAATGTCGAGTGTGAGGGAGCTACATCATTGCCCTTACAAGCTCTTGAATGTTCATCTGTTTCTTTCTATACAACGCAAAGTGCTGGATGCATCACTTAAAACTGGAGAATCCTACAGGTAAAAACACACTGAAAATATTGACGAAGGAAATTCAATATATCCATAATTCATATATATATGTAGGTGGCTGATAATTGTTATTAACGCCATAGTTAACAAACAGATCAAATCAAAAATTACGAACTCTTCCTTTTTTTTTTTGCCCATTATGGAGATATTATTTTATTTGGACCCCCAATGACTTGCAACGAATACGGGTCAATAATGTATCACGAGCAAATGAAATACGAAGATGATTTCCATATGCTTTTTCCAGAAATATGACAGCCTTACTGCCATCTTTACCCACCTGTGTAGCGAGCCATTTTCATTCTTTTAGTTTTCTCGATGAATTAAGCTTCCTGGGCTATCTAGATCTAATCAACCCGCTGCTAATAAATACCGTTTTGATTCACGAAAGACACAGATGCTTCAATTACTAAACATTCTTATAATATTATCATTGATCAATGCTTCGCTAACAAGTGGTAAAATTGTTGGAGATTCTGATGTTGAATCTACAATAATTGGTTGCCAGTTCACAGTAAAAGATTACGCTTTTGGCTGTGTTCCGGAAGATATCAGCAAAAGTTTTTGGGAATGCTCATGTATCTATGAACCTATTATCACATCAATAATTGACTGCTTTCAAGATTTTGTTCTGGAAACAAGATTAAATGAAGCAATCGAGGAATTCAGCAAATACTGTCTGGATACCTTAGAGGATAGGTTTGAGTTGTCCAGGGTTGATCTATGGGATATATATTACAATGGCTCAAACTATATTATTGATCCGGTGGATAAAGATGATCCATTGAATGATAGTACTGTGCCATCAAACAAAACTTTCTATGTGCCAATAAAACTAGATCAAGCTCGGGTGAAAATGTATTACAATGATATGCGAATATTTAACTATAACCTTAGTACCAGTACTCTCAGCGGGAAAGTGATTTGCTATTACTGGTCAATAATATTCTTGGGGTTCTTCTTTTACAATAGTTTTGTACACAATAATTCGTTGTCATTATTAAACAAGAATCGCAAATTCAACAAGACCATAATCAATAAAGTCAAAAAGTATATCACGATACCAAACACCATTCCAAACAGACATCATTTTCCTTGTCTGTTCCCAATCTTGGAGGCCACAAAAATTTTTTCATCTGCTTTAATTCCATCAAGGCTTGAAACAATAATTGTAACATTATACATTATCCTCAACATTTATTTACTAGTGTTTGGTTACCAAGTAAATCCAAAAAGCTCTTTTTTCCCAACTGTACCAGATCAAGTCGCTCGTTATTTGGCAGACAGATCTGGTATCATTGCTTTAGATAATGTTCCGATACTAATCTTGTTGGCAGGAAGAAATAGCATCTTGACATGGTTCACGGGCCTTCCATATAGTTCATTGATTGTTTACCACAAATGGATTTCGAGAGGCATGGTTTTCAATGCACTAATTCACAGCTTTTTGTATTTGGTAATTTCTTGCGAAAATGGGACCCTTGGCTCAAGTATGAGAGAAAGTTATTTCATATGGGGAGTCATTGCTACGTTGTTTGGTGTGGCTATTATTTTACAAGCTGTTCATTTCCTAAGAAGTAGATGGTATGAAACATTTCTAATTATTCATATCATTTTTGCGAGTATTTTTTTGATTGGTATGATTAATCATTGCTTGGAAGTCGGATGGATTGGTTATACCGTGGCTTCAATTTCATTATGGGCTCTTGATAGACTAATAAGGCTAATTAGAATTTTGAAATTCGGCATACAGAAAGCCACTATTAAATTGGTGGGAGATACCACTCTACAATTATCGGTTCCGAAAAGTTGCTTGAAACCTTATCCTGGATGTTATGTGTTTGTATATTTCTGGCTTCCAACCACTTTTTGGCAATCACATCCTTTCTGTGTAATTGAATCAGTTACTGATGATAATGAAGTGTCAATTTTCATACAGGTGAAAGAAGGGATCACAAAAAAGCTTTATAACTATGTTCAAAACTGTCCTAATCAAGCCGCTAAAGTTAATGTTTCCCTTGAAGGACCTTATGGTGTTTACTATAATTTGGAGAAATATAAAACTATTCTCTTTTTTGCAGGAGGTACAGGTATACCAGGTCCTTTCTATCATTTGGAAAATATCATTAGGGGAACTAGAAAGAACAATAAACCATCGCAAGACGGAGAAGGAGAAGGGCAACAAAAACAACAATATTTGAAATTATATTGGAGTACTAAGAAGCTCAAGGATCTCGAATGGTTTCATAATGAATTAAAAGTTTTGAAGAGTAGTAGGACTGCTACTTCAATTTACTTAACTAGAGAAAAAGATGCGAAAAGTGCCACAGAATCAGGTGATGATAGAGAAATCATATCTATGATGGAAGATGGAACCGAAAATACCCATTTACTCTCTCTGGAAAATTCAACTTTTCTTTCGACAAAAGTTCCAGAGGAAGCATTATTGAAAGAACTTGAGACTTTCATAGATATATCATTTAATCGGAGACCAAATATTGAAAAAATTATGAAACAAGAATTTGATTCATACCAGGAATTGGGTAGTGTTGACAGATCTATTGCAATCGTATTTTGTGGGCCAGCAATCATGTGTGACCAAATTAGAGAAGTGGTGGCAAAGCTTGTTGATAACTATGATCAGGTAATCGATATCTACGAAGAGTTACAGGTATGGTGAGGGTGGAATTTTGCCATATCCTAGATTTAATATAATATAGTAATAATCATAATTATCCTTTTTTGAAAAACTTGTTGTCTTTTCCATCATTTATAATTTCAATTGTCAATAAATCCTTCTTTTTTCTATGTCGTACATAAGACCTACAATAAACAAAGAAAAAAAAACAAACCAAAATTAATAACCTGAAGGAAGTTAAGAACGTGATATTAAAAGTCCAATAAATAGAAGTGAAAGGTTATACAGTGATTCTCAGTAGTATTACATTACCATTAAACACATCTTTGATAAAAGATAACAAAGATCATTCTCGAATGACTCAGGCTTTACGAGATCTGGACTTGACAGTAGTGGAAGCCTTTTCAGTACTGGTAGATTTGGCTTCTTCAGATTCAGAAGAAGCAGAAGAGGCGACAGGAGCAACAGCCTTCTTTGGAACCTTGTAGGAAGAAATGTAGAAACTGATGAAGAGAACCAAATAACTGAAAAGGATACCAGCACCGTACCAACCAGCAACTTCGGTACCGTAACAATTACCATAGTGAGGCAACCAATTGTGGTAGTTGGAGGCATAGTAGTGATAAAGGGCATAGTAAACAGCAAACAAATCAATGATAAATTGAGTGATTTGGAAGATGGTGATGTACTTTTTCCACCAAACTCTGATACCTCTGGCACTCAAGAAGTAGTAGAAGTACATGATGACATGGACACCCAAGTTCAAAGTGATAACGACCCATTGGACAGAAGTATGACCAATAAGTTGGGTGTAACACAACAAGGCAGTGGCACCGTGGTGATAAGTGTGCAAAAAGAGCAATTTCTTCTTCTTCAAGACAAGGAAGACAGTATCAATCAATTCAATAAACTTGGTCATGTAGTTAAGGTAGTACAAGATAACCAATTTGTTGGTGTAAGCTTTAGGAGAACAGATACCATAGAAGAAACCGTTGGATAAGATTGGGATGATTTGCTCCAAAATCAACAACAATAAGATAAGAGAGCCAGAGGACAAGAAAAGGTTATGGATTTGGAAAGCAAAACTCAACTTGAAGGCTGGGAGTTGTAATTTATCTCTAATGACTGGGTAGCCAAAAATAATGGTATAATAACCCAAGATAATGTAAATGGCATGCCATCCATTAGCCAAGAAGGTTTCGTGGCGGACAAACTCAAAGTCTTCAGCAGGATAACCAATGATTGATTCGAAGACGTGGCTGAAAATTGGCCAGAGTTTAATTCCGAACGGATTTTCAAGAGATGGAACTGAATATTCAATAAAGCTCATCTTGCTATGTTATTTTAAAAGTGTTTCTTTATCAGGGAAAGCGAGAGATTGTAGAATTGAATTGAAAAATAATGTTGGGTATTTTTTTGCCAATATATCAATCAGATAATGGTATACCAATAATTTTTCCTTAGCCGGAAGGAAGGAAAAAGAGAAGAGAAGAAAAGAAAATACAACAAAAGCTCCTTGAAGATCTGGGAGAGAGGATCCTTTGATATATTTCTTTATATGTTATTAAAGAGGGACAGGCAACCAAATCGTTCTGGGATTTTGTTGGATTAATTTACGGATTAGGAAAAAACAAGTGAAAAGAATTTGCGTTGATGAAAAAAATCCCAGGAAAATTCGGTACTTTGGAAAATTCGCTATAGGAACGTCGGGACTAGTGCTCCACTGAAGCCTTCATTCTGCTTCCCCTTATCATGGTTCCCCTTTACTTCAAACAGGATGATTAGCGGCACTGAGAAAACAATACGATCAGACATCTGAAACGGTTACCTCGCCCATAATACTCAACAATTTGGTGTCCCCCAAGACCCTGTCTCCAAAGAAGACAGAGGGTTCTGCACCCTGTGAGTACCAGACACGAAAAAAAAAAACGGTTTGGAGCCCGTTTGTTTATTTTGGTAAACAAAGAGAAATGGTGATCTTCGATGAGCATTACCTATATTATTATTAGTATTATCATTATCAAAAACCTTTGCTAGAAATACCCTTTAAACACACTAGAAATATTAAGACAAACTCATTGACACGCGATAAATGCATAGTTTACAGCAGCGCTGATACAAAATACCACCATGAGCTTGTTTGAAAAGGACCACGAGGTTTCCAAAACCAAGAGAAGACATACCATCGGTTACAAAGGGATCTTGAAAGAGATCTCTTCAAATAACAACGAACCACCATCAAAGAAAATAAAAAGACGTGTTAGTTTTGCTCCTGAAGTGACATTGCACAAGATAAGCATCGTACCCCAATTCGCGTCGAGATCGTCTTCAATCTCGCTGGTAAGCGACAGTGAAAACAAACAGAAACCAGAAGAAAAAGAAAACCTTCATAGCGATGATCCTACAGATGATGATAACGGGGAAATTCAGCAAAATCCACCTTCCAATGAGCTTCTTACCAAGAATTACAATAATGGTAATGATGCGGATGCCCCACAAGTGAATCATGATGACGATCCTGGCGGCAAATTTGCTGATTCGGATAATATTAATCTCGGGGAAATATTCGATCCTCTTAAATACAATGGTGCTAAACGAAGTTCAAAACCTTCCGATGATAATCAAAATGACAAGAATGAAAAGAATAAGGAAAATTGTAATGATGAACCGCGCTTTCAAAAAATTGAGTTGGCGGTTCAAACTTCACCCAAGGATTCAAAGAAAGAAGCTCAAGATTCTTCTGCAAATGATGAAGAAATGTCTATGGAATTTACTGAAAGCTTTAAGAAAGTTTCTAATCCAATACTCCGAACTTTTGATTACCCAGGTGAGGATGACGATGTCAGTGTTGCAGATGAAGAGATGACCAAAGAGGTCACTATGGAGATTACTAAAGTATTTAAAGTTCATGGTGTACAAAACCATACTAATTCTGTGCCAAGTCATGAGAAGGAAAAACGGGAAGAAGAGAACAAAGCGGAAGCCGAAATGGATGGGGAGGAAGAACAAGAACTTACAGAAGAAATAACAATGGAACTTACTAAAACTATTAGATTTCCAAAAACTAGTGGGGCAAGTCTAATTCAGAAACCAAAAATTCAGTCTCAGCAGCAAACGTTTAATCAAAATGAAAACAGGAACACTCAATATGATGAGGATGTATCGAAGGAAGTCACCATGGAAATCACAAGTGCTCTTAAAGCGCCAAATCCATCTAAAGAAGGCTTCAGTTCTGAAACGCAAAATAATCTTTATGATGATAATATTGAAGATGATTTTGAAGATGAGCAAACTATGGATATGACAAAACCTCTTAGTAAAATTAAGCCTATCCTGTTGAACCCGATTGATTCTAATTTCCAACAACTGAAAGAGACTGCTAGAAACAACGAAGAGAAAGGGGAAGAATCAAATAAAACTGTGGAAGAAGAAATCACAATGAATTTCACGAAACCAGTTTCATCAGTGCTCGTACCTAGTACGGTTACAGAAAAGCCGGTTGATGAGAAGCTTAGTGAAGAAACTTGCAGTGAAGAAAAGCATATTGAAGAAAAACCGGTTGAAAATGAAGAATATAAAGCGAGTGGTGAGGATGCTATCCAAACTGCAGAGGATGTAATAATCGAACAGAATAAAGGAGACGAAAATATTCTGAACGAATCTATCCATAATATTGAGGAAGAGAATAAACTTTCCACTGCCCCAAATGCAGAAAAGGATAATGGAAATGACTCTCAAAATGAAGCATCTAAAGAAGACAGTGATAGTAAAGAATTATCAATAAGTGAGGCTGATAAGACTATGGCATTTGGATCACCAGAGAGAAATCCTATAGGAAATCAGGAAGGGATTGAAATACTAAATGATGAAGTTCATGAAGCTATGTTTGACGAAAATGAGCAAGAAGATGAAGATTCTGACATTTATCCTGATGAAAAAACTATGTCAAACACCATCGCAAACAGTATGCTATGTAAATCAGCAGCTCCTATCACTTCATCTCCAATCAAAAACGTTCATGATGATCAGGGTGAGCTACCAGTTGTGGCAGTCCAATTTCACAACGAGGTCTTAGGTAGCCCCGTTAATTTTGGTTTGAAAGCTTCGTACGGATCGCCAAAAAGACAGAAGGACATTGTTGAAAAGGCTGCAGAAAGGACTTTACCACCACCATCTCATCTATCAGGCTCGCCGTTGAGAAAAGCTCTCTCTAGACAATCATCCATGATGAACGAAGATGGATCGCCACTTAGAAATTCTATTCCTAAATTACCTGCGTTAAATTTTAAAGATCAAGAGATTTTGAAATCATTGCCGAAATTGAAAAGAAAAAGATTGAGTTTGCCTGAATTGCCTAGCTCTGAAAACAAATCTGTGAAAAGAGTGAAATTAAACAACAATAAGAAGCATTCATCTAAAAGACAAACTATTAGTTTTGGAACCAAAGATTTGAAAAATATTGACACAATTAATGAGGAAGAAGAAAACAGCAGTAGAATGGATTTGGGTGATTCATTCATTGAGGCAGCATCAAGAGCTCCTGTTGATGGTTGGGATAAAGATCAAAGTGAAATTGTTGCGGATCTAAGCCATGAGAGTCAAGATGATTATGAACCTATTTCAGTTGAGCAGTTTTTACAGGAAATCAATGTCAAATTTTTTGATGATATGAATCATGCAACTATACTTTCAACGTCATTGCTACCAAAAAATGAAAAATGTGATCAAGCGCCAGGTCAACTAGAATACGGAAGAAGTAATGAGCAGCTTTCGAAACTAGAGTTGCTAACTTATGGTTGCAAAGAGTTAAAAAAGTATATCAAGGAAGGGCAGGAATTTTTTAGCGACTTATCGAAAGAAATATCCGAGGTAAACCCTAGTACCATGAAAGAGTTCTTTAATTCAACTAAAGAAGTTAAGAGTAGCATGATTGAGCAATTTCATGTTAGCAAAACCTATGCGAAGCTTGAAGCTAGAAGTGACTGGTATAATTGGAAGAGCCAGTTAATCGATGATATTATTGTTGTAATGGAAAAGAGGTTGAAAGATCTAGAGAAGCAAGATAAAGTTTTAACTGAAAGAAAGAATGAATACTTAGGTTTATATTCTAAGCTTAATCAAAAACTTGCAGACATTGAGAAGAAATTTTACCAAATGAATTTTCAGAACAGTTTTATAAAGAAGAATAATAGTGCTAAAGATGAGCTTTTGGCGTTAAGAAAGGAATTGGTAGAGACTACTGATCAAAGCTGGGAAATCCAACGCAATCTTGAAGAATTACAAAACCTTTCTGAGTATCTCCTGAAGGAGATTGAGGTAAAAATGCGTGAAATTGAGAAAATGAGGCTTTTGATAAAGAATAATGAAAAAGAATATGTTCTTAGCAAAAGTTTAGAGTCAAAGGAGGTGTCCAAAGCTCTAAAAATAGTTGAATCCTTGATTAGACGAAACGGTGTTAAATTAGTTGACATTGATCAAGAGAATGGCTTAATCACCTTGAGGTTGTTGGTCAATAACTTGGAAGAATATTCAATTGTTGACAATATTGAACCTGAAAAGGACAATAGCATTGATGTAACGTTTAGTTATCAAAACTTGAAAAGTCTAGATAGCTTCAAGTTTGCTATTGGTAAAAATTTTAAATTCAATGAGTCTATTTATGAGTCAAATATCAAAGTATGCCAGCCGCTTAACAAAATGTTGAAGGACTACTTTGATTTCAATTTTAGCAAATTGGTATCACAAGGATCAGACAGTTTTTCTAATGTTTTTGATTTGCTTAGTTTCTTTAGGAAAGCCGTGGGGATTTTCAAGAGTACCTTTGCCCAATTATATTATTTTACTATTAAGTTTAGAGCGAAGTTTGAAATTGTCGATCAAGGAGCAGAGAATAATAAGAAATTGCTAGTCGATATGAAAATTTGGGTTAAATCCCAGATGTCAAGAAGGACAGTTAAGATGGAGCTTTCTGGTGACTTTATGCAAGATTTGTTTAAAGTGGAAGATGTTGGGGCATGATGGGAATTTTTTTTTTTTTTTTTTTTCGTTATCTTCGCTTTGGTTTTTGTTTGGTTTGTTGTAATATATTTAAGTGTACCATATTGTGAAAGCTGTATAATAAACAATGTTGCATTTTGTAAGATGTTGCGGGGGTAGTTTTTGTATGCACAGCTATTGTGTTGTGCACAGCTTTGGTTTTGAACCCTGAAGGCTGGATATCCCCAAAATTTTTCGAGCTTTTTTTGATAGTTTTGATCCGCTCTATATATAGAACCCTGACAAGAACCACCAGTACCTGCAAACAAAGAAGAGGAACGGGCAAAGAAATTACTAGTCGACGAAGTCGTGTTCATTCGCTATCATTACCAAAAGACTGTTGCATAGGTATTTCCCAAAAGTACTCACCAAATAGAGGCCAGATAGTCAATTCTCTGTTTCTTTTTTCTTTTTTCTTTTTTCTTTTTTTTTTTTTTCATCCTCATTTAAACGCAAGGACCTCAGGTTTGATTCAAACTCTCTTCGTTTTCGAAATAATTCCCTTTGATAGGGGATTCTGAGCAGATAATATAGAATAAGGAGAAACAGGACTCTTTTCACTCGTTTAATTCCCCTTGTTGGTGATATTTAGAGGTGTTTATTTTTACCCGTAACTAAAGAGCCTCATCTTCCTTTATCACAATATTGAAGAGGAGATGATACAGACGACATATTCAACCGAATCACATACCCATAATAAGCATAGAAGTGGTAAAAATATCCATCTCAGCGGTACCCAGAATTTGACAGGAAGTGGCGAGAACTCCGGCCAAGATAATAATAATAGTAGTGCCAGATCTAATAATTTAACACCAGACAATATGGCTTCATTTGACAACTTCAATGATACGATGAATGGTTTACACCCAGTGAGTCATCTTCAATCGGGCAAAAATAAAAACAGAAGACAGAGGGGGCTATCAATATCTACTGGTGTATCGTACACGAATTTCTACTCAAGAGTAGGAGGACCGAATTCTGCCAATATTATGCTTCATGAAAAAAGTCATCATGGCCACGATACCAAAAAAGGATTCAAGTCTATAGTGACCACTGTTAACAAAGAAAACCTTAAGATCATTTTCCTTTGTGGGGGATGGTACTTAACCTCGATATTGTCGTCGAATGTCACGAAAACCATCTTGAAAGCATACAAATATCCAGTGACTTTGACAGAAATACAGTTCTTCATCACTTCGTTATTGTGCTTGGTAACATATATCATTGTGTTTAATAATCGAAAGATCGCCACGTCTTTCCCATTGGGTACTTTCCCAGTCCAACTCACAGAAAACAAATACACTACTTTATATGATATCATCAAACCTACAAGATTGATTTTAACTCAGACTATTCCAATGGGGATGTTTCAATTCGTGGGTCATATTACATCTCATAATGCTACCTCATTGATCAGTGTGTCCATGGTTCATACCATCAAGGCGTTGTCCCCAATAGTGACAGTATTAAGTTATAGGTTTTTATTTCACGTGAAGTACCCAACGGTGACATATGTTACTTTAGCCCCGTTGGTAGTTGGTATTATGTTGACCTGTTTATTTAAGAATCATAACAAGGGACATTCTAGTGACAGTATAATATCTGATAGCTCTGCCTACTCTAAGGGATTAGTTTTCGCATTCATTTCAATGTTGATTTTTGTTTCTCAAAACATTTTTGCAAAGAAAATCCTTACCTATAAAACTAACTTACTTGATAATTCTTCAGATGACGGCCGTCATAGAAGTCATCAATATTCTAACATTTTGCCAATAGACAAGGAGGAAGAGGCCACGATCAAGAAGATTAGTGAAAAGAATAAAGTTGATAAGTTAACTATTCTATTCTATTGCTCAATCGTCGGGTTCATATTCACTTTCCCAATTTACTTGTCAAGCGAAATTTTCTCCAATGACGCTTGGTCACTTGGGAAATTAAATTTGAATATTATTTGCTTGATGTTATTTCATGGGTTGGTGCATTTCGTCCAAGCCCTTTTGGCATTCCATATTCTTGGCTTGGTTTCTCCGGTGAGTTACTCCATCGCCAACATCTTCAAAAGAATTTTTGTCATTGTTGCAGCCTTGGTTTGGGAGGCTCAACCATTGAATGGTATACAAGCATTTGGTTTGCTTTTGACCATGGCTGGTCTATATTGCTATGATAGATGGGGCACAGTTAAAAAGCAGTAGTAGACTAGCATGTTTTCCATTTTTTCATTTTTTTTGTTAATAATTCTTTTCTAATTCTCTTATAATTCTCATTAAGCCTTGTTTTGTTTTATATATAACTGTTTGACTTTTGAGGTCCCTCCAAAAGCGATTTATTTGCATTGTTCATATTCTTTATACTTTTTTTACTGACGAAAACTTCATGCCTGTTTTATTTCAGGTGTCCATGCTTACATTGCAACTACATCATTGAATGATATATTTTTTTCCCTTCTAAATAAAGGGCTCTTTCTATGTCTTTTATCTAAATGCTGAGACTTTTTTATTATTATATTATTATACATGTTAGCGTCTAAGCGCACCACATAAAAAGGATTCCAAAAAAAATTTCAAAACTAATTGTAAAGGCACAATAAACTTATTCAACCATCACTAGGTTACTTTTATAAAAGTTCTTGCATGGAAATATTTCAGTATTAGAAGTTTGTGTGAATATTATTGATAATACCAATGGTAATGGCAACTAAACAGAAACAGAAAAAGTCTAAGAATCAATTGCGAAGAGAGCGATTGAAACAAAAGAAGTTAGAAGGGAACAATGCCGATGAGGATCGTGAATCCAAGGAAAGTGTCGTGGAAATAAAAACCTTAGAGACCGTGATTTTAGATAATAATTCTGATACTTCAAAGAAAGATGATACTCGTGATGTTGATCAGCGGGAGGTGTCTCTGAATCTGACAAGGCTATTTGAGTCCGATATCGATAAGTATTTGGATGATCCCCAATTCCAAGACTTCAAAAGAGTAATAAACAGATTCTACATGCCTGAAGAGCATAGTAAAGATTCTGCTAATGGTGATACAGATGCTCAAGGAAATGTGATTTATAGTGACGATGAAAAAGCTGACGGTGACGATGATGACGATGATGACGATGGCAAAGACGACGACCAAGATAAGAAGCCGTTGAGTCGAAGGCAATTAAGGAAAAAAAACAAAATTCCCTTAGCGGTCTTAAAAGCAGAGGCTAAACGACCTAATGTAGTTGAGTGGTATGATGTGGATGCTAACGATCCAAAATTGTTAGTGTATATTAAATGTCTCAAGAATGTTATTCCCGTACCGCCACACTGGCAATTCAAAAGAGAATACTTATCTTCAAAAAGGGGAGTAGAGAAGCCTCCATTCCAGTTACCTAAGTTCATCGAAGATACAGGGATTGTGAACATGAGGGATACAACTCAATTGGATGACCAAACATTGAAGCAAAAAGCGAGAGAGAAAGTGCAACCTAAGATGGGAAAGCTTGATTTAGATTATGAAAAGTTGCATGATGCGTTCTTTAAGCATCAAGAGAAACCAAGACTATACGGATACGGGGATATCTATTATGAAGGTAAAGAACAGGATGAAATTGACCTCAAGGGTATTAGGCCAGGGAAAGTGAGTGATAAATTAAGAAAAGCATTGGGTATCCAGAATTTCGAAGAACTTCCATGGATCAATAATATGAGACGCTTTGGGCCTCCACCAAGCTATCCAGGACTACGGGTTGCTGGATTAGAGCTACAATTTTATCCTGAATCATTTCAGAATATGGAAAATAAAGATCCAGCTGACGAGCTCAAGGAATTTTTGGTACCAACAGAGAATGAGCACTGGGGTGAGCTCAAATCTGTGGACGAAGAACAAGAAGAAGAAGAGGAAGAAGAAGGTGATGAGGATTCACAAGAAGGTGAAGATGTTGAATATGAGGATTCGGAAGATGAAGCAGAAGTTGTGGATGAGAGTGATATGGTTCCAATTTCTTCAGTGGAAGTGCGCTCTGGTGTTTCACTTTCTACCAATGGTATGAAGGCGGTAGATGATGATGGTAAGCCAAAGAAGTTATATGAAGTTCTTGAGGAAAAACAGGGTGAGAATTCTAGAAAAGAGCCTCTTTCGTATAAGATTCGTGGCAGAGATGAATATGAAAAGGATGACAATGTTGACAATGAAGAAGATGTCGACGAGATGGCAATCAAGAGAGCTAAATACGAAAGTGAAAAGCAAAAAGATACTTTTAAATTCTAAAAAAACAGTCTGATACAAAGCCATTTAATAATTTATTGCATTTTCTATTGCTTGTGATAAAACATCAACACAGAAGGAATTTTTTTTTTTCTTTGATGTTTTGACACAAAAAGCTTTTATGCATAAAATCAAAAGACGAGAAAACCACAAAAAATCGCTTGATCTATGAATACTGACCTGAATTATAGAAGAAAATAATATAAACAAAAAACAAACAAACGAAAACTGTGGCTATTCTTTTTTTCTAGCTAAGTGTGATGTTGGGTCTTGATTCATTACCGCCAGAATTATTAATTGTGATATTTCGCCTTGTCAAAGATAGGTCCAAGTTAATTCACCTCCGCCAATTGTTATATCGCAATGAATTCATTATCAGGTGTATCGATGTGAACCTTTTTGAAAGTGTGGAGTTCGTTTCTTTTCATAATATTGACCCTGTTGACATTATAGAATGCAGAATTGGAAATGGGCATAACCCACAAATTCAAATCAGGATCTCTCAGAATGATTCTACTAGGGAAATTATTCAATTGAACTTCAGAGAAGTAAAGAAGCTTCTATCAATAAGAGCCTGTATCAGAGGCTTGTGGTTAACTTCAAACCATCTTTTTCATGATAATCATGTTAACTTTGCCTTCTTGGACATGGAGTACCACCAGCTCATGACTTTTGTGAACAGTATACCTTCTTTAAATTCAATTAATACAGATTTTGGGTATCCGATTTTTCTTCCAGTAAAAAAATTGACATTATACGATTGCGTTACTCGGTTTTTGTTTAACGTCGAGAGAATAGAAAATCTCCAAATTGCTTATTCAATTCTTTCTTCACCTCCTTTCAGACTCGAGAATATTCACTTTCCAAGATTGAAAACTCTAATAACAGAAAATATAATCTCAATATTTGATGGCTTGCATTGGCAGGGGTCACCAGAGTTGAGTATGGTTTGTATCAACAATTTCGATGACGTGGTGTTGAAAAATTTGACTGAAGAATTCTTGCCAACTCTAGTGAAGTTAACCGTAAAACACGTTGACATTATCGAAGGCCCAATAAACATTCCAAAAGTACAAGAACTCAGGCTATGGAATGTCAAATATCATGAAATATATGGCCTTCACAGATGCTTTGAGTTAAAGATTCTTAAACTTGAAGAGGTTGGATTATTAGAAATTCCTGATCTTGAAGTATTTGTGAATTTGGAAAAACTTCTTTTACCTAAGAATCATATTATTGAGATGAAAAACCTTGGGCTGGCTGAAAAGTTGAAGGTTTTAAATTTGTCAGGCAATAATATTATAATAATTCAGAATGTTGAAAATTTGCCAAATTTATCAAAGCTTGACTTATCAGTGAATGTAATTCGCAAGATAGAGTCCCTTGATAAGTTAAGCGGTTTGAAAACTCTTTATTTAGGTTGTAACGAGATCAAAAAGATTGAAGGTCTTGAAAGTTTAAAGCAATTAGAAGCTCTTGATCTTAACACTAACTGCGTGGAGATTCTTGAAAATCTTGACGAGTTACTGAACATTCAGGAATTGAATTTGTATGGCAACAGGTTATACAGGATTCAAAATATCTCAAAGTTAACTAATTTGAGGAAACTTGATTTGAGTGATAATAGGATAAAGAAAATTGAGAACTTGGATTTTTTGACAGGAATGGTGGATTTGTATTTAATGAAAAATAAGTTAACAATCCTTGAGAACGTCAACAATTTGCGGAATTTAAATAGAATACTTTTATCAAATAACAACATCACGAAAATTGAGAATCTTGATAATTGTACGAAATTGACCACTTTGGGTTTGAATGGGAATTTTATATCTAAGATTGAAAACCTCGATAAATTGAATGATTTGATATACCTTGATCTATCAAAAAATCAAATCACTATAATGGAAAACTTGTCACACTTGAAATGCTTGAAGTATTTGTTCTTGAATCATAACAAGCTTGGCAAAATCGAAGGAATTAATTCCTTAGCGAGTTTGGAAATTCTCAATTTATCATGTAATAACATCAAGCTTATTGAAAACATTTTTGGCTTGATGAATCTTAGAGAAATATCTTTGCAAAATAATCAATTACAATTGGGCTACGAGATTCCCTGATAAGTAGTACCATTGCACACCAAAACATTATTTAGAATTGTAATTTTGTTTAGTTAATAGAATTGCCTTATTTTGTATTCGATTACTGCAGAATATAATAATAATTAATAGTAATATTAACATTAGTAAATAATAATAAAAACAAAAATAGGAATAGCAATATAAAAAACGATGAAACAGAAAAAAAAATATTATAAATATATTATCAACACCAAAGTCAATTGAAACCTCCTTTGCAGTCTTCTTTCCCAATAGTTTACTCAATACGAGTCTCAAATTTTTTTTTTATCTTGTATTTTATTAAAGAATATTTTATAAAGAATATGATTTTTTTTCTGTTTTTTTGGTTTGCAAAAAATGTCATGAATCATAGTGAAAAAAAAATGATAATAAAGGAAATGAAATGCTAGGAACGGGGGAAAGAGTGAGAACATGTATTTCATCGAGCAACTTGGAAAATAAAAAAAAAGGAAAAGAAAGTTTCTGATGACATTCTTGAAGTGCAAAAAAAAAAAAGACTTTTTTGAACTAAATCAAGAAAGCACAGATGGTAAAACAGCTGTATTTTTTTTCTCGGTTTTTTGTTTTGCTTTGTTTTTTTTTTTTAATATGAGTGATACAAGGGTGATGGGTAACAGAATGATTATACAATGTCGACAAAGTTTTTGAAATGAGATGATGTCTCTTTCTTCTTTTAAAAAAAAGTCCTTCTCTTTTCAATTCTCTATGTGCCTTATTTTATTTTTCTTGAATTTCCAAGAAGTTTTTTTTTTGATGTGAGAATAATAAATTAAAATAATGTCAGTTTCGATTAGATAATACTCACTTCTGGGTGTTCGTCAACAACCTTATCGACCTTGGCACCAAACTTCAAAACACACTTGGCCATAGTTGGAGAGGATCTACTGATGACATCAGTGAAGTAGAAGTTTTCAATTGGGTTACGCAACACAGATTTGGAAGTCTTGTTCAAGACGCTCAACACCCCGAATCCGGTGGCGGCAATTTCTGGACTCACTGGTTCAATGACATCGTGACGCACCAAGTGTGGGGCAATTTGTGAAAGACGGTCTCTGATAGAGTAGATATCGGAGTATGGCAAAGCATGACCAACGTATTCACTCAAAGCTCTAATGATCTTCCAGTCTTCACGAGCAACCCCTGGTGGATTGGTGGCGGCTCTGGTTGATTGTGAACGACCTTCGGTATTGACATAAGTGGCAGACTTTTCAGTGTATGCAGAACCTGGCAAAACAACATCGGCATAACTAGCGCCCTTATCACCATGGTGACCTTGATAAATAACAAAGGCATCCTTTGGAATATCTTCTGGGTTGAATTCATCGGCGTTAAGCAAGTAGACAATCTTTGGAGTAGCAGCAGCTACCGATTTAGATGGGGCAACAAAACCAATGTCAAGGGCACCAGCACGGGAGGCTTCACGTTGCAAAACGTTGAAACCGTTCCATTCAGGAGTATTGAAGTTAGTAGCGGATTTGGCGAATGAAGAAACAGTGGCAAAGGCAGCAGTGGCAGCTTCTTGGTTATCCAAAACACCAGAACCAAGAATGATCAAAGGCTTCTTGGCACCAGCCAATTTCTTACCGACCTCACCTTCAAGGGCGGCCTTAAGAGAATCGACAGTTTCACCAACGTGGTTATATTTAAAAGTGCTTTCAAAGTCTTCACCAACATGATGGATTTCCAAATCAGATCTGAGCCAGACTTTTCTAATTCTGGAATTGAGAACCGCAGCCTCATGACGTGGGTTAGTACCAACGAGTAAGATTTGGTCGGCATCTTCAATACCTTCGATGGTAGAGTTGAAAATGTAGTTTGATCTGATGTCAGCGCCGGTAGCTGGAGGTTCAGAACCCCATGGAGTGTCAAGGGCCAAGTTTTCAGAACCCAAAGAGTTGGTCATATCCTTAAGAGCAACCATGGATTCAACGTCAGCGAGGGCACCACTGATGGCCTTGAATTCGTTACCACGAGGCTGGAGCTTGTGGAAGGCAGCAGCAATAGTACTGAGAGCAGTATCCCAGTCCACGGTTTCGAAGTTGTCACCATTCTTAACCAAAGGAGTGGTCAATCTTTGTGTTTTAAGACCATCACAAGCAAATCTGGTCTTATCGGAAATCCATTCTTCGTTGACATCGTCATTCAATCTTGGCAAGACTCTCATAACTTCAATACCTCTGGTATCAACTCTGATGTTAGATCCCAAACCATCCATGACATCGATGGATTCGGTTCTCTTAAGTTCCCATGGTCTGGCTTTGAAAGCGTATGGCTTACTGGTCAAAGCACCGACAGGACACAAATCGATGATATTACCAGACATTTCTGAGTTAATGTTTCTAGTGACATAAGTACCAATTTGCATGTCGTTACCACGACCAGCAGTACCCAATTCTGGAGCACCAGCAACATCATTGAGGAATCTGACACATCTGGTACAGTGAATACATCTGTTCATAGAAGTCTTAACTAAAGGACCAATAGCCTTGTTTTCGACAGCACGCTTACCGACGACTTCATTAAATCTACCACGGTCTCTACCGTGTCTAAGGGTTTGTTCTTGCAAATCACACTCACCACCTTGGTCACAAACAGGACAATCGAGAGGGTGGTTTTCTAAGAGCATTTCGGTGACATCTTCTCTGGTGGCTTTAATCTTATCACTGGTGGTATGGACAACCATACCTTCACGAACTGGGAAAGCACAAGCGGCGGCCAATTTTGGGGATTTTTCAACTTCCACAAGACACATACGACAGTTACCGGCAATGGCAAGCTTTTCGTGGTAACAGTAACGTGGAATCACAACACCAGCTTTATCAGCTGCTTGAATTATAGATGAGCCATTTTCAATTTGGACAGTGACACCATCAATGGTGACACTAACTTCTTTGAGTTGTTTGGCTGAAGTTGTGAAGTGACGGGAGGAAGAGACAAGGGAGCGGGATAGAAGGGACTTGGAGGCACGAGAGAGCATTATTATTGTAGAATATATTAGTAGTATAAGGAGTGTTTCCTGAGGCTGGTTTTAATTGTGAGGTTTCTTTTTTGTATATCAATTGCACACTATAATGAAATATATGATTTGATTATTATTATTATTTCAGCTTGATTCCATCAATTTGGGGGATGAGTGGAGAAGCACAAAAGCTATGACAACAAAAACTGGCAATTTCCCTAATCTATTGGTGGGATAATTACAAGACGATTCAGCAAAGCAAATGAAGTAAGCAAAATACCCTTTCCTAGCAGTATTATACTTTTGATATGGTTGATAATTTTTCCTGGTGGGATTTTTTTTTTTTTTTTAGTAATTTGGAAACTGCGACACTGTGATTGGCCTTCACCGGTTAAGCGGCGATGGTGCTGACGTTGGGGAGAAAGCGGCGCACTGATTGGAGGAAGCAGGAAATTGTGGGGGACGACGACGAGAAGAAAGATAAGGAAGAAGACTGAGTGGATGCCTTGAAAGGTAGCTTAATGTAATTATTTGTAAATGTAGCTTTGTAAGAGAAGTATCGGTGAATATTAAGGCGCTTAATTAGCGGTTAGTATAGACAAGGTGCAAAAATGACCAGATAAAAGGGGACCCAGTAAAAGGCAATGATTCTCCTCAATATCTACCAGAAAATTTTCAAAGAAAAGAAAAAAGCTTCATATGAGGTTGAGTTTTATCAGTGAAATTGTCGAGGCTCAACGATTTGCCTCTGTCAGAGCGCATATAAGAGGATTTTATTGGAAATCTGTGAGAAAAAAGAAGAGTAAGGCGAGAAAGAGAAAAAGAAGTGGGAGAAGATGTGATGAGAATGATAGACAAGGGTATTATTATAAGGGAGACAAGGAAAAAGAAAAAAGAGAAAAGAGAAAAGAGATAAGGAACAAGGGAACAAGGGAACAAGGGAACAAGGCATGTTCAACATAACCACTGGACACCCCATTGCTGTCACCCCCTCCCCTGCATCCGTGTTTTCTATTTTTTTTTTCGTGTCGGAAAGGTATTCTTATATAAATATTCCATTTGTTGTTTTTCACGTCACCACTACTGTTACAGGCTCTATCCATACCCCCACGCTCGTTACTTCATCAAAAGATGCTCGCTAAGTCCCTCGTTTCTTTGGCCACTTATTTGGCTTGTGCTAATGCCCTTATTCCTCTCACCATCAAGGGTAACCGTTTCATCAAACCTGCCACCAAGGCCTCCGATGATGGTGAAGTTTTCTTCTTGAAGGGTGTTGATTATCAACCTGGTGGATCCTCTGCTTACACCGGTGACGACGCCGATGGTGATGTCTTATCTGATGCTAACGCCTGTTACCGTGATGCGTACGTCCTTCAACAAGCTGGTGTCAACATTATCCGTACCTATACCGTCAACCCAGACGTCGACCATGATGATTGTATGAGTATTCTTAATGATGCTGGTATTTACGTTCTTTTGGATGTCAACTCTGCCCTCGACGGTCAATCCTTGAACAGAGACAGTCCATCCTCTAGTTACAACGCTGAATACCTTACCAGAGTTTTCAAGGTTATCGAAGCTTTCAAGGGTTATCCAAACTTGTTGGGTTTCTTCTCTGGTAATGAAATCATCAACAGTGAAAGCTCTGCTAAGTTGTCCCCACCATATATCAGAGCAGTTCAACGTGATATGAAACAATATATCGCTGCTCATGCCAACCGTACCATCCCTGTTGGTTATTCTGCTGCTGACGTCTCTACCCTTCTTAAGGTCTCCTTCAACTATCTTTCTTGTGACAACGATGACGACTCTCATGCCGATTTCTTCGGGCTTAACTCTTACGAATGGTGTTCTGGCTCTACTTACTCAACCTCTGGTTATTCTACTTTGAACAGCACTTTCTCTAACGCTTCCGTTCCAGTGTTCTTCTCCGAATACGGTTGTAACACTGTCACCCCACGTACTTTTGAAGAAATCTCCGAAGGTATCTTTGGTGGTTTGTTGAACACCTTCTCCGGTGGTTTAGTCTATGAATATGCTGAAGAAGCTAACGAATACGGTCTTGTTGTTATCTCTGACTCTAACGATACTTTGTCTTACAAGACTGATTACGATAACTTCAAGTCCGAACTTGGTAAGGTCAACTCTTCTCTCTCTATTGCAGAATCCTCAGTTGTCAACCGTTCTCTTGCCAGTTGTTCCTCCTCTCTCATTCAATCTGAAGACTCTTCTTTCAACCTTACTTTCACACTCCCATCTCAACCAAGTGACATCACCAAATTGATTAAGAACGGTGTCTCTGGTGCTAGCGAAGGTGCTATCGTCAATATTGATGCCAAATCCTCTAACTACACCATTTTGGACTCTGCTGGTGATGAAGTTGACAATGCTATCGTCTCCTTTAGCGGTGAAAATGAAGTTAACTCCCAAGATGGTACCACCCCAAGTGTTGCGTCCCCATCTACTTCTGCCGTCTCCAGTTCTAGCTCCACCACCAAGGCCGCTTCTGCTGCCAATACCAGTACCAGTAAGGGTGAAGCCGGAGTGTACAATGCTGGTCAAATCGGTCCAGTTGCTGGTTTGATGGCTTTGATGGTCTCTGCTCTTTTGTAAGAGTGATTGATTAAGAGAAATGAGAAACTAATTACCTTACATGAAGATTATGATTGATCATTTTTATTTTTTTATTTATTTTTTCTCTGGTATTTTTTCTCTGGTATTTCTATCTATATCCTATATCCTATATCCTATATCCTATAATCTTTTTTCTTCTTTTATGAGTCATACCTTTTAGAAAAAGATGACTATCCTTGTCAAATTAGAAAGCTCACACGGATTTTTTTCTTTCCCACGTTTTTTTATTTTTTTTTTTGCTTTAAAAAAATGACTATATACGTATTTACATATGAAAGAATAAATGAATTGTATATTAACGAGTCACAGAGGTTTCAAATAACATGCAAGCCGGGCATTTTATGCTGGTCTTTCTAATTGGTAAGTAAAACACTATAACTTCCTCACAACATTTACATAAAATCAAGACTCATTGAATAGCTTACCTACACTTGTGGTGACTACACAATCAGAAAATGCTTAATCTTGAACTGGGATCCACCCACATTTTCTAAACTCACAATACCCGGAATGCATTTCAATGATTATATTTTCCCCTAATACACAAAGCTCATAGGAGTTACTTAGGGGGATTTGGAGTAAGGCAAAATACTTCAGTTATGCAGGTTATAACACCCACGTTTCAATAAATTCAATATAGGCTTCTACAAGCAACGAGAAAAAGCGAAGCCCACCTAATGCACAGAGCCAACTTATAGTTCTTAGTTATACAGGCACTTTATCATTATTGATTGTTTATTACTGAAAACATAGGAAGTCCATTTTATCGATTTTTTTTTCTCGTTTTTTTTTTTTTGTTAGTTTTGGTATCAAATACTCTCAATCTTCTAATAAGTCCTTAATGTCATCGTCTTCTTCATCATTGCCCTGTCTTTCTTTCAACATTTGCTGTAAAATAGCCTGTTTTGCCTTGACATCTCTTCTAGTTTGTTGGCCCCAACCCCAACTTGCTTCATTAATCGCGGTGGATTTAGATTCTCCCATTTCTTCGGAATCTTTTTCAAACAAGTCATCGACATTATCATCGACAGACTCGCCTTTTTCAATAGCCTCCATCTTGGCCTTGTTGACTCTGTGCTGAAGCACTCTTTGACGGATAAGAATGTACCCGCAGGCAAAGATCAAGAGGAAGACAAGTTGTCGGACAGGGTATTCGAGAAGATCTTCTGGGAGCCAATTCAACAATAAGTCGGAAAAGAAGGTTGGCAAGACATCTGATTTCTTCAAAATAGCATCTCTGACGCTCATAAATCCATCTTCACGTCTGAAAAACATGATTATTAATTAAATATTGGGGAAAGAGAGGGTTAAAAAAAATAAAGTGGCAACAGCTGTGACGAATTTGAGAACAATTGGCTAATTGTGATAGAGGAAGGGAATTCTTGGGGATTTTCTTTTTTTGTTATAAGTCAATTTCTGAAATACCACAAAGTTGAACGTTAATTGGATAAATAAATCAGATCACTCTAAAATTTCACAATTTGTTGAGGGACAAAAAAAGAAAAATCTCAACTTTTTCGGGATTTTTTTTTTTTTTTTTTTTGGGGGGCAGAAGATGCCCCATATGACGGAATAACAAGGATTTGAAAATAGAATGGTAACGGGGAAAACCAATTCATACGAAAATAAAATGGTAAGAAGAACTAATTCTATCGTCATATTATCATAATAGCTCAAATATTCTTCTTTTTTTATTCTCTTCTTTTTTTTGTCGCAGTAATTACATTGTGAATGATGGTGATTTTGCCCAAAAATCAGAGTAATATTAAGGAATTCGTTAACTCATACGTAATACAAACCGAAAAAAAACAAAAAAAACAACAACAAAGGAAGCCAAAATAAAAAGGATATATTATAAAAAAAAAAAAAAAAAGAACTATCAACCAAAAAGTTTCTGGCCCGTCATACACGTTTTCCGGTTTTATAGTATTGGTTTAACATGCCCAACACGCCGTCGCCCACATTGTCATTATTGCCTTCGTGGGCTATCCCATTATCTTTCGCTCGTAAATCAATCAAATAAGACTCATCACCTACGAAATTGTGAACGCTATTGTACATCACAGTGTCGTGCTGACGAGGAGCATTGCCATTGTTACTGTAAAACCTCGAACGCATCATCATTGATTCAGTGGTATTTGAAACGACTTGGGGCCGTTTGCGACCGGGAACCATCGGACGAGTCGCTCCAAATGGGAATTGTTTGGAAAAGTACATTGATTTATTGATATCTGATCCCAGAGCCTGGTGTATAATCAGCGACACACCTGGTACTAAGGAGTCCGGATTCATGAGTTGTTGATTGCGGTGTTGTTGTTGTTGTTGTTGTTGCTGATGAAATTCAAGTGATTGAGGTTCCACATCTTGATTGGCATAACTCTCCACGAAATGTAAATATGACTTCAACATCTTGTTATCACCGGAATTCAAGTAGTCGTTACACAAATCCGTCAGAGGCACCAGGGAGGACGTGGCTGACCCTGGTGGTGGTGGTTGTCGTGATCTTCCATTTTTTCCTGCCATTTTCCTTGGAGCATCTTTAAATTTGATTTTATCTTTGACATTTGTTTTCTTCAATTTCTTATCCACATCAAACATTGCGAATGAACAGACATATCCCAAGCCATCCACATGTACTGTGAACTCACGGAAAAAGTCAATGATTTGATCAGAACATTTTGGTAACGCGAACCAAAAAATAAATGGAATAAATATAATACTGAGAAATTCTTTGAGAATCAAAACGACTTTCAATTGAAACAACTCTGAAAATTCCCCCTTGACATCTTCTGTGTGATATCTTCCTTCCCATTCCGGCGGAAGGAAATGTGTATAAGCAGCAACGTTTCTAAGACAATATTCAGGATCAAAAATTCGGTTTTGAATCTCACTATCAGAAGTAGCCCCATGAGAAATCGCCCAAATTGAACCAATGATACCAATGTAGAAAAGCACAGACTTATTCTCGGTGATTTCGAAATTGATAGACAAATCTGGATCGAAGAGCGTGAGCAATACTAAAACCGTGACGAGAGCACCACTAATAAATGAAACAAATTTCATGCACAAGTTGATCCGCTCTTTAGGAAATTGGTTGAGATATTCATTGGAAGACTCTATTGAGTAATGTAATCTTTTTTTGAAGAAGTGATATAGTTCATTATATTCTCTAAACTTCCACTCAGCGTAAGGGGAAAACTCACGATCACCAATTAAATGCGGATTCGATCGAAATTCATAAAAGAACCGGAAAAAATTCAACAACACGAAATAGGTGGCGAGTATTGGGGCAACGATTATCCCAAGTACACCACAGATAATAAATCTTTTTGTCAACTCTTGTGACAAGTAACTTCTATTGGACTCCCTAAGAAAAACTGGCTTAAACTGGCCTTGATTATTGAAAATAAATCCAATGATACATAAATTAATATTCCACTCAAGAGTCTTGGTGAGAATTGAGTTCTGTTTCGTCAATCCTGCAAGAATTGGGGCATTGATTTCGAAATTCAAAATGCCTTTGTTATAAAGAGCCACTAGGTAGTTCTCTTTTCTCATGATTCTATTGGCAATATCATGGGCAGTTAGTCTTGATTTGGAATTGAGATCGGATTTATTATTGTTACTGGTTTCATCAGAGGCGATTAATATCCCATTGGAATTGGTATCTCTAAGAATTATCAATTTCTTGATGATTAGCTGCCATGAAATGGTTTGTAACTCGGCTTCTTCAATTTGCAACAAGTATTGAAAAAAATTCCTCATTTCTTTTAGCTTCTTCAAATCAATAAACCAGAATTGAATACATCTCCCAATGACAAAACCATAAAACAAATAGAGGAAAAACTTCATTGTGCCTGAAATTTCGGTTTTGTAACATTGGTCGTACTGAATTTCCGATAATTTCTTGTGGGTGGAAAGTTTCGAGTAGTCAATACAATAACCAAGGTATGTGGAAAAATAAACCATAAATATTAACGTTAGAAGATCAGTGACCCTTTTAATCAAGATACAGTGGTGGCCATTTTGTAAATAATAATCGTAGCAATCTTGGAGGAAAATATCAAGGTTTTCAACGTTAGCCCACATCCATAAAGCCTTTTCACGAGGACTTAGGATCCCGAGTTTTTGTTTTCTGACGGCCTCATTTTCTATTGATTTTTTATCCCAATTTTTCTTCTTGTTATCATTGAATAATGGGAGCAATGTCTGGGGAGTACCCTTCCCAAATTTGGGTCCTCGTGACTTAAAATGGCCTTTAGTATCTGTATCAAGAAGCAGATCTTTCCCATACTCTTCAAAAAGAATTGACTGGCCATCTAATTTTGATTTCCCATTTTTTCTATATTTATCTAGTTTCTGGGATCTCTTCTTGTTGAAATTTTTGTCGGTTAACAATGCCTCGGGCACAGAATTCTCATCATCATCATCATTATCATCATTATCATCGTTATAATCGTCGTCGTCGTCGTCGTCGTCGTCATTATTATTATTATTATTGTTATTATCCAACGCCCCGCGCAACCTTGGATCATCGTTCAAATTTATATCAACGTCTTGAGTGAAATCAGCAATAGCCGCGGCAGCACTTTTCAACACCGAAGGATTATAATTTTTTTGGCGATTCAAAAAGTTTTTGGTACTAGCATCGCTATCATCATTACTATCATAATCATCATCATCATCATCATCATCATCATCATCATCATCATCTGAGCTTTGAAGTTCATTTACAAGCATTTTAACCCCTGTCATTTTTGTGGTTTCAACTTGATCATTCAGTTTAGTATCAGATTCCATAAGCTTATTAGTGCCATTGCCGTAGCCGGATGGTTTTGATTGGCGATAATCATCGCTGAGGATCAAATTAGAGAGTTCTGCACCGTTCGAGTCGTCATGATTGCCATCGAGCGACGTCCCAAATACCCGGGAAAGAAAAGTGTTATTATTCAGTTGTTCAGGCATTCAAGAGTATGTGCCATTGAAGTGACCAGGAATCACACAAATATTAACGCGATGAAAAGGTGATTGTCAAAAAGAAAGGGCGATGATTGCGGGTGTCACAGCCCAAAGACAACTAAAATGAAAATGCAGTAAAAAAAAAAAAATAGCACATGCCTTATCTCAGGTTGCGCTTAGCGATAACCTGTCATTCGCTTTAATGTATACTCTAATATAATATATTTTATTGACTGTACTGTTTGCAATACTTTTGTTTCTCTCATTATTTATTAAATAAACACTTAGTGGTTGTTAGCTAATTTATTCTTCCCCAGCACCTCGCTGTTCGCAATCAAATTCAGAAAACTTACCCTTAAAACATGATATAACCTTACGTAATATTAATAGATGATGATTCTCCGTAATAGGAAAAGAAAAAACACAAACCAGAAAAATATTTTTAAAAGAATTAAAAGGAAAAGTAGAGAAAAAAAATAACAGAAAGAACAACCGGTAAAAAAAGGGATGCTGCAATAACTTCTAAATATAATTAGTGTTGACGAATTGAAAATACTTAAAACAGCATATACATTCATAATATTTGCTATTGGGTTTATAATTTTTTTTTTTCTGTTTTGTGAATGATGCTTTTATTCATTTTTGTAATCCAAAAATGTTAACTAGTTCGTCAGTTGGTACACGACACCTCAACTTGCAACCCGCGGGAAATTATTGACTCTCGTTTCTTCAAGCCCTGCACTTTTCGGTAGCAATTTTCTATAATAATTACCTCTGTTGAATGGCTTCATATGTCCACTAACAAATGCTTTACTATCATTTGAAGAATGAAGAAGAATGGGAGACACCGGTGTCGTGGGAGATGTGGGACTAGGAAACGAAGAGCTTACTGGTAGGATCAATGGCGACAACGAATTATCATGACCATTCTCAACAAGTCGCAAATCTTCAAGCATATGCCCAGAGTTTAGACCAATATTTCTTCCTGCTCTCGAGTTTTCATTACCCAATCGTAGATTCTCGTGTTCATATTCCAATACAGAATATTTCCATCTTGACAAGTTCGCAATATAAATCTTTGGTAACATGTTGCGTTTGGTGACGTGGAAAAATACAAAGCTCAACACTCCACCACAGATAAGATCGACAAAATAATGATGGGTCAAATACATTGTGCTCCACCAAATCCACATCACGTAGCCACACCAAACCATATAGGCTTTGGGAAACACGTAATGCAAGTACAAGGCCACCATCACCGCACATCCAGAGTGTAGTGAAGGTAATGCCCCAAATACCACTGGGGAAGCACCAAAAGACCCCGAGTACATGTTGACCCCAAGAATCTCATCTACTCTAGCAAGTCCTCCAGGGGATCCACGAACACTGTAATTAGCAGGCTGAAGCCCATAACTATACTTATACCATGGTGGGGCACATGGCAACAAAATTTGTGTCAACACCCCCGTTAAATTCATATATCCAAATGCAAAAGCATATGCTCTTAAGGCAGTTGGAGGACCGAAAATGAAGATTAATGCTGCAGCAACGAACGGGATCGCGAAGTGAATGATACCATATGGTATCCATGCTAATATATCAAGAAAAGGATGTTGATAAGTCGATAAAATATTGGAAAGGTCATCACCATATAAAATTGATTCAATAATCGGCAAGAACTGAACCTGGATTGGTGGACGCCAGTAAATAGGAAATGACGAGCAAGAATAGAAAGTTATTAGCCAAGTGAGAATAGGTAATGCTGGAAAGAAGAACTGTGATGTTGCGGGTATCAAAAGCGCCAAGATTAAAAGAGTCCCAACCATGGTCTTAAATAAGAGCCCAGGAAATTCGATAATATAATAATCAAAAGCTAGTAATGCAAACACCAAGATATATTGGAGATCCCATCGATTCCAAATGTGTTGCTTGATCCTTGACATGGTCTCCTTCATATCTAGCGAGGTTTGAAGTTTGGATATTGAGTTATCAAATTCACAAGTTGTAAGGTCTTTTAGGAAAGATAATAAAGGGGAAACTCCATTTCTTTTAATTTTATCATTTTTTTCTTCAATATCTTCATCGATACTATCATAAATATTTTCCGGAGCGAGTAGCCTTTCCGAGAGATTGGTTTCCAATCCGTTTGATAATACCTTTATCATGGTTGGTTCAACGTGAAATGTTATGCTTATCCTTAATGCCTTTGAAATGAAGGGTGAATTTGGTTAGAAAATGAGCGATAGCTTGAATAGAAAACAGCAGCAGGAAGAACGAGAAATGTAGTCTTATCGCGAGAGACCAATCAGCTTTCAGAGTCACCAGAATCAACAATAATGATTGCAGGCTAAAAGCCACCAAAAAAACTTGGTTATAAGATCAAAAACGCTCACAGAGAGAACTCTATAAAACAATCAGGTATGTATAGTTTCTAAAACAAAGTGGCAATCGAAGCAATAAAGATCAGCAACTTTTGAAAAGCTGCAAGCTATAAAGCTGACAGCTATTGGTGATGGGCAATGTTTGTGACAGCAGCAATAAACAATCTCCGGTATCCTCCACGTGCACAGCCCTCGGATTGCTTCATAATTTTTTTTTTTTTTTTTTTTTTATTTTTTTTTCATCCCATCAGCACAGGACAATTGTGTATGCTATAATATATTTTATATATTATTCAAATACATAAACTAAAACACATATTATCATAATGAGTGGTAGAAGATTTGGTGGTGGCGGCGGCGGTTATGGGGGAGGGGCATTTGGTCTAGGGATTGACTATAATGAGCTCAAGGAAGTGAAGCTAGATATTGATTCTCAGCGTACCATGATTTTGCCGGTAAATGGACCCCTCAATGAAGGAGAAAAGGCGGTGGCTACACAGTTCATTCATTTCCAAGAACTCGTGAAGGACGGGCCTTTCTTTACAGGGTCCTCTTTAGGGAATACCAAGAACCAAGTTGAAGACGTGGGGATCAACGATGGGGTGAAGCGTTATTCTGATAGATATGCAAAAAAGAGAAAAGTGAGATCAGCCAGTGATTATCCATTCAGACCAGAATTCTTTCCTACAGAACTACATGATGTAATTAAGGTTAGAAAGGGAAGAAACGGATTGAAGTTGAATAGCTACCAGGCAAACTCAGGCAAATTCTATTTGGATAATATCAATAATGAAGAAGGTAATGATGGTGACGCTGCCAGTAAAATGTTGGAAAGACTTAAAAATATTGCAGAAGTGGAAGATGAGAAGGATAGACCAGAAGAGAGTGATAGAGACTTCGATGATGAGGAAGATGACTTTGACGACGAGGACGATGATGATTATAATGCGGAGAAGTATTTCGATGATGGTGAAGAGTTCGGTGATGAGGGTGATGGTGATGACGAAGCAGCATTCTGATTAACTGGTTAAAGCTGTGGAATCTTGTCTGCTTTAGATTCATTGAAAAAAAAAGAAGCATACACTTATATTCTAGATCTAGTTTCTTCCATTTTTTTACTTCTGTTTTCTTTATTTAATTTTCGATGTATATTATGGTATTTTTTTGTTGCAAATTTTAATAGTCTGTGAATGTTCCAAACGAAGGTGGAACATGCAAACATATTCATTAAAAAGTTTTTCAACATGATTACGATGTAGGAATCAGTTACAATTATATTAATTTGAAAAAAAAAATTGTTTATTGAGTTTACTGAAAGTTATGAATGCTAAATTCAGTTAGTGTTGTGTCCACGAATTTCAAATATTCAATTATCAAAAAAAAAGCCCAAATATTATCAGAGTCATTAAATCAGTATTTTTGTTTTATTAATCAATGATATTCTCATACAGTGTGAATAAAAAAATCATCATACAATATCACAAGGCTTTCCAAAAGTAGGAGAAAAAAACACATACCATACCCTGCTTTGCTTCAAGACATTTCACAAAAATATCTTTTGTTTGACAAAAAGAAAAGTAATGCTTAACTTGTTAGTCAATGCTGTAAGCATTAAATTGAATTCTCAAATATTCACAAAAAGGTATTTGTTTGCTTTCAATCAGCTAAAAGCCAATCATCAATTACCAACCACCAGCACCCCAATTTTGTACACAAGGAGCGCGGCTACTGCAGAACAGTGATGGTCGACAATATGTCCGCCCGGCGATAATTGTCATCAAAGAAGCATTCCCATCTTGCGATTCTATCTCAAGTAAAATCAAAAACATACCTTATAATTGTTAGTAACAGTTATTCAAGTTAGAAACATTCACTAAATCATTAATTGAAAAGATTCAATGGCTTGACTCATACAAGGCTGAAACTTAACGATATGCGAGTTGTCGACAAAGAACATTCAGTAGCAACAATTGGTACATGCAAATAATCATCGTAAGCCATTGAACCTCAACAATATAACGACTTGTTAGATAATAAGAAAAAAAGAACGTACCATAACAATATTACTATTTTCTAACTATGATGGAATAGAAGCACCGCAAAGAGCAGTTAGAGTGTCAACAAACACTGCTGACATTCCCCCAACTGACTTTTGATGAGCTCAATTCCAATTGCTAACTTGGACAATCAAAATATTAAAGAAAGAAAGAGAACTGTGGAAAAAAAATTTTCATCCTCCAATTTGTACTCGCAGAAAACAAGATGGCCGCACTAGACGGAGTACGGATTCCTTTTTGAGAATTGCGACCGGGTAACATACACGCTTCCGGCACGGAAAACAAGTCACAAAGGCGGAGAGATTAATAGTTGTAATAAATGACAATAATATTAATATTTTTTTATATGTATTTATATTATCTTATTAGAGTGCCTAACTCGAAAAAATTGTTTAGATTCTGTTATTTTGTGCTTTGTGACATTTTTTGGTTGGATCCAGCCGTTGCTCGCGTTGGTATCTCATCGCAAGTGTCAAACGAGTCCATCTCGGAACGCATGGATAAATCAAATTTGATTCAAATTATCCTATTTAACTAAGATTTTTTTTCTTTGGTAGATATTTCTTTTTCAATAAAGAGAAACTTTTTTCTTTTCTTTCTTTTCTACTCATAGATTCTCTCTGTTGATTCGGCATTCAGAAATACTAGACTTCAAATTATAGAAAAACCTCCCCACAATAATACAAATTTCAACCGACTGAGCGATATAACACATCATAATGTTTGAATTGCCATTTGCCTTATCAGTGCCCTACCCTGATATCGATACGGTATCCAGTTATTGGGGATCCGAGGTCACCGCCACCATCGACTGGTGTGAAGAAAATAACGTTATTTCGTACTACATCGCAGAGTTTGTCAATACCATCACCAACCTGTTTTTCATGTTCCTTGCCTGCTTTGCCATCTTACGTTCTGTTCAAAACGGGTTTGAGAAAAGGTTCATATTAGGTAACTGTGGGTTCCTCCTTGTGGGTATTGGCTCTTGGTTATTCCATATGACCTTGATGTACGAGTTCCAATTACTTGATGAATTACCAATGTTGTATGCCACTTGCGTTCCATTCTGGAGTATTTTCTCCAAGGGAAAGTCTCCAAAACAGACGTTCATCATCGGGGTCTTGGTTACCACATTGGCAGGGTTAATGACCGCTATTTATTTGATCATTAAAGATCCAACATTTCACCAAGCCTGCTATGCATTCCTTAACTTTATGATCATTGGGAAATCGTACCATACTATCACCACCTCGGTAGATAATGTAAAGTACAAAAAGGAGATTTCTACCATGATCATGCTAATGGTTAAAGGGGTAGGAAGTTTCTTATTTGGGTACTTCTTATGGAATTTGGACATACATTTATGTCTGCAAGTCACCCAACTTAAACGGTTTGTGGGCCTTCCTTATGGTTTCTTATTGGAAGGCCATGGATGGTGGCATCTATTCACTGGACTCGGGGTCTATCATTATGATATCTTTTTGGAATACCTCAGATTGTTTGAAATAGGAAAACAGGATGATTATTGCTTGACAACCAAGTTTTACATCCTCCCGGATATCGAAACAAAAGATCGCCAAGTTACTGAGAAAAAGGAATCATGAGATATATAACAATAAGTAGATTATTTGATTTTTCATACCATAAACTGTCCCTATTTTGTTTTTATTTGTTGCAATCTTTATATAGATATATTGATAATATATATTATACATAGATAAATCAGACCTTTAAGGAATCTTGTTCGTGTAACTTTATAGGGAGCTACAATAAAACACTTTGCGCACCACAGGTATTTTTGGGGAAAATCAAAAATTCGGGCAAAACTGTAAGTGGCGAGAAGAACTATTACAAAGCTCATAATATAATAATATATCTCCACCCACGAGAATTGACTAAACAATATCATTAAAAGATGGTGAGTATTTTTTGATTTTTCCTGTCATTTGTCAACTTTTGTTTTTATTCTAATATGGCGTTGTTTTTTTTTGGAGTGTTAATGGTTATGGGAGATCGAGATTGGACTGTCAATAATACATATCTCTTGTGAATAATCTACAGAATTGATTCCCTATTCATTTCTTCTAGTTATAATATATATAATGAGATTACTGAGTGTTAATTGAATCAGAAAACGGAATCTTTTGGTGGCAAAATACGAAGTTCAAAAGGCATTTTCCAGCGCCATTATACATACCTCATGGGCGGGAATTCACTTCTCTTTCTTTCTCGAAGTTGCTTCTTATTGTACTAACTAATAATAATACTAGTCCATGAGATTGATCCCCAAATCAGACTTCCAATCAGAAGTCAATGCCACCAAGTTTGAGACCTCTGCAGTCCATGTTGACCTTCCTGACACCTTGCGTGCTGGTAAAGGCCCCCTTTCGATTGCTTCACAAGTCAATGGACATCATCCGCTCGAACAGCGTCTTGCCAACTGGGAAGAAACCCAACACTCCCGTAAGCTCGAACAATATAAGCGTATGTTTGGGGCTGCTGAACCGATCAGAAGAGTAATGGAATTACAAATTGTCGAAAAGACCGATTTCAAACCAGCGGTATTGACCGATGGGTCCAGAAGTTTACATCAAGACGTGTTACTTGGGAAAGAAATGAGTGTTGATTGGGAAGATGTTTACACCAATATCGATGAAGAAAACCCAAGGGATTTCCATACTGACTTGGAAAGAAAAGTGGGTATCTGAGTGATTTGTGGCTCCTTTTTCTTATCCTATGTTGTTATTCTGATTGTTTCGTGTGTACTTTAATGATAAAATATATGTTTTATTTAGCATTTTGATATTTTTTTACAAGTATTGTAATCAAATTTCTTTCCTGAGGAAGTGTGGAAAAAACTTGATGTGAATAAGAATTGAAGAGACAAGAGGTTGAATATATTCCCTAAAATTATATAAAGTAGAAACAAGAAAGAAGGGTATCGAATATGGAAAGCTAAATAGCATAATATAATTTACAAAATATCTACAGGATTTATCATTATTATTATTATTATCATCATCATCATCATCTCATCATAATCGCTGCTCAAAAATCATCGTCAAACTCTAGCGGAAATTCTCCAGTATTAGTTGGATGAGTTTTATTATTATCACTTGACTTTTCCATCACTTTAACTTTCTGATAATCACTGACACGCTTTTCAAAAAAATTGGTTTTGCCAGCCAACGAGATATTCTCCATGAAATCAAATGGGTTACTAACTTTGAAAATCTTAGGTCTCCCAAGAGCCACCAACAATCGATCTGCGACAAATTCCACATATTGATTCATTAAATTGCTATTCATCCCCAATAATGATACTTGCAAAGCATCATCAAAATATCTTTTTTCAATCGCCACTGCCTCCATGATGATCCGGTCGACAATTTCCGGAGCAAGCTTATTATCTAGATGAGAGTATAAAAGACAAGCGAAATCAGTATGAAGACCCTCATCGCGACAAATCAATTCATTGGAAAACGTTAACCCAGGCATGAGCCCCCGTTTCTTGAGCCAAAATATAGAAGCAAATGAACCAGAAAAGAAGATTCCTTCGACTGCTGCAAAGGCAATCAATCGTTCTGCAAATAAGGCATCCTTATCAGATATCCATCGAAGGGCCCAATCAGCCTTTTCCTTAATACAAGGAATGGTTTCTATCGCATTAAAGAGGAAATCTGCTTTCTCTTGGTCTTGAATGTATGTATCGATAAGTAATGAATATGTCTCTGAATGTATGTTTTCCATCATGATTTGAAATCCATAAAAGCACCTAGCTTCGGGTATTTGTACTTCAGTTGAGAAGTTCAGCACCAAGTTCTCGTTGACAATACCATCAGAAGCAGCAAAGAATGCCAACACTCGACTAATGAAGAATTTCTCGTCTTCGTTGAGCTGGTAGTTCCAATCATGTAAATCTTTTCCCAAATCAATTTCCTCGGCGGTCCAAAACGATGCCTCTGCCTTCTTGTACATATTCCAGATATCGTGGTACTTTATTGGATACATAACAAACCGCTTCTTATTCTCTTTCAAGAGTGGCTCTTCCCGCTGTTTCTTATGGAGCTCTTGTCGTTGGGTGGCATAACTTTGAAGAAACTGTTGATGCTCATCACCAGAATTCTTCAACCCAAGCTGCTGGAACTTGGGCTGTAACTGCTCAAACTCAACTTCATTTGTCATAGTAATGTGGTTATTCGGTATTTTAAGATTTATGATTACTTCCTTCCCTAATATTAGTGTTTTTTCTATTCTATAATAACCTAGAACAAGTCTTTCATGTCAATAAATGTGTCTCACTTTTATGATTTGATTGATTTGCAGAATTTTTTTTTTTTACGGAAATATTTTTTTTTTTTTTTACAAAATTTGCGATGACTTTGCTTCCTGTCACCTACAAAACAATATTGAATTATTGAATATTATTATAATAAATAGGGGAAAATACTCAGTGTCCTCGGGGTGGACGCTTCATCAAACTCATGGTATTTTCTACCCATCCATCAGCACCACCTTCAAGCTCCAAAACTTGGGCAACCGACTTAAATTGATCTCCTGGTTGTTTATGGTGCCCTACGATTGCACAATTCCTAGTAGAAGGGATTCTCAACATTTCTCTTTCGGTTTTCCAACCAACTTGGGAAGCAATTTCTTCTGTGTGTTGCACAAGCCCAGAATATGTAGATTTAGAATCAGCAGCATTGTTGTTTGCCTTTGGTAAGAACCGAGTCTTATTCCCAGATAATGCATGAGAACAGCATGGGATCACCATGAAATCGTAGCCAAATAATGGGATCCATAATGTAAGCTCATCAGAATGATTACCGATTACGAAGGTGTTATCTGGGAATGTTCCGGTATTAACATAGCTGGAATTCATCAATGTCTTAGAGTTATAGCTAACTACCTCGATTTCGTTAGATGAAGACCCAAGTTTATTGAGATTTTTCTGATTATGAGTTCCATGAAGATCTGTCTTGAACGTGGAGTTTTGTAAACTGATCAGGTAGTCTTGATCTTGTTCCAACAAGATCCTTGGAATGATCACCTGTTCCTTGAGGCACTGTGAGACGTTATCTGGATAAATTTTCCATGATTTTCTGGCCCTGGCATCAATTCCTATCCCATGGAATCCTTCCATGATCAAAATATAAACAAGGATCCCGTTACCACAACCAAGATCAGCAAATTGAAAGTTGGTATCACCATATATATTTTGCCAAAGTTCGATCAAAAATGCGGCGATGGCGATATCTTCAAACACATGTTTCTTTGGATCAGTATTCTCCTGCCAATTATCAATCAAATATTGGGAGTATTGCTTCTTTAAAGCAATGTATCTGTTTTGAAAAAGCACCTTGCTGACAACTACATCATGCTGTACTCGTTTTTCGTACCCATCCATCACCCCTTTACTATGTTTTTGTGCAGTTTGGAGTAATCTGAAAGCAATTCTCAAAGTTCTGTCGTTAGAATCGAGGGATTTCAAATTACGGATCACTTGAGGGTCCTTGTATCCAAATGGAAGATAATTTAGTGATAAGTTCTTTGTTGGACGATGATAAAAAATCCCCACCGCTTCCACCGGTGGTAAGTAATACGGACATTGTTCGCCACTCTCAATGTGTGGTATGTACACTACAAAAAGAGATTCATCTTGATCTTCATAGTCTTGCAAGGTATATATCAAACAAGTTTGGTTGATCACGTAGTCTTTATATGGGTTACGAGGAATCAACCGTCTGACAATCTGTCGCTTAGGTTTGAAATCTAAGACCGTAGGTATATCTCGAAGCTGCATATCATCAAGGTTGAGCTCTTGTATCACATCGTTCCCTTCTTCTTCTTTTCGTTCTTCTTCTTCTGTTTCTTCATTTCCTTCGATGATTTTGTCTTCCTCATTTAGTTTTCTCTTTCTGTTCAGTGGTTTCGAACTTAATCTCGAGTGATCATCCCTTTCAGTTGTTTTCTCAGTGACCAACGGAGTCTCCATAATATTACCATTTTCATCAAGATATTCGTACTTGGTATTCCTGAGGATATCAGCCCGTAACAATACTGTGGAATTGATTTCTGGTTGGAGAATCAAATTGTATAAAGCCTTTTCAAAATGGTACGACTTGAACTCGACATTTCGTGAGCATACTTCTATCCAGTCATTCCCTATAAGTTTGGACTCTTGCAAAATGCTTTCGAATTGTTCTCCACGGGACTTCTTGTTACCTCTTTTGCCCATATTTTCCCACAAACACAGGTCTTTGCCGCTGCTTCTTCTTCCTTCCTGTTCTTCCAAATATTTTTTCTCTTCTTTCGGATCTCTCGCACGTGATGAAGTTACCATAAAAAGTCAGGAATTTTGAGACCAGCGAATGTCTCTCTCACCCCAATGGATGATCTAATAATTATTATTAGTATTACTTTCCAGGGAAAGCCCAAGATTGGTGTTTACTAATTGTGATAATAATAATAGAGGAGCCCCCTTTAATCAAAAATATTTGATCCTCTTTTTAATTCATTCAGGACTGATTATTCGGAACCACTATTGCAGGTAAATAGACAGACACACTTACAGATAGATAAATAGAACAGATATACACAAACCATGGCCGGTCAGTCACATTTCCAACAACTCGAAAAGCTTGGTGAAGGAACCTATGCCACTGTGTACAAAGGCAGAGATGCGTACACCGGGTCCCTTGTTGCTCTTAAAGAAATCAACTTGGACTCTGAAGAAGGTACCCCTTCTACTGCAATCCGTGAAATTTCTCTTATGAAGGAACTCAAGCATGAAAACATCGTCACCCTCTATGATGTGATCCACACGGAAAATAAATTGACCCTTGTGTTCGAGCATATGGACCGTGATCTTAAGAAGTACATGGATACCTATGGTAATCGCGGTGCGTTGGACCCTAAGATTGTCAAAAGCTACATGTTTCAGCTTCTCAAAGGTATAATGTTTTGCCATGATAACTGTGTGTTGCATCGTGATTTAAAACCTCAAAACTTATTGATAAATTCTAAAGGTGAGCTCAAGATTGGTGATTTTGGTCTTGCCCGTGCCTTCGGGATCCCTGTCAACACTTTCTCCAACGAGGTTGTCACCCTTTGGTACAGAGCCCCTGATGTGCTTATGGGTTCCAGAAACTATAATACCAGTATTGATATCTGGTCAGCTGGATGTATCATGGCAGAAATGTTCACTGGCCGTCCATTATTCCCAGGATCTTCTAACGATGATCAATTGTTGACAATTTTCAAAATAATGGGTACCCCAACCGAAAGAACGTGGCCAGGGGTTTCTCAATTGCCAAACTACCGTCATAATTTCGACATGTACATTTCCCAAGATTTGGGCACTATTGTTCCTCAGGTTGATCCTATTGGTTTGAAATTGTTGAACCAATTATTGCAAATGAAGCCAGAAAACAGGGTTTCTGCCCGCGCTGCGTTGACTAGTCCTTGGTTTTCCGAATACTCGTCACAGTTGGGAAACAACCAAATGAATAACAGTGATACCCAATATCAGAATCAATATCAGGATGGTAGAGGACGTGGCATGCATCAAATAGCATGAAAAGAATTAACGGAGATTTGTTGAACTATCGTTGTTGTTGTTTTTTTGTTTGAGTTCACATGGTCCTTTTTTATTGTTATGTTTTTTTGTTATCGTATTCACTTCATTTTCTTTAAATTTTTCTTGGGATTCAATATTAATCATTTGTAACTACAATTTGAAATGGAAGCTCGTAACTGTAATTCACTATCTGTATAGATAACGATTCGATATATTTATAGTTACAAAATATAAGAAAAAAAGGACACAAAGGAAAACAGATGAAAGATTTAGATTCTATTAAAAGCACAGTTCTATGTAACAAAATTCAACAGCAAAAACAAACAAGATAGAAAAGAAAGGAAAAGAAAAGAAAAATAAAGAAAAATAAAGAAAAATAAAGAAAAATAAAAAAGAGAAAAAAAATGAACTGGAACGATGGAACCTGGTTATTCCGATCACAAAAGATTTATTAGGCAAAATAGCACCGTTGCTAGCACCCCACCCTTGATTGTTGCTGCGTGGTTGTCACTAATGATACTCATTATCGAAGAATAATCAGAGTTAGCAAAAGTGAAAATGGAGGCGGTGGTACCTTCGGTTGCACTGGTATGATCATAGATACTACTGGTCATTGAACTGTGTCCAAGAGGTGTGGTAATAGATCTGGTTGAGTTGATTGTAGTGCTGGATTGTTGCCCACTGATGGTTGTGCCCGCAGCTGCGAGGGTTCTTGATCCGGCATTGAGAACCGCTTGCCCCAAGGAAGTAGTGGCCACCAAGATAGTCGAGCTGGATGATGATGTCTCCAGATCATTAGTTAATCTTGATCCCGAAGCGACAGTGGAAGAGACTTTAGTGGTGGCAGCGACAGTGGTATGATTACTGGTGGCATAGTAGTTGGTACTGGCATGGTTATTAGTACTGGTATAATGGCTAGTAGTATTATAAAGCCTATTACTGTTATGATGGCTATTAGTGCTACTATAGTGACTAGTCTTATAAGCTTTTGATGTGGTGGCTGTTCGATTGGCTGCCCCATGCCCAGAAATAGTGGAATTAAACATTTGGGTTGTGGAAAAGGTTTTCGGTTTCGGTTTTCTCACGTAATCCAACATCGACACATTTGCACTATGGGAGGAGTTAGAGTAGCCATCATAGTTTCTGACTGTTGAATGGATTGTATTGGAAATGTGGGATGTTGAATGGATTGTGTTGGAAATGTGGGATGTTGGATGAGAGTGTTCCGAGTATGTGGTTGTGACAGGTTGTTTTGAGTGAAATGTAGTAGTAGCATTATCATAATCTGAAGTTGTTATTGTCAGTGATGATTTGGCCTTACCAATTTTGATGATTTCATTTGCGTAATCGTTGAATTGGTAAACATATTTTAAGAAAGAATTTCCCAAGACAAAATCAGCATCAGAGGATGCGATCATCCCTAAGGCACACGCGGAAGAGTCTGAGATTTTGTAAACAAGACTCAGCAAAGGAATAGTGATACTTATACCTCCCAAATTGAATTCCAAATATTTCTCAGTCAACTTATCACTAACTTCACATTCAACGCGATAGATCCCGTATTTCGAATCAAAAGTGCCATTGATCGAACTTTCATTGATGATTTCAGTTATCACATTTTTAGAAAGATAGATCATATCCTTGTTTCTATTGAACACTGCTGTGGCACTGGAGCCTTTAATAATTTTGGAGTTCACAGAAATTGCGCTCACTGGGACCGTGAAGTTTGATCCTGTAGAATGAAATGTGATCAAATCACCAGTATACATAGCGGTATCTATGGTGCCAAAAATGATATTTCCTGAATATTTCCCAATCTCATTCACGATCGAGTAGCTAGTAACAGCGGCTTGGCCATTCTGTACAAGTTTGGAGCGAATATTTGAATGACCAGTATTTTCTTGTCCAAGACCTAACGATGCTGGCAAAATCTTGGAATCCAGCACCATTCCAATGGGTACTGAAGCTACTTGTAACCCCATCAAGGTGAGTTCTTCATCATACCATGTACCCAGGATCTCCTCTCCGGTACTCAATTTCTCTATGAACTTTGAACTCTTGGTAGAAGTGGAGGAACTCTTTGGAACTGTTCCATTGACCCATATATCAGCGGTGTCGAAGTCGATGTTGGCCCTGAAGCTGGTTGACAGAATGGACATGTCAGTGATTGGGAATACTTCATCTATGACTTCGTTGGAGGATAAAAACATTTCAGGACCATTTAATTTAGTTAATAATTTCCCAGACACTTCTAGAGAATACCAATCAAAGGGTAGCTCGGGAGTCGCTGCCATGGTGAGCCCATAATAATAATAACATAGGACGAGAATCAACCAAGTTTTATGACCCAGGAACATTCTCTAAATTTCTTGATCAAAATGCTAAGAAGCAAGAAAGCAAAATAAAAAATAAAACATAAAAAACATGTATCAAATAAAAAAAAAATGGCGGACTTCCCAAAATATATATCGGGAGGATCCTAAGGCCTGGCATGCATGTCATTACCATGGATGGATGCCTGCATGGTCGGTAAGTGGGGCCCAGGAGTCGCCGAGAAATGTCAACCCAAAACACTTGCCGGAGTATACGCAAAAAATATCGAGGGAAGAGGGGAGGGGGGTTATTTTCGCTACTTGTGAGATTAACACAAAATATAATGTTCAATAACTGGGATAAGTTATCCGCGTTTGTGATATCGTGACTAGTATAAAACTAATAATATCCAATTTCTGCAAAAAATATTGATAATCATAATTTTACCTTTCTCAAGAAAATTCTTATTAAATAAGTTGTAACAACTTTATAACAAAAAATCTACACTAAATAAACAATGATTATCAAAAGTAAAAGTTAAAATCGCATAAATTGAAATGAAAACAATTAAAAAGAAGAAAAGAATTAACGAACAAATAAATCACATAAACTCATGAGAGACCAAACTGCTTCATCATGTTTTGCATCATCTGAGGATTCTGTCTCATCATTTTTTGGACTTCGGCAGGATCTGGCATCCCTGGCATCCCTGGCATACCACCACCCTGGCCCATCATCTTCATCATATCACCCATATTTGGCATTCCTGGCATACCACCACCGCCACCACCGCCAAACATGTTCATCATGTTCTGCATCATCCCTGGATTCTGTTGCATGGCACCCATAGCTCTGTTAATATTGGCTGGGTTAAACATGTTGGCCATACCTCCACGTCCTCCAGGCATGCCCCCGCCTTGTTTTTGCATATCCATCATATTCTTTGATCCTTTAGCCAACTTCGACATCGTCTTCAGTTGCAATAACACCAATTCCACATCAGTGACAGAAGTACCAGACCCTCTCGCGACTCTGACAATTCTTGCTGGTTCATCAACAAAGATATCCCCATTACTGTCCAATTCTTTTTTGGTCATCGAATCCATTATAAACACCATTCTTTTCAATTTATACGAAGCGTCTTCCTCACTCACCCCACTCATAAGATTGGACATCCCAGGAATCATCGAAGCAATTTTCGAAAGTGGTCCCATCTTCATCATGTTGCCCATTTGTGTTTGAAAATCCCTGAGGGTAAACTTCCCTTCTTGGAAATTCTTTATTGTGTCCTTTTGGTCTAAATTAAGAGACTTGACGTGTTCCATAAGCCCTTGGATATCACCAATCCCCAAAAGTTTAGAAATAAATGATTTTGGCGAAAACGTTTCGAAATCAGTAATGTGTTCCCCGGTACCAATGAAAACGATCGGGGTGTTGGTGGCGGCTACCGCGGAAATCGCCCCACCACCTTTAGCATGGCCATCCATCTTGGTCAAAATGATCGAACCAAAGTCCGCAGCCTCCTTGAAGGCTTTACTTTGTGCTTCGGCAGCTTGACCAATTGCCCCATCAAGAACCATGATGGTTTGATTTGGGTTGACGGCATTACCGATTTGCACCATTTCATCAAACAAATCTTGTTCTTGTCTATGACGACCAGAGGTATCGACAATGATGATCTCAAACTTCTCTTTTCTGAACTTATCCACCCCGGATTTCGCCACCTTAACTGGATCGGTTTCGGTATACGACCCAAAGAATGGAATCTTGGCCTTAGTGGCATTTTGTTTCAATTGATCGAACGCCCCCGCACGAAAAGTATCGGCACAAACCATCCCTGTTTTGTACCCTCTTCTTTGGTAATAAGTCGCCAATTTGGTACAGGTTGTGGTCTTACCAGCCCCTTGCAACCCAACAAACATAATCACGTTAGTTTGGTGCTTCTTTGGCTTGTACGCTTCAGTTTGACAATCTACAAGCGCCACAAGTTCATCGAAAACGGTTTTTTGAATCAATCTTTTCTTATTTCCTCCAGTAATATTCTCCTGGCTTGATATTTGAGTCTTTATCCGTTCACGTAATTTCGCCACTAATCTAAAGTTGACATCGGCTTCAAGAAGGGCATTACAAATCTCCTTCAACATCAAATTGATGGCATTTTCATCGACCACATCAGACTTGGTGATGTCTGAAATGGCACCATTGATTCGTCTTCCTAAGTCTGCTAAAACCATGTTGGAAAAAAGAAAAACAAAACCACTGCCAATATGAAATCAAACAGTGATACAACTTTTGTTCACTGTCTGTTCATTTTTCTCGAAAGGATCAGAAAAACGGGAAAAAATAATCGTCTCCGCGCACGCAAGAAGTTTTGCTTGATAAACGGTGATTTTTCGCACCGGGTAATAAAGAATATTCAATTATAACGTTCGTTATCTTATGAGAATCATTTATATTTCGCAAGAAATGTATTTATATACAAGTGGTGGTAGAATATGGGTTGAATATTCAATTATTGAATCTCTACATTGGATTTTTACAATTCATGGGGGATATATATTTGTCAGGAATTTCCAGGAAATCTTCAGAATACAAGATATTTTCCAATACTAATATTTATATTATCAAGAGGGCTACGGATCTTAACGTCTTCCCTTCTTCTTGGAGCTGGTGACAATCCATTCGTCTTCCTCTTCGTCATCTGGGTCCATGTTCAAAGCATCATCCCAGTTGACAACGTGCTTCTCCACCCCTTTTCTTCTCTTGATAAATTCTTCGGCAAATCTTCTACCGTTCAAAGTCTTAGATGAAGAATAAATGGTATCTTGGATCAAATCACGAGAGTCATTGCTGCAAGGGAATTGAAAGAACATACGGAGAAGCTCTTCCTTGTTGACGCCTCTGTTCAAATCATGTAATTCTCCACGGCACCAGGACAAGAATTCACGACGTTGCTTATTAGCAGCAGAATTGGCACCACTGTTAGTTGAGGAAGCTGATGAGGACACAGTGGAAGATTGATGGACGGTGGAAGAAACGTTTCTCAATTGGGTTGGGGTTTGCAATTTCGAAGAAGAAGCGCCAGACACCTTATATTGGGTCTTCAAGGCGGCACCAGTGGCAGAAGCAGCAGAAGGTGCTTGTTGTTTCTTTGCAGCGGTGGCAACAACAGTCCAGCTGTTATCATTACTAACCGTGGTTTTTTCAACAGAAGCAATGACGGAAGATGCTTTGGCGATGGTAGCAGCGCGCTTTTTGGCAGCTTCTTCTTTTTGAATGTCGAAAAGGGTTTTAGCAGGAGCACTAAGTTTAGATTGTGATCCAATCGAGGCCCATCCGGCGGTTCCTGGCAAAGTAGATTTCTTCTCGGTGGTTTCGTGCTTCAAAGCTTCGCTAAACAAAATGTTTCTTTGAGTGATCTTCTTTTGTTCAATGAGTTTTTGTTCTCTTGCTCTTTCGGCAGCTTCAAGTTCTTGAATTTCTTTCAAGGTCAATTGTTTCTTGGTGGCTGGTTCGCCAGCAGGCTTGGAAGCCCAAGGAGCCAACTTAGGTTTACTGGCTTGCACCGACTTTTCAACGATAACGGTTTCCGTCACTTTCTTAGTAGATGAAGATTCAGTAGTGGCAATAAACGACTCAATGGTAGCAGTTGGAGTTTCAGCAACGGCAATGGTGGTAGTAGTAGTAGTAGTAGTAGTAGGCTGATGTTCAGAATTGGTTTCTTTTGATGCTGTAGATCCTTTCTTGGTCTTCTTGGCAGATTCCTTTTTTGGTTTTTCAGTAACCTTTTTAACCGGTTCACCAGTTGGAATCATTTCTTCTGGAGTTTCTTCCACTGGTTTTTTTGAAGTTTTTCCAACAACATCAGTTGGAACTTCCTCTTTCAAAACACTACCCAACAAGAGAGAACTAATATGATCTTGGTCAAGAGATTGTTTTGGTTCAGTTTCGAAAGTGGTAGCGGCATTGACAAGTGGACTATTGGTGGAACTCATAAAAGTATTGGAAGACGCAAGCAAACTACTACCCCCGGTATTTTCTACAGATAATGGATTGGTCACGGTTTGGGTTGGTTGAATACTAGTAAAGGAGTTGGTCACCGATAATGGGTTGTTGTACAATGGCGATTGAGTCGCCAATCTGGATGGAATGGTATCAGATAACGCAAAATCCTGGCTACCAATCGGTCTAGTTGACCAAGTTGGCTGCATCAAATTGGAGCGTTGAGAATTACCCCAGCCATTGGAGTTGAAACCTCCAGAAGTGTCCTGGGTTTGGAAGAAATTGGACCCCCCAGTATTGGTTGGAGTAGCAGTACCACTGCCAAAGAATGCGGACTGCGGGGCTCCGCCGCCTGGGTGAGCGTGAAGCGGGTACGGTTGATGATTAACTGAGGGCAAAGGCACAAGAAATGGTTGATACGAATTTTGAACCCTTGCCATCAATTGGTTAAGGGGATAGTATGCCGTTTCTTCCGACCGCCTGATCTGCAAATCCAATTTCAAATACCCTTGGGAAAACCAATTCTGCATCATTGGGCCATTGAATGGGCCCTGTTCTTGGTTCGAAGGATCCAAGTAATACCATGAGATGTTTTCCGGACTGATGTTGAAAAACCCTGGAGGAGGCGGAACATGAGAAGGAGAGTTAAGGGAATCCAACAACGACTTCTTACTACCAATCCTATCGAGTAAGGAGCCAGCAGGGGCAGCCGGGCTAGACACATTACTCAACACTGATGAATCCTGAGTGGTGGTGGAGGTGGTACTTGGCTGTTGAGGTTCTGGATTACTCCAGCTGTTGTTGTTGGAGATACCAGCATGGTGTGTGCCATCTGCTTTGCCCAATGATAAGTTGTCAATTGAGTGTTCAAGATTGGTTACTGAAGAGGAACTGCCTTGAATTTTCCCATTTTCATTCAATACGACGTGCAAGATATCCATTGGTTTGGGGTTCTTGTATGGCTCATCTGAATTTTGGGGTATAAGGTCACCCTTCTCCTTCATTTCGTCCAACACATCAAACATTTCATTCAATGAATATCTGGTGCTTGCAGAGTTTGGAGAAATGATTTTGGAGCTTGCCAAGGCATCCTTGACATCAAAACTTGGATCGACTTTCTGTGAATTGGTGGCAGAAAGAGAGGATATTTTTTCATCGTGCAATGAAGATTTTGGGCGCATCCTAATGATGATTGGTTAGTACGTGATGATTTCTGGAAAATATACATATACATTCTATAATGTATTATAGTACAAGATTAACATACCATGTAGGACCAAATGATAAAGAAGCTGCTGATTGGGACATTGTTGCTGTATTTAATCTGGGGTTGGGTTGTTTAATGTTTGTTGTTATTCTTTTTTTCTAAGAAAAAAAATGTTATTTTGTAGTTGCTTTTTAAATGTTGTTGTTCTGATTATAGTATCGCTTGGTCAGAGTCGTTTCAATTGAGGGTTTTCTTTTGGTTAACCTGTAGTACGAGATCTGGTTATTGTGATACAAACACTGCTGATTGAAGAGAGTTACAATTTAACGAAAAAAAAAAAAAATTGAGAAAATTTTGGTGAAAAAAAAAAAAAAAAAATTTGACCGGTGCGAAGAAAATAATTTTCTGCTAAGGGCGCTGCCTGTAAAGTTCGTTTTTTTTTTGTGTGTGGCAAAATTAGAAAAAGGGCATCGATTGTGATATCTTGTATGTATTATATTATATTATAGTATACTATATTATATTATATTATATTGTACTATATACATACAACTATGTCCAGTCCCTCATCTTCTTCGTCAAAACCATCGACAACAGATAACTTGTACGCCCTTACAAAGGTATGTTATTTTCTTGCCATTGAGTGGCATTGAATCCTTAAGGATTATGTTTGCTAACTGTCCCAGAATATCCAATTCTTTTGGTTTGTAGGCCATATCGTCACTTTCTTTTCCAGTGTGCTTTATCTCCTCACTTTCCGTTCTGGCGGATTGGCCAACACTTTGTTTTTCAGATTGGCGTATCTAGGAGTCATTGAATCGTTTGGGATCATCCTTTATCAATCGTACAAAGGCCGTCAGCCAACCCTCCAATTGTTATTTGGCGATGACAATGCCCAGTACACTTTCGATGCTCTTTTATGGTTTTTTGCTCCAGTAAACACCTTGTCATTGGCACCTTTTGTGATCTTCTCCCTTTTCCACTCGTTAACCTACATCAGAAACCAGATCTTGCCAGCTTTGAATTACTCGCAAACCACCAGCACCCTCGGTAAAATCAGCACCTTGATCACCAACAATAACGACAGCTCGTTAGTATTGGTGGCTAATTTGGAATTCTTTCTCTTGGTGGTGTTGATCTTCAAAGCATTGTTCTTCATGAAACGTTCGTGGATCATTCTTGTCGGTTACACCCTTTTCATGAAGTTGAGATATGAGAAATCTGTCTACACTAAAGCAGTGTTGAAAGCCTACGAAGTCAGAATCGATGGGGTATTTTCCGATTCAAGATTGCCTCCAAATGCCAAGCAATATTGGGCTAAATTGAAGGCAGTGTTGAGTGCCACTCTTGGGACTCCTTTGGCAGCTAATGTCGCCTCCAAGAACAAATGAGGGTGTACATAAACTGAAATCCGTGTCATCTCTGACCTATGGTGAAAAGGAATATTCATGGTTAATAATCGAAAAATAAAAAAATCCTCACTGGTTTGTTCCCATAATCTAACATTCGTGTTTTCTCGTTACTGATTTCTGTTGTTACTTTTTGGTTAAGTATGCAAAGAGAAATATTTGCTTGTAACTCGCAAAATTTTATTTCTGTATTAATGATTGATGTTTTAACTGTTTTTTTCTTTTGTTATTGTTTATTTTTCACATTATTCAGTATATTGTAATATATAAAGCATCTAATTTGCTGAATCTTTTAATAATAGACAGTGGTCATCAGATCGATTAAGTAGAATTGGCCTATAACATTTGAGTATAGGTATAGAAGAGAAAAATAATATTATTTTTGATCATGTATATCTATCATACTTGTAATATTTTGCCAGATATCCCAAGTCAATTTATTTTGGTTGTACGATTACCAACCAATGATGAAATAAACTGAATTGTAGAACAAACAAGAGAACCCACTAATAAATAGAAACCCGTTCCATATTGAATCTTTGCTAAAGCAATTTCTTCCGTTAAGATACGATGCATTCGAGAAATATAAATTTTCAATACCGTAACCGTGGCAATGTTGATCAACAATGTCACCAATGACGTGAACAATAATGTCTTCTTCATGAAAGAATCATTCAACAACAAAAAATAGCAAACCACATTTTTCTGCAACTTTTTATTAAAATGACAAATGATATGTAAACCCATTTGAAACCAATTGACAAAATTTAGTAAAAACCCCACCGTCACGATGAATGGCAAAATCTTACTAATTCGCTTCACCAACATCGCGTTGCTACAAATGTTGACTGGACCTTCACCTTGAAGAAACTTGCTCAAATTCGGTAAAGAAATTTCGTATCCTAACGCTAAAGCATCACTGACTGTACTTGTTCTATTATCAGAGGTTAAGATAGCTAACTGCTGTCCAAAATCTCGAAGCAAAGTGGCAACCAAATCGATACCATTAATAATTCCACCAAAGCAAATTCTTCCTCCGTCATCAGTTGTGCTATTTGTTCGACAATACCCTGTGAATCCCAATTCAAAGAAATTATCCGTGGAGAATGTCATAATTTCCTTTGGGTGTTGGGATGATGAAGATTTGAGTCGATGGATCATTATAGGATTTACTAAAGGACTATTAGGTTCCACCACCACGCGCTGAGGTTCACTCACATCAACCTCCAAAATCCCTTGCTCACGTTGTAAACCTTCATTATATTCTTTGGCAAGAAATGTGAACAAATGGACTATATCATTGAGCATGGTAATCACGGTCTGTGATGCGGGGGAATTATTAGTAATTTGAAAGTTCAACTGTGAGAAGCATTTCACATTATTGGCGTTAGAAATGGTACTGCAAGTTGTCAATGTCAATCCCGTCAAAATAACCATCACTGTCGAGCAAATCAATACCATGAAACCCCATACTTTGAACTCATTAAAATTTTTTTTCCAAGCAAAATTATTAATGTTTATCAAGATGAATTTAGGAACCTGTGACAACATCACGGTTTCTTTTTTGATATACCGTTTTTCTTCCAGTGAGTATTCCTCCGTGTCACTGGCATTATTGGGGCTTTTCTCTGCTGTTCCTTTCAAGGCCAAGTATTTGAGTTCGGGGGAATCATTAGAGGGATTGAAGAACTTACAAGTATCGATAGTAGAACAAGTTCCTGTGGCCGAGGATTTGATAGTATACCATAATTTCACCGTACCAGAAACAATGCTCATATTTTGGGGATGAGTAGCACCTACTTTGATGATAATCTTTAAATGAAGTTTTCATAATAGTCTTTTTTTTTTTTATTATTTGTTTATTTTTCTGATTTTTGTGTATTTGTGATTATGCATGTCGAGAGAAAATAAAAAGGAACAACAAGAAATAAAAAGAGAAAAACTGAACCAATACCCGAAAAAATAAAATGAGGAAAAAAAATGTTTTTTTACCATCATATGCGAGTAAGTATCTATAATAATAGTGGATGAAGAAAGAAACATAAGTGGTCCCTTATTTAGGGGATTCGCTATACCCATATTGCTGAACTGTGAAAAATTGCTGTTCAATATCTGAAGCGTCATTGCTACCTTGAGTTAGATTGTTTTTTATAGTCCCATTTTTTCTTAAACCAAACCCGGAATAGCTCATGCCATTGGTAGATTCTAGAATTTGGTTATAATCAATATTGTTAGCGTACGTGTCATTTTCACTGACCATACTGACCAAGTCTGAATTGGATTTGAAAACTTTGAGTCCATTAGAGTCATGGCCAGTCGGCATGAATGGGTTCTGGTAAGATTCTTCGCTCTGGCCACCATCATTACTTTGCGATTGATAATTACTGTAGTATGCCGTGTCAATATTGCCAAGATTGCCAGAACCTGTGGTATTATTTGTTTGGAACAGACCTTTGGTAAATGGGGAAATCAAGTATTTTTTCGATGAGCTTCTGGTGGTGGTTGAAGGTCCGTAAAAAGCAGACGACATCCCAGTATTAGTTCTTGTCATAAATGTCACATTTTTCTTGAGCTCTTCGTCATATTTGGTAGCTGGGGTATTACCAGCTGATTGTGGGAATTCTATCCATCCACCAGTTAATGCTGATAAAGTCTGTAAAGACTTTCTATGGTTGGTTCTATAGAATTTCTCTTCGTGGTCTAACTCGACATCAGGAACGGTACACCAGGCCACCCCTCCCCAAAGGCAGAAATTGACGAACGATGTGGCAAACAACACCCAGAGAGTAGTGAAGAACACTCTTCCAAGGTGTAAGGATATCCCGAAATCTCCCAATTCATCACTGACATGGCTTTTCAAATTAAAGGAAATTATCGTCAAATTAATCACCGCCACTGTCACCGCCACGAAAATCGCCAGCGATAATGCCGCATTGATATGTTGCAAAAGGATCGCCAAATTATTACGGTTTTGATTATTGTTTAGCAAAATGTGATAAAGGATTACCGAAATCAACAAGATGAACACTTGGGCCACCCCGGCAAAAATTAAAATGTTTGGCAATATCTTCATGGACCTGTGAACAGATTGCATAAGGGCCAGATACTCAGCGTTTGAAGAATAATCTCCGTCATAGGCGTATTCTAAAATGATGGTAAAACCAATTTGCCCCAATAATGCCCGGTAATTGAAATAATATTGTAGAGGACTGCTGCAACTCAATACCGTTGGACTTTGGTATTCAGCACCGGGGTCATTGTACTCAAGGAAATTGTGGAAATTATCGGAGAAATCATCGAAATCTGGAGAGTCATAAGTCCCATAACAATAGTTCCAGATCGCAGATACGAGAAACTGAGGGCTATCATCGAATTCCCCTGAAGTGTAATCGACCAAGATTTGGATTTCTGAAGTGGTGAAACCTGGACCATAAGGGTCGTCTGAATTTCTTTCTGAGTTGACATTGTCAGCCAAAGCATTATATAACCCTCTAGCGACGTTTAAATGGGAAAACTGGAGTTTATGGATGTAAATATTCAAACAGTTTTTCACCAGTCCTACCAACAACACCAAGTTGAGAATCGTAAACACCATGAACGCCATGAGTCGAAGCCCGAGAAGCACACGTTTCCGGGGAGCGAGATTCCCTAGGAAAGGAATATGATGAAGGAACTTCATATTGACATTTGATGTGAAGTAGCAAAAATAGTGGTGTATACCTATGTTGTTATGATCTAGTTCCCCTGAGTTGGTATTTTTTTTTTTTTTCTATCTGAAATCATCGACCCACGCTAATGGTACACGTCAAAGATATTCCCATTTCAGTTTCTTTATGAGTTTCTTGAATTCTTCAGCTGTTGGTACTGTGATGTTGGATGTATTTAACTAAATGACCAAAATTTATGTCTGGAAAAATAAAACTAGAAATATGAAATTCAGCATCTAATAGGTGTGTCGTCTCAGTATCATATGAACAAGAGAAAGTATGTGATCCAGTCCCATGGTTCAAAGGTTGATAAAAATCTATCAGTAAATTTTTTTTTTGTATTTCAAGTTTTTGGTTTTAATGTTGTTCTATCTCATTATAATGAGATGTGGTTTCTATTAAGTTTCTAAGAAGTGGAAAGTTTTACAAAGATATTAATAAGAAAAATATGTTATATTTTTTAAGAATTAAAATAAAATCAAAAGGAATAATAGTCGAATAACAATGAAATTATAAATGAATTGAAAATCAAAGAGAATTAAAGGTCCAGGCCTGTGATTCATTTACCACCAGGGCAGAAATAACAAATCAAAAACAAAAACTGGAGGCCAAGTATGATGGAAATTAGGCAGAAGATTCAGTAGAGTTCGACACTATTTTCTTCACCCAAGGGTGGCCCCCTGGAGGTCCTGGTGGGCCAGGTGGTGATGATGGTGGGCCATTTCCTGGTTGGCCTGGAGGTCCTGGAGGTCCTGGCGGTGGAGGTGGAGGTGGGTGGTGATGACCGAATAAATCGCCCATCAAGTCTCTTTTTTCGCTGGCAGTACCATTAACCATTTTATTCATCCAAGGGTTACCTGGTGGGCCAGGTGGTGATGATGGTGGGCCATTTCCTGGTTGGCCTGGAGGTCCTGGAGGTCCTGGCGGTGGAGGTGGATGGTGATGACCGAATAAATCGCCCACCAAGTCTCTTTTTTCGCTGGCAGTACCATTAACCATTTTATTCATCCAAGGGTTACCTGGTGGGCCAGGTGGTGATGATGGTGGGCCATTTCCTGGTTGGCCTGGAGGTCCTGGAGGTCCTGGCGGTGGAGGTGGATGGTGATGACCGAATAAATCGCCCACCAAGTCTCTTTTTTCGCTGGCAGTACCATTAACCATTTTATTCATCCAAGGGTTACCTGGTGGGCCCGGTGGAGGTGATGGGCGATTTCCAGGAGGACCTGGAGGAGGAGGAGGAGGAGGAGGAGGAGGCCCATAACCTGGTTGGCCTGGAGGAGCTGGTGGGCCTGGAGGTGGTGGTTGTGGATGATGATGATGTCCGAATAAATCTCCCATTAAATCTTTTTGTTGAATATCGGTAGAATTAATTTTTTGAATATCTCTTTTTTCACCAATTGAGGTACTATTAGCTATTTTTTCCATCCATGGGTTGCCTGGAGGCCCAGGTGGAGGCCCAGGTGGACCATAGCCTGGAGGGCCTGATGGAGGACCATAACCTGGAGGGCCTGATGGTGGACCATAACCTGGAGGGCCTGATGGAGGAGGTGGAGGAGGCGGAGGATGGTGATGACCAAATAAATCGCCCATGATATCTTTTTGTTGAATAGCTGTAGAATTGGATGATTGAGAATCTTGGAATTCTTTCACTGGAGCAGCGGTGGCAGCAGAAGCAAAAAGAATCGAGGAAATGATAGCAGCCGAAAACTTCATTGTGATGTTACTTCTTTTGCTATTGTGTTTTGTTGGATGATTAAAATGAAAGTAAGTAATTGGAAACTATCGATGGTTTCATGATTCTTTTATAGTAATTTTTTTCCCCGCTCATCCATAAAGTGATAGTAGTTGCAGTTTTGATGAGGCATCTGGTTTTGAGGCTATTTTTTTTTTTTTTTGAAGCCATGATCTTGTTTTCTTGCATAATTTACGATTCAGTATGTATCTATTGGGTTTTCAAAGCACTTATCATCATTGTATAACCCCCTGAAAATTATCGAGATGGTGTCTGTTGGGACTTATTGATATATATTTGATTTTGATCTGATTTATCTATATTTCCTATAGCTTTGCTAAAATATAATGATATCTTTGGTGTATTCTTCTTATTGAATTGATCGTAATTTTTCCTGCATGTTGAAGCCGCAAAATTCTGCAGTAGGCTTATTAGTAGAGAAAACAAAAAGGCTTTTTTCTTTTCTTTTATTACTATAGTTATTGAAATAAGCTCCACAAGTGGTGTCAATTTTTTGATCTATTAATAACCGAAGTATCCAATTATCTTGGCTTTTCACCAGTACTGTTGTGTGGCATACTGATGCAGCATCATTCTTGCGGGAAGGCAGCGCCGATAATGCAATCCAAAGATGAGGAGAGAAATATCTATGAAGCCATTTTTAGATTCTAACAACTGTGCAGGGGAGAGGAAATCAAAAAAAAATGGAAAAAAAAAAAAAGAACGACCTTCTAAGCCACTACTAAACATGTTAATGATCTATTAATTTGTAAATTGTGGGTGCGTTGGGTATGGGTTGAAATAACGGTCCAGGGCCCACAGCATATACCCTTTTATTAACACAGAGATAATCATCGTGGAAAAGAATGATATTATAGAGGGGTTAGACTCTATGTAAGGGTAACGAATGGAAAAGATTCTATTTATATAACGGCCGAATAAGGCATTTTCTAATGAATGAACATTGTTACCACACTTCAGAGGAAATTGCGAAAGGTATTCAATTAATCTATGGCCTCCAAATATTGACGGAGATCTAAAAGTATCTTATGAATGATGGATTGATATTTGCTATCATTTATTATTGTTGATAAGCTAGTAGAAATTGTTAAAATATAATATAGATATGGGTATTTGGTAGCGGAAATGTCGTTGATACCAATTGATCAATGGCAATTACTGTTTCAAGCTTAGCATGATCCCCCCTCTCATCAATATAAAGGTATTTGCATTTATGATATAATAAAAATCATCTTACTAAGAAGATATGAGAGCACGACAATCATAAATATAATAGTCACTCTCTCCCTCACTCACCGAAGAAGCAGAAGGTTGGTCAATTTAATCCACATAGAAAGTTTTGGGGTGCAGTACTGTATATATGTTACCTTTAGTCATGTATAAAGAAGAATTAAGACCATTACATATAGCAATCTAGTTTGAAACTACTTAAATTATGTGATCTCTGATTATGTGTATTAATACCATTAATATTCATAAATCGGCATCCTGCTACTCTTCTTCTAAACCCACCATGGACTTCGAAGTTGAAGTTATCTCCAAAGACACCGTTAACCAGGCCAACTCTAACAAAGTTGCAACTCACCCAGTCAACGACCTCTTTAAGTGACTCAAGCCATCATTGCAACTACTACTACTAATATTGTTAGAATTTATAGTCCCGCTTGTTAGAATTCTACAGGTCTGCAGCGTGCTTCAATATGTATAAAGACGAAACAAACGTACTCACGTATGATAACAAAAACTTTATACAAAAAAAAATAAATATAAGGACAGTAGTAAGGACAAACAGCACGACACCTAGAAACCTTAAAGCAATGGTGGCAATTTGGTTGATAATTGGGGCAATAATGTAATATTAGTGAGGAGAACGGTTAGGAGAGTATCATCCTCATGAGTTAAGGTTGCTATTATCACGATGATTTTGTTGAGGTTGTTGAATGTATATTATTTTAGGAACATGTCTTGAATTTAATGCTATGGGTGTAGATGAACAGAGAGATCGAAAAAGATGAAGAGATGAATATTGAAGAAATGGAGGAGAAAATAGAATACAGAGGATCCTATAGACAATATAGACAAGCTGTCAAACAAAGATTTTGGCAAGTATAAGGAATTCCTTTAAAAAGCTTTCATCAATGTAAAAGCTAAAGCAACGACAATCTATAACTTTGTCACAAAGGTAGTATTGAATTAAAGGTCGGAACTCCAGCGGCCATATCCAATCACTTCTACGGTTTTGTAAATTCAAAAGATCAAAATTGGGCAAGAAAGAACAATTGACTCCAAGAGTGAAAGAAGCCACAGAAAATATTGTTCTTGAAAGTAATGAGAGATTCTACAGACATGCTGCTAGGTATGCTGATCTGTGTTTAGGGCAGCAGCTCTTTTGAAAACAAATAAATAAATTAATGAAAATATAACTATAAAGGAAATTGCATAAGTAAATACCCAAGCAAAGAGCTCAAAAACAAATTGGTGAAGAACTAAGGGAAGGAAAGCGGATGTAACCGCTCAAATATTTTGGTTGGTTGCGTTGTTGCCTGTGAAATAGTTGATGGAGAGATATATTTGTGCCAACAGCAGCAAAGATCCAACTATTAGTAATAAAATAACGGCATGGGACATTTGTACCAGCGTGCTTCGGTTTTCCCTTACGAATTTGAGTTTGCATCACGCAGAAAGTTGCATATCCCATACAAAATCGGGTTTTTCCCCCCTCCAACAAAAATTCCTTAAAGTTTGTTCCCCGCAACCACCGTGAACAATAAATTATACATCATTCATTCATCACCTTGCCTCCCTCACCTTACCCAACTCACTAGAAGGAAAGCACAACAATGTTTGCAAAGACCATTTCCACCACAGCTTTCCAAAAAACAATCAACCGTCAATTCATCAGAACCATGGTGAACGCCAAGGCTATTGTCTACTCGAACTATGGGATCCCTTCAGAAGAAATAAAGGTTCACAAGTACACCATTGACTCCCCAACTGCAGACGGGGTGGTGTTGAAAACTTTGGCCCATCCAATCAATCCCTCAGACATTAATCAAATCGAAGGGGTTTATCCATCTAGACCGCAATTGGCAGAGATTTTGGGGTCTGAAATCCCTATTGCCGTTGCCGGTAATGAAGCATTATCCAAGGTGGTGGAAGTTGGTCCAGACGTCAAGGATTTGAAAGTCGGGGACTGGGTCATTCCTAGTTTCCCAAACTACGGTACTTGGAGATCACACTGTTCCGGAAAAGAATCAGATTACATCAAAATCGGTAGCCCTGAAGGCAATTTGACCAAGAATGCCGCTGCCTGTTTATCCGTCAACACTTGTACTGCTTACGAGATGTTGACCACCATCACTAAGTTAGAACCTGGTGATTGGTTCGTGCAAAACGGTGGTACTTCTTCTGTCGGGAGATTTGCGGTGCAAATTGCTAAAATCCTTGGGTATAACTCTATCAGCGTCGTCAGGGACCGTCCAAACATCGAAGAAGTGAAACAGGAATTACAAGCGCTTGGGGCCACCCACGTCATTACCGAAGAACAATGTGGATCTCGTCAATTTTTGAAAACCATTAAGCAATGGATCGGCAACGGTCAAGTGAAATTGGCGTTGAACTGTGTTGGGGGTGAATCTTCTTCTAATCTTGCGAGGAAATTGTCTCCAGATGGATTCTTTGTGACTTATGGGGGTATGTCCAAGAGGCCGGTTACTTTCCCAACCTCATTATTTATTTTCAAAAATTTGACTGCCAAGGGTTATTGGATCACCAAGAATAACTTCAAGGACTTGGATCAAAAGAAGCATGTGGTTAAGACCGTTTTGGAATACTTCCGTGACCAAAAGTTGGTTGCGGCAACTGCTGAGGAAACTGAAATTGACTGGGAAGCTTTAGGTGATGCGGAAGTTTTGAAATTCTATCAAGATTCCTTGCAAAGATCAAAGTCTAGGAAACAATTGATTGTCTCTAAGGACTGATTCTGTGTGCTTATTAACAAGTTCTTCTTTTTTTTTTTTTTGAATTTGCTTATATATTCGTTGCATTCTGATCTGTGCTTCAAAATAGAAAAATTTAGTAAGAAAGTATTCCAATAATGATAAATAAATAAATAAATAAATAAATAAATAAATAAATAAATAAATAAATAAATAAATAAATAAATAAATAAATAAATAAATAAATAAATAAATAAATAAATAAATAAATAAATAAATAAATAAATAAATAAATAAATAAATAAATAAATAAATAAATAAATAAATAAATAAATAAATAAATAAATAAATATATGTTGTGATGTGTTTTAGAGAGAGAACTGAGTGTTTGTACCACCACCGCGGATGCTAAAAAAAAATGTGCCAAAAAACTAAAATATGGGAAATCTCAGATCAAACAACCAAAACAAAAACGTTACCTGTTCCCAAACAACCTAATAATAAATTATCAACGGTGTTTTCAATGTCCAAGTTTTTTGGTCTCCAGGCCCTTGATTCACGGCTTGGGCCTCCTCAAGATCAGGCGAAGCTCAAACGGATCATTGCATCAGTACCTCCGAAATCTCGATGGTCGACCCTCGAATTCAAATTCTATATCGCGGTATTCATAATAGTTGTCCCATTGATGTTGAAACAAGGGATCGAGATCTCATTGTCGTCGCACCCAAATTACCCAAAATACTCTCATTTGCTCTCTGATGGATGGATATTTGGTAGAAAAGTCGATAACAGTGACGTTCAGTACAGCTTCTTCCGAAACAATTTCTTCTTATTGGTGGTATTGATGATCTCCCATGTCTTGATCAAACTGGGGTGTTATAAATTCTTTAAAATTGAAAAATTGACCTTCGATATGGTGTTTGGGGTAATTTTTTTGGCATTGGCTCACGGAATGAACTCTTTAAAAATCTTGATCCATATAGTCATTTGTTATTTCGCGGTACGGTTGGCAATTTCCATGGACAAGAAACATTCTGGCGATTTGAATTACAATGAAAAATTCTATAGATGTGGTGCGATCTCTTTTATATGGGTGTATGGGATTGCTGCATTATACATCAATGATAGATACAGAGATTTCCAACTTTTCGGCGCTATTAGCCCGAGTCTTGGGGGATTAGACAAGATTAGAGGAATCATTCATAGATGGGACATTTTTTACAATTTCACTCTATTAAGAACCCTCAGTTATAATATGGATTATATTTGGAGGTATTATGATTTGAAGAACAATATTCGCGACAGTACTGGGATTCAGCTCAAAGAGCTTGAATTATCAAAGAAAAGAACCATAAGCCAAGAGGAATTGAATTTGGTCAATGAATCCAATGAAATCGGCGCTCAAAAATCATATGGCGGTGATGCTGGTTTAAACAGTGATTTAACCGATAGGGAACGTCAGGCATACCCATGGAGCATTTATGATTACAATTTTGGTAACCATTTGGCATACGTCCTATATACCCCATTATTTATTGCTGGTCCTATTCTAACTTTTAACGATTATTTATACCAATGTCGCCATACCTTATCGTCGATTAATTTCGAAAGATCGGTAGGATATGCCCTTCGTTTTATCACCGACTTATTAACCATGGAATTTATGCTACATTTCATGTACGTCGTGGCTATCGCCAAAGTCAAATTATACGAAGGTTACACCCCTTTCCAAATATCAATGATTGGTTTATTAAACTTGAACGTCATCTGGCTCAAACTCTTGATTCCTTGGAGATTCTTTAGACTTTGGGCGTTATTAGATAACATGGACCCTCCAGAAAATATGATTCGTTGTGTCGATAATAACTATAGTGCCATGGCATTCTGGAGAGCGTGGCACAGATCTTACAATAAATGGGTGACCCGTTATATTTATATTCCATTAGGAGGATCTAAAAACCGAGTGTTTACCTCGTTGGCGGTGTTCAGTTTTGTGGCAGTGTGGCATGACATTGAATTCAAGTTGCTTATTTGGGGATGGTTAATTGTATTATTCTTAGTCCCGGAAATTTTCTTGTCTAGTTACTTCCGCAAGTTCAATGATCAACCTTGGTATAGACACGTTTGTGGTATGGGATCAGTAGTGAACATTTGGTTGATGATGATTGCTAATATTTATGGATTTTGTCTTGGTCATGATGGGACCGTAGGATTATTGAAAAATATGTTAGGTACGTTCGATGGAGGGTTGTTCTTCATCACTTGCTCTGGGTGCTTATTCGTGGGGGTCCAGGTGATGTATGAATCAAGAGATTCCGAGAAAAGAAGGGGTATTGATCTCAGATGTTAAAAAAAAAAATTGGTGTGTCTCCATGATGATTATTTTTAATTTGTTATTTTTTTTTTTTTTTTTTCCATTTCTATGTAAACTTCTTCTTTTGGATGGTCATGGCATAATTTAGCATTCTTTCAAACGTTCTACATTACGTAAACTTCTATCGAAACAAATATAATACACTATATACACACAATTAAAAAGAGAAGCCCTCTTTCAATTTTCACTATCAATTGGCCTTTTGGGATCGCAAATTTCCTTGTTCAAATCTCACTAATCTGTATAATGCAAATATCGTTGCTGCCGTTACCCCTTCGGTTCTTCTTGCTTGACCAATAGTTTCTGGTTGAATGGTGTTCAATGCTTCTGTGGCCTCGAACCCCAAACTCAAGGATGAATAATCATAATTTTGTGGCAATAGCAAGCTTTCATCGGCATTAAAAGCTTTCAAGTATGGATCTTGGCGGTTCAAGCCGGTAGAGTATTTGCCTCTTACCGTTACTTTGTCGAGAATTCTTTTGGGGATATCATTAATTACTTCCAGGAATTCTGTCGGGGTCTTATTGTTGTTTAATATCTCTATTACTTTTTCACTAGTTACATCTTTGGCCAACATCATTTTGAGCCCACTGACCCCGTGGGGGCCAAGCTTGGCCCATGGGAAATATTGTAACCAGACACTCAGCGGTAATTTTGTTGCTTGGAGTTTTGATATAAGTTGTGATTGGAGGAATTTGTCATTCAAGTACCGGCTCCAACGCTCATCGCTCACCACCCCAATTTGTCTGCCAATTTCCGTCAACCGATCATCGGCATTATCACATCTCACGCTCAATCGGAATTCTGAACGAGAGGTAAACATTCGGTACGGTTCCGTCACCCCTTTGGTGGTCAAATCATCGATCACCACCCCGATAAACGCTTGAGATCGGGAGATTCTTAATGGATCTTTACCAAAATAACTCAACCCGGCATTGATCCCTGCGACGGCCCCTTGGGCCGCCGCTTCTTCATAACCGGTGGTCCCGTTGATTTGCCCTGCTAAGTATAATCCGGTGACGAACTTGGTCTCCAAAGTTTGTCGTAACTGAGTTGGGTTCACGTAATCATATTCCACCCCGTAACCAGGCTGTAACATCTCGGCGTTCTCCAACCCCGGTAACAACTTCATCATTTGTTCTTGGATCTCTTCTGGCATGGTATTGGAGATCCCATTAGGGTATATCACGTCGGAATCGAGCCCTTCTGGTTCCAACCAAATGATATGCTGATCCTTATCGGGGAATTTCTTGAGCTTGGCCTCGAACGACGGACAATATCTTGGGCCTTTAATATCTTCACGAATGTGGATTGATCTATGAAGGTTTTTTTTCACCAAATCATGGACTGCCTGATTAGTTTTTGTTTGATAACACAATATTTGGTTATCGTTACCAATCGGTACCGAATCATTCATATAGCTCATTGGCTGAGCAGGGTTATCGAACCCTTGTGGAGTCACTTTGGAATAATCTATCCCTTTCCCAGATATTCTTGGTGGAGTACCGGTTTTCAATCTTCCGAGTTTGAACCCGGCATCTTTCAAAGTTCTACTGATCCCATAAGTCGGTTTCTCACCAATTCTTCCTGCAGGAGTAGCTTTCATACCAATGTGGATTTCTCCACTGAGGAAGGTTCCGGTAGTAATCACGACTTTTGAAGTTTTAATAATTCTTCCGTCCTCCAAGATCACCCCTTTGACACTTCCGTGGTTGTTATTGGCATCATCATGCTGGTCAATGATCACGTCCTCTACGCTTCCTTCCAACACTGACAAATTCGGATAGCTCCCAATAATTTGTTGCATCGCTTTCAAATATAATTTTCTATCGATTTGGGCTCTTGGGCCCCAAACCGCCGCGCCTCGCGAGGCGTTTAATAATTTGTAATGGATCCCTGCTTCATCGGTGACTCTGGCGGCTACCCCGTCCAACGCATCGATTTCTCGAAGCAAAGTACCTTTACCCACCCCACCAAGGGCAGGATTACAAGAGCAAGTCCCAATCTTATCGAATTTCGGGGTGATTAACGTAGTGGAGGCCCCAGTTCTTGCGGATCCGGTGGCCGCTTCACAACCAGCATGTCCCCCACCAATCACCACCACCGGGGTATCTGGTAATGTCTTAAGGATCTCCTTGTGGTACGCGGTCAAGGAGATCGATCTTCTTGAAAGTCCCACTCTTGCCAGAGCTTTCCAAGCAGTTGTTATTTTCAACATGTTGGGTATTGTAAAGGATGGCCAAAAAAAGCGTTCCAAGATGATGGAGAAATCAAATTTTTGATATAAAAATTTATTTTTCTTTTTGATGAAATAGGGGGTATCACCCTGCTTTATTGACAGATTAATCTGCAAAAGACTCTTAACTTCATAAATTTGTTTATTTATTCAGAAATATTCACACACACACACACACACACACACACACATACTCTCTCTCTCTCTCTCTCTTGCATTATTTAGATTTGGTAAAGTAGTTTATTCTCAGATCAAATTATCAATTATAATCAGAGCGTGGCGAGAAAGGACCAAAGTTGTGCGTTATTTCAATAAATTGGTTAGTGTGTAATAATGTACAGATTCCCTATAATTGAAACCAAACAGAGATCGTCTTCTGAGTATATGAGCCAGCTGAAGGGAATTCTTTTTGTAGTAACCTGGTATCGATAAAGAGAAAGTGATATTTATTGACTTAACTTCTTGTAAATAAGCGGGTGGACGATAATCACTGCCTTAGTATCAATTAGCAGTGTATCTATCATCGATTATGTCGAACTTCTACAAAATAGTTAATCGTGATTAATGGCAAGTAAAATATAGACACCAGTCACAGGATATGATATATCAAAGCTTTTATTAGGTCGAATAAATGATATCTCAAAGCATGTATACTTGACATCGAATAAAAGATGTGTCAAATCTGCTGCCAGACATGGCTGATACGTTGTGATGTAGAAATCATTCATTTCTAATTGTTGTTTCCTTTAAATTGAAAGAAAGAAAGAGAAAAAAAAAAATTGAATAAAATACTTCCCTCTCATATACAATCCGTTGGAAAAGAGTACTCAATGAGGAAGAGTGACCCACCAATATATATAATATACTTGATATTATATATATTCCAACCCCTAGAAGATCTTTGAGGAAATGGTAGACAAATCCCCAACAGAGAAGTCTTCTAGACACTACTTCTTTCAAAGAGACACTGGCTGTCGTGAAATATATATATATACAGAAAGAATACTGAATACCGAACACAGAACGTACAATGTGGAATACCCCAAGGCTCACTACTCAGCCGAACTTCAGTCCCGTTGTTTTACAATAAATAATATTTATTGCATTCGACGCCTTCGATAAACCCCACGAAGTCCTCTTCATTTTGGTCAATACCCCTCGTTGTCACAAAAATAGATGGTAGGTGGGAATGGGAAGTAAATATAACTCTCGAGATTGCTATTACCCGCCGCACCGCCCTCCATCACCCCGATACTAGGAAATTCCCGCGTCTGCTTGAGGAAGAGCCACAAGGTGGTTGGAAAGGCCTGCTCGAATGAACAGAACCGTGATTACGATAATTCTAATTCCAATATAAACAAACATCTCATATATAAAAACATCCAATAGATTGTAGAACAGAATAATGTCGATTATTGTAACATCGAGGGGGGGGCTACGCGAGAGTAAGTGCGGGTAATATCAATATCGATATTTCTGTTATCAATATTCAATAAATCATATATAGAGGTTCAATAATGCAGAAGGAACTAGACGACAAGTGGTAACAATACCTTCAGTCTCTCAAGATAAGTAGTCATCAGTAAGAGGATTAAACCTCGCAAGCAAAAAAAAAAAAAACACAGAGTATGTACCGTATGCGTATAGTAGTATTCTTAGGATTATGAGTTCAATTGTTGGGGTGAATAGTTCTTCGTCGTCCAAGAATTGTCATATGCGGTCTCTTACTGCTTTACGTGGCTTGGTAATGTCTACCCATTTTCTTGGTAGTAACTTAGTTATAATATCATATATATATATATTTCACGACAGCCAGTGTCTCTTTGAAAAAAGTAGGGTCTAGAAGACTTCTCTGTTGGGGATTTGTCTACCATTTCCTCAAAGATCTTCTAGGGGTTGGAATATATATAATATCAAGTATATTATATATATTGGTGGTCACTCTTCCTCATTGAGAACTCTTTCCCAACGGATTGTTGTATACGAGAGGGCAGTAAGTTTCAATATTCTGACAGAAGTTTTAGAGATATCTTCTTTATATATTTGATCTCCAGGGGAAATCTTTGAGCTGATCAGAGCTCACGTATCTAATAGAACTCTGGACCATCATCATTAGTTTGGGAACAACCCCCATCTATCATTCAGCATATAGTAACTTTGAATACCCCGGTAAAAATCGTTATATTGAAACAACAAAAAAAAAAAAAGAAATACATTATGGTTACAATCACTCAGTACCCCCCTAAAGCTCAAGGCACTGGATCTTCAGAGCAATAATAATATTGGAATTATCACCAACGAGAAGATACGTAGCAGTGATTCAATTTTTTTTTTTTTTTTTTTTTCTGGTGGATGTGATGATACAAGAAACAGAGAGTTTTGACGATTTGCTTATATATGGTGTGTGTGAGTGTATATATGTTGTATAATTTAAATCACAAAACAAGTGATTGATGAAGCAAGAGGATTCTTTTAAAATGGTTGTGAAGGATTTTCTCCGTCAGTGAAATCAGTGGGACGGATGGACTGAAACTATTTCATTAACTTCAAATAAACAAATACAATAGAGAATACATTTCTGTTTTTTTTTTTTTTTTTGATTATTATTATATTGACTATATCCATAGAATGAAACACCAGCAAATCAAAATCCTCCTTTAATGTAATATGCAAAATCAATGACAACTATCAACAATAAAAAGAAAACAATAGAAATAAATAAATCAAGTTTTTTTTTTTTAAAAAAGCATTAAATATCTAAAACCCCACCCATAATCATCATCATAATCTAAGACAAAAGCTTGATATATATAAAATTATTTTGTAAAAACTTTTTTTTTTGTTATGTCATGTTAAATTTAGTAATAACTATCAATGGAATTACTGTTCATAAAGAATCCCCGACGTTGTTATTATTATTATTATTATTATTATTATTATTATTATTAGCAGCCCCGTTTCTCTGTTTATTATCATCTCTTAATCTTTCACTTTGACTTGATCCGAGCATGGCCTTGCTGCTGTCATAAATATTATCATTAGTATTTCCCAAAACCGGCCATTGTTGGGAATTTTGAAAGAAATTGGCATAAGCATCATTACCAAACCCTCCGGAAACCCCATGCAGTGGACCGCCAGTTGGGTTTAAGAATGAAGTATCAAAATCATTCATCATCGCAAAATTACTGCCAAAAGGTTGCGATTTTGAAGCATCAAAGTCAAAGAAGCTGGCCACTCCTGGGTTCACTTGCTGATGCTGGTGCTGGTGCTGCTGTTGTTGTTGTTGTGACATCAAATTGGCAGGAGTGGCGTATTGTTCGGCGTTGTTTCTAAATTGGGCATTTTGACGACTAGTATACCTCGAATTTGGATTTCTGAGTTGAATCGAACTTAATTGCAAATTGTCTAATGGTCCCTCGACAAGACACCCATTTTGACGGAAATGAATCAACAAATGATTCCAAAGAATATTCTTCGATAAAGATCTAGGATTACCAAGGACAATCAACCCATATTTTGCCCGGGTTAACGCAACATTCATACGACGTGGATCACTAAGGAACCCAATACTTTGTTGATCATTGGCACGAACACACGACAAAATAATGAAATCTTTTTCCCGACCTTGGAAAGCATCGACTGATGCTACTTCCACGGTAGAGTATTCTTGTTTACGATCGGCAATTGTCCCGTTCATCGTCAAATATTGTACCACGTACGCACGTTGCCCCTCATACGGAGTGATGATCCCAATTTGATCAGCAGTGATCCCATCTTTGAAAAGTCTGGTCACCAATTTCTCACAATTCATTGCTTCCACTCTGTTCAAATACGAAGTTCCACTAGAGGAGATTTCTTCCTTCCCGTAATTTGCCCAAAACATCATTGGGGTGTTCTTGATTGGCCAAGGGAATTCGTTGGTAATAAGACGATCTTCTACCGTAACCCCGTTTTGTAAAGACCCTTCATAAAACATATTACTTGGGAACTCACTAAGACAAGGATTCATACGGTATTGGACTTCCAAACGAATAGGAATATGGCCAATGAGGACCAATCTTTCAAATAGCGATTGTTTCAACCCTGCTTTAGCCGCTTTTTTCTCGAGAATCACTGGACCTAATTGTTGATGATCGCCAACAAGCACCACTTGACGTGCCCCTTTAACTATTGGAATAATACATTCAGGTTCACTAGATTGGGTAGATTCATCGATTAAAACCACTGGGAAGGTGAATCTATCAAGACGCTTGTCACCGGCCCCAACACAAGTGGTACAGATAACATTGGCTTTCTTTAATTGATCGGCTTCAAATCTTCGAAGAAGTCTCATGTATTTCCGGTTATCTTCCAGACTCAACTCTCCCAATTCCTCTTTAAGTTTCATCAATTTTTTCAATTCACCGGTGGCCTTATTTTTGGTCAAGGTATGCAAAGATAATTCATCGGTAGAGCTTTCGACATCTTCACGGCTTTTGGCAGTGATACGAATAACCTTCAATCCAAGCGAGTTCAATTTAGATGCAAGATGATCGACAGCAACGTTAGATGGGGCACAAACGAGAATTCTTTGTTTGGTGATCTTAGACAAATGGTAAACGATGGTGGCGGAAGTCACAGTTTTCCCAGTACCTGGAGGACCTTGGATTAATGAGAGTGGTCTAGTCAACACATTTTTAATGGCGTTGGTTTGCGAGGTATTTAATTTCGCGAAATTCTTTATCGACAAATCTTCTGGCAAATTGATTTGGAATTCAATTGGGGAGATTTCGTGACCCAAAATTGTATGATAAATGAATGGGGATACCGAGTTTTCATTGACGGCGAATTCTTTCAAATTATGTTGCATTCTATCATAAGTGATTCCTTTCCATACGAATTCCGCGGTGAAATCTTCATTAAAATCGGTTGGAGGGGGTTTTTTCGATGGCACTAATTCAAGGGTGAATTCTTCGGAATGGGAGCTTGGAAGTCTAACGATGAACCCGGTGGATTCCCAAGGTGGGTGATCGGAAACGTTGTAACGTAAAATCATTTCGTCTCCCACCGCGACCTTCAATTCATTGGTTTCAAACGTCGATAGCACAAAAGATGCTAAGTGACGATTACTTAAACTGAGTGACCATCTAACAGAAATATGTTCTAACGCTTGCGATTCCTTCAATTGTTTATCATATTCTGCTTCGAGTTCAATTAATGGGGAGAAAGATTTTTGATATTCGTAGGCATCGGTATAACGCAACAAGATCGGTTCGATTTTTTCTTCTTCAATGTTTTTCTTATCGACATCATCGATGGTGGCGTTACGGTTTAACCGCCATTGGGTTTCTAATTTGGAGATTTGGGTTTGGGTGATTTCTCTGGCATCCAACAATTCTTCTTCGGATGGTGGGGCGGCAAGCCAGGTTAAGAATTGACGGTTTTCAATCAATGATTCCCATTTACTGGTATCCCATTCGTTGCTTTGTTGTTGGGCACATGGCAATCGACACAACATCACCACGACCGTGTCTTCCTTGGCGGTGACAAACCCTAATAGGAAAACGTTTCTCAGACCACAACTATAACACTCGAGCAGAGTATCGCCTAAATCTGAATCCGGATGTAACGACACCGAATTATGACGCGCCATCACTAAATGGGTGATGATATGGGACCCACTGGTGGAGTTCTTACTATTACAAAACCATTTATCACAAGTATTACATTTCACCACTGACGAAGGGTTATGGATCCCACAGTAGGCACAGGCGTGGGGTGGTAAAGGTTCAGTGATAGTAGGAGTATGGTCCTTTGAGTTGTCGTGGATTGACAATTCATTGAGGGCACCATCGAGAATTTCAGCATCGTCAACAGAAAGATGGACATGGTGTTCGTGATCATCGATGTCATGATCCGGTGCCGCGAAGCTGGAATTGGGGATATAATCACTATTGATACTCTCTGTGTCACTCATTAGAAATCAAAGTGAATGTTTATATATCCTTTTATAAAAGCTAGGGGGTGATGATATATCTTGTATACTGGGGCCTAGATAGGGATAGATTATAGTGACTGATTCCAAAGAGGTGGAAAAAACTTTTTTTTTGCCATGAAAAAAAAAAAAAAAAAAAAGAAAATCAAACAACTATTGTCACGTGTATGGTTTATTTTTTTTTGTTTTTTACAATTGTAAAGGAGAATAGAGGACAAACAACAGCCTCAGAGAACTCTGGTGCTATCTAAAATGACGTTGTAAGTTAGATAGATAGATCGATCTCATCAACCAAATTAGGATTATGTAAAAGATGATAACAGGTTTCCTAAGGGATCTAGCTGGATTGGATATTACCGGTAATGGTGAGCTATCCCATTGGAATTACTGCAATCGTTTGATAACCAAGGTGAAGACTTAATTATTTATTGATCATCCTGTGCTAAAGGAGTGTTTCATTTTCGCCTCAGAATAGATATGGGATATACATAACATGGATTAGTCCAAATGATTGAAGACAGACAAATAGGAAAAAAGCCCCGCCATTCTGTAGTTATCGAATTATATTCCCCCCGGCCATTTAATGGAATTTAATTTTCCCCTAATGGAATATATATTAATTAATTAACAAAGAGACTGCACTTTCTTGTGATTGTGCAAAAAAGAAAAAGAAAAAGAAAAAGAGAAAGAAAATCCTCGGTGTTTGCGACGTCTGTTATCCTCCCGAACATTCCAGCGGTTAATTCTTTACCCAAATCCAAACCGAGATGACCCCCACCCTCGGATGGTCGGTCGGGCAAATACGTGTGTCCCGGAAGGTTTGAACCATCATCATTTGGAAAAAAAAAAAAAAAAGAACAAAAAAAAACGGTTGGTTGCGTGTGTGTGTGTGTGCGCTGTGGTCACGATACCGCAGTGACATACATACGCCCATCGGCACCGATTTCGTGGTGGTGGCGGTGGTGATGATGATGACGATGATGAAATATTATTACTCATGGGAAATTGACGTATTATTATTATACAGTTTCCACCCGAGTGAATGGAAAATCAAGATTAAAAACCCAAGGAAAAGGTGACCATTACATGCACATATAATTCGGCGGACTGAATAATGAACCTTCTACTACCAGAATAACTCAAACGATATTGTATCAAGGGGGGGTGGTGGAAGAAAACTCTCAATACCACAACAAGCTTGCCCATGATTATGTAGACCCCAATTGAGTGGCGACCTCCTCCTGCAGCCGTGCGAGCCAGCATGCCTCTGAGCGGGGCAGAAGTTGCTCGCAAGGTGGGGCAAAAAGGGGTGTCCCACCAATAATGCAATTCCCGAAACAAAAACCGGATGGTTTGAAAACTCCTGATGATGGTCAATTAATGGCCTTTCTTATTGCAAACAACCAGCACCCCCCGCTATTGTTAAGAGCTTGTTTTTATTTTTATTTTATTTTTCCATCTGTAAATAGATAATCCGAGAGGTGGCTGTAATCAATAGCAGTGAGCTATTACTAATCTAATGTTTCTCGGCTACAGAAATCGGAAGGTTAACTTTAGCCATTACTCATTGATATACAGTACTAACTACCGTACAGAAAACTCACTAACTAGGGTGTCTTAGTATTGCTATTCATGAGTGATTTTTTTTTTTTGCTTGGATATATGATGTGTTGCTTCCTATTGTTTGGACATAAATGGTCAGGATGCACGTGTGTTCATCTTGCTCATTCTTTTTTTTTTTTTTTGTTATTATTATTGTTCCCGGAGATAGCCCCAAGGACGATATATGGCATGAACGGCCTATATAATATATATATATATATATATATTCGTAATAAAGGGAATTACCAAAGTTATTAGGGGTAATGATTGGTCAAGTGTCTTGTTGTCTGTCGGACCCGATCGATATTTCGTTGCATGTGTCAAATGGGAAGCAGAAAAAAAAGCATCAACTGATTGCCAGCGGAAAGATTATTCCATCACAAGGTACACCCACCTATTGTGAGAGAAATATCTGTATGTGGTGTGTATATACGTAAGGTGTGTAATAAAAATAAATGACAAGATACTCGTTTGCTCTCCACTGAGGCTAGCACCGCCAAAAAACTCGGAGTTGTTGTTAGTGAGACAGCAAAAAAAAAAATACCTCATAAAATCAGCAGTCTGAGTTAGCCCATCATCTCACGGCAATTTTTCATTATCATAGCACCACCAATCGCTCTGGATTGCAAAAAAAAAAAAAAAAAATTAATGATAAATGGAAAGTAAAAGTAAAAGATAAATAAGTTTTGCCGCTTGTCGAGAAAAAATTCTTGTTTTTCAAATCTAAATCCAATTTTCATATAAAGCCTTTCTATTATTATTAATTATTACTACAACTATTCTTGTCGCTAACCCCTCCATCCCGAATCGCCTTGGTCTCCGAGGTCTTTGATCTACCCGATAGAGCTATATTATTAATACCGGCCACACTAGATATACCATCACTATAGTAGATCTATAATTACCGGATAGACCTGTATATTATAACAATAATCTATTCTGGTGTAGTTGATTGGCAGGATTTTTATAGCCGAATAGGATATTTTATTTATTCTACTACGCGAAAAAAAAAAAAATTAGTGTTGGTGTGTACCCAAATATTCTATTAACATTTGCATATGAATATTCAAGCGTAAATTTAGTGTTCTTTATCCTATTATCCAAACCTCTGGTAAGACAAGATAATTCATTCTTGTCACCAATATCCAAATCACTGGTAATACACCTTGTAAACTCAAAATAATACTACAAATTGGAAACCCACAATAATGCCACCATTAGATATCTATCCATATCCTACAAATTATAAAACATAACAAGAATAAACTAAATAAGATGTATAATATACCGAACCAAACTAAACAATCCACGATAACACCAGAAATAACAGAAACAAAGAAAGAAAAAATGCAATAACAAAACAAAACAGAAACAAATCAAAAAAATAAAATCAAATCAAATCAAATGATCTGAGCACCCAAAACCGGGAATATTAGTATAGTACAACGTAAAAATATAAATGGATGAATAAGAAAAAAAAAAAAACCGTCAATCTGTGTGATTAAACACACAATTAATATTGTTGCCTTTTTTTTTTTTTTGTCTCTGGGTAATAATAATAATATAGCTGAGAAAATCAGCATTGTAGTAATATAAAGTTCACTTTTTGTAAGAGAACAACGAATTGTTAGAATGATGATATTGTTTGCCAGCGGCAAATGAAAACTCGTAATCAATCAACGCATCAATGCCTTCAAAATTGTCAACCACTTTAGGATTAATGTTGTTGTTGGATTGGAACGGTTTATGAAGATGATGCTGGATCTGGAACTTTGGCTTAATATTAATACAAATTCCAAACTTGTTACTAGTGAGTCTCTTCTGATTCTTGTTGTTGATAGCGCCAGTGATACAATTATCAAGAAGAGATTCGATTGACGCCGATGAGCTAGAGCTGGTACGAGAGATTTCGTTGCTAGCAACATCTGACGAGGATGAAATCGAAGATAATGATGCAGTACTAGTTGAACTAATGTTTGATGATAACCGTTTTGATGGAGATGTTGTTGTTGATGATGATGATGAATTGGTATTGTATGATAAACAATCGTATGATCGTTTTGTAGAAGCTGATGTGATAGAACAGCAACTCGAGCTTGGATAACTATCGTCACCAGTTGTACAAGAAGAAGAAGAAGACGTAGTGAAAATTTCACACCGACTTAATGGACCTTCTTTAGTGAAAGATTTGCAATTGCCCACCAAAGTACGAACAATCGGCAAGTTATTAGTACTTCTTTTGTATGGATTCTTCACCAACAAGTAATTTGTCAAAATGAAAAACAATTCTTTTGAGATTGGCAAGATCTTGAGCAAGATTTCCGGTTTATTCAAATAGATCCCAAAAGTTTCATCCAGTACCAGGGCCTTCATCCATGGGTTTCTAATACAGGTCAAATTGATCAAAATGATCCCAAGCGACCACAAATCGCCGGCCGCGGTGGGATAATAATTATGATGTTGATGAACTGTGCCCAATAGTCTTTCCGGAGCCATATAATACGAAGATCCGCAACAAAGCGAGTCGGCAACGTACTCGCTTTGCACGGCAAGCCCAAAGTCGGTGATGGCAATCTTGGAATAATCTTCGCTGATCAAAATGTTTTCTGGTTTGATATCACAATGGTATACTTTCAATTCATGGCAATATCTAATGACGGATAATAATTGGAGGAAGATCGATTTGATCAAAGTTGGATTCGTTTGGAATACTTTTTCATCGACAATGGTGCCGAACAAATCGCCATGCGGGTAGTAATCCATGAGAATAAACAAGTATTCTTTGTAATGATAAACTTTGTGGATGGTGACGACATTAGGATGGTCGTTAACTTTTAAATGGATCGAGATTTCCTTGAGGTAATGGTAATTGTGACCAACTTGTTTGATGGTTTGGAGGTTGAGCTCGGCAATCTGCGAGCACAAATGAGGCTTGGATAATAGGGCGTTGATGTTTTCTTCGAGCTGGATGCTTGGCTTGTTATTTACCTTGCCGTTGTTGTTATAACTCTTGTTGTTTGTGAGCTTTGAAATGACTTTGAGGGCATATTTTTTGTGGGTCAAGCAGTCTTCCACAAGATATACTAAGCCGTAGGCGCCTGAGCCGATTTTCTTTAGTAATCTGAGGTTGTCAGTGAGGAGCATTTAGTAAATGGTAATTAATGATAAATATAATATAGTATAATATAATATAATATAATATAATAATGTGGTATGGAGACAGAAATGAAAAGGGTTGAAATGTGAAAATGTTGAAAACGCAACTATAAAAAATTAGCGGTATATATATATATATATGAATGAATGGTATCAAGAGACTTTGGTGCATAAAAAAAAAAGCTGAGTGAGTGGTTGACAGGATATCATCTGAGTAACACACCCACCCACCGGCATGCTGCGCATACACACAGACAGACACCCCGCTAACTGAATGATTAAATTTTTTTTTTTTTTTTTTCGTTTTCGTTTCTTTTCGCTGTGGTGTTTTCGAGGTTTTGGAGGGTGGGGGGTTTAAACAAAGTCTTTCTGTTCCCCTCGGGTGGGCAAAAAAATATCATCACCGCATTCTTATTGGGGGTAGCGCCTCACCCGTGTGGACTTCCCACCCTCGGATCTGCTGGGGAGGTTTTGGACTTGTGACCGGCCGGTGGGAGTTAAGATGTAAGAGAGAGGGTGGTGTGGTTGCGGGGGTGGGGTGTGCGCACCCGGTGGGTGGGGGGGTTCTTGTTCCCGTTCATCTTCGGAGTATTCCGGGTGGAGGAGAGATTATTTTGTTTGTTTGTTTGTTTGTCTGTGGTGGTGGTGGTGGTGGGGAACCCCCTTCTGTCCACCGGTTGGAACTTTCCTGCTGGTATCTGGTGGGAGAACACTGACAAACAAACAAACAAATAAACATCTTAGGGTGGTTTGTATTATCATCATTGGTGAGAGTGGTGGTGGGTGGTGGTTATTACACTGTCGTAAGCGGCTACATCATAAGAATAAACAATTACAATTACAACTACAATTACAATGAATATATAATGTGGATGGCACTTTTGACCAAAGAGATCATTTGTAATCATCTTTCTTTGGAGATACCGGCATCCTTCACTCAATAGATATTATAGAACATCTAGCTCGAGCTTCTCGTTCTACACACCGTCTCCCCAATTGAATCTGTCCACTAGATAGCAGAATTCAGATCCCCTAGGGCTTTCAAGCCAAAGATACATCAACTCTCCGGCGACGCCCCAGGAACGGTGTGGTGTTTTTTAGTTCAAGAAATCCCAAAAGGAAGAAAACCTTTCGGGAACAAATTTTTTTCTTGTTTTTTATTGCGGGAAAAAAAAAAAAAAAAAAAAATTCTTTCACTTCATAATCACGTGCAAGTCTCGGAGTTTCCTTTAATAACCCGGCTGTTCAACCTATCAACTCGATATTTTGTACTGTCATATTCATTATTAGCATTATTATTACACAGACGACTAACAGAATACCTGACTCCCCACTCAGGAATAATCGTAAATGACTATGCAAGAATATTACAAATAATCATAAATGACTATTCAGCAATTTTGTTTCCTTGCCAAGAGTCATGGTCTGTCATGTCATCTACACTACCACTTCGTAAATACATCCCAACTATTAGCAGCAAAGCAAAAAATCTCTCTTTTTTTGATGTTTTTTTTTCTTCAATTTTCAACATGATTGTTTATATATTTATGGATAATCAAGACTTATGTCCTAATAGGGAAGAAGACAAAAAAAAAAAAAAAACTGTCAGCCAGAGGTCTATTCATACTCTATATACATGCTTTGAAAAAACTACTATCAGCCTCGTTTCTCCACTCATTATCATCCCTATGCCGTTCTTGTAACTGCATTACATACCTACCCCCTAACATACGGTACTGATTGTTTCATCCCCCTTCCATCTGATCTGATTGTCTGATTTATACGAGTTATCTTTTTTTTTTTTTTCAATCACTCTTGGAGTACTTGTGATTCCATACTTGATTAGGTGGATATTCTGTTGGCACTCTCAATTCCAAACTCACTCTCTTCTTAGTTTTTTCAAACTTGCTACCAAACCCAAACAACACTCCACCGTCTTCCACCCCGTGCTTCAAATCTTCCATTGCCGATTGCATCGCTTCAAATTGTTTCGTCAATTTCTCTTCTCTGACTTGTCTCTTTTGCTTTTGTAACATCGCCCAGGCATTATGGACAACTTGATGACGTACCAAGTCCTCATTGGTCAATTTTAAACGAAGTGGTTGTTTTCTAGCAGCCGACATCACACTAAGTTGCCCAACCACACGCTGGGTACCTTGAGACATCGTCAGCTTAGATTTGGTTCTTTTGCCACGAGTAAATTGTGAACTAATGGTACCGGCCATCATCGATGATATGGATGCGCTGGCTGGCATTATTCTTTGTGAAAGGCTAAGCCCTAATCCACTTTGAAGTTTAATAGTATTGGTCAACATTGGTAATCGATATAAAATCACTGGTAGATGTTCCTTGTTTTTTGTTGTACAATAATCAAAGTCAGTTAATGCAGAACAAAAATCAGAAAATTAAATGGTGTATTCTGGAATGAAAAAAAAAGGGTGAATTCCCAAGTCGATCTATTATCTATAATAGCTTAAAACTTATCACTCTGTTAGGTTCTTTAATTTTTTCATCACCAATTTTTTTTTTTTCGCCAGTTTTTTTTTCTTTCTTCATAAAGGCTGCGGTGCGCTTACCCTCACTCCCCCCTCACTCTGTGGAATCTTCACGTGCACAAACAAGCGGGACAATCCGCTGCTGCTGGATGGGTAAAATGAATAGCTGAGCATCGTCATCGGTATATACTTACTATTGTTTGGTTTGTTTTTCCCCCCATCCATCGTAGAGTGTACCATTGATCCATGGCATTGTTTTTGTTTCTTGTTTTTTTTTGGACCATGAATAACTGTTGCTAATTGGAGAAGAATGGTTTGTCGTTGTGTTTATTTTTGTGGTTTACGACGGCAACAAATTAGAGTTTCTTTGACACCACCCACCAATCAGCAAAAAAGAAAAGAAATATTGGTGATGTAAACAATCATGAAAAGTATTAGAAATTTCTAGAAGTTGCGGTCATTTCATTATTATTATTATTTATGTTTATTCTGTAATCATTATTTGGAAATTGTTCATACCTTACTTACGCCCCTCCGAATGACCCTTGGTGGTTATCACTTTCTCCTCGTTTTCCTTATTTCAACTTGTAATCAATATTCCAACTTATTGGCCAAGGTGCTATACAAAATAATTGTCCTTCTCCTATATTGATGATTTCAAGGTTTTCTTTTTCTTTTTTTTTTTTTTTCTTTTTGCTCTTCAAAAGTATGCTGTGGTGATACTATTGTCGGTTAAATGTTCCAAAAAAAATGTAAACAAATATCTTTGGGTTGTTACGTGGGTATAATATGTTATTACATCTTTACATTGTAGGACAATTCGGTGGGGATGCCAATAGAGAAAACCCAAGAAAAGTTCTCATTTTTTTTCGATGTAATGTAATATTTATTCCTCGATATATTTCATTTCTCCCTATCCTTTTTTTTTTATGTCCAGTTCATTGAAGCATAAAATCAAGGCTAGGCAACTGACTAACTAATCTTCTAATCTTTTCATCTTCAGTTTCCTGCGGTTTCTGTTGGAGTCTATTTGTACTGTTATTATTATTATTATTTCTGTAAGTATTCACTGGTTGGTTTCTTCTTGGGTTGTTGATAGACAGTTGATTCATTCCGGTAGTTGGGGTTTGAAAATCCTCAAATTCCCCCCAATCATCATCATCATCATCATCATCATCATCATCCGAATCATTATAATTTTTTAGGACTGGCAAACCAATATTAGAAGGGGTATGTTTTGGTACTGTTGGTTTTAGAACACTCATTGAATTTAGCGCTTGCATTGGGCTTGGAGCCGGTATTGGCTTTAAAGCCTTGATTGAACTTGGAGTCTTCATTGGCTCTAAAGCCTTGATTGGATTCATCAAGTTTTCTTCATCTTGGATTGTCGTTACTGATGCTGCAGCAACTTTTGGTTGATTTGGTACCTTCCCAGACATAGGTATGGTGGTCGCGAAATCGCCAAAATCATCATCATCATCATCGTCATCGTCATCGTCGTTATCATCATTTACACTCATGGAGGTTGTAGTAGATACCATAGAACTAAGACCATTGGCTTCATTGCCAGCTTTTGGGTTGCCTATATTGGTCAGCACCCGATTTTCAACGTTCACTGGTTTCAACGGAACGAGAATTGAAGTAAGATCAGGATTCCCAAAACCAGTAGAAATATTCCCAGGTCTATTACACACATTCCCAGAACTATTACACCGCATCAGAACCGTAGGACTCGTGGTGGTGGTGGTGGTGGTGTTATTCGTATCTTGTAATTTTAATAGTATCTGTTCATTACCAAACCCAATTGGTTTAAATTCATGATCGTAGCCTCCATGATTATTAATTTTTGGATCCCTATTGTGTAATTGGTCCAATGACGAAATTGAACCCATATCATTACGTTGGATACTATTAGTATTAAAGTACCCAATACTGTGTCTATTATTTTTCTTTTTTTGCTGGAGATTAGACGGCATCTTCCCACCGGTGTTGTTTTTCTCTAATGACAAAATTCCTCCTTTATTCAACGACATCTTCCCACCGGTGTTGTTTTTCTCCAATGATAATATCCCCGCTTTAGTCAACGAAACCGTACGACTATGATGGCTAGTGATACTATTCCTTCGGGAGTTGGTTTGTGACGGGGTTCGCGATGGCACCAATGGCTTCATTCCCATACTTAATCCTGTAGGAGTTTTTGGCAACCCATTGTCAAGATTAGATTTTGATAGCAAAGACTGGACATTATTAGATTTTGAAGCCAAAGAAGGGGCATTAAAATTTGATGGAAAAGACTGGACATTATTAGATTTTGAAGCCAAAGAGCCGCTACTTGAACCCGTAACTAATGTAGTGGAGTTGTTTTGGGGATTTGCATTATTAAAATTGATTGGCCCATGGATAGGTGAAGCAAGGTTGAAATCACCAAAGTTATCATCATCATTATCATCGTTGGATGTAATGGGGTTTTCAATTTCTCTTTTGGATGCGATTTCAGAATGTTTTGATTCCATATTTTTTGCAGTTATTATCGTCAATGGTTTGGTGATTGGTTTCAAAACACCTTGGGGCAACGACAGTCCAGCAGCATTAATATTTGGATCTTTATTGGCAACTGAATTTGTAATTATAACTTTCCCGTGGTTATCGTTTACCAACTCTTTTTTGTTCGATACCTCATCATTTGGCATCTCTGACCTCAGCCTGTGATCATTTGCATTATTTTTCAGTGTCACAATTGGAGGCTCATCATCAGCAATCGCAATATCAACTAGATCACCAATATTTCCATACTTTGCCGTCTCAAATCCTCCCATCTCATCTTCACTTGACTCGACATCCTCATTAATACCATCGGTAGCTTGGAATACAAAATCACCAAATCCATCATCTTTTTCTTCCTCTTCTTCTTCTTCTTTCTTACCATCTTCCTGCTGGGTAGGATCTCTAGGTCCATCTTCCGTTGTTGCTCCATTTTTGAAGAAATTTTTACTAGAAATGTTGGATTTCTTGATATTTTTCGCCATCTTCGATGATAGTTTGTTATTATTTTGCGGATTATTCCTTTGAAACCCGAAAAACGAATTCAAAGGTGAGAAAATCTTACTAGCACGTACTGTTGCACCTTCTTCGCGAATATTTTCTCTATTATCATTCATCACCGGGTCGTTATTGATGATCTCTTGTTCTTCCAATTTTAATTTCTTGAGCTCCTCTGCCTTTCGTTGGTTCACTTTATCAATTTCTCGCTGGCGCTGGTTTTCACGTTCTTGTTCTTCAAGTTCATGAGCTAATCTCTCTTGTACTAATCGATCCGCAACAACAGAGGCTCGTCTGAGAAGTTTTTCCCTGACGGTTTCCATTCTCGTTGGGGTGGTAGGAGTGCCTGAAAAATTGAGGTTCTCATTATGTAACGTCGATTGATTTCCCTTGGTGATGGTAGCGGTGTTAGTGGTCCAGCCAAACATCGCCGCATAAGCATCTTTACCATTACTATTTGATTCTTCAGTATTATTATGATTATTATTTTTTTTCGGTGTTGTTCTTGAAAAAGAATAGTCGGAATCGATAGTGGAATTGGAGGATCGGTTATTTTCAGATTGATCCCATTGAGAAATCACCCCGTTGAGTTTCCTTTGGGTTTCACTATTGATCCATCTTAACGTTCCCGGATTATTTTGTTGGGGAATGAATTGTCTAGTGGGACGAGATAACGTGTTGTACCATTTTCGAGTCTTTTCTCCAGTATTCAAAATCGAGGTTGGTAATTGTGATTCATGTTTTTTTGCAATACTAATCGGTTTGGGAATATTTCCAGAGTTATCATTACTATACATTGAGTCAATGAGAAGTTGGGGACTAGTTTGAAATATACTGTCGATTAATGGAGGCTTAGTTTCTGAAACCATGGTTGGAGTGTCTTCAAAATCACCAAAATCATCATCGTCGTCTGCTTGCTTTCTTTCTTCTTCTTCTTTTCTTTTTTCTTGTTTGATATCTTCCTCTTCTTTTTTTTTTTCCTCTTCTTCAGCATCATCATCATCATCATCATCATCATCATCATCATCATCTCCTTCTTCTTCCACTTGTTGTTCCTCTTCTTCTACTACTTCTTGGATGGCACAATCTTTTTCTTGTGCAGTTTTCTCGTTCTCTTTCTGCTCAGCAATCCCCAACCCTTGTGGATATTTGTGATCTTCGGTTTTTGGCGGTTGAGTATCTGCAACATCCGCCCATACGTTATTCAAATCCGCATCATCTGCCTGACTTCCCAAACTATCATCATTATTATTAATAATAATATTATTATCATCACCTTCATTATTATTATTATTGAATGGTAAAAATGTCGATGGATCGTCAATTGGTTGTTCAATGTTCTCCCGGGAATTGTTTTGGGGCCCAAGATCAATTGGTGATTTGATACTGGGCGACTTCCAAACGTTCTTATCCAAGCTGGGAGAATCCACTCCTAGCCAGGTATTATTCCAGGCGTCGGCAGCATTCATTGAAAATCGATCTGATGATGTCGAACTATCCTGAAACTTGCAAATGCCATGCAAATACGATATATAAATAAAGGTCTCTTCATTCAATCCAACCGATCGAGTTGGCCTGAAATGTTAGACGTTTTTTTTTTGCCATGCACATTTTTTGCTAGACAAACTACGGAAATACCAATTAACAATCATTAGAGTGGAGTGGGCTAATAATAAATTATCAGTATATTATATTACTAACAATAGTAATTGAATGTAAACGATTAAAAGTGTATTCGGTAATTATTATTACTATTATTACTATTATTATTGTTATTGTTATTTTTTAGATAACTTCAAAGTCCGGAAGAATATTAGAAAATAATGACATAAAAAGCAAGAGGGAGAATAATAAAGTAGCAATCAATGCATCTATTTGGTACGTTTGTAAACCTTGTTGAGGAACGCGGTCAAGACTTCACCTTTGAAACCTCTAGTTTCGTCGATTTTGGCAATCTTTTCCTTGAGTTGTCCAACAACTTGTTCTTCGTAATCGTGATAAATCTTGTCGATCCCCATTTCGTTGAACATGGCCTTGACGGTAGCTTCTTTAGCAGAGTCTTTTCTACCGTAGTTTTCATCCAATGAGGCTCTTTGTTCTGGGGTAGCCAATTTCAAAGCGGTGTTGACGACCCATGAACACTTGTTGTCCTGGATATCGGTACCGATCTTACCAATGTCTTCTGGCTTACCGAAACAATCCAAATAATCGTCTTGGATTTGGAAGTATTCACCCAATGGGATTAACACATCTTCAGCCTGCTTCAAGTCCTTAGCATCGGTGATCCCGGCCATAAACATCGCCAAGGCCACTGGCAAGTAGAAACTGTAGTATGCGGTCTTGAAAATCACAATAAACGAGTGTTTTTCCAAAGAGAACTTGTCCAAATCAACGTGATCTTCTGGGGCGGTGATCAAATCCAACAATTGACCACATTCGGTTTGGAAAGTGACTTCATGGAACAAATCCATCAAATCGACATAGTAGGCGTCGTTACGGAAGTATTTCTTCAACAAGATGTAAATGGCCCCTTCCAACATAAAAGCATCGTTGATGGCAATATCCTTGACCCCTTCAACACGGTACCAACATGGTTGGCCCCTTCTGGTGATCGAAGCGTCCATCATGTCATCAGCAACGAGAAAGTAAGCTTGGAGCAATTCAATACACCACCCCAAGATCGCGACCTTCTTGTACTCTTCGACCGACAATTCGTTGAATGATTTGTACCCTTTCAAGATGACGTAAGTGTCGACGACAGAAATCCCTCTGTTCAACTTCCCACCAGGGGTGTTGTACTCCAAGTTTCTGGTGAACCACGCAATGGCATCGGCGGCGATTCCGTAGCCCTTGAGGACGTCTTGCAATTCTTGGACGAGGTCTGAGAAAACAGACAAGAACTTGGATCTAGCAGCAACCTTGTCAGACATTGTGAGTAAGTGGAAAGTATAATAAATGCAATATTATATTAAGATCTTGTAGAAACTTCGTGTGAGCTGGTGGAAAATTTCGGTTTTTTTTGGTTTTTTTTTGTTGTACGACCACCGCCGCGGGGAACCTGCCCGGTGGTGCTGACCGTACCAGGTGCCAAATTTCTGGTTTTTTTAATTCGGCTGTTTCAAAATTCCTCTCCTCCTCCCCCACACCAATCAATCACCACCACTCAAGTAACCAGCCAACAACACTAACCTAACTACTTGCCCACGATGCTCACCCACAGGACTTTGCGGCACACTAGGTATCTCATGTTGGCAGTGTCCGTGCTTATGGTCTACTACCTTCTCCAACAAACACACGGACAGCTGCTGGTACACAACTTGATTGTCGATAATAACGATGATTTGTTGGGAACCCCTAAATTGGTGATTCAGCAGCAGCAACCACCGTCTCAAGGTGGGTTATTTTCGCTTTTCAGTAAAGCCAATATGTGTCCTAATTATGTGGACTACTCGCAAACACCTCATGAACCTCGTTCTAATGGCCCATTGAAATTGCCATTCCAAAGACCCGACAAACCGTGTCGTACTTACCTGTCAAATTCGGTGGAAAAAATCATTGACGATTTCAAGTTGAGAATTGCTGATCCTGACTTGGCGATGTTGTTTGAAAATTGTTTGCCAAATACTTTGGACACCACGATCTTGTGGCATCATAACGCCACCAGAAAGAGCAATTCAGCAGAACCACCAACCATGAAGAGACCTCCTTCTCCTCCTCCTCAACGGGAACCCGGTTTGCGAGGGGCAAGTTTTGATATGTCAGAATATACCCAATCATTCATTGTCACTGGGGATATTCATGCAGAATGGCTTCGAGACTCTGCTTGGCAGTTATCGGTGTATCAACCCCTAGCCAAATACGACCAATCACTAAAAGATTTGATCACCGGTGCCATCAACACTCAAGCAAGATATATTGTTTATGATCCATATTGTAATGCGTTCCAGCCGCCTCCAGAATCAGGAATTGAAAGACAACAATCAGCGATCGACAAAGTCTTTCCTCGGCCGAATTGGGACAATGTGTTTGAATGTAAATGGGAAGTTGATTCGTTGGCGTCATTTTTGGCGTTATCAAACCAATATTATGCGGCCACTGGGGACGCCTCGATCTTCAATGATCTTTGGCAACAAGCCTTTGAGACAATTTTCCTGGTGATCAAACGTCAACGAGCCCCAACGTTCAACGCCAACGGGAATTTACAACCTCCGTATTACGGTTTTCAAAGAGATACCAACATTGGGTCGGAAACTTTACCGTTATCGGGGACAGGGAACCCGGTGAATTTTAATACCAAATTGATTAGATCAGCGTTCAGGCCTTCGGATGACGCGTGTATTTTCCAGTTGTTTGTTCCTGGTAACGCATTTATGACATCTGAACTTTTCAAACTTGCTGAATCTTTTGAAAATAAACCGGAATTTCAATCCATTCATTCTCGGGCCACCAATATGGCGTTGGCGCTTAATGAATCCATTTACGAGTTCGGGGTGGTCGATCACCCAGTACACGGGAAAGTGTTTGCTTACGAAATCGATGGCTATAACAGTGCGTTATTCATGGACGATGCCAATATTCCGTCGTTATTATCGCTTCCTGACCTTGGGTTCATCGACCGTAATGATCCATTGTATCAAAACACCAGAAAAATGGTGCTTGATAAAAAATCCAACCCTTATTGTTTGACCGGTAAGTTCTTTGAAGGAATCGGGGGTCCTCATGTTGGGTATCGTCATGCTTGGCCAATGAGTCTTTGTGTGAAAATCCGTACTAGTGATGATGACGAAGAAATAAAGGCCGATTTGGCCATGCTTTTGAGTACCACAGGATCTTTGGGGTTGATGCATGAAGGGGTTAATGTTCTAGTGGCAGGAGGCACTGATTACACCAGATCATGGTTTTCGTGGTGTAATTCAGAATTCGGCAAGACCATATTAGATTTGGCGAAACGGAAACCACATTTGATCTTCAAAGAAGAATATAAAGATCAGCCGTATGTCATTGATGAGCAGTTTAAGGGGTTATATTTTGATTAAAGTTGGGTATTGTATTGTCGCGGTTTTTATTTATTATGTTTTTTTTTTTGCTTTTCCTATATTAGTTCAGCTATAGCTGCCAATATATGACAAAAAAAAGTACATTCAAGATTGGTTTTCATTTCTTTTTTTGGGAACATTTTCTTATTCTATCTCACCAATATTATTATTATTATTATGTTATGTTTTGTTTTGTTTGTTTTTTGTCTTACAAGAGGTAAAAAAAAAAAGTCTAAAATATTAAAAAATATACATTCGGCATCTTAAATTATACAAAACTAATTATGTCATTTACTCATTTTTCTCCTCTTTTTCTTGAACAACTTTCTTTTCGGCAACGTAACCAATGGCCTTCAATCTTTCAGACAAGATTGGGTGTGAGTAATGGTAAGCACTGTATAACCAGTCGGCATCCATGGCACTCAAGTTTTCAATTTGCAATTTGATCAAAGATCTAGACAATTCTTGGCTATAACCTTGCTTGACGGCATAATTGTCGGCTTCGTATTCATGTTTTCTCGACATGATGTGGTTGAAGAAAGTAAACACGCAATCGAATGGCGATAAAATGTAATTGAACATCCAGAACCCTGCCAACACTGGTTTATACCCGTAGAAACCAAAGGAGTTGAAGAGAGAATTGTTATGGATGAAGAGCGAAAACATCGAGAACACTGAAATGATGTACATGTTGGAAATAATCATCATTTTCAAATTGTGAGATAAAGCCCAGTGACCGATTTCGTGGGCCAACACCGCGGTGGTTTCTTCGATAGTGGCGGATTTGATCAAAGTATCGTACAAGACAATTTGTTTAGACCATGGAAGCCCCATAAAGTACGCGTTAGAATGGGTGGATCTTTTCGATCCATCGATCACGAACAATTGGGTCAATGGGAAGCGGTTTTTCTTGGCCAATTCCTCGATCGAAGTTCTTAATTCCCCCTTTTCCAATGGTTCGACTTTGTTGAACAACGGTTGGATCACGGTAGGGAAAATGGTTTGAAGGACCAATTGGAACGCAAAAGTCATCCCCCAAGCATAAAGGGCAAAGTTATCACCAAAATACAACACGATTTTCAAAAACCCGGCAATCAATGGTCCGCCAAAGGCAATACTAAGAAGTAACATCTTGATGGTATCCAAGAGGAATAGTTTGAATGTCAACTTGTTAAATCCGAACTTCTCTTCCAAAACAAAGTGTTGGTAACACTCGATCGGGAAATTGGTGGCAAGACTGATCAATTGCAAAAACAAAATGAAAAACATCGATTGGGAGATTTCACCCATCATGGTGAGCCCCAAGAACTTTGGCAAGTAAGGAGCCACGAATTTCAAGGCCGTCCCGGCCTTTTGCCACACTAATGGCAAGACGTCGTATTGGATGAACAAAAAGTTTTGGAGTAAAGAGTAGGCGTTGGTGAAGATCGAGAACTTGGCTTTGGCTTTGGAATAGGTTTGGGATTTCTTGAAAGTTTTGGCATCAATGTCAAACTTCAAAGTTTCTGGGGGATTAGGCTTGCCCAAGACTTTGTTTTGACGGAAAGTTAACACGGTTTCAAACGCCCATTGGGCGAAAGTGAACCCCAAGATTAACTTCTTGTAGTTGAACCCGGGGATATCGAGACTATCACTGAGAGACTAAACAAGAAAGGAATTCGCATGTTAGAAAGAAATTTCAACCGAGTAATAAATATTGATAATAATACGTACCTGGAGGAAAGAGGCTATCATGATAGGTGGGTACAATCTCAACGGAAGAGCAGAAGCAGAAAGAAACTTTTTGGCCAGCAATCGTGAAATAAAAAAAAAAAAAAAAATACAACAAAAAAAAATGAAAGTGAACATGAAAGTGAAAAATGGAATATGAAACAAAGCGAAGGGTCGGCCCTCCTTTCACACGTTTTCTCGGTGGAGGGAGATACTTGAAAGTATTTTAAACTGCCTTACCAAGATTATAATAATAATGATAATAATAATAAATTATTAATATATATAGATATATATTACTGTAGAAGGGTGCTGCTTCCATGCGATGTTCTGTGCCCTGGCACCGCCTGCCAGATGTCACAAGAGGATGTAGCTGATGGTATCTGTGATGGATATGTTGTCTGGTAGGATTTGTGGTTGGTTGGAACTGAGCTTATTATGGTTAGCAGTAGTATGGTAACAAATAAAAAAACGAGGAGATAATGCAAATCATGAATGGCAGAGGTTGGAAGTCTCTTATCTATTGCTGTCTCAGCAATACAAGACTGGCGCCTTTGAGTGTATATTATATTATATTATATTATATTATATTATATTAATAATCATCATAACAGGTAGCAAATACTACGTTGTTTCAGCAGCTCCTCGCCAATCCATGCACCATCTGGGCGGGCCGTGAAATGTAAACAAATAAACAAAGAGGAAAAAAAAAAATATTTTATTGGCAGGAGCCAATTTCTTCCCCCCCGCCAGGCATCCATCCCACCAACCAAACAAACCAGATCATCCACGGATAGACAGAAATACCATGGACCTGTTCCACCACGCCACCGTCGCCTCTATCACTCGGCAATTGTTCCCACAGTCCGCCAACGGGAAATTTGCCGCCCTTGCCTCCGGATTGTCGGTGTTCTTGGTGTTGATTTTCTTTGTCAGCTTCTTCACCGGTATTAATGACGCCATCGCCTTGAATCCTAAATCTCTCTTCTACTTCAACCTTGGAAGACTCTCGAACTACCCATTGGGCCATCTTTCGCTCCTACACTTGATTCTTAATGTCGTGGCGTTGTACGGCCCATTGGCAAGATTCGAAATGGTACATGGGACGGTCTATACCGGGATCGTCCTCAACGTTCTTGCCATGGCAACCGCCATCCCATTCTGTATCGTTGGTATCGTGTTGTTCCGTGATGTCCATGTCATCGGTGCTAGTGGCTGGGTATTTTCCTTTGCCGCGTACTTTGCTTATCGTGAAAGTTTGAACGTCCCAGTCTTCAGAATCAACTCTAACTTTGCCGTGCCAACCCTTTACACCCCAGTATTATTCTTGGTCGTCATCACCATCTTGATGCCAGGATCTTCGTTCTGGGGCCATTTGTTTGGGTTGATTGCCGGTTACCTACTTGGCTTTGGGTACTTGGACAAGTTTATCCAACCGCCAACCAAAAAAGTCGTCCCATTTATCGAAAGCAAAGTCGACTTCTTAATCAGATTGATCCCATCACAATTTTTGTATCTTAAAGAAGAAGCTACCGCCACCAGTAGAGCTGATTTCTACTCGAGAAATGGCCGTACCATCATCCCAATGACCGAAGGTGGCGCCAACAAAAGACAATCGATGCCCCCAACGCCGGCCACCGAAGCCCCAAGCGGGTTCCAAGGACCTGGTCACACTCTTAACGGATAGACCAAAAATGTCGTAATCATGTGTATTTTTTTATTAAGGAACTTGTATAGTTTAGTTTAATGATACCCCTTTCTAAGTCGCGTTTTATGTATTTAAATTGCGTCACATGCAAACAGACAAAAAAAAAAAAAATATGATGATCTTCAGGGATTTTAGTGTTTGTTTTTTTTTGGTTGTTTTGTGATTTCATGTATTGAAGATATTGAAGTGGATATCTATTATCCCCCGTTGGTGATTCTTTCCTATAATATATTATAATATAATCATTTTTATTCCTGTTTGTCCCGGTGGTTGTTTTGTTTTGCTTTGCTTTGTTTTGTTTTTTTTAGTCCATTTAAAGTTTATGTCACAATAAAGCACGAAAAGACAAGTAACATCACCTTTTAAAGAGAGAAAATCACAGTACAATGAGATTGGCATATTTGAGCCTTATAGGCTCTGTTGTTCTTGCTAGTTGTGTGTGTTTTTATTGTGTCTATGTTTTGGGCACGGCCCTATTTTCGAGATTCAGTTACAAATTTGATTTAGATACAATGGGCCCATCGATGCTCCCAATGACAGCAATTCTTCAATGGTACGACCCATACTTCAATAAAACTTCAAGGGATATCGGAAGATACGCTGCGTTTGGTCCGACAATCGACATCGAGTATCCTTACGATGATGATTCAAAACCTCTTGGAATCATTAGCCAGCAGCCCCTTGATGCTAGCTCTTCGGAGGCAACACCACCCAAAAACCAGACGTTTTTTGCCGGGGACTTGGTTTTCATCAAACATAATGGTTGTAATTTAAAACAATTGGAAGATATCTTGAAGAACAATCCTCGGTACGATCCTATCAAAAAGAAATTTGATCGTGATGTTATGGTTTTAAACCAACGAGGCGGATGTGCGTTTTATGATAAGATTCTAAATTTCCAGAAACTGGGTGCAAAGACCGTGATAATTGGCAATGATCAAGAAAATAAAGGTTTGATAACAATGTTCTCGAGAATTTTACCAGAAGATATAGTGATTCCTTCAATTTTCGTCACTAAGGAAACCATGATGGAACTTGGCAAATTAATTAACGCCAGCTCCGATAAATCGATATCATTAAAAGTGTTCTCTGGACAAACTCCGTCTCCACTTTTGGATGCTTTGTTGACTTTGGTGTTTTCACCACCAATAGCCTTGCTGATTTTATACGTCGTCATGAAAATAAGAAGAAGCCACAAGAAAAGCTTGGATAAAGCCCCAAAAAATGCTGTGAGAAACTTACCAGTGTATGTCTTCAATGCTGATTATTTGATCCCTATAGATGAGTTTGAGAAAAAAAGAGAATACTACTCTGGAGGGACCGCCAACGATAATAATAATAATAACAACCTGAAAACATCCCTGAATATGTTGCTCAACTTATTCAAAAAGAGTAACGGTAAATCCTCGTTAGACCCCGGTGATAATCTATCCACCGATTCTGAATCCCTAGAACATTCGATCCAACGTCATCTATCAATAGAAGAATTGAACCAGTATCAAATGAACCAATGCTCGATCTGCTTGGCAGCGTTCAGGAAATTGAAATCAAAAGTGGTTCTTTTGCCCTGTGGTCATTACTTCCATTATAAGTGTTGTTTGAACTGGCTTTGCAATTATCATAAGGTATGTCCGATTTGCAAACATGATATTACCAAAAAAGTTAAGCGAGCCTCGGTGGGTCCAAGAAGATCGTCATCAATTGATGCTGCCAGATCCACCATCAGAAATATCTTCCGCTATAATGGTAACGCTGAGGATCCTGATGCTTCTACAGGATTAATGGTTGATAGAGGTACTTCTCCAGGAATTTCTAACTCAAATAGCATGAATTATAACTCCTTGGACAATCCAACTAATGTTGTGCAGCAGACACATTTGGAATTGGTAATAGAAGACTCGATTACAGATATGAGTAGTAATGATGTTGATTTCTTGGAATATAATAGTGAAGAAAATCAGCAAGAACTCAGGGAGAATGAGCATGATTTACCTGAGTATTTAGATGATGAGGAAAGATCTATTGGTAGTAGATCATTCTATTGAATATAATAGTTGTTTATTTGTTGTTGCTTTTTTGTTTTGTTTTCTTTTTGTTGTTTATTTTATTATATTATACTTGATTTATTTAACTCATATTTTTTTTGTTTTGTTTTTATTTAATGATATTTCCTCTCAGTGTGGTTTGTGTTTATCATTTTCTTTGGTTGTCGCGGGGATTAGAATTTTTGTTTTTAATGGAGGATTTATATATTTCTTGGATATTCATATGGTTCATTTCGTTTTTGGCTAATTTTATATGTTCTTTTTTACCTTTCTTCTTCAATTTATCGTGCATTACTTAATAACGAGCATTCTGTAAACCATTTTTGTTTTAAAACATCGCTGTGATGACAAAAAATAGAATATTCATCAAAATATGATATTGAGTAAAAAAATACAAGCGACACAGACAGGATTCGAACCTGCGCGGGCAGAGCCCATTTCATAACACGATGCTCAATACATTCGAGTGAAACACCTTAACCACTCGGTCACAGTGCCTTCGTAAAAAGAAGCGACGCAGACAGGATTCGAACCTGCGCGGGCAAAGCCCATTTCATAACACGATGTTCCATACATTCGAGTGAAACACCTTAACCACTCGGTCACAGCGCCATTGATGTTGACTAAGCAAATCCTGAAAATTATACTCTGTAAATTAGGCCTTTTAAAAAATTTTTTCTATGATTATTCCATTATTTATTATCAATATGTCATGAAATAAGCTGGTACTTATAGTATCGTGTCTATTGTTTTTTTTAACCTAAAAACAATGGCGGTTGCCGATGATTTGGTGTTAATATTGATGGTTACATCTGAATCAAATAGAGACTCTATTTCTACAACAAATGACCATCCCAGGTAATGAGGAGCAACACAGTACAAACAGCATAGGCAATGATCATTGTGTAGCCTGCACTTTCATTAATGTCAAATAACATGATTTGTGGTAAAGCTACATGATTATTAGAAAAAAAACATATAAATTATCGTCATCAGTACACATATACATAAAGAAATATTTCCCTATTTTTTTTTTCTTCTTCTTCTTCTCATTATTTTATTATTATTAGTAACATGTTGAGTACCAGCCAAAACAATCATCAATATCTTGTTCTTGGCCCCCAATAAAAGCTCATTGATATTTTGAACATATTATTAAATCCGTACCAACAGCCCTTCTTGTAGCGACATTAACTTCATCAAGGGCCAAATACCTCAAACTTTTTATCTTTTTCAACCTACATAGCTCTTTTAACCCGATATTATTACCTTTCAACAACAACTTTGATAATTTTGGAGTGTTGAGGATCGGGAACCCAAAGAGCCCACATTCACAAAGATTCAAATATCTCATCAGTGGCCAGTTCACCACCATATTCTCCATTTCATCTAACATGTTTCTTTGAATATCAAGAGCCTCTAAATATTGAAGATTCAGAATTCCCTCGATCGATGTTATGCTGTTATTTGATAACCCAAGCTTGCGAAGTTTGGTGCATGTAGCAAGATAACTAATGCCAGTTATTCCAGTATCATTCAACCAGCAAAGTTCCAAATTTGCCTAATGATATTAATTTTCCGAAGATAAACATCATAATATTTGCTCCCGGTGAGGTCTAGCTCTTTGATACATGAAAGCTCCACATGCGAAAGTAAAGTGCTGGACGTAATACTTATAGACAGCAATTCGCCAAAGTGGCAGTGGATTAACGGTCTATTAAAGCGGATCGAGCATCCAAAAATTTTTATGCTATTTAATTTTGGCAATCTTTCAAGATCTAACGACACCAAATTTTTAAGGGCTTGTATAGTGGGCTGATTTTTTTGATCTTATTGGAAGAGAGATCCAAGTTTCGCAAAGCTGTGCAATATTGTAAAGTCTGCGGGATAATTTGAACTTTACAATCTATCACTGCCAAATCTGTAACTTTACTGATCTCTGAGAAATCAAAGGTGGTTATAATATTTTTGAAACCAGAAAATTCAATTTCTTTGGCATTTTTAATTCGCGGAAAGAAGTGCATCGTATGCATTCAACATGTGCCCTTGAAAGACGATATCAGCTCCGGATGAATAATTCTGATATTGCTATGACCATTATTGTATGAGCATTCCTTCATCTTCAATGTTTTTAAATCAATAATCAAGGGAATTTCATCGGAAACCTTGGTGGGTACTAATTTCAATTTTTCCAAAGATGGGAACTGCTCACTGTTGAAAGCCTCGCCATTTGGGAGGGTTAGGATTTTCGTGTATTCTATTTCAAGATCAGTCAACTTCAATAACAGAAAATTTTCATCAAGGCGAAGTATTGATGTCTTAATATATAATTGCCTGATATTTTGGAGGTAGCCAAATTTGCTAAACCTGAAAGTACATTTTTCAAAATTTGTGGCAATATTTGATTCATACATGCTATTATCGAGTCTTAAAATCTGCGTTGATTTAGGAAATCCGACATGAAGATCACCTCTGACTTCAATTTCCCAACCCCAGTACAGCAATTTAAAAACAACCGGAGGGTTTTGAAATCTTCATTATCTATATTGTAAGAATCCCAATCAGTTCTATGTATGTCACCTAATATTACAAGCTTCTTTATCGCCCCCTGATATTTTGCAATTCTTGGAAGATTGTTGTAATATATCCTAACAGTTGGGACTAGTTTTTCTTTGTGAATATAATCAGACGGAATCCCGGATTTTTGTAAGAGTTCAAAGATATCCCCAAGACTTTTGGGGCTCTCATTTCCCATCAGGCAATAAATCTCTACTGAAACAAGCAACACAAACAACGCACATCCATATATACCATGTGATTCTGGTAGCGCCCGAATTAGCGATAAAAACTCACAAGCATCTAGATGTTCAAAGATCTCTGTTATCAATTGAATTCATGATGCGTAGTGACCTTGGAGCTTTCCACTTTGGGAATCTACAGTACGAATTGAAAAAAAAAAAGAAGCCTAGAGAAAGGAGAAGAAGAAGAAGAAGAAGAAGAATCGAAAAAATAGCAAACAAACATATGTATAAATTGCATTCCTCTGAAAGTTGCGCTTACATTCATGAAGCTCACGGATTTTCCTGGCATGGTTGCTTTTTATTCTAACCATTAACATTTTTCTTAACTTATCCTGCAGCCTTATTCACTATTATCCTCTTCTTTGTCTCAATGAAAATTATATTTTGTTTAAGTTAAGTTAACAATTACACTCTACATCCCTTATATCTCTCTCACTTTTTCTTTCTTTATTGTTGCTAATTGTTTTTCTATGATGCCACCGCTTTATTTTGTCTATTTAAAGGATTCAAAGCTCCAAATATATATAGCTTTGCCATGCAGTTATCAAGACAACAATTACAATCTTAAATCCTTTTTGTCGCTAAAAAGTCATTCTTTTTTTCTTTTATTGGCCATAGATTTTCAAATGAACTGTAACATAACTGAATGATGTATTTAAGTGCATTAAGAGTATTACCAGCATACTTATTTTTCCACTCAAAAACAACTTTATATTATTAATTTATACTTTGAAAATAACTAACTAAAAAACTTAACAACTAAATAAAAATGAACCACTAAGCATCTTCGGCTTTGATTTCTCTTTCTTCTATGGTCTTTACCACCACAACATCATCTTCTAAGATTTCTTTCATACCATCTTTTTCCATATCAGTATGGTCGGTGATCATAAAGAAGACTAATGGAACAGCAATAAGCAAAGAACCACCGCACATACCCCAACTTGAACCGAAAAGGGCCATGAAACTGACTTTCCGGGAATCCAAGGCCCAAACAATAGCGGCGAATGCGGATTGGAAACTCTTGTACAAAGAGGCGTAGATGGCAGTTTTACGTGGGTTATTAGACATTGATCCAAGAATCCAAATAATGAAACTTTGGTACATAGCATCAAACATCCCGTAGAACATGTACAAGAACATTGGGCCAATATATCCACGGTCGTTGAAACTCATGGCTGTGAGTTTAGAGTCTCTGTCATAGCCAAGTTGGAACTTGAGACCACCACCCCAGATTGCCATTCCTAAGACAAACACCACAACCCATCCGATTTTAGCACGAACAGAACGACGAAAGCGACCCCAATCCAAGATAACACCTAAAAGCAAAGCCCCCACCATTTGGGAAAACCAATAAAGCAAAGAGTTAAGAGATCTTGCTTTCAAGTCGAATTTCCCACCGCCATTGAAATCGTTAAATTGGTAAGTATAGTACCAGTTGGAAGTAGCGAACATTGGAATCAAGAGATAAATCTTAGGCTCGCGAACCAAAACATGGTACATTCCCTTTAATTCACTCTTAATAGATGGGTATTTTGAGGCCACCACCTTCGAACCGTCCAACTTGTAGACCTTATCCATTGGCAACAACAATGAGGCAACAACGATTCCGCATCCGACGAGGGCCATGAATGCAGCAAAAGTTCCGGTGGACGCACTACTAGTACCAGTTTGGATGGCTTGAGCTAAAGGAATACAACTACCGATAACGGTACCAACGTTGAAAATAATCCAGTTAACCGCGAAAAATAACCCTTTTCTATCTTCGGAGGAATATGACATGATCATAGATCCTTGAACTGCCCAGGTCAAAGAAGCACACACCCCTAAGTAAGCACCAGCGAAAATGCAGAACCCGACGTTTTGGTTTCTTTGGTAATTCAATAACGAAGCCACGTAGATCAAGTACCCAGAACCACCAATCATCAAACAGATCTTTGGGCCCAATTTATTGACGACAATTCCAGAATAAATCCCCACACTGAATGTACAGTACAACGCAATATTTTGATGATCAGCAACGACTGCATCAGAAATACCAGAACCCCCAAGACCGGTGATAGCATTGAAACAACCAGGACATAAGAATAAGACGAACGAGAGCATCACCACTTGGACAAGCGAGTTTGAATAGCTTGGTAAGCCAAAATATCTTTGATCGTACCATTTACCACTAGCTGCGATTTCTTGTGGAGTGTAGTGACGGACTTCGAGAATTTCACCGTCATCTGCTGGAGACACCTCCACTGGAGATTCTTGAAAAGTTGAGTTGATTTTCTCTTCACTCATTGTACGTTAATGTGAGACGAGAAAAGATGATGTGTGTATTGTTATTTGGGTATCTATTATCTCCATCATTAAAAGGGGAAACCAAAGGTTATTTATACGAGGCTGCAAATCAGGGGAATAGTTCAATGCATAATCTTTGATGGGTGGATATCTTGTGATAAGGGTTTGTGTTGCAATGCGAGATTCTGCGAGTTGTTGTGTTGTGGTTTTTTAAGGCTCGCACTAGCCTGTATTCCCGTTGGGCGGGCCATCATTGCACCAGTGTTGGATGTTTTGTGGTGGTAGGGTGGATGGAAAAATCAAACTAGCTAGTGTATTCTGACACTATCTATTGTTATTATTTCGTGTGGCACCATAACTAGTGCCTCTATTGTTGCTATTGTTGTTTATCGTATATGAAACGCTACCCCGGAGTTTACCCACCAAAACTCATAACCGCAATTAAGACGTCAGTTTTATTTTTAGGATTGACATTGTTGTTGTCTTTTTTGTTTTCTTTGTTCCTCTGTGTTATTGCGGGCTTTTTCATAGCACAGAATCAGACTAATTAGCAGCGATGATAATCCAGAGGTGTTTCCTTGGCTGTTTTTTTTCCGGACAGCCACTAAGCGATACTGAATTAGTGTCAATGCAAGTTGCGTCTATTTGATTACACTCAAAGTAGAAAAAAAAGCAGACCCATAAAAATTGGACGATAACATATTCTGAACCCAAAATGTTAACACTAAACAAATATTGACCATTTTCAACCTAATGGAACATCTGGGCATGCAGAGATTTTTGAGAACTCACAAGCTTAATGATATTTACTATCGCTTTTTTGAGTGTCCTAGCAGTAGAAGTATTATTACCGATGAGGTTGTTTAATAAAAAGTAAAATTGATGCAATATTTTATTATTACATAGATTAGGAAAGTTATTAAATGCCACTCCATCATGGCAAGAATTTATTACTGTTCTTTTTTTTTTTTTTTTAAGCTAATTTTTTTTTTTCTCTAGTGATATATCATGAAGTTTCTATAATCAAATAATAGCGAAAAATCTAATAAGCAAGGTGAGCATGGTCGATGTTCTGATATAGACATTAAAATTGTAAATAGCATGGTAGTTAACTAAATCATATGTTATACCTATAGGCCACTAACCTTGGAATACAAATTTGATCCCATATCTACTCCAGATCAATGTAAATAAGCATTATCTTTATCTCCTCTCTTTCCATATTTTCTGCATGATAACATTTGTCTAAAGCATATTGGTTCATTTAAACGTTTTAAAATCTCTGTTGAACTTATAATATCCTTTCATATTACACTAAGGATCGGCGAATTAGGCATGCCGAATTGGGAAGATCTATTACCAATGAATATATGCTTTATGGCAGGATCCTCAACAGCATTATTGTCTACTAGGTTTTCAGTTCAGCGAGATAAAAACGGATAAGCCCAAATAACATATTCTTATTCGCCTTTTTGTTTTCCTTTCCAAAAAAAATAAATACACAAATTATATTAACACGGGGAGTCTTTTTTTTTTCTATTAATATCCATCAATAGAATATATCATAATATCGTACATACATTACTAGCAACACATCCACCACCACCATCACCACTATACAACAACAGCAATAATCAAGCTTGAAGAGAGTCCTTCAAACCCAATTGTCTGGAGTGACGATCGAACAAGTTACCGAGTTCTTGGACATTCAAATTTCTTGGATCAGCTTCAATTGTTTTTTTATCTTCTATTGAAATAACGGTTAGTAATATGTTAGATATTTTGAGATATTTTTAGAAATTTTTGCGAGGCTCACTTTCCACTTACTGAATGTTACTTTGATGGTTGGCTCAACCTTAGAGGAGCTAAGCAATACTTGACTATCTATCGAGCATGAACCTTTCATTGATGGAGGGATAGAAGACAAGAAGACTCTTGCAACTTTTCCTAAAAATTCGTTAGTAAATAATTTTGTGGTTGAAGGGAAAAGCTTCCTTTTTCATTCTATTTTATTCTGTTCTCCTCCAATCTCCTCCAAACTCTTTTAGATTCTCTTCCATAATTTTTTCTCCAATGATATTCTCATTAAGGATGTTCATGCCACCATTTTTTTGCATCACATACCGTCTTTTCCCATAGGGTTAAACTTGATCACAACTTTAGAGAAGTATTTAGTGATCATTATTAATATTATTGTTGTTAATTATACCCAATCTCTTATGGTGGACCACACCAATTATAAATTTTCGGTAATAAACGCTGGGACAGAGAGATTTTTCATCGCCTGAAAAAAGCATGACATGCACGTGTACAGATTCAACTATAAACGCACTCCGGGTTTCTACTATTCTTTGGTAATAATTAGATCGGCCGTCGCTACTTATTATAATAAATGATTGAAAATAGTAATATTGATACACAGCTATGAATTTGTCAGCGGTTTTTGCTCTTCTTCTAGTGAATGCTATTGCATCTGCTCAAGGCTTCTACCAAAACACCGATGTCTTCGAACTTTCTCCAGACAGCTTTGATGAAGTGGTTTTATCAACAAACTACACCTCGGTGGTAGAATTCTACGCCCCATGGTGTGGCCATTGCAACAATTTCAAAGGCGCCTTCAAGAAAGCCGGGAAATTATTAAAAGATATCGTCAATGTTGCTGCGGTGAACTGTGATTTGGAAATCAACAAACCATTGTGTGCCAAATACAAAATCGAAGGGTTCCCTACAATCAAAGTGTTTAGGCCTCCAAAGTATTCGGATAAAAATCCCCCAAAGTCAAAAAAGGCATTGATGAAGGAATTCGTTGACGAAAACTATAATGGTGAAAGAACCGCTAGTGGCTTGGTTGGGTTCAGCCAAACTAGAATCAAGAGTTATGTTCGCAGAATCTTTGGGGTCGACGTATTACAAAAGCTCTTAAATAAATCGTCAAAGATAAAGATGATTCTCTTGTCCGATTCCAAAAATAAGCCAAGTGTATTTTTGAAATCGTTGGCCATTGATTATTTAGGGGTAGCGGAATTTGGTTATTTTGATGTCAAATCTTCTTTCCCTGAAGAAAAAATCATGGAATTAACAGGTCTTGATAATCAAGCCATGAAAAAGCCGATGTTCTTAGTATATGATGGAAATAATCCAACAAATGAACCGAAAATCATAACGGGAAAAATGACCAAACAATCAATTGCCGAGTTCTTATTAGAGAATTATGGGGTTAAACCAATGGAAGGACCAGGCAGCGAGAAACACAAAACTTTGAATCTACTTAAGAAGGGAAAAACATTGAAACAAATTCAGAAAAAGGGGAAAAATAATAGAAAGAAGAGTGTGAAAAAGTCTGCCCGTGATGAATTGTGATGCAGCAGCATATTTGTACATAACCGAACCTTGAGGAAACAACAAAAAATCTAGAAAGAATAAAGGTAGCAAGAATAAATCTAGAAAAAATAACGGTATAATTAATCAATAATTGATAGAAATTGTAACATATGACAAAGAAAAAAAATGTTGGCAAAGAGAGACAGACCTTCGAGGGGATCACTCAGGGTAATTTTTTTTTTTTTCATACTTCCAAAATGAAATACATGGGATATCTTCAATGCTAATAATCTTAATTCATATTTTAAACAAATTTTAATGGTGGAACTATAACAAAAAGTGTATAGTGAAATTCTAAAATCTTCCTACCAATCATATCTGCAAATATCTATATATAAGCAGAATCTTGCTCTTTTGTTTTCCTCGTTTTATTTTTATTTTTTTCTTTTTCCATTTTTTTTTATTGCTTTTAGTGTGTAACCCATTGCTATTACAATGTTTGATTCATTATCTTCAAATTCCAAAATTGGAGCATTCAATGGTAGCAATACCTGGGCAGAATCATTCAGGTAAGTCTCTAATGAATTCTTTCTTCGATGATGCCAAAATCAAACAATCCCACTAACCTATTTTGAAAAAATTTTAGTACGCCTACTTCGACTCAAAAATCAAAATTTTTCCAGGATATTCAATTTAGTCAAAGATCTACTATCACTAATAATAATAATAATAATAATGAGCCAAAGAAATTTAAACAATCCCCGACACAGATAGCAAACCAAGCAGTCAATGAGTTGTTGCCTGATGCCCATGTTTTGCCATATACATGGACGATTTTTTTCCATTCTCGAAAGACCCGTCAACCGGTCAAATCAGAAGAAAGCACTATCACTGATGCAACAACCCCTCCAGTGGAAGCTACTAATCAACCTCAAGTTGCAACATCAGTAGACTCTTTTTTACAAACAACCAAGGAAATTGAATTCCCTGAGGTGTGTACCAAAGATACTTTTAACGGGCTTAGCAAGACCACCATAACCATTGCGTCGGTTGAACAATTATGGGAAGCATTGTCATTACTCAAAAGAACCAATGACTTACCGGTGGGGTCAGAATTGTTTATCTTCAAATCGGGAGTTGAACCAGTTTGGGAAGACAAGGTTAATGCCAAAGGTGGTAGATGGATGTTCAAGTTTTCTAGAAGAAGTCAACCACAACAATACGGTAATGATTCATCTAATGAACAACAGCAGCAACAGAACCAACAACAGCAACAACCAGGAAAAATCGGCGGAGAAGACATTGTTCAAATCAGGAAAAGAAATGCGTTGATTTGGGAAAGATTGGTGTTAAGAGTTCTTGGGGGTTCGTTGTTTGCTGAAGAAAACATCAATGGAGAATTATTATTGAACGACATTTCCGGTTTGGTGTTGAGTATTAGACGCGATGAGGACATCATTAGTATTTGGAATACCAACTTGTGTTTTGACAAGAGATTCCAAGAAAATTATTTCAAGTCGATTTTCAACAGCAACCCAGAACTTAAAAACCCAATTAAAGACACTTTCAAGAGCATTGAGAATAGTGATGACGACGAAGAGCATGTCAAACTGTCTAACAGGTTGTTGTTCAATGATCGAAGAATGGTGTGCTCTGCAGTGTTGAAAACCATTAGAGAGGTGGATGCTGTTATCAAAGGTGGTGATGTTTTGGTTTCTCAAGATATCAATTCTACCGAACGGGTTTATGGAGTCAATTTTGAATATAGGTTGCATGCTGACAATTCCAGGGATAATGAAAATGATGGCAAACATGATTCCCATCACAACCATCATCACCATCATCACCATTACAATAACAACAGCCGCAATAACAGAAACCACAATAACAGCAGTAACAACAACAATAACAACAATAATAGCAACAACAACAATAACAACAACAATACCAGCAATAATAATAGTAATTCTAGAAGATATAATAGTACCAGATACAACAAGAATCATTCTGGCAATAACGCTAAAGAAAACAATAATAATGAGGTTGAATTGGGAGTGGATAAGATTTTTGAATCTGGGAGTTTTTCAAACTTAGGAAGAAGTAGAAGAAGAAGACCTGAGAATGGTGGAGAAGAACACAAGAATTTGATGTCATTTGGTAATAGAAGAAGAATGCAAAATTTGCAGAAGAGTTCCAACCATCAAACAAATGATTTCGAAAATGGTGAGAGAGAATGAAAAAAATGAAAAAAAAAAAAGGACCCTACATAACTATAACATCTCTGCATAATATATAATATATAATATATTATATTTATATATGTATATAAACCATCTATTATTTATATTTTCGACTATTTCCTTTTCTTTTTCTTGCCTTTTATAATTTTGATCTTCTTGTACACTAGCCTGTATTTTTATATTATTAATGAAAATCTATTGCATTTTCGAAATTCACCTGTGGAATCAATCTTCTCGCGAATTCCTAAAATGTATTCGTAATATATGTTTTCATAGTCTCATCTTATTGAAAGGCAAATGCAGTTGGTGTTGTCATATAAACCAAGATGTATAAGGAATTTCCAATTGGAAAGAAAACAAGAAAATAAATGAAAAAAAAAAAAAAAAAAAAAAAAAAAAAAAAAAAAAAAAATTAAAAAAAAAAAAAATCAACAAGTCTCAACCAAGAGATTGAGAAAAGAAAACACGATGTAGAATATTAAACAGTTCGTAAGATGAAAAAATAAATAATTGGAAAAATCAACAGAAAAAAACAACAACAGAATAACTCATTTAGAAAAAAAAAAAAAAAGAAATAGTTTTTTGGACAAATTGATCATTGGCTTATTATCATTATTATTATTATCTGTTTCGCTAATTTTGATGACTAAGAGATTCAATTTCTTTATAGAAAAAAACAAAAGTGAATAAGTAGGAAAATAATGATAATCAGGAGAAAAGTTTGACACAAACGATTAAAACAAAATAAACGAAGCACAATTAAAAAAAAAAATTCCCACCATATTAAATTTATTTCTGAAACGCCAAAAGGAAGATCAAAATGAAAAAAAAAAAAAGCACACACACACATGGAAATTAGTATCAATAAAGATAGTAATAGTAGAAAAGAACAGAATAAAAAAAAAAAATAACCGAAAAATAATGCTATCCATCACCAGAACCCTAACCAGCCCAAATCTTTGGTATCGATTGTACTTGCTTTCTTAACTTCTTGAGATTTTCTTGCTTCCGCCTGTGAATCATCAAAATTCATATCAAAAAACCCCAGGTTATTGTTAAGGAAATCCGTCTGATATTCTGGAGTCATCAATTCACTGAAATCACTATTTATGGTGCTTGGACCATTGGCCGGAGTGAATTCTTGCTGAGAGATCACTTTGGGTGGAAAAGAATGCAAAGCAGGATGTTGCAGCGATTGCTGTGGTAGTGGTAATGGTATTGGTGGTGGTGGTTGTTGTTGATTTAGCATACCATACGGCACTGGCATTTGAGGTATGAAAGGACTATTAAGATTAACAAATGACGGGCTTCGAACTTGTATACCGTTGGTAGATGACAGTGGCATTCTTTTAGAATTCATGTCTAAAGTGAGGGAATTTTTCGCAAAATTATTCTTAGATTTAGATTGGAACCCCTTGAGATTACTCCCCAAAGAAGAAGGCTGAGAAACATTGCCGCCACATGATTGTGAATTGAAAATTTCAAATGCCTCATTATTGGAAAATTCCGACTCATTTGGCGAAATTGGAGACATTAATGAATCGTCGGCTTGAGCCAAGTTGACACTACTCCCATGACGAGACAGGACAAATGAAGACGAATGTCTTAATCTTCCACCCCTGTTTTTGCTAATTCTGATCGATGGTGCAGAACTAGATGAACAATCACTCATGTTGTCACTGACGGATTTTGATTGATTAGGTTTTGGAAGTATGAGAACATGGTTATTTGAAGGAGTGTTGTTTTCGGGGAATTGGCCATTATTTGAGTAAGATCTTGGGTGTTGGCGGTTCATTTTAACATCGAACATTATTTGTGAATTTGGAGAATTGATAGCAATTTTTTGGGAATGTACTGGTTGGAAATGAAAAGAGTTTGAAAGATTGCTACTCGAGTAACTATTTCTTCCATAGTTCAGAAGGTTTCCTGATGAAGTATTTCTAAGGAGATTCTTCTTGGAATTTCTCTTTTTAATGACATCAGTTTTTAAAGTCAAAGGTCTCATTGTTCCATGTAATTTCAAAAACAAACCACAGGCGTTACAAAGAGTGTTACCATCATTATTTCTTCTCCAAAGTGGAGTTTTTGTGGTTTGACAATTTGAGCATGTTGTCACAGGTTTATTTTTGGAGTTGTCAGTTTTGATGGTGCTGTTGGTTGACGTTACCGAACTAGGAGATTTGACGTCAGTTGATGATGATTGGTCAACCTTAATTGGGATAGGTTGAGTGTGAGATTCCAAGGTCTTTTTCGATGGATATTGTTTTAGCAATGGTTCTGATTGTTGTTTTTGTTGAACCAGCAGAGTAGGTACTGGGGCCTTTATTTGACCCGAAATTTCTATATCATTGTCAAGTTCTTGTGATGATGGTGATGTCTTGGCTCCTCCTGCTAGAGTTGAGATATCAATGAGTGAATTGAATTCTTCATTAACAGTAGCACTATTACCATTATTGGTAATAGTCGTACAGGGACTTTCAGCTGCTGAAACGGGCGTGGCAATCCCATTAGTCGGTATTCCTGTGATCCCTTGATTAAACTTCTCCCTGGGTGTTATTATACTGTCGTTTTTGCCACTATTTCCCGTAAAACTGTTGGCTCTTGATCGCGAATTTGTCGAGGATCCGCCATAGGAATCAGAAGTCGGCGACGGCATTGGATTAAATTTTATGGTCTTGATATTGTGTTCATTTTTGTGTTGGTTATTATTAGGTTTTGAGGTATTGTTTGTTGAAGTGATGTTGATTTTTGTTGTTGATACCAACGAATCATTCATGAAATTCAATTCGGGGTTGGCATCAAAGTCAAGGAACTGGGAAAAGTCTGTGAAATCATTGGTTTTCAGTCTAATATTCTCTTCGTTTTCAAAGATTGTCGATACCATACCATCTTCATCGACAAGATTATTCATGTTCTTCTGGGTTTGCACATTTTTGCAGCTTTCACGTTCAACACGATAATCCATTCTTGGTTTGAAAAAGAGTAACTTTTTAGCATTGGAATAGATTTCCCAGATACTTTGGTCGGTTTCCATGGTACTATTATTATTATTATGATTAATGTTGTTCGACTCCATTATGATTTTATTCTAATCTGACTAGCCACAAAAACAAGCAATCAATATATATACATATAATATATGCCCACGAGTCCCAATATTTAACAACACTTGTTAATCATGTAATTGTGATAGGAGAAGGTGATGGCTTTTTGTCAAAGAGGCGGATTCGCAAGTATCTATTGTACTTTTCCTCGATGATTCTTCTTCTTCTTCTCTAAAAAAAAAAAAAAAGTTTTCTTGCTTTTATCCACAAAGATGCCAAAAACGATGGTGAGCCTCTTCCGGGAAACCTGAAGCAAAAAAGAAATTCAAACAATTGAAAAGAGGAAGTTTGAAATGGATCAGATAATGAATGCTAATAGTGATAATTATTGAATATTAGATGGTTATACTGAGAGGCCTCCCTCATAATACAAAAAAAAAAAAACGTTTTATTTTTTATTTTTTTTTTCTTCCTTTCCCCTAAGCGAATCAGTCATACTTTTTTTTTTCTTTTGTTAAAATGTCTCACCGCAACGGTCGAGGTGTGACCTCACGGATCACCCTGACCGGTGAATCTCCCCAAGTCACGCGGCAAGCAAAGGTAGGTGGGTGGTAAGTAAGCCCAATAAATAAATAATTCGATGCTACAACAACTAACTAACTAACTGTCTTGGATCTTTTGAGTACAAGCTCTTATCCAAAAACAATGTTTGCTAGGTCGTTCCAACCTATCTTTCGCAGAACCTACGTGTCTTACAAAAAGTATTATCTCCATCCTTTAGAAAAAAATGTATCGCTAATCTCTTTCTCAAAAGATCCTAAACATCTTGCCATCGGGAAAATTTCTCATGGATCAGTTAAATACGATGAATTGTCAGATTCCAATTCCGAAAAACTCATTGATTTGGACGACACGAAATTCAAAGAGAATCCTGAGTTCATGAACCGACTCTTGGATTTTTTTGCCAAGAATATATACCATGATTTCAGTTATCAATTAGAAACCGCAGAATACGCAGGATCATTCATGCCAGTATATGATTATCGGTCGGTTCCCGAGTACGGAAGAAGATCTGATGTCGATGATGTATTTGGATGGGTGCGAGTCAACGATCGGTGTGAAATGATTGAAGGAAGTTGGCAGGCTAATACTTTCTATAGACCATTCACCCAGTCTCATGGACTACCACAATTAACAGACTTTACCATGGAGAATATGGAGGACATTACAAAGCCATGAAGAAAAACTAATAACAAACAAAAAAATAAAACAAAGCAAAGTATCGGTTTTCTTTTTTTTTTTTGTCCCTTGATGTTGATTTTCCCCAACTAGCTCCTATCTACTGACTTCGATAATCGATGTTGACTGTTAAGTAGTATATGTACATATAATCCACATCTGTGGGCACTTGAATCTTAAGAACTCTCCCAAGGAGCCACTCCCAATCGGGCATGTGGCAAAAAAATAAAACCAAGTCTTTTCGTAACTGGCCAGCTTTTTTGGGTTTGTTTTTCGGGAAAACTGTAAATCAAAGGATGATTGTCGCTATGTATCTGTGTCTTTGTCTTTGTCTGTGTCTGTATATCCCAATTTTTAAAGCTCACCCACGCACGGCTGGAGGTAGTTGATACAACAATGTAAAGTAGAGAAGCACGAAAAGGATAACCAGATTGCCATACGTAATAACACTGAAACTTGTCATAAACACCATAAAGCAGGGTTTGGTACATTTTCATCAAAAATGAGCGTACTCGTTACCTGTTATAGGTACGAACCACAAGAGATTCGGAAAAACACGCTTAAATTTCTTTTTTTTTTTTTTTGGGTTGCGTTTTAAGGTTTTGTGGTTTCAAACTGTATTTATTTTTTACTTTCCTTGTGTTTCTTTTTTCTCACCCCCGGGGGGAAAAACAACAAAAAAACAACAAAAAACAGGGCAACTTATTGCCCCCCCCCCCCACCATAACGCACTCCTTAAAAATGTTGCATTGTACCAAAAGCCAAAAAGAGACCCTATCGACGGCTGAGTGGCAACTATATATGTTCAAACAATTTTTCGTAAACATGGCTAGCCTGTAGACTAGTAGGTTAGACAAATCGATCAGGGATCATCACTTTGACTCTTTCTTTCTTTCCCTCCGGTTGCCAACTGGAGTTGTGATGATATTATATGTACAGAGTTGACAGCTAGGAAGACTAGCAGTCGCAACAAGGGAAATAGGATGATGATGCATAAAGTTGAGTAATTGATTAGAAAATAAAATTGCCTTACGCCAGGCTTGTTATTTTATTTCTTGAACAAAAGGAAGGGAGAAAGAAAAAGCTACAGCGTTGCTTGTTCTGTCAGTTTGATTCAGACTTTCTGTGCTCATTGGTTTTTTTTTTTTTTTTTTTGAAATGTTCATAGTTTTTCCGAAGCTGCTCCCTCCCTCGGGATTTTTTTTTTTTTAAGGGTTTTTTCTTGTTATGTCATGCACTGCGATTGCCGAAGTATGTCATGGTTGTTTCATCAACAAATCAGATCACTGAATCACCCACCATATCTAGTTAATAGTGCATGGCAATAAACATTCCGTGTTGTCCACTCCCTTTAAAATTCATATTGCTTATAAATCAAATCGCTTATATTTGTGTTCACGAAAACAATAAGGGCGCATTTGTTCTCCATTTGATATATACTTGAGTAGAAAAAAAAAAGATTATTATTAAATAGATAACTAAATTAAGGAGTGAATTAGTAGTAGTAGTCAGTGTTTTTTTTTTTTTTCCCTTTCTGAAATTGAAATTGGTAAATTACTGGGGTCATATATTCTGATATGGAAGAATATCGACCATTTGACCAAACAAGGGTCTTTCTAAGAGCGAACTGCTTGTGAAAATAAAGGTTGACACATACTTCTGATAGGATAATTGTTGACAACTGGGTACTTTGTTTCTTTTACGGGGGGAAAATTTTTCCCGAGTGGGGGTGAGAAGAGCTTACTGGGAGAGAAAAAAAAGAGGAAGAAGGGGGTGTAGATCTTTGCAAAAAACCGAAAAAAAAAAAAAAAAAAAAAAAATACCAAAGAACAAGAACAGAGATGAGGATGCTAGCCAGAGTAAAGAGAAGAGAAGTAGTTCAAGTGCCACGAGATATTCGAAACAGATGATTTTGATGAGATACACGGACGGACCGAGTAATTAGTAAATTACAAACTAAAAAAAACAAAAAAAATCATCAGATGAAATAAACTCGGCTCGTTATTCTATAGTTGCATATTCCTTGTAGATTACTCGTGGCACATGCCTTATATCTGGAATAGCGGCTGTTTGTTTATGCAAATGTGGCAAAATAATAGTCATAGTTACAAAAAGTACCGCAAATAATCTGTAACTTTATGAGCAAAAAAATTATACTGAAACAATTGCCCAATAACAATAGAATGGCATTTCTGTGTCTCCCGTCTTCTTTGTCAAATTTTGACTCTGCAGCTTTATGACACTTTTGCGAGAGTCAGAAATATCAAAACTAAGGGGGATGGGAAAATCAAAGTATTTCTCCTATTCCCAGAATGTACTAACCTAGCCAAGTATAATAATCTTTGACCCTGAATATCCTTGTGTTGCATTTTATTTTATATTGAAATGGTGACTTCGGTGTCCTTTCTTTCTTTCTTTTTTTAGTAGGTAATTAGAGCACACACCCAAACATTTAGCTAAGATCTTGTCGACGTTTTATGTTACCCATCCTGCATACGAGGGAGGTAGATGAGGTGTTGCCAACACCCACTAACTACACGTAGGGCAAAACAATACTGTCTTGTCATATCGCTGGCCTATTGGCAATGAACAGCAAAGCAGTTACCGAAAAAAGAAAATATATAGGAAAAAACAACAAAAAACACAGGCACAATCCATTTTGTTATTATTATCATTATTACTATTATTATTATTATATGTGTGTGTATATCTATATATATATATATATATTGCAAGGCATTTTTGTTGGTGATTATTACTAATACGGGAGGGCAAATGTGTCAATCAATCAATCAATCCCTTTAGTTGTGTTGTACTATGTTCCATTCGGGCTCATTTGATTCGCTGAGATGATGGGGGGGGGGGGCTTCGTTTGTGGTTTCTTCTTGTTTCTTTCTCTCGCTTTTCTTTTTTTGGGGGGTCTCCATGCGGTTTGCTGAGAATTGCTGAATTTGACTTTTTTTGCGTCGCCTTTTTTGTCTTCAACCATCGCTGGTGCATGGCGGTGTACATGAATCCACCGCATGTGACAGCACGGGCACCTTGCAGGAGGCGACAGGAGACAATTTCTTGTCGGTTTTCTATCAAACGGCAAGGCGAGAAATCAAAAACAGACAACGCAGCCGCGTGCAGGAGATTGCATTGTACAATTCTCACTGGCCAAAAAAAAGTGCCATTCAATTCACATCTTAGTTAATCCTGCCAGTCAGTATATAGCTTGACATATATCATCCATCCATACCATCCTCCTCCACCGCTTGTGTTACCACTGGGTGGGAAAATATTCTGTTGTGTTCTCTTCTTCCATATATTCTTGTACCGTTTTTCCCAATCGAAATTTAAACTTTGTTGTTGATAGAATATTGAGTCTCGTCTTTTGCCTGTTGCTTTTTTTTTTTGCCATTAGACTTTCTGACACATTTTTCTTTTCGGTTTCGACCAACGTCATTATACAATTTTTTTTGATTTTTTTTTTCCATCATATATCACCGTCACACATCCACCGACATCAGCAAAAAAAAAAAATTGAAAAAATTGCCTAACGTTATCAATATTATCTTCTCTCAAAATAACAAAGATCTAGAAAAACCCAATGGATACCCAAATAATGACCATGAACACTCAAGCTTACCACTCTTATTCCTCTCGCTACGTGGGGGCCCATCCACTCCAACCTACCTCTTCAACAACCTCATCATCCTCGTCAAACAACTCATATATTGATTTCAACAGGGAATTAACTTATGATTATAGCAATAACACTTTCAACCCAAAGATATCCCTCAGATCTTATTGCTTTGCCCACCAATCATCATCCACATCTTCTAACCCAAACTCGACTTCTAACTCGTCGTTAAACTCCCCAGTCAATTCTCCATTATCGAGCCTAGCCATGCCAAATGCCCAATCTTTACCACAGTTCAATAATGGTCATCGTCTTACAAGTGCCAGCAACCCAAACCTCACCGATTTTTCTGGTTATTCTACTCCTTTGTCGTCGACATCTTCATACCCAAATGCTTTCCAATCAGCGACAAACTCTCCAAGATTCAACGACTTGTCCAGCAAGCCATTTGTACCAAAGTATCCTACCTCCATCACACCGCTTGGCGCAAACCCTTCGAATGTTTCATCTTCTTCCTCATCCCATCCTGCGGGAATGAAGCCAGAATCTCCTTCTTCTCCAGTGTCCGATTCTGATGGTGTCAATTCTATGAACGGCGGTGGGGCCACTGGTGGTAAAAAGAAGAAGAGATGCAACTTGCCAAAGAAAACCACCAAGATTTTGATCGATTGGTTGAATGACAACTTGAGTAACCCATACCCTAACTCGAAGGAGAAGTTTGAATTGATCGTCAAGACCGGGTTGACAAACCAACAACTCAGTAACTGGTTCATCAATGCCAGAAGAAGAAAGATCAACAACCTTAGAGAAAATCAATTGAAAAACAACATGGTTTGAGGATACTTACTGAGAATTCTGCCATCACAACGAACAATATGATTTGATTTGATTTCTTTCTTTTTCTTTTTTTTTTCCGCCACACTTCCTTTGATAGACACAAACCCATCCTTAATGACTTTTCTTCTTGCTATATCTATTATTATTATTAATTTTTTTTTTTTTTTTGACAACCACCAATTTCATTAACAAACCAAAATGAAAGAAATAAGAAGAAGAGAAGGAAAGCCTTGATATGATTTTCATTTCTTTATCACTTCTATTACCACCATCCCTACAAGAGGTTTCCTCCTCATTTAATTATTTAATTGTTTCTTACATAATTTGATTGTATATTATTATAAGTTATCTTTTTTTTTTTTTTTTTTTTTCCCTCCTTCCCCCGGCCCACTTTTTCCATTTTTATTTTGATATATCCATCATTATTATTTGGCATGATTGGTTTTACTGCTTTTTCCCTATTCTTTGGTTTTCAATTAGTACTTACTCGTTTTTTTTGTTTGTTTTAAATGTGATGTGTGTAGGTTTCTGTAATTATTGTTCATCCTGTAATCCTGGCGTCTGCACCATTGGATCTGGTTTGATGTTGTTGTTGGCCCACACGACAGACACTAAATAAAATAAACAGAAAAGTTTAAAAAAATAAGGGTGTGGTATGCCTGGTGCCGTGCAATAAGAGTACCGCGGAACATGACACAAAATGTCAAGTCACCGTCATTTTAGATGAAACGGTAAAAATAAGCATTTCAGTTTCTGATGGCGACGACAATCAATATAAACAAGTGGCCTATATAGTATGAAGTTCGTAATTACTTGAGAACAACACCGATAACAAATGGGGGAAGGGGGGTTTGAGTATGTATTAGTTTAGGGATGATGATGGCTTTTTTCTGTTTTCTTCTTTTTTTCCGGAGTTCTACTTCCGTTTTTCCAAAGAAAGACGCTAATTAGTCCAATATTTGGGGTAGGAACACTGGATACCAAACCCAGACATATATCGCCAAATGTTATTAATACCAGATTCGTAAATTGAGGCACAAAGACAAGACAAAACAAGACAGAAAATAAAAAGCCAAGAATCAATCTTCTTTGATAGACATTGCCGGGGCCAATCACAAGGGGAAAAAAAAAAAAAAAAGGGTAGATCTATTAGGAGGGTGCCGAATGGGAACTTCTTCATTCCACTAAAAACATAGACTTCATTGTATACTTTCTTTGGGTGGGTGTTTCGGTGTTAGCAAGCAATTAAAAAAAAAAACAAAAAAAAAAACAGCTCAATAATTACATTCCACATCATACGTTTCTGGCTTTTATTATGGTCTTTGTGGTTACTTTGGTTAATCGATAGCGAATTGACACGCAAACCTGTTAGGCAGCCGAGTTGTGTGGCCAATAACAGGCAAATATTTCTGTTTTGATAAACGAGACAATAGTGAATACGACTTTTATTATACTGTCACGAATATTTCCGACCCTTGCGTGAATATTGTAAGGTGGTTTGGTTTGCCCTTCAAAAAAAAAAAGCGCATTATAATTATTATTATTACCAAATACGGATCCCTCATAGAAGTTCTTGCTTAACCAGAGACAAAAGAATGTGTTAAATTTTTTTTTTTTTTTTTTTTTTGATTTACTGGGGGCCATAGTATTAATGGTTAAGATGTACATCGTTCAACACTCCTCCCAACAACAATAATTACAGATAGGTTAAATGGACATTGCACGGTGAGTATATATAGGTAACACCCAGCAACCGTCCACTAATAGATAGCATACTGGTAATATTAAGTGTGCTTTAAGTGTGTGGCCACTATAATTTTTCTTTTCTTTTTTTTTTCTTTCTTTTTAAGTGCTATTGGGTTTAATAAATGTATAATAAATGTATCTCCTAAGCAACTAAACATCGAGCAGTTTTGAAAAAAAAAAAAAGACAACAACGATACTCAAATAAAAAAAATCCTTGGAATATCATCACATCTCCCATATATATATATATATATATATCGTTTATTATAAACCCCTTATACCTCTCATCAGTTTGATACCCGGTCCTAAGAACATCCTGGAGGGAGTGAGTCTGCACGATATTGATATTGGCACGCACCCCTCCCTCTTACCCAGCTGTTAGTGGGGGAGGGGTCCTCGGCACACCTTGAAGGAAACGGCGTGGCGGCGTGGCGGCGGTGCGGCGAAAACCAAAATAACACCCCCTCTCCACTCCACCCCACTCCACTCCACTCTCAAATTTTGACGCACACCAACGTTTTACGTCACGCACCATCAATCATCATTTAGTTATGATGATAATTATATAATACCACAGGGAAGAAAAGATTGCTTGAAAACCCAAAAGAAAAAGAAAATAAGGATAATACAAGGAAATGAGCAAAAATAAAATACAATGCAGTGAGGAGAGAGAGAGAGAGAGAGAGAGAAACAAAAAAAAAAAAAAAAAAAAGAATTTGATCAAATGAAGGAAAGAGGTTATTTATTGAAAGATATAAATGTTGAGGCGCGACGTTCGCTCGCTCGCAGAAGTGGTAGGAACACTATTATTATTATTATTATTGGCCAGGCATTGGATCTAAATTAATTGAGTTTGGCCAATGTTTAGTTTTTTAGTGGGATCTTGTATGTTTTCTATTACTATCCACAGATTAATTAATGTAGACAACAGGATTACCAGATCTTTAGAATAGAAGAAGATCCTTTCTTTCCTTCCTTCCTTCCTTTCTTGTTTCATTCTTTCCATGATCTGTGTAAAGCCCCTTAACCATCTAGATCCAGCAGAATTGTTACAAAAGTCCTGATTCGATAATATCCATATACCTTTGCTTATCGACAAGACACCTCCAACAACTCATCTTCGAGCAATGTAAACACCATTGGATAACAACTATCCACCCCAGAATCATTTCATCATCATAGGCCGATGGGTAAATTCATCATATAACCTAAGTACAAACAACAAACACAACAGGATAATGTCAATTAGCAAATGTAGTAATAGTAGATCATCATGGCATAGGGCTCCTGTAGTTTGTCAAATTTTAAACCAATTAGCAACTAGGCAAAAAACTGTTACAATAAAATTTATCAGGATGCCGATATACACTATATTTATACATATATAAGTATAAAGCAACACATTTGAAGTAAATAATTTGAAATTTTGAAGTTTCATGGAATATTTTGAGTTTTTACTTTGGGCCACATCACATTCCTGTCAATTCAATATCTTATATTTTTATCCAAGCTCGCCGGATATATAAATCTCAAATAAACTAAAAAAAAAAAAAAAAAAAACACATGAAAAACAGATATTGAAAAAATTAAGGAGCAATAGTTCATAATCAAACGCAGAGCTACACATACTGTCATTCATTCATTCATTCACCAACCAATGGATTCCCTCGCCAAAGGTCTAAATACTTTTATCGAGCCATTGATTAAATCACTGATCTTATAACTAACCGGCTTGATCTTGTTCTTCGAATCTTTTTCAAAAACCCTAAACTTCATCTTGATCGAATCAAATTCACCAATGATCGCTACTAGCGGTTCTTTGGCCCCGACTTCATAAACAATCTTTTGACGTAATTTATTATGACCTGAAAATTTGGCACTAGAAATCCTAAGAATGTCTCCTGGTTGGAAATCTTCAGTTTGATTGACACTTCTATGCGATTCATTATGGTAAATTAATTTCCCAAAAGAATTCAACCCGATTGGGGGAACCAAACCTGGTAATTTTTGGAAAATCTTAGCCACAAAGTTTTGTGACCCATCAAGAGTGTGGCCATTATATTTAGAAGCTAATTTATAAATCTCAAGCCCCATTTGTTTATCACTATCGGCCATTGGAATATTGGTGATTTGGAACCCAACGTTATCAATATTGGCTTGATCAAATGTAACACTGATCAATTTCTGACTATATGACGTTTCACTTATCATCAAAATATAATAATCCTTAGTAATCATGGTGATCCTCCCACGCTTCTTGGAGCTAGACTCTTCAACTTCATAGATAAGGGTTTTGCCAACCTGCGCTTGTAATGATGGAGGTAATTCCTTTTTGTGCCACCAGTCAGCCGATTCGTAAACATCAATATCCTCAACTGCGAGCTCCCGAGTCATGGTTCGATAAGCCATCAATGGTTCACGAGAAGAAGATTCAACTGCAAACGATTTATAGCTGTCCACAGACATTCTTCTATCTTCATATGACATCATCTTGCCATCAACAGATTGCCGCTTATTATATAACAATGAATTGCGCCTGCTAAATGAACCGTCATTGGTGAAATCAGATACTGCTTGTTTTTCGGGCACAGTGTGTGCTCTATTAACTATTCCTGGAATTGCCGGAGCAGGGTTTGATGGAGCAGAAGGAGGAACAGATCTTGGTAATGGAGGAGCAGCACTGCCCGGCATGACTGGTGGTGGAATAGATCTAGGCAATTCTGGAGGAACATCCATTGGTACAGGAGGAGGAGGCCCCTTAGTTGTTGGCAAAACTGGGTTGATAACTGCGCCTACGCCATCAGTTTCAGTTTCTTCCTGATCTCCATGTGTTTCTTGTATTGGGGGTTCAGTGTCCTCGTCGCCCTCATACCCCGTGTTCTCACTATCAGATACACCCTTGTGTTCATCATGGACGAGATTCTTTTCTACCGGTAGGCTTTTAGAGCTTGAATCAACTTCGGCTTCAGAAGTAGCGAAGACAGCTTCATCAGGAACTACCACCGGTGGCTGAGCTTCAATTGCCTTCTCTTTTTCCAACTCCTCAGATTCTTCAGATTCTTCTTCATCAGTGACCGTTGGCATATCTTCGAATTGTGTGGCACCTGCTGGATTTTCATTAGTGCTTGCGAAACTTTCTTCATCTATTGAGTCCCTAATTTCAGAAACATTAGAAGATGATGATAATCTGCTTATAGATCCTTGAGTGGCTTCGGTTTTTGGAGCTTCAGATTCTGGAATTGGTACAGGGGCAGAAGCGCCACTGCCAATAATGGGTAAAATGGGAACTGCTCGTGGCAAATCTTCCTGTTCTTGCTCTTCTAATTGTTTTTCAATTTCTTTTTTGGTTTCAGTCTTTGGTTTAGTCTTCTTCTTGGTTGATGATGGAACCCCAAATGGACTCATACCCATCATTCCAAACATACCTGCGCCACCTGATAATTTGGCCATCCGTTCTCTCAATTGACGTCTGCGAGCTTCTTCCTCATCTTCTTCTTCTTCTTCCTCTTCTTCCTCATCATCTTCTTCATCAATGTCTTCTTTTTCTTCTTCTTTTTTGTTGTTTTCATCACCTTCTTCTTGAGCTTCCTTGTTTTTTTCTTCATTTTCACCTTCTTCACCTTGCGTGATTTCATCTTCTTTAGATTCGATATTTTCCTGGACACTTTGCTCTTCTATAGATTCACCACCATATACAGCAACTTGGTCTTCTGTTAGTGATTCACCAACTGTACTCTTTCTGGAAATAGCAGCGGATCCCGGTTCTGATTCTGAAATAGGTGTATCTACCAACGAGCCTGCTGAAACAGGAGGTTGATGGACAGCCTTCTTCTTCTTTTCAGACTTTTTTTTAGATGAGGCTAATTCCCGGTTCGCTTCTTCTTGTTGAGTCTTCTGTAACATCGCAATACGTTCTCGAAGACTCATCTTTGGGGTGTTTTCCTCTGGTATAGCATCTTGACCAGATACGGTACTTTCTGAGGCCTCTTGATGAGCATTTGTTGACGGGGAAAACGTATTAGAAGATTTCTTGGAGCCAAATCCGGGCGGGACATATGAAGATGGGCCACCGAAATATGGTTTATTTGCATGCGATTCTTCCTTTGGCTTCATCATTGGTAACATAGGGGCGGAGTTGGCAGTGTTGAAGGCGGCAATCTTGTTAAAAAAAGCATTATCAGATTTCGATTTTGATGGTTGTGTTACAGCTTGAATATCATTGTGGATGGTCTCAGGTGTAGTGGCAATTGGTTCTGGATTGACTTCTTGTTCTTCATCTTGGTTAGGCTGCTCGTTGCTCACCTCATCCTCAGCAGCAATCTCAGGCTTCTTAGGGTGAGGTCTCGCGCTAGGAACCATAGGTTCGTTGATGGTTTCAACAAAATTTATTGGGAAAATACCAGATAGTTCTTTGCCGGTTGTTGGATCAGTGAACTTCCCAGAGTACCACTCTTCATCTTCGATGTTGGTGACGGTGATAACGGTTTCAGCCACAAAGTTAAGATCATCGTCATATTCAGATGAATAATCGTACAATGCTCGGACCTTGAAAGGTACAGCAGGCATATTGTTAGATAAAGGAAATATTATGAATTACTTGGTTCTGTGTACCGTCTTTTCTGGATGATTGATAAATATATATATTTTTTTTATATAGAAGGCCCATCGGATCCACAGAGTATGTGTCAAATTGGGGTTTCTACTTTTTCTTTGATACCTCCACAACTCTACCGCACCCAAACATCGCCCACAATCAAATTAACGCGGGGCCTCCCCCAGGATGAAGGCATACCAATTTTGCGTTTGACTACATTTGAAAACGTCAGGCGGCATAGAAACAAACATGTGTCACATGACCATGGGATCTGGTTGTGTACCTGTATATCGTATCGGTCGGTACCTTTTCCTCCAAAAAGACGATAGATAGATCGGGTATTAACTCAGTCAAGAGTTCTCTTAGAAGTCGAAGATAAGAAGCAGATATTAACTGGTTGCATATGTAATCAATCGGTAAATAGAAAGATAACAAATAAATAAATAAATAAACAAACAAGAGAGGATTTTGACAGCAAAAGAGGTGGTGCTGGATCCTAGAATATACAGTAATGACAGGATACTGTCGTTCCTAAGAATATGGGACTTATTTATAAGTTGTTTTTCTTATTTTACCAACAATTGCAGTCGCAAAATATGTGGGGTTTTTAACAGGTTATAAATCCGGTTTTCTTGGAACATGGATCCGCTTAATTGTATCCGTTGGCTGAATTAGACGGGTTTGAGGATTTTTTCTTGGCCGAAATGAAGAAATGAATGAGGATTTGTGTTTGCAAAAATCTACATACTCAACGGCTCCGGACCCCCGGCGATTGTCAGACCACTACACCGCTTATCTTGACATTATTCCATTTTCTTTATTGCTGTTGAGCGTCTACAGTGTTCCCCACTTGTTATGCTCCCGTTGGGACAGTTCCAGCAGGATTAAGTTATGTATTCCCAGACATTACAGCAGGATAAAGTTGGTTTGGGGTTGGTTAAATGTATACTGGTTCTTTATTAGCTAAATCTGATTCTTCCAATTAACTACTCAGATTGTAAGCACAATAATTACTAAATCCTTAAGTAGCAAATTTCTATTCCCTCCATGATAAGTGGAAGCCACCATATTGCCAGATTCGGATGTAGGAATGTGTGCTCAATACAGAAGATCATACATCCAGAGCCAGAGTTTTGTATTAACAATACTCTGGAGCTGTAAATTAAATATAGAATATGTACCGAGAAATAAAGTTATTAATATCATCATTCGCCAATAATGATGTAATGAGTACCACCACGGTGGAACCCTGCCCTCGCTTTATCGATTCCATCAAAATCACCCATTTTTTTCACTCACTCAGCTAACAATAATATCATCGAGAGGTTCTGTTAAACAGACTGCGTTATATTTACACCAATGTGGAAGCCATCATCACATACAGAAGCAGTATTGTTCTTCACTTCTCTAAAATAATATATAGATAAAGAAATGATAACTACGCACATGCAGAACTACACCAGCAAACAAACGTTCGTCTACTATTTTTAGCCACAATGTTCATACAGACGGGCGCTTTCCTGTAGTGACGGGCCTGCACCTCCGCCCGCCATACCATATATAACTGTCCTTCGACCCTCCACTTTACAACATATTTATTCTCTTTCTTCTTATTCTATCATCAATCAACAAACAAAAACAATTTCATTGTTTTACTCACTCTTATATCTCTAATAACAATATTTAATAAAAAATGAAGTACACTCTCGCTACTGCTGCTATCGTTGGTTCTGCCATCGCTGCTTACGTTCCTTCTGAACCATGGTCTACTTTGACTCCAAGTGCTATGGTCTCTGGTGGTACTACCGATTACGACGGCACTTTCGGTATTGCTGTTGTTCCAGTCACTGCCGCTTCCTCTTCTGTTGCTAAGAGAGATGCTGTCTCCCAAATTGGTGATGGTCAAATCCAAGCTACTACCGCCACCACTACCACTCACGCCCAAGCCATTTCTCAAATCGGTGATGGTCAAATTCAAGCTTCTACTTCTACTGCTCCAGTTACTACTGTTCAACCAATCTCTCAAATCGGTGATGGTCAAATTCAAGCTACTACCACCACTCACGCCCAAGCTATTTCTCAAATTGGTGACGGTCAAATCCAAGCCACTACTCTTACCACTAATGTTGCTTCTCAAATTACTGATGGTCAAATCCAAGCCACTTCTACCGCTTCTGTCAACGCTACTGTTGCTGCCGAAAACACTAAAGATGGTATTACTGCCGTTGCCTGTAAAGTCGATGGTACTTTGCAAATGACTTTGGAAAAATCTATCTTGAAGGATGGCAAGGGAAGAATCGGTTCTATTGTTGCTAACAGACAATTCCAATTCGATGGTCCACCACCACAAGCCGGTGCTCTCTACGCTGCCGGTTGGTCTATCTACAATGGCAACTTGGCCATCGGTGAAACCACCACTTTCTACCAATGTTTGTCCGGTACTTTCTACAACTTGTATGATGAATCTTTGGGTGCTCAATGTAAACCAGTTTACTTGGAAGTCACTTCTTTGGTCGATTGTTAAAGAAAATTCTCTTCTTCAATTCTGATCTTTTTCTTTCTTCTATCTTCCAATAATGACCTGCATTTTTAATCACTTTTACATCTCAACTTCATCATCATATTGTTGCATCAAATTTATTACCGCATTAGCATTGCTTTCTTTCCATCTGCATTCTCCATCACCATTGTTCTTGGTCATTGGTTAGACTTTTTCATCTTTTCTGCTCTGTTTTATTTTCATTTATTTTTTCCTGCATTTTCTCATAATTCATCGTTGCATTTTTCAATAAACATAATCTTATAAAAATTCTTTACTGGTAAATGTTTTATATCATTCTCAAAAAAAAAAAAAACATATCACAAAATATTCGGAATGTATAGTAATTTTTAAAACATGTCAAATAAAACATGGAAAGTACCACTATCATCGTCACGCGCCATTTTTATCAAGACGGAAAAAGATTTCCTCAAGGAGGATTTGGAAATCTAGATTTATGATAATCGCACAATTCCACAAGAATATAAGGATTAAACCCTATTATAGATCAAGTCAGCTACATGTGGGTATACATTGTATAATCACAGCGTCCAACACTACCGGAATTAAAGTCAGCCGACAATACGCCACGAACCAAACCAAGGTTCCAGTAACAAATTGGGTTTATTGACCGTGGTATCCCAGGTGAAACTGTGAGAGAAACCACAACCAACAAGCTATTCCAAAACTCTAGCTTTGAATTGATCCTAGCTCCATGGATGCATTATTGTTGGAATAAATGGAATAAAACTGCACTTTCAAGATGTCCGCCGTTAAGGGCGCTCTTCCCTAATTACGAATTTTTCATGTCGGTGTGCCGGAGTTATCTTAGATAGATTCAATCTACCTTCACGATGACATAATAACAATGCACTGAGTATAAATACAAAGCGAAAGCTCAAATACTGTAACTAGCATAAATAAAATAAAAAATATGTGTCAAAGAGTTCGAGGTAGGAGTCTAATTTGATTCTTTATTATATTCTATTGCAGTTCTCTTTTTTTTTTTTTTTAATTCAATACATTTCCGCTCAAACAGCAGCGTCATGACTTCACATTTCTTATCCAAAGGTCAACAGATCGTACCTATGAAATACAGACCAAAACCCCTAGTGTTCGGTCTAATAGTTCTTTCTTTAATCATCGATAAACTCAATGTTACAGGGGCAATCACCAGTTTCTACTCGCTTTCCGAAAAGTTTGATGTTCCAATCGCCACTGCCTCTTGGGTCTTGTCAGTGTATGCGTTGACCATTGGTTCATTCATTATTGTATTTGGCAAAGTCGGAGATATTGTTGGTCCTCATAATACATTCGTTGTAGGCACTTTATGCATGTCTATTTTTTCATTGCTAGCAGCTACAGTTGATGAATCTATTTACGCAGTTATTGTATTCAGAGCTTTCCAAGGTATTGCTGGCGCTGCTTTGGTTCCTTCGGGGTTTGCAATCATTGCCAGTTATTTCCAAGGTAAGGCAAGATTCATTGCTCTTAAAGTTTTGTCAGCTGCTGTCACTGGCGCTCTAGGTCTCGGGGTGATTCTTGGTGGGGCGTTCGATGAAGGAAGTATTGGGTACCAGGGGATTTTCTATTTCACTTTTTCTGTATCCTTTACAGTATTTGTGTTTCTATATTTCCTCATAATTCCTATTCAAAAAACCGAGGGCCACAAAAATTTGAAATTCAGGAACTTGGACTTCTTTGGAGTTTTGTTGATGATTTCTGGTTTGTTGTTGATCATCGTAGGTTTTACTGAAGCGGCAAACAGCTGGAATTCCCCGAAAGTTTATATCACCCTCCCAATTGGATTTATGCTTGTTGCCTGCTTCTTTTATTTCGAGCTTTTTTATATCAAAGGTTACAAGGAGAAATTCCGGAAGTCTCTTCCAAACCAACAACAAGACTTCACTAGTAAATTTGATTGGAGAGTAGATACGCAGCCGCTTTTTCCAGCAGAAATTTTGGCAATTCCAAACATCAAGTTATTACTCTATGGTATGTTTGCTGTCAACACATCTGCCATTTGCTTACAAAGTAATCTTGTTGAATATTTTGAATATGTTGAATTAGACACTCCAATTATCGCCTCGCTCAAGATATTACCGCTTGCTATGGGTTCTGTTTGTGGCTCATTCCTTTTCAGTCCAAAAATTGTGAAAGCCTTGACCCTTCGGGGAACTTTGCTTCTTTCATCGCTCGTTGGTCTCGGGGCGTACATTTGGATTTCTAGAATAAATTACACTATTCATAACAGCTACTGGAAATTTGTTTTTGCCAGTGGATTTATTGCGGGTTATTCAATAAACATGTTTTTTGTGGTTATCCTTGCCGGTTTAATGCAAAACACCCCATTGCATTTACAAGGGGTTGTTTCTGGAGTAGTTCAAACCGTTGCACAAGTTGGTTCCAGTATCGGTACAGCAGTTATCAATAGTATCATTGGAAGTATGGAATATAAAAAAGGTGATGATTTAGCAAGACACCGCGTTGCCAAAAACTTTGAAAACTCATTAAATTTCATAGTGGGCTTGGGTGCCAGCTTAGTAATTTTAATGCTTTTTATTAAAGATGATAAGTCTTTCTTGGTTGAGGGAGGAAAATCAACTGGGAGAACAATTTTATGAAGCTCAATCTGAAGAGGAATCTAATGAAATTTCCAAATAAAACCAAATTTTGAATTATAACTAAAAAGCTATTCAGCTTGCCATACGTTTCTTGATTTTATGCTACTTCACATTTTTTTTTTTTTTTTTTGATTTTCTAGGGAAATAGTATTTCTTTTTTATAATACCACACCCTTTATGTTTTATGTTATGAATATATCATGTCTAAAAATAACATATATATCAAAGTATATTATAAAGTAATACAAATAAAGGCAAATAAGAAAGGCTTTGTCACCTTATTGCTTGGAAATGTCATCATGTCTGCCATGATGATGCTGTGCGTGCTGCGTCAAAGTGACCTAGGCTTGGTGTTATTGACAGTAGTTAGTTGATTAAAATTTTTACATTACCCAAGGTATCTTAGCTGATGGTTAGAGCAACAAGATTCCTTTTCACTTATGCTTCATTTGTATCTTTTGCTATGAAATCTACCAAAGATCTTACTGATCATTAATTGCACTCAACACATTTGTAGCGAAGGTTGTCTATGTCCCGACATATGAGACTGTGTTAATTACGTTAAGATAGTTGTTATTTGGACTCAAGGTTCTTCTGTCATATATATATATATATATATGTGGAGCATGCCAGATATTGGTTTGATCACATGATATATCGCGGAAATGTTAGATTGGGAGTGGAGGTGCAGTCATGACGAATATATATCGTCGTATTTACCCATTTCGGAGATGATATTGTGCTTCTCCTTTGTTTTCTCTCCTGTGATATAAGAACCAAAGGGTTTTCTTTATATTATCAATAAAAATGTCCACCTATGAACATGATCTATTGGGAAGAAAGGAAACAAATACTATGATAGAAGGTTCAATTGATGGTGATGACGGATCTCTGTTGCAACAAGAACAGATAAAATCTCAGAAAGTGATAAGTGCGGTGGCAAAACAGGATGGATTTGATGATGATACCAGATGTTGGGCTGTACTGGAGGGTGAAGACTATCTAAATCATTGCAAGCTATCGGATCAAAATAACAGGTTTCAAGATCTTGAATTGCAAAATCCCCCAGAACAAAACTCCAAATCGAACTTTGATATCCCGGATGGAGGTTATGGCTGGGTAGTGGTTGGCGCGGTGTGTTGCATCAACGCGTGCAGTTGGGGAGCTATTGCTGGGTTCTCTGTCATTTTAGCTTATTACATGCAACACTCTGTGTTTGAAGATGGAAGTAAAATGGCTTACTCAGTGATCTCCGGGCTCTCCTTTGGTGCCGGGCTAATTTTCTCGCCATTGGTGATCTACTTGGCTGGGATTTCCAATGCCAACATTGTGGTATTTTCTGGCGGGGCTTGCCAGTTTATATCTCTCTTTTGTGCCTCTTACGCTACGAAAATCTACCAAATTTATTTGACCCAGGGATTATTGAGCGGCCTCGCGTTATCATTAATTGGTAGTTACACCCCATCAATTCCTCCTCAATGGTTTGTTAAACGAAGAAGTTTTGCTATGGGGTTGACCACTTGTGGGGCCGGAATGGGAGCGCTTTTGTTTAATTTAACAATGCAGAGAATAATCGACATCAAATCGGTTCAGTGGGCCCTAAGGACTGAAGCTATCATTATTTTCCTGTTGGTATCGATTTCCGCAGCCCTTTTGCGAACCAGAACCCAGGTCATTAACCCCCAGTTGAAATTCTGGGATGGGACGGTGGCTAAAACGTTTCCATTCTGGATGCACATTGTGTACAACTTCACCGCGATTTTGAGCTTTGTAACGGTACAATACGTCATTGCCGACGCCACGAGGTCATTGGGTTATTCTGCTGATCAAGGGGCCGATACCAGTGCATTAATGGCCACGGGAGTCATTATTGGCCGTCCATTGTTGGGATTTATCTCGGATCGGCTTGGTGCGGTGACCGTGGGGATCTGGACTTATGCTGTGTGTGCTCTTTTCACTTTAGCAATGTGGATGCCAGGTCGCAACTTGGCCACAATTTACGCCTATTCTTTAATAATCGGGGGTCTTATGGGATTCAATTGGGGTGCCAATGGGGCGATCATCCCTCGTATCACCGGACTTAAAAGAGCTCCAGCAACTTTCGGCATGACTTGGGTATTCATTGGCATTGCGGGGATAGTGTCCCCGATCATTGGATTAGGGTTGAAAAGGTCTAATTCAGAACATCATCAGTATGAATATGTGGCATTATTTGCTGGTATTTCATTTGCAACTACTGCCACAGCATTATTCTTTTTAAGAGGATACCTTGTAGCTAGGGATTCACTCGTTCTTGAAGATGAAAACCTCAAAGATGGTGATCGAGACAATGATAATGAGTTACATGTCAATGTGCCATGGAAATCGCTGTTAGAGAAGATGTTCACGCTCAAATCTCCTTTGAAGGTTTGATAAATATGGTCTCTTTTCAGAAATGAATGCTCTTGTAGCATAGGACATGTTTAAGATATGCTATATCACCATAGTCATGATCTTCCTAATGACTGCTAATATTATCAGACTTAATAGTTCATATTATTGTTATTAATGACCTTTTGGATTGTATAATATTCTTTGTTAGAACTTTCTATCAATTTCTATCAATTTCTGTTATTCTTTATTATTCTCCATCACTTCTATTTTAATTTTCAATCTTCTTTGATACTTTGCATATTTAATTTTTTTTTCCAATTTTCAATATTCTTCGTTATTTTGCGTATTTAATCAACTTCTATTTCACTTCTTATAAAACAAACAGGTATAATTCAAATTCTGGCATAAGCTTCCCAAATCTTTTGAATAACATGAGTGCACACTTGCATTACACTTGCATTAAGCTCTTAGGGGTTGTATTTTCAGGAAATTATAAGTCAGTTTCCTTTTTTTTTTTCAATTAGCTATAGATTCACCACTCAGTGTCAAGAGAAATCAATTATTAACGTACGATCCATACACATAAAAACAAAGAAACAAATTACAAAGATGGCAAAGATTATGTGATGACTTCGTAACCTTGCTCAAGCTTTACGCTTGCTTGCCATGCCACGACGTTATCACGATACATATAATAATGGACTGATTTTTTCAATAATATGAATCGACACACAAAAAAAAACAACCCATTTCTTTAGATATATTTTTGTTGGAATGTGTGGTACGGTTACTTTATATGAAGACAATTGTTTCTCATTGACTGTATTGTTGTTATCAAGGACTTTGAAAGAAGCGCGGACGCTTTTCTGGAAACAATGATTTCAAGAAACAACATTGCATAATTAAAGTGTTCTGAATGCTCCAACGATATTCTTGGTGAATGAATAATCTAATTGATTAATATTTGATGAATCGAATCAGATAAGAGTTTTTTGCAGTGATGTTTCCGTCCAGGAGCTGCTACCGATCCGGCAAGTTTTTTAAACAAAAGCAGTGGGAAATTAAAAACGCTGTTGATGGCAAATCCACTAACGTCAATATACTAACAATAACAAGATGTCGTGGTACGAAGAACTCACAAACCCTCCAATATAGTACGTTTTTTGTTGTTTTTGTTGTTTTTTGTTTGTTTGCGGCGCTTGAGGGAATTTTTCCAATTTATATTTGCATTTTCTTTTCTTTTTGAGAGCTTTATTCCTAACTAACAATCTTCCAGTAAAACCGCTTATGATTTGAAAGCTCCAACTGGATTCAAGGAAACTACTGGAACATTTCAGATCACTAAACCAAAATCAACGAAGTCAGTGAATAATCGGAAGCAAATCAATGATTTGAAGATAAAGAAGGGCTGGGAGGTTGCCTTGGCTCCGGTAAAGTCCCTACCTATGACCTTAGTGATGAACTATATGACCGGTAACACGTTGCAAATCTTTTCCATTTCAATGACATTAATGCAACTTGTTAATCCTCTCACGGCAATTTTCAATTTCAACCAGCCTTTTGAGTTCTTGGAAGGTGGTGATCCCGGTGAATTGGAAGAGGTCCAGTACGATGTGGTGATTGTTAAATTGGCATTCATTGCTTCGCAGTTGGTGTGTTTGGCAGTTGGTATCTATAAGTTGAACGCTATGGGCTTGATACCTAACAGTACGAGCGATTGGTTATCATGGGAAACGTATCCTAATTTTAAGGAGGTAAATATTGGCATATTCTAGCGTGTGTAATATACAAGATTTGTTTTTATATTTTCGTTTTTCGACTCGAAGTAACATAAGTTTTCTCAGCAATTTTTTTTTTTTTTTTATTTTTTTTAAAAAATAATATAAAGAATTATTATAGAATATGGAAAAATACCGGTTTATATTAAGTAACCCCCCCTTAATAGCTAAAAAAATATATGTATAAACATATTTATATAAAACTTAAAGAATAATGGTGAAAGACTCAGAATATTTCTATTACAATATCCAAACAAATAGCGAACAGAAATAAGAATGGTAATTTTACTGTTCAATACTGCCATAATTTGATTGATCGCTTTGAATGAGAACATTCTTCTTTGGTTTCTTATGATTCTTGACAAAGATAATCAAAACTCCCCCAATAATGGCAGTCAAAGATGTGAGAAGTAAGTTCACTGGAATAGGATTCATACCAAATGTAATGTGAGTAAGGTTGTCTAAGCCAGTTTGCACGAAATTGAATAACCCACTAATACAAATAATTGCCCCGTAGATGGTACCAAAGGTGGTGAAACCAAATACTTTAGCACAATAATCACTAACTGCAGTGTAATAAAATGGTCGGTAAAGGACCATAAACATGATTCCAATGTAGTTTGCAGTCGCATTAGGAATCATTCCCATTATTCCAATGATCAAGGAAACACCGAGTAAAATACTGAGAATCGTCACGGTTCTGAAATTATCTAACAAGGTTCCAATGAACGGAATGGATAAAAGTCCACCTATAGGTAACGCAAGATCAAAAAATTCGTTGACTTTCTTAGCGGCAAGAGGATCACCCAATAAAAACTCCTCTTGAGATCTAACGGTCGCCACAAAATAGTTGATTCTCAACATTTGAATCGAGGTGAATAACGCCATCAACAAGAACCAAATACTGCCCACCTGTTCCTTGAGAGAAGCCCCGTGCAAAGTTCCATCAATACCAGATTCGTACGCCATTTCTTCGTCAGCTTTAGTCTGTTCAATAATAGATACACTATCCAAGATCACGCTACTGGCAAGCGAATTATCTAAATTATGGTTGCTATTTTTCTGGATTTCTGAACTGATGGCCTGATTGATAGTTTTGTGAATATCGGCGACTTGGTTTTTAGTGGCTTGGTCAGATTCCTCAAGGAACACCGCGTCATTGACTAATTGGTTATTGGCATTTAAAAGCAAATTATTCTCTCTAGCAAACGAAGATCTTGAGCTAATAACCCGTTGATTGAAAGAGTTGGATCTTGAATGAGCATATTGGTCAGTCAAGATGTTCTGGCTTGGGGATTGCAAAGATCTTGACAAACTTTCGTTGATGGTGTTCAAAAGATCAGATGGTCCATTGCTTGGAATTTGAATTGGTAAATATTCATCGATACAATCGGCAACTGGGGCATCAATAAGGGCGGATTCCTCATCTATGTCTGCGATTTCGTCATTGTCTAATTTTTGCATCGGTGATGATGAATAGCTCTCACTTGGTAAGATGAAAGTTTGACACAATAAGATATAGACGGGAACAATCATGTAGAATGAGAAGAAAGTTTTCAAAGAAAGGTTGAATTTCTCTCCAAGGTTGGAGAAAAAAATGAATCTGTAAATCAAGAATAATGCCGATGAACTATCAAATGCCCCAGTTAGCAACGCCAAAACAAGCCCCGAATTTTTTGGGAAAGCATTAGCTAAATGGAAGCACGAAATGAACACAAATGGCCCACCGAGTGCCAAAATCGAATAGCCAATCAAGTAGGCATCGAAATACTCCATCAACCAGTAACCATTGGACATGACTAACGAGGCAATGAATAATAAGATTGCCCCGATTATCCCAGACACTTTTGGCCCATATTTATCCAAAATGGCACCCACGATCAATGAGGCCCCGTTGGTAACCACCGCGGATAAAGTGAACAAATAGTTTAACGATAAATCTTGGTTGGCACACGGGGAGCTCCCAGAAAATAGAGTTTCTTGTTGACATTTCTCATGGTACACCCCTTGGGCAATCAACACTGGCTTTAAAGCAGCAAAGCCGAAAACTGGGCCAGCAGAAACAATACACCATATAAGGGCGCATAACACCTGTAATTTCGTTCTTTCAAGTTGAAATATCATCTTTTATAAATAGGCTCCAATTATTTGGTAATGTGTATGTATAGAGAGGGTGGTGCACCTTTCTTTGTGTCAAAGAGTCAAGTTAAAAATAAATCAGGGAACCAAAAAAAAAAACCAAAAAAAAAAACGAAGCAAAACAGAAGGCTTTTTTTTTTTTTTTTATAACGAGAAGAGAGAATATTTCAAAGCTCTGAGAGTATACGAGCACCAAATATACCTGGCGAGCCTTGCAAATCAAAGGGGGGGAGGAAGAACTGCTCTTATATACCATACCCCCAACCACACTTTTTCTTTTTGTTTTTCGCTTTACCGAAACAAAAAAAATCTCATGCAGCCGGAAAAATCTCATCGGCGAACCCATCGACCCGCGCAGTTGGTGCCGGTTGTCAAAAAAGGGCACCCACAAAAAAAAAGGAATCGCTTTGATTATACAAAATCAGCATTGGTGAACGTTTGTTGAAGGATAGAAGAATCCTTGTTGAAAAATGAATGCAAATGATGGTGGTGATGATGATGATGATGATGCTTTCAAGATTGTCAAGCCGACATTTCTCAAGAAATCAAAAAGACAAAAATTGATCAAGGAGAAAGCAAACAAGTTGAAAGAGGAAGAATTGATGAAGAAACAACAATTAGTAGAGTCAATAAAACAAAAAAAGGCCAAAAAGCTACTACTAGAACGGCAGATAAGTACAAACGCTATCAGTGATTCTCAGAAACCGGTCAAGAAGCCAAGGGCCAACAGAGATTCTAAACACAAGAAGTTTGCATTCGAATGGAATAATGAAGATGATACTTCTTCGGACTACCAACCATTGGTGGCGTACAATTCTGTCGATAGTGGTATTCAGAAATCATTATCGAAAAAATTGAATTGGGATGATAAGCATTGGACAGAAAAATCATTGGATGAAATGACCAGTCGAGATTGGCGTATCTTGAAAGAAGATTTTGAGATTGGCTCCAAAGGTTCAATCGCCGAAAATCCGTTGAGAAGCTGGAAGGAATCACAGATTCCTGAAAGAGTGTTGGGCGTCATAGATCTCCTAGGATATAAGCAACCTACCCCAATCCAGCGAGCTGCCATTCCTATCGCCCTCAATAATAAAGATGTCTTGGGGATTGCGGAAACAGGGTCTGGTAAGACCCTTAGTTTTGTGGTACCACTTCTATCATATCTCAACAATTTACCTAAATTAAATTCCAAGACAAAAAACGATGGCCCATATGGGTTAATTTTAGCACCTACCAGAGAATTAGCCCAACAAATCCATCTTGAAGTCACCAAGTTTACTAAACATTTGCGATATAATGCTGTGGCGATCTTTGGGGGCCACCAGTTAGAAACTAATGCGTTTGACATGCAAGATGGGGTGGAGATCTTAATTGCAACCCCTGGTAGATTGCTAGATTGCTTGGATAGAAAGATTTTAGTATTGAACCAGTGCTTTTATTTGGTGATGGACGAAGCCGATAGAATGATCGATATGGGATTTGAAGAACAAGTGAATAAGATATTATCGGCATTGCCGAAGATCCAAACCACTTTTGGAAGCCAAGTGGCTCGTCGATTGAAAATAAAAAGAAACATCACGATGATGTACACCGCAACCATGCCTCCGGCGATTGAAAAAATGACCTCAAGATATCTCGATCGACCAAATACCATTGTCATTGGTAATCCTGAAAAGGCTGCGGATACGGTGGAGCAAAAGGTTGAGTTTGTAACTAACGATGAAATGAAGAACAGAAAGTTACTAGACGTCTTAAGTTCTAGAAAGTATAGACCGCCAATTATCATCTTTGTCAATTACAAGAAAACCATCGAGGCATTGCATGAATTGATTGAATCGAATACCAAATTGAAGTCGGTGGTGATCCACGGTTCCAAATCACAAGACCAAAGAGAATACGCCATTAAAAGTTTGCGGAACGGCAAATACGATATTTTAATAGCTACCGATGTTGCTGGAAGAGGGATTGACATTCCCAACATTTCGCTAGTGATAAATTATCAAATGAGCAAAAACATTGAGGATTACGTCCATAGAATCGGTAGAACTGGTAGAGCGGGTAGCACAGGTACTGCGATTACTTATTTAAACGGTGAAGATGATAAAGCAGTGTTGTATGACTTGAAAAATATGATTGGGAAATCCCAACTTAGTAGGTGTCCGGACGAATTGAAAAGGCATCCAGCGGCGATGATCAAGCCGAATCAATTCAAAGCTATAAATGATTAATGATATGTAATGGTAATATTACGATAATAATATGAGCAATTTTTTTTTCCTCATCTGACTTTATTATTGATTGAGTGTAGATATGTAGCGAGGAAACTGTAGTATGGAATACATATAGAATTATTTTTTTAAAAAAAATGTACCATGATCCACCAAAAGATAGAAGAAACGAATTATCTATTGTACACAAAAGGTTATTTATTATATTACAATTATCAATCACTGAGTTCTAAACCTCGCGCGGGATTCATTCATCAGAAAAACAGAAAATGATAAAATTATTTTGGGCAAGAGCAAAAAAAAATTCTCATTGTTTGGAGATCAACAACAACAAAATGTCTTCTTCAAACGCTAGAAATATGGATCTTCAATTCCAAGCCGGCAATGGAACGTTTCCGTATGAGACTCTCTTCTACTTCCTCCTCCTCTTCTTCTTCGCTACCGCTATCGTTGATCAAACAACTACTTGTGGCTTCCACGATTTCTCCAGTGTCACAATTTCTATCGACCGCTCCTTGGGATGGCTGCAGGGAATTCCTTATTTGAAACTCGTCTATTGTGTTCACGGTCTTTGTAAGGATTTCCACCCGATGATGACGCTCTTGGAAATAGCAGGCCACCTGAAGGAGTTTAGGTATCACTTTTTGCAACCCCACGACAGTGAGGTACTTTTCTTTGACGATGTTTGCCCCTTTATTCCGGGCATTGGCAAGAACAATCAGTTTTTCGATTTGCGAAAGCTTTTTCTGAATCTGTTTAACGCTTGACATGAACGGGGAAGATGCCTTAAGTTTGAAGATCTTGTTTGTATTGGAATACTTAAATGCCGACGGAGGCTTATGTTTTATGATCTTGGCATTTTCTATTTTTTTGTTCTTTATCGCCATAATTTTTCTATGTAGCTATTTTCCTAGAAAATTATTTGGTAAAAAATCCATTAAACTGAGAGTTAGCAGTTATACAGAGCATTAACGATATGAAGAAAGAGAAAAAAAAAAAAAGAGAGAGAGAGAGAGAGAGAGAGAGAATATTTTTCATCACGTGCGAGAGATGATCATTTTGGTATAAAGATGGGTGATGAGGCAAAAAAAAAAAAATCTAAGTAAGTAAGTAGTATTTCATATCTTAGAAATATTGGATCATACATTACCTTTTAATATGAGTGGGGAATCTAAACAAGATTTGGTGGTAGATCCGAATATCTCTGAAAAGAAAAAGAGGAAGAAGAAGGCTGCCAGAGTTCAAGTCGATCCGTCAGTTCTCGATGAAGATGATAAACCCCAACAGACCGGGAATATCTTTAATATCTGGTACTACAACTGGGGGTCAAAAGAAAATTATCAAAAGAAGTCTCCTTTTAGGGTCAATGTAAAGCAAGATCTGGGGTATACTAAAGCAGACAAGATTCCAAATTCGTTTGTTTGTCTTTTCTTTGCCCGCGGATGCTGCCATAAAGGCAAACATTGTGATTATCTCCATCGAATCCCTAATCAAACAAAAGATGCGTTTCCCGCTACCACTGATTGTTTTGGACGTGATAAATTCAGCAATTATCGTGACGATATGGGGGGTGTTGGTAATTTTTTGCGTCCCAATCGTACGATATACGTTGGGAAATTGCCATTGGATGCAATTCCCAGAGACTCTAGCATTGAACAAGTTATTAGCGAGCAGTTTGGGGAATTCGGGAGGATCGAGAGATTCAGGGTGATTCATGAAAAGAATTGTGCGTTTGTGACGTTTGAAAATGAGTGGAACGCGCAGTTTGCCAAAGAGGCGATGGCCCATCAAAGTTTAGTCAAAGATGAAGTATTGAATCTCAGGTGGGCTAACGAGGATCCAAATCCTCAAGCTAAGGCAAGAAATCAAAGACAGTTACAGGAACAAGCTATGAATACCATCAAAAATCTTCTCAATCAAAACGAACAGCGCCCACAAACGATGCCAAAGCGGAAGACCATCTCAGAAAATAGAAATACCCCCAAAAAATTAAACGATGGAGAATCCATAAATTCAAAACAAATTTCAAAGAAAAGACAAAATACTTTTGGTGATGATGCTGCTAAGCCTGAAGAAAAAAAATTGAAATCGACAAAACATGTCGAAAGTTCTGGGTTTTTGATAGGGTACGGTAGTGATAGTGATAGTGACGATGATGATGATTGAATATGACCTGGTGATGATAGGAAACCAAACTTTTGTAAAATATAACCCTCTTTTGTATACTATAAATCAATAATTATTGTTCTTTATTTGCTTCATTGAAGACCGCGGCAATATGCTGTAGAATGAATGCTACAAAGTACAAATGAATAGAAAAATCTGAAACAATTAACAATATATTCAACTACAAAGAATAAAAACATAAAAAAGCATCATTTCATTGAATCACATCACTTCTTCTGCCCAGTGATGGTAGCCACAATGGTTCTGCTGTGCATATATTCTCTGAACTCGCACAAATAAATCCCTTGCCAAGTACCGACATTAAGATGGCCATTTTTAATTGGAATAGTCACGGAAGGACCGATCAAAGAGGTCTTGATATGACCTGGCAAATCATCTGGGCCTTCGTCGACATGAAGGTCTTTCAGTGGTTAGTAAAATGAAATTACAGGCTCGAAAGTGAAAAAAAAAAAAAATAGCTCTAAAGCAGTAAATAAATAAACAATACTTACAATATGGCTGGTTATATGGGACGATATGATCCAAAACATTGTTCATATCGGTACGGACATCAGGATCGAAGTTTTCATTCAAAGTGATACCAGCACTAGTATGTTTGACAAACAAATTGACAGTACCGATCTGTACTTGCGATAAGTCCTTGTTAATCTGTTGAAGAACCTCATTGGTGATGAGGTACACTCCCTTTTCACGGCGCGAAAGGGTGAACTCTTTTTGGGCCCATACTGTTGCCATTGAGATTATTTATTAATTGTATTTTTTGTTTCAGCTGGTGAATATAATTAAGGGAAACAATATTTCAGCAAGAAGCAAAAATAGAGAGAGAGAGAGAGAGAGAGAGAGAGAGAGAGCCCTGGTCAATTATATTTCATCATTTATTATTTATTGTGTGGTGTGGTGATTATTTTTGCGCTTTGCTTTATCCAGGGCTTCAAATACTGTGAGAGAGCCCTCAACATTTATACAATAGCATCGTCAATGACTAACGATTAGTTCTATTGGAACTCAGAGACAATAAGAAAAACAGGAGTCAGTTCTATTAGAAACCATCAAAATAAAAACAAGAATATAATGAAATAAAGAAGTAAGATTATAAAAGGAAAAAAAAAAAAAAAAAAAGATATATAAACTAACCATCCAAATGACAGGCTCAAGTGGTGAACCTGTAATGAGGGTCACAATACCACTTGTCAGCTAACGCGGTAGATTTAGAACCACCACGCTTACCTTCAACTGCCAAATCTTCTTCATTGGCCTGTTGCAATTTCTTGTTTCTGTAAACCAAGTATGCTTTGGTAATGATGGTGAACACAATGGCAAGGGCGGTGAATCCAATATTCAATGCCATTCCTTGCAAGTAACGCGGACCCGAACTTTTTGGGTAGAAATAACTGGAATAGGTAGAAGAAATATTAGAAAATGCATTGATGAACGCGATGGAGACGGCACGCTTGGCTGGAGGTCTGCTAAGGGTAGTAGACGCCCAAGACCAAGCAGTGGTTAAACCTCCATAAATCATCAACATCATGATCATGGAAACGTACCTAGCAGCAATGTTCATGGTACTAGCAGCGATGATGAATCCCACAAGAGCAATTACCAAGGAAACCATAATATGGCCGAATCTTTCTTTATGTTTATCGGAACTGAAGCATGTTGCGATAGACCAAAGGGCAGAAACAATCCAAGGTGGGACGGTCAAAAGTAAAGTCTTGGTTCTGCCATAACCCAAAGTCCTGAAGAAATAAATAATGTTAGTGAAAAGAATAATCTTCTTCAAAAAAAAAAAAAAAACACTTACTGGACGATAGTAGGAAAGTATGCATTTACCCCAGCAGCTGTGCAAATCGAGAGTTGAAGAATCCAAATCATGTACAATGCTGGGTCCTTGAAAGCATCGGTGAACCCTTTTTTAAGGGATTGGGTCTCATAATTGTCTTCTCTATTGGCTTCTTCTATGATTCTCAATTGAGCAAGCGCACGTTCTTGTTCACTAAGCCATTTAGTGTTATGGGGGAAATCTGGTAAAATAAACATGGCACAAATTGCCACTGGAATGGTGATGACCCCTTCGATAATAAAGAGCCATCTCCAGGCAGCAATCCCAAGGTTATCGTGGCTAAATCTACCGAGAATCGCTTCGCCAATCAACCCACCAAACGCGCCGGACATTTGTGAAGCAACGTACATCAAGGCAATTCTTGAAGCTAATTCTTTTTTGGTGTACCAAGAAGATAACAAGAACACCGAGCCAGCAAAAAATGGTGACTCGACAAACCCTAAGATGAATCTCACGGCAATCCAGCCGCCATAACTTTGAACGGCTCCCGAACAGGCACTGACGGTGGCCCAGCAAATCATAACACAAGGTAGAAAAATCGAGGGTCTAACCTTGTTCAACAACAAATTGGTGAACACTTGCATAAGGACATACCCAACGAAAAAGATCGCAATAACTGTGTTGTATTGGGTTCCGTGTAAGTTTGTATCTTCTTCCAAAGTACCAAGTCTTGCCTAATGGTGGTGATGTTAGTATACTAATTGGTTAACCAAGGATCATATATATATATATATATATATATATATACATACTGTACCGATATTTGTTCTGTCCAAGTAGTTCAAGATGTAAATGATTTGAAGAGCTGGTAAAATCATGTAGTCCAAACGTCTGACTAATTTCTTTTCTAACGCAACACGGTCAGGACCAACGATTTCTTTGAGAGTGGCGATTTTTGCATCGACAGAGGGTTCAATGAAGACTTCGGCAGTGGAAGCTTCTTCGATGGTTGGTTTTTCATCGGCGGCGTCCTCGATATGAGAGACTGATTGTTTAATTTCATCGGACATTTTTGGGAATTCAAGTGTATTTACTATTCTATCCTATCACTATATCATTTTATTCAGAAATTGCCATCTTTTTATTAGAAAAAAAAAAACGGGGGGAATTGGTGGTGTTTAAGTAGTGATGTGACGCAACCGTTGAAAGATATTAATAATATCTCCAGCTACAATATCTACAAACACTCATCCCATCCCATCCCATCCCATCTGATGATGATGATGACCGCATTGGCAAACAAAACGGAACGGATAACTTGACGTACGTACCCCACACCGCGTGTCTCAGTGGCCACCACCGATCAGATGGGGGAAGAAAAGGAAGGAAGGAAGGACTCTCTCTCTCACTCTCTCTCTCACTCTCTCTCTCACTCTCTCTCTCACTCTCTCTCTCACTCTCTCTCTCACACACTCTTTGGCAGCAAGCACAGACGAGTGGACACTTTCTTTCCCTTCGGCCATCCATCATTACTTACCCAAACAGCCCCTCCTCCTCCTCCTTCTCCTCCTCCTCCTCCTCACTATATTATTATTTTCTGGGCACACGTTAGATAGCCATAGCCGTCAGAATTAGTATGTGTCACAATAATATATATATATATATATATATAGATGTTGTGTTTTATTGTGTTGTGAGCAATAGTATAACATAACACCATCGCAGATATCCATCCATCCATCCATCCATCCAGCATACATAAGCGACGTCTGACAATTGTAACAACAGCTGGTCGATCAGCCAATCTGTGTATATATATCCCCAACTCTGCAACTTTCTGCTTACCCCACAATACATCCACATCCAACGATTATCTTAGCAATCGCCGTTAATAATTGTTTCCAACGAACGAGGGGTTTGTTTTTCTGAACAATTTTGTTTCTTTCTCCAAATATTATCATTACGCTACGCTCTTCTACAATCCTTTCTCCCCTCCCTCCATCCATCCAACCATCTATCTGACTTTGAAAAATACATCACATTTCTCAAATTAAAACACAACGCAGCAAAATGAAATATAGAAAGAATAAAAAGAGAAAACTTCGAAGCAATGAACGTTAGAACGTACACTTTAAACAAAAACAAAAACAAAAACAAAAAAAAAAAAAAAAAGAGAGAGAACTATCGTCGTTTTGAAAAAAAAAAAAAAAAAAAAAATCATTATCATCAAGGAATTTTAACAACCAACAACCTCCAACAAATCAAGTGGTGAATCTGTAATGTGGTTCACAATCGTATTTCTTAGCCAAAGCAATGGTTCTGGAGCCAATACGTTTCCCTTCGGTGGCCAAATCTTCCTCATTGGCAGCATCCAATTTGTCGTTTCTGCTCTTAAGGTAGAACTTCAACACAATGGTGCCAATGATTGCCAAAGCAGTGAATGCAAGATTACAAGCCCAGGCTTCGGTGTACTTTGGACTGGACGAGGCAGGATAGAAATAGGTGGCGTATGTCGAAGAAATGTTGGCAAAGGCATTGACAAAGGCAAACGAAATCGAACGCTTAGCTGGAGGAGTAGACAAGGTGGTGGAAATCCAGGAAAACACAATGGTGAATGGTGAGTAAATCCCAAGCATCAAGAACATGGAAAAGTAACGGGCGGCGATATTCATGGTGGAAATGGCAATGATAAATCCCACAAGTGGAAGAATAAGCCCACAAGCAATATGCCAACCTCTTTCATTCTTTTTATCAGAATGGAAACATAAAGAGACCGACAAGATTGCGGCAACCACCCATGGTGGAACCACCATAAACAAAGTCTTTTGTCTGTCGTAACCTAAAGTTCTAAAAGAAAAGAAAAAATGTTAGTCGTCAAAAATATCTCTCTGGGGAGGAAAAAAAAAAAAAAAAAAAAAAAAAAAATATCACTATTACTTACCCAATAATTGTTGGGAAGAAGGCATTACAAGTAGCAGCAGTCATGATACCAAGTTGGATAATCCAGAGCAAATACAAAGCAGGGTCGGTGAAAGCAGCTTTAACACCTTCTTTGATAGACTGGTTTTCAAAATCATCGTTTTGACTAGAGAATTCGATCAATCTCAATCTTGCAAGGGCTTTTTCTTTGTCATCAAGGAACTTGGTGTTGTGAGGATAATCTGGCAAAATGAACATACAGATTATAGCGATAGGCACGGTTGCAGACCCTTCAATGATGAAAAGCCATCTCCAGGCAGCAATTCCGCGGTTGTCGTGTTGAAATCTGTCAAGAATGGCTTGACCGAGCAAACTACCAAACGCATTAGACATCAATGAGGCACAGTAGAAAATAGACAATCTGGTGGCCAATTCTTTTTTAGTGTACCAAGCGGAAAGATAGAAAAGACAACCCCCAAAGAATGGTGATTCCACAACCCCCAAAATGAATCTGATGGCCACCCAACCACCAAAGCTTTGCACTGCACCACAACTGGCACTAACAATAGCCCAAGAGACCATAATAGATGGCAAAAACACCGAAGGTCTAACTTTACTGATGATCAAGTTGGTACCAAATTGAGTCAAGACATAACCGACGTAAAAAATACCAATGATGGTGTTGTATTGGGTACCTTTCAATCCAGTATCTTCTTCAAGCTTATCCAAACGGGCGGTGGCAATATTAGTACGGTCCCTATAAATAAATAATGTTAGTATGATGATGCTAGAGAACAAGGGTTGGGTGTGGTTATACTAGTGTGTGAACCCACTGTTTGTGCTTGCTGTCTGTTATAATAATACATTGCAGGAAGATAGATACCTTCAATGTAATGTAATGTATATATATATCTTTGGGCCCAATGGAGGGAGGGAGGCCTTACTGTGGAAATAAAAGCCATACGTACAAGAAATTCAAAATGAAAATGATGATAAGTGGGGCAATCAAACGGAGGTCCATTTTCCAAAGAAGTTTTTTTTCCATTGCCTCACGACCTTCACCAACGATTTTCTTGAGTCGGAGAATTTCTTCTCCGTCAGCAATATCGTCGTTAAGTAGAGCATCAGCAACATCGATCTCGGTTTCTCTGAGGTTGTTTTTTTCAAAGGAGTCGGCATCTTCAATATGAGACGCTTGCTCCTTGATATCTTTAGCTTCAAGGGACATGTTTCTGTGATGAGTAATTTTTTATGTTGGTATGATTTTGTGATGAGAAGTTATTTGACAAACAGAATTATTTGAAATCGCGGAAAACAATGGCTATATATATATATATATATATCTGAAAAAAGAAAAAAAAAAAATTAATGAGGCTCAAAGACTCTGGGGAAATTAGTCCCTATTTGTGTGGGGGAAGTATGTACTCCAGTTCCTTTTGCATGACGATACATGGCATCTACTTAGTTGACAAGAGCAGAACCAGAAACAGAACCAGAAACAGAAACAGAAAAAAATGACTGTGTGAGGCATCGGCAATGGATGTTTGGGAGAAATCACAGATAGCTGGAACTTTTTAGACAAACATTATTTGATGTGGTTGAAGTTGACTGAGACATTGATAACAAACATAACTAGCTGTCCAGCCTTGCACAATGCTTGTTTTCTTCCCTCACTAATTAGCAACGATTGGAGGGTGAAGTCTGCACAGCTATTGTCGTCTGGGTGCTTTTTTTTTTTTTTCTGCTGTCGGCTGACGGAGTTTTTAGTCTATCGATTAATAGTAGGCTCTGCGGCTATTTATATTGCGTGTATCGTCGACTAAGGTTTAGGATACGAGGGAAACCGAAACGCACTGACCTGTTGTTGTTTTTGTTATGTTTTTGTTCTCCTTGGATTGAATATGCGGAGAAACAAAAGGTTAATTTGCTAGCAGCTAATTAAAACGCATGAAACCTATGGGACCATCAACAATAAGCTCGCTCTAGGAGAAACGGAAGAGAGACAGAGAGACAGAGAGAGAGAGAGAGAACCAAAAAAAAAAAAAAAAAGAAAAAAAAAAAAAAAATTAAGCTCTCTTCACTACAAAAACACAACATGGTATGTCGTTGTTATTATAAACCTTTATTTCATCACTACACACAAACTTGATATCAACGAATACAGTGGGTCTCTTCTCAAACACCGAAAGAACGAAGATAAAAAAAAAAAAAAATTATTTCAACGACCCCTTGGCGCCTGCTTGCCTGCCTCCACTTTTTCTCTCGGAGTGGCAGAAGGTGGCCGGATCGAGATCGCCACCAAGAGAGAGAGAGATGATCATGATCATGATCATGATGATGATGATAAATTATTGAAACCCCAACGCAAATAGCTGACTGTGAGTGGCCTAAGCTCCCCCTCCTCTCCTTGATCCCTCCTCTCCTTGATATTACTGCAATCTCCACTTTTTGTGATAGTGTGTCTTCTTCTCGAAATTGGGTGTTGTTTTCTTTCACCGGTTGGGTTGGAGGCAGGCAGTGTGGAGAAGCATTCCGGGGTACAGGGTTAGCGTTGCTTCGATGCTGCACAATTATCGTTTCATTCATTCATTCATTTATTCATCACCGTCGGTCATTCGCTCGCTCGCTCGCCCTTTTTTTTTCTATTCTTTTACATTGTTATTATTATTATTCGCGCGAACTTTATTGTTAATGTTCCTGGTAAATGCATGCCGTAGTATATCTAGATGAAATCTTGTTTCCTTTGCATTATGGTGGGTTCCTTTCATCGCATTACAAAAAGATGTGGGTTCTCGGGAATTGCCTGGGATCACAACAATCACTCGAGGTACCTACCCCCTATACTATATACTAGCCTAGTCACGCATGGACTGGCTTCTTAATTGATACTCTTTACAAGTGAAAAGACAGCACATAAAAACAAGAAGAAATGAAATGAAATGAAAAATAATAAAGAAAAAGGAAATAGGTACTCACCAAATGGTTTTCTAAAGCCATCGTTTGTCAATTTTATACAAATCACAACTAGTTTGAAAATTTTCTTGACGTGGTGGTTGAAAGACATCGACCATTAGATATATTGTTTTTATCAACCGGTTAAGTAGATAGTAACTAAAAAGATGCCATCCATGGACTGGCTCGTACTGGGAATTTATTAGATACATCGTGGAAATTGAGTCATGTTGGTTAAACTGTGTTGGTGAGGATTTCTTATTAATCCAGGCAAGTTCCAGAACCACCGTCAATGGAGATAGATATTCACACGAGTAACTGAAAAAAAAACGAGAGCCAAGATACACCATAAATCAACCTGAATGGAAATTATGATTACGAAGCAACGAATAATAAGTGGTAATTGTGAATTCTAGGCTTTAAAATGGTGTAATTTTCAATGTTCGGAGATGCTCTGTTGTGTGCTCTGTTGTGTTTGTGTCCTTTTAAAAATAATGAAATATTAGCTGGTCTCTTCATGGTCGATTGATGAAATACTTTAGTTGCCATACTTGCTGAGTTATATTCACTTATATTATTATATTGTGCCCATAATGCTTACTTATACTTCAAGTTTCAAATTTGAATAAATACAACCAAAGGATAGCAATCTTTTAGTTGAATCGAAAAGATGGATAATTTGCAGGAGCCCAACCATTCGAGATACAAAAATCTGATAATTGCTTTATTGCGTGATATGATAACCACCTCCAAAGTGATATATATACATATATATATATATTACGTCAATTATTGGATTGGAAGATATCAAATACAAACATGGTGGGTGGGGTTCACCCAAAAATATCAGTGTACAGTGCCCCCCTCGATATGAATTTATTACGATATTCAGCAATGGATATTCGGCAATGGGAACTTTTCCTCCCTCCCACTTTGGGGGCAGGGCAGGCGCCAAAGTTGGACAGATTTTAAACCACCTTCACCTGGCCCCCAATATCAATGAGTTTTGGGGATTCTTACGTTACCAATTGGATATGTCATAATATCGTATCCTATTACACAAATCTAGGTTTGCACTATACTCTGGAATGATACATTCACATTTTAATTGTTGAGCAAACGGTACGGTAGGGAGGGGAGGGGTACTATTTAGCAAAATATTTTTTTTTTAAAATCATACGGTAAGAAATCATCGCCACGAACGCAATAAGAGCCATGATATGATTTGATTTATAAATAGAATACATAGGATTAAAGTATCACCTAACAATTTCGCCAGATAAATTACTACTCTACTTCTAATATGTAAAGAGTAGCGTAATTTCAATTTTCATCCCATGATAATTGAGCTGTGCTCTCCCAATGGAGCAGTAACGGTCATGAATTTGCATTGAAGATACAAAAGGGCATGGCACTTTCTTGAGAGCTCTTATTTTTGTTAACAATCCACCGGCTCAGAAAAGTACACCATAGATGAAAAACTTTTTGAAAATCTTTGATTTGCCAAATGACCCAGCTTCAGATGACTTGAGGGATAGATATATGCAAATCATGGTACGACCAGTTGACGACGCCATATCAATGATAATTATGAAATAGCAATTCATCTTTTGTATCAACTCCATTGTTTGACGATTGCAAAACTGAAATTAATAAGAACCCCAGCAACCATTGCCATTCTTGTTCGTTTATTAAAAATCCTAAACTCTTCTTTCAAAAGTAATAACGATAAGATTCCAAAAATCGCTCCTATTAGAACCCCGACTAGCAAATCCCGATTATTGGTATCCCCTTGCTCTGCAAGCCCTAATCCAAATAACCCTCTTGAATTGACAGTTGTTAATCCCGAAGGGTCGTTGGCGGAACTTTCAATCCACCGCTCTTCTAATTGCCTGATATCTGTTTCTCCCATTTGTTGTTGTAGGTGCGCCACGCTAGTCCCAGTTGTTCCGTCAATATTTTCATTTGTTCCTTGTTCTTCTTGTTCTTGTTCTACTTTATCTTCCTCCTCCTCCTCCTCCTCCTCATCATCATTCTCATCGTCGTCAAACTCATCGTCTAAATCGTTGGCAATATTCAGATTTAAAGTTGATCCGTATATCGATTGAAATTGTTGTCTCAATTCCGCCACTTCGGTCTCGGAAAAACCAGCGTTCAATAATCTATCAAATCCGATTGGTGCAGGGGTGGTTGAGGGAAGTTGATGTTTGCTATCCAATTGATCCTCTTGCTGTAATTCTTCAGGTGATAATGCGTCACCTATAAGACAATGAATAAATATTTTGTGTACTTTTATTCTAGGATCCTTAACAGTAGGAGGTAAATTCTCTTTGCCTTTTGATTTACTCAATAATGTTGTGCTCTCTTCTTCATCATCATCATCATCATCATCACTTTCTTCTAACCCTACCAACCGCGTGAATTTTGATAATGATTCTTGAAAATTTGTCGAGTCGGTAATTGGTCTCCCATTATAGATGAACTTGAGTCGCTTATTGAATGTCTTCTTGTGTAATTGTGGATCGTGGTCCCTTACCAATTTCCTTAGAAACCCGTTGTTGATCTTGAGTAAATCATCGTTGCTGTCAACAGGAATGATCAAATCAGAAAAATTCTTCTCTGAAAATCGGATATGCAACTCGGTATTTATTATCTTGTTAGCCATTGGTGTCTTTTCTGTATCTCTTATATATATCTGTGTTTTTATATATTAATTTATGTTTGTGATGGTGTTGCTGGTTCTCCATAGTAGCATGGCATGGCACATTATTAGTACTATTGTTGTTTATTATTTTTTTTTTATCTGATGGTTTTTGTCATTTTTTCTGGGATTTCACGCATTTCTTGGCACACGTGATGGAGATTTGCAAAAAAAAAAAAAATCCGATGCCATTTGCCATAGAATGATTTTCTGTTCCTTTTTCTCCAAAAAATCACTTTTTTTTTTTTTTTTCATATTTATATTTTCTGTATTGGAACCAAATATAACCAAGGGTCAATTGGTATGGATGGTACAACAGTAGCACTCATATTCATCAATAGATAACACAAAAAAAAAACAAAAAAAAAAAGAAAAAAAAACGGTCCGTGATAGGAAAGAAAAATACCCACCATAGAAATTATGAGGTCATTGTTAATCTTAGACAAAATGTTGTTTGTTGTGTTCATCTGTGCAGCACAGGCCATGAACAATAGAAATAAGGACTGGTTCCTTTTAGATAAACAAGACAACATTCCTGAATTCTCAGAATACACAAATGGCGATACTGTTCCCGTTACTTGCATCCAGCGACGAATCGATGGTGGCATTCATAAGATCGATGCTCGAAAAAATATCATCTTCAAAGGTTTCCCCAAATGTAAAGAGACCAACGATTTTTTGAGATTCAGCTACAAGACCAACCAAGATTTCACATGCACCATCCATCTTGCTGATGAGCTTTTCCACTTATTTCAGCTTTACATCCATGAAGACGCTCCCTTTTCATGCCGTTTGCCAATTATCAAAGAAAAGAAGACCGCAGATAAACACGGTCTTTCGGTTCCCTTGACATTCAACTTCCGGGGAAGAAGTTCAGAAAATTATATAGATATCGACAACAATATGAACGTTATCGTCCAAGCTCCTTCTGGCTATAATTCTATCGTGTCCGCAGTTGGATGGAGCTCGGGCACAAACTTGACCAGGGTTATTGTCGGTGACTATCTCCCGCTACATTTTTCGGTCAGATGGCTTCACAATGCTGAGCCAAAATATTCTAATAACATTGAAACTCCATTCACTGATGGATTTTACGCATTGCCAAATTCCGTGTCTTATAATTTTGGCAAACAATTGACACTAGTAGGGTTGGTCATTGGTATACTATCCAGTATCATTACTTATTATATATCTTACAACTTCTTGTTGAAAAAAACCAAAAAATTCGGATTTCCGGTGCCTAACAAATTCGAAGATGGTGGCGAAAATGGATTAGTGAAAAAAGATTAAAAAAGCTCATTTTGTATATATATTATGAAAAATTAGTTTGAAATCTTCTTGATAATAACTTGTAAAGTAGCCACAGTTTTTTCCGTGGCAGAATTAAGATGCTCATTATCAACGTTATTAATAAATTGATCATTCAAGTATTCGACAAACAAACCAGTCAACTTGGAATCGTCCATTTTAGATTTGTACGCCATGAACTTGTTCACCGATAACTTCAAATCATCAACAAAATTCTGCGATTCAATGGTATCGTATCTGATTGGCAAAGCAATATCCAACAATTTGGCCTTAGTGTCGTGTGGTATAAGTTGAAGCACATGGTTGATAACATGTCCACTCAAGTTGGATCTATTCAAATTCTTGAATTTATCAAAAATCACCAAGAATTCACCAGCGTACCCCAAAACCAATTCTTCTTTGGTTTGTTTTAAAAACTTGGATTCAGAATTCATGATCTTCGCCTTATGTTTGAGCAAAGTCTTGAATGCCACATCGAAAATCGTCAAGGCAATGTCACCACGCAAAGCAGGGTTTTGTTCTGGGTTTCCCAACATGTTCATGTCGGCTTCTGGCAATTGTTTGAGTTCTTGCTTAACATCATCATCGATGTTATTTGGTAATTTCAAAACATTATCGTCGTCTTCATCTTCCTCTTGATTTTCAAATATGGATTTCTTGACTTCTGTGCCCTCGTTTTCTTGTTGTTGTTTTTCAGTCAACAAACCAAGAATTCTTCTTCTTTCCAAAAGTTTAGTAATATATAACAACTCAAACTCGGTGTAAGCCAACCATAAGTCCAATGATTCGGCATTGAATCTCAAAGCTTTTTGGAAAAGGACTCTTGAAGCCTTGACGTTGAAATTCTCTTCAAACTCGTAATTGGCAGCGCTGATCCAGAAGCGAATATTTGTTGGATGTATCTGTAGAACCTTGGTATAGATATTGTAAACAGTTTTCACTGAACCGTTCTTCTTGGCATACAAAAGATAATTATTCCATAAACTGATTTCATTTGGATAACGATCAACCGCCCTCTCGTAAATGAAAAAGATTCTCTTGACCCCAGCATAATCACTCAATGATCTTCTGGTATCACAGGCACCAACTTTTTTGTATCTGTTAAATCTTTTACCTCTGAGTTTTTCTAAATTCTTTTCGAATTCAAGATATCTGATAAAATCCTTTGGTTTACAACCACGGGCCTGAATACGATGCTCGAAATCAGTTCTTCTTCTCATGATCATTGTGATTTCATTTTTCTCGAATAAACCTTTATTCTGCAAATCTTGCAACTCCGGCACAGATTGTTCAAGAAAATATCTAACTTTCTCTGACATATCTTCTCAACTATTATATGGTTTTCTTTTTATTTATCTATTTTGTTAGGGAAGATGAATTAATTTACACACACAAAAAAAAAAAAAAAAAAAAAAAAAAATTTCATTATAATTTTTTTTTTCTTTTATTGCAGGGTGTGAAACCCCCTCGTCTCATTTCTCTTCCTCCGTGATATGTGCATATATATACAGATCAGCGCATAAACAATTTGTAGTATAGATAGCAACATTGGGCTTTTATCCCCTCCCTCTCAAAAAAAGAAGAATTGTCAGGAGATCTAGAAAGTGTGTGATCTGATCGTATCTATTAATTACTTTGACCATATCATCGATCAAATCTATGTGTCTTTCAAATCCACAATAACCAAACAAACATGGTCTCGATTTTTATGATTCACCCGAACTTGCAGCTCACCGAATGTGATACTTCAAGTGCCAACATGATCCACCGTTATCAGGACCAGTTACTCGACAGTATTAATGAAACCAATCATACGGAGATCGATGCTGAAGTACAATACTTGAGCTCGTATTCGAGGATCTTGGACATTATGGAAAAATATTTTTCTAAGCTGGTACTCACCCCTCAAGATGAATGTGAAGGATTAGATCTAATCGCTGGAGAAATGAAGGTATTCAAAGGTGCAGAATTGAAGTTACAACGGTTGAAATTAGAAGTAGTGCCTCGTCAATCATCATCTTTGAACACAATTACAGAAGAAGAATAGGTTTTTTCCAGTCTATTTTTTGTTTTTGTTTTTGTTGTTGTTCTTCTTCTTCTTCTTCTTCTTCTTCTTCTTCTTCTTCTTCTTCTTCTTCTTCTTCTTCTTCTTCTTCTTCTTCTTCTTCTTCTTCTTCTTCTTCTTCTTCTTCTTCTTCTTCTTCTTCTTCTTCTTCTTCTTCTTCTTCTTCTTCTTAATTTGGAAAAAAAAAAAAAAATTAAACCTCATTCTACTTCTATCATTAATGATCAAGGTCTTTAATTCTCAGGGAGAATGAAAGAGACGTGGTCAAATATATAAATATAATATATTCTGGTATATATTATAATCTTTTCTATTGGCATAGTGTTATTCGTGAAACATTTTATGGCTTAATGAACTTTTTAATCTGCTTTAAGTTTCCCATCTCTTTTTTTTTTCCTCTTTCATCCTCTATGGGCTCTCCCAATAATCTAGTTTGAATAGAATCCTTATTCTCTGTATATACACACTTATATAAGACCAACTGAAACAGTGGTATCTTTGTCACCAAGCAAGCCACGAACACTTCCATATACTCTTACAAACTATAATTGCTAAATAGCCAAAAAATAATGATAGATTAAACCCCTTATATCGAAGTTAATTGCATTCAAGTTATTAAAAGAAAAAAAAAAAAAAAAAAACTAGAAACAAACCAACCAACTTTGCATCTGTTAGTTAAAACAAGTTCAGATTGAGGAGATAATCCATTCATGAGCCGATAAAGATAAAGAAAATTAAATCAGACTGACATGCAAATCGAATTTATTATTTTATATTTCATCAAAATATTTCAATAACAATTAACAATCATCATACAAGTTTCTTTTCTTTCAACCATTCATTATTGTCTTTATTCAATACATACAATTTCTAAATAAAGTTAGCTAAAACAGGTTCAAGAAATCTAGAAGAGAAGAAAAAAGCCTTTTTAATAGTAACAGTGTTCAGGATCCAGGCCTTGTCACAGGCAGATATCATCAAGGTTTGAAGTTAACATACTTCAAACACAGAGGACCGTCGTGAGTTGGAAAATCATCATATACTGTTAAACCATTATTCAGGCTTCTATCTTTTCAAACAACCACCAAAGTGGAAGAAAAAAAAATAAGACCACATACCTATTGACAATCAGAATGTCTTTGGTTGAATGTTACTCGGAGTAACACATCCAAAAAAAAAAAGAGAAAGTTGAAAAAAGAAAGTCTGAATTGTGTTAATATTTCCTCAAATCTTCATAAAATTATTACACCGAAATAAAAAGGCAATCAATATAGAAAACATCAGACACAAAATCTATCCTCATGGAAATCGGACATATGCTTGTCAAATTTTGTAATTTCATCCTCTGTAGTTCACTTGACTGATATTGTGCTATTCAAAATATGAAAAACTACGACAATGTTAGTTGGTATTCATCAAAAAAACAAAAAATCACATGTGCTGTTGATCGTAAATTTGAGATAAAATTTGCTATTTCAGTGAAGCATGAATGGTATTAAAAAGATGTTGTCATCATCGGGTATCCCGAAATCTGACTCGTCATCTAGAGTATCATCATAAAAGCAAAAAAATTATCTCGGACATATTCTCAGAGCAAACAATATTAACATACCTTACCATAATCAAATGCTCCTTGATTGATTCCTTTTTTCAAAAAGGTAAAAAAAAAAAAGTTGGGAACTGATATTCATTAGTAACAGATTTCAAAACATATGGGTATTATTTGCAAAAATAAATAATAAGTATCAATAAGTTGAAATTTCAGTTACGGTGGGTTTCTGAGGCCCACCAAAAAAAGCATTGTCACTCATGGAATTTTTATCAGTGCCCAGTGCATAAATCATCAGAAAGACAACTTATTGAAATATCGATAGAAGTGATATAAATATTTACCTATTTAACGCTTGTTAGTGGGCTGTAAATGAATAACGAAAATAACTAGTAATCCATAAATAATAATGAATTTCATTCGATGTAAAATCAGAAGAGGTGCCAAAAATTTTGTCGACATAAAGAAAATTCAGTCGGTAATTCCAACGTTAATTTTTCTTCATCACTTAATAATGAAATCATCATGGATTGAAAAAGAAACAAAATAACATACCTTTTAGAAAATTGGAAGAGTGACGATTTTCATTTGCCAAAAAATAAAAACGCTACAAAAAAAATCGCTGTCACTTGTTAGTGTTCTGGAGGTCATCCACATCATTATCTCACAATAAGCAAATAAATAAATAAAAATCAGAAGAGGTGCCAAAAATTTTGTCGACATAAAGAAAATTCAGTCGGTAATTCCAACGTTAATTTTTCTTCATCACTTAATTAAATTTGATTTGCGTCACTAATAATATCAACATACACTTCTAGTCAATCTTTTGAGAAAGTGAAAGTAAAAAAAAACTATAAGGATATATTGTTAGTCAATGGGTCTTTTGTTTGTTCAAGGCAAGAGTATCTATCAACTTCTCACCAACAATCCACTCTAACTAACCAAAGAAAACAGAGTTTCAATGATCAGTTTCAGATAAAGAAAATTTCCTAATCACAATTAAAACTCAGAAACTCTAGTTTGTAAAATTTTTCAGTCATCATTATCAATCAGCTTGAATGGCTGACGAAGGATTGTTGGTTTGAAATTACAACAGCATTAACCATGAAGAACAGCAACGACATCAGTCATGCTAGTATTAGTACCAACTTACCAATTCTTTTATTGCATAATTAATTGTGCTATGAATAACATAATTACTAAGTAAGGAAAGAAAAAGAAAGTGAGAAGAATATTAATAATGTTCCCGCCTCCAAACTTTTATATTGATTTTTGGAAAAATTTTCCTACGATCGGGTAGCCCCTCGCATGCATAATTCGTCGACCCAACATCACCAAAATTCAGCAGTATTGTTATTCGGGGAGATTTTATTGTTGTTGTTTGGAGACCATTCTGAGGGTGATGTAGTATCAGAGACTGATAATTGTGGCAGAGGCAGCAGATTACTTTTTTTTTTTATTTTTTTATTTTAATATTAAGCAAAACCAAAACCAAGTGTCTGGAAAATAGTCTCATAGTTATATCTCAGCCCGTGTAAACTTATTTTGTTGGTATCTATCTTGGAATTCTTAAAATCTTCTAGAATACGTTTGTACTTTCTCAACACTGGTTAAACACATAAAAAAAAATAGAGCCTTGCTATCCTATCTCGTTAAAACCTTCGTAGAAAATCTTACCATCAACCCTTGGAGACTATCCCAAGGTATTTTATCTTGTTTTTTTTTTTAAAAAAAAAACCAAAGTATTTCTCAAGAAGATGCTTCATTAAAACCTAATATACACTTGATGAAGTCGTAAGTACCTCATATTAAGCATGCTTAACATATTTTGAGAGATTTAGAATTCCAGCCCATACTGATACAAATGAAGATGGCAAATATAACTCCGCACTGCTCACATCACGCGTAGAGAAAGAATTTTTGGAAAGAACGAATCATCGTAGCCCTGAATATATATTGCATCAATCATATTTACTTCTCAGTAGCTAAATTTAAAAAAAGATTTCATCTTCCAATCCAAAACAAAACAAAAAATAGAAAAGGTATTTCAATGGACAGTTAAATCTTTGGCTTGGTAAAATGTATCTGCACAAGTTTTTTTGTAAACGATTCATTGCCACCGTTACTCGCTCTTCCTTCCTTGATTTCAAGATCATTGGCTCAATTATATGCCATCACACAATCCTGTTCTCTTTACTTTCATTTAATTTTGGTCATTTTTGATCTATTTGAAGAAGAAAAGCTATGTAGGAAAATGACCTTGCCACGGGGATCCTAGAACCATCTGATGTTGAATTCATAAAGGGGTTCAGAAAATACTGAATTATTCATCAAACTACTGTTTTAAGCAAAAGGATGTAGCTTATCTTAATGATAAATGAGCTAATAAATAATCACATACACTGGAAAAGATATAACTTCAAGGTATCATCTTTTTTTTTTATATACTTACTATACTCATTTTGCAGTTGATGAATTACATTATTGGCACTTCTAAATCATCAATTGATTTTCCAAAGTCACATAGCTCAGCAAAAAAAATGTAATCCCTAATTTCTTTTTTCGTTTTTCTTTTTATCATAGTATATTAACCACCATCGACCTTCATTGGTATTATCATTACCAATGGGGATGTAAACCGTGTTCTATAACGAAATTGTTCATACACGTCCAGTTCTTTGGAAATGTACCGGGGCACCAGAGCAACGCCAATGATGTAGTTTTTTTTTTTTTTTTTTCATTTCATTTCATTTTACTTCATTGTGCTTACAATTTACTATAGAATATAAACAGATAATATATAAACCTCCCAGTACGCTGGATACATATACACATCCCCTAAAGCCTTCCAAAACCAGGTTTACACCGTTAACACGTGAGCTTGAAAAGCCACATCACCGCGAATTTCATGAAACCGGGAAAAATTGGTGCGGTGTGCCTGGGATGTTCAAATTTCAAGAGTTGGAGAATAGTTGTCAACAACGATTTTTTTTTTCTTTTCCAATTGTTAGGAAGTCTAGCTCAATTCTTTCTTTTTCAACTTGAAAAAAAAAAAAAAATGGCTCCTCAATTGAAAAAAAAGGGCCTGAAGGCTTTCCAAAAACCTTTACCAAAGATCGTCGACAACGATGATCCGGAAGCCAAGAATAAAGCTTTAACCTCCAAGTCATCATCTACTTCTTCTCTTCCTGATGCTCCATGGATGTATCAGGTTGGTTTGTATACTGTCACTATACTAGCCTTTATTACTCGTTTCTACTCCATCAATTATCCTGACGAAGTGGTGTTTGATGAAGTGCATTTTGGTAAATTCGCGTCTTACTATCTTCAAAGAACATATTTCTTTGATCTTCATCCTCCATTTGCTAAACTTCTTATTGCCTTTGCCGGGTGGATCATTGGTTATGACGGGAAATTCAAGTTTGAAAATATCGGCGACAATTATATAACCAATAATGTTCCTTACATCGCCTACAGAACTCTTCTGGCAATCCAAGGTACCATCACCATTCCAATCGTTTATTTGACCATGAAACAATTGAACTACAGAGTTATCACTTGTTTATTTGCCTCAAGTATTGTGTTGTTTGACAATGCCCATGTCGCAGAAACTAGATTGATTCTTCTTGATGCCACATTGAACTTGACTGTCGCATTACTGATCTATTGTTACGTGAAATTTTCTAAGCAACGTCATCAACCATTCTCTGTGAACTGGTGGAAATGGCTTTTTTTAACTGGGGTCTCTTTGTCACTTGTGATTTCCACAAAGTACGTCGGGGTTTTCACATTCTTGATGGTTGGTCTTGGTGTATTCATTGAACTCTGGAATATTTTGGACTACCGTCAAGGCCACACCATCAAATACTTTGGTAAACATTTTGGAGCCAGAGTTTTTGGGCTTATTGTCTTGCCATTTGTTCTTTACTTATCCTGGTTCTGGATCCATTTTGCTGTCTTGACTCGTTCTGGTCCAGGTGACGCTTTCATGTCCCCAGAATTTCAAGAAACTCTTGCTGATTCTCCATTGGCCAAAGATGCCAAAGAGATTTTCTATTATGATAGTTTAACTGTTCAACATAAGGATACCGAAGCTTTCCTTCACTCTCACGAAGCCACTTACCCATTGCGTTACGATGACGGCCGTATTTCTTCCCAAGGTCAACAAGTTACCGGTTACAAGGGAGAAGAATTCGATCCTAATAACTATTGGCAAATTCTCCCGGCTAAAGATTTTAAGCCAGAAGAAGCCAAGGGTAAGCCTGTCAAATTGGGGGATACTATTAGATTGTACCATCCTGCCACCAAATCTTTCCTTTTAACTCATGATGTTGCTTCCCCATTCTATCCAACTAACGAAGAGTTCACTACCATTGATACCGAAAAGGCATTGGGAGACAAATACAACTACACTCTTTTCAAACTTGAATCACACGATAAGAAGGGTGGAAAATTGAAGACCAAGGCTTCGATTTTCAGATTATTGCACATTCCAACTGTGGTTGCCATGTGGACCCATGATGATAAACTCTTGCCAGAATGGGGGTTCAACCAACAAGAAGTCAATGGTAACAAGAAAGTTGCAGATGGCTCTAACTTGTGGTTCTTTAACACCATTGCCAGTCTTACTGCCGAAGACCCTCGTAGTTCTTATGTTCCAAAGAAAATTCGTCACATTCCATTTTTGAAAAAATGGTTTGAACTTCAAAGATTGATGTTTTACCACAACAATAAACTTTCTTCTGAACATCCATTCGCGTCATCTCCTGAATCTTGGCCATTTTCTCTTAGTGGTGTTTCATTCTGGACCAAAGATGCTACTCGTGAACAAATTTACTTCATTGGTAATATTATTGGGTACTGGATCGAAGTTTCATTCATTTTTGTGTTTATTGGGCTTGTTATCGCAGACCAACTTACCCAACGCAGAAACTACCATCCTTTGAGCGACAGTGCCAGAAATAGATTGTACAACACTCTTGGATTCTTCTTCCTCGGATGGTGTGCCCACTATTTCCCATTCTTCCTTATGGGACGTCAAAAGTTTTTGCATCATTACATGCCAGCCCACCTCATTGCTGCAGAATTCAGCGGGGCGGTATTTGAATTTGTGTTTAGTGATAACAGAGGTCCAGATTTACTCACAGAGGCTGAAAAAGTGGAGACCAAGAAGAGTAAGTCTAAGATTACCGAGGTCAACAAACTCGGTTTAATTATTGGGTTCTTGGTTTTGACTGGTGCCATTATTTGGTGTTTTGTGTTCTTTGCTCCATTGACTTATGGTAACAGAGGATTAAGTGTTGAGGAGGTGTTGCAAAGAAAATGGTTGAACATGAGCTTGCACTTTGCAAAATAGGAAGAGAATGATGGTGTTTTTAGTTCCTCTATTTAGGTTTTCAATTGAATGTATTATTTATCTTATATATTGCACACATTTTTTTTTTTTTTCAATCGTATCAAAGAAACTGTAACACGGTGGTAATTATTATTATTATTATTATTATTAGATAACTGATAATTAAATGCTCCCATCAATAAACCAATTCCGGCAGTGGCATCACGTGTAAATTTAATCCCGGCAGCCAGTAGCAGCCAGGGCTGCGCAATTTCCAAGGAAAAAAGAAATTTGGTTCCGCTGAAAAGTTGACGTGGATTTGAAAGAAGAAAAATAAATGTCTAAAAGAACATGATTCATATGATCTAATCAGATAACAACAATCAAACAAATCAATATACCTACATAACCAAAACAAAATAGATACTCCAATTTCCTTTCTTCCTCAATATGATGTCATCCAGACTGGCCGTAAGCAGCCGTCTGTTCACCACAGATGATCTCAGGCATTATATGGTTCAGGACAAGGGTAGTTTTACCGGAGATCTAGAATGGTCCGACGATAACTCCCAATGGCAGACCAACACTTTACAAATCAATTCTATTGGTCAATTGACGATATCTTATTCTGTATCGCAGTGTGCAGAAGTGGATAATAACGCAATCAAACTCAAGAACCATAAGCTATTCAATCTAGGGAGGTCTGCTACGTCGCGAAACTCCAATAACAGAAAGTCTTCATTCCAAAAAAGACGCCAACAGGATGACCCTGACTCCAGTATAGATATACTGACCAACCCTTACAGCGATGTTATTATTAGGAACCTTCATTCAAGTTCTGTGTCGTTGTCAGTTCACAATGGGATATCCACTATCCAGGTGGTGTCAGTCAACAAGGAGAAATGCTATTTTAAAAGTATAAACAATGAGAAACCCCAGTTTGTTCGGTTTTTGGCTAATCTTATGGTTTGGCAAAACATGAACGTGTACGGTATTCATAACAAATATTTCAATATCCCTCTTCCTTTTGCCACTATGAACAACCCCCAAAACATGCTCAATATCAATAACGGTGGTGCAAACAATGATAATCCTAAAAAAGATTCGGTGGCAATGAGCCAAAGTATTTTGATATACGATGATGATGATGAGGATAACGTGATTGTGATCAATAAAGAGGAAAAAAACCTTTTGGTGTGTCGGTTCAAAGTGTATGGGCCAATTCCTAAAAACCAGCGGAAAAACCTTGAGATTCCTGGCCCTAGAAATCCATTGTACCCTTCTGATCAATATAAGGATGTCCAGGAAGGATGGTTTTATGCAATGGGGGTGGTCAAATCTAACGGGATTCTTGATTTGCTATCAGAGTACGATGGTACTTTGTTATACTCCATCAATGTTTCTACTTTGATTCGATCAGAAATTCGCCAGGTACACCATCTGATATTCGAAAACTCTAATGTGTTATTCCTTGGGGTCATTGAAGAATTGAGAGACCTGAATATGAATAGCAATCTTTGTCCAACTAGCCAACGGCCACCATTTTTCCTTCCAAGTCCGGTAGTCAAATTTAATGAACTCAGAAACTTTCCAGTTCAAAGAATATTACTTAGCTTCCCACTTCATATTGATCTTGAAGATTGGTTTGTCGCATTAAAATCGCTTGCCGCTGGTGAATATGTTGGTATCAGTTCCCAATACTCCACAAAATCGTCGTTTCGAATCTACAAGAAATTGCATGTGGATGTTCTTGAAGCTAATCTTTCCGACTGCCCTGTGGAAAACTCCGATAGTGATGATTTGGATGACGAAGGTAACATTGCCCCTCCAAAGCTTTATACGGACATAATATTTTGGGACTCTACCTGGGCCAGGACCTCGATTGTCCAAAGTAGCAAGAGTCCATTTTGGCGGGAAGAGTTTGTATTCGATTTACCAATTCTTACTAGCGGGTTTCAAATGCTCATTAAAAAATGTGTGCCTTCAAGTGTTCTAAATGCGGTGGCCAAAAAGCAAAAAAACAAGACTTCAAAAATCGAACAACCAGAACTCGCTGCTGGTGATAAATTTTATTCTGAGTTAGATACGATCGTTGGGATAGTGACAATCACCGAAGAGATCATTGATGAATCTAAAGGGAAAGAAACATGGGTACCTGTTTATTCTCCGACGAATAATCTCGTGCCAATTGGTCAAATTTGCGTGCGATTATCATTGAAAGAATGGCATATCTTGTTACCTTCCAACTTTGATACATTGCAAAAGATGCTCATAAACACCTCATTAGCCGATATCATTGAATTTCTCAGTTCGAGTGATTTGACCTCCAAGTATGAGGATCTTGAAGAAATTTCTAACATGATGTTGGATATTTTCCAGGCGTTGCATAAGGAGGAACTTTGGTTCAGTGAATTAATTGATTTTGAGCTTCGAAAAGTGGGTGTAGTTGCAAGATCCAATCATGCAAAGAGCGGATCAATGATGCGTGCCAATGGAATGTCAACCAATTTTTTCAATACTTTGTTTCGTGGTAACAGTATTCTTAGTAAGACGTTTGAAAAATATAATCTTCGAGTTGGGCAAGAATTTTTGGAGAAAGTGGTTGGTGAATTCGTTTTACAAGTGGCAGAAGACAATTACGATTGTGAAATTGATCCAGCAAGAATTCGTGGTAGCACCGAGGAAAAAGAGGCGATTATTGACGAAAATTTTATGAAGTTGTTCGATTACGTGGAAATGATTTGGGAAAAAATCTATAACTCGTGTAACGATTTACCAGCACCAATTCGCCGGGAGCTTGAAATATTCAGAAACAAATTAGAAAATTGTGGATTTCTCAATGATCCCAACGATTTGGACATTAATAAGTCTCAAAGCAATTTGGCTTTGAATTGCGTCACTGGGTTTTTGTTTCTTAGATTAATTTGTCCAGCAATTTTGAATCCAAAGTTGTTTTTCTTGATCAAGGACCATCAAACGGGAAATATCAAAAGAACATTGACTTTGATTTCTAAAATCTTGTTAACGTTATCAAATAGAACCAGATTTGGGGCAAAAGAACCTTGGTTAATAAAGATGAATTATTTTCTTGAACAACATGAAAGTGAATTATTGGAGTATTTGGATATAATCACCAATAGGAAGCTCGATCATAGACCGAAGATTTTGGATCTTAGTGACACAGTGATTAGACCAGATATTTCCATTTCCCCACAGATTAGTATTGAATTACCAACCAACCCATTCTTGATTGATAAGTATTTCAGGCTCACCCAGCTTGCAACGATTCTTGCCGCTGAATTGGAAAACCAGCAAGATGAATTCAATTTTTCTGATATGGGCAATTCCAGTGGTCCAGGAAGCGTTAGAAACTCCTTTAAGATTGGGTCAATGAAGTTCGATGAGCAAGTGATGAAAAACAATAATCTTGCATATGCGTCAGAGGAATTGCTTCGCAACCTTTCGCAAATCAACGCTGCTTCCAAGCGGGTTTCTATGATGTCCTTAGGTGCGGGTGGTGGAATAAATTCCAACCGTGGTTCCATTTCTACTGATTTAGCAAGACACTCCCAAGTGTCTATTGGTGATGTGAAACAGGAGTCGTATTATTTATTGAAAAAGATTTCAAGACTCGATTATTTGTTGACCTCGTTTGAAAACCCAAGTTTGATCTATGGCAATTGGGGAAAGTTTGTCAACACGGTTATTGAAAGCAGTATCATTGATCAACAGCGAAGGATTCTTTATCTAAATATTAATAACAGTCTGAGCGGAGGATCTTGGATTTCAGATCCAAATATCAAAAAGTTAACAAACGACGGGATTGCTTCACTCAAGATAAAGTTTACCAGTCCTAAAAACTCAACACCCCCATCGACTCCAACCTCTCCAATTAGAAACTCTGTTGGACTTGGCGGAAGAAATGGTAAAACTGGCGGAACCGCTAGCATTATCCTTGGTGCTCCTCCTAGACTCGGCAAATTGATTAGGTCGGCGAGTAGTAGCACATTGGGGGGCCGTGCCACTGTATTGGACGCATTCACCGGTGGTGGTGGTGGTGGTACTAATGAGAGTGCCAATAATTCATTTTCTGGGAAGCCTATAGATGTTCGTGGCAATGGCAGGGCCAATTCCGAAATGGGACACCGCGGAAGTGCTGGTGCTGGAATAAATAATCAAAGCATACGTTATTTCCAAGGTTCACCAGGATCCTTGCCATCCAGTCCAGCCGGACAAGCTAGTTTTGGCGCAGCCAGTGGTGGTACTACTGGCGGGAGAAGCCCATTCAAAAAGACTTTCTTTTGGAGAAAGAAAAACAATGCGGATTGATCTCTGCTTTTTTTTTTTTTGGTCCATCCCTTTCTTATTATATTTTTTGTTTTTTGTTTTAAAAAATCTTTTTTTTTTTTCATGTTTGCTCTTTTCTATCGCAATTTTTTTGTTTTGTTTTACGTCGTTAGACTGTTTGCTCTGCTGTGTTATGATTAATTTTACCTGATTTTCATTAATAATAATAATAATAATAATAATATTAATAATAATAATTTTTTCCATATTTTTGCTGCTTGATTGCTTTTGTCTTTTTAATTTTGAGAGTTGTCTTAGATTTATATTATTTGCTCCCTGTTAATTATTTTCCTGGATTGATTTTTGACCTTTTACTTTTTTTTTTTTCTTTTTGTCTACCATCTGTTGCTTGCCAGTTTGATTTAATAAAAAGTTGTTGATATCATTGATTTGGGATGTAGTTATTGTTATCCTCTGTTTGATTTGTAGGAGTTATCACTGAAGAGCCTTTTAGGAAAAGATCGTCGGCTGTGGCAAGAGTTTCGTACGAAAACTTGGTTTTGCCAAATATCTTATGAGTATATCTTATGAGTAGTAATACAGACTACTAGTTTTCCAATATTTCGAAACCTCGTAATCCCCTGTAATCTACCAATACTTAGTGGGCTTAATATGTCGTAAAATACCTACGTATTCGGCTGTATGGCTTGCCCCTATGAGATTGCATTTAATTATTTGTGGTTTCACAATCTACAGTTCAGGTCAGATTACAATATTATAATGAAAATCCATTGCTATAATACACATTTATGAAATGATGACTGGGTTTGTTTTCCCTCTATTGTCCCAAACAAATTATCAGCATCGGATGATTTGTCGTTTATAATCTGAATTTTCCTATTGATCAATTGAAAGCCTTCTTGTATGTCATCTTCATTTTCGTGTTCATTAATTGAAACTTTTGCAATATGCTCTTGTCATTCAATTTTTGATCAAATAGAACCTTCATCATCCATCATCTTCATTATGCTTGCGACGTGTTTGCTGGTATCAATTGATGACAGCCAAAATATAGATAATTAAGCTAGCATCTTCAGAAACGTTAAAAGTTAAGAAAGGGCAATATAAGAGAACCTTGTAGACTCACGTACTGATCAAGCACACTACCAATGTCCACATCATGATGAAACTAAACACACTTCGAGAATAGTCAACCAAAAATATTTCCTTTATCGGATGCTGGAAGTAGTTGCTAGTGCTCCCACCGCTATTGATATGAGCCAATACATAGATCACCAAATCAACCAAGAAGCTTGCACCAAAGAAGAACCCAAACCCATGGAGAGACTCGAGGTTCAAGATCCCCGCCACCGTCCCCATCACAAGTGAACAAATGTCATGAATATAATTGATCTTCTTGGTGTTGGTGCGAATACTCTCGCCATATGTCACTGGGACATATGGTCTTGATGATATCTTGTCTTTAGGCATGATTAGTGGAGTATCAACCTGCTGCTAGCTACTGTTAGTGGTGACTATGTCATTTTTGGTGATTTTCTGCGCTTTTTTTTGTTACTCTGTGTCACCGTCACGGCCGCATAGGCAGGTTTCCCCGGATACTCCCAAGAATGTTAATTGTCCCTACAATTGACACTATATATACATTTTTGTTCTTATATACGGAATTTTCTGGTTACAATGGTCATTTGAGGTCCCTAAGGGCCTCCTTTATTTTGTCGCTCAACTCCCCAAACGTCTCCTGTTCCCCACTCATATGCCCTCGTTCAATCATCCAGTCCCACAACCCCGACCCATCACTCAATTTCCAGCTCCATTGCAATGGGGCAAATGTCTCATACTCTTTCATCCCAATCTTGTTTCTCATATATGCTCCATGTAGGGCAATGGGAGCACTGTAAGGCAAATCATCCAGTCTTGTGGTCTTGTCGCTAGTGTTTCTATATCCGTGCTTATAGTCGCCAACTATCGAGTATCCCAAATGATTGAGATGTATTCTGATCTGATGTTTTCTTCCTGTAAGTAATCTTAATGCCACGAGTTTCCTCCCCAGATCATCGTCGGAATCAATGATCTGATATTTAGTTCTCGCCTGCTTTCCATCGACGATAACATCTATAAGTCCCACATCATCTTCAACCAATGGGAGTTTCTTGAATTGTGATAAATATTTGTTCAGTTTTATTGGTTCCATCAATCCCACATACTTTCTATCAATAATGAACCCTTTGTTGGACCATTTCCCTCCCTTCATGTTTTTGGAGAATTGCTGGGCAGCAATCTTTGATCTCCCTATACAAACGCACCCGCTGACATTGAAGTCGAGTCGGTTTATTGGGAATAACTTCTGTTGGTCATAACCCATCTCTTGGAGCGTGTGAAGTACAGTATTGTTATAAAACTGCCTATTCATTGGAGGTTGGCAGAACATTGAAGGATTCTTGTTGACCACAAGGTGGTGGATCGATTCCAGTAATACAGTCAATTTAGAAAGTTGCATCGCTAATTACGAGAGTGGTTATTATTATAATAGAACATACAAAATACTGATACTCTACCTCGATCTGCTACTGGTGACAGAAGACGAAGAAGAAGAAGAAGCAAAAAGAAGAAAAAAGAAAAGCACGTCGGCCGACACGGATTACCACATACCGACACGGAGCTCACGTGTTGTTCTTTTTTTTTTTTTTTTTTTCTCCCTCCAAAATCACCAAAAATTCCCCAAAAAAATTTTCACACGCCTGTTGTTTCTGTCCTTTTGGTATCCCTATAGATCTACACATATCCAAAAATGCCAGCTGACACTGTTTACTCCGGTCCATTCATGAGAGGTTTCTTCGTTGAAGCCTTAATTCAACACTACAAGATTGATGTTGCCGTCAAGGACATCAAGGAACCAATCGTTGCCGCCAACTTCCCATTGGGTAAGGTTCCTTCTTTGATTGGTCCAAAGGGTTTGAAATTGACTGAAGTCATTGCCGTTATGTTCTACTTGATCGCCAAGCTCCCAGAAGCTGAACAAGCTAAGTTGTTGGGTGCCAAGGAACAATTCCCAGAACTCATGAAGTGGTTGTCTTTCTCCAACTCTGAATTGATTGGTTCCCTTTCTGGTGCTTTCAAGCCATTGCAAGGTAGAGTTCCATACAACAAGAAGGTTGTTGACGAAAACTTGGCCACTGCTGAACTCGTTGCTGCCTCTTTTGAACAAAGATTGGTTAACTACACCTTTTTGGTTGGTGAAAGAATGACCATCGCTGATGTCTACGCTGCTTTCGCCATGTCCAGAGGTTTCGCCACCGTTTGGGGTAAAGAATGGAGAAGCAAGCACCCAGAAATCATGAGATGGTTCAACACTATTACTGCTTCCCCAATCTTCAAGGAATCTAAGTACGCTCAAACTTTTGAATTGATTGAAAAGCCAATCGAATTCGTTCCACCAAAGAAGGAAAAGAAGCAAAAGCAACAACAAGCTCCAAAGAAGGAAGCCAAGAAGGAAGAAAAGCCAGCTGAGGAAGAAAAGCCAGTTGAAAAGAAGGCTAAGCACCCATTGGAACTTTTGGGTAAGTCCACCATCCCACTTAACGACTGGAAGGTTAAGTACTCTAACGAAGACACCCGTGAAAAGGCTTTGCCATGGTTCTGGAATGAATTCTACAACCCAGCTGAATGGTCCCTCTGGAAGGTTGAATACAAGTACAACGATGAATTGACCATGACCTTCATGTCTAACAACTTGATTGGTGGTTTCTTCAACAGATTGACTGGTTCCATCAAGTACATTTTCGGTTCCATGGTTGTTTACGGTGAAAACAACAACAACGGTATCGTTGGTGCTTTCTTGGTCAGAGGTCAAGACTGTGCTCCAGCTTTCGAAGTTGCTCCAGATCACGAAAGTTACAACTTCACCAAGTTGGACGCCACCAAGGAAGAAGACAGAGCTTTCATCAACAACTCCTGGGCTTGGGATGAACCAATGATTGTTAACGGTGAAAAGAGAGAAATCGCTGACGGTAAGGTTTGTAAATAAGCAAATTGCTTTCTGTACTTGTTGAGGAGAATATTTAGAAAAATTTTTCCTTTCATTAATTTCCATAAATATTATTTTATACTGAAATAATGAAATTTTTTGGTATTAGTGTTTATTAGTTATTCAATTACAGTCTTGATTTAGTTATTATTTTTATTTAAACCGATTTTTGTGTATGCTTTAGTTGCTTGAAATGTATTTCGTTGTTTTGCGATGATTTAACTATCATTTGTCCATTATTTTTGCAATTCGTAGATTTACCATTTTAAGGCTAGTTTGCTACTCTGGTTCTGTTTGCTCGACCACATTAAGGGATATCCCATTACTGACTTAACTCCGAAACGTCATTTATAAATAAGATCCAAACTATATTTTTGTATGATAACACGAAATCTATTGCATTGCTTTTAAGCGATAATTGCCATAATACAAAAGAAAGAGTTCGATAACTCTAAGTTGGTGTAATTATAAGTGAAATATGAATAGATAAAATAACATAAGTGAAGAAATGAGGAGAAACCATTGAAATAAGTTGACTGGAAGGAAAAAAAAAAACTTTAGTGTGAAAAACGGTTGAAAAGTTCAACATTTCAAATTTATTGAACCCATCATTGCAAGATCTTCAGAAATAAATATTTATAACATTATTAATATTGTCAAATATTAGCTAGGTTTATCTATGCAGTTACTTCTATATAAAAATAAGAGGACTGAAACTAAGTAGCCCATTATTATCTATAAAATCCTTGACCGTCCAATCCAAACTCCAATTCCTGTTCTAAACCTGTCAATAAATCTCCCTTACTCTCGTTCATCCCAACATCTGTAATTCCATTAGCATCCTGATAAAATATGTTTTCTTGAGGCTTTGGTGGATCATCGTAGAACTGGTTTAGTTGTTGTTGGTTCCCTACATATTCTGTTGGTGACATCATTTGTGATCTGACATCATGGTTATTATTCATTCCTGCTGCCTCATATTGTTGCTGTTGTTGCTGCTGGTGCTGCTGGTGCTGCTGGTGCTGGTGTTGTTGTTGTTGTTGCTGTTGTTGTTGTTGTTGTTGTTGTTGTTGTTGTTGTTGTTCAAAATGCTGTTGTTCAAAATGATGCTGCTCAAGAAGTCTCTGCTGTTCTTGTTGATCTAACATTTCTTGATCAATTTGCGGAGGTTGTGGGCGACGTACAAATTCTCTGAAATTACGTACTTCATCCAACAATAATTGTTTCATACCTTCGAAATCTTCCAATGTCTCGAATGAGAAGTCAAATTTCTCAGTACACCCATACTCCTCCGCCGCATCATGCCAAACATGGAGATATGGATGTTGAAGAGCTTCATCAACATCAATACGGGCACTTGGATCTAACGCAAGCATTTTATCAAGAATATCAAGAGATTCGAGGCTGGCTTCAGGATATAGACTTCTGAAAGGAACCGTTGGCATAAATGGCAAAGATCTAACGTATGCCTGGGCTCTTTGTGAACCAATTCTCACAAGAGTTTCCTCATTTGGAGTACCAATTATCTTCAAGATCTGATTCAATTGATCGACGTAATCTTTACCTTTGAAAATCGGTTTGCCTCCAAGCAATTCTGCCAAAATACATCCAACTGACCAAATATCAATGGCCTTGGAGTAGCTCTGGAAACTCAACATGATTTCTGGGGCACGGTACCATCTAGTGGCCACATATTCTGTAAGATACCCAGCGTTTTTTTCGGCATCGTTGGAAAAACCTCGAGCTAACCCGAAATCACAAATCTTAAGCTCACAGTCAGCATTCACCAACAAATTTCCCGGTTTTAAATCACGATGCAAAACATCGGCAGAATGGATATACTTAAGCCCACACAAGATCTGGTACACGAAACTTTGATAATGAGCATCAGTCAATGGTTGACCCGACTTAATAATTTGGTGCAAATCACATTCCATAAGTTCTTCATAAAGGTAAACCTCGCTGAAGTTCACTGGGTCGACAATGTCTAAATCAAAAAGAGAGGTGATATTCTTATGACCTCTGAAATGCTTGAGGAGTTTGATCTCACGAATGGCACGCTTGCACAACACTTTTTTGCTGAAAATATTGGTAATCTTCTTGATGGCCACGGATCCTCCATTGGGAAGTTCAGTGTATTTCGCAGAAACCACTAACCCATATGCACCTTGCCCAAGTTCCTTGATGATTTGAAAGCGCTTGTCAATGATGAAATCCTGACGGAAGACTTTGAAAGAATGACGCTCTTGATTTTCTAAATCAGCCATAGCCTTGTCCTCTTTATTCCCAAATGTTCAAACTAATGCTTGGTGAAACAAAACCGCAAGCCGGAAAAATGAAAAAAAAAAAAAATAAAATGAGAAAGGGTTGAAAATAATGGTTTCTATAAAAGCAAATAAAAAACCAAATGAGGAATCAATATTTCTTTCTGATAAGATGAAGATACCGACGAAAATAAGGCCCCTGAAGTTACCAGCGATTCCAAATGTTTCACCAATTTAAAGATAACAGCGAAGAATCCTAAGACTTAGCACATCACAAACATCACCCGGATGTTATGTTGTTAACAGGCAGGGTGACCCTGGAAGTGGTGACGCAGACAACATGAGTATAGTAGACAGAGTAGTAACCCATCAAGAACAATAGGAGCATAAATCGTTGGATTTTTTAGTGTTCTTAAAGAAAGATATTTCTGACTCTGTGTAACATTGAATTTACTGTATCATGGCTCTTAATATATATGCATACGGGTATCTCAGTAGTTACAAGAAACAGCTAAATGAAACAAGCAAGATTGAATACAGAATTACATAAACACCTTAATCAATTGATTTTTTTCACTATATTGCCCAGCCACTTCTCAACTCCATTAACGTTTATTCTGATTGGTCGTTAGTCATTTATTTATTCTCCTTATATTTAAGGAAAGTTTTCATCTATATTTCACTCTAAATTAAATTTTCTCTGCTGCGAATCAAAAGCTGTGGATCTTTTGACCAAGCTTGTAGACTGCCTTCAATTCACCCGACTTGGTCAATATATTGATATCAGCATCACACCCTGGATTCAAAAACCCTTTTCTTTTAGAAAGGTTTAAAGAGCTGGATGGATTATTGGTGATGGTAGCCAAAGCCTTCTCAAGAGGAATCCCCGTCCATTTTATGAGGTTATGGGCACACTCCAATAAGTGAGTGGCTGAGCCGGCGATGGTCTCTGTATTTTCCAATAACAATAAATTCCCCTTTTTCTCTATCTTCTGATTACCTCTGGTGTGCAACCCATCTTCCAACCCAATCAAGTACATTGCATCAGTGACGAGAATTGCTTTGTTAGGGTTGGCATCATATGCGGCTTTCACAGCACTTGGGTGGACATGAACACCATCAGATACTATACCATAGTACGGGATTTTTTCAGCTGGTAATTGGTCAATGGTGGCGGAAATCAACCCCACAACCCCAGGGTTTCTGGCACTGTAAGCAGGCATAGCGTTGTAAAGATGGGTCATCATTGATGCACCGTTTTTGACTGCTTGCACTGCGGTATTGAAATCGGCCATGGTGTGACCAATGGAAAAAACTATCTCTTTTTCTTTGGTGACTTGAGATATCACGTCCAAGCTCCCTTCGATCTCCGGGGCAGCAGTGAGGATTGCAGTGTATTTTTCAAAATCATCACCGTATCTCTGTTTTAAGGACTGGTAGCCTTCTTTCATTGTGGTGATTGTTTCTGGAGGATGACACCCTTTCTTCAATGGAGAAATAAATGGCCCTTCAATATGGGCCCCCAAAGAATCCGCCTTGGATGCAGACCGGGTCTTCAATCCCAATATTAGCAACACATCTCTGTAGACATCAGAAAAGCTGGAAGTAACGGTTGGACAAATACTGGTGACCCCGTGCTGGAGCAATTTTTCCATGGACTTGTTATATTGCTGAACGAATTGTGCTTTTGATGAGTCATTACTGAGGGTGGTTGAGTAGTCCAAACCGAAACATCCGTTGATCTGGATGTCGATGAATCCAGGAGAAATGATCAAGCCTTGGAGGTCTATGGTCTCTATTTTCTTGGGGCTTGCACCTGTTGGTTTGTCGATGATGATCCCCGAGGCGGCATCGATGTATAAATCTTTTTCAATTAGTTGGGCATTGTCTGCCAATGTGCAGTTGGTGAAGTGGATTATGTTGGCCATTGCTATGGTTGGGTATTATTATTATTATTAGTTGGTCAGGGGTTATATATTGGTTGAAGAGTGGAAAAAGTGTTACAAAACTATAGTCGGAATATCTTTCAATATATATATATATATATATATATATCCGCAGTATACATAATAATATCCATATTATTGGGAAAAGATGCGAGCTTATTGTTGCAGTTGCACCCAGTGTTGCATTGATTTCTCCGTACAAGTCTACGAAAGAATACGTTAAATAAGCACGAGATTCCATAGCTTGAGAAGAAAAACATCACCCACTGAAACCTTGCTAACAAATATCCACTGATCCAATTCTAGTTTCTCTTCTTTCGTGCCCACGTTGATCAATACCACCAAGACGAGGATCGCTAACCAATTCACGATAACAGCCACCGGGTAATGCACCGTAACAATTAGTGCAACATTAGAATATTCCACATTCACTACGGCCTGAAGTCATCTTGGAGTCACTGCCAACCTGCTGCAAATCTTTCAGCTTACTTGTTATTTTATACTGTTGACTCTAAACCACGTTGGCCAGAGTATTGTTATTGGACCAGCATGATGATGAAAGCCTGACTGAACATAATTAATATCACCAAACTATGGATATTGTTGGAAAATTGTTTATGGTGGGGTTCGAAGGAACCGATGTCACCCAGGAAATCCATACTCTTATCACCAAATATCGTGTCAGCAGCATCATATTGAGTGGGAGGAACTTCATCAATGCTGCTCAGGCGAAAAAATTGATCCATGATTTACAAGCCCTCGCCATGCACTCTGGGTACAATTATCCGATCATCTTTGTTATTGATGAGGAAGGAGGAATGCTAAATTCTCTTTTCGACAAGAACTTTATCACACAATTCCCAGGAGCCATGTCTTTGGGAGCGACGGGATCCGAGGAGTTGGTTTATCAAGTACATCGTGCAGTCGCCAAAGAGTTGAAATCCATTGGGTTTTCCATGCATTTGGGGCCAGTGTTGGATATTTTGAAAAATGGGACCAACACGTTCCAACAACAGATGATTGGGGTGAGATCTTATGGATATGGGGTTAAATTAGTGCTGAGATTTGGTAAAGCCGCGGCCCAAGCCTTTCGAGATGAGAAGTTGTTCAATTGTGGCAAACATTTTCCTGGCTATGGATCGGCCACTGTTAACTCGAATTTCGAGCTCCCGATGATTGTTGAGTCCACAGAACAAATGATGGAATTTAATCTTGTTCCTTATAAAGACTTGATTAATGCGGGTCTTTTAGATAGTGTGTTAGTTGGAGGATGTGCCGTGCCAGGGGTCAATAGTAACGATTTGCACGCCTGTTTGAGCCCAACGATTGTTACCAATATGTTGAGGGGAAAATTGCAGTTCAAAGGGATCGTCATTAGCGAGTGTTTGCTACTAGAGGCGCTAGATAGAAACTTTGGGGTGGTTCAAGGATGCATATCGGCATTTTCCGTGGGTTGTGACTTGATCATGTTGTGCAGTAACTTCAAGATCCAAGAGGAGGCGATACTAGCAATGCAGTCTGTTGTTGGCGATGAGTTGATTGATCCGAGTATTTTGCGTCAATCTTTACTGAGAATTGAAAACTTACAACGTCAGTTACCGAGCTGGCCAGAGGTCATTGAGCAACAGGGAATGTTGACCCAGGATATTTTGAACCAGCATAGATTGATTTCCAGCTTGGCGTACAAAAAATCAATCACGGTTATCAGAGACGCCGGGCTTCCGATAACCAGGTTTTTGAGTCCGAATGTGGAAAAGGAGAACACCATTCTATTATTGACTCCTTTGATCTCGCCGCTTTATGAGACTGTGGATGAGCATGGTAATAGATCACATATCAACAATATTGCTGCTGATGATTATGCCAAACTAAATCTTAACTACGGAGAAGATGTTTTCATTGAGTTAGGGAAATTATTGTCGGAGTATCGGCCGGGATACAAGATCTATCACACCAGTTACAATTCTAATGGGTTGACATCGTTTCACGAAGAGCTCATTTTGAAATCGAAAGTCATTTTATTTTTCTCTGCAGAAACCACGAAAAATTTGTATCAAGTTGGGGTTTCCAAACATGTTTCGATGCTTTGCAATTCACTGACGATTCGACATAGAGGCCAGGCACAACGAAGGGAGACCCGCCAAATGATTATAATCAGTGTTTCCTCTCCAATGGATTTCTTGTACGATATTAATATTGGGGGCTCTCCAACTGGGTATATTTGTACGTACGATTACACCATCAATGCACTAATGCATCTTCCGGAAGTGTTGTTCGGAGATTATGTTCCTACGGGGAAGATTCCGGGATTCACTATTGGCAATAAGAAGTTCATTGATGGTAATGGAGGTAAGAAAAAAGGTAAACATAGCTGGTTAGTTGAAGCGTTCAACTTCACACGGGATTGGGATAATTTGATAAACCTATTGAAAAACAACCATTATCTAGCCTTTTCTGCTGCGGAATCATCCTTGACGAGCTTGAAGAGGTTTTATCTTGATAGTGAGCACCACCGGAGTTTTGTGGTAAGAAACACTAGTTCGAAAACGATTTTGGGGATATCGACGACCTGGTTCCATTGTGAGCACTCTAAATCTCTGAATGATAATGTGGGGAATTTCCTACTCTTGTTGGTTGATAAAAATAAGAGAAACATTGCAATTGGAAGTCATTTATATTCAAAAACAATGAAATATCTCTTCGAGGAGGCTAATTGCAGCAGGGTCTATTTGGGAGGGGGATATCCGAAGTTGACGCTGGCCAATGATTTGTTGCTCAATTTTTCTGATGAGAATACTGGCGGTGTCAACTTTTTCAAGTCTTTTGGCTGGAACTTCGGTGATGAGCTGTTCATGTCATCTGGCAACATTCCACAGAGAAAGAGTAAAAAGCGTGATGTTAATGGTGAATCTATATCATTGAATATTAAAAACTCTGACAGAATGAGCGTCAGTACTTTATTAGCTGATAATGTTAGCGATGCAGCCAAATCAAAACCCGAATACTCAAGCCAAGCTTTATCATTTTCCGACGCTACCAAAGACCTGGACAACCCCTTTGCAACAAGACTATTGAACCAGCCAATCCAAAGAAAGGTGCGACATCTAATGAAGCTCGACGACATTCTTAGCTGGAAAGTCTCTGAAAATTTGGTTCGCCAGCTCCAAGTGGTAGGGATAATGTTTGATATTTGCAGGAATCCCGCAGATGTGTTTGCACTACAAAAGGGAAAGAACTCACTAAATACCTACGAGGAAGATACTGATAGCCACAGTGCCAACAAAGCTAATAATAATTACGAGATTTATCTAGAATTATATAAAGATTTCTGTGCTGCTGATGGCGATAAACAGTATCTTGATGGCTCTGGTAATTTGGATATAATTGTGGCTTTGGAGCCAACGAGAAGATCAGTGGTTGGTAGTTTGATTGTATTTAACGGTAACTCTAAATTTTCAAAGTTTTTCCCGTTTCTAGAATTTTCCAGAGGGAGTGACAATGCCCGAAAGCCCAAGGACCAAGGTTTTGCTTGTATAGCTGGCCATTTCATCGACCCATTGTACACCACCCTTTCGGAAGTGTTTGAGTTGGGATTGATTTGCACTGCACTAATGTACATTAAGAGTCAATACAGCAACTGTTCTGAATGCTTCATCACCGACATTGATGAGAAACAGATTGGCAGTTTGCAGGACAACGGGTTCAAGGTGCTAGAAAAGTATTACAATTATTATTCTGTAATGGGGAGAAGTTAGATATTTACGTTTGTATTATAATTAATATTCTTTAATCAAGAGAAAACAGCTATTTATTTGTATATTAATGTATGTAGTGTAATATTACTATAGTTTAGAAATTTCAACTGCGGATTCAGGCAATTCTGCACATGCTTCCGAATCGCACACTATTAAAGAGTTCTTGTGATCTCTAAGGAAAGTGCTTGGGATGTCTGAGCTTATTGGAGAGTTTAATGTTTTATTAAGAATTTGGGCTTTGGAACTGCCAAATACCAATGTTATGACTTCTTTGGAGTTATCTAGCACTGTGGAGATTCCGACACTCAACGCATAACGAGGGACTTTCGAAAGATCATCGTTGAAGAAACGGGAGTTGGCATTGATGGTTGATTCTTCAAGCTCGACTTTACGGGTCTGGGAATCTCTGGCTGATCCAACTTCATTGAATGCGATATGGCCCTTGGCCCCTACCCCACCCATGAATATCTGGAATGGGGCATATTTGGCAATTTCTTCTTGGTAGGATTGACATTCTTTTTCAAAATCATCAGCCAACCCATTGAGGATATGGATGTTCTTCTCTTGTATGTCTATGTGGTTGAACAAGTTCTTGTACATGAAGTAATGATAGGATTGGTCGTTTGATGGTTCAAGGCCGCAGTATTCGTCCATGTTGAAAGTCACAACGTTCTTGAAGGAGACTTTCTTGTCATTGTACAATTCAACCAAGTGCTTATACACTGGTTCAGGAGAGGATCCTGTTGGTAAGCCCAAGACGAATGGTTTTGATTCTGTTGGCTGGAACTCATTGATTTTTTCAGCAATGTGTTCAGCCACAAATGCTGCACCTTGGTCTTTGGATTGGTACGCGATAAGTTGAACCATTATGAGGAATGTGTATGTGTGCGTGTCGGTATAATAGGATGTGAAAGAAGAAGCGGAATAAAAGAAACCTGGAGAGATGAGTTTTCTTTAATAACTTTTTATAAGCGTGATAAATCGTCAATAGCTGTTCCTCATCCCCCTTTTTGGTTATTATGTTGCAATTGCTCATTAATGTGCTTCCAATGTTGCATTCTGTTTTTTCTTTTGTGCACCTGCATAAATGTGATAAATCAGCAAGTTGCCGATAATAAACACACCAGAGGGCTTTGAGAGATTCTATAGTTGAGAAATAGATAATAGTTGTTATTTGCATCGTTTGACAGTTTTATTTTTCCCTCTCTTCCTTCTTTTCTGTAGCAACTCTGTTCATTTACTTTACGTGTTGATGCTCGCATCTATTGAATACAAAAGCATGATGAATATCAGATTAACTAGATAGGAACCATTAAGGTAGTAAAAAAACCAAGGTGAGGAAATAACGAAAAAAAAAGTGGAAAAGATTAAATAGAAAATTGTAAGAAGGTTTGGCAAATAGAAAGAAAAAAATTAAAATGAAAAATCGACTGCAACGCAGAAATAAAGCTTTATTTTTAGATAGCAGCTTCTGCTTCAATGACATAGTTTTTGAATTTTCTAGTTGCAACACCTCTGTGAAACATGATATCCAATTCTTCAAAACTTCTGTCTGCAGTTTCTGGTAATCTAAAGTAAGCCCAGACCACACACAAAGTAGAGAAAGCAGCGAAAATAAAACCAGTCTTACCACGCAAATCACCATTACCTGGGTTCAACATATATGGTAAAGCAACAGTAGCAGCAACAAAGAAAGTTGCTTGAACAGCGGTTGCAAAAGCAATAGTTTTACTTCTCAATTTAGTGGAAGGAATTTCACCGTTGATGACGAAACATAAAGGCCCTGCAGAAAGTTGGTAAACGAAGGACCACACCAACATTAAACCAGCTTGAGTATTAGCAAGTTCAGGTCTATTAAAGTAGTTCTTTGGAATATCAATGAAACCAATGATCCACAATAACACAGTAGTGAAAGCCAATGCTGTGTTATATAGTGGTCTTCTACCAACATACGCCAATAAAACCCCAGTACAACATGTGGCAGCAAAACCAATAGCTGTACCACCAAGAGATAAATCAAATGCTCTTTTAGTTGGTAAACCAGCAAGCTCAAAGAAGTAAGTACTATAATTCATGACAAAAGGAACACCACACAAAACTTGAACGACATAAACAACGGTACAGATTTCAGTTCTTCTGAGATTACTGCCTTTAAAGATATCCATGTAGGAAGTAGTCTGGTTCATTTCCTGTTCCAATTTATCTGTTTCGATAACCAATTGCAATCTGTCATCAATGTGCTCATCAGAAACAGATTTCGCAGAAATTTGTTTAATTGATTTTCTAGCTTCATCAAATTTCTTTTGACGCACCAACCAATATGGGGACTCTGGGGCGAATGGAAGCAAGGCAAGAATAAGCAAAGGCCAAAGCCATTGAATGGCAAATGGAACTTTATAGGCCCATTCTGTGGAATTATTAGCAAAACCATCAGCGACACCATTAGCAATGAATTGACCAATGATGAAACACAAATTACTCATAGCCGTCAAAATACCTCTCAATTTAATTTGAGCAACTTCTGAAGCATAAAGAGGACCAATCAAAACCATACAACCCCACAAAATACCAGCCAAGATTTCCCCGGCTGTCAAAACTCCCAAAGAAGGAGCAAAAAATTGCATGAAGATCAAACCCAAGCATCCAATGTTAACAACGAAGTAAGTCTTCTTTCTTCCAAACCATTCAAGTGGCCACGCAATCCCCAAAGTACCAATAACTTGACCAATTGGGGAGCCCATACCAAGGGCAGTTTGCCATGCAGCACTAATTTGGTAGGTTCCATCGTCTGCCAAATCCCCGAATCTTTTTTGGAATGCTGGCAAAGCATAAAATGATGAAATGATTTGGGAATCATAACCAGACATGACCACCCCTAAGCAGAAAACAGAACACCAGAAGACTTCTTTAGGATACTTTTTCACAGCTTCTAAAATTCCAATATCCTTCTCATATTGAGCATGGTTTTTAGAATCGAAGAAAGTCTGTTCGATTTCCGCTTCAACTTCATCACTCTGTTTCTCTTTGATAATATCGGACATTATAATTAGTTATATCTTCCTATTGTTAATGATTTTTATTTTCTATCAATGTATTAATTTTTTCTTGAAATAACCGTAACTATTTCGGATGATATCGAATGTTTATATACATCTTGCAAATCGATTGCAGGTTTAGTTTGGTATCGATAACGGTTAATTGTTCACTAAGCAAAACATGGCAGCATTTCCGCTGTGAAAAAAAAATGGAACATCAAAATTAACCTTTCCACTGTGGGGATTAGTGCGCGATAAGGAATTATTTTGGATTATTTTGCGGGTCGCATGACTCCGGGATAGATAAGAGGCGCCTGCATGGAAATGTTACTGTAGGATATTACTCACTTCACTGGAAATCTACAGTAGAGTACCATAGTGTAGCATAGCGTTCCATCATACGATGACGGTTGAGGTTTTTTACTGAGTAAGCAAATGATAATCTGGAAAAACAGAAAAAAGAAAGAAGCAAGTGAATCAATACGATCTTACTGATACAATAGATTTGTTCATAGAAGTTTATTTGACGAAATACGTAGTCTAAAGAAGTCTGATTTTCCATCCGTTAGCATTACACCAGTAAGCAAATCCAACCAATGATATATCAAAGGTGAGAGTAAGAATGGTCTTTGTAATTGCCGAGCTAAATATCTTGTTTAGTCCAGATTGAGCCATCTTCCAAATGGAAGTGTTCTCAGTAAATTCATATTTCAGTATCAATAGCAAGATTTCTCCCAAAAAGTAAACCTCCATAGATTGTTTACCCACAATAGCTAAAAGATTCTTAACCAAGCTTGGCAAGTATGGAATTGCATTTTTCACTGCGAGATATTTCAAGATGCTCCACCCATTAGAAGTTAAAGCAAAAGCAGGGGTCCATAAAGGTTTTGAAACAGGAAAATGAGCAGGGAATACCTTGCTAACCAAATAGCCTGCTCCAAGGAAGCCGGCTCCTGCCAAAAATGAATGCAAATTAGATAAATTCTGTTGCATAAACCAGTACCCACTCCATATAGTGACGGATGTCATAAAAGATCCAAGCAAGCCTTCTGGATCAAAGTTTTCATGATAGGTACGTCCACCAAAAAATATGGAATCAATTTTCTGCTGAGCAGTATGTTCTTGATTGTCGAATGGTTTGGATTTATCAGTGGCATGGCCAAAAGAGACTGCAAGCCATAATCCAGACATTGCTAATGGAAACAAAACTGAATTTCGAAAATTTATTGGCACTAAATTATTTAGAATAATAGAACTTAAGCCATGTCTTTGTAACACTCCCAAAGGCCTGAATTTTTCATTTTCAAGAAGCATTGGCACAGAATTGAACGCCATACCTAGGCCAATCAATTGTATGCTTTTTCTGGCAGGTACCACCTTATCTCTCTTCAAAAGCATTCCACTGATAAATGAGAAACACGGGAAGATTGTATCGGCATAATTCATTTTCATATCATCATAGCTGGCATGATCGAAGAAAGAATCATCGCAAGATTCTGTATTTTCCATCTCAAGGATGTTTAATCCTCGAAAGATATCGATTTCCAAAGCCCTTGACATTCTTTATGTTATTTTGTCAGTTTCAATCCTTGATAGAAAAGTGTGTTTGTTAGTTTCCCCTTGTTTGTTATTGCCTCTTGCAATGCATTGGCCGGAAAAGAAAAAAAGTTCAAAATATATTAATCAAATTGATAAAATGATTCCTTGGCTGATCCCTAGAATTCCCAAAAAAAGAAAAAAGAAAAAAAAGTGTATCTCATGCACAGATATGCACAACCGAAAAGCTCGGGTATGGCAGGTGCAACAAGATTACTGACTGAACTTATCATATAATCCAGTAGGACACATACATCTCACGGAACCGAATCCTTCGGCTTCTCTGATATCACTGGACGTTATTCACACCTTTCTTTTTCCAGAATTGTGAGTCATTTTCAACGGAAAAAAAAAGAGCTTGCTGCTTAACGTCCAATGATGAATGAAATTCCTTTTCGGTGTGATACTAGGGTGTATTACACAAGCTATATTTAAAAAACATGGAGAAACTACTGCTGCAACTCAGAAGACTTGCTGTATAGAGTAAATTGACATCTAAAGGCGGTGTAAGCGAAAACGATGCATTAGGGGCGGGTAGTCTTTCAATGTTGCACTGAAGTGTCCTCCAGTTTCCTTTATGTTGCAGCAGTTTTCACTGAACAATCATCCAGTGATCTCAATGTTACATGTGAAAAAAACTTGTTGTTACAAGTTATTCAAGATGTGCTGTCTATTAAACTTATCATTAGCATGATCAATTTTTGTACTCACGGCTTACTTGGTTTGTTACCATTGGTTTTTTATAAGCCAGAAATTCGCAATAACATAGTCAAGCTCGTAGCTATCTGCTATTTTTGAAAGGCTACTTCAAGAAAAAGCCGCTCCAGGAAAAGCTCAGTTTGCGGCTTACCAAGTTCAAAACTACTTACGAAGCTCCAGATCAGTTTTTTATTTTATGTTTTCTTCGATAACTTAAATCTGTGAGAAAAAGGACCTCGACTTCATGTATATGTGGAAAGCTTTATTAAACGTGACGAAAATGAGGCAAGAACCTGTCTTAGTTTCTAGTCGAATTGTGAATGGCTATCCGGATGCCACTCAAGACATGAACTACAAGAGAGATGATGATCTTTCCCTGTTGCTTACATCTTATTTTAAGACGAATGAATTGAGAAATAACTTTGATCAAATTACCGAGGGATTTAAGAAATCTATTTTCGAAGCAATCTTAAAATCTGGCAACTGTATGATTCCTTGTTTTAATGTCGTTTGTGAAGAAAATGATGAAGTTAAGGGAAATTTTGCAATTATCGATATTGGAGGATCTACTCTTCGAGTTTCAATAGTAAAATTCTACGGTGATCGTCAAGCTGAATGTACGATAAATAAATCTTGGTTAATTGAAGATCAAAATAAAAACCTTGACCACAAATTCTTTCAATGGGTCGCTGAGAATTTTAAATCAGTCGTCCCTGCAGATATCATAGAATCTTTAAAGAATTCTAGAGGTAATATCAAGCTAGGAATTACTTGGAGTTTCCCAATTAATCAAACTACATCGCCAAATAGAGGAAACATTTCCGATTTGGGCAAAGGGTTCTCTGTTATTGACGAATTTAAAGAGAAAGATATGAAAGATATCTTTGAGGAGTCATTTGCAAAAGTTGCTATTCCAGTAGAAGTCTATTCTATTGTCAATGATTCGACTTCTGTACTAATTACTGGATCATATTTCAAAAATGCGAAATTGGGTCTAGTTCAAGGTACTGGTGTCAATTCTTGTTTTTTAGTTGATTCTTGTTTATTAAATGATACCAAAAAGAATGCTTTACCGGGGAATTCAGACAATAAAAAGATATTACTTAACTCTGAAGCATCATTTTTAGGTGCCCATTTGAAGGAGTACGTTACTAGTGCCGATGTGAAATTGAATGGTCTCTGGGATATTATGGGTGATGGCTCCACTCTTCCTCCTCACTTGACTACCGAGGCCTACGGAGTTTTCCAACCTTTGGAAATTATGACTTCTGGAAGATATATTCCTGAAATTGTGAGATTGACTGTTGAGAAAATTATTGCTGATGGATATGAATCGTTTGAAGGGGGTGTGCCTAAAGGCCTCGAAGCAGAATATTCATTGACCGCAGAATGTTTATCAACTTTATATCAATGTGAGAACCTCGAGAGTTTCCAGTCGGCTTTGAATAAAAAATTTCCGGCGAAGGGCTTAAAAATTCAAGACTTGAATAATTTGAAAATAATAACAAAGGTGATTATTCTTCGTGCTTCCATCATTTTAGCATCCTATATAATTGCCTTGCTTGAAGTTAGTGGAACTACTAACATCCCTAATGCGGATATAGCTGTTGTTGGATCAATGCTTGAACATTTTCCAAAATATAAATCAAAAGTTCTTGAAATTTTGGATGTTGAAACAAAGGCTCGTGGTTTGCCAAAGGTCACATTCAATTTTATAAAGGACAGTAGTATATACGGAGCAAGTATTGCAGCTTACGTTAACCAAAAGAAAATGAGCTTAGATTGAGAGATATTAAATTAAATAAATATTAAACTCTATTAGAAATAAATGTTTTTCTTCTACTGACTTGGTAAGATGATTAGTGTAGCGAATGGTTGATATGGAAAAGGGCTAAGATCGCGATATCAGGTGTCCGGGTGTTTGGTAACTCCGATGCACCCATACATTAAAAATAAAAAAAGAAAGAGAGCGATTAAAGGATCTTACTCGCTTCATTCGTATTTTATATATTTTTTTTTTTTTTTTTTTGATATGAATGTTGTTTTTGAAATAATGGCAATACCTCTGTTCCAACTCCTCTACCTTAATAAACTATTTGAAAACTTTTATTGATGGATATGAATATCAACTATAACAGTATCGATGATGAATTTGCTTCTTTGTTCTTACAGGAGCTCCAGAATACTCGTATGATCAACTCTGAACAAGATGAGAATAGGGAAATAGTTAGATCAGAACAAATTCAAACAGAGGTCGGGAATGCAAATGACATCGATCTTAATGTGAATGCTGGTGGTTTGCCTGTGAATACTGATAATTTGATTGGAAGCTATGCTAGGTATTTGCCGTTGGAAGCTACATTCACTTCAAATTTGCTAGGTTTTGATGGGCTATCATATCCAACAATTGGCGAACAAAATCTGCAATTTGGAATGATGCTTGTCGATCAAGGGTATAACAATGGAAGCAATGGTAATAGAATTAATAACTTTGATAATGTTTCTAGTAACAAGTTTAGTAACCTTGCCACAAGCACTGATAGTAATATGATGATCTCCAAGGAATCCGTTGATACTATTGCAGGAAATGCTGAATCATTTGAAAACATTGATAGTGAAAGCCATAATAAAAATGAACCAGATGATCTAATCAGCAGAAATTCGTTAAATGCAATGGCCAAAACAAACCCAGAAGAGTCAATAGTGAAGCATTACCAAACCAAAAATGACCATGGAATCACCATGCAACTAATTTCCAGTACAGTACTATCATTCAGAGACATAAATAGGGGAAAGCCAATTACAATTAAAAATCTGAAAAATGAAAATATTGGATTAAAATTTGATGGCTTAATAAATGGAAGAATTTTCATTAACCCAGATTCTTTCAAGAGATTTTCCGAATGCAGAGAAGCAGTTAATGAATCTTTTTCAACTCAACTTTTTTGCTACCGAAGGAATTCCATATCGATAGCTTTTTCGCTAATTTTTGATTTTATGAAAGTTGGCAAAGGAGAACACTTGTTTCTTGAATCCTTAGATAGCAAGGTTGAGTTGGAAAAGATTAGAATCAAATTGTCTGCGAGCTTAAGGAAACGAGATAATAATAGTGATAAATTTTCCATAATTAAAAATGAAGAGGAGTTCATAATGCAGCAGCTGGATAGCGATGATAAAATATTAAAGTTTCATAATAATAGTCTTCAGCTAAACAAGTCTGAGGCCACATTGAGTCTTGAAGATTTAGCTTCAACCAAAAAGAACTGCAAACAAAAGAGCTTAAATATCTCGTGGGAACAGATAAGATTTAAATCAGCGACCGCAAATAACCGCCATGATGCTGCAAATAAATTTTATGTCATTATCATAGCGGTTGAATTCATAGATAAGCAAGGTAGTATTTCAAGCCAAAAATCTTTTGAGTCACAGCCCATCATTGTTAGAGGTCGCAATCCTAGTTTCTACTCAAATAAGGGAGATATATTGATTGGGAAAAATAAAAAAGTTCTAAGCCTGCCGATACTTGAGAACAGTGTACAAGAAAACATAAGTGGTGAAGCGTCTCCAGATACCCCGCTTCTCAAACGACAAAAGATGGAAACAAAAATGCCACTAGATCTAGAGGTTAAAATGGCAGTCAAAACCCCCAATTCACTCAACAACAATAATCATGGACCACAATTAAGATTAGGCGAATCTGGTGAAAAGGCGATCACTGAAAAGAATAACAAGGATAATGGAGCTGTAACTGTTACAAGCACAATTTCTAGCACTACTGATCGTAATGGCAACTACACTGCTTCTATTGCTCCTAATTATCCCGGTAATTGCAATGCTTCTGATACTGCCAACGCTGCTAATAATGCTACTGCTTCTACTGATATCGTCAACATTAACAAAAATAATAGCAACAATGATAATGAAAATATGAATGATAGCAGTGATACTGTTAATTTTGATAATTCTGCTGAAAGTGTTAATCGTGATGATGATAATGATGATAATATTGATAAAGAAAAACAAAAACAGCAACAAGATGAAACAGGTGAATCCAGTTATGAATATTTTAAAGTTAATGATAATTATTATTTGCCACCAGTTGAGGTTGGATATTTCCCTCATCATGTGCACCACAATAAACAGGTATTCAAACCTAACATTATTGCCGGCTCATATTCGCATGCTACTGAAAATAGGAAGCAATATAATTATTACATTTAAATAGATTCCTATTTTTTTGTCATTAATTGCATTAGGTATTTCGCATGAATAAAATAAATTTAGAGAAACTTCCTTCCACTATCTATTTCCTTCTCTTCATTTATCCTAGCCTTAAAAAATTAAAGCGCTGATGATACAAGTATTAGCCATATATTTATCCTCTCTGGTATCCATTAATTAAAGTAGCGCGAACTCACTCTCGTGCTTTTCCTATTGGTTTCTTCGGTCAGCTTGACTTTTCCGGTCAACACTCCTGTTACGGACGAAACCGGTGAGGATTTTACTTCAAACCTACGAAGAAAGACGTTGGGGTTGTCGAAGACTGCAAGAAGCCATAAACTGGAATCAGTTTTGCTGGTTTTTACTTGTATCTAACAGCACTTTTAACACTTGACTATGTGATGAGGATATCTATTCCTTGGCTTTTAATTTTTGATACAAAGGATGTCTTACACCCTATTCTCTATATACTGCATGGAATTCTTACTTCCAATTAGCTACCATATAATTCTTATTATAGCAATGTATTCTATTTACTCTTTTCAAAAATCTCCCGACCTTTCGTTTAGATTTTTTTTAATTTTCGTGTAATTTTTTTTTTTTGCAAAATTTCTTACTGTTCTCTATCTTTTGAAAGCTCTAATGATACTGGCGTGCACAAACAACAACGTGATTCAACTTTCTAATACTTTGCTGAATCTTTTACGACTAGCGGCCACTTTTTTCTTTCCTTAGCGGAAAGATAAGGGAACCGAGTCTCTCTTTTGCGGAAACGTTGCAACATCAGCAAACCTTGTCAATGCAACATGCTGGCATGCATGACGCATCATGCATCGCGTCAACCTTCATGAAAGAACTTTGTCTTTATGTTGCATTTTGTTGAATAATCAGTCAACGATTTTTCACATTCAGTCAAGAATCCGGAGGATCATCCACGTGAAAGAATACCGAGTCGTCAATCCTTCTCAAATATTCGAGTATCACCATATACAAGTGAGCTTATCTATCAATGCGCATAACAATGAATGCAGGAGAACAAGAATTTACAAGCCATTGCGTACTCTTTATCTCGTCAATAAAGCAATTAACAAACATAGAAGACAAACCATTTATAAACAGACTGATTTTCCATATTTTCTTGACTACATATCTTTTTATTTTATTTTTTTCATACACAATCATAAGTATATTGAATCTATTGAATAGATATAATCATGCTCGGGTTTACTGTGTTGTCTAGCCTTTTGGTTTTATTATTTTCCGTCGTTAATGTGCAAGCTGCTCCTGCTGCTGCTTCCAAAAAATATGTGATGAGCAAAAATGCTCAGGATTTGTTTGACACTTCCATGTCATGGCAGGATGGCTTCTGGGATGAAAACATCGGGTATCTTGTTTCTGCAGACAACACTTTGCCAGGTCGTTATGACTCCCGTCAAAGTGCTTGGTATGCTGTTGGTTTAGTTGCTAGAAACGGCAATGGTGATGTTGCTAGAGCTGAAAGAATTATTGCTAACCTCTACAAAGGTCAATACAAAGACCCTTCAAAGCAATGGTACGGTGACATTCAACAGTGCCCAGATGAGCCAACTCCACAAGAGGGTGTTTACGAACCAAACACATACAACAGTTGGGATCCAAACTGGAGAGATTTCGTTGGCGCTGCCTTTGTTATTATGATTGAAGATTACGAATACAGATTATCCAAAGAAACCGTTGCTATTATTAAGGAAATGATGTATTTGTTGGCTATTGGTGATCAGTATCGTGTTGGTGGTGTTGATGATGACAATTTATATGCAGCTTATTCTAATCCATGGATGATGAGATGTATCTTACAATCTTATGCTGGTTCCTATTTGAATAATACCAACATGACCCAATCAGGTGAAAAATGGGGTAAAGAAATCTATGACTTATTCAAAGAATATGACACTTTCTCAGAATTCAACTCTCCAACCTATACTGGTGTTGATATGTTTGCTCTTGGTGTTTGGATAAGATATGCTCCTGCAGGTTCTTCATTGCCATCATATGCTGAAGAAATGTTTGGAAGTTTAATGAATTTGACTAAATCCTTATACAATGCCAATTTGAAGAATTTCGCTGGTCCATTTGACAGATCCTATGGGTTTGATATGAATCAATACTTTGCTATCACCGCCTCTACTGTTTGGGGATTGGTTGGCAGGGACTATGCTCCAATGCCTGGCCCTATTTCTGGTATGTTCCATATCTCTGATTTTGGATTTTCTCACTTGATCGCTTTGGGAATGCCTCAAATTGTTCCATTGATTTCTGAAGATGTTCTTCAATCGTTCATAACCTACCCAGGTGAACACAGCTTCACTAGACAGGCTTACTCCCCACCATTTGACACATACCCAAGAAACATCAGTGTCTGGTCAAGCGACTACATTCACGTTGGTGGTGAAACTATCATGGAATCTAAAATTGGTGGTCCAGCTACCTCCTCTTCTGCATACAATCCAGCGGTGATTCAATGGTATGTTAGAGAAGGTAGAATGGGTTATATTACCTTGCATCCAACACAACCGTGGATTCATGCAGTTGCTGGTGAAGGTTTCTTGGACATCACCTATCCAAACATCACTAGTGCTTCTGATGGCGCTGCCCCATTCACTTTCTTGGTTTCGGCATTTGATGTTTATCCTAATGATAACCTTACTACCATTGCTGACTTGCCAGGCTTGAAAATGGAGGTTTCTGGTAATGTTAATCTTACTAGTGAAATCTTTTACTTTGATATTGACAGTAACATCAACGATTTCTGGTCATTTAATTCTACTTGGTCTATGCCAGAAAACTTCACTGGTGTCCCACACATTCGTTTTGACATTACTGAATACCCAACTTCTCCAGTTGCTAACTATTCATTAAGTGACTTGTGATTTAGTTAAACTATTTTTTATTTTTTTTTTGCTTTTTAATTTCAACTTGCTTTTATTCTTAGAAAAACTTTTTATCTTCTCCTCCTTCGAGACTTAAGTCTTTCATTTTTTCCTTTTATACCAAAATTACTTCGATTTGGAACTTCAAACGAATTAATTACTTTTATGAAATATTTATATATTCTTCTTAATATAAAATATTAAAGATTTCCCTTATAAGACTTCTGAGAACTATGTAAAATTTTTGAAACTAGAACATTTTTTTTATCCTTCTTCTTTATCTCAGTAATCAATCTCGTTGGTTGACTACTATAGTGAGAGAATGATAAAACACGCAAATATATCTTGATCAAAAATCGAAAACAGAAAACCAACAATAGGTACGTACATGTTCGCATAACAAAGTACAAATACAATAGAACTGTGATCTATTTCGCTTCTGCATTCTGTTTAACTGTTTTGGTATGTTTATCGGTAACTTACTGATTTGTCAGATATCCGCCAACATGCATTTATGCAGGTGCACAAAAGAAAAAACAGAATGCAACATTGGAAGCACATTAATGAGCAATTGCAACATAATAACCAAAAAGGGGGATGAGGAACAGCTATTGACGATTTATCACGCTTATAAAAAGTTATTAAAGAAAACTCATCTCTCCAGGTTTCTTTTATTCCGCTTCTTCTTTCACATCCTATTATACCGACACGCACACATACACATTCCTCATAATGGTTCAACTTATCGCGTACCAATCCAAAGACCAAGGTGCAGCATTTGTGGCTGAACACATTGCTGAAAAAATCAATGAGTTCCAGCCAACAGAATCAAAACCATTCGTCTTGGGCTTACCAACAGGATCCTCTCCTGAACCAGTGTATAAGCACTTGGTTGAATTGTACAATGACAAGAAAGTCTCCTTCAAGAACGTTGTGACTTTCAACATGGACGAATACTGCGGCCTTGAACCATCAAACGACCAATCCTATCATTACTTCATGTACAAGAACTTGTTCAACCACATAGACATACAAGAGAAGAACATCCATATCCTCAATGGGTTGGCTGATGATTTTGAAAAAGAATGTCAATCCTACCAAGAAGAAATTGCCAAATATGCCCCATTCCAGATATTCATGGGTGGGGTAGGGGCCAAGGGCCATATCGCATTCAATGAAGTTGGATCAGCCAGAGATTCCCAGACCCGTAAAGTCGAGCTTGAAGAATCAACCATCAATGCCAACTCCCGTTTCTTCAACGATGATCTTTCGAAAGTCCCTCGTTATGCGTTGAGTGTCGGAATCTCCACAGTGCTAGATAACTCCAAAGAAGTCATAACATTGGTATTTGGCAGTTCCAAAGCCCAAATTCTTAATAAAACATTAAACTCTCCAATAAGCTCAGACATCCCAAGCACTTTCCTTAGAGATCACAAGAACTCTTTAATAGTGTGCGATTCGGAAGCATGTGCAGAATTGCCTGAATCCGCAGTTGAAATTTCTAAACTATAGTAATATTACACTACATACATTAATATACAAATAAATAGCTGTTTTCTCTTGATTAAAGAATATTAATTATAATACAAACGTAAATATCTAACTTCTCCCCATTACAGAATAATAATTGTAATACTTTTCTAGCACCTTGAACCCGTTGTCCTGCAAACTGCCAATCTGTTTCTCATCAATGTCGGTGATGAAGCATTCAGAACAGTTGCTGTATTGACTCTTAATGTACATTAGTGCAGTGCAAATCAATCCCAACTCAAACACTTCCGAAAGGGTGGTGTACAATGGGTCGATGAAATGGCCAGCTATACAAGCAAAACCTTGGTCCTTGGGCTTTCGGGCATTGTCACTCCCTCTGGAAAATTCTAGAAACGGGAAAAACTTTGAAAATTTAGAGTTACCGTTAAATACAATCAAACTACCAACCACTGATCTTCTCGTTGGCTCCAAAGCCACAATTATATCCAAATTACCAGAGCCATCAAGATACTGTTTATCGCCATCAGCAGCACAGAAATCTTTATATAATTCTAGATAAATCTCGTAATTATTATTAGCTTTGTTGGCACTGTGGCTATCAGTATCTTCCTCGTAGGTATTTAGTGAGTTCTTTCCCTTTTGTAGTGCAAACACATCTGCGGGATTCCTGCAAATATCAAACATTATCCCTACCACTTGGAGCTGGCGAACCAAATTTTCAGAGACTTTCCAGCTAAGAATGTCGTCGAGCTTCATTAGATGTCGCACCTTTCTTTGGATTGGCTGGTTCAATAGTCTTGTTGCAAAGGGGTTGTCCAGGTCTTTGGTAGCGTCGGAAAATGATAAAGCTTGGCTTGAGTATTCGGGTTTTGATTTGGCTGCATCGCTAACATTATCAGCTAATAAAGTACTGACGCTCATTCTGTCAGAGTTTTTAATATTCAATGATATAGATTCACCATTAACATCACGCTTTTTACTCTTTCTCTGTGGAATGTTGCCAGATGACATGAACAGCTCATCACCGAAGTTCCAGCCAAAAGACTTGAAAAAGTTGACACCGCCAGTATTCTCATCAGAAAAATTGAGCAACAAATCATTGGCCAGCGTCAACTTCGGATATCCCCCTCCCAAATAGACCCTGCTGCAATTAGCCTCCTCGAAGAGATATTTCATTGTTTTTGAATATAAATGACTTCCAATTGCAATGTTTCTCTTATTTTTATCAACCAACAAGAGTAGGAAATTCCCCACATTATCATTCAGAGATTTAGAGTGCTCACAATGGAACCAGGTCGTCGATATCCCCAAAATCGTTTTCGAACTAGTGTTTCTTACCACAAAACTCCGGTGGTGCTCACTATCAAGATAAAACCTCTTCAAGCTCGTCAAGGATGATTCCGCAGCAGAAAAGGCTAGATAATGGTTGTTTTTCAATAGGTTTATCAAATTATCCCAATCCCGTGTGAAGTTGAACGCTTCAACTAACCAGCTATGTTTACCTTTTTTCTTACCTCCATTACCATCAATGAACTTCTTATTGCCAATAGTGAATCCCGGAATCTTCCCCGTAGGAACATAATCTCCGAACAACACTTCCGGAAGATGCATTAGTGCATTGATGGTGTAATCGTACGTACAAATATACCCAGTTGGAGAGCCCCCAATATTAATATCGTACAAGAAATCCATTGGAGAGGAAACACTGATTATAATCATTTGGCGGGTCTCCCTTCGTTGTGCCTGGCCTCTATGTCGAATCGTCAGTGAATTGCAAAGCATCGAAACATGTTTGGAAACCCCAACTTGATACAAATTTTTCGTGGTTTCTGCAGAGAAAAATAAAATGACTTTCGATTTCAAAATGAGCTCTTCGTGAAACGATGTCAACCCATTAGAATTGTAACTGGTGTGATAGATCTTGTATCCCGGCCGATACTCCGACAATAATTTCCCTAACTCAATGAAAACATCTTCTCCGTAGTTAAGATTTAGTTTGGCATAATCATCAGCAGCAATATTGTTGATATGTGATCTATTACCATGCTCATCCACAGTCTCATAAAGCGGCGAGATCAAAGGAGTCAATAATAGAATGGTGTTCTCCTTTTCCACATTCGGACTCAAAAACCTGGTTATCGGAAGCCCGGCGTCTCTGATAACCGTGATTGATTTTTTGTACGCCAAGCTGGAAATCAATCTATGCTGGTTCAAAATATCCTGGGTCAACATTCCCTGTTGCTCAATGACCTCTGGCCAGCTCGGTAACTGACGTTGTAAGTTTTCAATTCTCAGTAAAGATTGACGCAAAATACTCGGATCAATCAACTCATCGCCAACAACAGACTGCATTGCTAGTATCGCCTCCTCTTGGATCTTGAAGTTACTGCACAACATGATCAAGTCACAACCCACGGAAAATGCCGATATGCATCCTTGAACCACCCCAAAGTTTCTATCTAGCGCCTCTAGTAGCAAACACTCGCTAATGACGATCCCTTTGAACTGCAATTTTCCCCTCAACATATTGGTAACAATCGTTGGGCTCAAACAGGCGTGCAAATCGTTACTATTGACCCCTGGCACGGCACATCCTCCAACTAACACACTATCTAAAAGACCCGCATTAATCAAGTCTTTATAAGGAACAAGATTAAATTCCATCATTTGTTCTGTGGACTCAACAATCATCGGGAGCTCGAAATTCGAGTTAACAGTGGCCGATCCATAGCCAGGAAAATGTTTGCCACAATTGAACAACTTCTCATCTCGAAAGGCTTGGGCCGCGGCTTTACCAAATCTCAGCACTAATTTAACCCCATATCCATAAGATCTCACCCCAATCATCTGTTGTTGGAACGTGTTGGTCCCATTTTTCAAAATATCCAACACTGGCCCCAAATGCATGGAAAACCCAATGGATTTCAACTCTTTGGCGACTGCACGATGTACTTGATAAACCAACTCCTCGGATCCCGTCGCTCCCAAAGACATGGCTCCTGGGAATTGTGTGATAAAGTTCTTGTCGAAAAGAGAATTTAGCATTCCTCCTTCCTCATCAATAACAAAGATGATCGGATAATTGTACCCAGAGTGCATGGCGAGGGCTTGTAAATCATGGATCAATTTTTTCGCCTGAGCAGCATTGATGAAGTTCCTCCCACTCAATATGATGCTGCTGACACGATATTTGGTGATAAGAGTATGGATTTCCTGGGTGACATCGGTTCCTTCGAACCCCACCATAAACAATTTTCCAACAATATCCATAGTTTGGTGATATTAATTATGTTCAGTCAGGCTTTCATCATCATGCTGGTCCAATAACAATACTCTGGCCAACGTGGTTTAGAGTCAACAGTATAAAATAACAAGTAAGCTGAAAGATTTGCAGCAGGTTGGCAGTGACTCCAAGATGACTTCAGGCCGTAGTGAATGTGGAATATTCTAATGTTGCACTAATTGTTACGGTGCATTACCCGGTGGCTGTTATCGTGAATTGGTTAGCGATCCTCGTCTTGGTGGTATTGATCAACGTGGGCACGAAAGAAGAGAAACTAGAATTGGATCAGTGGATATTTGTTAGCAAGGTTTCAGTGGGTGATGTTTTTCTTCTCAAGCTATGGAATCTCGTGCTTATTTAACGTATTCTTTCGTAGACTTGTACGGAGAAATCAATGCAACACTGGGTGCAACTGCAACAATAAGCTCGCATCTTTTCCCAATAATATGGATATTATTATGTATACTGCGGATATATATATATATATATATATATATTGAAAGATATTCCGACTATAGTTTTGTAACACTTTTTCCACTCTTCAACCAATATATAACCCCTGACCAACTAATAATAATAATAATACCCAACCATAGCAATGGCCGACATAATCCACTTCACCAACTGCACATTGGCAGACAATGCCCAACTAATTGAAAAAGATTTATACATCGATGCCGCCTCGGGGATCATCATCGACAAACCAACAGGTGCAAGCCCCAAGAAAATAGAGACCATAGACCTCCAAGGCTTGATCATTTCTCCTGGATTCATCGACATCCAGATCAACGGATGTTTCGGTTTGGACTACTCAACCACCCTCAGTAATGACTCATCAAAAGCACAATTCGTTCAGCAATATAACAAGTCCATGGAAAAATTGCTCCAGCACGGGGTCACCAGTATTTGTCCAACCGTTACTTCCAGCTTTTCTGATGTCTACAGAGATGTGTTGCTAATATTGGGATTGAAGACCCGGTCTGCATCCAAGGCGGATTCTTTGGGGGCCCATATTGAAGGGCCATTTATTTCTCCATTGAAGAAAGGGTGTCATCCTCCAGAAACAATCACCACAATGAAAGAAGGCTACCAGTCCTTAAAACAGAGATACGGTGATGATTTTGAAAAATACACTGCAATCCTCACTGCTGCCCCGGAGATCGAAGGGAGCTTGGACGTGATATCTCAAGTCACCAAAGAAAAAGAGATAGTTTTTTCCATTGGTCACACCATGGCCGATTTCAATACCGCAGTGCAAGCAGTCAAAAACGGTGCATCAATGATGACCCATCTTTACAACGCTATGCCTGCTTACAGTGCCAGAAACCCTGGGGTTGTGGGGTTGATTTCCGCCACCATTGACCAATTACCAGCTGAAAAAATCCCGTACTATGGTATAGTATCTGATGGTGTTCATGTCCACCCAAGTGCTGTGAAAGCCGCATATGATGCCAACCCTAACAAAGCAATTCTCGTCACTGATGCAATGTACTTGATTGGGTTGGAAGATGGGTTGCACACCAGAGGTAATCAGAAGATAGAGAAAAAGGGGAATTTATTGTTATTGGAAAATACAGAGACCATCGCCGGCTCAGCCACTCACTTATTGGAGTGTGCCCATAACCTCATAAAATGGACGGGGATTCCTCTTGAGAAGGCTTTGGCTACCATCACCAATAATCCATCCAGCTCTTTAAACCTTTCTAAAAGAAAAGGGTTTTTGAATCCAGGGTGTGATGCTGATATCAATATATTGACCAAGTCGGGTGAATTGAAGGCAGTCTACAAGCTTGGTCAAAAGATCCACAGCTTTTGATTCGCAGCAGAGAAAATTTAATTTAGAGTGAAATATAGATGAAAACTTTCCTTAAATATAAGGAGAATAAATAAATGACTAACGACCAATCAGAATAAACGTTAATGGAGTTGAGAAATGGCTGGGCATTACAATACTCAGAATGTCTGTGTAACAACAGCTATATACTGTAAATATTATACCACTGTTTTTTTTTTTTGCTTTTTTTTTTTTGGAAAAAGGCTGATGATGTCATCGTTGAACTGGGAAGTCAATTATTTTATGATGAAGACCCCGGAATGCTCACCAAGATGTGATCAGCGATGAGCTCCAGAAGAATATAGTCGCACAGTATAAGATTTAGTCAAGGCCCGTCTGATGATAGGTTATTCTCCGTTATGGTCGCAGAATAGGATCTTTTTTTCCTGTCATAACGATGCAAAAAGCTGAAATAATTACACTCGCTGATAAACCTGCTTTATCAAGAAGGGTGATAATAAAAAAGAGCTCTTGCTTATATGTATAAGAATACGCTCCTAGATCATCTTTATGAATTATGGGGGTGGTTGTGATAGAAGATAATGTTATTAATAGATAATTCACATGTAATACTGGAGTAGGTCGCTATCACATATACCATTGTGGCCGTATTAATTACTTTGAATAAATAGCAGGACATTTGTATAAATACAATTATCTTAGTTTATTACTTCCATCATTCAGGTACTCAAGCTGGTGGTAGTCTTACTTACTCTTTACAGGCGTACAACTCACTGGTGCCTCTGACGTTTTTCCAGTTTGCTGTATTACTAATAAGCTTATTGTTGTTGTATTGGAAGGACATCTTGTTCATACTGAAAAGCACCACAACACATCAAAGCCATGTTAATATTATTGTTGTATATATACTGCCTTTCACACAATAGAAAAATATCCTCCACAAATAATGTGAATGTATTAGTTTTTACTTGATAGAAGGCACAAAAAGTTCAAGTTGTTGAGAGTTGTACATATATATATATATGTACAAAAAATTTTATCATTGCTATTCAGGCTGATTGGGTGCTTTCTAGCTCCATATCTACCACAGAATACTGTAATCAGCCCCAAATAACCGACCATCAATATGATTTGCTTGTCTCATGTTGGAGTGTGATTAGTTATGCGATCGCCTAACTGTGCGTCACCGCTTGTCACCTGATGATGGCTTTTTTGCAGGATGAGACGAGCCTCTCAACGATTTGGTATTATTAAGACAGATTAGATAGAATCATCTTCGAGTTGATACTAGCTACATATTATGTTATCCAGCTCTTTGAGACCTCTACTTAAGAGCAAGTTGCAGGCTCGTGTGCTCAGCTCCTTATCGGAGGCTGCGGGATCTACTTCCAACAACACAGACATTGCTGATGCCGAGGCCAGAAAGGGAAGAGCTAAAAGAACATTACTGGCGGAATTGAACCGTGGCCCAAGCTTTGATGATTTCCTTAGAGGTACTGCTAAAGATTTCGAAATGTCGGACCCTTTACAAAAAGAAAGAAACGAAACTGAGCTCAAGAAGCTCCCGAAATGGCTAAAAGTGCCTATTCCAAAGGGTAAAAGTTTCAGCACTTTGAAGAAAGATGTCAGAGAATTAAAGCTTGCCACGGTGTGTGAGGAAGCTAAGTGTCCTAATATTGGTGAATGTTGGGGTGGTGGTGGTAAGAACTTGAACAAGGATACTGGGGAAATTGATAAATCCAAGGCCACTGCCACCATCATGTTGATGGGTGATACCTGTACCAGAGGTTGTCGTTTCTGTTCAGTGAAGACTAACAGAAACCCTGGGGCGCTTGATGAGAATGAACCAGAAAATGTTGCTGAGGCGGTGACCCGTTGGGGTGTTGGGTACATTGTGTTGACCACTGTCGACCGTGACGATTTGCCAGATGGTGGGTCAGCGCATTTGACAAAAACCATTCAAAAAATCAAACAGAAGTCTCCAAAACTTTTAGTCGAGTGTCTATCTGGTGATTTCTTGGGTGACTTGGACTCTGTGGCAATGTTGGCAAACAGTGGTCTTGAAGTGTACTCTCACAACCTCGAAACCGTTGAAGAATTGACGCCGTTTGTTAGGGACCGTCGGGCGAAGTACCGTCAATCTTTGGCGGTGTTGGAGCATGCTAAATTGACAAATCCAAGCATTCTCACAAAGACATCAATCATGTTGGGTCTAGGGGAAACTGATGAGCAAATTCGTCAAACCATGAAGGATTTACGGGACATTGGTTGTGATATCGTAACATTTGGCCAGTATATGAGACCAACAAAGAGACATATGAAGGTTGTTGAATACGTCAAGCCTGAAAAGTTTGATCATTGGCGTGACGTTGCCGAAAACGAATTCGGGTTTGCTTATTGTGCTAGTGGACCATTGGTCAGAAGTAGCTATAAAGCTGGGGAATTCTATATTGAGAATTTGTACAAGAAGAAAAAAGCCGAGCAAAGTAAATTGCAAGGTTAGGGCACTTTTGATGGCCGGGAGTTTTTATGATTGTTCTTTTCTTTTTTTTTTTGTATTTCTTCATTAATTTGTACATATAGATTTTTATTATCAACACGGAAATTATTATTTGATATCATTATACTTACAATAAAGCCCCCTCACTCTTACAATAAGTATAAGAAAAAAAGAAAATCATAATTATTTCCCAAGGAAATCAACACAATTGAAATCACAATAAGAAAATCAATTAGCACCTCATAAGACAAATTAAGAAACCAAACAGAAAAGAAAATAATGATAAAAAAATAAAGGGGATAAAGAAAAGAAGCGTAAAATTCGTTATTTTTTTGTTAAGTTTTTATGAAAATAGCAATCATTATTCTAAGAGAAAAGAAATATAAGAGAAATAACAAACAGAGATTTTAGGAGAGCCCTATCAAAGTCTATAAATGGTGGAGAAAACAAAAAAAAACCACTTGCAGGGGTTTAAATAAAAAACAATGGTTTGCTCCTTTACAAAATCAATATTATTGATATTCATTCATTTATCAAAAATCAAACAAGTAGCGCTAGAGTAAAGCAGCTTATCCTCGTTGAATCGATAGCACGCTGTAAATTTGAGCACAGGCCACTCATTTTCCATTTCCGTTTCTCAAGGACATCATAATTCTGATGGCATCGTTCTCCTCTTCCTCGTCATCGGTGGTGTCAACCTCTATTGGCGTGCTTTCGGTTTTTGCAAAATCGACATTCGGATTCATATTCAATAATTGCCCATTAGCATTGCCATTGAATGCTATTCCTAGGCCATTTAGAGGCGGCACGGATGATGATGATGGGACACTTGTTGGAGCAGAAGCCAAAGCAGTACTTATTGGATTATGGGCGATACTATGCCCGTTGACCAGATGCTTTACTGAAACAGGGGTATTGGCGAGCCTTTGGAGCAGTTCGGCTGCCTCTGCATCGCTTTCGGCATCGCCAAAGGCTTCATGTACCGCGCTACGGGGAGTGCTTGGATTCAGATAATGTTTCTGGGTCTTAAGGTAGGTATTGATGGTATGAGTAACCACAGTTGGTCCACCACGATGACCATTCAAACCGCGTTGAGCAGGATGTGGCTGTGAAAGCGGGCCATTGAGCACCGAATGATGAAGACTTATGGCACTGGTTGGGGTTGTTGGATTACTCGTCAGAAAGGTCGATATCGCATCGATTACCGGGGTAGTAATGGCTTTGCTATTGGCAGACGGTACCGATCCGCTATTAGTTTCTCCCGAGTCATCATTTTTCACTTGCATGGTCAAGTTTTTATTCTGGTGGATTTTCTCAAGAATTTCATCAAGGCACTGGTTATTCAATGCCCAACTTTCATCTTCTGTGAATCTTGTCGAAATTGTACTTATCATTGTTGATATTTCGCGTAATTTAGTTTCTGGGTCCAGAGTTCCTGATAAAACAGCATTTGAATCAAAAAAGGTTTTCTGGCATTCGCGAACCCCAGCAACAAGCCCGATAATCCCATTTTCAAGAAGCTCTATGTACTTCTTTTTTTTCTCACGACTCAAGTGGGCTGCCCGACGGTTACGAAGTATTCTTTCAATCCGGCGCTGTTCTTTTTCCTCCTTAGTTCTTGCTCTCTTCCGAGGAGGCAATGTCGATGTGAAAGTGCCGTTGGTTGGGGTTTCTAAGGGAAATTCGTCAGCTGGTGACGGTAATTTATCAGTAGATGAAGCAGGAAGCACTGGAGATGAGAGCCATTCGGGCCCGCCCTTCGCAGGTTTATTATTATCAAGCTTAATGGTCAATTTGACCTTTGCTTTTTTACTGCTGTTGCTCATTGTTAATGACTGTTATTAATATTATTATTTGCTTGGCCCACAATGAATGACCCTGAGGAAAAAGCCCAAAACCTCTTGCCAGAAGATGAATAAATGACCTCCAACTAAGATAGAAGCAATATGATAGATGAAAATCTGGTTTGGAAAAGTCAGATAGCAATTTGGTTCTTTAAAAGAAGCGAATGAACTCAGATAGACTGGGGAAAGGAATAAAAAGAGCAGCACATCAACCGGAGCTCGAAAGTTTTCCTCCCTTATTTTTTGTTCTCTCTTTCTCTCTTCTAAGCAAATAAGTGACTAGAGTTAAATAGAATGAGGTCCAGTTTTGATAATAGCTTTATTTATTATGGTATCTGTATAGCAACAATAAAGAGAATAATAATAAAACAAGAATAAGCTGTGTTTTGAATTGCCACGTACTTAATTTTTTTTTTTTTGAGGTCTGCACTTCCTTTTTCTTCTTTTTTTTTTTTTTGCTTCGAAATAGGACATTGTTGCCAGTCGCACCAGCCAGCCTAGTGGCCAGCCAGCCATCGGCAACCAGCAACTGAGTAACCCAATAGCTGTTGCAAAATAGTCCGTATATGATTACCAGATGAAACGGTGCCACTTCATGTTTTCCCTGTCATTTCTGACAAGACATCAAGCAGCCTGCAAGCCCTACATCGTTGATCTTCTGTAGTTTGAACTAAGCGACTCTCCATCAATTGCACAGAGCCAGGATATTTACATCAGGCTCTTCAACACTGCAAAGACTATTTCCTTGAAGTACACAGCTACTAAAAGAACTTAATCACTAGATTTAATAGACAGTCAGGATAAACAATAACAAAATAAGCAAAAAATAAAACTTATCATCAGTAACTAATCGTTGCGCTCCCTCAAAAGGAAAAGGAAAAAAAAAATAAAAAAATAAAAAGATTTCATCATTCCTTAACAAACAAAGCAGCAGCACCCATACCACTACCAATACACATACTAACTACCCCCAACTGTCCAGCTATCAACTCACTCAACAAGGTAGCCACTAATCTTGCTCCAGTACAACCCAAAGGATGGCCCAAGGCAATTGCACCACCACGAGGGTTCACCTTTTCATACGGAATTCCGCAGCTTTCCACACTATATAAACATTGGGCCGCAAATGCCTCATTAATTTCAAAAATATCGATATCCGACACCCCAACATTGACAGAAGACAAGAGCTTTGGAATGGCATAAGCCGGTCCAACCCCCATAATTTCCGGAGGAACTCCAACAACCTGAGTAGAAACATATTTTCCTACAATTGGCAAGCTTAAAGTCTCGGCCACAGAACGACGAGCAAGAAGCACAAGAGCCGCCCCATCAGATACCTGCGAGGAGTTCCCAGCATGCGTTGTACCATCCTGTTTGAAAGACGCACGGAGTTTTGATAATGTTTCGAAAGTCGTTCCTGGTCTCACGCCTTCATCTTTACTGATCACTTTATCGCCAACAGGGATTGGTAAGATCTCTTGGGCAAAAGCATTGGACGCTAATGCCTTTTCAGCCTTTGCGTACGAATTTGCAGCGAACCGATCCTGGGTAGGTCTGTCAATACCGAACTTTTCAGCAATATTTTCATTGGTTATACCCATTGGAATCAAGCATTTGGCAGCCTCATCACTTTCGTCGAGTAAGAGATCACTAATTGCCGGAGCGGCTTTTGGGCCAAAGAAAGTTGTCATACTTTCTGCCCCGCACGCTAGCCCTATATTGATTTGACCGGTTGCAATCTGGTTGGCAATATAGTTAACACTCATGAGTCCACTAGAACATTGACGATTGATGGAAACAAAAGGTGTTTGGTATGGAATCCCAGCAGCCAAAGCGGCAGCACGCAACTCGTTGGCACCGGCCCCAGGATTTAGAACGTTCCCACAGGCCACATCTTCGATTTTTTCAAATTCAATGATATTCTGCTTTTTGAATTCAGAAAGGAGAAGGTACAAGATATCTTCAGTTTTCAAGTCCTTGAACCCACCTTTGCGACCCCTCGCAATTGGAGTTCTTAGAGCGGACACAATCACCACGTCATCGGGGTGTTTTGATTTGATCGAGGTTAAATCTGACTGCTTGCCGTGCAAATGACTATATATCTGTGATAATCTGTTCATATTTTTATGGTAATAACAATGATATTGAATGGTAAAATAGAGCCGCCCAGCACAAAAATGAGATGTTGCCCCCCACTATATATATACATATATATATATATATCAGTGTCCAAAATAATCACGCTTAATCTTTCCGGTTGCCATAATAGTCACGTGCCATGTGGTCTCCGCATTTCAGATGACACTGGCAGTGAGGAGAAACAAGTTGCCAGTGGAGATTATCCGGTGCTTTGATGAGTTCTCGACACCACAGGAATTACGTGGAATATGATATCCTTCTCTTCTCTGATTGGCCCATTTTTTTCAGTTTTATTTTTTTCCATTTGCCAGATATAGGGGGTGATAGGGGTGTGTCCAATTAATGGATCTTTGACATTATGGAAAGTTTTTGATTATAAAGAGTTTTCGATGGTGGCACCTTGTGATAGTGTCCATTTTGAGTGGCTTGTACGGACTATCTCCAAGATATAACAAACTGTTTACTATATAAATTTACACAACCTCGCCGAGTAACAAACAAATAATACCATAACTCATGAAGACTTCTTAAATTTAAAGATTATAAAAATTCTATATTGTCAATAGATTCTAAAAACGCTTCTAATAATCTGACCCGTACAGCTTTGCAATTTCCTTCGCAGCTTCATATCCCTTCAGTTTCTGAATATTACTCAACCATTCGCTAACATTCGGATAATCCTTCATCTCAAATCCAAACTCATTGGTTAATGGGAAAGATAATATAATATCGGCCCCCGTCAACTTTCCGTCAACAAAGTAACCGTTATTTTTCTTCAATTCCTCTTCCAAGAATTCTAAATTGGTCTTCACCTCGCCAGCGCTATAACCAGAACTCATCTTATTAATAATCATATTCTTCAAACTAGAGATTGGCCATGGAGCATAAGCTTCTCTTGCTTTGTGGAAAATAAATTCAAAGAGAAGTGGTGGCTGCAAAGTTCCTTCGGCATAGTGTAAATAATAATCGATTTGTTCCCTATTCTTCACATCGTACAATTTCCCGTCATCAAATTTGTTCAATAACCATTGGAAAATATGGCCAGACTCCGCCAACATGATTGGTTTGGCATTTTCATCTTGTTGAAATTCCACAATTGGTGACTTCCCCAAAGGATGGATTTTTTTTAAAGATTCTGGGGCTCTGAAATTTTCGTTTCTCTTGTAAGGGATAACTTCGTATTTAACTCCCAATTCCTCAAGCAACCAAATGACTCGAAGGGCACGGGATTTTTCCAACCAGTGGAGTTTGATTTTTGGAAAGGCAGACATGATTTATTGTTTGTTTGTTTTTCAATTGATTGAGATTTAAAATAATATAATGTGTTGTGGTGGTGTGTATCCAAACGAAATGAAATAAGAAAAATTGGAGAACGTCCAGAGAAATTTATATGGAGATGATCACTTGTTCGAGAACCCTGGTAGAATTTGTAAGCCGCATTCACGTGTCAATTACGTCGTGCTTCCCCAAATCACCATGGTTGCCGAATTTTCGCCACTGAAGAATCTTAGCCGTTGGTAATGTACACATATCCTATTAATAATTCTCTTTCCAAATAGCCAGGTGATACCACCCCACTCTCAACCAGTTAAAAAAAAATTGCATTCATAGCAGGAAAAAAAAGGGGATCTTGGAGACTTCCCAAAAAAATCTCCGATACCGGGAATCGAACCCGGATTTGCGCCGTGAGAGGGCACCGTGCTAGCCATTACACTATATCGGATTCTGATGGTATGTCAAAGAGACAGTTGGTTTTTTTATAAAAAAATTATTTTGTGTTCGGGGCTCATAACCATATGGCAAATCTTTTTATCTATTTTATCCAATATTTGTGCTCTTTAATTAGTGCTATGGACATTTTTGCACCATAATAGAATTTGGAATTTTTATTTGAAAGATTTAAAGGAAAACAAGTGACATTATTGGCTCATTATTAGCTCATAAGAGGGTTAATAGAGTGAGATTTGTAAATAAACGAATGAAAGAAACAGTTTTTATTATTAATAAACCTCAATCATTTTGATTAACAAGTTTTTTACCTGTGATGTGACTAATCTTTGCAAAAGGAATATGATAGAGAAATAAATTACAATCTTTTTTGATAAAAATTATTTTTACAGAGCAGCTCATAAGCCCGGCTTACATGTTCTTCAGAACCTCTGTGACTTGTTAATATACAGCTCATTCATTCATGTTCACAGAAGAAGTAGGATAAATACAATCGTGTATTTAGAATCAATAAGAAGTAACCAAAGTAATAGTGTGTGGAAAATGAATAGAAATAACACCATATGACAAAGTATAAGAACAAGACTAATGAAAATAAGGTATCTTGGATAACAAATTATCAATTGTTATTTAAAAGTGACATCAGGGTATATTATAGATTACTTCTATTACTTGTTGTTTTATTTTTATTAGATGCTCTAATTTTAGGTGGATTCTGGGATATCATTATAAATCTTTTGATATTTAGTCCATGACCACTTTGATATTAAAAAAAAAAAAAAATATTACTTAGTTACTGGAATAAAAAAAAAGGGGTCATTACGGAGAGTATCAATTTTTTTTTTTCGCAGAAAGATTGTAAAATTCTGAGAATTCAATCTTGACAAGTTATAATTGGAAAAGGCAAACGATTTGATGGAAAAGTCTGAAAATTATCCATGTATGCCTATGCAAACAGCGTGCACCGTAAAATTATTCTTATTATTTTTTCCAGGCATTTGCGCAAATAGGGCATGTCCAATCTGGTCGTCACAATTACTGGTTATGCATTCGCATGTAGACAAATGGAATGTAGGTCAAAAGATCAGACCTACTTAAGAATTATCATCCCCTTTATCTACTTCTTATTTGACAGGCGTTACTTCTTATTTGACTGGCGTTACTTCTCGATTATTGCGAGACAACCAGGGACCTAGGAAGGGTACAGAGACGCTCATTCCGTAAGTATAGTACTGAGATCTTAATATTATTAGTAGTTTTCTTTAAAGGTATTTAATTTGAGTAGCCGATCAGCTGGAAGCATCTAGAATCTTTTTAAAAAGTACCAAATAAAGCTTGTATATGGATTGGATGATAACTTTATAACATTATTCTTTGCTTGCTACAACTACTTACTCGTTGGTCAATAGGTTGACAATAGAAATTTATTTCACTGTATGGAAATGAGTGCAAATATGCGATAGTTGCCTTTACGCGTGAATCTCTGTTGTTTCCCTATTGTTTACTTATTGTTTCCAGTTGTATCCTTGAATAGGATTTCTTACTATCATTCAGTAATCTTTTGCAGATAGAATTACAATCATGGCGGTCCTTACAAATCTGAACTATGTCAACAAAATACACAAAATGTAATCAATGCAAATATATACTTATATATATGAGAAGGTAACAACAGATAAAAAGATGAATAAATTTTTTTCAGAAAAATAAATAAAGAAGTACACGGAAATCAAATTAGGGATAAGAAAAATTTTTTTTTAATGGAAGCCAAACACAATTACTAATACAAGTATAGGTACAAATTCAATGATCTAAAAAGAAAGCAAAAAACTAGAAGACATTTAACCAGACAAGTTCTTTTTAGCCTTTTCGAGTTTCCGTTTCTTACTGGCCAATTGCTTGTTTCTGTCGTCCTTTTGTTTATTGCTGTATTCCATCTTCTTGTGCAATTTTCTTTGTTTATTGCTCATCATGATCTTCTTCATTTCTTTTTCTTCAGCAGCTTCCTTTTCTTCCTTGGTCAAGTTTGAATGATTTCTCTTCTTGGAAGGTTTGGTTGGTTCAGATTCAGTCTTACTGGCTTCACTGTATTTAACACCTTGAGCTTCAAGTTCCAATTCCTTTTGAGCTTCCAAGTCACCTTCTTCTTCTTCTTCTTCTTCTTCTTCTTCTTCTTCGTCTTCTTCGATATCTTCGTCTTCGTCTTCTTCGTCTTCCATTTCTTCTTCAGTAGTAGCCTTCTTAGCTTCAGGGTCGTAACCACTAGCATCACCCCATGGTGACAAGTGTGGAGGTAAAGTTTCACCTGGAGCGTAGTCATTAACAGGCAACAATTTCTGTTTATTAACACAATCGAAAATCCATTGAGGTTGGACATAGGTTCTTCCTAGAATCTTATTCTTCACCACTGGACGATCGGTGATTTGATGAGTAAACACAACATCGGCCAATAATTGCTCACGTTCCGCTGGAGGAATGGCATCAAGCATGATTTCACTAAAGACCTTACCATTGAAAGAAAGCAAAACAAATTCAAGGAATTCAATGTTGACTTCACGACCAACAAAGAAAGTCATACCCTTGAACAAGTTCTTGGTTGGGTCAACGTCGTTTTTATCAAGATTCTTTGGTTGGAATAACTTATCAGCATGTGATTTGGTGTTGGTGGATTCGAACTCATCCAATTTATTGTCATCTTCGTCTTGATCAACATCAGCATTTTCTTCATTGTCAGCTTTCAAGGCTTTGGAAATTTCTGCGGCGTCCAATTTTTCAGCTTCAATATTTCTACCATCAACAACCTTCACATCAGAAGTCTCGTTAGAATTTCTCAATTCTAAAACATAACTGCTCAACCCACTGAAAATCTTGGAGTTTTCTTCGTTGATTTTTGGTGGGTATACCAAGTTGGCATCCTTGTATAATTTGAATAATACAAACTTGAGTAAAGTAACGTAAAATTCCAAAAAGGTCAACATGATACGGAAATCGATATCGGATGGGATGTTCTGTGGAAACTTGAACGGCGACAACCAGATAACTTCTTGACCTTGGACTTTGGCACTGTAGTAAACCCCTTTAATGGAAACAAACACTTTTTCTAACGCATTCTGTTCACTAACGTATGCGTGCCATTGATTGGAAATTTTTTTACAATCATCAATAACTTTGGTGTCGATTTTATCAGTTGCTGGCATGTTGGCAAACAAGAAGATCATATTGAGAGCATCATCAATGTCTCTAACGGCATCGATGAAGGTTGGGTAACGTTCCTTGATGATATGATCTAATGTGTAGTGGGATCTATTGGAATCGAGTCTTTTGGCATCACCAATCTCCCCCTTGGATAAAGCCTTGTTCAATTTTTTGGCAAAAGTCTTGTGTTCACGGAACTTATTCAAAATAGGTTCATGGAGCAAGTATTGAATATCTTTGGAGTAATAGAAAGTGACCGGTTTGGTGGAACCTTTGTTGGCCTTCTTTTTATTTCTTGGTTCACGAGGATAAATCCCTTTGAAAATACAGAGCCGACGGAAGTCTGCCAAAGAGACCTGAAGCTTCTTGACGGCCTGGGTTCTGGTAATGAAGTTTTTGGCGTTACCAGTTGTTCCTCTCTTCTTTATTTTCCCCATTGTTGTTGATGTTGAATATTGTTCACTGAGATTAAATGAAAATTTAGTATTATTGAAAAGTTTTCTTACAATTAAAAAAAGACGAAAATTTTTTTTTTTTTTTTTTTCCTTCTCATCTCATCGATTACATAACTTGTAATGTAGCACTTACATAATCACGCTCCATAAGGTATTACCTAAGCACTTTCGGTAGTATTAGCTAAGCAGTGTTAATAACTATTTATGTAATCAACGAGCGAGCGATTACATAATTACCGACCGCACTACGAAATCCGCCCGATTGGTGTATACCCACGAGGCTTGGCCATGTCCACCACCAACTGTGTTAAAGAAGCCAAGATATCTGGCTTGACGGCATTATTTTGATGTATTTTACTGTATGTGGGGTTTCGGAAATTGAAATACCTGAAGTTAAAAATGAAAACTGGCATTAGATCTAAGATACAGTTCATTATCGGTCAACAATAAATATAAATGGCAAGGAAGAAAGTCTAGTATGTACATTTCCTTAACACCGGAGGGGATTGAATGGCGGTAATTTTTCTTGTTAACATGGGAATTAATTGGCTAAATGAATCAGGGAATATGTCCGTATGAACCACAGTCTTCACCACTACAATATGGATCAAATTAATATTTACTGTAGATATAACAAGTGGGGAATTTGTAAGATACCACAATATGAACAATATAAATAATTTAAATGGATATACAATAATAATATAACAGATAGAGATCCATATGTATTGGCCAGAAACCAAAGATCCATCCGTTAGTTTTTCCTTCTCGCCCCCCTTTTTTTTTTTCCTTTTAGAGTTAGTCCCAATCGGGAACGATCCGCCGATTAATCTCGAATTATTCATATATTTAAAATCCTTTTTCCTGTGTGGATAAAAAAAGAACCAACAAAAAAAAAAATCCCAAAATCAAAGACAATCAAAAAAATACAAAGGGTTTTTGACAGAATCATTACTGATCAACCATATCGTGGAGAAATCATGAAAACCGCGATCCTTTTGTCTTCTCTTATTGCCAGCACCCAAGGGGCCAGCACCCAAGGAACTAGAACCCAAGGGGCCACCGTCAATAAGCGGTCTGTTGAACCAAACTGGCGTGCTATCAACCACCAAAACAATGGTGGAACTTTCAAGATCCCATTCGGAGTATCTAAAGGTAGATCTAAGCCTGTGAAGCGGTCAGGAACCTCAGATAACAGAAGTTTGCGTAAACGTCACGGTGGACGTCGGTTGACGAAACGTGATGACTCGGAAGATGAAGTACTGGTCAGCAATGGGAAAGATATGGCGTACTATGCTAACATTGCTCTAGGTAATCCTCCACAGAACTTAACTGTACAAATCGATACTGGGTCTTCTGATTTATGGGTGTATGCTAAATCTAACCCATACTGCTCATCTACAACAGACGACGGCGATTACGACGGTGATGATGACAGCGATGATGATGATAGTGATGATGATGACAGTGATGATGATGACAGTGATGATGATGACAGTGATAGTGACAGTGATGATGATGACAGTGATAGTGACAGTGATGATGATGACAGTGATGATGATGACAGTGATGATGATGACAGTGATGATGACAGTGATGATGACAGTGATGATGACAGTGATAGTGACAGTGATATTGATAGTGATAGTGATAGTGATAGTGATAGTGATAGTGATAGTGATAGTGATAGTGATAGTGATAGTGATAGTGATAGTGATAGTGATAGTGATAGTGATAGTGATAGTGATAGTTATGATATTAACAGTAATAGCATAGAGTCAGAGTTGGAGAGTATTTCAGAATACTGGAGCGAGTATATGGCAACATATGAAGTTGATTACCTGGCCACTGCCACTTATGATGCATCTGTCACAGAAGCTACAGCTGCTACTGATGACGGTACTCAAGTTGTCAAAAGTTCTAAGACATATTCACAAACCACTGAAGCTGCAACCATCACTTTGAGCGCGGTAGAAAGAACAACTTATATCACTCCGGTCTTTGAAAGTGACAGAACAGTGAATTATATTCCTACTGCAACCGCCAGTGCTTTTATTGATTGTAGTGGCAGCTATGATCCTGATCTCTCCGAATCTTTCAATAATGACACCGAACAACCATTCTTGTTGGGCTACGGTGATATGTCTTATGCTCAAGGAATTGTGGTTCAAGACACATTAACTTTCAATGAATTTGTGATTGAAGACTTCACCTTTGGTTTGGCAACTGCCTCCAACTCTACAGACATGGTGTTTGGTATTGGGTTGATTGGGCTTGAAAATTTGGGAACGTATGATAACTTCCCATTAAGACTTGTCGATAGTGGATATATCAACAGGGCGATCTATTCTCTTTTCCTTGAATCGATGGATGCGACCTCTGGCACTATTATTTTTGGTGGTGTGGACTCTGCCAAATACACCGGCACCCTCTACACTTTCCCAATGTTGAGTCTCGACTCCAGTTCCGATGTGCCAACATATTTCTACATCAGCACTGATTCAATTGACTTGACTGATAATAACAATGGTTCAATAGTCCAACAAATCACCTATGCTAAACACGCAATGTTGTTGGATTCCGGCACCTCTTATACATTGCTTCCTCCTAAGGCTTACGCAAGACTTGGTACTGCTTTCCCAGGAATTTCTTACTTTGCCGATGCTGGTGGTTATATTGCTAACTGTGATCTTCTCGATGACTATACCTTGAACTTCCACATCCAAGGAGTTAACTATTCTCTCCCACTTTCAGTGTTTGGTAAGCCTGTGTCCGAAATGGTCGAACAAAATCTTATATCTGATATCCCTGAATCAGATATTGGTGATTACTGCTATTTGCAATTTGACAGTACTGAAGATAATACCATTATCGCCGGTGACTCTTTCTTGCGTTGGTTCTACATCGTGTATGATTTGACTTATTACCAAGTCCATATAGCCGAAGCAAACCTTCAAGGGAACACCACCGAAGATATTCATGTGGTCGAGGCTTATGAGCCTGTTCCAAATGCGGTTCTCGCTCCAGGCTACGAAGAAGTTTATCAAGGTACACACGCCACTTCTTCCTCTAATGATGATGTTGAACCGGAGTTTACTCATTACATTCCTCAAGGAGCGAAATACTTGAAAAACGGTAGTGCCAAGTTACCAATGGGCGGATCTTTGTGGGCTTGTGTGTTTGGGTTGATTGCCTGGTTTATGCTTTGATTGGGGATTAGCGTATTTTTTTTTGGTAAGGTCTTTCTTGGTTTAAATTATTCTTCAACTATTTTTATTATCATTATTATTTCTACTATTAATATTATATCTACTATTAATATTATTTCAATTATTTCATTATTTTTCTCTCTCTTCTATTATTTCATTTATTCATATTATTTCCATTATTCATATTATTTGTTTTTCTCTTCCTACTTTATCAGTCTTCGCTAGAAAATATAGTAGTCATATCAATCAATAAAAGTCACATTTTGGTATTCTTAGTTACTATAAGTGATTGGTGGCTTGATATTCACACCAACAGAATAAACAAAACCAGATGGAAAAAAATATTATCAGAATTCTAGAAAAAAAAAAAATACCATCAAGAATGATAATAATAAAAAAATTGATCACGAAATTAAATACAAATATAATTTTCCGCCAAAGAAAACACTCTTTTTGTACATCGGATCTTGCAATACCGAGAACTGGGTTTGGAATCACCGGAAATCCGTACCACAATATCGTTACTTGTTGTTCTGGAAAATAAAATTAATAACTATTCGCTGTTACTCAACTTCATAGCATTAATCATGCCAATAGTTTAGCGAGCCAAGAGTCCTGAGAAATCTCACCGCTGTATTATGCCAAGCTTGTTGAGAAAAATCTCATAGAAGAAGTCTCTCAAGAAAAAACGAGGAATAGGGAATAACGCAAGATGTTTCTAAAGCTGGCTCAGTAATACAGTCGAATAATTATCCGGATGTTGTAACCATAGTTATACAGTATCCAAACAATTTAACCGTGTCATCTGAGACTGCAGGATTGTTCACGAAAACTTTTCCAACATTGGTGGATACTTTGATGGCGAAATACCGCGAAGAACAAATGTAGATGCGCGGCAACGCACAGAAACGCACATATATAGACAGTAAAACACATAACGCTGTCTATCTCGGTCGTATGTATGCTTCCAAATACAGTCAGTACATGACACAAAATATGGTGCAGTGTTTTATAATTAGTAGTTATTAATTACTGAAGAATAATAAGATAACCGGATTATGATAGAAATGAGCATATGATATGGTTTAGATCAGGGAGTCCCAATACTCACCAGAGAGAGAGAGAGACTCCTATCGCGTAATTTTAATAAGGCTAATGTTGATATGACTGACTTTAGTATTTCCAGGATCTCATGGCTCGACCAAGTCTCAATAATTCCTTGCCTATAATACATTTTAAGATTCTATTTTTGCTTTCTTGGTAACGATTTAGCGGAATTTTTTTTTTTTCCCTTTGATTCATCCCTACATTTACCTGGACGTCTGAAGCAGGAAATTGTGCTCAGGCCCAATGGGTCCCGAATTAGTTATCTGAATGTAGCAGATATTAGAATACCGTCTGCAGAGAATATCTGTTGGCACCGTAACACCCATCAGAGTTTTTTTTTTCTTCTGGTCAGGTATTGGTGCAATTGGCCAACTGAGTACAGACTGCACTGATGGGATCTCTTGTTCAAAACGACAGTTACGGAGACACGTGTGCTTTTGCTTTAAGGGTGCGTTTCGCTGCCATGCAATGCTTCTAGACGCCAGTCTTTGACATTGGTTTTTCCCTTAAGACCTTGAGCCTATTTAAGCTACATAAAGCTTTTTTTTTTTGACTCTATATAGAGTATATGCTTCCCCATGGACTTTGTTTTCCACTCTCTATTTTAGTGAAGTGAAGATCAGCAAATTTGTTATAATTACATTTGGCATTCCCATTAATATTTTTTTCTTAAAAATCTTTGCGTATTTACCTTATCTTTCCACTGCCAATATCAATCATCACGAAGCCCTGCAATCATGAGAGTTTCCTTTCTGCCTAAGCCACTATCACCAGGCACTATTGAGATTTTCAATACTTCTGATTTGAATTATGATTTATCTATTGTCCAACAACCACAAAATTCAAGAGAGTCTACAGTCAGGAGACGGTCTACAGAAGCATTTCATTCAGACGATATAGACCAGCCTTTGCGTTGTTACAAACGATTACTTAAACCCGCACCTGTGGTAGTATTAAAAATATTTGATTCCCAAAACAGGAATATCACTCAATATTCTCTTGGCAGTTTTTTCATAACTCTCTCGTTGGTGCATGAAAACGCAAACAAAACTTCTCATTTAATGGGCACTACCATCATCTCTGGTGCTAATTATTGCTATGCGGAGGACCAAGGTATGGTTGTATTCAACATCAATGACATTGGTATTTCTGAAAGTGGCACGTATAGACTACGAATCAATCTTTTCAAGTCCGAAGCTTACGGATATTTTAATGGGAAAGTTATGTCTCCCAAGATTGTGATGCTTAAAGAAATCCGCACTCAAAAATTTACAGTTTTTAGAGCAAACGAATACTATAAGGAAAAGGCTCAAAAAGTGATAAGAGAACAAAGAACTAAGATGATAAGAAATTTCAAAATTTCTCCAATGATTGATTACCTCATGAGGATAAAGATTGTGAAATACCCATCAAAGTTATCACAAATTTCATTTTTAGCAAGAGCTTCTAGCCAAGATAGCTCTGAGCCATCTACAACATCCCAGAAAAGGAAGAGGAATGAGGAAGAGGAATCTGCTCCAAGGAAGAGACGCGCATCCTTAGTTAATGAATGGAGTGAACCTAAACCTGAAGAAATAATAATTTCTAAATCCGATCCTAGTGAAGTTGCTGTGTCAAATGCATCTGCAACATCACTAAACATAAAACCGACTTTAGAACGTCTTTCACTAGTTTTTGAATATGCACCAAAAATATCGGAATGCCATCTGGATCCTCTAGAATATCTGCCAGAAATATCAGACTGTCTCTCAGAACCACTAGATCTTCTGCCACAATTGCTGCCACAGACTGCTCTAAATACATTTTCTTTAGGTAGTGATGATTTAGTCGGTCTCCTTCATTCTTCCTCCAGTATTGAAGGGTCCTTACAGTGTATAAACCCAGTTTCTTGTTCGAGTGAGCTCTTAACATTAGAGAAAGAATGTATTAATCAGGATATGACAAGCCAGGATGATGATTTTTATACTGGACCTTATTTTTCCAGTTTTGATGATCTCGATGAAGTCATTATGGGGTCTTGTCTTGCCACATCTGCTTGCTAGAGCTCTAGAATAGTCGTTCTAAGAATTTCTTTGATTATCTACACTGTTTGTTTGTTAGTTTATTTGTTTATTTGTTTATTTGTTTGTTTGTTTATTTGTTTGTTTGTTTATTTGTTTGTTTATTCATTTTTTTTTTCTTTTAGCATCTCATTCCGTTCTTCTCCATTTAATTTTCTTTTCAGGAACTCTTAATTTATTTATGTTTCAGAAGACGCATCAGGCGTATTGCTATTGAGCCCCATAATCAGCTATCATTATTCTATATTTGTACTTATTAATTATTAATACATTCTTTTACTTTTTTTGTTCTACGATTGACTCTGCTAACCTCATGATGTTTACCGGTTTTTATTATGCACCCTCTCAATGCTGTTGTAACCATTGAATATATACGAGATCGATAATTTAGCCGACTTGATAGAAATTTTGTGCAATGTATTTAACGTGTGTATTCAGCTCCCTGGTTATTAGATCAAGGGTTTTAAAATCGAAATTGCAGATCTCTTGGAGGTTGCAACAGAAAATTTGGATGATTCAATAATGAAGCTATTGTTCTTGGTGAGTTAGCAAGTGGCATCAGTGCATTCTATTTCATCCCTTGTAATAAAGACTATATGTGACCCAGCTACTGTTTTGGGTTGTGTATGTGTGTGTGTGTGTTGTTGTCTGCAAGTTGCTTTTCCGGTCTAAAATAGTGCGCATCTTGTATGCAAGGATCTACACCCTATATTGAAGAAAGATTTGAGCGTCTTCAGCCTAAAAAAAAGAGTTTTTTTCTTTTCTCTTCTCTCTAAATGATTTTAGTCTACTATTTTTGAATGAAAATAATTGGATGATCCAATCACGAAAGTAAAAAAAAAAATTAATCATCTTTAATTAAAGCATGTTTCATCGCTAGTAGGAAGTCGGTTGCCAGAATTCCTCTACGAATGCTTTACCACAGTATCATTCCACAAAGCCTCGCTTCTAGAAAATCTGTATAGCGGGACTAGGCGCTCTGTTCAAGAAAAGCAAAAGGGTGTGAAACTCCATTGCTATGATGTATTTTAATCATCCAAGCATTTACCTACAATATTTGAGTTTAGGCTTTTTCAGATCTTTTTTTTTTTCTGGAAAATGTTGCTACTCTGCCAAATGGTGTGGTTCAACACGCAATGTCCAAAATTATGGAGACTAAAAATTTACTCAAATTAATTGGTTTTATTCACCATCCCTACTAGTAATAAAACGGACATGTAGCGGAAAAAAAAAAAGAAAAAAAAAACAACTTTTTACCAATTACTCATCCCGTCCCACAGTTATTCCAATAATCTAAAAGCAATAATATGGACTCAATGCATTAATGCTCAATCATTCTCTATTCAGGAAATGTATTAAAATTGTTACTTGTAGTGTAAGTCCAACATAATCAGTCCCATGCAAATGGGTGGGCCGACCCTATTATAGATTGGTAATTCTGTCAAGTAATTTATGATCCCTTCAGGAAGAGAAGTATACCTTAGCACGACTTTTACAATTCTGCAGCAAAGAACAAAACAATAAAAAGAAAACAATCTTGAATATCATGTTGCAGAGCTGCCTTATGAAACGATATCTGTTTGCAGTACTTATCTGTTGTCTGTCAGAAATAGTTATTCATAATTATTCAAGGAAAAGGAGTCACACAGACGTAGCTTATTGTTTGGGTTTGGCTGAAACTGATTAGCTAGTTAGTTATCCAATTTCTACTAGTTAAGATTGATTCGATTGGCTCATTCAGTCATTCCTGGATCATCATCAAGACAATAGATCTTCTCATCTATTAAATACTTACGGCTTCGGTTTTGAAACACTTCAACAGAAATGCAATAAACCAAAAAAACGAATCAGAAGTTATTACCTTTCATAAAGTAGTTTTATATAATAATGAAAAAAAGGATAAGGCAATGAAGAATAAGAAGAGAAAGCAATAGTAAAATAAACTAACCATGAAAACCAATTCATTAAAAAATGAGAGAGAAAAAAAAATTGACAGTGAGGGAAACTAGTCCAAGGCAATACCTTTGGTTCTGAACAGACCAAAGTAACGGGCAAGACCCTTATCCTTACCACCTGTTGCAGTGGAGGTACTCACAGGATGCCATTTAATTTTATATGCCACACCATTTGTGTTTGTGATGGTAGTTGTACCAGCTTCTTGTAAAACATCGTCGTCAATCACGGCAGCCTTGTTTGAGGCCTTTTTCTTATTTTTGCCCTTTGAAGTCTTAGTCTTCTTCTTATTTTTGGCTTTGACAGTTGTGGTCTTGTGTTTTCCACGCTTTTCAATATCCATTACTTGGTCAAGCATTGTGGAAATGTGGCCACTTCCTGTTGTCAATTCATTTTGGGATGAACTGAAATCGTTATCGCTGATAGTCAACGCCAGAGTAACCAAGGCAAATAACAAAAAGTTTGTTGGGAACAACATGGTGCAAGCACAATATAGGTATTATTATTGATATAATGTGTCACTTTTGGTGATATTTATTTGAAGGAGAGAGAAAGTTGAGCTATTTTATATACTTTCTACATTTTTTTTACCTTTTCTTACATAATTTCATGTGCCATGTACATAGGGGTACCGCAAACCACAGTGATACACAGAAAAATCAGAGTTATCTTGGCCTGTGGAAGCATATCGGGAAATTCTCGGCGTTTTTGGCACGATGATAGAGAATAACCACATATTAGTCCCCACGACTCCTGTTTTTGAACCTCGTATAAGTAATCCCAGTTACTGGAAAACTAATAAAGTACTGTTTGTCACACCCTAAAAATTTTAGGTGTACTAATAATATTCCAGCACCATCTTTATTATATATAGATACATGCACGGTAGTCAAGGTTTTCTCTTTAAGACTACAGCCTTTGAATGTGTTTATGAGTACCCAAGTCACACCTCCTCTGACTTTCCATCACGAGCACATTCATCTATGTTTCAAAATTTTTCACGGCAAGCGAACAATATGAACTGGTCTGTAATCAAGGCATTTCATCACATGTCACTACCAAAATTAACAGCAAGGCTATTTAGTTCTTGTTCTATTTTTCAATATGAAAGTCTGCTAAGAACTTTGGAAATTGAACAGCACAAAACATAGAATGATAAAGGGAGTAAGCAGATACTACAGTTATGTGATTCCTCAATCATTGCAACTAGTTACTATATAGAAATGCTGTTGTTAGCACCCAACCTTGATAGTTCAGTATGTCACTTGGTGTGTTAAAGCAATAATAATAATCACTTTAAAAGATATTCTGATGAGAATGGCTGGAAAATATATCTCGAGAATATCATGGTTCTTTTTCGTTATATGATTTTTTTTTATCTCAGGCAAAGAGCTTGATGTCTTGAGCTTCTTCAATTGGGATACATGAAGCTTAATTGAGTTCTAAGTGCTTCCTACTCAAATTTGAAGATAGTTCCGGACTAAAGAAGAATTCTTAACAGAATCCAAATGCCAATCAGTCTTGGATCCCCAGTACAAAAGGTGCCAAAGTTCCTGATAGCATTGCCTTATATTGTTCAAATTATTCTGATACTCCCTATCAGTAGTCTATACTATTTATTATCTTTACATCCAATTATTAATCTTCCAAAATGAATTCTGAAGTCAAACGGGCCACTAACGTTTGTGACTCTACTAGATCTACAAAAATTAATACCAATAATGAGACAGGAAATACTAATAATGTACAAATAAACCAATGGAAAACTATCTTTATGGGCAAAATCCAATCAAATGAGCATGGCCGTCAAGACGATGAAATATCAATCTTTTGTATAGCATCGCCAGCCCATACAAACCAGCCCCTGATTAAAAAACAGTAAGAAAAAATGGTAACAACAAGACAGATGAAGGTGAGATGGAGGGATATTCTTCCATAGTAGCAAATTAGTTAAAAAATTGCACTAGTATTCTTTGGGTTGAAGGTGTGGAAAATCATGCACGGTGCGCACTTCCGGGAGTGGAGGGAAAACTTATAACCCACGTTCACCACGTTCACCACGTTCACCACGTTCACCTCGACAACACAAATGTTTACAATGGGGTTTGGAAATGTTCAATTTTTGTATAGGATAAGAAAGGTGGTGATTAAATCTTAGAATAATATACATAGCTAATATTCGTTCATCAATATTATAAATTATATTCTTTTGGTGTTCGGAAACGAAAGATCCATCAAATAATTTTTCCCCTTTTTTTTTTTTTTCCAGGTATTCCCAATCGGGAATGACCCACCAATTAATTTTGAGTTATTCATTTATTTAGAGTCTTTCCTGAAAATAATAACCATCAGTTGTAAACACAGCAATACCCATATACCATCTTAATGAGAAATAATGAAAGTCTCAATACTTTTGACTTCTCTTATTACCAGTGTCCAAGGGGCCACCGTCGATAAACGGTTCTATACCCCAAACTGGCGTGCTATCAACCCCGAAAACAATGGTGGAGTTTTCAAGATCCCATTCGAAGTTTCTCAAAAAGATCCTATGGACTACTCCAAAATCGTGAAGCGTGATTCCAGAAATAAAACCCAAATAGTGGAAGATGAAATGGTGCTTTGGAATCAGAATGATCTTTTATATATGGCTAATATTTCCCTCGGTACTCCTCCACAAAACCTTTCTGTATTACTTACCATCAATGATGCTGATTTATGGGTGTTTTCTAAATCAAATCCATACTGTCTGTCCAATCTTTATTATAAAAGGGAAAATTTAGATTATCAAGAAGAAGAAGAAGAAAAAGAAGATGCTGATGTTGCCACTGATACCTCCACTGCCATTGATACCTCCACTGCCACTGCTACTACCGATGATTATGATACTGGTATCTTGGAATATATACAGAGTAAGTATGAGGCCGACTTGAGCGATTTTCTAGAAACTAATACAGACTCATCAGTTACTGAGATTTACGATACAATCGTTTACACAACCCAAGGGTATTTAGAAACAATCACCTTATCAGTGGATTTTAAATCTGCTACTGGTGATGACCCAACAGGAATGGCAACTTCTACCACATTTTCTCTGTCAATAATTGCGACAACAACAACTGGGCAAGTTTCAAACGCAAGGTCCACTTTATCTGACACTGGAGCTTCAACTATTACCGGAAAAGTTGTAAATGCAAGTTCCACTTTATCTGACGTTGGAGTTACTGGAAGAGTAACCCAAATCACCCCATATTTCTATGAGACAGTAACTCGCGTCTTTCTGACTCAGACTGCCGTGCCTCTCATTGATTGTGGTAGTGTTGGCACTTTTGATTCAGACTCCTCGGAAACTTTCAATGACACTGGTGAATGGTTCTCTTTTCAGTATGGTGAAGATTATGGCTTCGCTCAAGGCAAGGTGGCTCTAGACACTTTGACCTTCAATGAATTCGTGATAGAAGACTATACCTTCGGTTTAGCATCTGCCTCCAACAGGACGTACATGTCTTTTGGTATTGGGTTGACTGGGAATGAGGACTTGGCATTTTATGATAGTTTCCCAATGAGACTTGTTGATAGTGGGTATATCAATAGAGTGGTCTATTCTCTTTTCCTTGAATCGATGGAAGCTGCCACCGGATCCATTCTTTTCGGTGGGGTAGACTCTGCGAAATACACGGGGACCCTCTATGCTTTCCCAATGTTGAGTCTCGACTCCAGTTCCGATGTACCAACAACATCTTTCTACATCAGTATTGATTCCATTGACTTGACTGATAATAACAACGGTTCAATAGTCCAACAAATCACCTATGCTAAACATCCAATGCAGTTTGATAATTCTAAGGCTTATTTCTATCTTCCTGTTTTTTCTTTCAGGAGATTGATAGACGCTTTCCCAGGGATTTCTTATATCAACAACGTTGGTGCCAATCTTGTCAAGTGTGATCATCTCAAGGAATATAATATGAGCCTTAATATCCAAGGGGTCAACTATTCTATCCCACTATCAGTGTTTGGTAAGCCAATGTCGGAAATGGTTCAAGAAAATTATTTCTCTGGGCAGACTATACCTAAGTCAGAAATTAAAGATTATTGCTATTTACAGATGGGAACTAGTACAGATAATACAATCATTGCTGGCAATAGTTTCTTGCGTTGGTTCTATGTTACGTTTGATTTGACTTATTACGAAATATACATGGCTGAAGCAAATCTTCAAGGAAACACTTCGGAAAGCATTCAAGTGATTGATGCCTACGGGACCATTCCCGGTGCAAAAAGGGCCCCAAATTACTACAATGTTTATGAAGGCAACACAACCACCCCTTCCAGTAGCGATGGTTCCGAACCATTTTTCAATGGAACCAATAATGTGGGGACTAAGTATTTGAATAATGGTGTGAAATTGCCAATGAGCGGCCACTTATGGACTTGTGTCTTTGGTGCGATTGTCTATTTTATGCTTTGATTTCAAACAGGGGATTTTTTTTTCTGGTGATTAGTTCATTTTTTCTTCTTCTGCTTTATTTTTTCTTCTGAATTATTTTTATAATTGCTATTATTTCTACCATAATTAATTGAATCTTTTATCTTTCTTGCTCCATTAAGTTTTATTAAACTATATACGGCGCGTATATAATGAAGATCCAATTTTCACCTTTATGACTTCAGCTTTTATATTATGATGAGTATTGAAATGGTCAACATCCCATCCTTTCTAAGTTATGTGTATTGATAGTCTACTCTAAGTTGGCCTGGGTTGAGTCGGATATTGTATTTGAGAATAACTGCTTATTCTTTGACTATTTACCCTTACAACGTACTCTTGATTGCAAGAGCATTGGATATTTAAAGAGTATATCATCCCTTCCGTTATAACAGGCTCATTATTATGAGTATATATTTTCTGAAGTCTGTTTGGTAATCGCCTAATGAGAAGTAAAACGTAGATACATATTTAGTAAGATAATTTCTACAGATTAGATCAGACTTTAGGATCACAAGATCTTAGAATAGTAGACTTCCTTACATGGCAGTGGAAAGCTCCTAATAATGGTCATATCCAGTTTCATGTAGGTTTCAAAGATGGCTGGAAGAGGAATAGTGAAGTAGTCTGCTAGAGTGTTTTTTTTTTTCGAAAAAATTAAATCTCTATCCTGATACCTTCTTATATTTTTTATGCCAGTTACATTATCGTTTATCTTTAAACAAGTTTAGAAAGGAAAAAAATATATATAAAAAGATGGGTCAAAATTCTGTTCTCTCTCAATTTAATTCGGTGCAGTCTGCCAACGCTGCTTGGTCCTCCTCTTACAATCAGGAAACTGAATTATACGGCCTTGGCACCACTGATACTGACGATCTGGGTGTTATGCTCGGGTCTGACTGGTGGACTAGTATCACTTCTACTTCAACTGATCATGGCGATGCTACTGCCAATAGTATCACCATTCATTCCACTACTGAATCCGGCTCTTCCACCATTACTTATTCTGGCAGCGCCATAAAGCCACAGAGCAGTAGTTCTACAGGCTCTTCATCTAGTGGATCCACCATTACTTATTCTGGCAGCGCCATAAAGCCACAGAGCAGTAGTTCTACAAGCTCTTCATCTAGTGGATCCACCACTGCTTCAGGGATGGCTGCTGCCAATAGTGTACAAATTGTAGGTGTCAGTGCTTTGATGGCTGCTGTTGGCCTCGCTTTGTTATGATCTCCTTTTTATTGTTTTCACTATAGATTCCGGTTTTTTTTATTGATCGTATAGAGGCATTTTAAATAGGTACTGTGGTGTAATTTTTTCCTTACAAAATAAGAAGAGATAGAGTTTGTATTTCTCTGTAGACAGTGTTTTTTCCTTGCTATTATATGTCACACTGTCTTGCAACACACTACTATTATGGTCGATGGTTTATTTTTAGAAATTTAGGCTTGGATTTTTTTACATTATCCTGTAGGTATCTCCAAAGATCTCATCTCCATGATGGACTGCTATTTTTGACTTTGTATTTCTCGTTCGGTATTCTCTGCTTTTTTTTTTTGTTTTTTTTTTATTTTATCTGGCTACCACGAATTGTCGTGAGGGGGAAAACGTGGGTTGAACTTTCCAAATTCATCCTAAGACTGCAATTAACCAATTAACCAATTAGAAACACCTCAGCGAAACTAAAAAAAGGAGAAGATTATCGCTCTCACCGATGGCCGAGCCACGGTGTAAAATAAGTGTGATTGCATGTACGCCTAAAGGATGAGAGGATCGGAGCAGTCTTTTCATGTTTTGTATAATATCCGTGAATGTACAAACGGTAATCATTAAATAAGGTGTTACTCCATAAATATATATATGGGTGCCGTTTGTCCATGATTCTTTATTCTGTGACGGCTTAAAAGACAACAATCAGCTGCAGCCGATGTACGAATAGTTTTTAGGCCCGGTGACTCTGCATATATACCCGGATGTTCCAGAATAGGAAAGTGCCTGAGAGGTAATGTGTTTCGGGCCAGCCTGTTCCCATGATTCTATCACAATGTCCTTGTAATAAGTTGTATGGAACAGTGTGAGAAGAGCTCATAAGATACTTGCAAACCTTATATATTTATATACAGTATGAGGATAGTATTGAGTGAGCAGGTTCCCACCTATTTTGATTCTCTGGACCTCTCTTTATCCCTTTTCCGTCTTTTCTTGAGATCTGCAGGGTGAAACTATTCATTGGATTACTAAAAACTATTGACTGGATCAAAAGAGATATATATTCTGTTTACACGCAAAAATATCCAGCGAGAGAGAAAAACCCACTTTTTTTTTTCTTCTTCACATAAGCCAAAAGATACCAAAACAGAGGAGAAAATTGTCCCACTAGCTTCGTCCATCAATCAAATTACATCTTGGAAACCCCTTTTGATTTATTTTTTTTCATGATGGATGAGAAAAAGTTAGAAGCTGGAACAAAGCTTGAAGATAATGACGCACTCTTCAGCAACCAGGAAGATGTATTCAATCTTGACGAGTCTTTGAACCTCCCTACTTATGAAGTCAACCAATTTGATACTGCTAAGCACCCAAATAAACGCAGCTCCCTTGATGGTAATTTCAGGAAGGATCTGTTGACCAAAAAAAAATTGGTGGCTGACAACGACAACACTATTCAAGAGCTACCACAAGAGGAAAAAACAGAACCATACGATGACCATTTTGTGATTCCTGAAACCGTTGCGAATGCTAAAGAACATAATTACCTCAATGTCTTTAGTAAACCATTCAGACGCTTTTCCAGTAAACATGTTTCTAAATCATTCTATGTCTTTATTGGGTTTTCGGTATTGTCCACCATCCTCATTTTGCCTTTCCAAGTGTTCATTATTTACAACTCAGCTCATTCTTTTAAATTCGAAGGAAACTCAATGTATCCAGTGTTCCAGAGACAAGCACTCACAGTGGGATCTGCCATGCTTATCTTCGCCAGAGTGTATCAGATTTTCATGTCACTCAACGCACTCATTACCAAAAACACTATACAAGCCTTGTATGTCCTTGTTTTCTTGGTTTCAGTTTTCGCCAGTTCTGTTCTGTATATGTGCAATTTTCCGAAAGAATTGGGTGTAGCACCTAAAGGTGACACTATCTTGGTGAAATTCAGTAGTTATTGGATCATTGCTCTCTCGGGATTGACAATTGTTGCTCAGGTTATACTTTTCGTATGGAAATTAGGTAAAGAACTTAGTTGGGAAAGATTCAAATCTATGAATAGCTCAATGAGTACCAGAAGTATGGTACTCGTCGTCCAGAACTATAAGGCATTATTGATTGTCAATGGTTTCTTTATTGTTTATGACTTGGTGATGTCTATCAATTTCCCATATAAGACTATCCAGAAGTCATATGATGCTCTCAGTATTATCGCAATGATCCTCATTGGTTTGACTGTGTTAGTTCTCACTTATCTTTATTTTGCTGTTGATAGAAAATCTATTACTGCATTAAAGTTGGGGAACTTTTACATGCTCATTACATTTATAATAACCCTGACAAGTGGATACATGCTTCCAACACTTACTCTGTTGTATTACTACGACCCAACAGTTAAGGATAATGGCCTGAATTCATATATCAGTAGATCTTCTGAATATGTTGAGACGATGTATTATTTCCGGGGAGCGTTTGCGCCTTTTCATTACTTGTTCTTGATCTTTAATTTTATGGTATCAGTCTATTTGATCTCTTTATTTTACAAAGAGAAAAATCCCAAATCACTTCAATGGTGGAAGAAGCTGGGTACTCTGAATTTACCAACCGACAATAATAAAGCAGATGAGAAAGAGGAATTGGCATTAAAAGTAGGGCAATTATTGCTCGGCAACATTATTTTGTCTTGCGTGGCATCGATTTTGGGCATCGGTTTCATGTCTTATATTTATACTGTTCGGAAAAAGTTCTTGCTTTCTTGGTATTTGGTTTCCATCATTTCTATTTTTGCAATTCTTGGGATTTCGATAGCGACTTACATCTGCTTTGTCCGCTCTGGAGACCATAAATATCCAAAATATTTGCAAATCTTGAAAAATTCCCAAAAATCTTCCAAGCTGCAAACCATTTGTTTACATAGCTTGACCAAGATAAAATGCTTGTTTGCCGCGTCAGTCACTATTGCTTTTATTCTCCTCAATGGCGCTGTTTATTTCATGTTCAATATTGCCAATTTCTGCCAATATTACGGCTTTGCTCAGCTATCAACTATCAACTCTGTCCCAGAAAGTGAGACTTATGCTGTCTATGTGTTGAAATATTTGATTACATTTCATCAATATCCTCTCGATCCAGAATCATATGAAGGACCGCGAGAACAATTGGAGCTTTATTTCACTGATGTCTATGAACCAATTTTGGAAGCATTATTACCAATGGGGAAAGGTAAACCTTCAGCTATTGCGATTTTGATGTGCTTTGTGGCATTTATTTTATTGTTCAAACAGAGCTTGGATTATTCAAAACTTTTGTATTTTTCTGAAAGACTTAGTGAATTAAATCAGAAATGCGTTACCAACATTACACCAGAGGAAAATAAGGATGTTGAACCAGTGGCAAGCGGAATCAGTTCAAATGCCTCTGTTGAAGATACAGAAAAAGTTTCCACGGTCACAAAGCTTGTTATTCAACTTTCGGCGTTGGCATATTTCAACTTGTACTTCATTGCAGTGGTGCTCTTGATGTATGCCACATTTCCTCTTGATTATTGGACTACTAACTATTTTACACCCATGAAGGACGTCAATCCCACATTAATTGCTATTGGTGTTATTCACATCGCCTATATTGTTATCATGGCCGTTTTTCTAATCTCAGTGAGTTACTTGCGCAATAAGAACCATGAATCAGTAGATAAAAAAAGAACTCTCACAAAAATCATGGCTTTGTGGTTTGTTGGTAGTGGCATTATTTGGATTCCAATGATCTGCTATCAAGTTTACAGGGTTTTTAAAATATATACTACAGTATACAGTACCAATATTGACAATCTTTTATTGTTTCCCCCAGTTTTTGCAGGTTTGATTGCTCAATTGGTCACATTCTTAGCTGTTATCGTCGGAGGTGGGATATTATGGTGGAAAATAAAAAAGGAAGGTACGAAATACGAAGTGATGTGAACAAAAAATCTTGCTCATGGATGGGCAAAGCTCTTTTTCTTTATTTTTTTATTCTTCTTTCTCCTTTTCCATTCGTCTTTTGCCTTTGTGGCTCTTTACGCTTGAGAATCATCTTAATTCTGAAGCTAAACTAATATAATGCTAATTTTGTGTTTCATATGAATTTTCAAGGCTAATATAAAGTCTGCTGCTATTACTTAACACTCTCAAATATAACATTTCTCTTTTCAACTTCTTTAATATCACTTGCTGAGATAAGAATAATAATCACTGAAATATAATAATTGAAAGATTTAATCCTGTATATTTAAAATTGAACAAAAGATGAATACTAGCCAGTGAAAAGCTGTTCAAGTTTACAACATAACACACGATCATATCTTATATATTTCTTTTTTTTCTCTTTTTCCTAAATATCAGGAATATCAGTGACCCCACTTTACTTTGATTTTTGTAAAGGAAATGCTTCTGGCTGTTGTCAATACTGGATATCGATACTATTTACAGGCACGTTATGATCATATTTTGTCTACAAATCATATCAATACTCAGAAATGTACATTCACATGTATCTATCACCTAAAATTTTTGCGCTTCTCTGTTCTGATACTCCGATTTTATTCTCTTTTAATGTCTTTTAAGAATAATAATAGGGCCAGCGAGAATTTTGCAAGATTTTAGCAGTAACTTTTAAAATTTACGGAAACTTTTTTCAATGGTCAGCGACATTTTTTGGGCAATTCTCACTAGTGAGAATCACTTGAAAAAAAAAATAAAAAATAAGCTTATTATTATTCAACAGTTCTAAAACATTACACAGAGTCTCTGACATAAGATACCTTCATCACTATTACAAATAGCAATTGAAAACAGATTGAGTAACAATTTCTTTTCCCAGCTTATTGTTAAGGCTACATGGGTGTATCATAATATGAAACATATATTCGGTAACAACCTTTTTTAGACTCTCGCCGGGTTACTACTCTATTTTTTTTTTCCTTCCCCTGAAAGACCCATCGATTAATCTCAAAAATGGGGTCTGGGACCCTGCGGATAGTTGCAATATAAAAAACGATGTTGCCGGCCTTTATGAATAACAAGTCTGGGGCCACGACAACCCCAATACAATAGATATACTTTTCAAGATGCCACCAAACTACGGTGAGGACGAAATGTCCCTATACGGGCGTTATATATACCCTATTTATCTTGATGATGATGATGATGATGGATCCGGCTGTACTGGTAGATGTTTAACAGGGGTAGTTATTTCTCTGATTGTCTTTGGTATCATTATACTTCTTTGGATCTTGGCTCTCATAAACAGATTTTGTGTTCGTATTCCTGGCTGGGATGATTCTTTTGGTAGAGTTTTATGTTGGGGCCGTCTTAGGCGTCCAGAGAAGGCTAAAGGGTTTGCTCCTTTGAATGAACCTCAGTTCTCTCGCCAGGTGGACCCAATCCCAGTTTCCATGCCTCATAATGATCAATACCGTGAAGATATTCAACTTTCGGAGCCATACAGAGGATATAATGGTGGACCTGGTGGCGCCCCATATCCGCCAGAAAGTGAGAACCCATTTGAACCACATAATTCTAGACCACTCCATACTAATTAGAATATGATGATTGGTTAGATGGTATGATTTTTGTTAGATTTAAATTAGAAATTATGGATTATAGTGTATGTTTGTTTGTTTTTTCCCTCCCCTTTTCATTTCCATTTTCGAATTTTTTTTTTAACTGTGCTGATTTATATTAATTTTTTTGTCTTTATTAATTCTTTGAAATATTTATTCAGTCATACAGGTTCTTATTTATGGGTATAATTTCATATTTTTATTCAATGAAAAACTACTATCTCCTTGGTGATGAGGTGTTTTTGCAGCTGATCCACACTGTCGGCACAATTGAAAGATCAGTAATCACATGATTACGTCAAAAACATTAATTTCCCCAGGCGTCATTTTGCTAATAGAAGAAACAGCCTTTAAACATAAACTGTACCTCTACTTCCTACAAAATTTTGATTGATTGGGAACTTTCCAAGTTATGCTTTCTTTGTAGCTTCCAGGAAAAAAGTCCAGTCCGAATGAAGATTAACTAGATATTGAGATGACCTGATAACCTTGGATTAATAATGATGCTTTGTCAGGCCTAATATACCAAAAATCTAACTTGCTACAAGAATTAGAAATCTGAACATATTGGATTGCCCAATATTCAAATATTGCGTTTATTTAATGTGGTGTCACTCAAGTTAGTCAGCTGGGGCTTCTCAATATTAAAGGCTTCCAACTACGAGAAACAGATCATTATGCAAGAGCGAAACTCTCAGAAGGGGTAAAAAAATAGTAAGCTTAAAAATGCTTCCAAATGAAAAAAAAAAAAAAAATATTCTTTATTCAAAGCCAGAGAAGCATGGAACGAAAGTAATATCTCAAAATAGCTGGATAAGGGCCTGTTGCTAAGTTACTCGTAATATGTGGTTAATATAAACATTATGAAAGATTTTCATGCAACCTAATACCAAGTATCAAATATGTACCAGAGGTTGGATTGCATTAAATGTATTTTGAATAATTCGTTGTTCTGCTTCAACAATATTTATTATCATAATGGTATACTATTATATATATGATCTGGTAAATATTGACCATCTCAACGGTATATCATGTAAGGATGTCACCCATAGTGGTGTACTGATTTTATGTGGAGGTTACGATCCCCTAGCAATAAAATTTTTGACATGTCTATGAGCCGCCTCAATAGGGAGAAGATTTGGACGAAATGTGATTGATTAATAAACTAGAACTCTTGCCAATCAACGGGGAAATTAAAATTCTTTATTAGGATTTCAAGTAGTAAAAACTACAAACTTTTCTGAGACGGAGATGAATGTTTGGATACAAAATTTTGTGGATTCGGGATCAGAAAGATGTCAAAGAATTTACTATTCAATAATGTATTAGTTATTCAATTGATTCTTCCATATGCTTCGCTATTTTGATCTCATAGCTCTATATTTTTAGTAGAGTGATAGTTGCCTTGAGATACTTTAGAAGTACCTGCTTGATATTAGTTGCAACAGATGGTCTTATCTTGTAATTTCAACAACAATAAGAAATATAATGATGTATAAGGGCTATAATGATCATGGAAATGTTGATAAGAAGGGCAAAGTACAAATAGATGACATTAAAAAGGTGGTGATGTTTACACATTAACAAAAGATTTTAAGCAGCCAAAAAAAAGAAAGAAAAAGAAAGAAAAAAGCACAAGCACATAATGAAAGAGAAGCCAAAAATATCAACTAAATGCAATTGATGGCTCATATTCCTCTGAATTAGCGGAAGTCACGGCGAGTGAATTATGCTTAAGCTCAGATTAAAAGAAGCAAAATGTATTTTCCTTTTCTTTCTTAGCTTGCTATAAAGATACAAGTTTACATAAGTAGTAGCAAGCTAAAAAAGAAAGAAGGGAGCAGTGTAGGTTGTTAGTTATATAAAAATGGATTTTTATTTTTATTTCCCCTATACTTTCATCAATTAATAAATGACGACGTTATGCAAAAACATTCCAAAAAGACTGCTTTATTATATAATTATAGGAATTTTTATGAGGATTAATAATGACTGTTAATTTCTCTGAGCCATTCAATCTATTCTTTTTTCTCTTAGCATATTGCTTTCCATGTTTGGCTGTATTTCATGAGAGTAATAAGGTGTTTGATATAGTAAAACCACTTGCCAGTATTGGGACACATACCACTAGAGAGGTGCGCACCACGCTAGTGGTCGCATATTGGCCACTGGCGTAACTGCACACAGCCTGTCTACTTTACGGCGTTCTTGAACGATATAGATTGCACCGATAGGTCAAGACGAACTAATTTGCACATGGGATGGGAAATTTCTAATATAAAGAAACCTCATTTAAGGATCTTGGGAGCTTGCAGTCTATAACAGTAGTAGAGTAAGAGGCAGGCTAGATAAAGTGAAGATTATCCGACCACTCAATCGGCCAATAAATGAATACTTCGCTTGTTCCTGTTAATGAGGTATCAAACTATACTCAGTGGTCTGATCATTCTAATGCCTGATGCTTATAGTATGGGTTAACAAATTATATATTTTATTTGGAATAATAATAACATTAATTTAGCATGTTGATGATAGTTAGTGTTCACCGGATTGGTGATCACCGAATTGATGATTACTAGTAGAAATCTACTAGTAGAGTTATCTTGAGACATGGGGAAGCAATAGTAAATATATATATGTATATATATCTATATAGCTACAGCCCCAGCTTAACGAGTAGATGGTTTCTGTACCTTTCATTCAAGATTACGATTGGTTGACATCAAATTGATGTTCTTAGCTGTTTAGCTCAATCCGAATCGGATTTATTGTACCACCTCCTCCTATCAATGGTGTGATATTATGCTAGCATAATATAGCTGTACTAAATCCATGTAAATAAATTCTCCTCAATTTATGAACATTCTAAGCAATAACTATATTTTAGTCTTTATAGCTAGTGTAGAACATATGTCTAAGAGCCGTGTATTTAGTACTGACAATAATAGTAGATTAAAGCGCATGATGCTTACGACTATGGATTGCATTATGCCAATTTTTCTATGACCCGATTAAATAAGAATTTTCATTCGTCCTCGACTCATTTCTTCTTTTTACGATTATCGTTTTGGTAGCTTATATGCTCTGCATACGTGAAATATAAGGAAAGTTTGCGAGCTTTTGGCAAATTCTAAGAAAAGAAAGTACTTTAGGAGAATGATAGGTGCAATATGGTTGGCAGTTGTATTCGAACTAATAATTATCCTTGCACGCATTTTGGTGGACGTGCAGTCGGACTTTCTAGAAGTGACGCCATATACAAAGGTATTTACATTCGTATATGAAAAGGGAGTTTCGTACTTTTTTTTGTTCCCTTTTTTGTGTGTGCCCGCAAGCTATCTTGGCAGATGGAAGTTGCCAATTTTTAGGCATGCAGAAAAATTAGAATTTGGGATTGTCCCCAGATCTCGGCCTCCAAAATGACAAGAAAAATAGCTTCCCAAAACAACACACTTAATTATCTCCGTCGTGCTTATACATTAAACAGCATGAACTCAATCAAAGCTTCCTACTTTCACAATAGAAAAAAAGGAGAAAATTTAGCAATATAAATCGTCCATCTTCCCTATATTTTCCGCTACCTACTAATGCATGTTCACTCTCAATACTACTTTTTATTTATTCTGACAGTCGTCTTCAATCATGAAATTATTTAATGCCATCGTGGCTCTTGCATTAGCCTCAAAATTCACAACTGCTGCTTACTTAGCATATTCTCCAATAGAGGTTGTGGCTCCAGTGAAAAGACACATTGTCAGTCCTTACAATATAACAAACTCAACTGTCTTTGGCACTAAGGGGTCATCTGGTAGTTTTAGTTCCTCCACAAGCTCTTCCGCGGGTTCTTCTGTTACAGTATCATCAGCTTCATCTTCGAAGTCAGATTCCTGCTTTCCTAGCAATGAGAATGAAAAACTTGAAGCTTTCACCTTTGTCAAAAAATTCTGGACATCCTTCATTAACCCTACTGATGATGCAGAAGCCTTGAAAATCAACTCTACTTACTTTACTGAAGATTGTAAAGGGAGAGTGAGTTTGACTCGTGATTTCGAAGGTGATGAATTGAACACCGAATACATCTTTGGTTTGTTTAGTAACGTTTTTGAAGTGAAATTCAGAATGGTCGGGATCCCTCTCAATTACACAATGTTAAACTTTTTGTATGACGACATGAAGGCCATTAGTTCGGTTAATGTTGAGTTCTACATTCCTCAGGCTGATTTTTATATTCCAATACAGATTGACTTGTGGTTCGTCCTTGTCAAGACCAACGGGTACTTACAAATCGCGGAGTACGATGGGATTTTCAGAAACTTCGACAGAGCTTATGAAGAAACTAACGCTTATGTCCAAGAATTGATTGGTGAAGAATATGGCTCCCTATATCCAAATAAAACATCTCTTGAAATTTACACTGGCTTGGCCATCGAATCGATTTGTGAAGTTCATCAAGAGTACTGTCTTGGGGAAAACCAACAATATTCTAGCTATGAGACATGTGTGGCCTTCTTGTCTACTGTGAGACTCGGTCAAGGTTTCGAAGGTGGTAGAGACACCATTTTCTGTCGTAACTTGCATCAAGTCATGTTGCCTTTCAGACCAGCTGTTCACTGTCCACACATTGGTCCAACTGGTGGAGATATGTGTACTGACACTGATACCAGCTACAACGAGATCGTCGATACCTACAGCACTTACTTTGATCCATTGTTCATTAGTATTTAATTTGAAATGTTTTCTAATTGAATTTTTCTATTTCTTGATCTCCCTCATTTTATTTTCAAAAAGAATCTCTGATTCAGCATTCTTCTTTCCTTTTCTACAACTTTCTCATACCCAAAATGATTTTTTCAACGAATTATTCCCTGTCTTCTCTGCTTATATGATGCCAATATTCTACAGTTCTGAATTTTAATATCTAATAAACTCAATAATATCATCTATGAATACAACCACCTCGGTTGAAATTATTAGTTAAGTTTAAGTAAATGAGCATTCAGGTACAAGTTGCAGTGCAAAGTGTTAATTAAACCACGCATGTGAATTTCTAAAGAATAGTATAAATCGTGATAAACAACAAGAAAATGCAAAATGTTAAAACTGAAGATAATTTCTACTTATTAAAAATACAAAGTAATAAATAAAATCATCAAAAAAAATTCACTACTATTGATACTTTACACTAACAGTCATACTGAAACCTGACACATTATCATCTAGTATTTATAATTAAACATGCTTGCAATGGAGTTTTACCTTAACGAATTAATTTACATTCTTGTATTTTAGTTCATTGGCACCGCGGTTAACCCATGTAAGTCTGCGTCACGGTTGGTTATTCCGTAAAAAACGGATTCCAGAAATTGATCATATCATTAACGTCTCTTTTCCACAACATGAGCAAGCTATAATAATGTTATAAATGTACTAAAAATTTAGGCCTTCCAATTGGAAGTTAACTTTATTGAAACTTATTCTCGATAAAATGACCACTGTCATTGAGAAATGCCACATTGAGGGTGTTTCCTCGTCTACTTAGTTGAGCCTTGAGAGATCATTTCTCACAATATTCAATGTGTCTCTTCTAATTGATTTAACCTTGAAAACGCACCATTAAAATTCGTTATTTTGTTTTGTTGACAAAAAGGATTTTCAAACTTCAAAACCCGAAACTTGGGAAGCGAATTGATATTCTTAGACGATGATAAATCATTCAGATTCAAATTGAAAACATTACAGCTACTTTGCGGCAATGTCAAGGACTCCAAGTTTGTAAGAAATTCTAAAGAACCAAGTGTATTCCGCCCCGTAACCGTCAAACTCTTTAAATCTTCCAAAGTTCATTATTGATCTGATTATAGATCTGCTCCAGTGAGGTCCTGGTTTCCGCGTCACTGAAATTCAATAAAATCCTTAAAAATATCTCGTGAGGAAGGAAACCCAACTGAAAGACACCAGAGTTTCCCGATAATTTAGAGATCTTTCGACGCTTTTAACTCATGTTTTACCGTGCTAAACCACCAATACACTTTTTTTTTGTAGCCATCGCTAATATTGTTTTCTCCACTTCCAATGTGTAATTATTCTTAAACCAGACGAGAGTTTGACAGATTTTTTCCATCCAATTTTCTAGGTGCGGATCATACCTACAAAATTCTTCTATACTGTGCGATGTAAGTCATTAATTGTCACAAACTAGCATAAATGGCACCTCAAATGAAGGAACGCGAATCAGAACTTTTGAAAAAGATTAATTGACCATTGAGATGTTTGCTAGCAATCGTAGAGAACAAAAAAAATAAAATGAAACGAAGTTTGCTTTTCATTAGGCAGTTCCTAAGTCAAGATATTAGTGAGTTGCGTTTCATTAGTACATAATGATTAAAAAAACCATCTAAGAACTTTTTTTTTTTTTGTTTTTACCTCGAAATATTCTTGGTTCTCTTTCACAATTCAAAAAATGAAAATTTTTACTTGAATTTATAAAGTGTTGTCTAATGAATCACCTACTCAATCTGACAGCACAAGTGCTTTTTTTCATTGTATCACCTGCTAGGTATTATTATAATGTATCAAAGAATATGGATTCTTATCATAATTTTATTCCCTTTCATAACTGTACATACACCAATACGTAATCAATCCCAGTCAATAATATAGTATTATGCTCCAGCTTCAAAAGATTATGAATGTGAATATGTATTTTTTTTTCTTTCAGAAAGAATATAAATGAAAACAGAAATGAAAACCAAGTCATAAATAAACAGATCAACTAAATAGAGGATAAATTAAAAAGAAAAAAAAGAAAAAACTTCCAACCACAACTAAAATAAAGCAAACTATTAGAAAAATGAAGAAAACCCAATGTTTAAACAAAAACTCAAATCTTTGGACCAGCATTGATAACCTCTTTGGTACAACCACCTTTATAAGTTTCAAAATTTTCATCAAATAATTGAGCCAAATCCTGCAATCTTCCATTTAACCCTTTACTGTGAGCTGCATCATGGAACGGATTCAAAAGCTCTTTAGGAACATTACCACAGGACTTAGGTACTTGCAAGTTGAACACTGGGTAAGTCTCGTATTCCACATCATTTAAACTTCCATTATGGATATTATCCAAGATCTCTCTGGTGAACGCGAGTGGACAACGCTTACCACCATTATTGATACCTTGTCCGACCCACCCAGTGTTCAATAACCAAGCCTTGGTTTGATGCTTTTCCATCTTTGATGAGAGCATTGCCGCGTACTTCATTGGGTGCAATGCAAGGAAAGGTTGCCCATAACAGGAACTGAAAGTTGCTTGAGGCTCGGTAACCCCTTCTTCAGTGCCGGTCATTTTGGAAGTATACCCAGAAATGAAATGGTACATTACCTGTTCTGGGGTGAGTCTAGATACCGCTGGCAACACCCCACGAGCATCACAAGTGAGAAGCACGATATTGGAAGGATGGCGCTCATTGGCAATGCAAGGAATTTTAGCATTGGAAATAAATTCAATAGGATAAGCGCATCTAGTGTTCTCGGTAATGGAAATATCATGGTAGTCCACCACCCGGGTTTCTTTATCATACACGACATTTTCTAGCACCGAGCCAAAACGAATGGCTTGGAAAATATCCGGTTCTCTTTCATGAGATAATCCAATACATTTGGCGTAACACCCACCTTCAATGTTGAAGACCCCATCGTCAGACCAACAATGTTCGTCATCACCAATGAGCAACCGGTGAGGGTCAGCAGAAAGGGTAGTTTTACCTGTACCACTAAGACCGAAAAAAAGAGTTACATCTTTTGTGTCATCGGTAGATTGGTTGGCAGAAGAATGCAAGGTTAACACATTGTGATTGATAGGCATGAGGTAAAACATTACGGTAAAGATACCTTTCTTCATTTCTCCTGCGTACTCGGTTCCCAAAATTACCATTTCCATTTCTTTGAAATTGATTTCCACTGAGGTAGAAGAGGTCATACCATCAGTGAATCGATTGGCAGGGAATTGACCGGCATTGTAAATGGTGAAATCAGGTTCGCCAAAAGTTTTGAGTTCTTCTTCGGTAGGAGTGATCAACATATTCTTCATAAACAACGCATGGTAAGCTCTAGCGCACACGACTCTCACTTTAATCCGGTACTTTGGGTCCCATCCAGCAAAAGCATCCACAACAAACAATTTGTCTCTAGTTCTAAGGTAATCTTTAGCCCGTTCTTTCGAGATTTTCCATACATTTTCATTGACCTTGCGGTTGACTGGGCCCCACCAAATGTTATGGGTCGAGGTTTCTTCATCGACAATCCGCTTGTCTCTTGGAGAACGACCGGTTTTCGAGCCAGAGTACGCGGTTAAAGCCCCAGTAGAAGATATTATGGTGCCTTTTTCCTGTAGCCCATCTTCGTAAAGGATTGATACCGAGGAGTTGTGACGAACAATAGCCTCTGGATCAAGACCAAGGGCGCTTTTGAATTGTGAATGATCAAATGACATGGTGATGAAGAAACAAATAAAAAAAAAATTGGAATCAGCGAAGTGGATGTAGAAAAAGTATTGCTTACAACTAAGAAAACATCTTATGGTTCACTGGGTAGAGAGAATAACCATGGGTATTTATAGTAGTTTCGAGTAACGAAGACCTGTCAAAGCAGTCCCGGCAAGTCACAAAGGAAAAGAAAATCTGGGGTAAAAATCGCAATTCCCCCGGGAGAGAGGGATCTGGGCCCTAGCATACTGTCCAGGGGCTCGTAATTGCTGTTCGGAGAAGTTCGGGCGTGGTTATGATGGCCCGGAAGGAAGGGTGAGAGACGACGGCAAGAACGGTGTAATGGTTTGGGGAGATGGTTATTATACGTTATATATATTGTACCTAATGTTATATATTTAATACCTAATTTTGTGGGACAATCTCATCTTGATTGAGAATTTTGTAGGAAGGAGTGTGTGAGAATAATCCATAAACAGTATGGTATCAATCACCGGGATCGGCCGGGATTTCCCTTCTGGTGTTGCTTTTTTTTTTTTGTGGCTTGATGGGTGCGTATATCTGCAGTTCATTACATGGTATATATCGTGACTTTCATGTGACCTTTTGCGAGTATCGGAGACTCACTCATCACTCCCACACGGAAAAAACCAAACAGAAAAAATTATTTGAATGACATCTTTGCAATTTTATCAATGTGTTTAACCTCATTCTTTGGTACCTGTATTTATTGAATCTACCACAAAATGTTTTCCAGATCAATCTTGACAAGAAGCACTAGACACTTGATTAGCTCAACCACCATTCATAGATTGACCTTGTCATCATTTGCCAAATTTACCCCGGCATTGCTTACCAATCATGGTTTGCCGCGATATTATTCGTTGGATGCCGCCACTGTCGGGCATGGCTCAGAATCTCAACAACAGAATGATTTCTCAATGACCATGAATGATAAATATGGTGGTAGTATCAATCAGGAATTGATGGGGTTGACTATATATAGTGATGCTAGATTACCACAGACCACCGAAGAGTATGAATTGTACGATGATATTTACAAATTGATCCAGGAACGGATCTTGCCAAACATTCAAGAAGACGGGGGTAATATGGAATTTCGTGGGTATGACTTTGACAACGGCACTGTGTTTGTGAAGTTGAGTGGAGCATGCACTTCATGCTCGATGAGTGAGACAACGTTGAAGCATGGGATTGAGGGTATGTTGACATATTTTGTTCCAGAAGTAACGGGGGTTAAGCAAGTGTATGATCCAGAAGAGCAAATTGCGATCTCTGAATTCGAGAAGTTTGAAAAAAATCTTAAAGCGAAATGAGTAGTCTCAAAGTCGAGTATTTTGAAAACTAGATGAATATCTCAAACTAGATAAGTACCTCAAACTAGATGAGTTAGTACTTCATACTAGACGAGTATCTCAATTCAAATGATTTTCTTTTATTTCTTGTGGAATTAGCTGTTTATTTGTTTCTCATTTTTGCATCATTTCTTCTTCTATGTTTGTTATTTTTTTTTCTGGGTCAAGGTTATTACTGTTGTATGCTGTGCAATATGTTGGTTATGTTATATATTTGATATTCAAGTTTTGTCGAGCATTTTGCTAATAAAGAAATGTTACTTCTGCATTTCAAAGCGTAGTGTATTATTATTGAAGGAGAGAAAATAAAGTAAACGAGATGGAGAGAACCGTTCCGTAAGTACAATGCTGTTTTTGGTGACTCTCCAACTTGATACGGACAGAATCTGCCTGTCTGTCTGCCTGAATAAGCACGCCTGTTGTGCTCTAATTTATTTTTTGTGAACAAACTGTAAATTGCCACGCGAAAAATAATACTAAGGGCTGTCCCTCCGGAAAAGTGTCACGGACGTTGGAAATATTTCACATTGTCTTTTACTAGTGGTGCACAACTTTATAAGAAGATTAGAAGGGGCTTGGTTAATCTTAACGCTTATTTTATATTAATTGGATCATACGCAGTAGCAGTAATGAAGAGAATGAGAAGATGGTGTAAAATCAAGACCTTTCATTTTACTGCTTACAAAACAACAAACACTACAGTACAATAAAATATCTCTGGGAGTTTCGGGAGTGAACAGAGAATCATGGGAGGTTACCTGGGAGACGACTCTGGCGAGAGGACTGAAAAACATAAATTGGAAGCTTCTATAGTCCTTGCATAATTAAGTTGCATTTCTTCATGATGTTTCCTTATAAGTGTTTCCGCGAACTTTATTCTTCCCTTTGCACTTCCCAAATTGGCACAGTTATTATTTTTTTTTCTTTTTTTTTCCCCCTACACATATAATATAAGTATAATTATTCCCATTCCAATTGTTTTCCCAGTTATCATTCTATCGTCTTTGTATATTATCCCTCTCATTACTATCACACACACACTACATTCATTCACTATGCTGTCGGAAAAATCTTCCACGAAGTCGTCAACAATAGATGTCGTACCGTACGACTCTCTCACACCAGACTCTGCCAAGGAATCCCTACTCAACAATATTCTCCTATGGTTAATTATCATTCTTTGCCTATGGAACTTGTATGCCATTATAAACATTAGAAAAGAGTTGCGAATTGTTAATGATCTGTTAATGAAAGTATGGCAAGAACTGCACCCAAATGATGATTGGGGAATGCTTCAGGATGCTTCCCAGATAGATCTCTTGGATAAACTAGAAAACTGGATCCAGGGATTCATTTGGCAAATGAGATAATAGAAACGGTTTTCTCGATAAAAACAAAAAAAAAAAAAAAAGGACAATCTTGGTTCATTTCTGAGACTGATATCTTGGTTCATTTCTGAGACTGATATCTTGGTTCATCTTGGCACTGTGACTAAAATACCTCGGCTAATGACATTTGCAATTAGCTCCACGCAACAAATTGGCATACCAACCATGATAATTATTCAGTAGCAGTGTAACTGGGATTGGTGTAATATAATCATCAGATATGGGAGTTAATTTTATAATAAGCTATACAGTTGAACAAACCATAGCAATATACAACGGAAATTGACAATAACTGGAAAGAGTCAGTAGAAATACATATACCATCGCAATGGATTTTGGGGGTGTTGATATTGGCTACCCTCTTTTCTAACAGACACATGTGTCCGGGTAATAAATGCTTTAATGAAATTTATCCATCAATTTGGTATATATACCATAATTCTGGATATCATTATGACATGAGATGTTACCCTGGTTTTCATCAAATATTGATATCCGGGTAAAGATATTTTATAGAATGTTACCTCTATTTTGGTATACACACTCATTCGAACTACGCCATATCTCTCATCTTAGTTTCTGTTGCTTTCTTGATTACCGCAGCTCTGAAGGCAAATTGAGCTTAGTCCACCCAAGGGATCGAAGCAATGTTATTGGAGCTGTTTAAAGATGAATGGTATTTGCTTTGAGGAGTGAATAGTTGATTGAAAAAAAAAAATCATAAAAATATTGGCAAGAAACTACCAACATAATACGAGATGCTACTATAAAGCAGGTCTTGTGAACGTTGAAATTAAATATATATGTATATGTTGAGTATGTATTTTAGACATGATGATATCAAGCTTTGAATTCAAAATATGACACCTCTATTATACACTTTTAGATCTAATTATTATTATTTTTCTAGGAGCCAATTTGCTTGACATATATCTAGAAAAACTTTCAAGGAGCGAAACCAATGAGGAGAAAATGAAAATAACAAATGCTAAGGCTTATGATTTTCCATCTATTGAGGGATGTAACCAGACTATTTAAAGTCCTACTACGCGTCTTAAAACAATAAACGCCGCTAACCGGAAACTGCTCTAAAAACCAATGATCAAGAGTTAGTTGGTTGATTTGATACCAAAGTCAAGATACTTGTGACCATAATGTTGGGTGGCATTGAATGATTGCATTGTTTTGAACCATTAGAGGTGTCAGGATTTGTTCGCAGCATCCTCCCCCTTCCAGTAATCGTATCAATACGAGCAACTGGGAATTGGACATCGGTAGAAGCAACTTGAAGACTCTGAGTGGAGCTTTCGAATGATACTGGAGTATGAAAAAGTCCATAATTGTCCAAATCATAAACGGGATAAAGCCCAATGTGAGGAATTTTCACCAGTAGTCACAGTATTATCATTCTTACCGACTTCCAAAAAGTATTCTCCGTCAGTTTTGTCTACTGCAGTGCTAATTAACGAAGAAGGAATGGAAGAGGTGGTGTGGTGTCTTGGACAGTGATTGCGAAATTGCACTTCTCCAATGAACTACAGATCGCAAGATGCGGTGCGCACCAACTTCAACTTCATCAGTGTAGGAAATATCATGTAAGGTAACAATCCCTTTATTGAAGAAAGAGCTTTTGATTGCTCAAAAAAAGAATATTCCTGGACGTGGTCTTGGCTTGATTGAGGTAAATTGAAATCCGTCAGTTGCCCAATCTTGTTCTGCCACAAACTGGCAGCAGCAACATATATTTTTGAAGAGTATATTCATTGTGTTACTTAATCCTGACCACAATATCTATTGACCACGGCTTACTAGTCTAACCATAAATGGACTATCAATCGATCGGAACTAATATTTCATCCAAATTCCCCTATTCTTGTATAATGGTTTGCCTATCTATATCAAGACGGCATTGTGATTTATCTCGCATTGAAACAAATCCAAATGCAGACAGAACAGAAACCCCCGGAACAGTTCGTCAATAATTGTAGAAAATCAAATTGTTGTAATGCCTCAGCCGGATGTTTTGAGGAGGGAAATTATTGCCAACCGCATCGTTTTCTCATCCCCAACAAAATAAATGAAAATGCTGATCATCAACGAGGAAGGCAGTGGAAAAGCAAATCGATCAGTAAACTTTCAATCACCCCACGAAGATTCAAGAATATTTGTTGGATCTTCCAAGTCAAGACAAAAACAAAATAAAAAAATAAAGTATATATAAAATAATCACGCCTTTTGCTAATGTCTCAATCGACGGGTATACTAAAGTGTTTTATGCATGTATCTTGAGATAGACCCATCTGGTGATACATTGTCTACTTGGCATAGGTTTTTGATAATTATCAACCACAAAGGTGACTCCATAATAATATATTACTAGTCTGCATATGATTGTAATAGAATGTAGATGCGATCATTAGCAAGATAGCATGTCAACCATGAATAATAACGAATAAGCTGGCAATGAATATACCAAAACAACGGATATAATCCATCATCATATGTTTACCCTCTCTAATAACCAGTAGAAATACCCGGGTAAATGACAAAACATCAGTTACCCTAGCTTTTGAACAACCAATATGTCCGGGTAACAAAGGATGTTATCACCACTGTTCCGTGTAGCTGGTACACACATATATATACATATACACCATCTGAGCGGTTACAACAACAGAGGGGAAGTCATTAACAGCTGCTCATCGCTCAAAAAACACGAGGGGGGGTGGGGGCAAAGAAAAAAAAAACAGGAAGAAAAAAAACTGGCGGAAAATCTTTGACTTATTGAATATTCTCTTAACATTTAACATCTCCATCGCATATATATTAGATAAGATATAATTAAAAAAAAAAAAAAAAGAGAGAGAAGAAGAAAGAAAGAGAGAAATAAAGTCTGATATCATTACTGCTAATTACAATCAGACCTTTTTTGTTTTTTTTTAAGAATATTCACTCCAAATCTATTACAGATATAATAAATAAATAACCATCCCATCGTTATTCATATCATTCTTATTATTACATCATCAAATACTATCAAAATGTTCAGAATCATTCAAAACTCAAGCATATCCACCATAAAGAACAAGGTGGGTAGCCAGGTATCCCAGGCCACCACCAGAAATGGGATCAATAACTTGAATTACTCTTCCAGAAGATTGAACTCGACCCTTCAAAACAGCATTGAACAAGACATTTTGAAACCTCAACAGCAGCCTTCTCATATTAATGGCAATGGCAGAAACTACAGAAACCCTAGACACTCGAATAACAAGAATAGAAACTTCCGCAACAACAACAACAACAACAATAACAATTATCACAACTCCAACCAAAGACTTAACCATGCCGCCAACGAAATCCCCCAAGGCACCGATAATCCATGGTTTCACGAACTCATGGCGTTCGAAGACTGCGTTGGCATCACTTATGATTCAAAAAATGCTTCGGCGTACCACAACCCCCAATTCTGGGCATCGATCCAAAAGGCCATGGAATTATACACCAACTTGACCGGGACTCCTGATTTCAACGCCGAAAGAGTGGCGAAATTAATTTATCTTTTACACACTGGGTTAAGACAAAACCGTCAGCAGAGCTTGAAGTTGGACAAGAAACCCGACTTTGATGCCAGAAACTTCCATAAAGATATGATTGATTACATTTGTGTGTCGCTTAGGACAGTGGCGTCGGATATCATTAGCAACAAAAATTCTATCAACCAATACGGGGCCATGCACTTGATCACCTCGTTCAAAGAATTACAATTATCCAATGAAGCGATCTCGATTTGGGAAAATGCCAGAGTCTCGAACAGCGGCAATGTGTTTTTGGACCCTAGAGTTGTCGGGGTTATTTTACCATTGATGTATGAAAATGGCCACTCTTTCCAAGATATCCAAAACTTATTTGAAACCTCTAGAGGGCAAATCAATTATTACCATCCGAACTTGGCGGTAGGGATGATCCGTGCATGTTTATTGGCCAATGAAATCAACATTGCCTTGAAATTGTTTGAAGAATTGTGCGGCAACAGTCAAGTGAAAAAGTTTGGGTATTTGACAGAAACCCATTTAAGTTTTATTGGGGAATCCCATGACTTAAGCGTTGCCAACACGTTTTTTGAAAAAGCATTATACGACGAAATGCCTTATAAAGTTGATTTACAAGTGCCATACGTCAAGAAGTTTATTTTCAACACCTGGAGCCAAACCAAAGATTTTGACCAAGTTTTGAATATCTGGATTAAATGCTGGCAAAATTACGGCACCAATGTCACCAAAGGGGTTTCATCGTCGCTTAATGAATTGTTCTTGTCGATTTTCTTTAACAATTTTGAAAATGACAAGATGGGGGGTTTTGAGAAATTGAAACAAATCATCAAAGTGTACGCCAGTATTAAACCATTGGACGAGCCATTTTTGAACATTATCATGACCAAATGTGTGGTGTGGCAAGATGCCAGTATCATTAGTGAAATCTTCAAATACTATATGTATTACAATGTCAGGAGAACCCAAGTGGCGTACCGTGTCGGCTTAAAGGCTATGGGGTCGATTCCGGTTGGCGATGCCGAGATCTTGAACAGGTGGAATGAGTTGATTGTATTTAGTGATTTCCAAGGTGCCAATTTCATCCATAACGCTGATTGGGCGGCATTAAGAGACGCGACCATCGCCTCGCAATACGGGGATCGGGTGATGTTGTACGCGAAGTTGGTCAAGGCATATTCCAAATATTCGAAAGATATCAATCAAGTGAAGATTCTTGTTGATTTGAATAGCTCTAGATATAATTACATTGCTCCGGTGATGGCCGATTTGGAGAATTTGGATATTAGTGATATCCATGTGCCAGTGTTTAAGAATATCAAAAGTTTATAGGTTTTGATTTCTTTTCTTTTTTGATTCCCTTTATTACCTCAACTTCAATTACTTCCTTTTATCATGTTTTCAAAAACTAACTGATCCATCCGATTTGTTTTTAATTTCCCTAAAGCAAAACCAAACAAAAAAATAAAGAAGACCACAGACAATTCTTATAACCTTATATTATTCTTTATGATGGTTTTTTTTTTTATTTTCTTAATATTACTAATTCTCAAAAGCCCAACTGTTTTTCTTATTTTTTTCTCTCTTTTTATATTCATTCTCCTAGCTTATGACATGGTGCCAGTTTTTCTTGTTTGATATGTGATTTTGGAATGACGGTTGCAATTGGAATGCTCAATTGTCCACACATATATATTTGTATATATATTCTTTGATGCCCTTTATTTTTATTGTTTTTTTTTTTTTGTTTTTTTTATTCTATTATCTTATTTCCGGCTCTTCCATCCTCTGTTAATACTAATAACCTTTTCTTTGTTTAATATTCTCTTTATATCAGCTTAAATAGATGAACAATTGTTATTATTTCTAATGCTGCCGGCAGGGCACCGTAACCCAATATTTTAGCACCCAAAAACTAAAACTAAAAAAAGAAAAATGAAAATAACGCAGTGGCCTTTTAATTATTACCATCGTCTTTCTATTTTTTTGTTTGGTTTGTTAATTACATTTCCAATTCCATTGATCGGTTGTTACCTCTAGTTTTCAGAATTCAGACTTGTTTTTGTAATTGGTCGGGAATATCAGTTTGCCTTTTTTTTTTTATATTATTCCACGTTATTTTGGAATAGATATATATATATATATTATAGATCTTGAAAACCAACTGGTGACACCCATTCCATATCATTTGGCAAGAACTTGACCTATTATTCTTATATATATTGTTTTTACCAACTATTTGTTTCCCACACCAATCATTCAACTTTTCTTGATTATTGAATTTCTTTTTGCCAATGTCAACCAGCAACAATAACGAAGAACGGGCGGTGTTTGCTTCCACCATCTTGGTGGAATCGTCGCCAGTGGAGGCCTCCAACATCTTTTTATCGAGATTATTGGAATCCAAGGGGTTGAACAACCAGATTGGGTCGTTTTTGTTCGATTACATGATGATCAACCGACATTACGCTAGCAAATTGCGCAAGATCCTCGACACCAAGGGCAAGAACTTGAACCAATCGATTGACCAGTACATCAAGAAGGAAACCAAACATGATGCCAAGTACGCCGCCGCCAAACCTTTGGGTGCCGATCATTTGGGCCAGTTTGGCGATCTATGGACCGGGGTGATCGATGATATTAAAGAGGAAATCTACATCACCGAAATGTTTTGCAACAACATGGAAAAACAATTGATCAGTCCATTGAAGAAATGCTTTGACATCAACAAGAACAAAAAGTACTCGAATATGTTGGACACGGTATTGGAATTATCTAAAACCGCCGAGGCCGTCGTGGACTTGCCAGAGGCGGACGTTGGTGGTGCCGCCGAAGAGGAGGAAAGTCACAAGTTTAGCTTGAAGGGTCATCATCATAAAAAATCTTCTTTGATTGCCAACAATGACGAATGGGCTATCAAGTCGCCACAAGTCAGTGAGCAATTTGAGAGTTTTGAATTCAACAGATTGTTGTTTTTGAAAGACGTGTTTATCAGTTTCCAAAACAACTCGAACTTCCGGTTCAATGAGAACTTGAAGCATAATGAAAACTTGTTCAGTGTGTTAGTGGGGTTCAATCCGGATGATGAAATTGCGAGATTCGCTGAACAATCGGTGAAAAACGACGCGGGAAAACCTGTCAAGCCATTACCACCAATTTCCAAGAACACCGATGACGATGTGAATTTTATTTCCACCCCACCAATGACCAAGAAGAAATCCACTACTAATGCCAACGCGAAGCCTTCCGAAACCCTTGATACTGCCTCTCATAATAATGATTTCCAACCTCCACCATTACAACCTCAAAGATCCAATCCTTCGACTATTAGCAGCCAAGTGACGGAAAAAAGACGTAGTGGGTTGCGTTCCAAGATGGGGACATTGTTTGGGAAAAAGAAGAATAAGCAAAAGCACCCTCACCAAGACTTTGCAACTACAAAGTCTATAGTTGAAGATGAACGGGTGGCAGAAACAGCACCACCAGCCATGGCTTCTGATAATCAACCAATTGTTGTCAAGGACAACGAGAAAGTTGCAGCACCACCAGCACCACCAGCACCAGGACCATCTTCTGAACCAGCGACCACCCCACTTCAAGAAAAGACTATCGAACCAAGATCCAGTTTTATGAATGTGAAAAAGGAATCATCAAAGGCTGAGGAAGAAATGTCGATTAATCAAAGACCATTGGTGCCTAATGTGAGAAGTGACAGTGCCAACTCTGTTACCGAGCCATCTTCCAATAATAATGCATTACCACCTCCCCCACCTCCAACCAGAAAAGTGGGTACTGAGCATCCACAACAGCCACCGGTGAAAAAAGATAGAAGAGATATCCAATCGACATTATTCACCAACTTGACCGCCGCGGATATCATGGAACAAGGCAGGGGTGGTAATAATAATAATAATAGTAATAATAGATTATCATTGATTGGCGAAGAACAACCAATGTCGTCGGTACCACCGCCATTACCAAAGAATGCCAGTTATTCAATTAGTGAAGCGTCCAAGAAACATGATAGCGTGTTTGGTCTGCATCATGGTAGTGTGACGTCCTTGGCGCAATCGCAAATCACCACCACCAAGACCGGCAACAAGTTCACCCACCCGGAACTTAATCAAAGAGGGTTAAACGCCAGTGTTAGTGAGCTGATTAAAGTATCTATTAGAGATGGTTTCACCGAGAATTGTCAAATCATTGGTGAAGTGGCGATGACCTATTTTGCCGACCAAATGGCCTCATCACCACCACCACCACAAAGTTATTTGAAATTGATTGATCTGCAAAATGTGATTGAGAAATTGATTCCTAACCACTCGTTCTTGGAAGCCATTGACGTTGAAGGGTTGCCGGTTTCTGAAAAATGCTTCAAACAGAACTTGTCGCAGATCAGTAACCGTACCCTTGGCGGGTTGAAATATTTGGTGTCTAGTGCCGATTCGCCAATTGTGATATTACCAATATGGAGATTCGAGCCGCATCAAGCGAGTTGTATGATTGGGATTAAATTAAGTGATTCGGTGTTGGCGAAACTTGGGGACGATGATTTGGTGCAATTGGACGATTTTGTGTTATCTATTGCGTTGGAAGACGGGGTAGAAATCCAATCGGCGATGTCGCGTCCATCAGGGACTTTCAATAAAGAAAAACGCAGAATCACTTGGAAATATACCGAACCGATCGTGTTATCCAAAACCCATGGGGAAGATAAGATTGTTGCTAGGTTCATGACCAATGGAATTGCCAAAGAAAGCAAGAATGGGGCACAAGCGAAGTTTGTGATTAATAATGGTAAAGGCGGGGATAAAGTGGTATCGAATATTGCGTTGGAATATTGTAATGAGTTGGGTGATCATCAACAATGGGAAAGGGTCAATGTGGCTAAGACTTTCAGTACCAATGTGTTTACTGCTCATTCGGTTTGAGTTTTTTTTTCTGTTGTCTATTCCAATATTACCAATTACCCAATATCTACGATTAAATTCTATTATATTTACTGATTTCTATTATATCTATCTATAGCTTTTTTTTTTTTTTTTTTTTTTAGTTGTTTAATTTTTTTTTCTTTTTGATCTTTTTTTATTATTATTATTAATATTTTATTACCTTTGAGACCTCCTTTTTTTTTTTTTTTTTCATCTATTTAATATTTATTATTGTATCTTATTATTGTTCCATATATCACACACAAAAAACAATTTGATTTTTTCTCTTATATATGATGTAGAATGGAGGAATTTTGAATGAAAAATCTAAGTTAATGTTGATATTGATATTGATATTGATATTGATTAATGTTAAAGAATTTGGCCACACCACTAGTGCCACCGGATATCCGGACTCCTGGTCAATACTATAATATATATATATATATATATATATATACTCCGTATTTTTTTTTCTTTATCTTTTATCTTTATTTAGTCTAGGTAGGTCCTCATAAATTTCCAGATCAATTCATTTTTTAACTTTTGCTGTGCGTAGAAGAGGCGCCTGGTGGATTCTAACAATTAATAAGACTTTTTCGAAAAGTTGGAGCGTAAGAGCCACTGCTAGTTTCTTTAGCTTTGTTAGTTATTGCTTGGGTTGAATAGTTTGCGAAATAATACACCTCCGCATTTGTAAGCTAAGTTAAGAGATTCATTCATTCCACAGAAATTGGTTGGGTTGGCTGGTGTATGTTCTGGCATCATGATGATGCCGGCAAAAAAGGTCCCACAATTCGATTTAGCACTATAAGAAGAAGTTATGTATTTATATATTTATATATTAATGGACAGGGACATTGTAATTTGGTTATTTTGTAGTGTTTTTCGGAGTCACTAAGATTGTGTTTGTATTTTCCAAGGACTAAGTATAATTGCAAAATAATAATGATAATAATAATAATATTAATGATAATATTAATGATAATGATAATAAAATTGTTGTATTATAGTGCAAGTTGAAATTTTTTTTTTTTTTTTTTTTTCCTTCAGAATTCCCGGGTTTTATACTAGATTGGTTGGTTGGTTGGTTCTTTCTTTGCACGATACATCATCAATAAGTTAAAGCAGTTTTTTCACACCGTCTCTATGATGAAAATTGATGATAGTTTCACGCAATAGCCGATACAACACTTATATTACAACCATATACTTTATACGTCAATAGGAATCCATCAATATGATATAGCCAAGCAATCTTTTTTTTTTTTTTTTTTTTCTATAGAGATTATTGCTGCATAAGAGACTGCATATATATAATGTAATTAATGCTTCTGTGATCTACAAAGCTTTTTTTTCTTTTTTCTCTATAGGTATATATCTGTCATCAATTAATAAAATAATGTTGTGGGTGTTGCCAACCTCCACCAGCTGGCTTGTCTTGTCAGTGGGCGGTAGGTAAATTGGGGAGGGTTCAGGTGAGATGGATGGATGGCTAAGGTCATCTTGGGTGATGAAATTTCAATTCAAAACACGTATGCTTCCTTACCTCACTGTACAACAAGGTTAAGTTAAGATTCCGTTGGTCTGATGCGCGTTAGAGATAAAAATAATCATAATAACAAACACAACGGTTATTTAGGCTAATCGGTGAAATAAGATAGATCCGAAAAATCGTAGTTTCTGTTTCTGTTTCTGTTTCTGTTTGGACATGACGGTGCAAAATAAAGAGCACATCAACAAGGCCATGGCATCATCGGTTCGATTGCACAAAACAAGGACTCCAGGGTGGATTCACTCGGCTAGTTGGCTAGTTGGCTTTGGTTGGTTGGTTGGTTGTGCGGGTGAAGTGAAGACAGCCGTATTGGGGCGATGGTATTATTAGTAATACTTGGTTGGTGTTATCTTAGCGCAGCACACACACACACACACACACACACACACACACACACACACACACACACATAACTACAAACGAACACCCGAGGTCTTCATTTATTTATTTCTTTTTTTCTTTCTTTCTCTCTTTCTTTCTCTCTTTCTTGTTCTTGTTATTCTCTTCCCGGCATTCTGCCCAAATAGGCAACACACCCCCTCCGCCACTATCTCCGACAGGGCCTCCTCCTTCGCCCCCCCGCGGAGCTCAGAATACGAATACGCGGTGACAACGCTAACCCCGAAAACAGAACACCCAAAAAAGAAAAAAATGTTTAGAAAAAAAAAAAAAAAAAAAAAGATCAATACGTAAAAATATATATATATATGTACATATATCTACATATATTCATTACCGATAGCCGCATCGTCATAAAATAATCACCATCGTCTCTCTTGTCTGTCTGTCTGCTTGTTGCAATACAATACACAAAAAGATTCACACAATGTCAGACAAGTCTGACCCGCCCCCTGCCACCCAGGGCTCGTCTTCATCATCACCATCATCATCATCATCGCTGACTACAAAGGAAGACCTCACCTTAGAAAAAGGCTACTCCCATCACGAAGTCCCGGTTCTCCAGCGTCACTTGTTGACCCCGTTATTGTCCAAGAAAATCCCCCCGGTATCAGACGACAAAGTACCATGGCCTCGTACCCCAAAGAAAATCATCCAGTACATCTTCTTTTGGTGGATGATCCCATTAATGAAAATCGGTTACAAAAGAACCCTCCAAAACGAAGATTTATGGCAACTCGACCACAAAATGACCGTCGAACAGCTTTATTCCAAATTCAAAGGCCATCTTGACAGAGCAGTGGCTAAAAACCGCGCCAAAGCCTTGGCTGCAAACCCTGATCTTACTGAAGACGAACTTCGCGAAGCAGGGTTCTCAACTTGGACCATCCATTGGGCATTGTTCTTGACCTTGCGATTCCGTTACATCCAAGGGCTATTATTCAAAGCTTTGTTCGATATTTCCTCCACCCTCACTCCGTTGCTCACTAAAGCACTCATCAATTTCGTCGAAACTAAAACATTGTTCCCTTCCACTCCCGTCAACAAAGGGATCGGGTACGCCATCGGTACCGCGTTTATTGTGCTATTTTCCGGGGTTTGCATCAACCATTTCTTTCACAACTCCATGACTTGTGGGGTCCAAGTGAAATCCATCCTTACAAAATTATTGTTAGAAAAATCGTTCAAATTGGACGGCAAGTCCCGTCAAAAGTTTTCTACTGGGAAAATCACCTCGATGATGGGCACCGATTTGGCAAGAATCGATTTTGCCGTTGGGTTCCAGCCGTTTTTAATTGGCTTCCCCATCCCGGTGATCATCGTCGTGGTGTTGTTGATCGTTAACATTGGGGTGTCGGCCCTTGTGGGGATCGCCATCTTTTTGATCGCTGGGGCGCTTATCGGTGCTGGGTCCAAAAAACTCGTCGGGTTCCGTAAAAGTGCCGCGAAATTCACCGATAACAGAGTCTCTCTCGTTCGTGAAGTCCTTAGCTCGATTAAAATGATCAAATATTACGGCTGGGAAATCCCATATTACAACAATATCAAAGAAATCCGGAAAAATGAAATGAATTTTGTCTTCCGGTTGCAATTCGTTAGAGTCATCTTCACCGCCGTTGCCGTTTGCTTGCCTACCATTTGTTCAATGGTGTCATTCTTAGTGTTGCACGCCATCAAACCAAAAATGTCGCCTGGTGATATCTTTGCCTCGTTATCATTATTTTCCAGTTTGTCTCAACAAGTGATGTTCGTCCCAATGGCCCTTGCCACCTCGATCGATGCCCATTTGTCTTTGAAAAGAGTCACCGAGTTGATGAAATGTGACGAAGAAAAACCATTAGATAAAGCCGAAGAGGAACATGACAGACTCGAATCTGGTTTGGTCTTGGATCGCGAACAATATGCTGTGCAAATGAAAAACGCCGAATTTAAATGGGCCGCAGTGATCAAGGATGATGATGAAAAAGACGCAACTGACGATAAAAACAAGAAAAATAGCAACAGTGAACTCTCCCAATCAGTTACCAATAACCATGATCAATTGTCCCGGACCCTTACTTCGAAATCCGGTATTACCGTGGAAGTCCCCGTCGTTGATCCATCGTCGTTTACCGGGCTTCATGACATTGATCTCTCTATCAAGCACGGTGAATTCATCATTGTTACAGGACCAATCGGTTCCGGGAAATCCTCTCTTTTATCCGCCATTGCCAGATTCATGCCTAAGCAATCTGGTGCCCTCGAAATTAATGATTCATTATTGCTCTGTGGTTACCCTTGGGTGCAAAACGCTACCGTCAAGGATAATATCGTGTTTGGTCTTCCATACGATGAGGCTAGATATAAAAAAGTTATCCACGTCTGTTCCCTCGAAGCCGATTTGGCGATCTTGCCAGGTGGCGATGAAACCGAAGTCGGCGAGCGTGGTATCACCTTATCTGGGGGTCAAAAGGCCCGGATCAATTTGGCCAGAGCGGTATATGGTGATAAAAACATTGTGTTGTTAGATGATGTGTTATCTGCTGTCGATGCTAAAGTCGGGCGTCATATCATGGAGAAATGTATTATGGAATTCTTGGGGGATAAGACCCGTGTTTTGGCCACCCATCAATTAAGTTTGGTCAACTATGCCGACAGAGTGGTGTATTTGGACGGTAGTGGACGCATCGATGTCGGTACCGTCGAAGAATTGCGTGCCAGATGTGAAGGATTCCAAAAATTGATGGAATTCTCGGCAGCCACAGAAGAAGACGAACAAGACGACCAAGCAAATATCGATATTGATAACAAGGATGAAGAAGAAGTGATTGGACAAACCAATGAAGCGTCTGAAAAATCCGAGGAATCTTACAATTATCAGCACAAGAATGGAGATGGGAAACTTATCAAAGAAGAAGATCGGGCCGTCAACAGAATCTCTTTCCAAGTCTACAAGAATTACCTTCGCTTAGGGCTTGGTCGCTTTGCCATTCCTTTACTCATTTTGTTCTTTCTCATCGCTGCTAGTGCCACCTTCTGTCAAATCTTCACCAACACCTGGCTTTCGTTCTGGACCGACCAAAAGTTCAAAGGGAAACATAGTAACTGGTACATTGGGCTCTACGTGATGTTTTGCTTGATGTCGGTGATTTTGGTGCTTTTGGAATTTCTGTTTATTTGTTATGTCGCCAACAAGTGTGCCAGAGAACTCAACATTAAAGCCCTTAGAAATGTGTTGTACACCCCAATGTCGTTCTTGGATACCACTCCAATGGGGAGAATCTTGAACCGTTTCACCAAAGATACCGACTCTCTTGATAATGAAATCGGTGATCAATTGCGTATTTTTGTGTTCCCATTATCGGTGGTCATCGGGGTGTTGATCCTTTGTATCATTTACCTTCCATGGATCGCCATTGCCATCGTCCCTCTCGGGTTGATTTATGTTTCCGTCACGTCGTTCTACCAAGCTTCGGCCCGTGAAGTCAAACGTCTTGAAGCCATCAACCGTTCTTTTGTTTACAACAACTTCAACGAATGTTTATCAGGGGTCGCCACCATCAAAGCGTACCAGCTGCAAGACCAATTCCTCGCCAGAAATGATGAGTATCTCAACCAAATGAACAAGGCCAGTTATGTCAATGTGGCGCTTCAACGGTTCCTTTCTGTGCAATTCGATTCCGTCGCCGTGGTGTTCATCTTGGTGATTGGTTTGCTTTGTGTCACTCGTCAATTCAACATCAGTGCCTCATCCACCGGGTTGCTTCTTTCTTATGTTTTACAAATCGTGGGTTTATTATCATTGTTGATCCGATCTTTAACTCAAGTGGAAAACGAAATGAATAGTGCCGAAAGATTAATCTTTTACGCTTACGAATTGCCTCAAGAAGCCCCGTACCAAATCGAAGCTACCAAACCGGCAGAATCATGGCCTGAACACGGGGAAATCAAGTTTGAAAATGCCAGTTTACGTTACCGTGATGGTTTACCATTGGTGCTCAAGAATTTGAACATCACCGTGAACGCTGGTGAGAAAATCGGGATTTGTGGGCGTACCGGGGCAGGGAAATCCACTATCATGACCGCGCTTTATCGTCTTTCAGAATTGGCCGAGGGGAAAATCACCATTGACGGGCACGATATTTCGAAATTGGGGATGTTTGACTTACGTTCTAAGTTGTGTATTATCCCACAAGACCCGGTGTTGTTCAAAGGGAGTATCCGAAAGAATTTGGATCCGTTTGAATTGAGCGATGACAACAGTCTTTGGGATGCATTAAGAAGAGCAGGATTAATTGAACAAGATGTGTTGAAGACTGTCAAAGTCCAAAAACTCGATGCTGCGTTGGGGGATTCTGGGTTAGAAAATCTTCATAAATTCCACTTGGATCAACAAGTCGAAGAAGAAGGTGCCAATTTCTCGCTTGGGGAACGTCAACTTATCGCGCTTGCCCGTGCGTTGGTCCGTAACTCCAAGATTTTGATCCTTGATGAAGCCACTTCCAGTGTCGATTACGAAACCGATGCCAATATTAACAAGACCATCAGAACGGAATTTGCCGATTGCACGATCTTGTGTATTGCCCATAGATTGAATACCATTGTGAAATTCGACCGGATCTTGGTGATGGATAAAGGTGAAGTTGCAGAGTTTGGGGAACCAGAGAAATTGTACGATGATAATGGGATCTTCAGGGAAATGTGTGAAAGATCTGCTATCGTTAGAGCGGATTTTATTAAGGATTGAAAGGAGAAAAAGAAAAAGAAAAAAAAAAAAAAAATTCATTTCTTTAGCCATCAAATTTCCTGATGGTGTTCCAGTTAATATTATTCTGGAATTTTTCAATGATATTGTGCTGTCTTTCAATTGTTATCCATCCTTCTGTGGTTTCTGCTTCTCCATGCTGCCCTACCTTTCTGCTTTTCCATTAATATTATTTCTATGCTGCCCTCCCTTTCTGCTTTTCTTTCTAATACCTATCTGATCTAATCCAATCCAATATTTTGCGAAAACTTCTGGCTGCCTTAATGCTCTGGAATTTGTTTTTCTCATTCTTGTTTCTTCAATGTTTTAGCGTTTCAATATGCTTCTATATTGTATTGATGATTTCCATCATATTTGCCAATTCTCTTTTTTCTCTATTTTACCATTTCTTTTTCTTCCCCCACCCTGGTTCACCATTTGTTTTAGGTTTACCATTATTTGTGTTTTTTTGCTATTATTCTTTTTGTAACTAAATTGTTAATTATAATCTTGTCATAATAAACTTGAACCCTGATACCAATTTGAAAAAAAAAAAATATTTTTGTGGTGACAAACCGTTGTAATGATCAAAATATACACTGAGAATGATGAAAGTTTAGGATAAAATCTAATGCTTTGGAAAAGAGAAACTAGTTTAAAATTGATAATAGAATTTATGATGTTGTAAGGGTTTTTTTTTCAATTCTCTGGTATGTATGAATAAAGAGAGACTTTGTCTCATATACCACCGGTGTTGTTGTTTCTTTATTCTTTATTCTTTATTCTTTATTCTTTATTCTTTATTCTTTATTCTTTATTCTTTATTCTTTATTCTTTATTCTTTATTCTTTATTCTTTATTCTTTATTCTTTATTCTTTATTCTTTATTACTCTATTTTCATCACCTATTGAAAGCCTTACTATGTCGTCTCTTAGATATTCACCCTAAATCAAATCAAGTTAAATATTGCGTTTAGTTTTCAGATTGATATTTTTTTTAACTCAGAATGTATTATAATAATAAATAGCATCATCCGCCACGATTTCTTAAGATTTTATACTCAATGATACCATGAAAACTGAGTTTTGTTTCATTCAAATCAAATAGTGAAAAACTACTACTGTACAATAATCATACATACATACATACATACATACATACATACAACTATGGTTTATTTATTTCTTTTACATCTATCTGAAAAAGTATCGGTTTAGATAGAGCATACAAGGGGGGCAGTACAAATATTATTAAATAGTCTGTTATCAACATCCCCCGCCCCCTTCCTCTCTTAAACCATCATTTTTTTTTTTATCTAGTTGAGAAACTGTCAAATCGAACCTCGCTTGGCTGATTCGAGAAGGTGAAATCAACTTCAACTTCAGAAAAACCCGACTTCTTCGAGGCTAAAAAGTTGATGAGATCTGGGGTGTCATTCACTTTTGGACGCCCAAGACAATCAAGGAATGATTGACCCAAAAAATGAGCTTTGGGCAGCGGTGGTGGTGGTGATGTGTTGCTGAAGAATTTGAAAAAAGACGCATCTGATGAATCTGATGATGGTGGTATGGATTTCGATGTATTCTAAATGAACCGTATGAATCAATTTAATTTCAATAAAAGGATTAAGATTGTAGTATTGGTGATTGTAGCATTGATTCTTCAATGAACCGCCGCCAAAATACCACCGCCAATCAACAAAAAAATATCCTCTATTTTTGGTTTCATGACATTAAACATCATATATGCTTGTACATCACCTCAAAGTATTTTAATTGCGTAAAGTTGTCTATTCCAAACTATTATTATACACTCACTATCACAGTACATATAATTGCCTATTAAATTCTCACCAGTTGCATGAAAAATCTCTCAAGAAACCAATAACGCGACATAATGTGAAGGAACTTAAATATCCAATGATATTTTTATCTCATTTTCGGTTGTCAAAATAACAATACACAGACTCTTTCTCGATTATTTCCAACTGCATATTGGTTGCAGTATTTTGTCTCTCGTTGGCTAGGCTATATAAAGAACCTCTTTTTGAATCATTGCTTTTTTCATTTTTAATCCTCTTCTTGAATATTCAATTAATGAGAAATAAAAAAAGAAGGGAAAAGAAAAAGCATTTCCAATAGTCAATTAATGGTAAAAAAAAAAAAAAAGGTATCTTTAATTTTCAATAAAGATTGCGTCAAATCCTTTCACAATAAATCAATAGTATTTTTTTTTTTTTTTTTTTTGATCATCCACTTTTTTCTCCACCTAAATAAACGACTCTGTCTCTCAATTTAATTTCTTGGCCAACCATGAGCCAGCTAAGAAAGACATCAACCAGTAAACCCCATCCCATTGATTGAATCCCAAGGCACCAATCAACCCTGGCCCAGGACATACACCGTATAATCCCCAACCAACCCCAAACAACACATTTCCAAAAAGGAATTTGAGGTCCACGGTATTGGAGAAATTAAGTGAATAATTTTCAGTCAAGAGGGGTTTTTTAACTTGTAACTCCGACTTGGTTTGTGGGATAGATTTCTTCCAAATGACAATGTTTGGTAAAATCGCAAAGATGGCAATCAACATGAGGGAAGGATCAAACCTTGAAGGAGTTAAAATCGACAAGAACCCAATAGTTTTCGTAGGGTTCACCATGCCCGAGATAAATAATCCCAATCCAAATAAAAACCCAGCGTTAACCCCGGTTAGATACTTTAAAAACCAAGAATTTGTCACACTACTTGTTTTCTGGTTAGCAGCGCCACCATTAGTAACCAAAACCTTTGCTAGTATTGGAATGAGAATATACGAAGTGCAAATGCCCCCAAAAACCACAGAAAGTAGAGCCATTTTATTGTTTTGGAATATTGAGAAATTCTCATCATAAACATAGCAATTGGTTGGAACAATTTCCCCATTGCTTGTTTCAGTATAACACACCGCACCATTACCGGCTATTTTAACCGTGACTATCCCAACAATTACAAACACTGCCGTGGCAATAATCGACCGTAAACGAAGTCTGGACACCCCTGCTAAGAAATGCCCCGAAGTACACCCACACCCGAACTTGGTGCCTGCCCCTACTAGCAAACCAGAAACAACAACATAAAGAGGGAAACTGGTATCCACTTGATGTTCAAGTAAGTCCACCGAGGCCACAGGCTGGTAAATTGGCGAGAAATCAGGGATTTTGTACGCCACGAATAACGAGGCCATAATGATCCCCGAGACAATCGAGACATTTTCAACGTTTGGGTCAAATATCCCGTTGATTAATGAAGAAAACCCAATGACTTTGCCAGAGTGCCATATATAAGACGTTGTGGCGCACTGGATCAACAATGCCCCGATAGCAGATTCCACAGGACTGAACATTTTCGATAATAAAGAGATGATAAATATATATGGAATAAGTTACAATAAATGATTCATTTAAAGAGGGCCTTGAGCCATGGCTGGTCACGTTACCGTTTAGTGTTACGCAGCCCCGGGCATCGAGAGGATTAAAATTTGTTACTTTCCTCAAAAAAGCAACAACAACAGTTTTATCACTGATAACCATTTATCGGTAATTAGAGATACCAGTCGCCCCGATAATGGATATACACCAGTCCAGGGAGGCAGATAAGGAGTTCGACACGATCTTCAATGGTCTCCGGTCGAAAAACAAAGAAGAACAGACGCGATATGCGTTGACGTTGAAGAATTTGGTGTTTGGCGGGAACACTGGCGACCAATATAATTCCCACTTGTCAGAATCGTCCATTTACAATAAACTTCATGAGATTACGGTTTCCAAAGATACCGAATTGAAAATCGCCACATATTACTCCATTAAAGCGTTCATTGAGTTGGTGGGAGGTCCAGAATTGGAAACTTCGAGAATTGCCAGAATGTTGGATCAGATGATGAGTATCCCCCAGATCTCCAAGCTGGTGGCCGATACTTTGGGGTCGCTTTATCGCCCTGGATGGTCATTGATCGCTACGTATTTCAGTTTCACTTGTGGTAATGCCATTGAGAATTTAGGCAATAAACTCGATTACAAAAAACTCAATGCCATCTTGATATTGCAATCGTTCACCACCCATAATCCGGGAGCATTGTACCCATACATCGAAAAGATCTTTACGGGATTGAGCCAAACTTTGAAAGATGCCAATGTGGTTATTAGAAGAGAATCAGCAGTGTTATTGGAACGGTGCTTGACAATATTGTATATGAGGGATACTTACATTTTATCATCAAGATTCAACAGATTGTACGATGAAGCCCTCGAGAATTTGAAGAGCTCGTCTACCGAATCAATACACTCATCGTTTTTGTTATTCAAGACTTTACTTCATTTGATCATTCTTTCGAACAACAATAGATCGTTATCAGCGTTGAACAACAACAAGGACGCCATAAGTTTCTCCACCATCACCGATAAGGTCGACGATATATACAACAAATGCTGGTTTTTCAAAGATTACAAGTCGTCAACCATTCGTATAGAAGTCATTGAAATCCTCCCGCTCATTGCCAAGTTCAACACCAGGATTTTCACCCTCAAATATTTACAAAGTATCACCGATTTTTACATGCTCAGGTTGAAAAAGGATAAAGATAGAATCCCCACTTTATACTTATTTGGCGGTATTTCTTCGAAAATTGGTAGTACCAATTGCTTATTATACGCCAACAGTTTAATTGCCATCATTGAAAACTTGATCCATACCATTAGTGGCGGGGATTCAAATACCACCGCATCCTCTCAACAAATGGATAAACCTGGCTTGAACAAATTTTCATCATTCAACCCTAGCTCCCATATTTTTGCTGGCCCAGGTAATGCCATCGCTAATACTTCGAATTCTGTCAAATCCGCTGGACCAAAGAGGAAAGATGGCGATTTTTTCGCTTACAATAAATTTGATACCTCCTCGATTCTTAATAATGATCCAGCCACCGCCATCACTTTCCAAAACATTTCTGAATACAAGGGATTGAAAAGATATGAGTTAGAAAAAGCGATTTTTTACGTGCTAATCAAACTTTGTGAGACTTTGGGCAGTAAAATCACCCAAGTGTTGACCCTTAACATGCTCGAGTTAATCATTGCCACTTGCAATTTGACTAAGCATTTGACGACATTGATGAGTAAATTGATCGAATTCTATCCTAACCTTGAAAGTTTCATCTTGCAAAAGCTCATGAATAAAGTGACCCTCACCTTAGCGGGTACCGATTTCATCGAACCAGGGGTTTCCATTGCCAGTTTGAATTTGACTCCCAAAGATCGCAAAAAATTGGCCCAAAAATCGGTTATCGGGGTACGTTTCGATGAGCCTTCAGGAAGGATTTTTCTCAATGGTAATGCCAATGGGTTTGGTAATAGTAATTCATCATCCATTGGTGATGAAATTATTGGCAATGATTCTCGAGCTAGTGAATTGAGAAAAAAAATCGCCCTTTATAAACAACCATACTCTAGCAGTTCGGCGCCGTTATCAAATTACACTTTCAAAGACTTATCTTCTGCTTTTAATAATTTCACGGCGGGTCATGAAGCATATTCTGTATCCAACCATACCAACCCTTCTTTGGCCAGCGATGGTAGTAATACCGCGGTGGGGGCCTCCAACGGAGAACGTCCTAGTACCCATTTTATCACTATTAAAGATATGGTTGATTTGAACAGGGCCAGAAAAATCAGAAACACGGTTTTGAAAGATTACGGGTTCAATGTCGGGGGAAATGTGAACAGTACCAGTGCTAGTAATACCGGGGTATTCCAAGCACTTACCAAATTAACTGGTCTTTCTGATGATTATTTCAAGTCGATAAACCAAACCCCATTCGATGGCGGGTTTGATTCGAAGGATATCAATACCGATGAGGGAGAAGTGCCAATAAAGAGCGATTTTGCCATAGACAGTTTGGAATACCAGGAAATAAATCTTTTGGTGGAATGTTTCCATATTTTGAAGAAATTCCATTTCGGGAAATACGTGTCGCTATTTGAGTTTTCCAGGTACGTTACTTTGACTTATATTGATCATCAAGATTTTCAAGTGAGAAAACTCGCGGCGTTGATAACCACAAAATTGTTTACCGATGATGAAATCATCAACTCTGTGCAAATTGGCTCGATCACTGCGGTATCTGACGTTTTATCGAAGTTGTTACTCTTGGGAATTGCCGATACAAACCCCGAAATAAGATTGGCGGTTCTCGAAAGTTTGAACGCCAGGTATGATCCCCAACTAGCCCAATCGGATAATGTTAGATTATTAATGATATCGTTGAATGATTCCAGTTTTGAGGTGAGAAAAGTGACCATCAGAATCCTTGGAAGAATATCGGTGAAAAACCCGGCATATGTGGTTCCAGCCCTTAGAAAAGTGTTGATTCAATATCTTAACAATTTGAAATATGGCACCACTAATGTGATTCGAGAAAATAGTTGTTCATTATTGACATGCCTTGTCTCTTGTGCTGATATGTTAACAAAGCCTCATATCAATGCCATCATGGATGTTTTAATTCCATTATTACGCGATAGTAATAAAAACTCAGTGATTTCGTCTATCGTCATCAAATGTATCGGGGAATTGGCCAGAGTCTCTGGAGAATCGACAAAGTATTTTCTAGATGAGGTTATTCCATTGATCATGGCGATCCTCAAGGATAACTCATTATTGATTTCCAAAGAAGAAAAAGTCATTGCCATCAAGACATTGAGTCAGTTGATTAGAAGCTCAGGAAGGGTCATTGATCCATATTTCACCTATCCAGATTTATTAGCAGAAATCATCAAAATCGTCAGTGATAATAACGTTGATGCTGGGTTGAAGAAAGAAACCATCAAGTTACAAGGGATTTTGGGAGCGTTGGATCCGTACAAGGCCAGAGAATTGGAAAGTAATTATAAATCCATCAGACAAAACCAACCTTCATCATCCAGAGAATTGGTGCCAGGGATGTTTACCCCATCGCAAGGGAAAAATCGCAAGCAGGATTCCAGCAAACAAATTAGTAATAAGCAATCATCATCTAAGAAATCAATGAATAATAATATTGATTATAGTCAAGCCAGTGAGGTTGCCAAAAATTGGGGACATGATGAATTGGGTAAAGATTTCGAACAAGGGGTTGATTTGAACGAAATGTTAAATATTAATGACGCCAGTATGCGGATCCCAAAACTTATCCAAATGGAAACCCCAATAGATTTATTATTATTGATGCAATTGAATAACGATCTTCGGCCGCTTAGCGGAGGCGAGGATTATTACTTGATTGTGGTGTTGAACATGTTGGTCAGATTACTTAAGGACCAATCAACGAGCTCTCACCACGAAACGGTGATGTCGATTATTGTCAATATTTTCTCACGAATCAGGGATAAGTGCTTGAGTTATTCGAAATTGATTATCGTGGGAATGTTGAGAGCCATCAAAAACTATACTGCATCAAAGATGAAATTATCGTTCCAACAAATTGGCCAAATCGCCAAAGTTATCGGGAAATTTATCAGGCCTGCAGTGCCGGAGTTATTAAAGAGTGTCAATGAATTATTTGGGTTAACTGATCGGTTAACGTTGATAAATTTAGTAGAAATTGTCTCCAAAAACTTGGACATGGAATTCAAATTGTATTTGCCAAATATTTTGTGCACTCTCTTGGAAGCATTGAATAATGACGATTCAAAGGATAAAATTGTTTCTCGGAAAATCATCAAAGCGTTTGTGTCGTTTGGAGGAAGTATTGAAGAGTATTCTAATTTGATCATCACCAATATTTTGAGATTTGTACAGCCTAATGGTGGGTCATACGAGCTTCGTAAAACCGCAATTGAGGCATTGGGACAACTCACCACGTCTATCAACTTGACAGATATGTCCTCTAGCATAATCCATCCATTTTTGGTATTGTTGAAAAGCAAAAATCCTGAGGATTTCCAATTGAGAGATAGTATTATGAATTCTCTTTGTGCATTGATTGTGCAAATGAAGAGTGAATATTTCATTTTCTTGCCAATTGTTGATAACACGCTATCAGAAATTGAATTTTCGTCTCATGCCTACACAAAACTTGTACATCAATTGATCAAAAATGAAAATGTGTCCTTCACCCTTCCTTCAGAATACCAACCCGAACCGGCTTACAAAGAGGATGAGCCAATGAAGAAAGTTGATGGTGCATTGCTCCAATCTAGTTGCCAGCCATTCCTTTGCAAGACTAAAGGCGATTGGATTGAATGGTTAAAGCGGTTGAACTTGAAGCTTTTGGAGCTTTCTCCTTCGGTATCGTTGAACTCTTGTTTAGTGTTGGCGTACGCCCACGTTCCAGTGGCCCGTGAGTTGTTCAATGCGGCATTTTCTGGAGTATGGGTGGCTATTGGTGATGAACATCGTAATGAATTGGGGAAAAGTTTGTTGTACGCATTACAAAACGCTCCAAACTCTTCGGACGTTCTACAAACCATTTTGAATTTGGCAGAATTCATGGAACATAACAATACTCCATTGCCAATAAATCTTTCGGTGCTCTCGAAGTATTCTTTCCGTCATCATGCGTTTGCCAAAGCTTTACATTACAAAGAAGTAGAATTCAAGGATACGGCTTACAAAAACAATGTGTCGGTGACCACGATTGACTCGCTTATCAATATCAACAATTCTTTACAACAGTCTGATTCTGGTGATGGGATGTTGAAGATCGCTACTGATTTCTATCATTTTGAGGCCAAAGAATCGTGGTACCAGAAATTACAGAAATGGAATGAAGCGTTGCGAATCTATGAGAAGAAATTGGCCGATAATCAAGTGAATATCGACGTGATCAATGGGAAAATGAGCTGCATGCATGCTTTAGGTCAATGGGAACAATTGGAGAGTTTTACCGAAAAGAATTGGGGATTAATTTCCAATATCAACAAAGAGAAAGTCGCACCGTTGGCGGCGGCGGCAGCATGGGGTACTGCGAAATGGGAAAAAATGGACGATTATATCAGCGTTATGAAGCAAGATTCTGCGAATAAGTACTTTTTCGATGCGATTCTTAACGTTCATCGTTGTAATTATGGAGTGGCCCAAGAAAACATCAGAAACGCTCGGGAGTTGTTGAGTGGAGAAATCACCGCGTTGATCAATGAAAGTTACAGTCGTGCTTATGATGTGGTGGTGAGAATCCAGATGTTGTCGGATCTTGAAGAAATCATTGAATTCAAAGGATTGGACGATAATAATCCAAGAAAAAGTTTGTTGAAGTCCGCCTGGGATAAGCGATTATTCCATTGTCAAGGTAATGTGGATATTTGGCAAAGATTATTGAATATTCGATCATTAGTGATCAAACCAGAACAAGACTTGGTGGCCCGAATCAAATTCGCTAATTTGTGTCGGAAATCAGGACGGAATGCCCTTGCGGAAAAAACGTTATCCAGTCTTAAGAGTAACGTTATTCAATTGAAACCAGTTCCAGGAAACTCTATGGAAGGTGGATCATTTACCAATCCGGCTCTCGTGTACGCCCAATTGAAGTTATTATGGGAGGTGGGACAAAAGGAAAAAGCGTTTGCCACCCTTTGTACATTCACTTATGATTTAAGTGCTGCGCTTTGTCTTCAAGCAGATCAACTAGTATCACCAAAAGTTCCAGAGATCTTACCGTGTGATGAACCACTTTATTACGGTTTGCGGAAGATTTTGTGCAAATGCTTTTTGAAACAAGGTCAATGGCAAATGGAATTAAACTCTCATTGGACCGATGATAAGGCTGCAGAAAGTGGGGTTCTTGGATCATTTTTAATTCCAACGATTTTATACAGTGATTGGTACAAAGGCTGGCATTATTGGGCCTTGGCAAATTATGAAGTGATTTCTTCCAAGTCCACTAGGTTGCGGAACCGTGAAGATCACGTCACCCCTAAAGAACACGAATCAGGTAACGAATCAGAATTGGTGAAATTACACGCCATTCCTGCCATGAAAGGGTTTTTCCGATCGATTGAATTATCCAGTAGTGTGGCCATTCAAGATTTGCTAAGATTACTTGGATTGTGGTTTGCGTATGGTGGGTATCCATTCGCGGCTACAGAAATTGAAAAGGGAATCAATGATTTATCAATTGAGACTTGGTTACAGGTGCTTCCACAATTGTTTTCTCGATTACACCATCCGGATAAAGTGGTGAATAACGCTTTGCAAAAACTTGTGGTTCGGTTAGCAGAAGTGCACCCACAGGCTTTATTGTTCCCATTAAATGTTTCTGTGAGATCTGACAAACAAATTGGTCAAGCTACCGCCGGAAGAATCTTGAATACTATTAAGTTCTTGCACCCACGACTTGTCACCGAATCAGAGGTGGTGGTCTATCAATTGATCCAAGTGGCATTATTATTGAATGAACGATGGTTCCATGCTATCGAAGACGGGGTAGCGCTTTATCAAAGTGGTCATCATTATTCGAAGATTGTGACGATGTTTGATACATTATATCAAGAGCCAAAACGTACCTTCCACGAAAAAACTTTTTGGGCGATCTGGGGACCGGAGCTTAGTAGAGGGTATGAATGGATTGTCAAATATAAGAAAAAGATGCTTGAACAACAAGTGAGTGATCCTCAATTACTTCAACTGGCGTTTGATTGTTTGGCGCCAATCCATAACAAATTAAGCAATGAATTTAGTAGTGTGAGAACTCATTTCTTGGAATACGTGGCCCCTCAATTATTAGAAAGCACCGATTTAGACCTTGCGGTCCCAGGGACGTATGAACCAGGCAAAGTGGTGGTGGGAATGCACCGTTTCGAAAACCGGGTGCCGGTGATTGTTTCCAAACAACGTCCAAGACGATTTTTCATTTATGGTCAAGACGGTAGATTATATGATTATTTGTTGAAAGGCCAAGAAGATATTAGACAAGACAATATGGTTATGCAATTGTTTGGGTTGGTCAATAAGTTGTTGGACAATGATCCTGAATGTTTTAGTCGTCATTTAAGTCTTGAACCGTATCCAACAATCCCGCTTTCTCCAAAATCTGGGTTATTGGGGTGGGTTCCAAACAGTGATACTTTCCATACATTGATTAGTCAAAACCGGAATTTCAAAGGCATCACCAAAGATATTGAAAGAAGAGCCCACAACGCGTATCTGGGTAAACATTTTGATTTTGCCACGGCGTTGAGACGCTTGGAATTGTTTTTGGTGAGTTTGAGCGCCTCTAGAGGGATGGATATTTATGATGTGTTGTGGTTGAAGAGTCGGTCTTCGGAAGTATGGCTAGAACGGAGAACCACGTATATTCGGTCTTTAGCATTGACGTCGATTGTTGGGTACGTCCTTGGGTTAGGAGACCGTCATCCTTCGAATATCATGATTCATAGAGTTACTGGGAAAGTGGTTCACATTGATTATGGGGATTGTTTCGAAAGTGCTCTGTTGCGTGAGAAATGGCCAGAACAAGTGCCATTTAGATTGACAAGAATGTTGGTTAATGCGTTAGAGGCTTCAGGAATTGAAGGTTCCTTTAGAATCACTTTGGATAATGTGATGCGGGTGGTGAGGGTCAATAAAGAATCCTTACTCGCGCTCTTTGATTCGTTTGCCAATGATCCATTGATCAAATGGGGGTTTGATATTCCTAATAAAGCGGTGATGCGGAAGACTGGGTACAAGCCTATAGATGCCGATGCGGCTGAGATGAGAAGTAAAGGACAAATCAACGATGAGCAATACGATGCGATTTTGGAAGAAAACGAGCGGGCGTTGATGAATGCTCGGGCAGAGTACGTGTTGAAGAGAATCAATGATAAGTTGACGGGTAATGATTTCCCAAGAGCGAAAGATTTGGATATTGGTGATCAAGTGGATCGCTTAATTGCTCAAGCGACTGATAAAGATGGGTTAGCATTGCATTTCATTGGGTGGTGCTCGTTCTGGTGAGAATATTTTTGTTCAATTTGGAGTATGTTTTGTACAATTTGGAACATTTTTTTTTTTTCCAATTGGGAATATCTTTTATTTATTTATGAGTATTGTATATTACTGATTCTGATGATTATTATTAAATCTTACAATTGTTTTTGATAGTGACTAGACCTGTAATTATTATAATTATTATAGTTGTTACTATTATCATCTTTATAATTATGATTATTTTCTTTATGACTATTCTTAGTATAATTTTCATTACCATTAGCCTGTTTATTATCCATATTGTCTTTATAATCTCGCTTATTATGTTCATCGTTATTATTACTATTATAAGGCAGTTAACATATCGCCAACTGCACGTTCCGACCGCCGGTTAGCCTCCGGTGTTAACTCCCGTAGCCTACGATTTTACCCGCCACGACCACTATAAAGGCATGCCTTGCAGTCCCCAATACAATTTTTCAATTATTATTACGATTATTATTACCATCACCAAATAATAATTACTATAACAATGTCTAATTCTATTTTCTCTACCCAAGGAAAAGTTGTCCTTGCCACCGGGGCCACTAGTGGTATCGGTCTTGGAATGTGCAAAGGTCTTGCCGAATTTGGATGCCAACAATTGATCTTGATCCACCGTCCATCAACTTCCCCAGCCGAAGCTACTGCTGAACTCAAGAAAATCTCTCCATTGGGTGACAAATTGGTGGTGTCTTACATTCAAGCGGATGTTGCAGAAGTCAATGTCGAAGACATCGAAGAAAAAATCGTCAAACCGGCTTTGGAATTGTCGGTCACCGGGAAAATCGACGTTTTGATCAATAACGCTGGGGTGAATTTGCGTTACACTGCCGAAGATTTCCCAGAAGACCAATTCCAAAAAGTCTTACAAATTGATTTGCTTTTCCCATCCAAATTGACCAGATTGGTAGGCAAACACATGTTGGAAAACAATGTCCGTGGGAAAATCATCTTCACTTTATCATTGATCTCTTTCCAAGGTGGGATTCTCAGTGCTCCTTATGCAATTTCCAAATCCGGTCTCAAAGGGTTTGTGCAAGCATTGAGTAATGAATGGAGTAGTAAAGGAATCAATGTCAACGGGATTGCCCCAGGTTACATCGAGACCAAGTTGGTGAAGTCTTTGAAAGAAGATCCTGTTAGAGGCAGACAAATCACAGAAAGAATCCCAATTGGTAGATGGGGTACCCCAGAAGATTTCAGAGGTCCAGCAGCGTTCTTGGCCAGTAGTGCTAGTGATTACGTCACTGGGGAAACTTTGTTGGTTGATGGTGGATGGATGGCTCGTTAAATCATCAAAAATAAGATAAAAAAGATAAAAAAAAATAAAAAACAAAACGAAAAATAGAGTTAATAAAAGATATGTTGATATGATAGTGTATTGGATATTGTAGGAAATAATCAATTTCGGTTATTATTATCAGATTATGCGTTGATTGAGATCGTAGAGTTTTTGAAATAATTATATTTTTGAAATGATTTATTCAAAATAGTCAAATGTTAAAAAGGATTAATTTAAAGAAATTCCATTCAATTGATGATAAGAAGTACGAGGATGATTCGATTCGTACATGAATCATGCCCATAGATAACGGTGTATTTTAGTTAATATTATCTGGAAAAAATTGAGAAAGAAAGAAATATCTAAGATCCTTTGAAAATATTTTTCAAATGAATTAAAAACTTCATATCAGTTTCACATTTGAATCATTTTTCCCCGTCAATTACAGATCGGTATTGGATAACATCTTCAACACTCGTAGCAGACCCGCCACAGGCAATGACAATGACTATATCGTCTTTATTCAATTTTCCAAAAGCTTTCTCCAAAAGCTTACGATTATTGGCTGCAAAAATCGAAGCACCACAGGCAGGCTCGGTAACGACATTGTGATCTTCAACAAACTTTATGACACCTTCCATTGTATTGCTATCAGTGATCAAGACCAGATGAGTTGAATGAGATCTTGAATTTTCAAGCGATTTCAAACTGATATATGAACATGCCAATGTGGTAGCGATGGTATTAACTTCTTTCAAATAAACAACCTTATCTGCCTCGATGGCTCTATTCAAAGTTGGCGCATTCTCAGTTTCCACGGCCATTATAGGAATATTCAAACCATTTTTAACCAACCCCCGAACCAATCCATTGTATAAGCCTCCACCACCAACTGAGCATATTAACCCTTTGATTTTTGAGATTTTGCTTTCATCAAGTTGATAGAGGATTTCATCAATCATTGTAGAATGGCCCTCCCAGATAAGTTCATTGTCAAATGGATGACAATAAATAGGCAATATTTCATTTTGATCAACCTTGGAAATAACCTCAGTCCTTAAGTATTCATCAGCCTCACTCCACTGATTCCCTTTAACAATAACTTTTGCACCAGTATTTTCAATCTTTTGCTTCATTTTCGAATTGGTGGTGATTGGCAAGACAACAGTACATGGCAAATTATAAAAACTAGCTGCTGTACTGACAGCAAAACCAGCATTGCCACCAGAAGAAGAGAAAAGATGAATTTGCAGATTCGATTTCTGTGCCTTTTCGAAAGATTTATGAATCATATATCCCAATCCTCTAGATTTGAAAGATCCTGAAGGTTGAGCAAATTCACACTTCAAATAAACATCATAATCTTTAGATAATCCAGGAGATTTTGTCAAAGGTGTTTCACTGTAAGGCAAGTCTGTTGGAGTTCTGGATACCATATTCCACTGAGAGTTGAGCTGGAAATCGATTGAAAATTAGGAAATATATGTTTCCAGAAAGCTAAATAAGCCGAATTTCTTATCTTTATATGAAATGTTAAATGAAAAATCTAGACTTCCTTAAGTTCTAAGAAAGATTTCCGAGAATTGATTCATAATAACTATGCATGCAAGTACACATGCATCCAAGAGATATATCTTATCGGAAACGAAATAGTTCTGGGCTTCAAAGAAATGAAAAAATAAAATAAAATATAGTAATGAGAATATTATGAAAGATAGGCTTTAATAAACTTAAACAACCTTTTCAAATCTATATTTCCTATAATGTCCGTAACATTGATATTTGTATGGGTATTTCACCAATAAATTTTTGCGAATCATATACCACTGGTGTGGAGTTCAGTCATCGATAATGATGTTTGGGGTCCGAGTCAATTTCTTGAAAGACTTGACTCGGGACCTATTTCTGACTCGGTACTTATATATTTCTGACTCGGTTCGCTTCCCCTTATCATGATAAGGTACCTGTAGCATGGTATTCTAGATACTATATCATCATAATCATTATTGTTCTAATGACTGCTAACCTTACCAAGCTTGGTAATTATCTCTTCCGACTAATATCCTTTTAATTATGTAATAAGTTATTAATATTCTTTCCAAAGCTTTCTATTATTCTTCACTTCAGGACTTTCTGTAGTTCTAGGAGATTACCTGTGCCTGTCTTTTTATTTCACTTTTCATTTCATTTAAACTCTTTACACGATAAAATTTCAATCCTATTTATACAAACTTACTCAATATACATTTTATTTCACTCGATACATTAATTACAGTCCGAATTTTAATGTATGGCTCCTAATCTTTCCATTATAATATGGACTCCAGGTTATATTACAATCTCGCTCTACATATACATATGAGAGCCTCAAAAAAAACATTAGAACCCCAGAACAAATCACCAAATATTAACTAGTTCTTCAACAACATCCTGAAATTTCATGAAGTCTAAATTTCATACATTTAAAATATTTGTCATTTAAATACCAAATATCAAAATTTTCAGCCTTCTAAAATACAGGAATTCTATAAAAAATATTCGTCGCTCAAAAAGTACTTGAGTAAAATATATATATCTCTTTTTTAGTGCAATCAAGTACCACCTGTAAGGGCTACTACCAACGCCTAATCCATACCTCAGGTACCGCATAACCTAAAATATCATCGCAATTTTCAATTATGAAAATCATGAATCTAATAAAAAAAACACTTTCTTTTTTTCTCATTTGCAATATATTTCCCAGATCTCAAATTACGACTTTAAGTGCTCAAAATCTCTATTGCATTCTCGCTACAAAATATTTTTTCGCCTCAAGCATGGGAATGTACTTTGGGATCATGTGTATTTGTTAATGTCTAATTATCCGTATCTTTATTCTTACCAACTACCAAAAATCTTACCACTGAATTCCTACTTGCCCAATAAAAGTTACTCCCTAATAATATTAGTACTCAATAGCCTGTAGGGTTTTCTGGAAAGTTCATAAAGCTCATCGGTGAAGTTTGCTAAAAATGTTCCTGGACCCTTGCTTTGTTGACCAGCAAGATAACCGGCTTCCTTATATAGGGCAACAGCATCTATTGCAGCTTCAAATGTATGAAAGTATGAACAAACAGCCAAATATGATGCAATAACACCACCCAATGCACAACCTGATGCAGTGATCTTACCCATTAATTCATGACCACCTGAAATAAAACAAACTCTAGGTTTTTTTGTTGGAATGATACCATCAACAATAATATCTTTTTTTCCTGTCATTACAATAACGGCTTGCGTCTTCACAGCAAGTTTGGATAGAATATCAACAATTTCTAAGTCATTTAAGTTCAAATCAGAATCGACTCCTCTCATGGTAACACCATTTGCTCCGGCAAGGGAACAAATTTCTGCCATGTTACCCTTTATAACACTATAGCGACCATGTTCTATCATCATTTTAGCTATTTCACGTCTTGGTTGTGTAGCTCCACAAGCAACAGGATCATAAATAATTGGAACCATATGTGCATTGTACTCGCTGATTGCCTTCTTATACATATGAATTGATGCATTGGACATTGTCCCTGTATTCATACAAAGGCTTCCTTTTGAAATTTTGGCAAAGAAGCTAAATTCTTCTGAAAGTTCAGACATTATAGGTGAGCCTCCAATCGCAATACATACATTTGCCGAAAAGTATTTAGCTACAGCGTTCGTGATGAAATGAGTAAGTGGCTTTTCTTGAACAATGTTTGGGTGTTTGTAAGGATGAAGAGCTTCTTCATTATCGTAAGCCAAGTTAATACTTCTGAGGGTTTCCTTGGTAGCAAGAGAAGCATCATGACTGGCCATTATACAAGAAACAACAGCAGCACCATTTGTACAAAAATCTTTATATCGACACTCATTCAAAGTCCTGGTGATATTGTACTTATTTAAGCCACCAATAATGACACTTTTCATTTCTGGTTTACCATCATGAAGAACTTCCAAAATCTTTTTAATACCTCCCGGTCCCAAAATTGGTTTAGTCATTTCTTTTGTGGTTGTTGAATAAGCAGATCCAATACCAAGATAATCAATTCTCGCAGTTGATTTGATTGCTGCCATTGCATCTCGTTCGTTATTAACCGTGACACCAAGAATTTTATCCTGGCCAATCTTCTCACGAGCCTCCTCCGCAGCCATATCATCTTGGCCAACATGAACACCTTCAGCATCGATGGCTAGAGCAACATCGATTCTATCATTTATAAGCAAAGGAACATTATATTTTTTGGTAATTTGATGTAGCTTCCTGGCTCTATCAATAAAGTGATCGGTATCAAGATTTTTTTCTCTTAACTGGACAATAGTCACACCATTTTGTAAAGCCTTTTCTACTTGATCATAAAAGTCTAAACTTTCAGGAACGATTTCACTGTTGGTCACTAAATAAAGACTATAATCTATCGTATTTTTATCGATTGTTAGAGACATATTGCTCCGTGTCTAGAGGTGTAACTCAATTCAAATCTAAAATTCTGGACCTGTTTATTATTCAGAATTTTGAAAGATGAATTATATTTTGATAAATTACTTTTGAGATCATGAGTAAAACAATTTTTTATTTTTTTTTTTATTTTTTTCTGATAAAGTGATTGGTAGTTGAAGATCTACTATGTATGACGTTTTCACAGTCATCCGATGTGCAGATGATCCCCGCGCATCTATTGGCCAGCCATATTGTGCACGGCGGTGTCCGGTAAGCTTGCAATTTAGAAAAGACAAAAAAATTGTCCTTTAGATCCCATGATTGCCTGGTAATGAAAATATTTCTAATTCTCTGTGATATGAGTTCTTATTTACAAGGATACCGATAGCGTTTGAATGACAAAATTTAAGGTTTTCGAGATCCATCTTTACGAACACGATTCACTTGAATTGATTGTTCCATTAAACACAGCCAACTTACCGGCTGTGTTGACAGTTGCAGGCTCAGACTCTTCCGGTGGTGCTGGTATTGAGGCTGACCTAAAAACAATAATTGCACACAAATGCTATGGGCTAACCGGTATTACTACATTGACTGCTCAAAATACTACAGGAGTTGAAGATGTACTCACTATTTCACAATCCATGATGAAGTCTATTTTGGATGCTAACTTCAGTGATATCAAAATTAGTTCTATAAAAACAGGTTTGCTCACCAAAGAATCAATTGCCGCTCTAAAATATGCCATCGACAAGTATGAATACAAAAACAATCTTGTGGTAGATCCAGTTATGGTCAGCACTTCCGGTTTTGAATTTATGAAGTCAGATCTTTTTGAATGTATCAATCGAGAGATCGGAAATTCTATCACAATAATTACTCCAAACTTGCTTGAGGCTAAAGCAATCATAAATACTTTAAGTGGTAAAAATCTTTATACAAATGAACCATTGGAAACTATTGAAGAAATGTATATGATGTGTCGCAAAATTTTTGATCTAACTGGAATAGAAAATATTCTTATTAAAGGTGGTCATCAGAAATGGAAGCAACAAGATCTTTTAACCGATACTCTTTATTGTTCAGAGAACGATTCTTATTATGTTTTTCATTCCAAGATGATTGATTCTGTTCATACACATGGTACCGGTTGCACCCTATCTTCAGCAATTGCGTCAAATATGGCTCACGGCTTATCCATTATCAATGCTGTTGCCAATGGTATTATTTACGTTCAAAATGGTATCAGATCTGCACCTGGTTTCGGAAGAGGCAATGGACCATTAAATCATATACAAAGCTTCAAATTATTCAATTATGAAGCAATTGTTGAAGACAAATCTTTCAAATTACCATTTAGCGAAGGGGAAGCTTTCAAATTTTTATTTAATCATCCTAGAATTGCAAAACATTGGCAAGAATATATTAATCACCCATTCATGTTTAAAGTGAGAGATATGTCATTACCATTAGAAAAATTTAGGCACTTTATTCAACAAGATTATGTGTATCTTATAAATTATTCACATATAATGTCATATTTGGCCACATATAGTACTTCCAAAGAAGATTTTAGAAGTGATTTGGCTAAATTATTTGCCTTGCACGAAGAAATGAATAAAACAGGGGATATCATCTCTCTATTGAATGATGATCCAACCAAAGGGTTTGAGCCTAACCCTACAAACAAAGAATATATGGAAAAGTTGCTAGATATTGCAACCAATACAGGTGATGCTTTAGACATCACCACTGCACTTACACCGTGCTTCCACGGCTATTCCATAGCTGCTCATAATGCCAATAATTCAGTCAAGAAGTATCATAAAGCTGATAAATTAACTACTGAAGTATACACCCGTTGGATCGATGGCAATTTGCAGACAGTTTATAGTGAAGCTTGCAAGGTTTCGGAGATAGAGTTCAATGCATTAATTCGAAAGCGTTGTAAAAGCCAGCAAAAACTTGATAGAGTTATTGAGATATTTGAAACTTTTACTAAACTTGAAGTCCAATTCTGGAGTAGATGTATTTAAATATTATACACACCATATTAGGTTAGTTAATGCAGATTATAAACAATAGATACAATAGATGATGAATATGAATGTTTAAGCAATTTTAATGACTGACAATTATGCTGATGGCGTAAGAAACATCTTATACACTCATGATATTGGAGTGTAACATAGCATCTGCGAAAGCCAGGGGTTTTTAGCGGTAGTTATCGCAAGAATTTTACAAAATCTACTATTGTGGATATAGGTGAGAAGTTTTCCCACGAGATAAAAATATGACTTCTAAGATGTGAAAATATTAAAACTCTCTTGCAAAAATTATCCGAGTTTGATTAACTGGTTGTATGGTACATCAAACTATGAGTGTAATTGGTTCTTCTGATATCTACTGGTACAATCTGTAGAAAACAACCAGCTGTAGTGGAATATATTCATGGGCTTTTAATTCCTTGAATTGCACGAGTTGAGGGCGCTTACGATAATTAATTTAATGCTAACATAAGCAACTTTGAAGATTCCTGTGTAGTAGATACAGTCACTATGTTTCATCTACTTTTACTATTTTTTCTTCTTTCCTTTTTTGAAAATTTAATGGGAAAAATTATTGTCAACCATCCAATGAATTTATCATAAAACCATTGCCAGTCTTTCTTCCCATTGATTTTTAACTTGGCCATTTCTTCTTCTTCTCTCAAACATTCTTTTTCCTCGGCGTCAATGACATCCTTGTAGGTAAATAAGTCAGCCTCTTCAGGTTTAATAAACTTTGACTTCTTAATAATCTTATAGCCAATAAAGCAAATAAAATAAACAGGAATTCCAATGTAACCAGTGACAAAACTTTTCTAATCAAATCCTCCAATGAAAACTGTAAAACTCTTGATTATTGCAATCATGCAACACATGAAGAGGGAAAAATAAGTGCCATAAGGCTGAAGTGGGGCATAATATATACAAAATCTCTTGTTCTGATGTATCCTTGTGCCTTGACTGCCCTTGTGAAGAAAATATATGTCACAAGAATGGAAATCCAAGTGAGCAATCCGAAAATAGAGACCACATTGACAAAATAATTAAGCACAGTTTTGGAAGATGAAGAACATGTCATGAATGCCAAGCAACAGAAAAGTCCAGCAAAAGCCAAAGAGTAAACTGGAACCCCGTTTTTGTTTGTGCGAGAGAAAATCTTTGGAGCTTTTCCATTTGCAGATAAGCCATATATATGCCCCTAGATAACGAAGCAGGGTGACCTTTTTCTTCGGAAAGCGATTTTTGCCCTGTGTTTCGGGATAACTCAAAGCTTACTTGGCCGCAATTAGCCATATTGGAGAGGCTTCTGGTGAAAATATCTGTGTTGCTACTGCCTGGCCCCTCTGATTTAAATCAAAGGTTTATTAGTGACTCTTTCGCTATATACTCTCTACACTGGCACGGCACTGCATGACGCCGCCTTGCGCAGTACCTAAATCCAGACAATTTTCCTCAATTTCTGATAATCCATTTTATCTTCGACTTTTTCTGTTTTGATAATCTTTTACTATCGACAGACCCTTAAATTTACAACTGGAATCGTCATTATCAATGTCTCAATTCATCGCTATCTTATTCACGGATACTCCCCAAGTACCATACGGTTCATCAATTGCTAAGAAATACGGCGATTATGGTGATCAATCCATCAAACTTCTTGAAGATAATATCCCTTCAAACCTTCCTCACCCGAATTACAGTTTCAAGAAGTATCGTACAAAAGAGTATATGCAATTACCTCTGGATGACGAGTTAAAAAGTTGCTGTGGAGTACTCGTCACTGGATCACGATCTGATAGTTTTGATAACCATGAAGAATGGTTGATCCAACTTGAGAAGTTCTTGGGGAAGTTGTTACTTGATGAGCAATCACCATATTATAAGAAGATTCCAGTGGTGGGAATTTGTTTTGGCCATCAATTGTTGGCTAAACTCTTTGATAATAATGGACATTCCGATGGCCACCAAATTGTTGGGAGAAACCACCAAGGATGGGAACTTGGATTGAAAGAAATCGCCATTTCTGAGAAATTCACAAAGTATGCGGAATCATTATTACAAGAACAGTCTACAGACCAAGAAACCAGTTTCAGTACTGGGAATTTCCGCAAATTATGGCTTGTGGAATCCCATCAAGACGTTGTATATTCGGTACCATCATCCAATCTAGATCTTTTGTCGATCGGAAGTACAAACATCTGTGAAGTTCAGGGGTTATTCGATGGGAAATCAGTGCTTACGTTCCAAGGCCATCCAGAATTTGATACTGATTTCCAAGATTATGTATTGTTGCATAGGGATGTTGATATCGGGATTTTGACGATGGATGAGTATCGGGAGATGATTGGCAAGAGTGGGAGGATCAATGATGGTTGGAAGATTGGGCAGTTGATCAATGCGTTTTATCAGAGATTTGGAGACTATGCATAAATATATAGAATTTTAATAGACCCGGTGAATTGATAGAGAACTGACTAACTGGAAGAAGCACAAGAAGCAACGGAAGTACCATAATAACGTGATCAGCATGTGATCTCAATCAGGCTACAGATCACGTGCATATTAGGGGTGTCATGAATCACACGGCAAACCACCCCCACATCGGTATCACAACAACAAAAAAAATTGTTTTCCGCAAAAAATTACATCACTAAATCGCTTTTTAATTTAGATAGCTGAAAAAAGGACCCTGTTTTTGTTGAGTATTCCTAATTATAGCCCGAGAGTTATCCAACTCATTTTAGGATATATAGATTGACCCCATTGTCATTGGAATAGCGCGTTTGTCTCTCTTTTTAATCTCTCAATTACTTTGTCAATCATTTTTTACATTAGAAAAGCTCCTTTCTATTCCTTGTCAAGTGAGGTTCATTAATATATATATACATCTATTCAACAAACACATTTCCTTTTGAGATGCCTGACTCCCTCAAAGTTTCGGAAAATACTGTCGGAAATAGAAGACGTGGGTCTTCTGTCGGTAATATGGCAACCGTGGGTCAACACGGTCTTTCCCTTCTGACCACAATTTCCAAAGATTCTAAACACAAAAGATTAAGAAAACTCAACACCCAGAAAGTCAAGAACAAGCAGGACTTGCTCGCTAAATTCTATTACAGCTTTTTGGAATTGAATTTCAGAATGACTTGGCTCAGCCCGCTTTTGGTGGTGGTGTCGGTATTGACGTGTTATTTACTCAGTAACAACTACACCGAATCTAATCCCCTTCACATGTTCATCACCATTTCTTATAAAACCGACGAAATTGATGATAATGGGTATTATTTGTACGACAAAGGTCCCAAAGATTTTGCATTTGTGTTTTTTTATATGATTTTCTTCACATTTTTCAGAGAATTCGTGATGTCAGTGTTGCTTAAACCAATGGCGTATAAATTGAAAGTCCACAAAACTGGTAAAGTTGGGAGATTCACTGAACAGATGTATTCCATTGTATATTATGGTATCAGTTCACCATTTGGAATGTGGGTGATGATGAAGTTGCCAGTTGGTTGGTTCAACACCTATTATTTTTATGAGACTTATCCGCATAAAACGATTTTCTCATGGATGAAGGTATTTTACCTTGGTCAAGCAGCATTTTGGTCACAACAAGCTGTTGTGGTGATGTTGCAATTGGAAAAACCAAGAAAAGATTTCCAAGAATTGGTGTACCATCATATCATTACCATGTGTTTAATCTATGCTTCTTATACTTTCAATTTCACCTGGATCGGCATTGCCATTTATTTGACAATGGATATTTCTGATTGGTTCCTCTCGTTATCCAAGGTGTTGAATTATTTGGACGCTGCGATCACCCCGGTGTTCTTTGTGCTCTTTGTTGGTCTGTGGATCTATTTTCGTCATTACCTTAACATCAAGATTTTATGGTCGGTATTGACAGAATTCGAGACCGTGGGGACTTATAGATTGGATTATCAGAATGGGGCCTACAAGTGTTTTATCAGTAAACCAATTGTGTTTGTCTTGTTGTTTGCATTGCATTTGTTGAATTTGTTTTGGTTATTCTTTATTCTCAGAATTTTGTACAGATACATTTTCCAAGGGGTCGCTAAGGACGACCGTAGTGATGATGAAGATAGCGAAGATGAAGACGACTATGAAGGGTATTCCACTGACTCGGAGGAAGATTCTAAGGAGAAGAAGGAGTGAAAACAATGTGAGAAAGATTGAAGACAAAAAAAAAATATCATTCAAGTAATTACTGTTTATTTGCTCTTTTGTTGTGTTAATTGTTAACTTTTTAATTGCCATTCTTTATTGATAACTATTTAATTATTCTTTGAAGATCGATGAAGATCTTAATACCATTTAATTCTACTATTCGAATGTTACCTGTAGAAAATAAGAAATGATAAAGTATAATAAAATATAATAAAATATAATAAAATATAATAAAATATAATAAAATATAATAAAATATAATAAAATATAATAAAATATAATAAAATATAATAAAATATAATAAAATATAATAAAATATAATAAAATATAATAAAATATAATAAAATATAATAAAATATAATAAAATATAATAAAATATAATAAAATATAATAAAATATAATAAAATATAATAAAATATAATAAAATATAATAAAATATAATAAAATATAATAAAATATATGTGGAAATATTTTGTTATAACAAATGAGCGAAATTTACCCGGTATTGGTATCACATCGCCTACTTTTTTTTGGTAGTGGCAAATTGTTACACCTTTTAATAACCAGTAATCAACCATCCAATATTTAAATTACCATATTATCTATCTTTTCATGGCTGCCAATCCTATAGAATCTCTGATCCTTAAGGCCACCGACGAGTCATTAGTCTCCGACAACTGGGAATACATCATCGATGTCTGCGACTGTGTCAATGATGACCCAGATAATGGAGCGGCCAACGCCATCAAGGCCCTTAATGACCGTCTAAAGATCAACAATGCAAATATTCTTCTTAGAAGTTTGTCATTGCTTTTGTCACTTGCTGAGAATTGCGGCTCCAAAATGAAACAAGAGATTTCTTCTCTGGCATTTACCGGGGAATTGTACCTGATCATTGATAACCGTCATATTCATTACACTATCAAGATCAGAATAGTGGAAATCATGCAACAGTTGTCCAAATCATTTAAAAGCGATCCTAGTCTAAAGAATATCGACAAATGTTTGGCAAAAATCACCCAGAATCACCCAAACTTGTGCCCTCCGGTTCCAAAAGTCCCTACTAAAGCAAGAATGGACACCAGTGATTTGAAGAAAGAAGAAGACGAATTACAAGCAGTGTTAAAATTATCATTGGACGAGTACAAACAGGTGGAAGAGGTAAGAAAAGCAGGCAATACTGTGGCACCAATGATTGAGGAATCAAAGAAACCACAAGAGCCAAATAGTATGCCAAAGGTTAATGATACAGATGTCAATAAACCTATCCCAAATGCCAATAATACTAATACCGATGCCTCAGTGTCTGAAATCAAGAAAACTGATAAACAAACTCCAGCAATGGTGAGTAAAGTTAGAGCATTGTATTCTCTCCAAAGTAGCGAACCTGGAGAATTGTCATTTGAAAAAGGCGACGTTATCACCGTATTAGAAAGCGTATATACCGATTGGTGGAGAGGCTCACTCCGTGGTAAAATGGGGATCTTCCCATTGAATTATGTCACTCCAGTGGCCGAACAGACCAAAGAAGAAATGATCAAAGACATTGAAGTGGAGTATAACATACTTCAGCAATCGAAAAACATTGAAAGATTGTTGATCAAATTACAATCTTTGAACACTAGCGATGACCCAGCACAAGTGTTAAATACCGACGATGATGATTTGATCCAAAACTTATATAACAATATCACCCCACTTAGACCACAGGTCGCTAGATTGATTGGCAAATACTCTATGAAGAAAGAAGAATTGATCGATTTGGATACCAAGTTAACTGAAGCCGAGAGAACCTATAACGATTTGTTGAATGCCGCTACTTCGAAATACAAGCAAACAAGTTATCAGCTCCCACAACAACCTACTGGATATCCTGCTTATAACCATAATCCTTTCCAACATAACTTACCTCAAACTTCAAATGTACCAAATCCCGTCAGTCCCCAAATGACCAGTAACGTTCCTCCTGCATACAACTATAGTACTACACAACACCAAATCCCTATCAGTTCACAACATCAAAACCCTCCACAACATCAAAACCCTGTCAGCTCACCACCAGCAACAAGCTCTTCTAACAGTCATCCATCCTACCCATCTAGCTACACCGCTCCACAAAACCCACCGGTTAATGCCCCTCAAGGTCACAACGTGGCACACAATTATCCAACTAGTAATCCCTCTTACCCACAAGGCAACAATTCTGCACAAACTGTAGTCGCCGCTTTCCCATCATCTCGCCCTCAACCAGTAAACTATTCGTTACCTCGTCCAACCATTAAAAACAAGACATCTTCTAACATTCCAAGTAATGTTGCTGCTCATACATCTCCTGTTAATACCGGCGGTGCAAGTCTCAATACTGGCTCCTCTATTACAAGAATTAGTACTGGTGCTGCCCCTTCTAACACTGGTAGTATCCAGGCACCAGTGGAACCAATGGCCACTGGTGTTGGGTTCGGAAACTCTCCAAAAGTCAATGCTACCCTGACAAACAAGCAAAATAATGTCTTTGCTACTATGCCAAGTGTTCCATCGGCAATCCCAGTCATTAATCAGGGAGTCTCGAATCCGCCGTATCCTGACAGCACTACTGGGTTGCTTCCTAATTTTGCAAGCTTAACTTCTGGGCCATCAAATACTGCATCTCTAATGTATCCTCCATCCAACGGGCCAGGATATCCTACTAGTTCTGGCAGCCTGAATCCGCCAAAAAATACTGCTCCTAAGTATCCTCTTAATTCTGGCGATTTCTTGCCAAGATCTACCTAACCTTAAGTTTTTGTTATTTTTTTATTTAGTCAGTTGTTATCCATAATATAATATAATTATTGTCATTGAATATGATCATTACTATTAAAGTATAATAAGATAAGCGAGATGAAATAGGATAAACAATGTTTGGAATATCAATCACGTGGTGAAAAACACCACTATCAAAAACATAAACACAAATAAACCCATCCTGTTACTCTGTTTTACGTGAAATATTCCCAGCAAATAAAGACAATCATCATGGACGATACCACCGCAAAAGCCCTTGGAGACAGATTATACGAGAAAAGACGGTCTGCGGCGCTTTCTGTTGAAAAAATGGTGCGGCAATTGCTTGCCCAAAACACCACTGAGGCCAAAGACCAAATCTCCAAAATCATCGACCAGCTTTGTCAGGATTACGCCTATGCCGTACATCAACCGAATGCCAGAAACGGAGGGTCCATTGGGCTTGCGGCAGTGGCGATTGCCTTGGGATCCAACCACATTGCCATCTATTTGGACAGAATCATCATGCCAGTATTGGCGTGCTTTAGCGACCAAGCGGCCCAAGTGAGGTACTATGCGTGTGAAGCATTGTACAACATTGCCAAAGTGGCCAAGGGAGAGATCTTGGTGTATTTTAACGATATCTTCGATGTGTTGTGTAGGCTATTTGCTGATTCGGAAAACAGTATTAAAAACGGCGCGAATTTGTTCAATCGTTTGATTAAGGACATCGTTCATGAAAAAGCCGCCACCTACGTTTCGGTGATCCATGCCAATAATAATGACGATTCGTATTTAGTGGAATCACATCATTTGGACAGCGATGGGTATTACTCACAATATAATTCCCGGCAATCCAATACCGCGTTCTCGTTGCCGAAATTCATCCCGGTGTTGAAAGAACGACTCTTCACTAATAATCCGTATACCAGGTTGTTTTTGGTGGACTGGATCATGTTATTGAATTCTGTTCCCGATTTGGAATTGATCAGCTTTTTGCCAAACTTCTTGGGTGGGTTATTAGGTTTCTTAACCGACCAAAAAAAAGATGTCCGGATCATCACTAACAAATGTTTGTCGAAATTTCTTGAAGAAATTAAACGAATTGTCGAGACAAAGAAAGTAGTAGAACAGCACAGATTATTGCGGTTGGAAAAAGCCCAACAACAGAAACATTTGGAACAGTTTAAAAAACTGCACAAGCGGATCCATAGTATCGATTCCGCCAATAGCGTTCATCCAGAATCGTTCAACCATGAGATGTCATTATTAAAGATTAAAGACGAAAATAAGAATACCGATGAAAGTGAAGGGAATATTGAGGATGATGAAGATAGTGGTGATTCTTCGAAGTTAAAAAATGATGTAGTCGAGGATAAGAATGATCATGATGATGATACTGATAAATCAGATGAAGACAGTGAATTCGAAGAATCCGAAGATGAATCGGGAAGTATGGTGGGTGATTCTTATTATAATGATAGTGAGGGTCCGCTTTACCTCCCATTGCAGGATGTCCAATTAAATTTTGCGGAAATTATTAGGATATTGATTGCTAATTTGGACAATAAGAATGAAGAGGTCCAATCAGTGGTACTCAATTGGATCGAAACTTTACTTGATATTACCCCTACTAGTTTCATCCCATTAATTTGTGGGTTATTGGAAACTCTCGTGATGATTTTATCCTCGGGTGATTCGGTAAAACAGATCAAGGAAAAGGCCAAGGCAATCGATAGGAAATTGGTCGAACTCATCTATCTTTATTTAGATCTTACTGAAATTCACAGCGAAGATAACAACAACAATGATTCAAAACCTCTTACTTCTTCTTCTTGTCCTACTCCTCCCGTCACTGCTCCCGATGTTTCATCTTCATCGGCGCCGCCTCCTCCATCTATTCCCCCAGCAACTGCCACTCTCCCACGTTCTGCTTCTTTCTCGTCGTCGTCTTCTTCACCATCTTCTTTGCCTCCTACTGCTTCCACTGCTGTAGCACCTTTGACCATCACCAAAGATTCCAAACCTAAATTCGGGTTTTCTGATAAACTTATCTATCCAAGTGATTCGAAGAAAAAACCTATCCCGACTCAAGATGGAAATTCCATATATAATTCTTTGGTCAATATCATCACCAGTAATTTACTCAATGTTGACGAATCCACCAAACTCCTTTTACTCGATTGGTTGATCATGTTACACAAGAAATCGGCAAAACTTTTTGTCTCCAATTCACTAAGTAAGACTTTCCAAATCTTACTTAAGAGTTTATGTGGGGAATCTGCGGCGGCGGTTGACAAGGATTTGATCTTGATTTCGGAAATTTCCACCAGTGCCAATGACTCGCTATTCTATCAATTAATGTTAGATCTTGTGGGACTTTTCAAGAATGATCGGAAATTATTAGAAGGTAAAGGGAACTTCATCATTAGGAAACTTTGTGTGAATTTAAATTCCGAGCGAATTTATAAATCATTGGCCCATGTGTTATTCGATATCGATCACAACACTGTTGTCAATAACAAAACCCTTAAAAACAATTTGGGATTTATCAGCATCATGATCCAGATCCTCAATAGTAATTTGATTACCGCTCCGGAATTGTCAGCATTACGTAGCAAGTTACGCAACCTTAACACCAAAGAAGATTGGCAACTTTTCTCTACCTTATTTAAATGCTGGTCATATAATTCCCCTGCATGTTTATCGTTATGTTTGTTATCCCAGAATTACGAAATGGCGTATAATTTGTTGAGGATTTTTGAGGATTTTGAAATCACCGTGAATTTATTGATTCAATTAGATATTCTTGTACAATTACTCGAGAGTCCGGTGTTTGTGAAACTTCGGTTACAACTTCTTGAGCCTGATAAGTACCCGTACTTGCTCAAATGTCTTTACGGGATCTTAATGCTTTTGCCACAATCCAATGCCTTCAATACTTTACAAAGGAGATTGAATTCGATCAATGGGTATACTATTAACACTGGAGCACTTCCGGGAGCTACCACAATGTCGCCATCGACTTTGGCCACATCCGCGCTCTCGTCAACTTCAAAGTTGATCTCTGGTAAAAAGCAAAAGTATAATGATTTGATCAAGTTATTCAGAGAAGTGCAGCAGAAACATGAGAATGTTCGATTGGATAGTAATTGAGAGAAAATGAATGAGTATTTGAATTAGTTATGTATCTTTTGGACGCCTTTTTTTTTTAATGTAATATATAGGATTTTCGCAAGAAAAATGATTTGCTGGTTGTAATTGTGATTCTTTTTTGACGCCCATGTTCTCTTTCCTCACTTTCTACTATGCTATGCTTCTCCTTGTTTCTTGAAATTTTATTCAATCGTCTTGTTATTCAGCTCAGTTGATCTTATTTTTCTTTATGCGTGTTTTTTTGGTTTTGGTCACTATTTTGTCAACTTTTTTCTATGACCATAATCATCTGCTCTAGTGGGTTCATCTAACTATTTTACTCTATCCTTTCCTTCACTTATTATTTATGCTCAACTCATTTCTTCATTTCTCTTTCTCTTCTTATTGTCTTCTGAAAACCTGTTTCTCCTTTTTTGGTACAAATATTTTCCTGCTCTAACCGTTTTCTTTAGTTGTATGTACACTAGCTTCTTTTTTAATTATCTTCCTCTGATAATGCTCCTTGCTTTAATCCATCCTCTTGAAATATTTCAGCATTTTTCTTTTGTTTTGTTTTGTTTTATGTTGTTTCCTGTAAATATGTTTACTCCGCTAATGTCAATTATCGCTATACTCCGGCAGCTTATATAAGCTGATATACTTTATACTACGAATGTGGCCACCCTACTTTACATTTTATCGTGTTAAATTATTCTGTTGTTTTATTATTCATTTGTCTTCCTTAGTGTTATTGGAAGACAAGAACCGATCCCACTATTATTATTCATTTAATACATTTACCCATATATGGGTGACGTGGTGGATTGTCTCCTGTCGTTTTTTGTTTCTGCAATCACGTAGAACAGCGAATAATTCCAATAAGAGTGTATAACAGTAACTCACTTCTGCAGGTATATGATTATTTAGCATCAAGAAAATGGGTGAGTAATTAATCGATTGTTACGAGTTACCCTAATAATAGGTTAAGAATTATTAATGATAAAAAATAAGGACAACAAAAATAAGATGAAAGTGGGGTGACTATAATCGTACTATGTACAATAGATTGTACACGTTCTATCACATTGCAATATTCTAAGAATTCTTTTTTAAGACAGTTTTCCAAGATCCCTTAAGGTAACAATTTGAACAGTTTCGTGAGCTTGAAAGTACAGACTTGGAACAATATAAATCGAAATATGGGTTGGTAACATAAGCTACCCAGGCAAATCTTCAAGTCGCATTTCCCACGTCGCCCTTCGATGAATTTTGCGGTGATACCGCCAATACACACAACATGCATGAGCTGAGTCCCGTGGGCGGTGCTACTTTCCATTGGGCTTTGGTCTTATCAATAGGGGGAGGAGAGACTTGATTATGAATAAGCGGTGGGGCACGTTATTTGTATAAAATCCACTTGAAAGACTCAGATGGTATTATTTTTTTGACTTTTTCCTTCCTCCTTGTCAAGATCTTCAACTTTTTTTTTTAAGTTGACATTAGCGTCTTTTTTTTTATCTGACTTTTTGCTTTTTCCTTTATTTTCCAGTAGCTATGATCTTTATTAACAACAGTGCATGTGAATTAGAAGATGATTGTTCGTCTACCTTATCTGCTGCATCTATCGTATCAATCGTTTTGATTGTTATGGGTGTGGTATGTTTGATCATTTACGCAGTGGCTCGGATCCATCAACGTCGACAACGAGCTAAACACGCCGACCAATTTGATCCTACTTCACAACAACACTCGATGGAGAAAGAAATAATCGAGTCTCCACAATCTTCTGCCAGCACCGTGACTTTTGCCAGTAATGATTTTAGCCACGATACCACCAAGCTTCAACATAATTCCGCGTCTTCACTTTCCAGTGGTGATACTTTCCTTAACACCAATACTGGTGCCCCAACCCCAGCGATTAGCGTGACCCACCAATTCAAGACCAAAGTTTACGACCGCAAGAAGGGTGTTGAAGCAAATGATTCCATCTCGGTTGGCAGTACCGATACTACGGTAGGTCACCAAAACAGTACCGGGTATATTGTTAGAGCACCGAATAATAATAGTAGTAGTGCCACTTTGCACTCGATTGGATCGTTCCAAAATGGGTTCGTTGAAGTACCATTGCCAGAAAAAGTGATTTCTAGACCAATTCAAAATATAGTTTGATGGAAATCATCCCAATTGAGGCTACGGTAGTTATAAAAAAAAATCGTCCCAATCGAAGTTATCAATGATCAGCGGAAGTTTTGGATTTTGTGTGAATTCCAAAAAAGAAAATTTGAAATTCATCATGAGTGGTGTTTCTTCAGTTCAAAATTTTAAAAAATCCTTCAAATTATGAGTTGTTATTTAATAAGTTCTCAGAAATATGCCGCAATAATTTAGAGAATTCATTCATCCCTAGAATAATAGAGTTTTATTAGTTTTTTTATGTATTTTTTTATTTTTTTATTTATTTTCCCTAAATATGTTACCAAGACTTTTTACAAAGAAAAAATATAAGAGTTTTAGAGCAATAATTATTATTCGTAATATTATATATCTTTTTGAGACACAATAATACCAAGATTTTTAAAAAAAAATTATTTCAAAGACCTTAGATTAAATCCCAAAGTTGGAAGGTGATGTTCCAACTGAGCTCGGCTTAAATGCAAAAATTAATTATGTTTCAATTGACCTTGGACTAAACTCCAAAACCATGTACCAGAGAATACTCTTCTTGATGCCAGTTTTCCTTTTCCAGAGCAGGTCCACCATCTTTTCAAGAAACCGTACATGACAATACTGAGGCAACGAAGTCAGAAACATGATGATACAGGAGGCATCTTTGTCGAATTTACATAGAAGTGACATGTATCAAAGTTTTATTATATTACCTTATAAGTCACCAAAATTCAAACAAAAACAAAACAAAACAAAAACAAAACAAACAAATATAAATGAAATATATATATATATATATATGTACACTATATATATCATATAGTACACCACAATCACCATTTATCAAATTGATGAGCCAAAACCGAAAAAAAAAAAAAAAAAAATATAACAATAAACAAATAAATAAAGAAAACCTTAACTTTTTTTTTTTCAAACAACACTCAGGAAATTTTCACATCAATAAATATCGTGAAAAAAAAAAATCCCCGACACAAATAATCACCGATTATCACATCTTTCAAAATATATCATGACGACTGGTTTTATTGGAATTGGACACAAAAATGATCTTATCCTCCTTATTATCCCACACTTGGTCCTTGTATCTTGTAACCGATGGAGGTTTTTTCCCCTTCTTGGTCTTGAAATCTTCAATCAATAATGCATTTTTGATACTATTATGATTGAGCTTCTTATTCCAATTAACGCTCGGATGCATCAAAGAGTCTTCATAAAGATCATCTAACAATGTGTCATCGGTAAATCCCAAATAGTCATCAGTGGATTTCACACTAGTAGTTTTGGAATCCCCTGGCAACGAATTAATAGGAGTAACGGCCCGGGAATTCGATCTCGTTCTCCTACCAGCGGTCTCTTTGGTGCCGATTTTCGGATCGGGAAATAACCCTGATCCATGAGAATTTAGAGATTCAAAGAAATTGTCATAAATCGGACTGGTGAAATATGGCCGGAATACCGGTTGGTTAGGAATTCCTTTGTCAACTTCTTTCTTCAATCTATTCTTTTGTTTGAGAATAGAGGTTTTTTGTACCGTGGATTTTTCCAGTTGTTTTTTCGCCAATTCATGATTCGGCGCCTCAATGTTCAATGATTTATAACTATTGGTATTCTTGATTAAAATGATTTTATTATGATTAGTTGGACTGTCCTTGGTAGCTTTTTCTCCCGAATCTACAAAAGATGATTCATTAGTACCGATACCACGATCCTTACCATTATCTTTATCAGTCACCGTCTTTGAGGCTATGCTATCCCACAAATATTCCGCACGATCACTAGCCCACTTTGGGGTAGTTGGCTCAACAATTTCCGAAGTATCGTTTCCTGAATCACTCGAGACATTGCCGGTGCTTCCATGAAGCTTCTTTTCTACTGGTAAACTAATCGTCTCGAATCTCGATCTACCTTGTCTGTCAATGAATTGCTCTAGATCTTTTTTGCCCACTTCACTTTGCAATCCAATGATATCCCCAGTACTTCTATTATCTTTGACCTTAAATACTCCATTGAATACTCCATTGCCATCTTCGCAATATTCATCCTCCGAGTCATTGTTTCCAAGGCCCAAATAATTTTCTGCCAAGTCGTCATCTGACGATTCAACAATCATTTCTGGGCGGTATGTCTTATCATTTTTCCGTAATTCTTTAAAACTAGCAGAAATTTTATCATCAGCAGAACTACCAGGATAATTTTTTGCAGGTAGTGGCTTTAATGTTTCATTAGAAGCTCCCGGCACCACTAAGTTGATGTCATCCCCATCCAGAGATTCAACAATAGTTGGTATTTTCAAAGGAATAGAATTTGTTGGTACTTCCACAGAAGTTGGTAATTCTTGACTCTTCTGGGTTGTAGGAGACACTGGGTTACTCTTGTTATCTTCGGCATAATCCAATTCCGCTTCATTATCACTTTCAGAACCATCACTATCGGAATCATCACTATCCCCACCCAAATAAAAAGCAGCACTTTTAGATCGTCTTCTATTATTGACATCAACTTGAAGACCTTTGAGATTTAGCCCGCCGCGGTCTTGGAACGATTTAGAAGTGCTGATAGACGAAGTGCGATTCCAATTCAATCTAAACGAGGATAATCTACTTTTCAAAAAACTATTACTGGAAGATAGATCAACGCTTTTCCGGTTGCGGTCTTTAGCAGTACTGATAACGTTGTCAAAATTGAAGTTTCTTGGATTGATGGTATAAAACTCATCATCATTATTATCGTTATGGAGGGATGTTTGCAGAGATACCGATTTTTCAAATACCACACCATTAGTCATTCTAAAATTATTTTGATTATTATTATTATCCTCATTGGCCAAATTCTGTTGAGCAAAATTATAACCCCCAATGGCTAACAGCGAATCAGCTAATTTATCGGCCTTTTCAGTTGCTTCATCATTGGTGTATTTAATTGGCTTGTTGATTTCTTTGGGGTCATTGGTGGTCAAAATGGTGTTTTTCCGATGTCTTTTAGATTCATCCACTGGGACCTCGAGTCCATTAACCAAGGTATGGGAACTTGAGTTCTTTTCCACCAAAACGTAATCTTCTGGTTCTGGGTAACTGGTAGGATTCTTGAAAACGTCGAAATCAATGATTTTGTCATAATTGAAGTTCAGATCTTGATGATCGGGGTTGATTTTGCTGAAGCAAGGGAAATTTATATTTGAATACTCCAAATTCCATTGTTTATTGGTACTGGAATTTTCCGCTGTGGCAATTTTCGCCTTGTTTTCCAAAAGGATAAACGAGCTCGGAGGTATGTCGATGAAATTATATTCTTTGTGTGATTTTTGGCGAGTGGCGTTGCCATAATTATTCAAATAATTGTTTATTAAGCTTCCATGGGTTATCACCAAGCAAATATTAACAGTATCAGAGGATTCCTCTTGGTTTTCTTCAGTATAATAATCGATCAAATTGCAGGCGCCATTTAGGCATCGAGTGGTGAAGTTATCCAAATTATCGTTGAAAGAGCCATAATCTCCTAATCTATTCTTCTCCCAATTGCTATCATAACTAATATTCTCACGATTTTTTAACTCATTACAGAGCCATGATTCATTAGATTCCACAAGGGTATTTTGAACACGGTCGCACTTACCATCATTAGTAATCACATTGGCAGAAAATGGGATATTGTCCGACAGTGCAAGTTTGAAAAAATAATCATTATAATAATATTCACTAAGAAAATTATCGATCCTGATCATGAATTCCACCGGTTGTTGTATTTTTTCTTGATCAATAAGAGTTTTCAAATTTTCTATGGTATAGAGGGTGGTTTGCAAACAGCGCTTGTACGGAGATGAGTGGATACAAAACTTGATAGGCTTTTGAGATCCTGAGAGACTGGTTCTTAACCCAGAAAATAAGTGTTTTGCCAATAAGTAACATTGCTTATACGCCAAGTCACCAAATTGGGTCACTGGGTGGTCGATCAGAGAAACCCCCAAGGTATCACGTTGATCCTGTGTTTTGATGGTGGAAATGAACTCCTGCGTGATCGAATATCCAGGATCATTAGACAAAACATCGTATAACTTATGTAGTTTACTGAACTGAGTGTTATTGATGGTTTCCATGTATTTTTCAAGACATTTTTGCGTGACAAGGATCTTAACTAACAGCTGGTACAATCCATCATAGTTCTCCACTGGTGATGAAAATCCATGCTGCCGACTAAAAGCTCCCAGGAGCTCATCGTCTAGTAGCTGTTCTAATAGCTGAACCAAACTTTCAGGCGAAAGACAATCCAGCCGTAATGAATGACGAATCAATATTAGGCTGGTAAGTCTCATGATGACGACACACTGATGGATCTCAGTTCCTCAATTTTTCTCTCTATTCGTTGAAGATTGATGGATAATTTTTTTTCGGGTCGCGTGAGCTGGAACTATGAAATGTCTCTCCTTCCTATTCGTGCTTGTATCTCCTCTTATAGATTCTGGTGGATGGTGGAAAGTACTGTTGTTGTCGATGAGGTTACCTCGTAAAGAATGAACGATGACCACTTTTTTTATTTTTTTTTTCTTTTCTGCTTTCTTTTTTCACATGCCAAATTTGTATCCACTTACTTACGTAAGCACATAATATACGATATTCTTTTTAGTTATATGTATTTGTAAACATATATATATCTACATAAATAAATAGTTGCAATTTTTGAAAAGATATTGTATTTTTCTTTCTAATTATTGCCATCCTACAAGTAATTATCATTCTCGGAGTTTATTTCTACCAGAAGTTCCTCCGGGTCCATTTCTGTGGGTCAATAGCCTAAGGGAATAATCTATTAGGTATATTATACTCTATCACTACATCCTCTACTCAATCAGTCTAATCCCAAATCTCTGCTCTCTTTCATCATCTGTCGCTTCAATAAGGTCACCTCCTTTTTGTGCTTCTTGGACTTCTCATGTGCCAAAAACTGGTTCTCACTTTTGAAAGTCTTGTTACAAACAATACACTCAAATAATTCTACCTCCTCCTCTTCCTCTTCACTATCAGATCCAGCAACATCACCACCACCTATACGACCATTAGTCATGTCGTCTTGAATGGTATCTTCATCTAACGACCTGTTTTGCTTGGTTATATCAATACCTTCGAATGCCTTCTCCAAATCTTCGGGGTCATATTTCTGCCAATCTTGCAACTCAAAATTCTCGTTCATCTTCATTTTTTCTCGTTCTAATCGAAGTTGTTCATTTCTTCTTTCCATTTCAATTTTTGCCTTTTCCTTCCTCTTCCGTTCTAATTCGTCAACCCCCTTCTTCACTCTTGGGTCTCTCTTTTTAACAAATGCCACAAACGATCTAACCGTCTCATTATACTCTTTCTTCGCATTATCTCTGGTCTTCTTATTGGTCTTTTCGATGGCTCTTCTGGTTCTTCTATCCATACTGCTGGCGTACCGATAATGATCTTTCCAAGAAAACGACTTTACCGTGCTGAAATTGCTCCAGTTAGCATAAAACTCCCGCACTATTTTCTCATAATCACTATGCCCACTGCCAAATACCGGGTATTTCAAATCTTCCCCGACGTACCCTTCAATATCGTCGTTGAAAAAATTATAATCGTCCAACCCTTGCAGCTTTCCACTCGCCACTTCTTCGGCTGCCAAACTCTCGAATACTCGTCCGGCAACTTTGTAAAACCCTGCCACAGTATCATCATACCGACGATACAAATTAGGATCGAAAAATTTTAGTAAGTCCAGGGCGGTGATCCCAATATCTTCATCCAAATCCTCGCCGTCATCATCGACGTTTGTCTCTCGCAATATCTGGTTTTTATGTGAATCATACCATGCTCGTTCTTGGGGATCGCTTAATACTTCGTAAGCTGCCTTGATTTCCGCAAAGATCCTGGTGGATTCATCAACGTTGTCGGGATTCTTATCAGGATGGTATTTGAGCGCCGCCTTACGATAAGCTTTCTTGAGCTCAGAGTCTTCTGCCTGTACTGAGACCCCTAGAAGTTCGTAATAATCCTGCTTCATGATAATGGTTGATCGTATGGACAAAGTTCTCTTCATAGGCAGAGAATGTATTTGAAAGATTATTGAAAGTCTGCTCGGAAAACCGGTTGTAAATGCACGTGATCACCGGTGGGCTTATAATAATACACAATGTATTATATATTATACATTACATATCATTTATAGATATGGAGAGATTTGTTATGATGGACAAGAGATGTTTCGGACTATTTTTAGGGAGAAGAGGTTTCAAAAAACCTACGAAACATGTATTTGTAAACTGCAATCATGTCAGTAGTTCTGTAAAATACATAGAAAATCCATAATGAACTGAGAAAACAGGTAAAAAATAACAGACAGAAGAATCAAAAGAAGATTTTAGTTACCATTTAACGGTATTCAACTCATATTTATCAGAAAGCAGTGGACAATGTCTCATTTATATACTCACTTATGGTGGTGATCTTCCTCATTTTACTCTGCTCGACGACTGATTATCCCCATTTTTAAATAATGTGAACATCATTTATAGAGTTACAAACCATTTGGTAAGAACTCAATCGTTTTTCATTCAATTCAGCCATATTTCAACGCCCAAATTATTTTTATTAAAGCCATGTGTTATTTATGATCCGTTGACAACGGAACTAAGATATAGATAGAAATATATGTGGTGTTTATTTGTTTCTTAGTACTTATCACTCTGTTGATCACAATTCTGTAAACTAGAACTCATATAGTAAAAGAATAAGTGATGTTAGAGAGCCACTAAATCTTCTATCGCTCATTCCTGTTTGTTAAAAACCAAGAGAAAGTGGGTCCATATACAACTGATAGAAAAAGATATATAATGCTATTAAACATAATGACATTGTTCACTGAGCTGTACCAAAATGAAAAGAAGCAATTGATATAAGTGTAAATTGGGGTCATAATGTATGAAGTCACCATGTATTTGTTTGATGCCATCAAAGTTGTAACTATCTCATATTAATATTTTATTTTGCTGTCTTATTCTATCATCAATTATTATTAACTCATTATTGTGATTAAATAGACAATGAATCAATCTATTCTTTATTTATTCTTAATAATACATTTCTTACTGTGGTCATTCCTGAGTAGTTGTATCCCCAAGCCTTACCTCGAGTTAAGTAGTTAGAGACCAATTGTGATGGTCGCTATTTGACTTTTTCATTCGATATCCAATCTGCAGTCGGCATTTATGTGCATTGTTTACAGTATAATATATAATATATAAGGAACCATCTCTACATCTTTACCGGCACTAACCGTTGCTACACATGATTATCGATAAAAGGTATAAATACAAAACCTGATAACGGTGATTGTCTCTTCTCTTATCATTGACCTGACGTAGATATGCTTGATCACAAACGACAGAAACTTAATGGTATCGGTTCTCCCACAACCCTTAATAAATTGTTACCTATCGAAAGCTTACCTCGGGTTGATGGCAAAGCGTAATTTCCTAGAAAAATTAACTTGGTGGGAAACTTTTTTTGTGAATTATGGTCTTTGAATAGTTTATCATTATACAATGTCCATGGCATAGTTATTGAAAGACCAATAAAAGTTTTATTAGTAGTGCCACTTGAAAAATATGGATTTGCCCCAAATTTGGAATCATTAGAAGTGACAGCCAATGAAATTAAGAAGTTCACTGCTGATCTATGCAATCTTTCTAAATTGGATTGCAATAAAATGGAGAGTTTGAACCACTTAGAAAAATTATGAAACCTTCTAACATTGAACTTGCGAAACAATACATTTTCTCTGATCGAGCAAATTTCTAAAGGAATCCCTCCGACAAGTCGAAAATTGAACCTGCTAATTTTCGACAAGAATCCGATCGAGGAAGCGACAAAAATGAAAGATTTGAAGAAAATTAGAAACTTTGCTGATGTGAAATGCTATCTTCATATTCACTTGAAACCCTTTTTGGAATTAATGCTAAAATGCCGGCTAAATTTAAGGATAAGATTCGATGGTGGACTGACGGCTAATCAACATGGTATATAAATGATATAAATGGGATTGGTGGTCCTACAAAAATTTATTTTCTTTTGAAACATGAGATTTCTCATTTAAAGAAGTAAAATGGCTATTTTGTTTCATTTGTTGCAACTCCAAGATAACAGTGAGTCATACGGCGGCTCCTCACACAATATATATAGTAAATTTCAATTAAAAACCTCAATCTCGGCGAGGCCATTAAAGCAATTATGATATTTCTAGCCTTAAATGTTTCACAAGGTAACATTCATTATTGAAATAATGATCATAAGTTTTTCTGCATTTATAAATTGAAGAATAAAACTGTGTGAAGAACATTTAAGTCAAAATCATTACTATCTGTACCATTCTGACTCTTGGTCACATATATGAGCGCTTCACAAGCAGCAGCGCTATCTTTAATGATTATACGATTGCTAGAACAATGCTCTGGTTGCTATCAACTTTATTTCTTTGTTATTTCATATTTCAATAAATAATAGTTTAATAGTGATTTTAATTACCGGTGAATCTTGTGAGACTCAAAGAGAGTTAGTTCATTAATCATGTCTGTTAACCTGCCGCATTTCCGGTATGACATTATACCAAACGAATTGACAATCAAGGTACTTAGAAATATAAGCCTTTGTGAGTGTTTATTTCTAATTCGGACGCTCCCATCAAGTCACAGAACCTACCAATGTGCTGTGTTTTTGTTGCTTGAAACAGTAGAAATCTATTGTCATGGTGGAAATGAGAATCCTCGATGTTTTGAGGATATTTTTGAAATTAAAGATGAGTCTGAGACTGGGATTGATGAAATTACCTGTGATAATACAGGCCCATTGATTAGAATATTTTGCCTCCATCTCCCGAAGATTCTAAAATATCAATCTGCAATTAAAAAAATTGTGATATCTTGGACAAAAAATAAGGCGTTTGCTTGGAGACCTGCAATCTCCAAGTTGAATTTATCGATTATTAGGCTGTTCTTGGGATGCTGCACCAGAGTTATAGAAGTTGAACAAACATGTGGTTTTGAATTCCGATATCCTAAGTCGACGGAAATTTTGAAAATTCTCTCCGTGGAACGAAAAGGAGAATATTATTCTTTACCAAAATTTGGACCTTCCCATATTAATTTAAGCAAGATAAATTACTCACCAAATATCACGAAATTACATATTCGACTGATAAAATTCAAAAACACTCTCGCAGCTAATTAAGTATGGATGAAAAAAAAATAATGTCTTACGTGATAAATAGGAAGAGACATCTATTATTCTGTTGGATTAATTATCACATATTTAGTCTATTTATGTATCTATTATTTGGTATAAAATACTCTATATAAATGGAAATAATGTCTGTTAAACTTTGCTTTCTTCCACTGAACTTTTCTCATCATCTTTCCCGGCATGAATATCAATTCTATCTTCCTTCTTAACATCATGAACAAAAAATATCAAAAATATGGTACCCAATGCATAGCAGGCCACGCAAAAATAACTTCCATACTGATACTTATCACTCAAGGACTGTTTGTCTGTAACATCATCACCAATTATTGAAGTTATTACTGCAAATGATAACGCAACACCGAACTGAGCAAACGTCTGTGCTATGCCACTGACAATACCTTGAACTTCCAACGGGGTGGCAGTGATGATCATATTTAAATAATGCACAAAGTACAAACAGCTACCGAATGATAGCACCACTTGCCCGGTGAAGGAGAATTTCCAATAATAATCATGAATTTTGTAGTCCATTCTTGAGAATAGGATAAGACCTCCAGTGCCAATGAGAAATCCAAGCGTAGATATCCATTTTTCGGAAAATTTCCCATACACAACAGATAATCCGTATGTTGAGGCGATCATCACCACAATAAATGGCAAGTATCGGACACCCGCCATAAGTGGGGAGACTTCGTCAATATTCAAAGAGTACGAAGTATTGATAAACATGATGCCAAAGTACCCGCTGAAATTTAAGATTGAGATTATCACAAGAGGGCAAAAGTTAGGGATTTTCCAAACCGATGGCGGGATTAATAAATGAGTTTGTGCGAAATATTTTCCTGCCACATAACCTTCAAAAATAAAGAAGCATCCCACAAGCATAAACCCCACAATCAATGTTGCATATGATTTTGGCGATTTCCAGCTTTCTCCCCCTTCAGTGAATCCAACAATGATCAATAGCAACCCACTAATAAGAATTACAGACCCCATATAATCCAAATTCTTCAATTTATCCTTGCTTGGTGTTATCTTTGGGAAGTTGAAAAATGCAATGATTCCCAATATCAACGATATTCCAAACGTCACATAGGCTATCCCATGTTGATTAAGAGAGGTTTTCAAAAAAGCCCCACCAATTAACAATCCTAATGCAGTGCTTGTTGAAATAATACAAGTTAACCCTGCTAATGTGGCGTTTAATTGCTTTCCTTGGAACAAATTAGCAGTAATGGCGTAATTTGACGGTATCAATCCTGCGGCCCCAATCCCTTGTATCGCTCTGAAGACAATATAAACGTAAATATTGTCAACTATACCACAGATTAACGATGCAATGCCAAAGAAAAAAGAATTCAAGATAAATTGTTGATCATGGCCAATGATGTCCCCAACTCTTCCCTGAAACGCAATGAATCCGGAAAACGTTACCGCGTATGCTGACAAGGTCCATGAAGCTACGGTGGGAGAGATCCCATAATGCTGGTGGATAAATTTTGTAGAAACTAACAACGAAGAAACACTGAGCAAATCCAACATGGTACTTACAGACACCATAACATAAATCACCCATTTGTTTTGAAGCATCTTTGGGGTTTGGTGCTGGCATTTTTCTCTAAAATCGAGTGTCATGGCTGTATTATGTCTATCGAATTAAAATAAAGAAAACTCTCTCTACGTCCTACAGTAGAAAAAATAACCTGTTTATAGACATATTTTTTGTGGATAACAAGCTTTCATTGCCATTAGTAATCATATAGAATGAATCTGCTGCATTGTGGACTCGCGGAGGGTAAGGTCGGTCTTCAGGTAATTTGGCTGCATGCATAGTTGTCCCTTCATCAGATTTTATTATTGGCAACTTGTTCTAGAAGACATCAATCCTCAGAAACTCTATTTCAAGGCTTTTTATTATTCTAGGGATCTTACACACAGCAAAGGTCTGATAGTTGCAGAGTAGTAACGTTGAACCAAAACCCAACATCACTTGATAATTCACCCTGCATGAAAACTGACTGGAATGGTAACGATTTTAAAGCTATAATAACATAATAACAGATGCTTTGGTAGTGTGACCAATTAGGGACAGGTTTATTTCTAAACTATCAGATTTTCTGTCGAATGCTTTTTATATTTCTCAACCTTCTCACTATCAAATACATATATGTATATAAAATAATAATAGTTATTTCATCATTCGTGGTCGCATTTGCAAACTGTAACTGCTTGAAATTTAATTCAAAAACTCCTTAATTATATAAGGTGCTTTTAAATATGAGTGATCCAGAGTATTATTAATTATTTTCCATGAATTAATGTGCTCTACAAAATATCTTCTGTGAGAGGAACAAAATTAAGATGAAGCTGAGAATTAAGAACTAAATAACTGAAAAAAATCAAACGTTTAAAAAGTTGATATTGAATTAAGAACTTTCCAACCAGTGGAAAAGCACAAAAATGATGATTAATGGTGTCAAACTCAACCAGCGAGTCAAGTGGTAGAAAATGGTAATAATAATAGAATGAAGAATTGAAATTAAGAGGAAAAACCAAGACGGCTTGATCGAAATAGAAGGCAAACTTGAAGGAAAAATTATTTGGCGAAGATCAAAATTGAAGAATTGAAGAGTAATAAAGTGTTGACTATATGAATTAATCACAAAAACATAGCAGCAGCAGCACCAGCCAATCCTGCCATACCAGCAAGCCCACCAACTGCCAAACTACCAGCAGCATTGTGGTTTTGAGAAGTGGCAAGACCAGTGCTATATGGGTAAACCCCCGAGGTGTAACTGGTCAAACTGGTATCGGTTGTTGGAGAGGAAGCGTACATCCCAGAAACCGAACCATCAATGATTTCAAAACTAGTAGTTCCATCGTGGGTGCTGGCGCTATAGTACAAAGTGTGGGCTTTTCCGTTGTAGTCCCAAGAAGTCTCAGTGAATTGAATGAATGGATCTTCTTTCACGTATGCGGTGTGAGCATTTCCATCGATATCATAAGTAGTGGTGGTGTAGTAATCACCAAATGACACGATTTGAGTGTTTTCGAAAGTGGTGGTTTCGGTAACGGTAGCAGAAGCCATGTTGGTGGCGGCAGTAGTGGTGACAATAGATCCTCCATCAATACTGGTTGTGATGTATCCTTGGCCATTGGTGTACACCGAGGTGGAGGTTGCACCTTCAACAGTGGTATAGACTAATTGATCAGCGGAGTTGATGACGGCACCAACCGGAACAAAACTTTCTACATTAGTGACAGTGGCAACAAAAGAGTGAACAGTTTCGGCAGAAGCGATGGCCGCAAAGGCAGAAAGGACAAGAGGGTTGAAGAATTGCATTATTATTTTATAATTAATATAATGAGTGAATGAATAAATGAGTAAATGAACGAACGAATGAATGAGCGAACGAATGATTTAATGAATAAAAAAGGAAGGCAATCTGGAAATTAAGTAAGGAAAATAATATTATTTTATAGACACTAATGAAATGTACTCATTTTTTTCATATTATGGCATGTTGGCTGCCGAATGCACGTTGGGGCCGCAACATTTTTCTGAACATTCTGACAACAGTACCATCAATCAGTACTGGCCGTCACTGGCTATTATTAGAACCCCAAGACATTTAGTAAGATCAGAATAATAGAAATTAATAATACAGGATTTTTAATGGATTTTTTTGGGGCTTATTCATAATAAAAAAAAAAAAAAAGTGTCCTGGTATATTCTCTATTAGTTGGGTAGCTTATTTTTAATCTCGGAATGAAGTCGCTGGAAGGAAGAATCCTTTCTTTTTTTGTTTTTAAATATTTTCATTCTTCGGAATTTTCTGCTAAAAGTCGTATTAAGCAATATTTGCCTAGCAAATCATTCAACGTTCTCAAGAACTAACAACGTCCTGCGCTAGCATCTTATGCCGTGAAAAGAAAAAAAAATGGAAAATTCACAGAAACACAAATAGTAACAAAATAAAATAATATGCTACTAACGGCATGACTTGATAGAAACTGTCAAATAATGCTGTATATAGCATCATCAAATAAAATAATTTGAAAATTTTGCTTATGGCATTAATATGAGACGGCAGATAACCATAGAGATTAAGGGCTAATTCCATTCCTATAACAGAAAGCAGGATATACACGCCATTACCTTATGCATTAATAATCAATCTAGAGATTAATAGCGATAAAGCAAGACAGACTGGGTTTTGGAAAGGTGTTGATACTTGTGTCAAACAATATAGTTCCAATACCTTTTTTTGAGCCTTCTTCGTTGTTGTTACAGAGTTCTTTTCTAAATGGCGCATGAATTATGGAGTGGTACACAGAAATTTGTACGTAGTAACCCATCTATTATGAACTCAGTTGCAATAAAATAGCAAACATCTGAGTTGAATAGAAGAAATAGAGTTAAAAGAGTCTCACTGTCGCAGTGATTTGATAGCTTACAGGTGAGTCCGTTAACTAATAATAGTGATTCTATTTCTATATGATATTGTCCCCTTGTATATAGTATGCTAGGAGCCACCACCTAGGTGACCCGCACCTGTTGTCCTAAAGTGTCACCGTTGAATTTGGGACTCCCAGATAAAAAATCATTCTTTTTTTTTTTCTAGCACTGTCCATACCATTTATCATAATTCTTCTTCTTTTTAGATTGCCAATAATCAATCACTTTTTTAAATTTCATCAATCCTTGGCCTTCCAACTTTTTGTTATTCAAAATGCAAATCTTCTTTACTGCTTCAAAACTCTTGTTTAACTTCAACAATTTCACCAAATTAAACGCCAACCGCATTTTATTAGCTTGAAGTAACTCATTGAACAACCGGAGGAGATTAGAATCATGTTGAAGAGCAAATTTCAATAGTTGGTCCCTCCTTTCCTCTTGATCATCCTTGGAGAGGTTTTTTTCTTCCACATCTGACGATAATGATTTCATAAAGAACAATGCATTAATACTGGCCGAATCGAGATCGTTACCAGAGATCAATTTGTTGAATTTACTATTAGGGTCTTCAAAAGCATCATCATCGTCATCACCAATGCCAAACAATTTATTGATCCGGGCATTTTCAGTCTCTTCATCATCAAACAACGAATCTCCAACTTCTTCATCATCTTTCTTTTTTTCATTTTCTGCCTGTTCGAGTAACTTAGGGTCATTAAACGCAGTGTTTCTTGTTAATTCTTGACAAGTATCCACAGGTACTCGAAGTTTGAAATTATTAAGCCCTGGCAACGGAAACCAGGGAAAATTGTAACTTTCCACAGAGAAATAATCACTTTTATTCAGACTCTTCATGATATACCCTGCAGAATTCTCCACGATTTTCCGATTTTTTTCTAAAGCAGTTTGCTGGGCGATTTCTGCCTTGCTCAATGGTTTTGTTGGTTTTTCTTGTTCAGTTGCTTCCTCTGATTCCTCAGTTTTTTTTCTCATACGTTTATCTAAAATGTTTTGGGTTCTTTGCTTCTGCTTGATTTCTTTTTCAATCAGCACCACTTGCCGTTGGGCCCGGGATATTTTCCCCTGAATAATTCCCATTTTCTGATCGATAATTGCATCTTTAATCACTACCGCTTGAACATTCCCTCCAGTGACACTCAAAGGGAAATAAATCAAACTGTTATGGGTGGGGTTGAAGTTATTAAAGGCATCAAGAAGATTCAACATTGGTACAAACCCGGTATCCCCATCGTACACGTAAAGATATTCATTGGCATCAACATAGCTGGGGAACCCATTATCATTGAAAAAAATCCCTCGTAGAATGTCAAAAGTCACAATATTATCATTGAAAGTATTAACCATGGGGTTTCTAACCGTCTCAATATTTAATCGGTCATGTAGCATTAAATATCGGTCATTGACAACATCTTCAATGGAATAAAGGAATTCATAAGCGTAAGGATCCTGTATTTCAATATTGAAGAGAAAGTTATCACTGCCGAGCGACGCCACCGTCGGGAAACTTTTCCGCATTCCTAAGAGGAACCCACTACCCAGTGAATACATCTTAACCATCCCGGTGTTGATAAACACGTAAATAATTCTATTGGCAATGGAGATGGTTGATACAAATTCGTTTTTGAGAAGTTCGATTTTGGTAGTGAATTCCAAGTTATCACGATGACTTTTGTACAACAATCGGACAAATCTTCGGAGTTTACTCAACCCAGAGGTATCCATTCTATTTTCTCCATCATCATAATACCCACTCTGTGCTAGCGCCATACCTTGGCCGTCCAAGTAACATAAATCGTAGATATTGTCCACTGAAAACCAGAAATTATCCCTAATGGACTTATCAAATGTCTGGAACGTGACAATCGGAGTAGAAGTCTTTGTTTCAATCCATACCACTCCAACTTTATTCATGGTTAAATACTTTCTTCCCAAGTTCCAAGGAGTGCATCCTGGGGAAAACGGTATGATCTGGAACTTCTTGGTCTCAACCTTGGCAATTGCCGACTTGTAACCGGTCAAAAAATGTTGCACTTTGATGAATTGTTGATGTTTAATGTAATACGAGGTATATTGGCGTTTTAAAGTGGCCATTTGCACATCATCAAAGTCGTTGAAGTGATGGGCAATGATCTTATTGAGTCGCTCTTCCAAAAACATCTTGAACCGGAATTCTTTTGGCGGAAGCAATTTCACTAATTCCTGTTTTGATTCGAGATCTTTCAATCGTTTATGAATCAATCTTGCTTTACGATACGCCCGAAAATGTTTATCAGTGATCTGCAGGCTCTTTTCTTCTGGTTCATTTTCTTTTTCTTCATCATCTTTGTCCGGTGTTTCGTTGTATAATAAAGATTCTCCTTTAGAAGTTCCGACAGTGTATTTATTACGCTCTAACTTTGCTTGAGATAACAAAAACCGCTTCTTTGGCGGTAGTTGGTCTTCCAGGTTCTCTGTAGGTCGTTTTTTGTAATTCAAAATATATTCAAGTTTGCTAATTGGCTTACCAGCATCATCAACATTTGCATCAAAATCATCAGCGCCATTATCATCTTCTTTATCATCTTCATTATTGTCTTCATCATCATTATCAGCATCACTACCAAGAAAATCCATCACATCAGGACGTTCATCAGCCTCTTCATCGCTACCTTCTTCCGCCCCATCTTCGACAAAGGGGTTCCCGATTCCCCCATCTAAAGATTCTGGGGTATTTGATTCCTCATCTTCTTTCGACATTCTTTCTGTCACCTTGTTTTAGCGATTTATATAATATCTTATAGACAGATAGATAGATACGATCCATTTCCTTAGCAAAAATGATTTCTCAATTTCTCGTTTTTTACGTGTTGCGCGTCGGTGCCAACACGGTGGTTTTTTTTTTTTTTTTTAATTTTTAAAAACTTACAATAAACATATGTCAAAGAATTAATAGTTAAACATAAATGAGCATTTAATGAGCCTCTTGTACTTTCACAGCTTTGAATCTTTTGTTGACCTCAGCCTCTTTTGAGTCGTCTAATTTCAATTCATCCCGTTCAATCTTTATCCCTTCTGCCAATAAAATCCCATCGGGATGATTACTGGACTCCTCTGCTTCTTCATCATCATCATCATCAAATTCATCACGATCATTACCAAGAAATTCACTGTAAATCTCGTAAAACTCATCAAAGTTCTCTTCGGTAATCTTGGCAACTTTATCATTGAAAACCGATTCCGATGGGTAAGGACGAAGCTGAATATTCGCAGTGTAATTGAACAATGGCCCAATTTTTTCCACCCATTTCCCCCTTTTTTCAATAAGCGAGTTCAAAGTCTTATCAATTACTTGCTGGTGGCTTAATGATCCCGACGCCTCATGATCGTGAGGCGCTGCTGCTACTGTTGCTGTTATGGTTCCTGTCATCGGCGTCGAGGTCTTTTTATGTTTTTTGTGATGTCTCACCAAGATCTTCTGCTTTTTCAAATAATATTGATCGATTTGCTTGTTCAAATTCTCAAGAATATTGTAGAATTCTCGGAATGAAATTTCTTCGTAAACTTTCTTAAAGAGCACCTTTTTCCGTAAATTATTTTTCAAATTCACAATCTTCAATTGTCGCTGCAATTCTCGGAGCTCTTTAGAGATTTCATCATCTTGCTTGTTGGAAATCCAGGTTTCTTCAAACGTTTCATTCATTATATCTTCTGCTTCGTTCAATTTACTATTATCATCCCCGGATTTTTTCTTGTTTACCATCTCATTCTTGTAATTCAAATATACCCCAACGTACTTCAACTCCCGTTTCAAACGCTCCTCTAATGTCAGATAATCATATTTAGAATTGGTAGCCGCTTTCCCAGTAGAATATTCTGGGAAGAATATACTATTTTCATTTTTGCTGATCTCATGATCATCTTCAATTTTACCGGTCACTGCCTCTTTTTCATCATTGTCATCATTATTATTATTATTATTATTATTATTATTAGCAGTAGTACTTCCTCCATCATTATCAATGATTTCACTATCATCATCACATTTGATCAATGCTGATAGAAGTCTGTTAACCAATGGGCCACAACTAATATTATCTTTCTCTAAATCATTATCGGTGATTTCCAGTCCTGAGCCTTTCGGAACCAATTGATCTTTAATGTTTTCATTTATAGTTTCTTGAGGGGAAGGTGATCCCATTCTTGCAGTCCCATCTTCTTCAGCCCATACTTTGGTGTACAATTTTCCAAGCTTTGGGATGATGAATGGGTGGATTTTTGGGTTGTATGAGGCGGCAGTGGCAGCACTATGGTTGTTACCATTTCCTAAAGCATTGACCGTTATTGGTAGTCCATTAGAATCTATCGTGGTCGATGCCACTAATGGAGATCTGCCATGTTTAATAGAATTATTGGTGTTGTTATTATTATTGGTGTTGAATTGATTAGCGTAAAAAGAATCCAAATGCGACGAATAAACATATTTTTTTTTAAGAAAAATCAAGTCATCATCATCAAAAGGTCTATAATAGTGATCCAAATAACTTAGGAAATTGTTGAAGTTGACCTTGTTTTTGATTTCTTTCTGCTGATTGAAATCAATATCAGGAATTGGCCCGGTTAGATAATCTTGTAAATAATCGTTCGGGAACGTGCTTACCCCGTACAATTTTTTCAAATATTCGGGATCTCTTGATTTCTCTGCTTGTTTATCAGGAACAAATAAATGCAAATTTTCCGTGGCTTCCAATAAAGATGAGGAATCATGGGCCAGGGTTGGTATGATAGATGGTAGTTTCTCACCTTCCAAGTTTTCAGGAATTACCATATTTTGTTGATCTTCTTCTATTTTGACTTCCTTCTCGGTGGCTGATTCTGTTCTTTCCTCTGGTATAACTGAGTTTTCTTCAATCTTCTGCTTCTTTGAAGGGGGTTCCAATGACAGATCCTCGGATTTCACAGCAACCACTGGAGACGCAGATAAACTGACTGACCGTTTCCTTGGAGGGGTTTCATCATCTTCATCTTCGACAACCTGTTTATTCTTCATTGCACTTAACGGTTGATCTTCATTATCTTTTGGTAATAGGTCTTCATCAACCTCATCAATGGTTTTCTCTGGGCCATTGGCATTGAGGATTTCATTTTTGGTCTTCTCGGTGATCGAATAATCACTAGACAGTTTCCCACAACTTACAATATATTCCAAATCAGCCTTGGTAAACCCATTCACACCGTGGTTTAGTAATAGCAACTTCTTCACATCTAGGCTTGATTCATGATCTTCTAGTGAGGTGTTCTTCAAGTTCTTCTTTAATGCTTTGGCCAACGATTTCAAATTGAGCAATGTTTGTAAACTCAAACTTCCCAAGCTGTTCAAATACACCAAATCTCCATTGATAGTACCGACATTCATATCGTAGGTCAAATCAACCTGATTCAATATCTTGGAGATGATTGATGATGATTTTGTCGATTCAGTCACTTCGATGGTATTTGATCGCGTTTTGGTGACATCTTCTTTTGGTTGTTGTTCTCTAGAAGGATTGGAGAATAGTCTCAGTCTGCCACTTTTGGAGCGGTTGGAGTTTCTTGGGGCCATGCTCTATTCAATACAGAATATAATATAGATAACAAATGGCTGATGATGATAATATAGATAATATAGATATAGATAAATAGACAGGGAATTTTTTGGTGTTTTTGTGGATTTTTGCTGCTGGTTGTGGGCGATGGTCTGTGGAACCTTCTTAATCGACGATAATGTGGGGTGCTATCCTCAGTTTTGGTTACAATAACACCTTTGGACAATAATTATATTTATTGTTTTCTATATTATTGCAATTTTATCCAATTTACAGCTTTTGAACACCTTTATTTTGCCTGTTTTGCCTGTTTAAGTGATAAACCCAAACAAACGACACGGCCGGGCGATGTTTTTTTTTTTTTCCTAAAAATTTTTTTTTTTTTTTTTAGAAATTTTTTTTGAAACTTTTTGCTTATTTTTGGCGAATTATCTCTATATATTGACGATATATACTAATACGAAATGGCGAAAGATACTCCTCAGATCAATTTCAACACTCTAGAAGTCCCAGAATTCGACTCTGATGAAGAAAGTTTGCAAACTGAACAGCCAAAAGTGGTAAAGAAGAAGAAGAACACCAAGAACACCAAGAAGGATGTAGAAGAAGATCAAGATGATGAGATGTCCACCTTGAATAAGGGCTTTAAATTCGACGACGAAGAAAACTTCCAGCCTGCTGCTAATGATTGGAATTTTTTGGTAGATGATGAAGCGAAAGACAAAGTGATGAAACCAGGAAAACAAGAAGAAAGCGAAGAGGAAGATGAGGAAGACAGCGACGATGATGATGATGATGATGATGATGATGATGATAATGATGAAAGTGGTAACGAAGTTGATGATGATGAAAGTGACGAAGAAGGTGAAGACAGCGACCTCGCCAAGCTCACCAAGGGAAAAAACAAAAAACACGACGAAGAAGAAGAAGATTCTGCTGAAGCGATTGCGGAATTCTTTGAAAGTTCCAAAGTCGCCGACCCAACCGGTGAATCATCCACCACTTTCACCAGTTTACAATTATCTAGACCAATTTTGAAAAGTTTGGCAGAATTAAATTACTTGAAACCTACCCCAATTCAAAGAGAATCGATCCCTATCGCCCTTATGGGTAAAGACATTGTCGCTGGTGCCGAAACTGGTTCTGGTAAAACTGCAGCGTACATGATTCCAATCATTGAAAGATTGTTATATAAACCAAGCAAAGTCAACATGACAAGGGTTGTGGTGTTAACTCCAACTCGTGAATTGTCCATTCAAGTGTCTGACGTCTCCAAAAAACTTTCAAAATACGCCTCCAGTATCACCTACGGTTTAGCAGTTGGTGGGTTGAACTTGCGTAAACAAGAACAAGAATTGAAAACAAAACCAGATATTGTGATTGCCACTCCTGGTAGATTCATTGATCATATCAGAAACTCTCCAAGTTTCAACGTTGAAAATGTCGAAGTATTGGTGATTGATGAAGCTGATAGAATGTTGGAAGAAGGGTTCCAGAAAGAATTGACAGAAATATTATCACTCTTACCACAAAAGCGACAAACTTTACTTTTCTCTGCCACCATGAATTCCAAGATCAAGACCTTGATTCAATTATCGTTGGATAGACCTGTGAGAATCATGGTCAATCCTCCAAATAAGGCCGCCAGCAAATTGACCCAAGAATTTGTCAGAATTCGTAAAAGAGATGGTGTGAAGCCGGCATTATTGACAAATATTTTGAAAACCATTGATCCAAAACAACATCACAGAATCGTGGTATTTGTTGCTAGAAAAGAAATGGCACACAAATTGAAAATCATTTTACAAGTGTTGGGTTTGAAAGCTGGGGAATTACACGGTTCGTTATCACAAGAACAAAGATTGGTCAACGTGACTAACTTCAAAAACCTTAGTGTTCCAGTATTGATTTGTACCGATTTGGCAGCCAGAGGGTTGGATATTCCAAAGATTGAATTTGTCATCAATTTCGATATGCCAAAATCGTATGAAATTTATTTGCATAGAGTTGGGAGAACTGCCAGAGCCAACAGAGAAGGTAAATCTATATCGTTTGTCGGGGAAAGTGCTGGGGACAGATCGATTGTTAAGGATGCATTGAAGTCACTACAAGAGAAGTCAGAAACTGCTAGCAAAAAAGCGGTTAGTAGAACTGTTGATTGGAATAAAGTCGATGAGATCAACACTAATATTGAAAGTAAACAGGCAGAAATTGAGGAGATTGTCGAGCTTGAAAAGCAGCAAAAAGAAATTGAGATTGCCGAAAGAGATATCAAAAAGGGAGAAAATCTTTTGAGATATGAATCAGAAATCAAGGCCAGACCAAGAAGAACATGGTTCGAGAAAGAGAGTGAAAAGGGGAGACCAAATAAGGCCCCAAAGATGATTAACAGAATGAAGAGAAAGAGAAATGATGAAGGGAAGACCAACATTAAGAATTTCGGGAAGTCTGCCAAAAAGGCGAATGTTGGAAAGAAATAATAGATAGTTTATTGTATATTTTAAAGTTGTAATTTATGTTGAATTTATTGGACAGAATATCATTTATATAATAGCTAAGCTTTGAAAAGTATTGTTACAATAATGCAATATAATAAAATAGTACACTATATTCTCTTCATATATATATTCATATATGAAGAGAGTAACAAGCGAATGGGGTCTCTCACCCTCTGATGCGTCGACGCGTTCCAAATAATAGAAAAAAAAATTCCCCAAAAAGATCAAACCTTTATTTATTCATTTATTATAAAAGCGTAGCATTATCATCAACAATAAATAATATACATAATGTCATCTACAGACATCGATAGTAAGATCGATAGAATAGGGCTTTTAACTGAACAGATCCTTACGTCAGACACCTCGAAAACTCGGACCCAACATGTGGTGAAAGCCCATATCTCATCATTGGTGTCTGCGCTTGGAGGACCAGACCATTCGTCAGATATCTATCCTCCTCCATATAAATTGGGGATGAATGCGCTCGCTGTGCTCAAAGATTTGAAACGATGGCTCAAGTTTGACCAGCGATCCAAGAAATGGGACGTGGCGTTGGCAATTGGCGAAACCAGTTTGGTCACCAGTGATATTTTGAACATCCTATACGATTGGGAAACCATGTACGCTACCGGCGAGATCTATTCTGAGGTTAACAAAAACGTGAAGATTTATCGAGACAGAATTGCCTGTCTTTGTTTGGAACTCCTTGTGCCGTTGACTTGGCCAATACAATTGGTCGATCACGAATCAACTGTTAATCAAGTGATCAATTTCCATAAACTCAAGGCCCACCAATTGATTTACAAAAAAAATATTCTTGGTTTCCGTGGGGGGATCATTTTCAAAGCTATTATTAGGCTTATTATTCCGATTATCTCATTGCAAAAACATCAACGAAAGATCAGAGATAACAGCATTTTAAACTTGTGTGTGTTATTTCTTAGAAACATCATGAGTATCGAACCAGACAATGCTTCTTTTGTGTTGAAAGATAAAGCGGCCAAAAGCTCGTCGAAATTACCTCAGAAGCATTCCAATCTCCCTGCGGAAGTCTCCATGGAAGACGTTTCTTTGAATACAATAATAAAGGTGCTTCACGATAATAAAGTGTTGAAGTTTTTCCTCACTTTGTTTGCCGGGTTGGGAAAAGAATTTGACGATCAGATCCTTGGGTTGGGATCTTTAGAATGTTTATATTTCTTGACCAACGGTATCAATATCAAAACATTGGTGGCTAGTAATAATAACAATAACAATAATAGTGATGACGATGATGTTGATAATAATAATAATAATAATAATAATAATAATAATAATAATAATAATAATAATAATAATAATAATAATAATAATGATAATAATAATAATAATAACAACAATAATCATAATAATAATGGTAATAGCACTACAAATGATACATCTAATACCAGTGTTGCCGGTCTTCAACTCCAAGATTTGTTGAAAAAAGAAACAAAATTAAAAACAAAATTCATCAAGGAATCTGCATCGCGGCACTCGAGATTCGGATCATTATTATCATTTGATAGTATTGAAACCGGAAGATTGGCAGTGAGTGGTCAAAAGGCCTTATTATCTACCGAGAAAACCATTGAATCATTGAATAGGTCAAAAAAATGGAGTGCCACTTCCCAACGACTCGTCGGGCAATCCGAAGACTTCAATGACCCTAGTGATAAGAAAATCAAGTATTTATCATCTGAATCGCAATCTGCGTTATTACAATTTGCCAGAAAATTCATGGATGGAGGATTTAACCAATTCGTTATCGTTGTTGGTAAGAAGTTCCGAGGTAAGGAATTCACAAACTTGCATTGCATCCAGTATTGTCTAGTGTCAGCATGGTTTCTAGAGTTTGAAAGATCGCAAAAGCAATTGGAAAATGGAAAAGTCACCAAGCATAAAAGACCCAGTGATGATTATGATGCGAAATTGGTGCAATTAATTGAGGCTACAAAAATTGGCGGTAACAATAAGGAAGAAAACCAAGATGAAAATCAGGATGAAGATGACGAGGATCTGAGTGAGTTTGGATTGATTGGTAGTGTATTATTAGATGATAATATCCGGTCCTTGAAGGTGTTTTTAGCAAAAGAGAAGGAGAATGCTGATGTGTCGGTATGTCATGCCACCCTTATTGTCCTCAAGGAGGTATTGATTTTATTGACCGACATGACAAAATCAAAGTATGATCAAGACGTGGATATTGCCATTAACACCATGAAGAAGATCTTCACTGATGATTCGTTTTTGAGCGGATTGGTAATAATCGCGAAGAATGGTGCCAACAAAAACTTATCTTTTGTCATGACGGTGGCTGAGCTATTAGACATTTGTTTTAGAACTTTAGAACGATTGACTAAAGACGATAAGTTGGTGGTGATGAAGAAAAAGAAACATGATAATAATAATGACGAAGATGAATTGGCCCGGAGAAAATTCAAAATGAAGATTTCGGAGTTCAATTTTTCAGATTTTTTTTACCAGTTTATCAATGAAAAAACAATCAATACTTACATGAGACTTTTCAAATCTTATGAAACGATCGACCTTATCCATTTGAAGCGGGCCTTGCGCTTTTATCACCGGGTCTATTTTTCTTTCAAACAACACTCGTTATTGATGCGGCTTGATTTTTTATCGTTACTCCATACCATTCTCTCGCCAAGTAACAAAGTTTTTTTTGCAGAAGAAATGTCGTTACGTTATGAAATGGAGGATTTCTTCAAATATTACATGAAATCGATCCGGCATCACTTGGCCAGTACTCCATCGTTAGGAATCGAACTATTGTTTCCTAAACTGCGAAACACTGTCCATTATTTGACCACCGGGGAAAAAGAACTCGAAGTGAAAATGAGAGATATTGCGGTGGATCCCGAGCTGGTGAGATTAGTCAAGCCTATCGAATTCAAACCGAGCAAAGATTTATCGTTGGATAAACAGTTTGGGGTACTTGTCACTCATCTCATGAAATCTAAAAAATCGGAGGAACTTGTGAAGTACTTACGCGACAAATTGGCAATGATGATTAATCAATGGATCAGACTGGACATGGATGGTACAGAATTTCAAAATAAGAAGTTAGAGTACCAGAATGAAATTATGAAGAAAGAGATGCTCAGAAATGCAGGGTATCAATTATTATTGAAGATCATTGGATTTGCATTGCCTACTATTTACGGTGAAGAATGTACATTGGCTGCCGATACCACATTAGTCCATGTCAGAGAATGTCAACGGTTGATGGTCAAATATATTGAAAATAGTTTTGAGTTCACAGAGGATGAAAATTTCGGGATGTACGTGAGAAAAGTCAAGGATGATTCTTGGGATGGGTATGATAATTACGATAATTATGGAGATGATGATAATTATGGTTTTTCAGATGATTATTACAAAGATGATGATGATGATGATGATGATGATGATGATGAAGAAGAAGAAGAAGAAGCACCACAACATGACAAAGACACTGAGGAAATGATCAGCATTATCAACCAACAGTTGGATAGCCAACTACTTTCAGAAGAGGTCAGGGGTAGATTGATGATGGAGTTGGAAGAATTGCAACTTCGGAAAGCGGAATTGGGAAAATCTAGAAAAAAGAAGAAGAAACCACAAAAGAAGAAATCCAAAAAGAGAACCAGAGCCAGAGTGGTAGATGAGGAGGAGGATGAAGAAGTAGAATTAAGACAGAAGAAAAAACCAAAGAAGATCGAGGATCGGTTCACTTCTGCAATGTATATTGATTCCGAAGATGACGAGAGTGACACTGAGGCAGATAAATTGTTCTTTGATAAAGAGAAGAAGTTGCGGCAATTTATTAATGCTCGGGGTGGAGCGATTAGTAAGGAACAATATGAGGAGTTCAATACCAAGTTTGCAGCGGGGACATTGGTGGAGGGTGAGTTGGCGATTAGTGTCAATCCTTATGAACAATTGGTAGATGAGCCTGATAATCACATTTTAGAGAATACCGTGAATAACGATGTTGCTGGTATAACAGATGATGGTAGTGAGAAAATTGAGGAGGGTGAAAGCAGTGATCACGAAAATGAGAAATCTGATAACAAGGATAATGAAAACAGTGATGAGGATGGAGAGGTAACTGATAATGAAGATGATGAGCGAAGTGATAATGAAGGTGAGAAAAGTAATGATGATAATGGTGATGACGATGGTGATGATAATAGTGATGACGATGGGAACAATTTTAACGAAGAGGAAGAGGAAGTCATTGGCGTCAAGAGCTCTAGTCGTTCCAAGCCAGTTATTGAAGATGATGAAGAATGAAACACAACAATTGAGCACTAACATATACATTGCATGACTCCAAGGCACACCATTTTAGACAAAACCAAAATTATTAACATTCTGTTTAAAAATGGAAGAATAATTTAGACTTTGGGTGGGACGGTTGAGTCATATTTTGATATAGCCTAGACGGTTTTTATGAATTATTATTAGAAATACACTTTTATTTTTATTCAGTATTTTTCAAATTTCACTTATTTTGACTTTTCTCTTTTTTTTTTTGTAGCATTTGCTGGCGTCTTACAACCCTATTAATTTTAATCCCCTGATACTACATGGCATTTATTAAAATAGAAGTAGACGTTTGACTAAAAGCAGTAAGTGCGCAGTTTTGTTCGGAAATGTTGGCTTTTTTTTGTGTCAATAGGGTGATTTTAGTCCACGTTCCTGCATTGGAGATCTGAAAATGTTCCAATTAAGCACGAGTATATGTTAAAATGCAAAATAAAATCGTAGGTAAATTTGATTATATATATATACTTTGTACATATGGTACTCTATGAAAATCTCAATAAAGGGAGTCCAAGAGTCTCTGTGAAGTTTCGGAGTTATAACTTTTCGGGGAAGTTATCATTGGCAACAGTAATTACTTAAAGTCGACGATCAGTGTCTCCTTTTAAGGTTCAACACTTGGAATCCTTTATGTATCCTATTATTCCATGTCGCATTGGCACATCAGACAAAAAAAAAACAGCTATTGTCACCTCAGGAACTATTTTCTACTGGCAATTTTATATAAGTTAGGTCAGCTCCTTTTTTTTTTTTTTTTACTTGGCAATGGATTCCTAATACACATTATCCTTAGTCACTCCTTCACACATTATGAAACACACTTTCCTTCTTTCTGCTTTATTAGCTCTTGCTCAGGCTGGTCCTGTTAACCATTCTCACGAATTGCAAAAAAGATCCTCTTGTACCATCACCACCTCCAACCTTTCCGAAATTGCTTCAATTAAGAAATCTTGTACCTCTATCGTTGTCGATGGTGTCACCGTTCCTGCTGGCGAAACCTTGGACTTGACTGGATTGCAAACTGGTACCACCGTCACTTTCGAAGGTACCACCTCATTTGGTTATTCTTCATGGGAAGGCCCATTGATCTTTGTGTCTGGGTCTGCGGTTACCGTAACTGGGGCTTCTGGTCACGTCCTTGAAGGTAATGGGGCCAAATGGTGGGATGGTTTAGGATCCAATGGTGGGGTCACAAAACCTACTTTCTTCTTTGCCCACTTCATGGATGAAGGGTCAGTCATCAAAAACTTGAATATCCACAATACTCCGGCGGAAGTGTTTTCGATCTACGGCTCCCACGAATTGACCATTGATTCCGTGACCATCGATGATTCTGATGGTGATTCTGAAGGAGGCCATAACACTGACGGGTTCGATATTGCCTCTTCTTCCAGTATCACTATCCAAGACAGCATCATTAAAAACCAAGACGATTGTGTGGCTATCGATTCCGGTTCTAAAATCCAATTCTTGAACAACCACTGTTCTGGGGGTCATGGGATCTCCATTGGTGGGGTTGGTGGTACCAGTGATAATAGTGTCAATGGAGCCACTCTTTCTGGTAACACTGTCACCAACTCCGTGATCGGGCTTCGGGTTAAGACTTTGTCTGGGGCCACTGGTAGAGTCAAGAACGTTGGCTTCAAGAACAACCAGATTAGTAACATTTCTCAATATGGGATTACCATCGAAGGTGACTACGAAAATAGTGGGCCAACTGGGGTGGCTACTGGTGGGGTACCAATCACTGGATTGACAGTGACAGGAGTGACCGGTTCCGTGGATTCCGGTGCTCAACCAATTTACATCTTGGTGGAAAATGCCTCTGATTGGAGTTTCAGTGATATCGATATTACAGGGGGTAGTTACAGCAAGAAGTGCAGCGGTATTCCTTCCGGCGCTGGGGTTTCTTGTTAAGTCTTTTTCTACCCATTCTTGTTATTCTTCTTAGTCTTTTTTTTATTTTTAAGGAAGGGCCATTGCTTTGTTCTCATGGCTCTCTAGTTTATTCCAATATCTTTTTTTTTTCCATAAAATTTGATGATATCAATTTGTTATCGTTGTAAAACTACAATCAATCTGCAAATTCAAATCAACTTTATAATGGGACTTGCTAAGTATTTTTGGGTTTAGACTGGTGCAAGTTATTATCCGCAAAGCAATAATTGTTACACTAATTGTGCTTCTTCCCATGAATACCACATTGCTCATTGAGAAGTGGGGTCGATTTTTGGAAAGAAGGCTATCTAGATAGCTATCAGAAACTACGACCGCACGCCAATAACACATGGCGCTCTTTTTTCAAATTTGAGATATTTTTGCGATATTTGCAGAAAGACATCAGAACTGTTTCATCCATCTTGATGGCCTTTTGCGCTCGTAATCATTGATACAACTGGTCTCTTTTGGAAAACAATAGGATGAAACAGTTTGATGGGCGTATGGTTTACTATAAACAAAGGATTCAGGTAGCGGGTGTGTAACTTAATAATCATAGCCATACAGCTGAGACAAATGCAAGGGTCACCCAAAATACAAAAAGAAATCAGAAGAATAAATAAAATCCCAATAAACAGTAAAAAAAAATCGTAATTACAGAGATGAACGGCAACAAACAAGAACATATTAACTATACCTACCGCATGTAGCAGATGACTGCATCAGAAAGATGAATACAAACAAATTCCCAAGTAAAACCAAGGGTACAATTAGTGGATATTGACTGATATTGGTGGATCTTGATCTTATGATTGGCCTAACAACATTTTATTTTTTTTAATGATAAAGAGGATTAACACGACGACAGTAAGAAAATATAAACGCCGTTAGTGTTAGATCGGAATCACTGCCTTTTCCATCTCAGTCGACTGGCGGAGGGCAACCTGCATGAACTCAAAAGAAGGTTCCTGCATTGGTCCCTTGAACTTTATCCCGATTGAGAAACAGGGAAATACTGAAAAAGAAATATCCAGCCATAAACACCCATGATTTATTTGATTATATACCCTAATATCATGGGGTGGTAATGTATTCAATAAGTGGACTCAAATAATCTCTACTACTCCAAATCTTCCCCTGAAAAATATAACTTACAGTAAGTGCTTGCAAATGACCATCAGTTAGTTTGCTCAGGTGAATCAATATTTAAAACCTTTGTATGTATGCCCGAAAAATAAAATCTCAGGTACAACAATAGCACGCATTAGCACTTCAAACAAAAAGAAAAAAAAAAGAAATATATGGATCACATCAGCATGCTTTACCATTTGCAATATTATATAAGTTGGGTCATATCCTTTTCTTTTTTTTCCTTCCTTACTGGACTACAACTCTCTAAAACACAATCAACTCAAATAAGCTTTAGTCACTCCTTTCCTCACTCCTTTAGTCACTCCTTTATTCATTATGAAATACACTTTCCTCCTTTCTGCTTTATTAGCTCTTGCCCAGGCTGGTCCTGTTAACCATTCTCACGAATTGCAAAAAAGATCCTCTTGTACCATCACCACCTCCAACCTTTCCAATATTGCTTCGATTAAAAAATCTTGTACCTCTATTATTGTCGATGGCGTCACCGTTCCTGCTAAAGAAACTTTAGACTTGACCGGATTGAAATCTGGTACCACCGTCACTTTTGAAGGTACTACCACTTTCGAGTACGCTGCCTGGACCGGTCCATTGATCGCGGTTTCTGGGTCTGATGTCACCATCACCGGTAGCTCTGGTCATGTCATTAACGGCAATGGTGCCAAATGGTGGGACGGTAAAGGTTCCAATGGTGGGGTCAAAAAGCCAAAATTCTTTTCTGCTCATAGCTTGCTGAGCAATTCAGTGATTGAAAACTTAAATATTAAGAATACCCCAGTCCAAGGGTTCTCGATCTATGGTGTTGATGGTTTGACTATCGACTCCGTGACTATTGATAATTCTGATGGGGACTCTGATGGAGGTCACAACACTGACGGGTTCGATATTGGCAGTTCTAATAACGTTATTATCCAAAACTGTATCGTCAAGAACCAAGATGATTGTTTGGCCATCAACTCGGGTACTGAGATCCAATTCTTAAACAATCAATGTTCCGGGGGTCATGGGATCTCCATTGGGTCTGTTGGGGGTAGAAGCAACAACGTTGTCAGCGGGGTTACCGTGTCTGGTAACACCGTCACCGACTCTGCCAACGGTATCCGTATCAAGACCGTGTATGGTGCTACTGGTAGTGTCAAAAACATTACCTACAAGAATAACAAAATCAGTGAAATTTCCAAGTACGGTATTGTCATAGAAGGTGACTACGAAAACGGTTCTCCTACTGGTACACCAACTGGTGGTGTCCCAATCACCGATTTGACTGTTTCTGGGCTCACTGGATCTGTGGACTCTAGTGCCCAACCTATTTACATCTTGGTGAAAAATGCTTCTGGCTGGACTTTCAGTGATATCGATATCACTGGTGGGAAACTGTCTAAGACTTGTGAAGGCATTCCATCTGGTGCCGGAGTTTCTTGTTGAACTCTATAAATTAGTATCCATATTTCCTGTTCTTCGTCTTTTTTACAATTAAATAGGAGTCATTATTTCTTTCTCATGGCTCGTTAACTAATTTCAATAACTTTTTTTCTTCATGAAGTTTGATAATAAATTTGCTGTAGCTGTACATAATATGACTATAAAAATATTACCTTGAGTTAGCGGATGTAGATGTAGCTGTGTGTAATATGAGTTCATGTTGTTCTGATTAATATTTCCGGAAAATCCTGTCTTGTTATCCTTTAGGATTGAAGAATATTAGTTATTCCAGAACATTACTATAGGATTTCTTCCTTGATACGTGAAATCCAAGGTTTGGAGCGCTTATACCCAAGTTCAACAATATTTGTGATGATAACGAACCTCTATCTTATCTCCAAGTGAACTGTTTTACTAAGATACATCGCTCCTGGCATATCGATCATCATATACCACACTAATGGCATACTCGCTTAAGTAAGCATGACTCCTGCGGTGACTCAAGGTAACTCGCTAAAAAAAAAAAATAGAGATCTCTCGATTTTTTGGAAAAAGAGGGAAAAAAATTCATTTATTCATGGAAATGTTTGTCAATTATTTATTATGCCAATGCGAATGCGAATGCTTTTTATAGAAAATTATAATAATGGCGGATCTCAAATTGCCAATTGAGGGCTCATTCTCGTGTATTGAGTTGTCCAGTCATACAGTTTGCGGATTACTTGTGGACCGCCAAACACGGTGTGTTCATTATCATTCCCCACTTGATATCGTGGCCCTTAAGTTCAAGTGCTGCAAGACGTTCTACCCATGTCATCAGTGCCATCCATTGTCACACATGGTCCGGCGGTACAATAATAAAGATTTAGAACATGAGACGGTGGTGCTTTGTGGTCAATGCCACCGAGGGTTGAAGTTTAATGAGTACGCTAATGGTGAGTACCGATGTAAGTATTGCGATTGTGATTTCAACCCTAAGTGTGAAGGTCATCATAAATTGTATTTTGATTTATGAATCTGGAAATTCAATATATCATGATATCGAAAGATTGGAATATTGAAACTCAAGGCAGATTGAGACACCTAAAGTTCAGACTGATCAAAACATTTAAGGAGATGGAAAGAAGGAATCTTGAAATATTAGAGTGGCTCTGTGATCATAAAAAAGAAATTCAGACACCAATTGTCGCACCATTGAAGCATCATCAAGATCTTTGTCCAACCTCTTTTTCAAATTTAATGGACACGGCCTCATTGTGTGTTTCCAGGGGGCATTACTTCAAAACACTGGCCGTTTATTAATTTAGATTAATATTCTACAAAAAGTGTGCCTAGATAAATGTATTTTATACATGCTATCTACTGGGCGGTATTTATCTATTGTTGGTTACTAGAGAGAGATACTAAATGATTCCTTTATGGTTTTGCGAAGAAAAAAACCTGACCAAAGAATAAATGCACATTGGGGGGTAGGGGGGACTCGCTGGTGAAGAAGAACTAAAAAAAAGAGCGATGGATCTTAAATGAATCGAATTATATTGTCTCAACCAATATGGCAAATTGGTATTTATGTTGAAATTGGCATTTAATTGGCCCATTACACATGATAACTCTGGGTTACAATATTGTAATTTAAAGAATTATTGTTTGTATTTATAAATATTTAACTTATGACTTCTAATTTTATAATTAGCTTTAAATATAGGAGAAATGAAAGAAGCGAAATGGAAAAAAAAAAGATAATAGGAAAAAACAGGAGATAGTAAGTATTGTCATTTTAATCATTGTTACTTACTGTGATTAAAAGTGACAATTACAATTAAACAAGATGGAAGTCCCATAACTTGCAGGACCCTTCAATATCCTTTGCAAGAAACCATTCCCAAAAGATTATTCTTTTTGGTTTCATTAAACTTACGAAGATCAAAGTATAAACTATTAGAGTTCGTCCCCAAAACATTACATCCAGGAGTGGGATCTTCAGTATGGGCAAAACTAACAGGTGGTTTTGATGGTTCTTCCGGAAGTTCTTCCATCACCAAACCAAATTTAGATCTTCTATTACGTTCAACCCTATTCTTAAGGAACGAATAATCTTGACTCACCACTCTGTTGTTTGTCGACTGTTGATATGTATCGTTGTAGAAGTTATTGTATAGTAATGTGCAAGAGAACCGGTTGTTCTTGTGGTCTTCATCTTGCAAATCCATCACTTTTTTATGATGTTGCTTGACCCGATACTCCCAACTCATTTCAGCCTCTAGGGCCTCCAGTTCAGGGTCAGGGATTAATTGGGTGACGATGTCGCCATCCTCGAGGGCCACTGGTTCGGAAATCATATCATCATCCAAAGTCTTGTCGGTGGAAGTGGAAACAGGAGAGGCAGTCCCTCTTATTGGAGGAGGAGACGAATAATAAGAAGCTGCTGTTACCTCGGCAATTGGGGAAGGAATCGAGCGAGGAACTGTATTATTTTTCGAAGCAACTTGGATGGTGACGGTGTTAGCATTATCGACGCAGACTTTTTGGTAGGTATAATTGGTTCTCTTGATGTGTTTGAAATGATTGTTTTGTGGAATTCTGGTGCTGCTGTTGAATGCAAACTCATTATTTTTGGTGATTGATCCAAGCGATGATTGCTGATAATGGGATCTTGGAGATGAGGGCTCAGAAATATATTTTTGGGTGATAGCGACAACGTCTTCCAGGATATCGCTTAATGCTGGGGACATTAATTGATCAGTCTTGATATAACCTGACTTTCTCTTGGTATTATTCTCGTCAAATGAGTTAACGAAGTAGAATTGGGGAGATTTCGGGTTAGAGTCTTCAACTTTCAGCATTACCGAGGCCCTGTTAACAAATGGTAACGGAGGGGCAGCGCTGTTAAATGGAGTGGCCATGCTGTTGAGCTCACTGATTGATTGAGGCACCTTAACAAACAACGCCTTCGGGGCATGATTATCGTTACTAAACCTTGATTCCACTGGAGAAAGGGTAGCACGGGTGTAGTTGTGGATGATTGGGGTGGACTTGATGGCATATTTTGACTGGTTAGCCGCCGGTGGGAACTTTTGAAGAATTCTGTTGTTGTATTTTACGGACACTGGTGATCCTTTGATATCGGGTTTATTGGCTGCGTTATCTTTTTTCAGCTCATCATTAATCATCGTTCCTCCAGTGGTCTGTCTAACGAGCACCTGGCCTTCAACAGGAAGGATTGGTCGTGGAATGGAACTTTTGGTAGAGTGGTCGTAGGTCTTATGAAGCACAAACTTGTCATTTACTACTGGCTCACCCTCATCTTTATGTTTCTTGAAGAGCTCTTTGATCGACCCTACTTTTGGAATCATAATTTCTGATGTTGATTTGACAGGTGGCTTCTTTTTCTTTGATGTTTTCTTTGATGTTTTCTTTGGTAATTTCTTGGAAATTTCCTTCTTGGAGAATTCTTTTTTTGAAATTTCTTTCTTGGGTATTTCCTTCTTTGAAATTTCTGTCGCCATACTCTTTTCAGCCATTGGCGGTTGTGTCAAAGATGGCATCAATTCATCAAGATCATCGTCATTATCTAAAGGAACAAAATTCTCGGTCGAACCGCCCGCAAAGTTGTGATGGTTAAACTCTGTGCTGTAGGTAATGTCGGGAATAATTTGTGGCGCCACCACCAACTTCCTCAGTGACAATGAAAATTCTATTGATGTTTTGGTGGTACTGTTGGTACTAAATGTTGAGAAGAGTGATGGTGAATGAGATGAAACCATGAGTTTGGTCATTCCCATTAATGGCTGCTGTTGTTGTTGCTGTTGTTGCTGTTGTTGTTGTTGTTGTTGTTGCTCGATCATTTTGGAATAAAATGGGTTGGTTGAATGGAGAGTGACTTTACTTGTTTTGCTATTGTTGTTGATATCATTATTATTCACGTCTTCTCCATCATCATTGAGCAACAGTTCGGCTAGCTCAGTAGTGTCAAATTCAAACAAATTCTTCTGATGCATCCATTCAAGATCATTCTCAGTATCAATATCAAGTGAGATCGTCGACAGTCTGATATTTTTCATTGGAGTGATTTGACTATCGAACAATGCTGACGATGGCGATGGAAGGAACCCAGTAGATAATGAAGGCTTCCCCACAGAAAATGTTGATTGACTGTCTTGGGGATGGTGGCGGTCCATTTTTTTTTTCTTTTTTTTCCTATTATTATTATTTTCTGATGAGCATTTTCCCATTCAATCAATTGCAACAACAAAAATAGTCAGTGGGAGTTATATATATATATATAAATATATTTATTACCATCCAAACGGTCAAATGCCTGATCCTCGGTACTTAGGGCCCAACATGCAGCAGACCCACCGCTAATTATCAAGTGCCGACACATTACCCCATTAAACAATAAGGGACGGCTGATTTTTATAATGGTTATTACTATTATTGATGGTTTCATTTTTTAATATTATTATTGTTGTTATTATTATCATGATCACAATTATTGTTGTAGGCATTATTGTCCTTTTATTGGCACCATGGTATCATCTCAATATTCCGCCTTTCAAATTATCACCATATTTCGTTGTCAAATATCAAGGGTACTAGTGACCTTCCGGAATTCTGTAAACAAAAAATGAAACCTCCCCCTAACCATTGATATTGGAGATGTTAATTGCATTATTGGCGTTGGCTAATCCATCATTATTGAGCGTGTGACCGACAGCCATCCTTCATTCCGATGGTAAGAACTGCTAAAGGAAATGCATTTCTTTGATGGCCAAGCTATAAGTTACAAGTAAGATCAAAAAGATAGATGCTAATCACAATAAACTTCACCGCTAAATCGATCATCACAGCATATACCGTGATATCTCATCATACATATTAACTTCAAATCCCATTTATCAATGATACAATAGATTGCCTTTTCTACCAGACCTTAACATACGGCCAATCTAGTAATACATTAATTAACATAATACGAATGATAAAAAAAAATAAAGTTTCTACAAAATCTTTTTTATTTTTTGAGAAAAAAACTAAACATACATTAATATATCAAGTTCCTAGCTCCATACCTTTTCTATTAAACAAACTAGTTCAATACACTTATTTGTTCAACTTGAAGGTGATGTGACATCTACCACAGTATTGTCTGTCTGGGTGGTTAGCCATGAAGACACCAGCCCCACAGGTAGCTTCTGGACATTCTCTTCTCAATCTTTCGATTTGACCGTCCTTGTCAACCTTGTAGTAGGTCAAGACAGCAAGCTTAACCTTCTTGTGCTTGTGCTTGATCTTCTTTGGGGTGGTGTAGACCTTCTTCTTTCTCTTCTTACCACCACCTCTCAATCTGAGGACCAAGTGCAAAGTGGATTCCTTTTGGATGTTGTAGTCAGACAAAGTTCTACCGTCTTCCAATTGCTTACCAGCAAAGATCAATCTTTGTTGATCTGGTGGAATACCTTCCTTGTCTTGGATCTTGGACTTGACATTGTCAATGGTGTCAGAGGATTCAACCTCGAGGGTAATGGTCTTACCAGTTAAGGTCTTGACGAAAATTTGCATCTTGAACTGTCGGCAGTGTTTTAATGGTGCTTCTTTCAATTCAAGCTGGTGAGAAATCTCTAATCAAATACTTTGGAAAAGAAGCTGACAATTCCGACAATTTTTGAGCGGGACGAGAGAAAAAAAATGTCACGCGGTTGTTGGTCACATGATATCAGTGTGTATTATGCCCTTTTTTATGTCACATGGTATATAATATTTAAGTCACGTTATAGGGCATACAATATGTCAAAAAAGAATATGTATGTACTTTGGAACTATCAACTTCATTAAAGCCTTACAATTTATTCCAATGGTAAACAACATTTTTATTATGAGCTATATACATGCAAAGTCCCCTAGCGGTACCTAATGGTATGTGTATGATTTCGTATCGACAGCTCAGGATATTTTCTAGTGGCATCAAAAGATGGGATGGATGATGCTTTTTCCAGTCAACGATGAACCCAAAAGGTACTAGAATATAATATAACAAGGTGAAAAATAAAAAATAAAAAATAAATGAAAATGAAAACCCAATGTGTGATGATAAACAACAAAAATATGAATGATGAAAAGACAAGTAAAGTGTAAATGTGGAATATTGAAAAAATCATATCAATTGAAGCAGATATGAAGATACTGTCAAAGTTATGGCAGATATCATAAAAAAAAAAAAAATCAAATCGATAGCAATATGAGTGCAAGAAAAAAAAGAGGAAATCAAATATACTGAAATATTTTTATGGCAATCTAGTGTAAAATCCAAATGATATTTTGCAGAAAATCGAGCAACAAATAATATGAGTTCATGCTCTATGATAGTATTAACACTCCTGTTCAACAAGAAATTTTGGTAAATATTTGCAAGATAACAACTCCCTAACAAATTCTGATGATAATTCAATTTAAATACAAGATAATTAACGGAAAGAAAATCCAATTTCTAGAATACAACCCCTTAATCAATCAAACTTGAAGACCCCGTGTCTAACCTTCTCGGTAACTTCATCTAAAACGCCTACTTTAACCTCAATTTCCTCCATTACAGCTCCTTTAACTGATTCCCAATTCTCACTAACGTTCTTCAACACGCTCTCGAACCCAATCTTCCCTCTTTTAGCATTGAAATCGAACCGGTCAATACCCCATTCTTCAACCTTGTTGCAAAGCTTCTTAATACTGGCATACGCGGTGATTTGCGCCTCTTGGGTGAACTTAGTACGGGCGGTTGGGGCCAGAGGGTCCGGAGTATAAGTCACCACTTCGTACACTTGCAATAAACTGTTCATCGTCAAGTTCATCGAGCGCATCACCACGGACTTATTTATAGGATCAACCTCCGACACTTCCCGGACATACGACCGTTTGAGGCCCCCGACAATAAATGACAACCAGTTAGGGATAGATTGTTCACAAGTGATCAACCGCTCGGTCCGGAGAATCTTACTAACGGGATCAACCTCGCGGCGTAGAATATCGACTCCCACCACTTGGGTTGACATTTCGTTCGGGTATTTTTTCCAATTAGCTGCAGAGACTTGCTCCCATGGATAGTTGAATAAATGATGTGATTCAAAGATCTTCATATTTCTCTATATATTTTGGTGGTTGTTGGATATGTGACAAATTAAAGAAAGTGTGAAATGTTTTACTTTTTTTTCTTTTTATTTTTATTTTATTTTATTTTCTTTCTTTCTTTCTTTTTAATGTAGTGATAGATGCGTTTGAATGCATCTTGATGCTTTTCTATCACATGCAAATTGATTCATTTGGTGTTTGGATGTTCATACATACCCACCCAAGCATTTGTTACATCTGGACATATAATTTTATTAAACACCTCAACACCAATTCAGCATCCTATCTGCTGGGGCTAGACCACACATCGTGCCAAAAGGAGAAAAAAAAATTCGACGATACATGTTTTCATTTTTTATTCGTATCAACCACCGGAAATGTTCATACCAGTGGCAAAAAATAATTCATACCGACCCCCGGTATTTTTCGTACCACCGTGGCGGGATTTATTCAGATCATCTAAGAAAAATAGTTCATACTATTGCACTTCAATTATTCATACCAACAGAATATAAAATTCATACCAACAGAATATAAAATTCATACTAAATGCATAAAATTCTTATGCTTTCATTAATATTTTATCTTTGATATTATTAAACATGTTACAGGGGACCCGCACACCCAATAAAGCCTCTTTGCAATACTCATTTACCATTTCAAAGGCTCATAACCAAATTTTGGTGTGGTTTCGTCCTTCCTTAAAATTTTAAATTTTCATCAATTTGTTTTTGAGCTTTGTTGTGTCTTTATGTAATTTTTTTTATAGTTTTTACTTTTTTTTTTTTTGGTTTGTTTTCTGTATTTTGTTTTCTAATTTTTTTTCTTCATCTTTGGTATTTGTTTTCAAAAGAGCTGCTGTTGTAAACAGAGATCAATATGTCTAGAAGCATGTCTGCAGAATCCCTTGTAACTATCAAGGGAAATATTTTCTGTGGCTTCTTTCACCCTTGGAGTTAATTGCTCCTTCTTGCTCAAGTTTGATCTTTTGACTTTACTCTTACATACTGACCAGAATTCTTCTATAGCATTCAACCCTGGAGAATAAGGAGGTAAAAACACAAGTTCCAAGCCACTCAGTGCCACTAGTAACTGAAGATCACGTCGTTTATGAATGGCAGCATTATCAAGGATCAAATATTTCATACCTTTGAGCTCCTCGTTATTTTCTATTTGCTGGATCACTGACTTTACAAAACTGTAGAAGTGATTAGCTGTAGTACCTTTACTCACTTTGTCAATGGTCGTTTCTGAATCAATTTTTCTCTTCTTATTGGATGTAGCCACTGGAGTTCTGACCTTTAATTCAATACAACCTTTGACAGAAATTGCCCCAATGAACGAAATATTAAGCCCTCTGGTTACGGGAACAGTAAGAGCTGCTTTTTCACCTACAGCAGACCATCCATACTCACGCCGCATACTGATATTGAAACCTGCTTCGTCGATGAAAATACAGTTTTGACCAAAGTCGAGCTTGTCTTTATACTCCTCTGCCCACTCGAGTCTTTGTTTCTTCAATTTCTTTTGTATGTAATCTGGTGATCATATAGAGCCCGAATTAAGCAATAAAAGTGGGAATTGCTCACTTTATATGGAGAACAGCTCTTACCATACATTCGTTTCCTTTTTTTGAAAACCGTAATTACGTGCTACTATTAATATTATTATAGATATCAGGCTTTGTAGAAAGTAGCACAGAATTATGGAAAAAATGAGTATAATTTCATTAAACTGAGTAGCTTAGAGGCTTATAGAGCCATTCACATGAAAAAAAAAGGAATTAATATGAATTTTATATACTGTTGGCATGAATAATTAAAGTGCAATAGTATGAACTATTTTTCTTAGATGGTCTGAATAAATCCCACTGCGGTGGTACGAAAAATACCGGGGGTCGGTATGAATTATTTTTTGCCACTGGTATGAACATTTCCGGTGGTTGGTACGAATAAAAAATGAAAACACTGTACTGTATTGGTAATAGTGGGTTCACTAATTAGTGTTGGGGCAAGTCCACGAGCGGTATTTGGGCGTCAATGGATACTTCACGCTCCAAGAGATGATAAGCTCCGTCAAGCCGCAGATAGGCGTTTTGGAACGTGGTCTAGATCTATATTTTCCTAGCTTGTTTTTTTAATGTTAATCACCGCTGCAGAGTCGTTACTTTTAAACATCAACGATGCTCTACTGTACTAATCACCACAGCAAAATGACAACTGATTATACAATAGATAATAAGAATGATGATAGGTATAACAATATAAATCCAACCGTTATCATAATTGCAATCATCGAGCAACAATAGCTCTTGCAACAACAGTAACAATAACACCATGTTCTATTTTTTTCGGGGGGCTTTTTCAGCCACATGCACTCTAACGCATTATCACGCAGTCCTAACAATAGGCTTCAACGTTGCACGCTGTTCATTACAGTGGACTAACTAGAAATTATATAAAGACTTAGTTTTCCCCAGCTGTTGAAAAAATTAAATAGGAAACTTCTCGCTATTGTTCTGGTGATATTTTTCCATTGATTGTCTCATCTTCACACAATGCAGTTTCAACAATACTTGCTCGTTCTTCCTATTTCAGCGTTATCTGTCCTCGCTGCCACAACATCCACTGAAGAAGTCCTCTCTACTTCCACTGTCAGCTCTGATGTTCTCATAACCACTACTGCCACCAACACCAGTGTCTCAACATCTTTCACTACCTCGATGGTGTCTAGTGCCTCATCCCACCTCCTGAACTCAAGTGCCAGCTACTTGTCTGGTTCGATTGTCACCGGATCTAAGGTGAAGAACGCTGCTGGTCAGATGATTGGCAGTTGCGTTGGTGGGTCTTTGCTTGCCGTTGCTGCCTTGTTATTATAGAAAGAAAGAACAAGAGAACAAAATTTTCTTTATCCTGATTGTATTTACTGATATTTTATTTTCCGTTACCTTATGATTAATTTTACACTTATTGTCTTACGTTATTTGCATGTTTCCTGAATTTCTTTATTTTCCTTTTTATATGATATATATATGCTCTTCTTAATTTTTCCTCTTTTATTCACGATTTTCCCCCATTCTCTTTTTTTCAGTATTTTATAGTTTTTTGGTTTGCTAATTTTGATGTTTTTTGGTTTATTTTTAGTTATTCATTTTTTTTTTCATCGTAGTTGCATCGTATAAGCATATCTACTGGACTCTCGAAATTATCGTTCATGAGTAATTTTTGTGACTACCAAAATAGACTTTCCCATGTGTTGTCCCACGCACCTCCATGCGCGGCCGAGCAAAGTGAAAAAATTATTGTTGTTTAGGAAATAAAATATCAGCAAACGAATGGGGATACAGGTGAGCAGATAAATTGGTTAAAAATAAAATGTACATAACTTGTGAATAGATAGTCCATACGGATTAGCAAATAAACATAGTAGTAGATCTCCCCAAGTACAGTGTTTTCATTTTTTATTCGTACCAACCACCGGAAATGTTCATACCAGTGGCAAAAAATAATTCATACCGACCCCCGGTATTTTTCGTACCACCGCAGCGGGATTTATTCAAACCATCTAAGAAAAATAGTTCATACTATTGCACTTCAATTATTCATACCAACAGTATATAAAATTCATATTAATTCCTTTCTTTTTTTTATGTGACTGGCTCTATAAGCCTCTAAGCTACTCAGTTTAAACAAATTATACTCATTTTTTCCATAATTCTGTGCTACTTTCTATAAAACCGGATATCTATAATAATATCAATAATATCACGTGATTACGGTTTTCAAGAAATGGGAACGAATGTATGGTAGGAGCTGTTCTCCATTTAAGATGATGAATTCCCACTTTTGACATTCAATTCGGTCTTTATGTGATCACCAGATTACTTACAAAAAAAAGCATAAGATTTTACCATCAAAACTAAGTATGGACTTGAAAGCCAAGCTACTAACTGATGGGTATGTTGATGGCCTAGGTAATAGATTCTATGCTGAACCCAGTGAAATGACTTTAGAGTCTGAAATAGCACCAGTTGAAGCTTGCTTTAGTTACACTGACTATAAGCATTTTGAAAAACCAGGTATCATGGATATCATGGAAATTGATCCTATTTTTGAAGAAGAAGAAAATGCCGAGATGGAAATTGAAATGAAAGAACGAAGATATAGAGGTTCGTACCGGTATTATAATCAAGCTGTCAAACAAAGATTTTGGCACTTGGTCATGGAAGAAGGTGTATCAGCTTACAAGGCTGCAAAATTAGAAGATATACCTTTGCAAACTGCTTACACATGGAAAAGAAAGTGGAACAAAATACTTGTCAATGAATTAAATGGCATCTCGAAGCCAATAAAGAAAAGAGGTCGTAAACCCCTTCTCACTGATGAACATAAGGAATTCCTTCAAAAATTGATAAAGGAAGATGCTACAGTGACTCTCGATTTTATGTTGGAGAGACTCAAGAAAGCCTTCACAAATTTAAGAGCCAAGGCTACAACAATCTATAACTTTGTAACCAAGGTCTGTAAGCTAAGTCTCAAACGTATTTCTAAATGGGCTTTGAGAAGAAGTCTGGAGGAATTGAAGAAACAGAGACTCGAGTGGGCAGAGAAGTATAAAGACAAGCTCGACTTTAGTCAAAACTGTATTTTCATCGACGAAGCAGGTTTCAATATCAGTATGCGGCGTGAGTATGGATGGTCTGCTGTGGGTGAAAAAGCAGTTCTTACTGTTCCCGTAACCAGAGGGCTTAATATTTCGTTCATTGGGGCAATTTCTGTCAAAGGTTGTATTGAATTAAAGGTCAGAACTCCAATGGCTACATCCAATAAGAAGAGAAAACTTGATTCAGAAACGACCATTGACAAAGTGAGTAAAGGTACTACAGCTAATCACTTCTACAGTTTTGTAAAGTCAGTGATCCAGCAAATAGAAAATAACGAGGAGCTCAAAGGTATGAAATATTTGATCCTTGATAATGCTGCCATTCATAAACGACGTGATCTTCAGTTACTAGTGGCACTGAGTGGCTTGGAACTTGTGTTTTTACCTCCTTATTCTCCAGGGTTGAATGCTATAGAAGAATTCTGGTCAGTATGTAAGAGTAAAGTCAAAAGATCAAACTTGAGCAAGAAGGAGCAATTAACTCCAAGGGTGAAAGAAGCCACAGAAAATATTTCCCTTGATAGTTACAAGGGATTCTGCAGACATGCTTCTAGACATATTGATCTCTGTTTACAACAGCAGCTCTTTTGAAAACAAATACCAAAGATGAAGAAAAAAAATTAGAAAACAAAATACAGAAAACAAACCAAAAAAAAAAGTAAAAACTATAAAAAAAATTACATAAAGACGCAACAAAGCTCCAAAACAAATTAATGAAAATTTAAAATTTTAAGGAAGGACGAAACCACACCAAAATTTGGTTATGAGCCTTTGAAATGGTAAATGAGTATTGCAAAGGGGCTTTATTGGGTGTGCGGGTCCCCTGTAACATGTTTAATAATATCAAAGATAAAATATTAATGAAAGCATAAGAATTTTATGCATTTAGTATGAATTTTGTATTCTGTTGGTATGAATAATTAAAGTGCAATAGTATGAACTATTTTTCTTAGATGGTCTGAATAAATCCCGCTGCGGTGGTACGAAAAATACCGGGGGTCGGTATGAATTATTTTTTGCCACTGGTATGAACATTTCCGGTGGTTGGTACGAATAAAAAATGAAAACACTGTAGAAATGAACAAGAGACACGTGTATGGGACAAATTATCACTGCTTCTTTTGGTTACGATGCTTCGCTGCTCCCAGCAGTCAAATATACCTCAAAGGTATCCGCTTTCATACAAAGCCCTATTCATAAGCCGCTGAGCTAGGAAGCATCAATTCTAGGAAAAGTGGCTATGCAGACTTGAAATTTATATATGTACTGTAGCACGATGATACCAGTTAGCTGCGTTTTCGCGAAGCCATTGATATTAGAATTCCATAGAAAACCGCAAGTTGATAAAATCGGGTACTTGTTGAGTCAGTTGCCCATCCAATTTTTTGCTGAGTGCTTTTGTAGCCAAAGTACTTTTTAATCACCTTTAAAAATATGCAATTGGGCTTAAAATGGGGTTGTTGTTATTAGAGATTTTGGTGGGGTAATGAGATAAAGTTTGCAGCAACTTATTCAAATTTCTAAAAGGTCAGAGCTTATGACGATTCATTAAGTGGTGAATATCAGCGAAAATTATGCGTAATATGATTCATCATTATTGTAGTGGTCACACCTCTAAGTCATGTCTTGATCTATGATTTTTCCTTCAATGTTGTTGAGGAAGTAATGGTGGGGCGGAGAGAAAAAAAAAAACCAACAGCATTTGATTCATTGGCAATCACGTATCAGCCGAATTGTATTTTTGATCACCGATTATATTACAAAACTCAGGAAAATCAATCTAACTCACCAGTACAGTGCAGAATTAAGTGAAGCATAGCATCAATGACATCTGTTCTAACATGTTGGTGTGTAAGATGGGTATCTTCCAATTGATAGAGTATTATGTTTTGCTTTTTTTTCTTATATATGACAGCCATCATGATCCAGAGCTCAAAGATAACTAACTGGCCTGAGAAACCCGAAGAAGGCAACATGGCAAACAACTAATGGATCATTGTTTTTCAAATTCTTTGTATAACTAATTGAAGTACGCTAATTCCTAACGGCGAAAACTGTGTCAGTCGGTGTAATAGATATTTATATTGGCCAGTAATTCCATCTTCTGTTTCTTTTTATCGCAGGCTTTGGGTCACCCTGCCCCAACTGGATGGAGAAGAAAGTTATTTTTAGTGCTTATCGGCCACAATATTGTGTGTTGCATTTATTTAAGCCTTTGCTATATAATGTAATTTAGTAGGAATCGGAATATATCTGTGTCTACTGTTGGAGAAAAATTTTCCGTATCTTCATGTTTAATATTTCTCATAGCAATCGCTCTTGCTAATGCAGCTTTATGATTATTCATTATATAACTACTATACATATATCGTAATATCTTCCATCTTCGTGTAGTTAATCAAAGATATACCTTTTATAAATAGTTGATTTTAATTACCCTTTGAAAACTCGCTGGTCTACGCTTTGTGTTCCAACGATGTTTTTGTGGAAAGAGTGGCCCAGTGATTTGATAATTTCCTCATTTTAGAATGAAACTTGGTGGGATCTTTTCTTGAAGCTTACCTTTGAAGATGAAGAATGCACAATGGTTAATTCATGTAGAAAATGAGCTACATAGTTGTATTAACAAGATTTTTTATTTCAAATAATGGTGACACTATAAATCAGCCGCATCGCAAAGACAATCAGGTGTGTCTGCTGCTACCATTCATTCTGTTCACAATATATTTTTTATATTGTATTCTTAGATGACCTATGCCATCACAACCCAGGAAATATACAAATGCACCTATTGAATAGCATTACTGGTTAGTATTACACAATAATTAGTGAGACGAATTAATGGTATCATTATCTTCAAGTTAGGCTCTAATTGGCCCCCTTATGGTGTGTCTTTCTTGTAATAAGTATGTTATACGTTTTTTGCACTTATCGTCACAAATTATACACTCTACCTTTGAAAACCTCTAAAGACAGAAAAACAAAAAGTAAGAATCATCTGCACACAAATATCTTCACCAATTTCCAAAACAAAAACCAAGTAGAAGCACAATATCGTCATTAATAATTCCGTGGATAGGATCAATGTTTTGGCGTCAATATCATTCCATGTGCCTCGTACCTGCTGTATCAACCACAGTACCGTTCCAGTCTGACTTTGTCTTAATTATAAAGAGCACTCCAGTTTGACCAAACATCATGGCCATGAATACGGTCGTATTCTTTCATAGCCTCTTTAATGGGGATATGGTTCGTACTAAGATTCCTCTACTCAACATCTCTTGTGTTGTGATAAATAACATTGCCTTCCACAATATGTATTGATATTTCGAGGTTTCCGCTGGGTATTTTCGGCTCCTTACAATCTATAAAGTGACAAATGTAAATAAATAAGTCATCGATGTAGTCGGCAAAGTAAACGGAGACTCACTAATTGTTATCTGGATGATCTTTCCAAAGCACCGTTGCGGCCCCCCTCCGAATAATCCCGAGTGTGTCATCTGCCAAATGGGAAAGGTTCTCACCCAGTTGTGGTAAATGCTTGCCCCCCGTACGTTTTTTTTTTTTTTAGCCGGCTCCAAGTGTTTGGAACCGGCAAAATTACGAATTCTGCACCAAAACCATCACCGTAGACGTCACTCTTCGTATGGTGTGGCTTTGGCTTTGGCATGGTTTCCGAGAATCGGACGTTACCCACTATACCCGATCAATGATGATAACGATACTATTTAAAACCAGGGTAACCTCTGAAAACGTTTTGACCCGATGTGATGATCATTAGCTACGGAGATAGGGATTTTGTGGGAAAGGGGATGAAAAACTAGTATATTATATGTGAGCGTGATATATATAAGATGTATGATATAAAACATATGTATTCCATATATAATCAGATAGAATATAGAAAATACAGGAGATAACATATCATGGATATAAGGGACATAAGTGCTATGCCCCCATCGGTGTTATTTCCGTGCTGACAAACAGTATGCCCGCGTATGTCCGTCGTATTCCTTTTTTTGGTGCGAGGCTGAATTGATTAATATTTATATTTTTATATATATATATATATATATAAATTCATCTACGCATTGGGAGGGCGCTTTTTGAAATTTTGCAAATGTGACAATTTGCATTTGGCAACTCAATTTATATTTAATACCTAAAGTTATATTGGATAATTGATAATTCTAATTATGTCCGACCAACAAAAGAAGCCTAGAATCAGAACCCCAAAGGCCTGCAACCACTGTCGTCAACGCAAAGTCAAATGTGATGGTAACTTACTACAATGTTCCAATTGCATCCGGTACCAGATCCCATGTCAATACAGCCCTGACACCCCAGGGACTCGGGAGATCAAAAAACCTAGAAAAAAGAGAGCTTACAAGTCCAAGCACTCCTGTGACAACAGGATGGCACCAAAGAAACTAGAGGCAAACCAACCCTCATTGGATATTGAGGCCCGTTTATTGAAGCTCGAACAAAATGTGGCAAAACTATATAAGAAACTTGACGAGTTTATTGAATCAAGTACAAAAAAGCCTAGAGGATATAGTGTTTCTCCTACTTCCTCGAACTCATCAATATCAATGGACCATTCGCCCACCAAGGTACCATTTACCAGAGAAGAGTCGATACTGATGGACAAGATGTTTGAGAATGATAGTAATGAAGCATTGTTGCCTTCTCCTCCAAGTTCAGTTTCTGCAAACTATGAAAATTACAACGATGATAACTACGGTAACAAAATGTCAATACATATGGGGTCCAATAAAGAGACTTTCGATTCACTACATTCAACTCTCCAAAATAACAACATACCGGAGTTTTCCAAGTCATTTGCTAGTCAATTACAACAACTGATGCTCCAACAGCAACAATTGACCGGCGATCTCACACGGTTACTAAATGGTGATGACCCAAGTCTTAATTTTACAATGATGGACGATGATGAAACTTACATTACCCCAGGGTTTTGAATATAAATAAATAAATTGATGTGTATATTTTGATAAGAGACTGGTGCTCTTATTCTTTTTTTCTAGTGGCGTTTTTAATTTGCGTGTATATAATAAACATGAATGGTTGGCTTCGGGGTTTATGAGAAAATTTTCATTTTCGGCCGTTATACGCGGCGGCACTAGGCGGCAATAGGCGGGGAACGAACCAGAAATCTCCGAAAGGTTACCGGTAAGTCCGGAGGGTGTCCGAAGAAAAGCTCATCGCCACCACATTTCTTCTGTTTGCGGAAAACTCTTCCAAGAAAGGCACTAGGAGTTGGAATTGATGTATACCCCTAAATATCGAGGAATTTCATTCTGCTTTCTTTAGATTTTTCCTTCACATGATGTTTGGATAAATTTTAGGATCCATCATTGACTTACTAATACAATTAGCCTTGATAAGCACAAGGGTCTTGTGGTAAATATCCTTGATGGAGTCGACCACTTATAATATATTAAATTGTTAGTATTCGCAACTGTAGACCTTCGTATATTTAAATTATACACAAGAAAATAGTCTGCCAAACACTTAGTCATACATTACAGTCGACAAATAATTAAGAGCTTAAAAACAGAGTTTCGCTTGATGGCCCAAAAGGAGTGAATATTTCGTCAGGTGGTAATTTTAAGGAAACCATTTAATCGTTACACAACACGTCGCATCAAAAATCAATACTTCTAAAACATATAAATAATAGTGGCAACTAGGTCCATCATCAACTCACACATCATGATATCCTGGACAGGACAAGCATTACCCCAATAAACATCAATTCTCCCCAATTGGGTATTTATCACTCTCAGTTGAGGTTAATGGGATTCATCATATATTTCCTTAAGAGTCCCTATGTGGACCCAAATTGAAGCAATGTTAAGGTTAGTATCACAGCATAAAGAGAAAATTGTTTATACAGTTACCACACCATCATTTCAAAATATTATGTGTACAGATACCTGACCTGTCTGCTTATTGAAAAAGCACCACCACAAATAGAAGTAAGTTTTTTCCTTTTACAGCAGACCTGTCCAGATAATACTTTAGATCGGGGTGAAAATGTCTTGAAACGAAACAAGGGATAATGTGGTAGAGCATGGGGAATTAGTGGAGAAATCTTATTATTCATTTTGAAGTTCAATAGCTTTATTAGTTCAAAATAAAAATCAATGATACTAAGTGACTTACATTCTTCAAATCTGGGAGATCCAAAAGCTTTTCATTCATTAATTATGAGGTATGAGGAGAAGAAAAAAGTATGTTGATGAAAAACGAAAGTGTCCAAAAAATCAGCCATTATAATGAGCGGAAAAGTAAATAGCAGTTTAAAGCGAAATAAGTGAAATGTATCGAGCGAGTGTGTCTAAGTAGAACTAAAAGGAAGGAATATTAAAAAAGGAAAAGAAAAAAAAAATGTCATAAAAATAAAGCGTAAAACCCATTTGTATAATTCATGGATTCATCCAACTTCATTAATGTAATTTATGGATTCATTACTTGCAACTTCCTGGTGTAATCTTTATTATCTTCCAACGAAACAGTCGATTGATTGTGGAACACCACCATTGGGGCTTCAAGACGATTATCAGTACCAACATTCTCATCCTTATCAAAACTTGAATGGGTATAATGTTTGATCGGGGTAGGATAATCGCCAAAAATATTCAAGTTATTATCACTATCGCCACTGGCCCCTGAGAACCTGTTCTTTGTCGGGCTATCTGGGGTCATTGATCCCACTAAGGTTGAAGGGGATGGGATCCCCATCATGAAAGAATCACGACGTTGGTTCTCTTGAAACTTGCGACGATGACGAGAAATCAATATCACAGCGAGCACCACCAAGAGCACAATGAATACCCCAACTGCCGTGAACACTCCCGCAACTTTACCCTTGTTATGAAAAAATGACAGAGTTGCCAGATGTTTTGATTGCCGTGCCATGTTAGTATCTGTGGTGTTTGTGGTGGTATTATTAATACTACTGGTAGTAGTATTGGCATTGATATTCTGGTTATTTGTAGAAGCTGTTCCAGTTGATGACGGTGAACTAGTAGTTGTCAGGCTGGCGACTTTCAGGCTGGTTGTGACTGGAGTGATGAGAATAGTGGAAGAATTGCTTAATGAATACTTGACAGGGGATATCACGGTAGTGATAGTGCTGTTATTGATCTTTTCAATCGTAGAGTATCTTACTGAAGTAACAATATTAGAGATAGTATTTTTGTCCACCTTGGTAACTATCGTGGTGACTTGGGGTCCCATTGACACCACACTGGTGGTGGTGAGTTGGAAAATACTGGTTTGTGTCAAATATTGGGTATCCCCGGTAACAATTTCTGTGGAGACAATTTCCGACACCAAAGTGGATGCTGGCTGGATAGAGATAACAGTGGCCAATGAGGTGGTTACGGATGGTGCTGTTGAAGATATGGAGATGGTTGTTGAGACAATTGTCGCGACACTGGTGGACACAACTGTTGAAATTCTTGGAGCAATTGTTGATGTGGAAGATGTAGAATAACTTGTAGAATGGCTTGAACTCGTAGAAGGATAACTTGTAGAAGCTTCAGAATGGCTGGAGCTGGTAGTAGTATAACTTGTAGAAGCTTCATTATCACCTGAGCTTGTGGAATAGCTCGATGACTCTGTAGATGACACACTGCTGGCCAATCCCTCATCCAATACAATATACCCGAAAGTTCCTGATCCTCCACATATTTCATACCCATACCCTGGGCACTCGGTATCACAATCTCCTCCTGTTGTTGATGGTTGGGTATTACTACACCAACAGCTTTTCCCTTGGACAATAGCAAAAGCATATTCCCCACAATGCTCCAGACAATACCCATGGGACATGAACTCATACGAAATCCTTGCCGTCCCGGTGTTTTGGGTCGAGCACCAATCTGCGACGATCCTCGCAGCCAACAGTAGCATCACCAATAGTAGTTGTAGCATGGTCTAATGAGAATGAACACTATGAGAGAATATAAGACAACATGGTGAAAAGAATCCTTTTCTTGAAAAAACAATAAATCCAAATACAATATTTCGAAAGTTTCATTCCCTCGCCATTTTCCCTCTGGCCACACTAATTTTTGATTGCTCTTCTTTGCCAAATCGTCCCAGTGGAAGGAAAAAAAAAACAGCCCCAAAAAAATCCGACGTACACGGATGCGGAGCAACTTGTATATATTCTCAGAGGGGGGTGTATATATAATATATAGGGGGATTTCGGGTGTGTATATATGATATTTATAATATTAAATATATTGTGTGCAATAGGTAAGTTTTGTACTGCTTTGGGCTTCGTTATTGACAATATTTATTGCAGTAATAAACATTGATATACAAAATGGAGTTGACAATGGACAATAATGGAGATTAATAAACAGCAATAAATAGGATAAATAGACGTCATTAAGAAGAATGAATGTCACAAATTATTACAATAATTTCAAAGAGATAATTGCGAGTAAAAATCACTTGCCCCCAAAAATTAGTTCATACTTACACCAAAAAAAAAACATCCTCATAAGCATCATTTATTATAGTAGAAAAACTTTTTTAATACCCTAGATAGATATGATCAGGTATCCTTCTTCAGGCGGATAACTTTATCGGTCTCATAAATTGTCCGGTCCACCACCGCGCCGATGGTGAGCACCCCACCAATTGCCGAACACACGCTCAAAAAGAACGACCCCCAGGTATTCGAATACTCTTCTCTATTAATAACCTTGATGGGACTGATCTCCAAGTTGAAGAACACCGCTGGATGGCCCCCTCTCAGGTGGATGGTATGTTTGTGGTCTTCATCGGGACCACCTTGTAATGGTCGGTTGTGCTTGGTTGCCGAAAACTGGTTGGTTTCCAAGAATGTGTGGTTTAAAAACTCGTAACGGGTCGACACCACCTTGACGAAATAAGAATACACTTTGAATCGTTCGTCAACCGTAGATTTAAACCCGTCCAATGGATGGGTGGAGAACATTAAGTTCTTGATGTTGTTGTCATCATTATTATTTTGTAAATCACTACCAGGATCCGGGCCAAATGATAAATGATTAATAACATGCTCAAATGTGAAGTGCTCGTGTTTCTCAAAGAGCGACAAGTCATGAATGTGTCTGAATTGGCCAGTATATGATGCTCCAGGGGCAATATGCAAATTACCAGCCACTCTATTGATATTCGCAGTCCCTTTGATCCGACATCCTTCATGAAGTCTCTCATTAATCTTCAGAACGTACCCTTCTTGTTCACACTGCTCGACGTCCTTACCATCAAAAAATGCCCACCCGGCCTTGACGTATGCCTGACGAACCTCTTCACATGAGTTACAACACACTTTCTGTACCTGATCGTTGTCATTATTTGATTGATCTTTGGCCCCATAACATGGCCCACAATAATCACTACCTTTGATTCTCATCATGGTATCTTTACCATCCTCATTGCCCATGGTAAGCGCCTCTTCAGCAATCTCGTGGCCCCGTGGTGCCAACCGGATCTTGGTGAACCCAAACTTTGCCACATCCTCTTGGAGTTCCCCACTGACGTCCATAATATCCAAGGTTAAAACCTCGCATGGTAATTTAGGGAAACTGATATCGAGATTGACGTCCAAGCGTTTGGCCCGGTCGCGGTCCACCACGATCTCTGGGTGTAGCTTGACGGTATTGAACTCGTTCCATTCGTTCAAGATCAACAACACCACTGCCACCAAACAGGTCATGGTTACCAAGCCTCCCGAGGTAGTTCTGACCCGTGCGTCCTCGACGGTTTTGGCAAAGGCGTCGAACGCCAATAGTTTCGATTTCATTGAATAGATAAAGATATCGTGGTATATCAGCTAAATTCTTTTTGTCCACGTTGGAAAAATCCCAAATTTTTTCTGATGTAATTTTTTTTTCCAAGGTCACGGGATTTTGTAATATAATAGCCATCAAAAACATTTCATTATTATTATATATAGTATATATATATATGTGTGGAATCTCTCCCTCTTTTTTTTTTTTCTTTTTTTTTTGTATTTCTTCCACGAAGTAAAGGACTAAAAATAATGTACAAATTCATAAATAACTAAAACAGGAAGGAAGAAATAAAAAAGGATTCTCTCTAGTTAAACAACATATCAAGCTCCGCTAATGAAATGTCTTCAGGAGTCCCAATATCTTGGGTCAAGAACCCTTCACGAACAGTTTGGATCCATCTGGTGGTCTTATCGTCAGCTAAGTTACTAGGGTTCGATTCCAGTGGGGATAAAGCATGCAATGCTGCGGCCCTCAATGACGCCGCTGCAGCAAGTACAATGCTGGGAGATGGAGAGTTGGCAATGTTTTTTGGAACTCTTGGGGCTGCTGCCGCAGCAGTGATATTCTTGACTCGTTTGATGAGCTTGCTAGGGTACCGCAAACTGCCGGAATTCGCCCGTTTCTTAGGTTCGGTCTCGTCATCTTCATCCTCTTCATCTTCGTCATCGTCATCGTCTTCTTCTTCTTCTTCTCCATTATCAAACTCGTCATCAAACGAGTCCAATTCGTCAAAATCATAATCCGATACCGCTGGAGACTCGTAAACAGTAGCATTGGTAGTGGCAGTAGTGCTGTCGTCATTACTACTGGTAGGGGTTATGGTGGTTGAATCGGTAGTGGCATTCAAATGATTCGATTCGGCCGACATGATCAAGTCGGCGTTGTAAGGAATCGCTAATGGAGTGATTCGTAAATCAATGTGCCCTTCAGAATTATTGTTGAAGAAATGGTTGCTGTTGCCAAGGTTAATATTGGCATTGCCTGCCGATTTATCATTGCTAAATAAAATATTGTTCACCGTCCGCTTTTTATCACCTACTGATTTGTGCTTTGATAGCTCATCATTGGAAATCCCCCCGTTTTTCTCCTCAAAATTTTCTTCCAAACTTTTCATGGCAGCAATCGCATGGATGTAAAAATCATTGGTCAAAATCCCTCGGTATACATAAACCATTCTCTTGGGAGAGGTGTCGGCCCATTCTCTCGAAAGTGCATACTTCAAGTTCTTTTCTCCCTTTTCTACCCTCTTAACATAAGCATTCAACTTTGCCGACACCAAGTTCGAAGTCTTGGTGGAGATCTTGGCAGTTTCTGGATGCTTTTCAAGCAAAACATCACAAATTTGTTTCACCGTCATCCCTTTCCCTTCGGCATCGTTATCGTACAATATCAGAAAAATCGTAAATAACACATCATCTTCCAATGACGCGTCCTTTTCTGGCCGAGGTCTTTCCCCTGTAACCGGGATGGTGGTAGAGATCCCAGTGGCCGCTACGTTGATTTTGTTTGCTTTCTTCTCTTTCTGCTTATCTGGGTTGATATTATACTTTTTGCGGGGTTTATCAGCATCTGGCCTCTTCTTTGACGCTGTTGATGGTGGATGTGGTGGTACATCATCATCATTTAGTGGAGAAGTGCTGGTTGATGGGCATGAGTCTTCTGGTGCCACTACTGCCACCACCTCTTCTTCTTCGTCGTCGTCGACCTCGTCGTGGACCAGCGATTCAGGAGATGATTTAGATTCTGACGATGGCTTGGCCTCTGATGAATGGACATTGGCTATGGGTTTTAGTATAATGTTTGATGATGATGAAACAGGCTTTGGACTCAGGATCTGGGAGGGCGATAGCTTGATTTTCGAAGGGGGATTCAAGTTGATCTCGCTGAATTCCGTATGGGGAGAATGGACTGGTAGCTGGTGGACCGGCCTAGTATTTGCCAAAGCCATGTTATTATAAATAATATTGGGCTTTCAAGCTGTTATAATTATTATTGAAAATATGGAGTCCCTCTATCTCCTTGTAATAGGGTATTTAACATTGGGTTGTATTGGATTCAAAAAGAACGGTTGGTTGATCTGTATTATTCAAGCAATGGCTAGAAAGAGCGGGGGAAAAGAGTATTAATATGTATGTCCAATGAGAAAATCCTACGGATTATTGTATCCGTAGATAGTACAAACTTACTTCTTGTATAATTAATAATGATTGTAACAATGTGATAATGTTTATGTTTTATCGTGGTTTGTAGTGTGAGTAGGAAAAAGGAAATTTTTTGAAAATTTTTTTTTTTTTTTTCTTATTTTTTTTTTTTTCTTATTTTTTTTTTCTTTTTGTGAGCCAAGTTTATATTAATATTATGACAGTTTTTAAGATCTCTAGTTAGAATTTTATTTTTGCTCTTATATTTTTGTCTCCTTACATGTAAACTGTTTAGTAGAGCGAATTATTTTGCTTAGATTTACTTTGTAAAAGAGGTCCAGAATTTATTGGGGGAGACGTCAAGCATTTCAATACTGACTAGATTCTATAATTTCTTTTTTTGCATTATTATTGCAAAATTTCTTTCTTTTTTCTTTTTTTAGAATATTTACATATGTTTACCATCAATAATTTATCCTGGCCTACATTATTTTTCATTTATTTTCTTGATATCCATACACCCACAAACACCATTATTTGTGCCAGCATTTTATTTCATTTTTTGACAGCCATGCGGCGTGCTGCATGTTGGCAGGGGGAAAATGTGTCATGCGTCATGCAGTGTGTGGGTGTAAGGTTTTGATAAATTGTTATATCAAACACGTGCACAGTGACTGTTTAGGGCTACGGGCGTGATAGTTGAAGACCATAAGGGCTTTGTGACTATGATGTATGCATATTTTTGCATAGTGATACAGTCCTCGATTTCAAGTACCAATATGGGGGATCTTTGAGGGGCGATCAAAAAAACTGTCATCATCACCATCAAATAACAGGCGTGTGGGCTTGATAGCTACCATTATAATATACACATATACAAGTTATGGATGGCCACTCGCTAACAAGATAACATATAATGATACTGGATACCTCCAACTATGAAGCGGTTTTGAAGAATCAGTTGATTCATTCACCAATTGTCAAATATCTTTTTGATATCAATGTTTCCATAAATAAGCAACATATTAGCCATCATCATCGTACAGAGGATTTCAGCCCAAATTTCTCGATTTTCGACAAAACAATAAGGAATGATCTCTGCTCTTCTGATCAATCGCAGTTCTCCTCCGATACTTTTGGTTCCAACGATACTTTGGATGAAATATTGGCCCAAGATGAATTACCGCCAACCACTATCAATGATCCCCCATATATCCCCAAATTGCAATTGGTGAAAGTTCTAGTAAGAGACACTTCGCTACTCATTGAATCCAACATTTTCCCAATTTCTGGAACCATTCGATGTGCTGCAGTGCTTCCCGGGATCACAGATTCCAAAGGGTATCACCACGAAGACAGTTTGCTTCTCACATTATCCTCGGGATATCTTGTGTTGATCCGGTTGATTCTTACAAAACACCACTTCCAACCATTTATTCATATGTGGCACAAGATTTCTGACCCTGCCACAATGGTAATAAACAGCAGACTAGGTTATAACATCACTTGCCATGATTCAGGATGTTATTTTGCCGTCAATGCGTTAGAAAATTACATTGCGATCTTTGAATGTTATCACGATGATAAAATAACTCAAGGCAGCTATTTTAAAAAACATCAGGTCATCAAAGTTGATGGAACTATATTATATTGCGGTTTTTTCAAGAATCTCATAAAAACTACCTCGCAATTCAGATTATACTCGTTGATTTTGACTGATGAACGTCGTTTACAGATAAAATCGTTTTCTTGGATAGACGATACAACCAGCAAAGACAGCTCGGACGCTGATCAACATCGGAAAATCCCAATTACAAGACATACCATAAACCGACATACTTTGCCACTTTTCAATGATATAGACATCCCATGCTTGGCGATAGCATTGCATCGATCACAAAGCGTGTTGTTTCTCACCAAGTCCCAATTCATCATCACTACATATGATCAAATTCATTCAGGAGCCACTGAACTTTTAAAGGCCCCCTATTCTGGAGGGTTTCCCTTGAATTATTATCAGCCAAAGTCACCCATTCTTTCCAAAACTTGCGAAGATTATAATGAAGTGTTAATTTCCTCCGCTAATGGCGTCATTTATTTAGTAGTGATCATTGGCAACCAAACTGTTGATACTACGCCGTTGGTTCGGGTCAGGCCAAATTGTTGCTTATCCGCTTTCTCTTTAGAACGGGTAGATAATCACACCTCCTTGGACGGTGCAGAATTCATTTTCACTTATGGTGATGAGAAATCAAATGGTTATTGTCAAAAGGTCAGACTTGTACAAAACCCTGATAACCCAGAGTTTCGAGAATTCAGAGTGCTTGAGGTATATGACAAGTATTGGAATTGGTGCACTGTGTTTGATTTTGAATGCATTGATCATTCGAAAAATAAGTCATTACATGGCTCTCAGGAATTATGGATGTGTTCTGGAGAAGCAAGAAATGGTTCGATATTGCACATGAGATACGGGGTGTTGTCAAAGCAAAAGAAAATCCACAACGTTTTCAAAAAGGCCACAAAAGTTTTCACAATTCCTTTTGCCACGGATGACAGAGAATACAATTATTACTTCTTGGCGAATTTTCCAACAACTTCAAAATTATTCACTTACAATGAAACAGAAAACGAATTTTTTGAAGTGCCAATCACCACTGCTATTGAAATGACCTCGGAAACTTTGTTGATTGAGAAATTGGCTGCCGCAGAAGCATTCATTCAGGTCACCAGGGATTTTATTTCTATTGGTAATATCAACGAAACGTTAATCAAGGTTGATTATGAAAATAAGCAGGCAGTTTTTGCAGAATTATTTAACAATTGGTTATTTTATATTGTCATGGATAATGATTTGGAAGTGCAATTAAAGTGTAAAAAAATCCAACCATCGTTCCTGGATGCAATTTTGATAAATGGCCTGACAATCATTTTAGATACCACTCCAACTTGTGTGAAAGTATTTGAATTTGATGGGATTATTTATTTAGTCACTGGCTCGATGTTTGGGGATCTCCGGTTTTTTAACCTCGAACCAAGTGGTGGACTATTGGAAGAGGCCCAAACCCTTAAGATTGATCAATATTATGAAAGTGCAATCCATGACATGTTGTTTATTCCCAACCAGGATCATTCACGTGTGCATTTCTACGTGACTGATCAATTTGGAAGTCTCTTGAGTGGCATATTAGCCCCTAATGATGATGAAGAAGAAAAAGAAGAAATTGATTATGATATGATGATTGATTCTCCATTCTTTAAGATTCTAGGACAGGTATACACTTTGCATTTTGGTACATTACCTATAAAACTAATGATGTCTGATGACAGCCGATATATTTATTTGATTTCCAAGCATTTGTGGAGATTGGAAACTTTGAAAGAGCCGGGACTTCTGGCACCAGCAACGGTGTTTTTCGAAGACACTGCTCAAGAAAGAAATGTGTTTGCAATTTCCAGTTTAATATTTGATGGAGGCATCAAAAGAATTGGAATATTGAGGGAGGACGGATATTGTATTGCGAAATTCTCTGAAACATTAAGCCCCGTCCCCAAACAGTTTCATTTGGGGTTCACTCCAAACAAGTTTATGTATATTCCCTATTTGCATGTTTTTTGCATCATCTCGAACGACATGACGTACCTGTCCAACAACAATAAGATTTCGTTTTTTGACGTGAAAAGTTTCAAAAAAGTCCGGGCTAGGGAGATTTCCAAACATAATAAACAACTTATCTTCAACAATAATGAACGATTGTTATCTATCGGCGAATGGTATATCAAGAAGAAGACTCTGCTGAAAAAAGAGGCGTCAGTGTATAAAAATGTGGTTGTTGGCTGCCAGCTCAACAATGACGAAGGATCGGTACACGTTATCGAGTTGAAAAAGGAGAAAAACGAACGGGATTTGATTAAGGTTGGTAATTTGTACACTTGGAGAACTAATGGACCGGTGTTTGCAGTCCAACAATTAAGGAATGCCAACACTTTGGTTTACTCTAGTGGTAATACCCTTTACACCCGAAAGTATATTTGTGATAGGAAAAGTATAGATCCTCCCAAAAAACAATACATTTGTGGAAGTTTGATTGTGGGGATCACTATCAAGGATTCCTCGACAATAATTGTGTCGACCAGATCCACATCGGTATCTGTGTTTGAATATAATAGGAAAACCGGGGAATTAGTTAACGTTTACAATGACTCAGTATCGAAAAGTTTGCTCAATAGTATTGGGGTGAATGATTTTATGGTGATTTCCGATAAACTCCACTCAACAATTACTGGGTTCAAGGTTGACAAAGCCGGGGACTTTGCTCCAAAGTTCAAGGACACTGTCGGAGGGGTTGTCCGGTTGAAGAACTGTGAATTGGTGCCAATCTGGGTCAATGATGTCTATTACGATATTGTCAAGCAACATAACCGATTCTTGGGGTGCGGGATTGGTGGACAGGTATTTATTTATTTTCTTTGCTCAATGGAGCAATTTGATCTCATTAAACACGGCAGTAGGAAAGCATGGATAAATGGTACGGAGTTGGCAAATAAGGGTAAATGGGAAACTGATGAGATTGATGCGCTAGGTAGTGAGAAAAATAATAATGTTCTTCGATTTGATTTAAATTGGGTTAGCAAAAGGTCTGACTCTTCAATTTTCCAAGATTCACCGTTGTCTGTAGCATTATGATAATTTATATATCTTTGAGTAACTTTTCCAATAATGAAACGATATTGATATAATTATAAAATTTATAATATAAATTATTACCATGGTCTACAAAAAGAAAATAGCGTAGGTTTATTATGTTTAGTGCTTTTGTTTTAAGCGCTGCGTTTAGTAATTTATTTTCCTGACGTTTTTTTGTTTTGAAAGATTTCTCGGCGATGAGGTCCAACTCTTTAATGTTGTTGTTATTCTGCCACAAACACTGTTCCAAATGACTAATGGGTATTATTTTTCTCTCCTAGGAAATATTCAATTCATTATATACAGCATTTCATGTACCAACTATTCCAGAACAAGCCTTTCAATAGGGGAAATCTCTTGTTGTCCAAGGACTATTGGATGAAAGATAACAGTGTCAAGGAATGCTTCAGTTGTGGCAAACCGTTCACCACGTTCAGAAGAAGACACCATTGTCGATTATGTGGGCAGATCTTTTGTAATGATTGCACTACGTTGATCTCGGGAGAACGTTTCACTTACAATGGTCAAATCCGATTATGCCATTCGTGTTTGAGTTACGACTACGATGACTCGAGTGATGAATATGATGATATCGACGATAATAACAATACTAATAATGATAATGACGATCAGAAGAGAAATGAGGCTTCCATGGCAAACGGGACTGATATTTCATCCAATATTATCGTTGATGGTGATGTCAGCTCTTTACAAGACAAATCAGAAAGGGACCCATCGATAATGGTGGATTTATCTGACAAATACCTGTCGTCGTCCGAAGATGAATCATCCATGACGTTGTATACTGCGTTGCATTCGGATTCCATTGGCAACCTTTCGAGCTATTCCGACTCCATGAGAGGTGGGGAGTCCAATCTACGGCCATCAAGATCAAGCTACAGTATAAACCAGGTTGGAGCAGGGTATGACAAGACCCAGGCATCGCTCATACGAATGAAGAGCAGGAAGCGGAGTAAAAGTACAAAGCGGAACATTGACGATAATAATAATAATAATATCCCTTCAAGGATGGGCCAGTTATTGACAGCCGCGAAAAAGGATGGTGACGCCGAAGTGTATTCTTCGGCCATCAATACCGAACCACTTGCTGTTGACAACGATTCCATCATTTGTGAGAAAGAGTACATGCACAAAGAGTTAAACGATATTAGCATTCATCACATTAAGAGGTTCTTGAAACAGACGTTGGTACTGTTCGATGTCAGAAATAAGAAGAGCTGGTATTATACCATTCATCGACTATTAAACAGTATAGAATTAATTGACCCCGACCCAAAGAATGGTGACAGTTTGGATATCACCCGGTACGTAAAGGTTAAAAAGATTCTTGGGGCCACCCCAGCAGAAAGCGAATGTATTAATGGGATAGTGTTCACCAAGAATGTGGCATTGAAATCCATGAGGTCGCAAATCACCAACCCCAACGTGGTTCTAATAATGTTTCCATTGAATTATGAAAAGGGAACCCAAGCTTTCGTCAGTCTTGACCAAGTGATGGCTCAAGAAAAGGAATATCTTGACAAATTAGTAAAACGAATTGTCCTGCTCCGGCCAAAACCTGACGTGGTTATTTCCGGGTCCACGATTTCTGGCTACGCTTTGGAATTATTGGATATTGCTGGGATCTCTGTCGCCTATAGTGTCAAACCACAAATTATTGAACGGCTTTCACGAATGTTGGAGGCCGATGTAGTGGGATCAATGGAAAAATTGGCAACCAAGCCCCGTTTAGGACTGTGTGAACTCTTTGAAGTCAAATCTTTCGTTCATCAAAACGTCAGGAAGACGTTTATGTTCTTCACTGGATGCAAGAGCACACTCGGGTGTACTTTTATATTAAGAGGTCAAGATCAAATGTCTTTGAATAAAGTGAAAAATATTCTTGAATTCCTTGTTTACATGATGTTCCACTTGAAATTGGAAACGTTTCTATTTAGAAATGAGTACCTTTTGATGCCCAATGCAAGGGAGTTGAAAGAAATGCTTCACCATACTCCGTACTTTGGTTTCGACTATCAGTTTATTGAGAGATTTGATCAGCGGTTGTTTTCGATATCTCCTACCATCAAGGTGCCATTACCTCATCTCTTGACAAAGGCCAGGGACTGTGAAAAGCATTTGAATAATTTCCTAGAGAATTATGACATGAATGCCATTGATGCGGACTCCGCCAAAGAAATCGTGAGAATTTTCGGTATTAAACTAGAAGAGTATGATTTGTTTGACCAAGGTAGTATCATTAATCTTGCGCAAGTGATCATTTACAAAAAATCCAAATTATTGAAATCAACTTGCAAGCTATATTCTAGACAATGGGAATCGTTTTCTGAGCAAATCTCTTCACTACTTGAAGTGTCTTTCCATCAAAGCATTAGTTTTCTTTATTCAACCACCAACGCAAAAAATCAGAGCCCTTGCATTTTTCCTAAAATCATCCAAATTGAGTACTATATGGATTTTACCGACGCTCCTTTGGGTCACTATATCGAGAACTTGGTGCAAACCTCTAACCACTTTTGTCAAGAAGGCTGTGGATCGAAATTATTAGATCATTACAAGAATTATGTTCATGGTGATGGTGCGATCACTGTGTCTATCGAAAATATGGAATGCAAGATCCCTGGTTTACAGCATGTCATTTTAATGTGGAGTACTTGCCAAAAATGTAACCATTCTACTCCAGTTATCCCCATGAATGAAATCGCGTGGAAATTCTCTTTTGGAAAATTTTTAGAATTGGGATTCTTAAGTGTGCCCCTCACGGTTTCTTTTATAGAATGCCAGCATGATTTGAAAGACCGAATCAAGTACTTTGGCCTTAATGACTTGACAGTGAAATTCAGCTACCAGAAAATTGATCTTCTTGAAGTGATCGTTCCTGGAGATAAGGTATACTGGCGACCAGAAGTTGATGTTACTCTCAAATTGGAGGTGTACCAGCTGATTGTTGACCGAGCCAACAATTTCTTTGAAGGGGTCTTAGACAGATTAGAAGGGGTAAAGATCGATAATTCAAGTCAAGAAAATGCCGATGCCGCGAATGAAAAAGTTAAGCAGTTAATTGGATTAGCAAAGGAGAACCATGCTGAGATAATGAACCAAGTAAAAAAGATATATACCGAATCCTCACCATTGGAATATTTGCCTTTGAATATTATCTTGAAAGGATTACAAAGTATGAGTGTCTCGTGGGATTTAGAGTTTAGTCAATTTGAAGAAGAGTTTTTGCCGAGTGAAAATGATATTACTAGGATCACGGCTTTTCAATTGAAAAATTTCTTCAAGGAAAAGAAATCTCCAGAGGACTTGGATACTGAACGGGGAAAAAATAAGGAAAAGTTAAAAGGATTAGGGTATCCGGAATCAGAATATTATGATGAAAAGTCAAAAACTGATTTAGAAAGACTGGAAGCTGATCCTGCTGTCAATGGTTCAAAGAAATGGGAAAACGATAATGATTATGATATGAAACAACCTGAAAATATTGATGAACGGGAAACATCAAGGGATATCCAACTAGGAACCATGCCAAGTACTGATAACTCCAATTCTGTTGATAGAGATACTTCACTAATTATGGAAGATGAACAGCAGTTAAAATCATCAACTTCCCGCTCCAGTTTCAAGCATTCCAATGTCTTGGAAAAAGTCTCTAGGATGGAAGCGAGATTGAATAATAATTCTGATATCAAATCTGAGAACTTTAATGACTCCCATCTTCTATCAGGTAAAACTCCTTTATTAAGTACTGGCAATTTATTGAAAACTGAGTTAATCAATAGATCTAATTTCTCTGATGATTTTGCAACCAGCACAGCCAGTTCCAAAAAATTGGCAAATACTCGTGTGGCAAAACTAAAAGATTATTATGACCAAATGCATGTGCGGTTGAATAAGGAATTCGTATTGGAAAGGGAAAATGAAAGAAAGAAGATTGCCAAGCGATATCATGCCATTCCTTTGATGAGTTCAAAACCAATCGTTGAGGTTTATCAAGATTTTGAAGATGCTGTGCAAGACGAAAATGAAGACAAGTCCAATAAAAACCATGTGAAAAATAAGGATCATATAGAATCTTCGAAACTAAAACGGGACGAATCAGAATACAATGATGCCGGCGACAACGAAGAAGCATCTGTGGATGTCATTAATGGGAACCCTGTTATTTTTGATAATCATGGAGATTCTAAAGAATTGGAGAGTACCAAAAATAATGAGGCAGAAGCACCTGAAATTTTTAATGATAATGAACAAATAGGAGAAGATAAAATTGAGCATGCCGATATTAATGATAATAAGGCTTTGAGTTTAAAAGAAAAAAGAACTGAAGACAAGAACGAGATTCCCCAGCAAGAAAAGAATTCACTTTTGAGTGCCATAAAGAAGTTTTGGGCGGATAGATCTGTGCTTTGGAAACCTTTAGATTATCCATTGAAGGAAACTGAACATGTTTTTGTTGATTCAGACGTTATTATAAGAGAAGATGAGCCAAGTTCTCTCATTGCTTTCTCATTATCCTCCAAGAACTATTTACAAACTGTAAAAAGATTGAGAAAGGAAGTCATTGATTCTTTGAGTTTGCCAGGGATGCAAGAAAATATCGAAATCCAACCGGGAAGCAAGATCCAAGAGAAATTGTTGGAGGCGGAGATGTTGAAAAAGAGGGCCATTCATTTGAAGTTTCAGATCATGGATGATTCGGCAATTCTTTCCTGTAAGGTATTTTTCGTGGGTCAATTCGAGGCATTAAGAGAAGCGTGTGGATCTAATTTCATCCAGAGCTTATCCCGGTGTATCAAATGGGACTCCAGTGGTGGTAAGAGCGGGTCAGCATTTTTAAAAACTTTGGATGATAGACTTATTATTAAGCAACTTTCTGAACCAGAATTCGAATCTTTTGTGAAAATGGCCCCGAGCTATTTTGAATTTGTATCACAATCATTATTTCATGATTTGCCAAGTGTGATATCCAAGATTTT